ACATGGCTTTGGCGACTCTTTCATCCTTCAAGCTCAGCTTCATATGAAGAATGGGCAGAATATCCTCATCATCTGACAGTTGTGGTGCCCAAATCTCAGTCATACGATTCCGGAGCGCGGCCGAGAGCTCTCGCTTTCCATAGTCTCCGCCGGGATTCATGGTTGACAAAAACTGGAACCCGTCATCTGCAACGACCATGGAGTCAATGGGACCTTTCTCGGCAAGGAGAATTGATCGATGGGGCTCCAAAACACTATTGAGTCTCTCAAGGACAGAATCGTCGGCAAGGGAAATCTCATCAAGGAGGAAAAACTGGCCGGTCTTCATGGCAGTGATAAGGCTTCCATCAGACCATTCGAAAAGAGCATTGCATCGAATAATGTTCTTTTCGATCTTCTTGAGTAGTCCCTGGTCTCTCGTTTGCCGTGCTTCTCCATCTATAGCGGCCAATTCTTGCTTCAGCTGTCCGAGGGAAGTTGAACCAGTCTGTTCTCCGTGAATAAATGTTCGAAGATCGGCCAACAATTGTTTTTCTATAGCGGCCCGGTTGCGGATTGGTCGTTGAGCTCCAATCAAATCGCCAGTCTCCAGATTGACATGGGCATTGACAATGAACAGCTCCCTTGCGAAAGCCTCGGCAACAGCCTGGCAGAGCTGGGTTTTGCCACACCCAGTCTCTCCAACAAGAAGGACCGGCTCGTTGTTCTGCAGTGCCTTCGAGACCAAGATGAAGAGACGCCGCATGGCCTTGGTCCAGACAATACCGGCAGGCAGCTCGGCTATTTGAGGAGCATACTTTTTCAGTTGCGCATCGCTGTAAAGAACATCCTCGTCCAGTTTAACTTTCATGACCTCTTCAATTACGGCTTTCACAGCGGTCTTCTCCTGGGGATTGCGCACGCGTTCTCCCAAAAGCATGTACCCATTGATGGCGAGTTGCTCCTTGTCGTCGGCATCCCGAAGAGCCCAGCGGAAGAGATCACGGAGCGTGGCAAAGCTGTTCTTCTGTTCAAAAAGCCGGTTCGACTGGCGCAGTAATGAGAGTTTCCTATAAACGGAGACGATGCGAGTGCAAAAGGACGGCGCGATTTGAGAACGTTCTTTCAGAATGAATTCTAGCTCGCTCTCGGGGATATCATCGAAGTGCAGTTCAAGGAAGCGGTTGCGGAAAGCGCGTGAGAGGACCTTTCGGCCACCATAAAGACCTGCAGGATTCTGTGTGGCAAACAACATGAAGTTCGGGTGTGGATGAACAACCTCTTGGGTCTCCGGAATGAACAGCTCACGGTTGTCGTCCAGCAGGCGATTAAGTGCCTCCAATACATCCGAAGGAGCAAGGTTGAGCTCGTCGAGAACGATCCAATACCCATTCCGCAGAGCCTCGACCAGGACACCTTCCTGGTAGCGCAGACTACCGTCATCGGAAGAAATGTAGGATCCCAGATACTCCTGCAAATCTGTATGTTCGTGATTGTTGATGCGGACGAACTTGTTCCCGGAAACCTTTGCCAGATACTCGATCATACTCGTCTTTCCAGCCGAAGTCGGACCCTGCAGCAGAACGGGGAATCGACGAGTCGAAGTAGCCCTGACCAAGTTCTTGAGGTTCTTCTCGATGAAAGGGGTAATGATGTAGTGGGGCTGCTCCTCAGGTGTCAAAGGACCGCATCGCATCCAGTAATGCTTAAACTGAACATAATTGTTTCCGTCCGCCGGAGGCCGAGGGGTTTGGCCAAGAAGAGACTTTGCATTTTTGGTGTTGCCGAAGATGTGAGCTTCCAGGAGAGGTGTGAGAGACCGCTCTGACACCAAGCTCAACACAGTCAGGAAGCTCATGCTGAAGCCTTCGAAAATTGCCCTTCGCAAACCGTAGATGTGTGCGTGGTCAATGACATAGATGAGCACGCGAACAAGGGTTCGAATACTGAAATGCGGACGTTGTCCTGCTCCATCGGTCAACTTGTTCTCGTTGCTGAGCTTCTTGGTTTCCATGTATAGCTGCGCAAGATCTGACACAGCTCGATGGTCGCTAAGTGTCAAGTCACCAAGATACTTCTGTATCAATGCCAGAAGATCGTCCAATTCAGTGTCGGGAGAATGGACGTAAAACTCAGTAAATCGTGTACGCAGGCCAGGGGGCAGATCTCTCTTTCCAGCATCTGTAGCAGGATTCATGGCGCCGAATATACGAAAGTCTGGGTGGCCAAAGACTCGCTCGACATCGCCAGCTTCGGAAAGTAAAACAGATGGTGACCCCTCGCTACCATGATTCAAGAGGCTGGCAATATTCTCGAGTGTGTCTGGTGAAGCAAGGTTCACTTCGTCCAGAAGAACCCATTCTCCATTTCTGAGAGCTCGCACAATTTTTCCTTGTACGAAGGCAAATGCAAACTTGGCATCTCCCTGAGAAACTTGAGCCTCGAAGTCACCAAGCTGAGTAGCGAAACTCTCCCATCTTTGTCGAAGGTGCTGGTATTTTGGTGATTCCAGCTTCCTCTTTTTCGCGGGCTGCTCATCGCCATTCTCGGTGTCATTCGAAACATCGCGAGATGGTTTGAAGGCGCCATCCGCAAGACGAACAGCTTCATGCCATAAGTTCACTAAGCGTGGCCAGTTCGAGAAAGCAACACTTTTGGACACCGAAGACAAAAACTTCTGGTTCTTCTTTGCCGAGAATGTGAGCTCAAATAGCTGGGTGAACTCATCAAGCATCGGGATTGCCATTGTGCGAATATTAACAGGCTTGAACCCACCTAGCAGGTCGGTACTTTCACTTTGTTGGGACAGATTGACAACTGTCAGCTTCTGACGCATCAGTGTGGCAAGGTGTTGAATCACTGTCGTCTTTCCGATACCAGTTTCTCCGACGAGCAGAACTGGCTCCGCCATTTGGATAGAGGCGGCGACCTGCTCCATGACTGACAGTGCAGCTCGCGTAGAGGCAAAGCGAGATGCCGATGCCGCCAGCTTCAAGGCCGAGCTGCTCGGAACCTTTATCTTCTGACAAGATTCTCTTCCGATGATGAGAGAATTGTTCTTATCCGTAAAGATGGGAGTACGTTCCTGAAGGCAGAACTGGGCTCGCTGGGGCGAGATCTGAAGCGCTTCGGCCACCACAAGAGCGAGAGAGCTTTGCATCGATCTTTCTGGAAGGTATTTGAGAAAGACGTCGACTACATCCAGAAAAATTTCGTCCTCGACCCCCTCAGGCGTAGCTTCGAATCCAGTCTTCGCGCCTATACGTTGGAGTCGTCGGTGCAATCTGCTGCACAGTTTGATCAGATCGCGGAATCCGGGGGTACGGCCTTGCGAGCCCTTGATAGCTAGGCTTCCATGGAAAGCAGCGCAGACTCTGTTATACACATCCATGATGGTGGGCACACGAGATTCAAGCAAAGGGAACTTCTGCAGGATCACATTCCGCATTTCTTCCATGGGAAGAGAGGTAACTTGCACTCTCTGCCACAATCTGCTGCCAAGCATTGACGTACTCGGGGCAACTTCTTCACCCACGATGTTGTATGAAGACTTCATTGTCGCAATAATTCTGAAGCCCTCTGCACACTTAATCCGTTCCCTTCGGCTGGCGATTGTCAACTCCCCTCGCTCAATGATCGGAAGGATAAGACCGATGACCTCAGAGGGAGCGCGATCTAGGTCTTCAATGAGGACCCAACGACCTTCCCTCGCAGCCTTTGTCAAAACACCCGGCTGCCACGAAAATGACCCACTGGCGGACGAGGTAGCATACATCCCAAGAAGACTCTTGGCATCCGTCTGCTCGTTCAGGTGGAGGGTGACCATGGATTCGGCCTGTCCCATAGTGGCAGCGATGTCGTTGATCAGGGAGGTCTTCCCAGAGTTGGGCAGGCCGACTAGCAGAATAGGTTTGGATCCAAGTAAGGACGTTGCGATGCGGCGCAGATTTTCAACAGCCGTAGGCGTCTTGACAACCGGAGAAGATGATGAAGGGAGGGTATCCTTCAGCCTGGGAATCAAGACGCCGCAGACCTCCGCGGTCTTGGTGGTGAAGAACTCCCGCAGCCTCTCCACATGTGCGGAAGCCTCAGTATGTGACCGAGAAGATCTTTGGTCCCGAACATGTGCTTCAAGGGTCTCCCAGCGCCGCTCTTCCCATAGACCCAAAAGACGGTAGTCGATTGTTGTCTCTTCCCATTCTCCTTCGATAGGTGCAGCCCCAGTATTTACATATAGCATCTTTTGGGTAGCTGCGTCCGCAGCGTGCATGTATAGAGCGAAGCATCGGACTGCAAGGTATCGAATGACCGGATCTTGGTGTTGGAACAGAGATTGAAGTTGAAGCGGTGAGACGGCTGTCGAGAATGTCTCCAGATCGAAAGAGAGGAGTCGGAAGAGGGCGATGAGAAGTGTTCGAACTGTGGGATCATCCAACTGTAGCAAAGTCAGTTCCTTCGACGCCGCCAAAGCCGAGAGAGGGCCAGCGCGTGATGAGGCGAATTGGCTGGCAAGCGGGCGTAAATGCGGCGCAAAAGGTAGAATGCGAGCGAATGCCGACAGGACGTGAATATAGTCGACATGGGGATCCGATCGAAGCCAGCGAGCGGCTAGATCGACAAAAATTGGTTCGTAGAGGGCGAAAACGCTCTCTGTGCATCCCGGTTGCAATGCGGCGAGTGCAAGCGCGTGGAGGTACTGAGTCCCCGATGCAGAGCGAATAAGCGTCGTGAGATCAGAGGGGAGCTGCTCGAGCAGCTGGGACTCTGAGAGAGTCCTCTCGTAGACGGGCCTTCCATACATACCGAGCCCGACCGCAAGAGGAACAATTATTTCTCCTCTTGAATTGTTTCGGCTTCAAAAGTCAACTTTTTTTCTGCCGCCAAAACCTGTGGGGCCGATCCGAGCGGTGACAGGGCTGACATAATCCAATCGAGCTACGACTCGATAAGGGACGCTGTTTCATTCATACATCGCCCAGAGTGAGCTCGGGAGATGCTGACTCCTTGGTTGATGGTCCACAATGTCAATAGAAGATCAGGGCTCCGGCAGCGACAATCAGCCCTGGGCGGCGCAGCACACCGAGGACAGCCCCCTACCTCAACAACCTCCAGAAACGCATCCGGCAGATGGTCTACATGAACCGTGAGTGGCAGCCAACCTCGACTGTTGTGTTACTTACTTACTGATGATGGCGTGTGAGCAGGATCTCCTTCAAGCGAAAGCAACGACATCAATCCGGGTTCAGCCTCTCGAGTCTCTTCTCGAATAACGCGGGTGAATCGCATGCGGGCTTTGGCTCCCCGGGGCCGCAAGGTGGACACAACGCAGATGCATCACCACCACCACCAGAATCACAGATTCCGGTTGGAACGAATGGCAATGCCAACGCATCCAAAGATGGCACCGGTCTCGACTGGTACGTGGAGGGCCCGGGACGGCGTGTAGGCTACGACGATTTCACCGCCATCGATTGGATCTACGAGTACACAAAAGAGCGTCAACGGAAACGGTTACTCTATGCCAGTGGACAAGGCATTATGGGTCATGCTCGTCGGCTGCTGGAGGCCAGCAATGTATGGTTTGTGTTGGTCGCAACTGGGCTTGCGGTCGGAATCATTGCCGCGGCGATCGACATTGCGACGGATTGGCTAGGAGATCTAAAGACCGGGTACTGCAAAAGCGGTCGGGGCGGAGGCAAATTTTATCTAAATCGGAGTTTCTGCTGCTGGGGTCACGATGGTGAGTCCAATCCTAAAATGCTGGAAATAGTATACTCATTCTCGTCCCAGATCTGTCCAACTGTATAGACTGGACACCCTGGGGGAATGCTTTTGGCGACGACTCCACCGTGGGAGGTTTTGCTCTTGCATATTTCGTCTATATCGTGTTCTCGGTATTTACCCTCCTTCCCAGGCCTCAAATCTTGCTGATAAAAACTTTAGCTGTTATTCGCTGTTTGTGCGTGTTTCCTCGTCCGCAACTATGCCATTTATGCCCGGCACAGTGGAATTCCCGAAATCAAGACGGTACTTGGTGGATTTGTGATTCGGCATTTCATGGGTCCATGGACTCTGGCTATCAAGTCCCTTGGATTGGTAAGCGCACTTCATGTTTGAGGGACTATCTTTACTCATCATATCAGTGTCTTGCTGTCGCATCTGGCTTGTGGCTGGGGAAAGAAGGCCCCCTGGTGCATGTTGCATGCTGCTGTGCCAATATCATGATGAAGCCTTTTGACGGTCTCAACAATAATGAAGGTTAGATCAGCCGATATTTGATCGTTTGCTTCGTCACTAATAGGATTTTCAGCGCGAAAACGCGAGGTTCTTTCTGCGGCCGCTGCTGCTGGCATATCGGTCGCCTTTGGTGCTCCCATCGGAGGAGTCCTTTTCAGCCTTGAACAACTGTCATACTATTTCCCTGACAAAACAATGTGGCAAAGCTTTGTCTGTGCTATGGTCGCAGCAGTCACGCTGCAGGCAGTCAACCCCTTCCGCACGGGCAAGATTGTGCTCTATCAAGTCTCATACTCACGGGGATGGCATCGCTTTGAAATCATCCCGTTCATTATTCTTGGTATCGTGGGTGGTCTTTACGGGGCGTTCCTGATCCGTGTGAATCTCAAAGTTGCCAGATGGCGCCGAACCCGACCCGTTTCTTCTCCTGCCCAGCCCATTGTCGAAGTCGCTGTGGTGGCCTTGTTGACAGCCTTTAACAACTTCCCGAACGTTTTCATGAGGGCCCAGAATTCTGAACTGGTTCAAGCGCTGTTCTCCGAGTGCAGCAGCGATTACTACGATCGGTTTGGGCTATGCCAGTCTGGGTCAGACTCCGTCGGGGTTATTGCGTTGTTGCTGTGGGCGGCTGCCCTGGGCTTTCTCCTTGCTACGGTGACATTTGGCCTGGAAATCCCTGCTGGCATTATTCTCTCCCCTCGGTTGCCATTGGTGCTCTCTATGGACGTGCCTTCGGGATTGGTATGAGAATGTGGCAGGAAGCCTATCCGAACATCTTCCTGTTTGACAATTGCGAGCCGGACGTTCCATGCGTGACACCCGGCTTATATGCCATCATTGGGGCAGCGTCCGCTCTGGGCGGTGCAACGCGAATGACACTGTCAATAGTTGTTATCATGTTCGAGTTGACCGGCGCATTGACGTATGTGATTCCGATCATGATTGCAGTGATGCTATCCAAATGGTGCGGTGACATTTTTGGCAAGCGCGGTATCTACGAGTCGTGGATTCAGCTCAACGAATACCCCTTCCTGGATCACCGCGATGATACCGCTCCACCAGACGTATGCGGTCACCGAGTCATGACCGTCGTCGACGACATCACCTGCATCACTGCTACGGGTCACACCATTGGGTCTCTTCGCAATCTGCTTACCAACACTTCATATCGGGGATTCCCTGTGGTGACTGATTCGTCGAAGCCCGTCCTTCTTGGGTATATCACCCGCAATGAGCTTTCGTATGCCCTGAAATGCTCTTCCTCTCCGAACAATCCCAACCTATCCGGCGAAACACAGGTCTTCTTCGTTCATCAGCCGTTCGCCGATCCCGTCGAGACCTTGGATCTGCGGCCCTGGATGGACCAGACCCCCATCACGCTGAACAGCAACATCAGCTTCCTGATTGTGCTGCGGATGTTCCAACGCTTGGGTCTGCGATATGTAATCTTTGCCGACAAGGGCATTCTCCAAGGATTGATGACGAAGAAAGACGTGTGGTCTGTGCTGAACGGAGTCGAGTTCCGTCGACAAGAAGCCATGCGAGGGGGTGAGTTCGTGGAGAATGGTGCGGCCGAGGAAGTCGGCTTGCTTCATGGGGAAGACCGAAGCAGCCTTAGCAGTTCGTTGAGGCGAGATTCGTTGTGATGATATTTAGGGGGAAATTATTGTACACTTGCTTTGATCTTGTCCTCGGGGGCACGATGGTCCGTTGTTGAATTTTTGGCATGGATATACACTCAAACATATAGCTTCGGCGTTTTGCTCAGGAATGAAAGCAAGTTTGCGAATCTGGTGCTTGGTCTCAAGGTCTCACGATATATATCGACCATGTTTAATCACCCAGATGCAACCACCGACCTCCACCTTCAACTAAACCACATTCTCTTTCTTTTACTCACTTGCTTTATCTCATATTAAATCCACCAGTTTACTTTTTTCCGTGTCCACTACCCTGTTGACCTGTCCACGTACTCCGTTCTTCCATTTTGGTGTGCTCACCGCCTTCTCTTCCCCGTGATCGACCGAACCCACTATGAACGCCTCTTTCACCCCTCGCTCTTTCTCCGAGTCGCCGCCGGACAAGATGATGGTCGATCCATTCGAGGTGCGCATGCGCTTTACCACGCAGCTGCAGCACCTGAGTGCCTCTGTCACGTCCTCACAGAAAGCCGCCCACTATGCCCTCAAATACCGCGACCTGGACGAGGACCTCCATTCGTGCATTTTGGAGCAGCTCGAACGTGTAAGCGCCTCTGCCCTCATCATATCGGCCCGTGTCTAAATTGTGTATCTCCAGAATAATATGAACAACCGCGCAAACATCATGTCCTTCATCGAGCACTTCTGCGAAATGGCCACCAAGGAAGACCACCTGCCCTACGTACGGATGATACAGCGTGACATCCTCCGCGTCGTGGACGCCGTCGTGCCACCCGACGGGACGGGCGCCGCGAACGTGAAGCACGTCCGACGAGTGCTACAGAGCCTACAGACGAAAGAAACACTCTCAACGGAGACAGTAGCGGAGATTGATGCCGCGCTTAAAGACCGCGAGTCGCATCCTTCGCACCTAGACCTGGAACACGAAGAGATCCCAGAAGGCAGCAGTGCGCGATCGAAGACCGGGACGCCGCGCAGCTCCAAGCCGCCGCAGCGTGTGGACAAGAGACAGATCGAGCAGCGGATCGAGGAGGATCGCGAGCGGAATAAACGGCTGCGCGAGAGCATGTGGGCGGTCAATGGGGATGATATGGATGAGTATGATAAGTTGTGGGAGGAGACGAGCGATATCAACGAGGATGATTTTATAAATGCCCGCGAAGAGGCTATGGAGCGCGCCCAGGTGGCTGCTGCGATGCGGGAATCTGTGGTCTGATTGAGCCTGTACTATATTCCTTTTTCTTTTTCCTTGGACATGCTTGGGAGATTACGGCGTTGGGTTGTTTCTGGTGTTTGGGATGGACATGATCTTGGAGATACCATCGAGAGAATTGATCAAGCCAAAAATAAATCCGGTGAAGTCATTGTATCCTCCAGTCATGCGCCGAAAAGAAAACAGATCGGCGTCACCGTCGTAGCGGCTGTGCTCAACGCAAACGGAGGTAAACGGAGGTTCCCGCGCCGACCGTCCGATGCCTGAACCGGGACGAATTATGAAAGCCGGAACCCACCTTTGCCGGCCCCACACGAATAACTCGGAAGTGCGCATTAACAATTGGCTCTCTGCGCTCGGAGGGCCCCTGTCCCGGGAATTATTTCGAGATGTACAGCAGACGAAATTTGCACCAGAAGGACTAGGACGTCCGTTCCTCCGTCCTTGCCCTGGTGGCTATATAATAATTCACCGTCCACTCTTGCCTTTTTTTCTTTCCCGTTTGGTCTATACCTAATTATCACCTTCACCATGACCAACGAAAAAGAAGACATCCCGCCTGAGAAGGACGGGGAGTACTCGCAGATGCCCGGCGATGGGCTTCAACTGCAGCCCACGACCACTACGGACTCTATGCGGTATCCCTCTATGACCAAACGACTGACCATCATGTTGTCTCTCTATGTGGCCATGTTCCTAGTCTCTCTGGTGCGCACAGCCCTAACTTTCCCGTTGCCTACATATACTCATACCCTCTAGGATCGATTGATCGTCGCAACCGCCACTCCGCAAATCACCGACCACTTCCACAGTCTAGGCGATATCGGCTGGTACGGCAGTGCGTACATGTTGACGGCATCCGCCTCGCAACTCGTGTACGGCCGTCTGTACACCTTCTACCAAGCCAAATGGGTGTTCCTCATTTCCATCGCCATTTTCGAAATCGGATCCGCCGTGTGCGGTTCCGCTCCCTCGTCCACGGCCCTCATTGTCGGCCGTGCCGTGGCCGGTCTAGGCACGGGAGGCATCTCATCCGGTATGATCGTCATCATCGTGCTCACGGTGCCTCTCCAGCAGCGGCCTCTATTCCAGGGCTTTGCGGGCGCCATCTTTGGCATTTCCTCTGTGCTGGGCCCCGTCCTGGGCGGAGTTTTTACCACCGAACTCACCTGGAGATGGTGTTTCTATATCAATCTGCCATTTGGTGGCGCAGCAATAGTGGCCATCTTCTTTCTGCTCGATATCCCGGCGCCGAAAAACTTCAACATGCCATTTAAAGAGCAGATGAAGCAGCTGGATCCGCTGGGGAACTTGTTCTTGGTTCCCAGTGTCGTCTGTCTCTTGCTGGCATTGGAATGGGGCGGGTCAACATATCCCTGGAGCAGTTGGCGTATTATTCTCTTGTTTGTGCTGTTCGGCGTGCTCTTCATCATCTTTGTGGGCACACAGATACGGGGCCAGGAGAAGGCTCTGGTGCCGCCTCGGATTTTCAAGCAGCGATCCGTGCTCGCGGGTGTGATGTGGACGATGTGTACCAGCGGTGGCATGATGGTAATGCTTTACTATCTGCCGGTGTGGTTCCAGGCCATCAAGAACGTGGACGCCGAGAAATCCGGTATCATGAACCTGCCTCTCGTGCTATCCATGGTGGTGGGGTCCATTGGATCTGGGATCCTAATCACAATTCTGGGATACTACAACCCCTTCATGATCGCCTCCGCCATCCTCATGTCCATCGGCGCCGGGCTACTAAGCACATTCTCGCCTGACACCGCCCATCCAGAATGGATAGGCTACCAGGTCATCTTCGGCTTCGGCCTGGGTCTCGGCGCGCAGCAGGCCAACGTAGCCGTGCAGACCTGTCTAGCGCGCGCAGACGTACCGATCGGCGCATCGCTGCTGATGTTCTCGCAGCAGCTGAATGGTGCAGTCTGGCTCGCCGTTGCACAGACGCTCTTCTCGAACATGCTGTCCTCGAACCTGTCCAGCGTCAAGGGAGTGGACTCCGCTCACGTCGCGAACATCGGGGCCACGAATCTGCGCGAGAGTGTGCCAGCTTCTTCGCTGCAGGCTGTTCTGAAGGCATACAGCAGTGCTATCACGAATACTTTCTACCTGGGAGTTGCCATGTCGTCTTTGTCGATCTTTGCTGCTCTGGCGATGGAATGGAAGAGTGTCAAGCAGGCGAAAAAACCGAAGGCGGAAAGTAAATGCTAAAGAGATGGGAGAATTGCATGTCCATAATGAATATTAATTAATACATAGAGAATAATTCACGATCCGGTATATCCAAATTATCCCTCGTCTGAACTTATGACAGATGTGACTTGTACCCTACTATGTACTAGGGCAGAAGAGGCACTCTTCTTGGCCTGCTCTCTCCCCCTCCCCCTTCACTAAGCATCTTCATCCCACGCCAGATGCGCCAGAATCATCTGGTTGAAGGCGTCTGGAATTCCGATGGACTCGACTTGGCGACTATTTCTCCGTACCTTATTGACAATCGATCGATGCTCACCATTGGAGACGAGAATTCCCTGGCCACAGAAGGACTACCATCCGCAGGCATAGTGCAGGCATAGTGGGTCAAACTATACAAAGTTCCACACAGACGCCAATCTTTAAGAGAAGGCCCCATCATCTAACTCATGCATATTTGCCAGTGATTGAAAAAAAAGAAATAATGAAAGACGTGATCTCTCTCAATGCTCCAAGGCAGGCGTGTCCGCGAATGCATATCCGGTAATTTGCCGAAACCCGTCACCAACGATTCCTTCCGCCAGCCTTCGCATCTCTAGTTCATCTTCCTTCGACAGTGCCACCTCAAAGCTCTGAAGATTTTGATCCAGACGATGGATGTTTGAACATCCCGGAATGGGGAATACATCATCACCCTGAGCAAGCAACCAAGCAAGAGCCAACTGCGGCAGAGTCACGCCCTTCTGCTTTGCAATCTCGGCGATCTGATCGACGACCGCAACATTCTTCTCGATATTGCCCTCTTTCAGCCACGGTAGAATACTACGCAGGTCACCATGTTTGCTCACGTCGGCGCGCGAACGAATTCTCCCTGTCAGAAACCCGTTCGCTAGGGGGCTATAACAGACAATGGCCACTCCGAGCTCTCGTGCCACTTCCAGCAGGCGTCTCTTCGGCGATTCGATTTCAGTACAGAACAGACTATATTCCATCTGCACGCAGGTAATTGGATGCACTGCATGGGCACGACGGAGGGAATCTGCACTGCACTCACTCAGCCCGATGTACTTGATCTTGCCGGCGTTCTTGAGTTCCACCATTATCTGCATGGTCTTCTCGATCGGTGTGAGTTTATCCAGACGGTGAATGTAGTATAGGTCCACAAATGGCTGTCCGAGTCGACCAAGGGATCGTTCAATACGCTCTCGACAATATTCCGGTGACGAGTCCATCGTGATTCCGGGGGGAGTATCGATGCGCTTGATGCCAAACTTGGTCGCAAGGAAGATGTCCTTCCGCTTATCGGGATTAGCAGCAAACCACTTTCCGAGTAAATCCTCGGAGTCGCCGTATTCATCAGCTTCGAGTCTATCAGCATCTCACGTTTGGGCTCGACAGGTTGCTCCTCGAAGCGAATAAGCCATGGGGGTGCTTACCTGTATCCCAAAATCGTTCTCCTTTCTTGTACGCCTCATCAAGCAATGCGAATCTTTCTTCATCAGAGAGGGCCGAGCCGTAAGTTCCACTAGCACCCATGAGACCAAGTCCCAGCCGGGGAACAAGAGGCCCATTTCGACCCAGTGGGCGAGTGGGTAGAGCCTTAAAAGTGGCCATGTCTTGCTTTAGGAGGGTGTTCCTTATGAAGCTGCGGAATTGTCGTGTAGAACAAGTTGCTTGAGATGCTATTGTTACAAAACTGATTGTCCAGTCGCTCAATCTTATATTTTTGAGACTCCGGACTTTGCGGTGGACGAACGTCCTTCTGAGACGCTGGATTGAAGCATACTCCGTTCGGGCCAATCACATTGTTCCGCCGCCAATCCCCGTTATATCCGTGGTGTTGACACCGAAATTTCAAGGCGCATCATCCTGCTTGTACAGCGAGAAACTTTGCTAGGGCTTCTCGGCCTCATCGAACTTGGCAAATATGCACCAAGTTCTTCGTCCTCTGTACTATAGAGTAAGATAATGCATTGATGTCTTCCAGTACCGATAGCAGTGATGCATATGTTAAGGGCAAATGGCAGAGTTTCTTCGTGGAGATTAGTAGTAGAGCGGGGGAATGATGTTATTTTGTATGGGAAAAAAAGCCTTCTATATGCCCGGTCTCGGTCGGCCAAATAATAAGGCGATTACTCCAATCGCTGAATATGCCCGCGCTAAGTTACATTTGAGGAAGGAGTTGGCTAAAAAGTATTAGAAAGTCAGACGGATGCGCTTTACGATCCACAGAAACGCGGCAAATTGGCAATGGTGCAATACTGTACTCCGTACTGTAGTTGGTGATGGTTAGCCAGGGGGGCTTGCGTGCCGAGACCAGGCTGATCTTCTAGAGGAGTTCAACTTGGATGGCAGATCTGTGGCGCAGGGACGGGGTTGTGGCGGATTGGACGACGAACCAATAATTCCCCCGCAAATCCGGAGAGTTCGGAGCCGGATATTCCCCATCTCCTTCCTGACTGCTCGGCTAGTTCTGAATCCCTAATGCAAGCACCGGCTGTTTCATTCTTCATTCCGATTTGGCTGTGCTGATCTCCGGCCAACACCCCCAGTCCCTTGGCGTTGGAGAGGCCGTCAATCATCGCCATGCCGACCGGCTCGGTAGCCTCGTCAGCCAGAGGGAAATCTAGTGGTGCAGTCAAAAAGCCCAAAAGATTCGTATGTGAGCACTGTGATCGTCGATTTGCCCGACTAGAGCATCTGCAACGACATGAGAGAATTCGTGGGTCCTTCAATCGAACCTTTTTTTATTGGGTCACTAAGAGAGACGTAGATACCAATGAGAAGCCATTTAGCTGCGCTCAGTGCAAGCGTCACTTTTCAAGGAGGTATTTTACCGCATGGCCTTGCGTAATTATTTCTGACCCTCCTTAGTGATTTGCTGGTACGCCACGAACGACTGAGCCATGCAGAATCCACGGGTCAGCAGGACAAGGAGAATGAATTCTGGCAACAGCCCTCTATCCAGGGGAGCGTCTCAAATCCTCCCATGCGAGAAGAGGAAGAGACGGCTGTGAATGAGAGTATTCATGAGCCTTCGATAATTCCTATGGAGAACCTTGCACACCAATACTCCGTACCAGCTTATGAGGCAACGCTAGAGGTCAACACCATTAACTTGGACCACATGAGCGGATTGCCTCGACCGCCGAACACCGAAAACCACACAGACCAACAATTACAGACGCTAAACGACTTCTCCCCCCATCTACCAACGCAAATTCCATTGTTTCCCCATCCCGGCTTCTTGAGTGATTCGTTTCAGGATTTGGCTGCCTTCATGGACAACCACACTCCCTTCACAGATGATTTTGCCTCATTTGTTTCATCAGCAAACGGCATAACATTTGCATCGCCGGATCGCTACTCTAATTCCGGAGGCTTCCCTCTACATCTGGGCACGGAATTGGCAACAACAAAACCTGTCCAGCAAGGCGATGAGGTTGAGTCTTTCTCGCAACTTGGATCCAGACTGCCTTCTCTCCAGCCAGAGGAGCGCGCTCCTGTCTCTCGAGCTCCTCCTCAAGTCGCCCGGCCAAGCAACTTGTTCGAAAACATCAGCTCACATACGCGCGATGTGCTTCTCAACAAGGTCCACGAGTTTGCTTCTGTAGTTCCTGATGAATTTCAAATGCCAACTCGACTGGCGTTATATCGGTATTTGACTGCATATGTCAAAGGATTCCATGAACATATGCCTTTTCTTCACATTCCTACCATGTCGGCGGAAGGGTGTTCCATTGAGCTTGTGCTGGCCATTGCATCGATTGGCGCCCAGTACTGCTTCGAGCCAGAGAAAACGGTACAATTATTCCAAACGAGCCACGCGATTGCAAGAGAGCGCGTTCGGAGGCGGGATGCCTCATCCGTATCTCAATCAAGAAGTGACCGTGAACATACACCGATGATGCACAGCTATTCGAGTCGTGGTACCTTACCACAGTGTGAAGAAACAATCCAAACAGCACAGGCTCTTCTTTTACTCATGGCAGAGGCAACATGGTCTAACCATCGAAGAATTCTTCGCGAGGCTCTTGCTATCCAGAGTATTTTGGCGACTTTGGTTCGAGACCATGGTCTGAAGACGCCACCGTTGCCGGAAGATGTTCCTTGGGAGAGATGGGCAATATATGAAAGCACAAAGAGAACGAAATGGATTGTATTCTGCTTCTTCAACCTGCACACGATTGTCTACAACATCCCATCTCCAATTTTGAGCTCTGATGTGGATGGGATGCTCCTACCGTGTCAAACCTCCACTTTCCGCGCAACATCGCACGCCAAATGGTTGAAAGCAAGAGAAGCCGAAGTAGACATATCCTTCAAAGATGCATTTTCCAGCTTATTCCAAGAGGACTTTAGCACGATGGGAACTGCACCAAACTCGACCCTCGGCAATTACATCCTTGTGCATGCACTCATCCAGCATATCTATCTTGTCCGTGAAGTCTTCCGCCATCGCCGGAAGGACATCCCAGAAGATGATATCGCGTCGACTGAGATTGCATTACGAAACTGGAAGGCAATGTGGAAGCACACTCCAGATTCCAGCATTGATCCTTCGAACCCTATGGGGCCAGTATCATTCAATTCCACAGCTTTGCTCCGGCTGGCATACATCCGCATCAATGCGGATATTGGACCTGGACGAGCCCTCCACACACGCGACCCAACACAGGTTGCCAATGCATTCCTCAAAGCCCAGCTTATATCCCGAACACCAAGGCTACTACGTCCAGTGCTGCATGCTGCACATGCTCTGAGCATACCAATTCGCATTGGTGTCCATCTCGTGGCTCAAACACAAACTTTCCGCTGGTCAATACAGCATTCTTTAGCAACCCTCGAGTGTGCCTTCCTCCTTAGCAAATGGCTTGAAGCTTTGTCCTTACCGACAGCAATTGAAACTATCACCCCTGGAGAATACAAAATGGTAATGCTGGTTAAAACGATGCTGGATGAGACGGATTTCGCAGTTCCTTCACATTTCAACGTCGGATCTGCATCTAGTATGAAGCTACTGGCTGCAAATGTTCTTCGAGTATGGGCCAAAGCATTCTATGGGCCTGCACAGGTTTGGGCCATTGTCGATGTTGTTCGAGCCTCTTTGGAGCTCTGCGCGGATCTAGTGGAAAACAGTGTAACATAATCCAGGTTCGTTTTATTTGATATCATTCTGTAAATATAAAGTAAGGAAAGAGACAGTTGCCAATTTCGTTGCCGCTAGGATTGCTCATTCAACCACTTGTACACTACGCGTGCGTCTTTTCCCTTATAGCGAGGATCTTCACACGCCTCATGGAACGCATTCAAAGTCGGTTTATCCAGAATAGTCCGCGCACCCACCATCTTCGCCAAATCACTGCCCATCTGCAACACCTTGGAACACAATTCGATCCGGAACCCGCCTTCATACCCTCGGCTCGCGGGCGCATTTGCATGGATACCAGGCACCGGATTACTTTTGGATGTGACCCAGCACTGACCACCGCTGACATTGATGACATCCGTCAATGTCTGTAGATCTAGGTTCATTTTGGCACCAATATTCAGCGCTTCGCTGGCCGCGAGGCTAGTGATGGCTGACAGATAATTGTTGATGACCTTGAATGCTGTTCCGGCGCCGACGTCCCCGCAATGGAAGATTCCGTCCGGGTTTCCCATATGCTGGAGGATTTTTCCCGCCGCCTTGAATGAGGTCTCTTCCCCACCTACCATGAAGGTAAGAGTCCCTGCCTGGGCCCCCATGGGACCTCCTGACACCGGGGCATCAACAAACTTGACAGCCGGAAAGTCTTTACTGAGACTTTCAGTTGCCTGCGCCACTTTCTGGATGGTCGCCGACTCGATCGTGCCGCATTCCATGATAATTAGTTCCTTTGTTGCCTCTGGATTGCGGTGCCGAATACCCGACAGAATTCCCGTCTCTGCATCCAGATAGACACTCTCTACAGCAGATCCATTAGGTAGCATCGTGACAACGATATCCTATGCAAAAATTGTCAACATGTCTCTTCCACAATTTATGCTTTGCGGGGCTTACCGCTTTCTGGACTGCCTCGAAGCCATTTTTAACCACTTGTACAGGTCCCTGATCTTTTGTTTGGCTTTGAAACTTTCCAATGGCATCGGCTGACACATCACATATCAAAAGAGTCGCATTGGGTCCCATCTTCTCGCGCAGGTTGATGGCCATTGGAAACCCCATTACACCCAGCCCTGCTGATAATTAACCTCACATTCTTGCTTTGAGTAGAGAGATTTGACATGCCTATGAATGCTATTATACGCTGATCCGAAGACATATTGGTGCAGTTGTGTGATTAAAATGTGAATATAGTTTTGACAAAAGCGAGATATTGTAGAGCGGCAGTCCTGAATACAACTACAGGCCTCCAAGCGCTATTGAATAGAGAATACCAAAGGTATATATGATATTGAATGAGCGAAGGCTGTTCGGGTGCATTGGGTGGGGAAAGCCAAGGCTCGGGGAGCTTCCCCAATTCCCCCGATGTTGATCGTCCCGGATTCCCCAAGTCCCCACCCCAGACTACAATGTGTACGGGCGCTGGTGTCAACAGTCGTAGCAAAGTCCAGAGACAAATAAAATCGATTTGATCTAAACACTTGCTCTCCCCACTGTACTCTTCATCTTTCATGTAGTGAGCAGACATCATCATTGCCGCTGAATACCACCAGACATAGTTATCAACATGCCTTCAACCAACACGACAAACCAGGATATAAGTCTTCCTCCACCAAGGCCTGATCAAGTTTATGTCACAATCTCAGCATTGGACGGAGGACACTTGACCCTCCCAGAGTATCTGTTTGTCACAGATGCCGATCCCAACAAAAGAGCCACTGTGCCATCTCTGTCATTTCTTATCCAACATCCATCAGGAAGCTCTGGATCTCCAACAAGACTGCTATTTGATCTTGGTATGAAGAGAAACCCAGAAGACTTCCCGCCACCCATGCAAGCCCATATTCGCAATCGACAGCCGACTATACTTCATCCTGATGTGGGCGATTCGTTGCGTGCTGGAGGCTTGGATCCGGCCGAGATTGATATGGTGATTCTCAGCCATGTAAGGCTTTCCTGCGGGCTCTCATTGAAGAAGGATAACTTATCAATTCGCTATCTTCCACCAGGTGCATTGGGATCATGTCGGTACACCGGCAGACTTCACTAAAGCTCAATTCCTGGCCGGTGCTGGGACATTACACCTCCTCCGTCATGGTGCAGGGCCCCATTATCCCGCCGAGATTTTTATTCCTGATCTCTTGCCCGAAAAACGAACTCAAGAGTTCCCCCCATCGAATACGCCATCTGCAGACCCCGAGTTGGGAGAGGTAATTCCTGAATGTGTTCCTGCCGCCCAGCAGTCTTCACATAAATGGCAGCCCCTCGGTCCCTTTGCATCTGCCATCGATCTCTTCTCTGACGGAAGCGTATACATTCTCGACAGCCCAGGCCATATGATTGGACATGTCAACCTTTTGGCGCGAGTGTCACCGAGTAAATGGGTTTACCTGGGCGGCGACTGTTGTCATGATTCTCGTATCCTAAGCAAGGACAAGGATATCGCCTTGTATGATGATGGGCATGGCGGGAAAAGGAGTGTACATGTTCACACTGCAGAGGCAAGGGAAACGTTGAGAAGAGTCCAGAAATTGGTGGATGGCATAAACCAGACTGCAACAGAGTCAGGAAGCAATCAGAAGGTAGAAGTAGTCATTGCACATGATGGCGAGTGGCGTGAAAAGAACGGGTCAAGATTCTTTCCTGGGTCTCTGTGAACTCTCACATTGTCTATTCTTATTGAGAGTCTTTTTACAATTACAGGTACGTTCGAAATTGGCTTCCACTTTTTCCACAGAGAAAATATCTTGGCTATCTTGGCGCTAAGGCTGTAGCGTATTTCACTAGACTATATTCGGCTAGATTATGGATCACATTCTCTGCCACTATTGCAATAATTGGTCTGGTGGGCGCCGAACAAAAGGTTCTAGATGAGTTTCTAACAATGAAAGCCAATTTCGAAAAAAGGGCATTGATAGAGATATAGAGAGTTGGGAATGGTGGGTTGTTTGCAATTTCATTTGATAGGGCGACGTGAACGCGATGCATGCTAATACTTTCGGCCTTCATGGTAGGGTACGTGATGTCGACTATTCTTTCATTTATCTTGAGGGCCATTGATCTAGAGGCCAAAACAAAACAAGGCCGCTCCCTCCAACATTCGTGGTTTATCATGCTGTAAGAATAGCATCACCTCAGTTCCTGCTAAGCGGGTGCATTTGGTACGCATACTATTCTGTATGTACACGAAGCCTGGAATCTATTCCCTACTCCGCTGTCTGAGCCACACAGATATCTTTTTCATGCCTTGTTGGACTTTGCCCCCAATTCACGTGGCTTCTCTCCATTTTCAGCCATCTCGTTGAGTGTCTTCTCGGCAATCTTCATAGCATCAACCCCAGCCGGAACGCCGCAGTAAGTTGTTGCGTGTAGGATGGCCTCCCTAATCTCAAGTTCACTCAGTCCGTTGTTTCGAGCACCGCGAATATGGACAGCAAGTTCAGGGGCGCGATTGAGAGCCATCAACATGCCAATATTGAGCAGACTGCGATCCCTCCGGGGAAGGCCAGGCCTGGTCCAAGCATATCCCCAGCACCATTCGGTGACGAGCTCCTGGCCGGGTCGCGAAAATTCAGTTGATCCGTTCTCGAGAGCTCTGTTGACGTATGTATCCCCGACCACAGCGCGGCGAACCTTGAGGCCTTCCTCAAAGAGTTGGTTGTGAAGATCGTCGAACTTCGGATCTGTTGACATATTGAGGAAATGTAGTTGCGACTGGTTTGGAGCTTAACGATCGTTTTGAGGGGGTTAAAAGAGTTTGGCAGATTCTGAAGTTGCAGTGAGTTGATTATTTTAAGAACTCGGGATCTGTCAAGTAATAGATAAGGCATGATGCATCGGATTTTCTCGGCGTAAACGGATGTCCCAACCCCGCAACCTTATCTTTCTCCGAATTTGGGGAAAAGGAAGACAACTTTTTCTAGTTTCCTGCCTTACCCCACTGTACAAGTTACTGTAGTCTCGGCAAGAAACGTTACACGTATTAAATGACCCCCGAAGGCGAGTTCCGTGCTTTTCCCCCTCTGGTTGAATTATTAAGGTCAAGGCACACCAATACCTATTCTGGCTCGTTTAACATCAGCCGAGGTCAATTAATTCAGTAGAGTGATTTGGCTCGTACATTTGAAGTCATACTATCATAAAATAGGCAGAACAAAGCCTAAATATAAGTAATATCTAATTCAATCTAACGTTATACATAACTATGAAAATCAGCGTTGCGGGTCTAGCTTGTCTCTGGGTGATCAGACTTCCAGTTTTCATTGCCACCCAAATAACGGAAAACGACTCGAGAATCCAAGTCTTTGCATCGTGCATCCACGCTGGCACCTTCGTATGTTTTCAATGCTGCACTTCCAAGAACATTATTCGATCCAACCCCGTGAGCCATTTCCAATGCTAGTGAGATATCCTTTCGCATCAACTGCACCTTGAACCCATTTTTATATCCATTTGACGATGGAGCCTCCGGAGCTACGCCAGGAACGGGACAAAATCTATCACAAATCGTGTTTTGTGCTGTTCCAGCAGCATAGACTTTGGCAAGGACACGAGGATCTAGTCCGGACCGCATTCCCATGTCCATAGCCTCCGAGCATGCAATGGCGATGATACCGGATAAATAGTTGTTGGACAGCTTTGCCGCTAGACCAAAAGATGGCCCGCCACACGGAATGACCGTGCTTCCCATCAGGGACAATAAGTCGGATAGCCTCTGGATTTCACGCGCATCGTCTTCTGCGCAGCCGAGGAAAAACGCAATGGTTCCCTTCTTTGCCCCAATAACTCCACCACTAACAGGCGCATCATAGAGCGAGGTAGATGGAGATACTTTCTCAATTTGCTCCTTGACCTCTAGAAAACTAGCAGTATCGATAGTCGAACAATCAATGAGTAGCTTTGCTCCGATCTCTCCAGAACATAGCCCGTCAGGGCCCAGGTAAACCATTTTCACGTGTTTCCCTTCTGGAAGCATGGTAATAATTATATCCTGGCCACGGTAATTAGACTTTGCGAAAATATGAAATACAGTAGACTGGGAGGATATACCGATTTATCCGCAACATCTTTCGGACTCGAAGATCGCACCGCCGTATGAGGGTATTTCGTACAAAATTCCTCCACAAGAGTTGGTACAATATCAAAAACATGCACCTTAGTGTCCGCCGGAAGTTTTTCTGCCAAGTGCGTTGCCATCCACATGCCCATGGCGCCGAGGCCGACGAATCCAATCGAATTTGCTTGAGGAACGGTCATTATGCAAAGGTCGCATGCATTCACTGAATGGAACCAAAAGAATCGGTGCTGAATTCTGTTTATGCAGCTTCAAACTTATTTGAAATCCAAAAGATCGACCAAGTGGGGAAGCTTAACGGGTCCCGAGGTAGTGTACTCAGCTTCCCCAATCTTGGGGTAACGGGTTGATCATTGTTTGCTCGGAATCCTAGAGGTTTCTTCCCCAACCACGCCGAATCAGCTATGGTAATCCGTAAACCTGTATTAAAAGATAAAAGAAGTTGGAAACTATCAAGGAAATACTTCTTCACTTTGTTTCCATTGGCGACTGAATTATCATGCACTCATTACCCGACCCGGAAGGTTTAGTGCAAGTGAGCGCTCTTCAAGCTGGACACCTTACATTGCCAGAGAAGTTTTTCGTCCATCCCGCCTCCGATGTGGCCAGAAAGACAGTGCCCTCCCTTTCATTTCTAATTGAACATGTTGAGCCTCGTTCGGGAAAAGTGACTCGGATCATATTCGATCTTGGGTTGCGACGCCCATCGAATTACCCTATCCAAGTTCAGAACCATATTAAGACTCGACAACCGTTAAGCGCTGAGCCGGATGTTGTCATGAGTCTGGCAGCTGGGGGTTTATCCCCAGATAGCATTGACTTCGTGATATATTCGCATGTACGTACCCTTTAAGCAACGTACCTTGCTTAGACTTTGCTAATGATTGAATTCTGGCCGAAAGATCCACTGGGACCACATCGGCGATCCGAAGATGTTCGGGAAAAGCACTTTTGTTACTGGTCCCGGCACTTCAAGTCTGTTGGATGGAAGTAATCTCGCCTTACGTGGAGGCCACTCATTCTTCGAAGTTGATCTGCTTCGTGAATCACAAGCAATTGAGATTATGCCAGATGGAAAATTCAGGAATATGAACACTATGAAGGAAGATATTTCATTTGATGGTGATATTCCCAATTTTAATCAATCATGGGAGCCCCGAGGCTCTCTTCCACGAACAATGGACATTTTTCAAGATGGAAGTGTCTTACTTGTCGATGCACCTGGCCATTTGCCAGGGCATATGAACATCCTTGCACGGACAGGTCAAGACAAGTATGTTTACCTAGCCGGGGATGCTTGTCACGATCGACGCATCATGACCCGGGAAAGGGAGATTGGGGAATGGCATGATGAGCATGGTCATATATGCTGTATCCACGCCAATAGACAAGAGGCTGAAAGAACGATTGGGCGTATTAAGCAATTGGAGTTGGAAGGCGTCGAAGTTATTTTTGCCCACGATGTTGAGTGGGAGCAGAACCCAGACAACCAGAAGAGATTTTTTGGTGCATGTTCAAGGGAGTTTAAAGTGTGAGCATATTCTCTGAATTACAAATAATAGATAGAACTTTCATTGGAAATTCTCACACTCTTTTTCTTTCTCTTGTCATTTATGCCTTATCTTGCGATATCTTTTTTCTTCTAGTAGCCGAAACAGATTCATTGAAAATTTCGAGCTTGTGTTCTGCGATCTAATTTATTACTGAACTCTTATAATATCTCAGTCAGGATTGTATCGATAAATTGTGCTCACTCAAGTGTTCCAAATGCGCGTACATATTGCTCAATCTAACTTTCAACTATATATCACTTCGCACTAGCCAGCTGCTCCAGGATTGGAGTAGCTGCATGCGCGGTATGGAGACTCAGCTGTGAGGCAATCTCGAAAACCTCAAGGATTTCTTCCGGTGTTCCACCATACCCAAGAACATTTTTCATATGTAGTCGAAGTCCGGGCACATACAAATGAGTTGCAGCCACATCAAAAGCACAATATATCAACTCCTTCACCTAGAGCTTCTTGTCAACGTTGATGAAGACCGAACTTTCATGTCAAACATACCTTTGGCTCTAAACCTCCAACTTGGTTCTTATCATTTCCTCTTGACCAAGGCACTGAAGAGAAACCAAGGTAAGCCTCGAAGAATTCGGGATCCATAGCGAGGAAGTCCTCCCAGAATTGATGCCAGTAGCCACGATTTTTGGTGAAGTCGGCCTTGAGCTGCTCACGGTGCGCATCTAATGGCTTCCCTGCAACAGGGTGGCTGTCATAGATTCCCGCTTCTTTCATCACATCCACAAGCAAGGGAACGCCGATGTTACAAGCATGAATACCCAATGTACTAGTAAGTTCAATCACCTCCATTATTTCCATTTGAGTCGCGCCTTCTTTAAGAGCCTGGGTAATATGTTGCTTCACTCCAGGCAAGTAGAGATGGGTTGCTGCACTATCGACAGCGATGGAGACTAGCTGTTGCACCTTGGGAGAAAGATGCTTTTTGCGTCGAGGAACAGCCAGAATATTGATGCTCGCGTCAAACAATTCCGGGCTTATGTTAAGGACGGATTTCCAGTTGGAATCCCATGCATCTCGACCAACTTCTTGAATGAATTTTGCTTCGAGAGCGTCTTTGTTCGTCATGATGGCTTAGCTTTGGGATGGCTCCTAGGCTCGTCTCCTGGTCCTTCTTATTCTCGCCAACTTAACTATGAAAGGCCTCTACAACGTATGAGTTCAAAACCATATAATCGCACTAAGAAGCATACCCCAACTTTTTCCATCGTGGGGAAACGCGGGGAGGTGGAAGTTTGTCCAGGAATTTAAGACTGATGATTGGTGACCCGTCGGGCTGGGAAGGATTTCATTGTTACCCCAATCCATGTTGCCGCCCCTTCTCGGTCTTGGCCGGGCCCATAGACGAGGAACAATCATCCTGGGGATGGCGTATTACCTTCCCCAAATCCTATCCGAGTATAGTCTTGTATCCGAGTACCGGGGATGAATGGCTTGGCCTCAGCTGGTGGTGGAACTCATATTGAAGTCGACGATGCCCCCTTACAAAACACTTAAATTCCATTCTGTTCAATACTTATCAAATTTTTATTGACCCTCAAATTTTAAAATCCTCAAGGTCATAAAGACGGTCAAAAATTTCGATTCTCATTGACACACAGCCAGCATGTCGGAAAAAGATGCCACTGAGCCAGCCAAGGCGGATTTTGCAATGGTAGAGCTTGCAGAAAATGCGCAAGCCCAGGACGGGGAATTTCAAAAGCGCAATTCACGCCTCGTTCGAAAGCTTGATCTTTATATTGCACCAGTCATGATGCTCCTCATGCTGATTAGCTATTTGGATCGCGGCAACATCGGCTTCGCTGCAACCCAAGGTATGACGGATGATATTGGACTAACTGGAACGCAGCTGAATGTGAGTATGGCCTGTCAAAACAAACATGAGTTAGGTGGTCTAACGGAAAATTAGACTGCGATTTCGATTTTCTACATCTTCTATGTCCTCGCAGAGTTTCCGACTTCGCTCTTGGTGAAGCGCCTCCAGTTCAATCGTGTGATTCCAACGATAGCATTTGCATGGGGTCTTGTCTGCATGTGTAATGGGTTCGTCCAAAACTTTCCAGGATTGTGTGTCTGTCGCTTGATTCTGGGCTTCTTGGAAGGCTGCCTCTTCCCTTCAATGACTCTGCTACTGGCCAACTGGTACCTGAGAGAGGAACTGGCCACCAGAATCTCCTACCTATTCAGTGAGCAAGATGTGGCCAACTTCTGAGGAAACTGTCTAACATTAATCTTCAGTCGCATCTGCTCTTTCCGGTGCGTTTGGAGGGTTGATTGCATTTGGGATTCTATACATGGATGGTACCGCGGGATATCCTGGATGGCGCTGGTCAGTTCTCTGTCACGAATGTTTAGGAAGGGGACATACTAACAAAAGTCAGGCTCTACATCCTTGAAGGAATTATCACAATGGTGTTCGCGGTCTGTTGTGTATTCCTTGTTCCAAAGGACTATGAAACTGCATATTTTCTGAGTCCGGATGAAAAACAACTCATGAGATACCGTGACGAGCAGTCCCGAGCTTACAGCGGCGGACAAGGCCATTACAAAATGGCAGATGTAAAGCTTGCAGCCAAAGATATCAAGACTTGGATCCATGGGGTTAGCCAAATCTGTGTGGTTACTATTTTATACGGTGTGTATCCCGCTTGAAATATACGTGGTTACAGTAACTCATTGAGGATAGGATTCGGTACCTTCCTTCCTATTATCTTGAAGGATGGGTTCAGTTATACAACCAAACAGGCGCAGTATCTAACAATTCCAGGTAAGCAGCCCTAGATGCAGAGCATGAAGGTCCATGCTAACTCTGCCAGTGAATCTCTGGGGCGCAATCGTGTATGGAATTGGTGCGGTTTTGTCTGATCGCTACCATGCACGCTATCTCGTCATTGCTACCACTATTCCATTCGGTATTGCTGGATATGCTATACTGCTGGTATTCAACGTTCCCGTCGGGGTCCTCTACTTCGCTATGTTCCTAGTTGCAACTCCCTGTTTCTTGGCCACCGGCGGCAACATCGCCTGGCTCTCCAGCAATTGCGCACCAGACGGGAAAAGAGCAGCCAGCTTGGGAATCCAGCTCACGTTGACAAACCTTGGTGGCATCGTTGCGGGTCAGATTTATCAAAGCACATCTGAACCAAGATACGTCCTGGGTCATTCTTGGAGCTTGGGATCGCTGGCCATCGCTTTTATTGGATGCAGTATTATGAGAGTAATCTATCATCGGAGAGAGAAGTCGAAGGACGAGGCAAGGGCCAGGTTGGCTCGTGGTGAAGAATCTGGCGTTCCGAAATTGTGGCACCCAACTGACCGTGGGCTGGATTTTAAGTACTTGATTTGAATGCTTGCCGTGGCTGGCTGTTGGGATTAATACAGATATGCTTCATATGTGAACGTAGGAAAAAACACGTGTTGCAGATAATGATAATAGTCTGATTTGGACAGTATTTGTGCAAAGGCACGAGGGTAATTACCCCGAGGCTCGAAAGAATTGTAATTGGGGATCATAGGTAGATGCGGGGAAGCACCGTTCTCCATGTGGGGGACAAAGAGTATATTCTTTTGAACCATCAGGCACTAGAATTGGCTGTCAAATTATCTTTCTTTATTGTGTACATTCCATAGGAAGACCGGTATGCAAAATGGCTACTCTGCCTCCAACAATGAAGGCACAGGTTCTGAAAGCCTACAACGAACCCTACGTCTTCATGGATGTGCCTCTTCCAAAACTAACATCACCATATGACCTTCTGATAAAGGTGGAAGCTGCATCATATTGTCACACTGATACAGTATGTGCAACTGGCGGGTTTGACGGCCATGCGAACGCTCCAACACAATGGCCGCATATCGGATGCCATGAATTCGCGGGAACTGTGGCAGATATATGTAAACCATTGACCGAAAGTGACTCCTCTGTTGTCACACTTCAGATTGGTACCCGGGTAGGTGTCCCCGGTCGAGCTTTTCATCCCTGCGGCACCTGCTATGAATGTCAGCGAGAGACGCCAAATCACGGCCAGTCCAGCGACCCCAAGGGTTATTCAGTGTATTGCCCCAAAGCCAAAAACCTCGGCCTCAGTGTCCCCGGCGGGTTTGCACAATATGCTGTGGTAGATGCGCGACAGGTCGCACCGCTCCCCGCTGGAATGAGCGCCGTGGAGGCTGCTCCGCTGATGTGCGCTGGGCTGACCATATATGCGGCATTGAAAAACTGTCAACTGAATCGGGGCGATCGAGTTGCTATTTTAGGCTGTGGAGGAGGACTGGGCCACTTGGGTATCCAGTTTGCGGAGAAGATGGGCCTCAAGGTCGTTGGTGTTGATACATCAGGGCCTGCTGTTGCGCTTTCTCGGCGATTAGCGACAGGCTCCCTGATAGTGAATGCGACGAAGACTGCCGCCGACGAGGTGGTACAAATGATAGAAAACGAAGATGGCATTTCTGAGCAAGGGCGAAGGGGGGTTGACGCAACGATTATTCTCCCAGAATCACAAGCAGCATTTGATTATGGGATCCGATTGCTGAAGAACTGGGGTACATGCATGGTGGTGTCGTTTCCTGCGAGTGGGTTTACCTTCTCCACGCAAGACATTGTCTTTCGGCACATTTCGATCATTGGAAGTTTGGTCGGAAGCAATGCACTCCTACGCGAAATGCTCGTTTTTGCCAATGAGCATGGAGTCAAGTGTGTTTCTCAGTTGTTTGCCTTGCCACATCTCAACGACTTGGTTGCGCGACACCACGAAGGGGTTGAAGGAAAGCTGATTATTGATTTGAGCCTGGGGACTAGTTAGTTTCGCGAAAAAGGAATCAAGCAAATAGATCCATTTCTTGTTTCTAAAGGATTGGTAGCGGAAGGGGCAGCAGGATCGTCGCCTTCTTGTTCGGAGAGTGGTGCAAAAATGCCCTCTTCTGCGGTGACCACGTGGGAAGCAGAGACAAGAAAGAGCGTGGGGGAAGGGATACTGGTGGTTACAAATATAGATTTTGGAGCGAGTATCATCGAGAGACATTGTACTTGGGCCCATAGACTTAGTACTATCACGTTATGTACTTATCAAAAAATCAAGACGACCGTAGTATTGCTGAGAGATATAGATCGGAACCGGAAAATCCCGCTCCGAGGATTTTTTTCTAAGCGCAGCTGCACCAGCATTATTCCTCACCCAACGCTACCCCTCTATGTTTTCCCACCTGGTCACCGCAGCAAAAGGTCTTTTTGCGCGAAACGAACAAGAATCCGACGATCTAACGACGATGGTGTCCGCAACAAGGCAAGGAGTTGTTGGTGCTGCAAAATCGGCGACCGAGCCTGCAATGAACGGGAAACGCAAGGCAGAGTCTGCAACCACAAAGAAGGCAGAGGGCCAGCAGACTAAGCGGCGGAAGAGGGACAGCCTTGGGGCAACAGAAACAACAACAGATGGACAAGACCAAACCCCTACTGCTCCCTCGGCCCAAACCAAGCATATGAGATTCGGCAGCGAAGAGCCCGAGCTGCCCCAGGAAACACAACCGGAAGAGATTCCAGAGACATCAAACCAGAAAGAGGACGACGATGATAGCGATGATGATGCGCCGGAAGCGATCGACAACTCTGCCCAACTATTGAAGATTAAGGAACACGCAAAGAAACTGGAGGTGGCGAAGCAAATGTATGTTTTGTCTCAGCTTTTTTTTGCCAACCCCCGCTCTTGCTAACTTACGAGTACAGAGAAGAACAGTTGAAAAAAGAGAAACGGCGGAAACTCGACGAGCGCCGAAAACTGCAGGCCAAATCGACCGCAAAGGCCAACGAACCCAGCGCACCGGCCGATGACCTACGTTCCGAGAGCACGACCACCCTGCAAGGCTCAATCACCCACGATGTGCGACGCCGTGCCCTTCCTGCCTTGCTCCCCGATGACATCCTTAATGCGGTGCCTGTCGAGCGGCCCCCTACACCTCCGGCCGAGGATCTAGTCGGGGAGCGAAAGAAGCCCAACAAGCTGAGGTTCTTGGACAAGACTGACAAAGCGCCCAAGGATGTGCGAGTTGGGGACGTTGCGATTCGAGTTCTGGATGCGCCGTCGACCAAGAAGAACAACTCGCAGCCGGGCCTGGCTCCCAAGATATCAAAATCTGGTCGGAATATCAAAGACAATTGGCTCAAAAACCCGCGCAGTACGGGGCAGGTCAATGGGCTGCGGCGGACAGCGGGTGGTTCATCTGGGTTTGTGCGCCGGTGAGCTGGTAGTGGAAACGATGAAACGTTAGGGACTTAATCAAATGCATCTCATAACAATGTGCTCAATAAATACCATCGTAATTAATGGGACGCTGGGTCCATAGTTGGCCATCCATACGTGGTTCACGGCACGGTCGGCGAATGACGCATTAATAAGCCCGTGCGCAAGCTTCGACTTTTCGACCTCTCTCTCTTCTTCCCCCGTCAATGGCCTCATAACTTTGGCCATGGCTTCCTCTGCAGAAGACTCCCCCCTTCTGCCTCAGAACCAGGCAAATTCATCGCCACGGACTTCCCGGCCGCCCCGGTCGGTCACCTTCAACCCGCTGACGACAATCAGCACGTACGGCGGCACCACCACCACTACCACCTCCGATCCGACGTTTCGCCCGTTGCAGGCTGGCTCTCCTCCCGTATGGAATGTCACCGCCCAAGGCGCCCAACCTCGAGCGGGCAGCCAGCCCATGCTCTCTGCCTTGAACAGCAAGCTCCGCCGTCGCCACAGCCATGGCGCTCCCCTATCAAGCACCTCACCCTCAGCCCCGAAGATTGGACCGCAGAGGACGACTAAGAAGGCGCAGAAACTCAAGCTACTCCCGGATCCAGTGACGGCAGAAGAAGAGGAAGGCGATGGTGATTTCCCGCGCGATGTCTACTCGCAGATCACCCGGATAAAGGAACCTGCGGCACGAAGCCATGCCGCGCGACTGGGCAAGGCCGATCGAGACCGTATCCCGCGCGTGACGGCTTACTGCACGGCCAATTCCTATCGACTCGAGGGGGTCATCAAGTTCCTCAAGTCACGGGCCAAAACCCGGGGGGCTAACCCCAAGCTGTTTGATGAGTGCGTCTACTCGCCTTTTGACTATCAGTATGAAGAGAAGCAAAAGAGCAGTCGTCTGTTTCCTAGCTCCGGGAGCAGTCATCACGAGAGGCGCCCCAGTGAGCGCAGGTACTCGGACAGCGCGGTGGAGGTGGAGGACAACACCAAAACTCGACGCGAAGACCTCATTGAGTTTCACGATTCCGAGGGGGCCAATGTTAACACGGAGCACCTGGTTACATCGCCGCAAGCAGAGGAAACCCCTGATATCGATACCACAATCCACACGCCAGAAGTGTTCTTGTTTGACTATGGCACCGTGGTCATCTGGGGAATGACACCCGCGCAGGAATCCCGTTTCCTGTCGGATATATCAAAATTTGCGACCTCGATCTTAAGCTCTGATGACACACAGATCGAGAATTTCAACTTCTACTATGCGCGCGAGTACCAAGCACGGATCTACAATGACTTCATCTCGCTGCGCGAACCGCGCAACCACATGATCAAACTGGCCATCTCCCATGCTCTTGCCCAGTCCGTCAAGACTTCGCTATTCGAGGATCTGCTGTCAGAAACCATCTCTGACACCGCACCGCTACCGGCTCAGATTGCACAGACGGGCAGTGTCAATCTCACGCGACGGCAGATCAACATGCAGATTGGAGAACTGTTTATCTTGCGCATCAACATCCATTTGCAGGGGTCTGTTCTGGACAGTCCCGAGCTCTTTTGGGCCGAACCTCAGCTAGAGCCTGTGTACCAGGCTGTCCGTAGCTACCTGGAGATGGACCAGCGGGTTAGTCTGCTGACGGAGCGACTGGATGTCATTGCGGATCTTCTGGCCGTGCTGAAAGACCAGCTGACACACCGTCACGGCGAGTATCTTGAATGGATCGGTAAGTTTAGATCTAGTATTTGGGCAGCATGTGTTAGAAGCTAACATGATGCACAGTGATTGTTTTGATTGCCGCGGAGATCCTTGTGGCAGCAATTAATATCGTCGTCGATCTATACGCCGGTGTAGATTAGCCACCGAACCGTCAATTCTCTTCTGCGCACCAGTCCTTCTCTTCAATGCCGACATTATTACTTCACCACTTCGTTCCACACTACGAATTTGTGTGCAGCTGTGCATGAAAATGCTGGGACGCACACCTTGTTTCAATTATTCCTTGTCTGATAGTATCGGAGTTGGCGCGGTTCCAGGGTATTTTCCATGTCATATCCTGGGAAGGATGGTTTATGGAATGGGAGATGGATTGATTTGACCTGTACACACACGCGCAACTGGCATTCTTCTTCATGTATATACGTAGCCAGTCTCAACGCGGATGTTCGAAGGAACAAGCTTCTCTAGTAGATACCAGCCAGCCCCTTCTGTGCTAAACTTCCGGCCACCATCGTATGAAAAGCCTATGCATGATGCTACATAATATCCATACTGCTGTCGTTGTTTTTGTTAATCTTACTAAAACTCCTTTCGAGCAATCTGCTCGCACAATTCGCCAAGAACACCTCCCAGCCATTCAAAATCAGCTTTCTCCAGATACACCTGTCCGCTCAACCGCGTCCACAGCCACGATCCATGCCGGAAGACAGGCACAAAGGTATCATGTTTTCTCAAGAGAGTCCAATGACAAAATTCAGAAGCCCGATTCGCTTCTTCCGGCGTTAGAGTCACAGAAGCACCAGAAGGCATTGCGCCAGCTTGATCGTCGGCAACCGCGATCGGCAACCGCACAGTTGTCAGAGCACACTGGCGCATCTTACTGGCCTCTCCGGGTTTCAGATCGGGCTCCTGAAGGACATTGGTTCCAAGGGCAGCTGCGACAGTGTCCGCTCCTTCGTTGGCTATCTTCTGGCAATACCACATGACGGCGTCCTCGCCGCCGCAAATTTCTTTGCGAAATTTTAACGCCGCTCCCACACAAATGTACGCGGAGTAGTCGTCAGTAGCGACGAGTTGAAACAGTTCCTCGAATGAAGTCTTTTTCTTGGAATTTTGAAGGGTATGAGAGTCGGCTGTAGGGATAAACCCCCAGGAGGTAGGAAGTGTAGTGTGCATAAAATGATGGTTGCGCTTAGGAACGTAGAGAACAGCAGCACTACGAGGAGTATAGAGCCACCTGAGAGATAAGGTCAGTTTATAAACCGAAAAGTATAGAGTCAGGACGTCCATACTTGTGGCAGTTCGAAACAAGAAAGTCAGGCTGTAGCGTGTTCATGTCAAGAGGGATCTGTCCAATGCCATGTGCACCATCAATTACACTCAGGATTCCCTCTTCGCGGCAGATAGCGACGAAACGCTCAAAGGGAAATCGAACGCCGGGAACGCTGTGAATCGTGTCGAAGACTGCGGCTCGAACTTTAAGGCCCTCCTCACGAGTCTGGAGGACAACCTCGCGGAATCGGCCCTCTATCGCCTCCTCGGAAATAGGATATTGAAAATGCACTTTTCGAGTCTCGAGGGCAGTGTGCTCTTTTAAAGAAGTGACCCCATTCTCCACGGCGCCGTAAACGGGTTCAAAGTAGATAACCGCTTCCCCCGGCTGGAAATTCAAGTTATATAGTACCGTTGCGACGCCAGTGGTGGCATTTTTGACGAAAACACATTCGTCTCTGGGCGCATTGATAAGCGTTGCGAGATCCTGGCGCGCCTCATCCAGAAACTCTACATGTAGTTGCCGGACATATCGATCCGGTCGCCCATCAGCGAGCTCTTGATAGGCGCGCTGAGCATCACGGACGACAGCAGGGTGTGCACCATAAGAACCTGATCATAGAATGTTATTCTGTGGGTATTCTCCTCGAATGCCACTTCTTGCACAGACCGTGGTTGAGGTTTTTGTAAGCGGGGTCAAACAGCCAATGCTTCAGCATTGGCTTGCCGAAAGGAGTGAGTTGTCTAATAGTCATGGCGTCAAAGAATGCAGCTAGCGGTGATTAGCAAACAGTATGAATTGGCCGTCGTCGAAGAGCTTTGGTTTATCTTGAAAAAGAGCCCAGTCCGGTTGGAAAGACCGCGTTGAGTAATCGAGTTTAACGCTCTTCGGAAACTCCAACCGCAGTTCGGGGAAATTTGGCAATTTGTAGGAGTCCTAGGCCAGACCAATCAAAATACCCGTCGGCTAATCTCTGATTGGCTTACACAGTAAATAAGGATCACTACTGATCTCCAAAGGGCAGATACGCGATCGCTTCCCGGATCCAGACAGCCGACATCTTATGGAAGAAGCAATATCGTTTCAGGCCAGAAGATATTGTAAGTTCACATAGTATTATAGAAGCGTAGTTTGAATCCAAAGAAACTATTTCATTAGTTCTATTTTCCAACCCTACATGAAGCTTGGACGAAACATACCCTCACGTTTTGTGTGTTGGAGAATGTTGTAACAGTCTCTATTTGCATCCGCATGTGTTTTCCGAGCCCTCTAAGTAGCCGCAAGACTACTGGTTAGCACCTTTAGCGGCTGTTTATGATTTCGTACGCTTCATTTCGCAGGATTTTCTCCAGCGTTTTGGTAACCAATCGATTTCTCCCCACTCGTATCTTTTCTTAAGGGTAACATAGCTCGATTTTCGAACTAGTTAGCTCGTCCATTGTGCGGGGTAGACTTTAGGAGAAATAATTAGAGACACAAGACCAACGAAAGTATTAAGGAGCCCTATGGCCCACTTTCATTTGAGGAATTGTCAATCCTCAGCCTGACTGCGTGTTTCCTTTCCTACTTTTGAGCAATACTTTCCGAATATTTACACGCTATGGGAAGCCAAGATCCCACCGCGGAGCTCCCTTCTGTGGACTCTGCTGGAGGAGAGTTGCAGCAGGTTGTCGAGCATGGCGGCAAGCTGGATGCCGTTACCCTAGAAATGGCCGATCAAGCTACACAGGCTGAGCATAATATCTCGACTTGGCAAGCACTCAAAATGCATCGATCCGGTGCCCTTTGGTCGTTATTCTTTTCCTTGTGTATTATCATGAGAGCATACGACATCGAGATCACTGGCAATTTCTATGCCCTGCCCGCCTTTCAAAAGCATTTTGGTGAAAAGTCTCCTGGAGGCGGATATCAAATCCCAGCCAAATGGCAAGTGGCAATGTCCATGGGCCCCATTGTAGGGCAAGTTGTTGGAGCATGGGCATGTGCCATTCCAATGGATCGAATCGGACGAAAGAAGACCTTGGCTTTATATCTATGCGCCACCATTGCATTGATATTCATGCAAGTCTTCGCGACGAACATCCGTGTCTTGACGACGTCTATGTACCTGGCAGGTCTCATTTGGGGAGGCTATCATGTCCTAGCCCCGACATATGCATCTGAAGTTTTGCCTCTGCGTCTTCGGGGATATTTCACCGGTTATGTTCAGCTATGCTACACCATTGGCCAGTTCCTTCAAACAGGGATTACCCGAGGATTTGTTAATCGAGCCGACAAATGGGCATACAAGATTCCGTACGCGATACAATGGGTGTGGCCAGTGATCCTACTGATTGGATTAATCTGGGCGCCCGAATCACCCTGGTGGTTGATGAGACAGAATCGCCTGGAAGATGCCAAGAGAGCCCTCGACCAACTCACGAACAAATCTATCCAGGCTCAGAACACCAATACGCTGGCAATGATGGCACAGACAGATCTTTACGAACGTGAACAAGAGCTCGGTACAACCTACCGGGATTGTTTCAAGGGGTCCAACCGAAGACGGCTTGAAATTTGCTCTATGCTCTTTGTTGTCCAAAACTTCGCCGGCAATCCGACTGGGTTTGCTACATACCTATTCGAGCAGGTTGGTCTGAACGCCGAGCAAGCATTCGACATGGGTGTCGCCCTCAACGCAGTCTCCTTCGTCGGGACCCTTTTGTGTGTGTTTCCATTGGCCTGGTTTGGACGACGGATATCCTGGCTGATTGGGCTAAGCTATTCTGTGGCCATTATGTGGATCGTGGCTATTCTATGTTTTGCCAAAAACTACAACTCTACACCCTCATACTCCTGGGCTCAGGCGGTAATGCTCATTAGTCTTCAGTTTGTGTTTGCTCTGACTATCGGACCCTTGGGATTCACTATCTCGAGCGAGGTCCCATCATCGAAGTTACGAGCAAGAACACTGTCGCTCACCGCAACTATCAATGGCCTCTCATATTTGGTTCTCGATATTCTGGGTCCCTTTTTCCTAAACCCCGGAGCCATCAATGCAGGTGCAAAAATCGAATTTGTATTTGGGGGGATTTCGGTATTTTCATTGGTATGGAGTTATTTTCGGTTGCCAGAGGTATGTCACCCATTTCAATTCATCTAATACCTTTCTAACTCCGACGACAACGTCATAGACCAAGGATAGAACGTACAAGGAGTTGGATATCATGTTTGATAACAATGTACCGACCAGGCAGTTCAAGAAATATCAGGTCTCTGATGAAGGAGAGGACACACAGTAAGTCCAGTTCATCCCATGCCACATTTCCTCTGCTCATTTTCTAATTTGTCCAGTGCTTGAGATTTCCAGGTCTCCCTCATGACATACTATATAGTTTGCCGTCTGAAAGATGGATTGATGTGCCCTGTACGCGCAGATACGGAAGGAGAAGCGAAAGCGGATGGCAGGAGGCCGGTATCCGCTTATAAAAGGGGATATGCGCGAAAGAACGCCATTGTTCTCCTCTCGGGGCTAATAGCACTACATTTTGGGTCTACGTTGAGCCCGGGATGCCTATCTCCATCAGTGTAGGAAAGATATTTTGTGTACTAGATGCCTGTGGTATCCCTGGGTATTTATCCCATCGCCACTTCATATACCACATATAGGTATACCTCCAATTAGTCCAGAGTGGATATTTCTCGCAAAGAGAAAGTATGGTATTGTTCCTCGTATACTTCAAAAATGCAAAATAGAAACCTAACCCTAAACGAAACAACTCCGGTAAGGGAGAGTGATTGCAAACAAGAAGCGAATCAAAAACCCTCAGTCCGCAAACCAACCAACCCTGAAACCAAAATGAGAGAAAGAATCCATCTGTATCCGACGCTGTATGAATCCTAAGTATGACACAATTGAACTTAAAAAAAAACTAAAGGAAAAATCAGGTCTGCTCCACCTTCGGCTCCTTGGTATCCATGTCCATCGGTGTCGTCCCAGACTCAGCAGCCGTCTCTGCAGGATGGGACTCCGCCTGCTGACTTTCGCGGCGATCATTGCTGTGTGCACTCGCTGCGGCGGGCGTCCGGTCTCCTCCCTCAGGGGCAGAGCCGTTTCGGTCAGTCTGGACGCGGAACGAGGAGGTGAGTTCTTCCTGTGTCGGGGCCGGGGCAAGGCGTGGCAGTTCGCCTCCACCAGCACTGGATTGTGTGACGTTCTCGGCGGCGGGGGCATTGTCTTCGGGGCCGTCGTCGAGGTTAACGTTTGATTTGCGCGAGCGTTTAACGCGGAGGGGACGTTCTTCGGGCTGTATGGGGGGTCAGCTATGGTCAAAAAGACAACGAAAAGAGAACGTACAGTAGGAGGTTGTTCATCCGAGCTTCCTTCCGTATCATCCTCCAGATGAGTCCCATTGCCTTGCTGCTGCCCCTGTCCGATGAGGCCATTCAGCGCGGCAGCATTGGACATCATGGCTGCAGCGCGAGCGCGCAGATCTGGATCCGCGGCGGCGTCGGACTTGGCCTCCTCCGCCATGCCGGTGACTTTGGCAAGACGTTCGAGCAGCATGCATGACTCGAGGCGCATTTTTTGGATGTACTGCCATCCGCGGCGGTTGCGCGTCCGCATGAGTTCATTCTCGGCCTCCACCTCTGCGAGGCGTTTCTTGAGCGCGATACATTTGCGCTTGTAGGCTATTTCGACGCTTGGGGGGTTAGCGGCTGGGTGTGAGGGTTGCGGTTGTGGTTGTGGTCGGGCAGCCTCCATTGTGAGCGTGTGTGGAGAAGAGTCTAGGTAACGGTTCGTGGCGAGGATGGTCGAACCGCGGGATCGCAGTAGGACAATTGGATACGGTTGATAGGAATATTAAAATTCTGGGAGATAGGATGAAGATTGCGAGGGATGACGATGGATGGGGTGGGAGGCAAGGATCGACGTGAGGCCTTCGTAGCAGCTCAAACACAGATATTCTGCCGCTATCGCGGGCGGTGAATATCAGGAAGTATACAGAACACCGAGATCATTCTTACCCTTGCGGCCGGATAGTTTTCCTTTTTGGGTGATGTGGGGTTGATTTCAACTTACTACTCTTCAAATTTTTGCCCGTACGGTGTTCTGACAAAATCTGCTGCCTTAGCACCTCCACAATATCTCATTCTCGCTATTCGTCAAGCCGAGGAGCTGGGGGCCTGGAAGACGAATGGGTTACCCGAAAATGTGCTCATCAGCTGTGATAAATATGAACCAGAAGAAAAAAGGTTTGATTATGCAGATGGAGTGGGTAGCAATGCCAAGGACAAAAACAAAAAGAAGCTAAGGAATGTGTGGGAAAAGCAAAGGTCTCGAGGCGAGGAAGTTGAGGCGTTGGTGTTGGCACAAACAACAACGAACAAGTTTGACCGACCTGATTGTCGGTGCATAACTAGTACTTTTAGGACATACTTGACCATCCTTTCGGTCACAGCCTTATAAGCAGATCCAAAAGGGCTAGTAAAAAAGCCACCGCCACAAGGGGGAAAGATCTGAGGGATAAAATATATCTGCCTGGAGCAGTGGGATATATAGGCCCAAGAATATGTCAATATGTCCCATCTGATGAGCAATACCGAATCAACAAGTACATTCCTACTATTTGACTTAAATCCAAAATGCTACAAGCCACAGCCTCAGGCCTTCTGGGCCCCGTCATCGCACTCAACGCATGGACACTCGCAATGGAAGTCTGGATGTACGCGGTCAACATCCCCATCATGGAGAAGCTGAAACCCGAAAACACCATCACGAAGAGCCAGCTCGACGCCCAGATTCCGGCACCCGCACGTTGGAAACGGGATAACTACAACCATTTGATGGAACAACCGACCCAATTCTACGCCCTCAGCCTTACGTTGGCGGTTGCCCGTGGAGGCCAGATTGAGGATGTGGATGTTCTCCTCGCCTGGATGTATACTGGCACGCGCATACTGCATAGTTTGGTGCACGCCACGAGTAATAAGATCATGGTTCGATTCAGCTTATTTGTGTTTTCGTCGGTGCTTCTGGCAATTATGACTGCCAGGGGTGCAGCATTGGTGTTTTTGTAATCATAACAAATTCATTCCGCACATAGTGTCTAATCTAGTGTCCTCCCGTCGTTGGAAGACCCAAGAAGACCTTAAACGAGTCATAAATAAGCCACTGGAAGCCCGTCAAGGTGCCCAGCATGACGATACGGACAGGCAATCCGTTCCACAGACCAGAAAAGCCAATGTTGCCATAGATCCTCGACACAGCCTTCATAGCGCCCTCACCCGCTGCACGAAACAATTAGCACAAGGCTTCTCAGGGGGAAGAAAGATATACTCACCCTTACGATCCGCATTCAGTTTGCTAACCATCACATCCGCCGGATGACTGACAATCGCACAGAAGATACCCGCAATGTATCCACCTGCAAAGCTCACACCAGTCTGGGCCAACTGTCCATAACTCTCCTTCGGCTTCCCCATAGTCTTGTAAATCATGCTAACGGTCTTCTCGAAAGTTGCGAACTTGGTCATCGTGTAGGGAATCTGGCGCGCCCACAGCGGATACAATCCCTTGTAGAGGCCACCGAGCCCTTCCTTCGCGACAATGCGACTCCACCCCTCTCGCAGGTTATTCGCGAAGGGCGGGAGAGTCGTCTGCATGCGGACCTTGATGGCCTCCATCGGACACAGCGCCATATCAGCGAAGAACTCGGCGCTGGCGCTGGCGCCCAGGAAGACCAAGGTGCGGTTGCTCTGCGGGAACATCTGGTCCCCGTACAGATACTTGAAGTACTCGTACAGGCCGTACTTGCCGGCGCCCTGAAACGAGTACCCCAGGAAGGTGGGCGACCAGCCGAAGAACACGCCGCGTAGGCCTTCCTTGGCGAAGATGGAGCGCCATGCTGAGATGTTGGAGGTGTAGATCTTTGGGTCGACTTGGCGACGGCATTTGACAAGGTCGAGGGGTGTGACAGCGGTGTGGGTTGGTCCTGCGCAGATCAGTAGCTATCCGGTTGGATTGGTGCTATCGCGTCACATACCACAAGCTGGAACAATCATCAGTTCGTTATCACGATCAGGACAGCGGGGAAGGGAAGCTTACCGATGATACCGCCGAGAGCACAGCTGTAGAAATACTTGCTCGAGTAGGGCTCAATCTTCCCAAAGGGAAGCTTGCGCTCTTGCAGGGCCATGGTGGGAGTGACAGAGAGAAGAGGAGGTGACAGGAGGAGGTTGGGGAGGGGAGAGTGTCGTACCTAAAAAGCGCCCCTGCCCGGATGTCCTGGGCCACTAGTTATTAGATGGCGTCAGTTTCCTGCGCCTCCGAATGCACAAGAGCATAACTACGCTGTGCCGGGAACGGCTACGTCGGCTTCTGGGTCTCGGGCTGATCGGCCCAGATCGATCGCCCTGTCCTCGCATTTCTATGATGAGGTTACCGGGTTATATCTCCCCATAGGATATTTTCGACAGGAATTGATGTTTTCCTGTTTCGTTAATCGACATATAGAAAGCATGCCGATAGGCGCTGGAAGAGACTGCCCAGGTGTTTGTAGGTGGTGACGTCACCCACATAGATAACAGGCCGGGGATGATGATCCACCGTAAACACCGGAGAGGAGAGAAATCCTATTATTATGTACAACCACCGCTATCCAACGCGGCGATCCCATCCCTGGCGCCATAAGTAAGAAAATAGATACAATTAATTCATGGTCCTTCCGATGTGACATCCTCGCCATGCAAACGCGCAGCCTCGCGCGCCAGGAGCAACGCCAATTTGATTCCCATGGTGGACCCGACACGCGCAAGCACGTGGCGGATCTGGGTGACCTGCGCAGGGGTAGGCAAGCCATAGCACAGCACGTACCAGAGCGGCCAGAGCATGCCGTACCCGCCTAGACGGGTCTGGGCCGTATGAGCCTCGTCGCCTGGGGTCGGACGGCCGAGGGAATCAACATCCCCCAAAGAGAAAGGGATGCTGCGGCAGAGGTCGGTAGTCATGTCTTGGATAACAGCGCGCAGACTGGATGTGTCGAGGGCGGATCCAGATGGAGGATTGCAGTCGTCACTCATCGTGATGAGAGTGAGCAGAAGCTGTTGGGACAGAACGCGCGCAGCGCGGTAGTGGTTCCAGACCACGGAGTTTGAGATGCGATTGTAGGTGATCAGGGGTTCGCCCTTTGCTGAGTAGCAGATCAGCGGTAGCCAGCGGTCAGGTAGATGCTCGCCCCATTGGGATAGTTCGACATCGCAGTCCCGGGCCGCGGCAATCCATTGCTTGACCGTTTCCTGGTCCGGTGGGCTTGACGCTGCATACATTGCCATGAAGACCTTGGTGATCTTCGATGCAGAAGTCATCAGGCTCTGGATGGGATCGTTGCTGTCTAAGAGACCCAGGACCCATTCGGTATTGAACCGGGGTTTGTCTCCAAGTGCAAGGACCTCAACATACTGTGACGCTATTGTTAGTTTCTGATTGACTTTTTGACGAGATAGAGGATATACCGTATGGGTGTAGGCAAACTTGAACAAATCGCGGCCTTGCCGATGAAAGAGCTGGTCCTGCCCTCGCAACTTCATTAGCAGCTCAAAGCCAGCCGTATGCGAGCTGAACAGTCCGTTCCGTTCACCCGCAATATCCTCATAGAGCGAGAGAAGAACCACAACCGCAAAGGTCTCGTCCTTGATCGCTTGAGTCGGCGACGACAAAGCATGCCGGAGACCACGCAGAGCTCTACCATAACCTTGCCGCGCCTTGATCGTTAATGGGGCTGCATTTGTTGTGTTCGCGAGAGCCACCAGCGCCGTAGCATCCACCGCCCAGCGCAAACACTCAGATGACAAAGTGTCATGGTTGTCCACCTCGCCGCAGCGAGCGTACAATGCAGGCAGGAACTCAAGATGGCTCATGCCTTCATTTTCGTCCTCCCCGATGGTGTACTGGTCGAAGAAATAGCACACGGCGCGCTGTTCCCACGTCGCGTCCGCGACGGAGTACAGCGTCAGCGAAGACCCAGCCTCGGATGGGCTGGGGCTAGGCCTGTGTTGGGACACAAGAGCCCCAGAGTGCTGGTTTACTACTGCTTTCTGGCTCTGGACTTGGCTTCGGCTACTGTCTGCCGAGGAGCTTCTCGATTTTTTGACTAGTTGCTCAACTTTCTCAGTCTCGTTGCGGAAGACCGCATCAGGCCGGTATCCAGGGCATGGACGCCCGTAGATAGTGCAATTGCGACATCCGGGGAGTGCTTCATCGCACTTGAAGGGTGATCAGTAACACAAAACTAATGGTCGACATGTGGGTGGGCACTGTACCTTGATCTTGCGCTTGCGACACAGGTAACATCCGGTGCTTGGCTTCCCCCCATATACCATATTCACACCGCGCGGCTACTTCCAGGCAATTCTCGAAACGCAAGTAGCCAAGATCCTAGATCCTGGAGGTTTCACACAGCAGAAAAGGCGCCGCTACCTTGCTGTCATCAGTTGGAGAACGATCTGATCACCTCGGCTGCCTGGTCCGAGCGGGGCGCAAGTACATCATAGACGGGATGTGCTTGGACTCGCTGGATGACTGCGAGTTACATTCAGCAGTGCTCACGCACACTTGCTCTGTCGCTTTGTGTTTTCTGCTGAGGAATAGGGAGACGGTAGACTCGCCATCAGGCGATGAGATTCGGTCGCTTAGTCATCTCAAGAAACAATCTGATAACGATTCTGGCGTATGGCAACAGAGGTAGAATAGGCACTCCCGCAAAGGGAATTAGAGGATCTACTTTACTGTGTTAAGAGATAGTGAAATGCACTCGTCTTGCCTTTTCTAGGGACTAAATCCACGTCCACGTCCTAGATGACAATATATCGGACAACCCAGTGAGGAGGACAAAAAGGTATCACTTGAGACACAAAACACTCCGAAATGACGTTCTCAGCACTGGAAAACTCCACAGATAGAGACGGCTTTGGAACCTGCCCTGCCTGTCCTGATGGAAGAACCAAACAACACGACGGCGAGACGGGGCCGCCTTTGCACGCCAGATATGCAATCGCTTGGTGCTCTAAGCAGAAGAAAATAACAAGAAAAAAAAAGACATCGGAGGCTCATTCTGATCAAAGTACCCAGCAAACAACAAAACGGAGGGAGAATAGTGATATGATGTACGATATGAAAGTAAAGTCATGAGAAAGACGATATGATGTTCAAGAAGAAATCAAGAAGAGGGCGCATCGGGCATCGGCTGATCATCGCCATCACTGCCCAAAGGGACCGTCCGTGGAGGGTCTGAGAAAATCGTCCGGTGCCGGCCCGGGTTGAGAACGAGTTCGGCAGTGTCGTCGGTGGAGGAAGAGCCCAGGCCTGGAGTACTAGAGGCGCTTTCGATCACGGCAGTATCGTCGTCGCTGTGTTCTGGGGGTGGAGAAAACGACCACACCTGGAAGTGATTATCAGCAAGACCATCGAAAACTAATGAAACTCTAAAAACTTACCTCCATGACTGTGCGGCCAGACCGGTTCGCCAGAATCACCGCTTTTTCCTCCTCGAAGGCAACCCGCCAGACCGCCTCGGCTGGACTGGAGAGCTCGCGCAGTAGCTGGCCAGTCTGCAGGTTCCACACTTTCACGCGACCATCACTGCCACCGCTGACGATCCGGGTGTGGTCGAACTGAAGACTAGTAACGCTATTGTCGTGCGCAGCTAGTCGATGGATCGGTGCCATCTTGGTGAGCGACCACACGCGGACAGAGCCGTCCGAACCACCGGTCACCAGTGTATCCCCGCGCATCTGTATTTGTCCGACCAGCGAAGTGTGGCCCTGGAGGATGGCATGGCATTGTCCGGAATTCGGGTCCCAGATGCGGACACTAGTATCCAAACTGCCCGTCGCAATGCGGCGACCGTCAAAGGTGATGGCGTAGATCTGGCTGAAATGGCCGGACAGCGTGCGCAGACAGCGGCCCTGGGAAATGCTCCATATCCGTGCAGTTGTATCGTAGCTGCCGGAGACCACCAGGTCCCCATGAATCGCGAGACATCGGACGCTGGCCTGGTGCCCGACCAGGACGTTCCGACAGGTCCCCGTCGCCAAGTCCCAGATGCGCAGGGTCGTATCTCGAGACCCTGAGATGGCCGTGTTCCGGTCGGACATTTTCAAACACCGCACGGTTGATGTGTGGCCACGGAGTAGATGGATACCCGCCCTGCTGGATGTTAATGATCCGTCCTTCGATATTTAGTGGAGTAACCTACCCTGTTGCCATATTCCACACTCGCACTTCACGATCGCAGCCGCCGCTAACCAGAATATCGTCCCATGGAACCATCGCCCAGACGCCCATCACGTGGCCCTGGAGGGTTTTCTGGTTGTCGCCATTGGTATCGTATACGTGGATCTTTGCATTATCCAAGGCGACCACAATATACTTGGAGGTGAGATGTAGACTGGTCACCACCCCCTGGTCGGGCGTGATATGGCGCTGGGTACACCGGCCACCTTTATTCCAAGCCGACTCGACCATGTACTTTTGCTTAAACTGCGACCGATAAGAGACCGGGCGAGCCCGCCGTCTCCGAGAGGGAAAGCTGGTGGGGAGCCATTCACCCGAGAGCGTGCGCGGAAGATCCAGAGGTTTTTCTGGGGACTGTCCGGTAGCTTCCTGCATATCCTCCAGCGCAGAAGTGCTGGAGCTTAAGTCGGGCTGGGAAAAGAATGAATCTGCCATGTCGCCGTCTTCCTCCGCTATCCGTCGTACCGAGTAGGCGTGTTTCTCGCACAGATTCTTCCAGGTGATATCGTCGTTTAATAGCTCTCGCCAGCGTCTTGATACTTGCGATGCTCTTGCTAGGGTCTTCGGGTCGTCGATGAAGGATAAAACCTATAGAGCTAGGGATTAGCTTCCTCTGTCATCTCCCTCTCCCAAAAAAGGACACAAGACATACCCTCAAGCACAGTTCGTTAGGAAAAACTTGAAACGGGTCCTTTCTCAGCCGCGGTCCGACATAACTTGAGACGAAACTCAGTTGCTGGCTATCGCAGACATCCAATAACCCCTCGAGGAGTTTTTGCTTGCGGGCGTTGGACAGAGTACTGAAATGCAAGCGGAGGTTTAATAGAAAAGTAGTTTCTTCCTCGTCGGCGGAGGGCCAAGTATGCGATCGCTGATGGGGGGTCGGGGAGGGAGCGGGCGTCGGAGGAGAAGCGGGAGCCGAGGGGAGGAGGTTGGCCGGTAATGAAGTTACGTTTTTCTTGGTGGCGCTGAGCGATCGCGAGTGCGTGCTGGTGAAACTGGAGACCGAGTTTCGGTTGGGAGGGGCTTGGGGATGAGTGTCGAGCTGGTCCGACAGAGACGGGGTCTGTGGGTTCATCGACTGGTCCCCCATGTCACTGAAGGAGGCGTGTTGGGAGTCCATGGAGTGCGACCGAGCAAAGCGCCCTTATTGGCGCCGTGTCTCTCTTTTTCCCACTGGAATCGGGGGCCACACTCAGAGGCTGGTCGCACCTAGGGTCGGCATAGAGCAGTGGCCGGAAATAATGGGGGACGGGGGAACGGGTGAGGTAAGTGGTGGATTTGCGTAGTAAGTATCCGGCGGCTAGAGGAAGAAAGAGAGGCTGGTCGATGGGAACATGGGAATTTTGAGGGAAGTAATAATAAGGAGGGCAAAAAAGAAGCACGCGACAAGCGCCTCCGAGCAGGCAGTCTGGGCGTGTCTCAGATAGTCAAGTTAGTAGAGTAACGGGGGGAGAGCGAGAGTGAGAGAGAGAATGGAAAGTCGTGACCGCTTTGAATTGGATACCTGACAAAGCACATCTCCACTCCTCGTGATAGATCCGATAAGGTGCATCTTGTGCTTGCAGGGAGGCAACCAGGGTATGATGGCAAGAATAGGGGGCGATGTGTTTTGTTGCCTTTGCCTCTGCGATCGGTGGTAGCTATTCGTCTGGCGTTGGCAGATACAGTTGCCCCATGTCCTTGGGTAGGCTATCGGCACGCTGCTACCGACCATGGATCGAGGCAGATGATGCAACCTGACGAATGCTTTCATCAGAGCTTCATGTCCTGGCCAGGCGGGGACAGCCTGCTTTTATATAGTACTGGCAGTGACGCTACATAGATGTGATCGTGAGATACGAAGTATGCAATAATGACCAACACTTATACAAGACCAGATCTAGTAGTTGCACATCGCCTCCTTGTCGTCCACTCCGCCAAACTCATCATCCAAGAAAAAAAGGGTCCAACAGGTGCCAATGATAGGTACATCCTCCCAGTATGTCGGACAACAGGCAAAAGTAGTACATGTGTGGAAGAGTTGCCTCCCAAGGCAAAATTGCATAAATGTAGAACAGAGTTTAATGGGCATGTCCGATCTGCAGGAACAGCGGCAGGATCATGCCCAGCACGGAGCCGATCAGGTCTCGCATGGACTTGTCCGACCCATGCTGGGCATCGCGGGTGTCGCCATATCCGTTGACAGGTAACTCGCGCGGCTGGGAGCCGGGCCCATTCTCCTGCATCGTGTGCATCGCCACATATCTGCGGCAAACCCATCAGTAAAATGAAGATAGAATAGAACAGAACCCACTTACAAAAAGGTGCCACCAGAAAACAGCAGGAGCATTCCAGTCCGCCACTGAGAGCCAGCCTCGTCGCCGCTGGAGGAGCCCACGGCCTGCACAAAAAGAAAGGTCGCCAGAGCGCCAATAGGAGCCGCCAGACTGAAGACCAACAAATGCGCTCGCGCAGTCCGACTCGACAGCCCTTGTTTGAGCAGGATCGACGTCAATCCAAAAGACGCCGGAGCCTTGTGCACCATGATCGCCAAGAAGATGATGAAGCTCAGGCCGGTGTCGGAGGTAGATGCGCCCAGCGCAATCCCATCCGCAGCGGCATGGATCACCAGGCCGGTAGTCGTTGCAAAGCTGTGGCCGCGCCTGGAGCTCGAGGAGCCTTGGTCCAGCAGACCTCCTCCGTCGCGAGAAGGAGACGAGTTTCGCCGCAGTCCCGAGCCCAGGTTATCCAGCGAAATATGGTACCGCGGTCGCTCGGTTTTGGTTGGCGATGCGAACTCGGGAAGTTTATCGATCAAGTACATCAGAATGAAGCCGCTGATGAGGGCGATGCCGATCCAGGCATGAGGCGAGCTCTCGTCCTCGTGGTGGTCGCTCGATGTCTCTGTCGTAGACTTTTCGCTCGACTCATCTGCCCGCGCGTGTATTTGAGGTTCACCGACGATAACGGCCGGCTGCTCGATGTGGTCATCCAGGGAGAAACCTGGGATCAATTGTCGCCCGTTCACGGCGGGTGTATCTGCGACATGCGGGATGGCCCGGTGCATCCATTGGACGGGGGCTGAGCGAGTGCTGATGGACTTCTGGCTGACGGAGCGTGCGTTGTAAAGCGTCTCGACGCCCTCGGGGATGATGACGATCAAGGATGTCCCCACCAACACACCCATCCCAATGGAGGAGATGAGGCGCAGCTGAGACGGGGAAAGGGTGAAGGCAAGAGGGAGAGAGCCGACGACGAAGGACCTGGTCAGGCGTTAGTTTCATATTATCGCGACCGGAGGAAGGAAGGGACACGCACGTCACGGCCATCACAATGCCCAGGGCGAGCAGAGTGAAAAGGCCCTCCATGATTGGCAGCTGGCAGTCACTTCGCACTTGACTCCAGCTCTAGCAGGATCCAAGCATGGCGCGCAGCCACGGAGAGACAGAGGGAGGGAGGGAGAGGTGGTAAGTAAGTAGGAGGCCAGTTGGAAAAGTGGCAGTTTTGGCCCGATGGACCCACGCGACAATCACCGCCCTACACATACATACATTCTCCAATCGAGCCATATCATTATTTCCTCGAGACGAACTATAATTCTAATGTACAATTTTATCGCGCCGACTTGGGCAGCCGGAACCCCAGATACGGCAGATACTTGCCCGGGTGCCAGTAGATGAACAGCGCCACGCAGGGATAGATGGCCAGCGCGTCGAACACATACTGCGTCCATTCATGCGTGTTGATATACCCAGTCACGCCCGTGGTAAACTCGACCAGCCGGTAGATGGAGCGGATCTGCCAATGAATTAGTGTCCGACTGGAATGAGGATCAGGTTATTACGCACCAGAATCAAGAACGAGGTCAAATTGACCACCCGCAGCAGCGCCGGCCAGTGCTTATCCCTCGTCCGTCCATCAATCCGATATTCCTTCTCCCCGACGCTCTCGTAGCGATCACCCAGGGATTTGTCGAAGCGCTTCGAGGTAAAATTGAATCGAACGGCGGCGACGCTGAAGAGTCCAAACGCCGCCAATTGAATAATCACACCCACCTGGGCAACCCGTTTCCCCGTATTGAGCGTGCGAGCCGCATGGGTATCGGTCGGGCTGACCGAGGCGATCATGACCGCGCCACCCAGTTGCAGCAGGAGCGCAAAGATATCAAACCCCACGAAGATCGGGGTGATGAACCGCGGAGGCACCCAGCAGAGTCGCAAGGTGCGCGCCTCACTCGGGACGACCAGGAACAAAATCCGGCTGAAGACAATATAGCAGCAGGCGGCGATTAGGACGGGCGCCAGGACGATGAGCGCGAACTGCACCACGTAGACTTGCTTCTGCGTCACGTTCTCCACGGAGATACAGCGGCTGATGTAGCCCACAGCCTCCACTGGATTAAACGTTAGGAGACATCCGAATGAAGGTGATCGAAACGCTTACTGGCCGAAGCAATGACCATCACCACCCACACCCATGACTTATAGCGAACCCACTGAACCAGAGTCAGGATGAACGCAATACCGTACAAAACCGCAGCCACAATCGCTACCGCCAGGGACGGGTTATAGCGATAGTACGAGACATCGTGGATGCTCTGGATCGGATGTATCATGGGGGATGATAGGTACACGGGGCGATGAGATCGAAAGGAGAATAATCGGATCGGCGGCGGCTACGATTGTCTGACGGCGCTCTCCAATATTTATGGCTTCCTTGAACAAAGTCACCCTTAATTAACAAACGGTGGCGCAGTTGGGCGCGGTGTCACGCTAAACGGCGAACTAAATGCCCCATTCGGAATAAGTTCCAGACATAGCCAATCGTGGCCTGACCCACTCGCTTGTCATCTATGGAATCGAGGGTCCTGGAGTTTTGCCGGGGGTATATATTATGTGCCCTCTGAACCATTTTGAAAGCACTGACGTAGCACTTTTTCGTTTCGTCGTGTGTTTTGCTAAATGTGTCAAGGTTTTCACCAAGATGTTGTCGACAGCACGACCGGTCTCCCAATACGGAGGGCACATGGTCTCTGATGGAAGTGAGCATGCCCACGAGTTCGACTAGATATGTGATATGCCATTGACTGTCGACGAAGATATTGCTTGGATACATCGACTGTCCGTGTGAACGATTTCAAGCTGGGTGGAACCGATACGTGGTCGGATCAGATCCGATCTGTGATCCCGGGAGCCCAACGGAGACCCAGGCTTGCACCTCACCCCGCACTAGTTTGAGCAGTCCGTCCCCTTCATCTCGAGTCTCCGACACTATGTAAATCGGATCCGGCAGCCCACACACTTACTACATGAACACACATCACTTCTTCACTGTACATCTAGCTAGACCTACTTAAGAACGAAAAAAGTGCTTTCCAGTGCAGCATTGCATTGACGGTTCCGAGAGCACCGCTACACTTACTCTGTTCAACCGCTTACATCTGACGAATTTGTGGGATACAAAAGCCGACCATGAACCCTCTTTTGACACTACTCCACCAGCATTCTTCGACTTCAATTTCACAAAGTCTTCACAGTTAATATGGTCAGCCTGACTACCTCTCTCGGGCTGGTCAGCCTGGGTGCTACTGGTGCAGTAGCAGCAGACGCACTGGGAGCGTACAATGTTGATCCAAACGCCGTGTCTGTGTCCGGTCTCTCCAGCGGTGGATTCATGTCCGCGCAGATCGGCGTGGCATATTCCGACGTCTTCACTGTCGGCTTTGGTGTCTTGGCCGGTGGGCCATATGACTGTGCTCGCAATCAACCTGTAAGCGCGAACATTCTCTTTTATACTCACAATAATTGGCTAACCTTGTTTAGTATACTGAGTGCATGTTTGACCAAGTACCCTCGATCATCACTCCAATAGCCAATATGAAAGCTTGGAGCGGTAACAAAATCGACACCGTTAGCAACTTGAATAGCCGCAAGATCTACCTGTGGGAAGGATCTGCAGACGTCACTGTGGGACTCAATGTGATGAACGCGCTACAGGCCCAGCTATCCCATTTCGACAACTCAGCCGATGTCTCATACGTCGTCACCGAGGGTGCAGTGCACACTTTCCCTACCGATTTCGACGGCGCGGGTGACAATCCATGCAGTTTGTCCATATCACCCTATATCAGCAACTGCGGCTACGATGGTGCTGGCGCAGCCTTGCAGTGGATGTATGGTACGCTGCATGCTCGGAACACAGGAACCCTATCCGGCAGTGTTCTTTCCTTTGCTCAGTCCGCGTCGTTCGGTGCCGACGGCATGGACACGACAGGCTATCTGTATGTTCCTGAGAGCTGTCAGAGCGGATCCATTGTCTGCAGGCTTCATGTTGCTCTGCATGGATGCTTGCAGAGCCATACCAACATCGGGATGGATTTCGTTGATAACACTGGGTACAACATGTGGGCTGGTAAGAATATACCCTCATGAAATTGTGCGGACCATCTTACTAAGAAGGACAGATACCAATGATATTATCATTCTCTATCCTCAAGCCATTCCTGACAACACGATCCGCACTATCTGGGGCGGTATCGAGCAGTCGAACCCGAATGGCTGCTGGGACTGGTTAGGACAGTATGGAGACAATGCTGACCAGATTGGGGGCGTGCAAATGGTTGCCATTGTCAATCAAGTCAACCAGATTGTCAGTGGGTATACCGCGTAGTTCGTAACACTGCTGGTCCGAGCCATCGCTCCATGAGCAATGTGGCCAAGTGTGTTGGCCGACAGTGTGGAGTAGGGCATGAAGTATTATTATAGTCAGCTCATTGAATTTCATTTCATAGTGATAGATGGATTGGCAGGTAAAAGGATCCGAGCTTAAACGGCGAAACACATGCCCCATTCGGAACCGTTCGAATGTCCATCCAATCAGACTTCATAGTCGCCGACTTCCCCTGGTCCACTATGCGATTGACAACCCCACGATTTATATACCCCTTTTGGCGTCGGCCGATTATGAGAGCAACTAATTAGAAGCACGTACCATGCCATTTTCTGGCCGCCCCAGCGCTGGCTGCTTGAGTTGTCGGGAGCGAAGAATCAAGGCAAGGATGCAGCAATGAATGACTCGCCTAGCGCGCGCTGACCAGGTCTAGTGTGACCAACTTCAGCCAAGATGCACACAATGCAAGAGGGTAGGCAAGCAATGCGGCGGGTACCGCGATGTGCAGTCTCTACTATTCCGCGATGAAACCGCCAAGACACAAAGCCGGTCCGCGGCGGCGAAACCGCGCAGGAAGAAGATCGCCTCAAGCAGCTCATCATCCTCATCACCACCCACAAACTCTCCCGCATCAAAGCTGGTATTGCAGACCCTTCCAAATCGGGTGGCTACCATCCAGCAGTTGTGTAGGATCCTTACTTCGGTCCCTGTCTCAATTTCGGTAAGCCCAGAGGAGCTGGGGCTGCGCTTCTTCTTCAATACCTTCGTTACTACGGCCTTCATAAACGCCAATAATAGGAGCGCTCGAACCTCGCATGCCCCTACATTTTTAGGCATCCTGCCCCTAGATCCGTCGTTTCGAGATTCGCTGGTGGCGGTTGGTCTATATGCCATGGCCAATGTTAAGCACGACAGAGCCTTGCGAACGGTGGCGCGGGAGAAATATGTCTCCGCTATTCATTACATTCGATCTGTAGTGATGAATCCTGCCCAGGCGAATACCGAGCAGGCGCTCAGGATTTTGGTGATGCTGGGGTTGTATGAGGTAAAAAACTTCCTTTCATTAGTGAAGATACACGCTAACCGACTCATGTAGATGGTCAGTTGTGGCGCTGATCAACTCGATTCCTGGACTGTGCACTTGGACGGTGCCACTGCCCTTATAGCTCAGTCCACATTTCGTCAAAACCTTAACGCAATAGACCATAAGGCGCTCCTGCAGTTCTCCTATGTATCGATCGTCAAATCTTTCCTGGTCCCGGGCAAGATCCCTATGTATCTGGTGCACTGGTCTCCCAATTCGATCACCGCCCCCCCAGAGGAACAACCGGCGGTGTGTCTCGCCGATATCCTGGTGAGGTTTGTGAAATTGAATTTGTCAATATACAATGGATCAGAACTCGACGGTGATCGTGTGATCCGTGCCGCCTTAGGTTTCGAGGCAGAGCTAGACGAGTGGGAGAAGAGCGTCCCGGACAAGTTTTCATTTGAGGTCCACGAGTCCGACAAGGCTCAAGGCACGTTCTATGGGAAGTACCATGTCTACAAAGATACATGGGCTTTTCGGATAATAAACCATTTCCGCTGGGGCCGCATGTTGGTCAACCGAATCATTCTCGCCCATAACTTGCGACTACAGTACCCCACAGCAGCGGATCTAGGTCAGCGCCAGCACTCACTGAACACTATCTCTCGCATGGCAGTCGACATCTGCACCGGTGCCGCGGGCCAAATTGCACTTTTCAATCAAGGGATCAATACGGAGGACACATCGAGTGATTTACCACTGAACGGAGTCTTTATGCTTCTATTCCCGTTGGCTGTGGCTGGAGGCGCAGCCGGAGTTCCGGAGACGGTGCATATTTGGGTGATGGAGACATTAGAACACATTGGGCGAACGATGGGCATCCAGCGGGCTCTGGAGCTGAAAAAACGGCTTCGTGCGAGCTGGGAAGTGGATGAGTGGCAGAGAGACTTGGTGGATCATCAACATCTTGTAGTAACTGCTTAGACGTTTATACGTAGACATTTTTAGTATCGATGATATCCATAGAACACAACCGTGGCTGTATACTCCTTGGTGAACCCTAATTCGGTGGACCCATCAATGGGCCCGCAGGCAACGATGACACAATAACAAACGCTTTCTTTTTCTTCTTTTTCTTCTTCTTCTTCTTCTTCTTCTTCTTCTTCTTCTTCTTCTTCTTCTTCTTCTTCTTCTTCTTCTTCTTCTTCTTCTTCTTCTTCTTCTTCTTCTTCTTCTTCTTCTGCTGCTGCTGCTGCTGCTGCACTGAGTGGACACCTACGGTTGTCTTCGCTCGCCGCGGCGAGGACGTGAGAAGACACGACCTGGGCGATCGACAACATACCCCTCCACCTGCATCCTTCTCTATGAGTGCACCCGACGACATACCTCAGCAAGCTAAAGGTCTATTTTCAGTGGTCAAAAGAGCCTACGCCATACGGCAAAATACAAAAGATGAAAAGATTCATAGATCATAAGGGACCTAAGATGCTGCTCGATAGAGTTTCTATATGTACCTATCCGACTGATCTCTCTGATTTCCTTTTAGAGCTTGACTCGGAAACGTGGATCGTTGTGGACGAGCCGTCGGAGGGGGGAACTAGTTCTCGACTTGAAGATGGACTATACTATTCATCAACTTACCTAAACCTTCTTGGTTAACTAAGGAGTCCATCTCCGCTGCCTGCCGTATGCGCCGACGAGGGACGTGGTTAAAAGTTGCACAAGCCCTCGACAGACCTAATTTTTATTAGGAGAGTACAGGTAGAAATGATCCATAGACCTTTTTTTTTTGCTGACCGTTCATATAGAGATAATATCGCGGTGGTTTGGACCAAAATGCTGAGAGAAGATGGCTTAGTTATCGTAATACAGTGGAAGCCGCCGATTATTAAGTAATGATGCGCGGCGCGTTTGACCGCGCCGCCGACTCCCTTGCCGTGGTTCGAAGTCCCCTTGCCATCCATCATCCCCAACACACTATTTCGCCCATAATGGCGAGCGAAGAGGACTGTACGTTTATCTCACCTTTCATACAACACTGGCCTGCTAATTGACACGCTTTTTAGGGTCCTGCGACGCCAACGACGCTGTCCATATCACCGTAGTACAGCCCGGCGAGACCAAACCCAAAACCCTCTCGACCTTCCATCCGCAATTCACATACCCCATCTTCGGCGACGAAGAGCGCATCTTTGGCTACAAGGGCCTGATCATTCGCTTGCGCTTTGCGGCCCATGACCTGCGCCCCCATATCCACATCTCGTACGATGACCGGTTCAAGGCTGTCGGCGATACAGCTGCGGTCGACCTGTTGGGTGCTTTGAAACCGTTTGTTCCAGAGGGTAGGTTTGTTTATCCGAGAGAGAGGACTACCTGTCTAATTCCTGGAAATCAGAGGCGTTTATCAACCTACCGGAATACGAGAATGCCGTCCAGGACGACCCGAGCGCAAAGGAATTTAAGCCCCCAGGCATGCTGGTTCACAGCTATGAGGTGGATGACCGGAAATATGAGATCTGGGCTGGGTCCCTGGCAGACCCCGAGGTGCGCCGTCTGTTGGACCGCGTTCAGATCCTAGTCTCTCTTTTCATTGAAGCTGGGACTCCGTTGACAACGGACGATCCACAATGGACGCTTGAGCGGTGGACAATCTACTTTGTGTAGGAGAACTCGATGGTTCCATTTCGACAAGGCTAATGTCTATCACAGGTATGAGAAAGTGACTCCTCCGACTCCCACTGCGTCAGCATACTCTATTGTAGGATATGCCACAGCCTATCGGTACTGGCTCTACCAGCGAGACCGCTCTGAAACACCCACCGTCAAGTCTGATCCGTTCCCCGGCCCCGAAGCTAAGATCTCAGAGCTTCCTGCCAGGCTTCGGATTGCGCAGTTCCTCGTCCTCCCTCCACACCACCGTTCAGGCCACGGCACCCACCTGTACACCACAATCCACGCTACATGTCTCGCCGACCCGACCATTGTGGAACTAACCGTGGAAGACCCGAACGAGCAATTTGATGCGTTGCGAGACACGGCCGACTACTGCCTTCTTCGGCCGGAGTTCCTCAAGCAAGGCGTGAACATCAACCCTGATCCCTACGAAGCATACTCTCGGAAGCAACGCCTGAAAGTGGTGCCCACCGCGGCTCTGATCCCCACCAAACTGCTGTTGGACATCCGCACATCCTTCAAGATCGAGTCGACCCAGTTCGCGCACATCCTGGAAATGTACCTCCTCAGCCAGATTCCCTCAAGACACCGGCTGTCTGGCGGTGCCAACCTTGCACGACTGTTGATCAAGAAGCACAAGATCGACGACGTGAATGACCGACGCTACTACTGGTGGCGCATGCTCATCAAACAACGACTGTTCAAGAAACACCGCTCGTTGCTAAGCGAGTTGGATGCGACCGACCGAGTTGAGAAGCTCGACGAAACTGTGCGAAATGTGGAGGAGGGCTATGAGGTTACTCTCCAGGCACTGGAGGGTCGCTTGCCTGATGTGCAGGATGAGCCCCCGGTGGTTGCCAGTGAGAGCCGGAACGGGCGCGTCAAACGCAAGCTCACCATCTCGGACGATGAAGACGAGGAGAATGGGACGGAGCTTGCCAAGCGGCCTAAGGTGTAAGAAGGAATGGCTTGTCTGCTGCCATTGGACTGTGTAATTTAAATTCTGGGCTCTGGGGCGCAATGGATTGATCGTTCAGATCAAAATATTTCAAACGTAAACCCTTTGTCGTCGGTGGTTTCTGTAGTTCCATCGGCCTCTCGGTTACTTTTTTCCGAGCGCATCGGAGCTTCGTGACTGACGTTCCTTCCTCCCCCACCACTTCCCCAATAGTCCAGCCACGCCATTGCCTTTCTTTCAATCGGGCTACACACATTCATCTGCTCTCAGTGTGTCTCTATTCATTCGCATTCCCCAATCTTTACGCATATCCACCGCTCCCACCACCACCGATCGACTCTTGCTTCACAGCCGGCACCTGAGTTCTCTCCGTCGCATTTCAAGATGGTGCGCTACCCTTCAAACCCACAGATACTACCCAAACATATCCTGACAGGAAAAACAGTTACCCCTCGGCCTCCTCACAGCCGCACAGGGCCACCCGATGCTGGTCGAGCTCAAGAACGGCGAGACGCTGAACGGCCACCTGGTCAACTGCGACAACTGGATGAACCTGATCCTGCGCGAGGTGGTCCAGACAAGCCCGGAAGGCGATCGTTTCTTCAGATTACCCGAGGTCTACATCCGTGGCAACAACGTATGTCTCCTTTCTCTGTCGCTGTGTCTCCGACGCGCAAACACTTTCCACGATCCAGCCCTCTAATAGTTGTCATACAGATCAAATACCTTCGCATCCCGGAGGAGATTGTCGACCAGGTCAAGGAGCAGCAACAAAACCAACCACGGGACCGTCGTGGCGGACGAGACGGTGGGCGCGATCGCGGCCGGGGCGGTGGTCGTGGAGGACGCGGCCGGGGACGTGGGCGAGGCGGTCCATAAATGGCCTCAAGGAAAGGTGTTTAACGTGATACCCCCGCGCGAGAAAAGCCATGAAGGAGGGAAGTCCGTCGGGTTCATGATCGGATATCTTTTGGCGGGTTGGTCGCATGCTTGTTGGCGTACCTGGGCTTTTCAATTTTTTTTCCTATTTTTTTTTCTTCAGTGGGAACTGGGGGGAACAGTCTGGTCTATTTCTGACCTACTAGTATTACAAATAAACGCATCTAAACCCCCTGATCTGTTGCTCTTGCGCTCGTCGAAATAATTCTGTCTCAAGTCACGTGGCTGTCCCACCTATTCCTCGAATGTTGGAGACGGAGCTTCCTCACCCCGACAGCCGCTCGTCATGTCACGGCGGGCACTGGTGTTTGACGGGCTATGGTACTCTTTATGTCCATCGTTCAGTCTTTCTACACTCAGTCGCCCAGCACCACTCCTGAAGAAACCGCGCCCGCCGCCGGCCTTGTCCGTTGCCGCGCATTCACCTCCGCGACGATGTTACAAGCGCAAAGCCGGGGGGTTTGTTGATCTTAACAATATTACAGACAGCACAGTCCCCAAGACTTCCAAATCGAAACCATCTATCGACTCTGAGCCCCCATTGCCGCCGAACGAAGCCCCCAACCATGAGCAAGATACCACCAGCGCGCCAGACTCGACAGGCGGGGAGCATTCGAGAGCACCGTCTCGCCGAGTGCCCAGGAACATATACGAAAAGTCAACCGATGATCTGGAGTCAATGTTGGAGGCTGTGACACTCAAGTCGCCAAACATCCGGCACACATCGTCGATCTTGGGGGTTTTGATTCGGGATCGCCATATCAAGCCCTCCGCGCGGCACTACAAAGCCCTGATTCTGGCAAATACGGACTCGGAGAGAGGCTCACCGGACATGGTGCGTCTTTTGCTTGACGAAATGGAGAACAATGGCATCACGGCCGATTCGGGGACCCTCCACTCAGCGTTGCAGGTGGGTGGCAACAAATTGACATGCACAGAGAATAATGACTGACATTCTGATGGGCTAGGTCCTCGCCGTGCATCCCGATTATATTCTCCGCCAGGAAATCCTCGGCAAACTTCGAGACCGGTGGCTGCCCTTGAGCCCCCCAGGATGGCATTTCGTGGTCGCGGGTCTTCTACGGGAACACCAGTTGGAATTGGTGCTCGAGCAACTCGAGCTCATGCAGCGGAAAGACATTTTCGTCGAGAATTGGCTGCACAGCATTATTATCTATACCCTCTGCGATCTTCAAGAGTTCGACGAAGTGCATCGTCTTATGCAAGAACGCGTCAACCAGAACCATGACATGACACTCAGTCTTTGGTCGCATGTACTGAATGAGGCAAGTCTAGCTTCGCATTACGAGGCCACTCGTTTTGTGTGGCAGCGCATGGTGGACCTGTGCTACTTGCACCCATCGCTCAGCACCTGCAGCAATGTTTTAGCTCTCGCAGCTCACGTTGGCAGCGCCGAACTAGCCAGCTCTGTCTTTCGATATTTCACCGAGACCCAAATCCTGCCGCGTCGTGAAGACTACGACCTGCTTATCAAAACGTACGTCAAGGCCGGCGATCTATCCGCCGCATTCGACGTGCTGTGCAGCATGCACGATGCAGAGGTCACACCAGAAGAAAGCTCGACGCGGCCGATTGCAGAATCCATGCTCCAAACCAGATTCGACCACCGCGAAGCATGGCAGATCCTCAAACGACTACAATGGGACCACCGCCGGAACATCCCTCTCGCGTGCGTGCGTACCATCGCCGAAGTATGCGAGCAACGCGCCGAGCAGGACCCCACCGTTGTCGACGAGGGCATCGCCTTCTACAAAGAGCTGTACACGCTCTGCCCCGGCGGCGCCGATGTGACCGTCTACAACTCCTTCATCCGGATGTGCCGCCGCGGCAACAACCGCCAAGCGGGCATGTTCCTCGTGAAAGAAATGGCTTCACTGGGTGTGATCCCCAACGCCACGACCTTCGAATCCATCATCCTCATGTGTCTCGACGCGGGCAATTTCCGGTCCGCATACCTCTACTTCCAGGATCTCGTCAAACGAGACGCTACCGTGAGCAAAGAAGCGCGCGCGGAGATCTGCGAGATCTGCGCCAAGTCCGTGGACGAGTTTGCGCTGCGACTACAGTATCATCCCCAGCTTCGAGAGGAGGACGTCCAGGAGCAGGAGCACGGGCACGTGCATGGGCCCGTTGAGGATACAAGACCAGAGACTCAAAATGCCGCCTGGGCGCGTGGACGTGTGCAAGCTCACTCAACGGGCCGTCCCTTCTTGTCACCCGCGGAGCATCGCATGGGGATGTCGGTTGAGGAGCGACGGGCTTGGAATAAGAGGCGTCGGAAGGAGCGGCGGCGGCGCGAGGCGATTGCGCGCAATGGGGAGGAAGAGGGGTGGGCGGATTGGGAGGCTGGGGGTCTTGACAAGGGCCCTGCGAAGGATAACGGTGATCACAAGGGCCCTGCGAACGATAATGTTGATCGTTGACCGGTCATCGTATCCTCGCGTTATTGCGTGTCAAGACAACCACTGTACAGTAGTCTATATCATAATCCGTGAGCTGAAGATAGCTCCCTTGAATCTATTACAAAATATAACCCCTCGAATGACCTTGACAATGCATTTTTTCAACCCTGTTGGAAAACCACGATCAATTCAAATCTATTGCTACTATTCACCCCAAGAAGATATGCACATCACTTCCAGCTGACGAGATTACCGGCCCGGTGGTTAGCTCGTAGCTAGGCATCCGGCTATGGCTATGGCAGTTTCCCGAGATGACCGAGCGACAGTTTGCCCGGAACAGGCAAGAATCCTGATCCTGCGCACTCGAGCCAAGCCTTGTCCGGGGAAGGGGGGAAGGGCGCCCTGAATGTCCGAGTTGCTAGAGGCATGCGAAGGGCGCAGAAGACAGTAGGCACGGTTAGTAGACGACTCCGTACGGACATCTTTCTCTGGTACTGAAGTAAGACGGGACGAGTGTTCCGAGGGCAAGTGCACAGCACTTCCTTTCTGGGTCGGTATGAGTGCTATTGTATGATTGCCTGGTCATCATCCGCGGCGCTATGAGGCAGCCTTTTGCCTGCGTAACCTGCACCTGTGGTATTGCATGTTACTGTGCCATTCCGGATGTCAAGATTAAAATCTATGCAGTACCTGAAACTGGACTCCGCCACGAAAAACCTGCCCTGAACCACCGCGGGAACCATGGGCGCCCCGGGCCCACCCACTGCTCGCTATTCTTAGCGCCGACCACCCGCTGACCACCCAGGGACGAGTCACAATGGCTGGTCGTCAAGACATCCAGCAGTCCATAATTGTCTCACCACGGCCAAGTGGAGCACACATGGCCGAGTCAATCATGGCGTAATCATCCCGTACGATCGACACGCCCAAGTGGCCCTCGCCAAGCACCGTTACTGGGGACGAACCATGGTCTCTCCTTTCTCTCGTATATATTCATCCCTTTCCCTCTCCTCTCGTCCATCTTTTCACTCCATCAGAATCATATTGCAGTATCGATCTCACTCTCCAGGTCTGTACATATCTTGATTGATTATTCCCACCATCAACATGCGCTTCACTCTCCTCACCCCCGTGGCCCTGCTGTCCACCCTTGGCCGAAGCGCGCCCGTCACGGACGCAGCACACGCAGCGGCCCCCGCCTGGAAAGTGACCGACTTCACCACGGGCTGCTCCCCGGGCGGTTGTACGTACTCGTTCAACATCCACGCCGCCAAGTCGGCCAATACCCCGGGCTTCAACACCACCTGCAATGGCACGGACGAGCAAGGCGGCCTCAAGCCTTGTGAGGACGCCAATGTCCTATCCAATCTCAAGCCCGAGACATACCCCAAGTGGGAGATCATTGTCCAGCACAAGTGGCACCCCGAGGAGGGCTCGACGCGCTATGCGACCGGCTCGACGAATATCACTGTCCCTGAGACAAATCAGTTGGATAGCTTTACGATGGAGCCGACCGCGGAGGCGGGCGTCGAGTAGTTGCTTCCTCGATTCATCTCCTATTTATGACTATTCGGCGTTCTTCTTCGGTTTGGTTGGAGATACCAGGTGCTTGATACACTCCTTTTACTACAACAGTACATAGTCTCTAGTCTGTATATTATTTGATACTACCTCAATTCATGATATAATTCTTGGTCGGATCTCACCTCGGTCTATCATGACATCACCCTAAAATGCAGCCACTCACACCCCGGTCCGCCGTGATAAAGCTACGCCACTTCATCACTCCCAGGGTTCATCCCCCTCCTCCTCGTCCACTCCATCGTCCCCGCATGACTTGACCTCCTCATGGTCCGTATGGTCCCTGATTGGTGTCGTGTTGAATACTGACGACATCCCCAGTCCTCCATCCTCCGCCAGATCGTCGCGGGTCCCAGATTGCAGCACCCGGAGGCGGGGTTGGATCTCTGCTATGTAACGAACAACGGTAACGAACGACACAATATCCCCCTGGGCTCACGATCACGGCTAACCAAACCTAGTGATCGCCACCTCCGGTCCCTCCGCAACCTACCCCCAGCGCGCATACCGCAACCCGCTCGATGCCCTGGTCCATTTCCTCGACTCCAAACATGGCTCCGACTGGTGCATCTGGGAATTTCGCGCCGAGGGCACAGGGTACCCAGACTCAGAGGTGTATGGCCGCATCCACCACTTCCCCTGGCCCGATCACCACCCGCCGCCCTTCGCGCTGATCCCGAACATCATGGGCAGCATGCGGAACTGGCTGCAGGAGAAGGAAGGTCGCGTCGCCGTCGTGCACTGCAAGGCTGGCAAGGGCCGCAGCGGCAGTATTGCCTCCGGGTATCTGATCAGCCAGGAAGGGTGGAAGAAAGAGGACGCGCTGCAGCGGTTTACGGAGCGGCGCATGCGGACGGGGTTTGGAGCTGGCGTGAGCATTCCCAGCCAGCTGCGCTATGTCGGATACATTGATCGGTGGACGAACGAGCTCCAGAAGGAGTATGTTGAGCGACCGGTTGAGATCCTCGAGGTGCATATCTGGGGTCTGCGGGACGGCGTCAAAGTCGCTGTGGCGGGATACGTTGATGAGGGCAAGAAGATCAAGACCCTCCACATGTTTCACCGCAGCGAGCGGACCATCGTCGATGATGGGGATCTCTCCCACTCCGAAGGGAGTGACAATAACAAAAAGCCAGCCTCGGCATCACAGTCGGCCACACCGATCATCTCCACACCAGCCTCGTCAACATCCAACATCCTCCGCTCGGCAACGACGGTCTCACAAAACCAACACCCCACTACCATGATCTTCCGGCCCAAGAAGGCCTTGATCGTGCCAACGTCAGACGTAAATATCGACTTTGAGCGCCGCAGCAAAGCCTCATACACGGGGTTCGCCATGGTAACCTCCATCGCGCATGTATGGTTCAACGCCTACTTCGAGGGCGGCGCGCAGCACGACTCGGGCGTCTTCGAGACGGAATGGGACGCCATGGACGGGATCAAGGGGAGTGCACAGAAGGGTATTCGCGCGATAGAGCGGCTGAAGGTTGTATGGCGGTATCCGCCACCGTCCACACAAGATCCAACCGCGAGACCGATCAGCGAGCCGAAACCGGGCGAGCCCATCTCCGAGTCCCATCCTGCCGACTGGCGGGGTCCGCACTTCCTAGAGCAGGATACCCCTTCCACTCTCTCCACCACCACTACAGAACAGGAGAATAAACAGCCCCCCGCTGGCATCAATACTGAACAAACTTCAGAAGCCCACCCCGTGGACACAACTACTAGCACCTCTAGCGGAGCGCCTGCCTCAGCAGCCGCACATCTATTATCCGTGGTAGGACTCGACAAGGGGCTCGGGCTGCGCAAACAAACAGACGAAAGCAAAGACATAAGTCTCGCGGGAAGCGAAGATGAGCGCGGGCGCACAGAACAAACCCACACTTCTACTTCTTCTGTCGATTTGGACGGGGTGAGGTCTTACTTTGAGAAGACGGGGCCGGACGAGCAGAAGAAGGATGGAGAGGAGGGCGGGCACTGAGCATTTCACGAGATTATAGACATCCTACGTACTATATACGTGCTTGCTTTGTTTGTGTTCGAGGCATGTATACCATATCACATACACGAAGCATATTTTGAGTTCTTCAGTTGGATAGTCATCTCTCATAGTGCAAGCTTCATTTGTAGGATATAGTCCTGTGTAACAAATTGATTGCAAACTTCTGGGAATATAACACCAGTGAAAACCATTGGCAGTGATATTAGATGCAGTTTGGCAGACTAGTCGGCCCTCAGATGAGCTCTTACCCTAGGTCCACGGCGAGATAGATACCAGCCACAGAAATATGTAACAGCTTCCTAAAATTACTTGCTTTGCTTTGGCAAAATGCTCGATACACACATACACCCAACGACCCCGATCAACGATCCAATACCAGCCCCGCCAGCAAGTCCACGCCAACCCCCTGTCAGAGGTCCCGTCAACCGCCGTGAAGCTACCGCAAGGACTCCCAGAGCTGCAGCCGGTTCACTCCAGTTGTCAACGTCCACCTGGCCGGAGTTGTACCGTAAACGCCAACTGCGATCTTTCCATTCGATCTCCTCTCGGCCCCACATCCGAGCGATCATGCCAACTCCCACTATTCCAGTCCCGATGATTCCCCCCGTACCTGCGGAGCGGAGAAGAAAGGGTGCGGTCATGGATCGACGTTTGAAAAGGACTGCCGCACCGCTGTTCAGCAAGCCGATCGCGCTGCCAAGCTGGAAGCCACGGCTGAGGACGTGGGTGGTGAGAATCGTTCGTGCCAATGGCTGGTCTTCGGCGTACTCGGCCGATGGGTAAAAGTACGACATTGTGTTCTAGAGAATGGAGACCAGCAAATAGACCGTCTGTTCACTTGGCTAGATGATTAAAGACATTGGACATTTCCGTCTTTCATCAAGGGAGAATAGGTGGTGAGATCCCGACGGTTCATCAGATCACGGGCGCAGCCTTGTCCGTCCCTCTGTGCATGAGGTAGAGGCGTCCAATGAGCTCTGGCTAGGTGCTTGCGGACTGGGGGGTGCTTAGTGGGCATTCCTTAGGTAGCGATTGGTCCCGGCGATCCTTTGGGGCGGCCACGGGAGATCCGAGCACGTCATGGACTTATTTAGTATATGTCGACAATTATCAATTTCACAGGTCCCCATGTTCTATTAAATGAATTGATGGTAGAGGGATATGTCCTAAGCTGCTTCACTCTGTAGCTCACTCCGGTTGACGCCTTTACATTAATTAGACATAAGCCTCTAGATATTATCCTCTTCGGTCTATACACAATAAATACATCTAATCCATCTACATACACCCTGAATTCAACTCCAACCCCAGCGCCGTCCATGTATTATTCTTCCTTCCAAACCCATCTCACAGCGGCACAAACCCCTCCATCCGCTTCCGATGTTCACTCTCTTGGTCCTGCGCCTCCCTCTTCAACCGATCAGACTTCTTCCGCTCATACACAGCTTTCACAACGCGACGGACCTGCTCCTCGCCCTGTGCGAAATTCGCCTTCGCCAGACCAACCACGGAGTCGATCTGTTCGGGCGTGTAGATGAAATTCCAGGTAGACAAGAAATCATCCACGTCCGGGTCGATCGAGGCCGGGTGCGGGGCTAAAGGCTGTTCTGGATCCTTCGTCTGGGAGCTGTCTTGGTGCTGCAGAGACTCGACTGCGGGACGAGGACGGCTGGGCTGGGATGTAGGCGGGAGATCTGGGGCGGATGGATTGGGGATGAGAGGGAAGTAGACGACGGCGATGCCTGCGTCAGGACGCGTGAGGTGGAAGTCTGAGTCCGAATGGTCGGTGCTCTGGGGATGGAATAGGCGTTTTGAGGGTGGTGGTTCATCATCGGAGATGCGCTCTTCCATTGTACCGACCCAGATGTTGCAGTAGTCCAGGTCACCGTCCGTAGACGAAAAGGGTTTCGTGCTTTTCATTTTTTGGTCCACTTTTTCGCGGAGGGCTTCGATGCTTTCACCTTCTTTGGGCCATCCGGCTCCCAGGGGCCAGCCCTTAATTCCCCGTTGACGAGCATAGCCGTCTACGACAGACAACCAATTCTCTTGCTTGATGTCGGCAGACGCATCGAACGCTACGATGATATCAACATCACGTCCAGGACGGATGAGCGGATAGATGGGAAGATTGTTGCTCATGCCTGCATCCATAAGCCGCAGGTACTCGCTGTGAAAGATAGACTCGGGAGCTGAGGCCGGGAGCTGGTCTTTCATGCCCATCACGTAGTTGGGGATGGCGGCGGGATCGATGGGATGCACGCGAATCAGGTCCCGGTTCTTGCCCTGGATGAGCGAGTCGATTCCACCAAATCCAGCAAGGCTCTTGAGTAGTGGTCGAATCTCTTTATAGTAGTGCGACAGGGTGGCGCAAAAGGCGCTGCCCCAAATCCCCATCAGCCCGGGAAGCCTGAGCTCGGGGATCGGATAATCGCCAGGAGGAAGCTGATTGTGGCCGGCATTGAATTGGCGCCCGAGAGCCCAAGTCGGAATCCCGGCATTGAGTTCTTCGCAGAAGAATTCGTACGGGGTGAACTCGAACCATTGGAACCATGCCTCGCTCCTAGATTCTCTCATGAGCTCCTCTGGCGTATTATGCTTGTCGGCTTTGGGATCGTTCTGTTCATCAAGCATGGGAATCTCATGTCGAACAGCCGTGTAGATCGGGAGAGGATGCGCGCCAGTCAGGAGATTTGCCTTCTGGTTCGACAACTTCATATCCGAATCCGACACTCCAAGCTCTCCACGCGGCACCAGCAGTCTTGCTGCAATGAGTAATCCGTAGATATCCACCAATCCAAAATCTGCGCCGGGATCCCCCTTGAGCTTCTCCACCAATCCGCTCAGGAGATACTTGTTAGTCGGGGCGGTAGTGAGCAGATTCAATGCCTTGGGAGGGAACGCAATATGTACGCCCAGTCGATTCTTCAGATGGTCGACGAGCCTATTGAAGTTCTGGCCCGCAATAGATGAATGGTACAGTGTTTGCAGCCAGCAGCTGCCAGATACCCCCGCGGTATAGGTCACACAATCCCAAAGCCCAGCTTCCTGTGCTGCTAGGTAGGATCCAGTTCCCGCAACGAGGGCGCGCAGCCCCCTCCGGAGCCACACATCGCAATGACCGGCACATCATCGGGATGGATGTCCTGCTCGCGAATATTGAGGTACGATGCCAATGCCTTGACAGCATATTTCTGGCGGTTGCGTCTGAAAGCCTGCTCCTCTGCACAGAGGTCTTTGCTCACCCGCACTTTGGCGTCCCTCAAGATTTCAGGGTTTAGATCGGGATCTTTGGCATCCGCCCAAATGGAGTCTGCTAGCGACCCGGGAGCTAAGGAGAGCTCCCGCTGCAGTTTTTGGGCTTTCGCCGGCAGCAATCGCGCCCAATCCGGAATGTAGTGCGTGATGTTGCCCCCCAAGTCCACCCATTCCCCCGAACGAACGGTGTGGGTGACCCCATCGAGCTTGTTGACAATATTGGTCCACACGGATCCATGATCACCGTCTTCCTTGCTATCTGGCAGGTCTGAGGAGGAGGAACGTTTCGAGTCCGGATCAGTTGCGTAGAGGCCAGAGGAAGTAGCAAAATAGGCTTTTTGCTCAGGCTGCTGGAGGCGTCTGCTGGATTGAGTCCACTCTCCCGCAGTGTATGCGGCCAGAGCAGCTGGAGGGACAGTCCAACGAAGACGGGCCGCCCTCATAGCCATTGCGATTGGGGAGAGGTGAGAGGACGGGAGCGCCAGCATGCAGCCAAGTGCAATTGCCGCCAACTTGATTCTCGTCAATGACGCAGGTTTATACAAAAAGGCAGGCGGTGGCCGAGATTACTCAGCCGCACCGTTTCAGGACTAGCGTTGGGGTAGACAGCTTATCTATCGACTCTGCGAACACCCGTCCGATTCACTCCTGCAGACGCGTTCACCATGGTGGCTCCGCGCAACACCGCCTATGCGGAAGAGAGCGCCGAGGTGGAGGTGCTGTATGCCAACCTCGAGAAGCTCAATCGCCTCACCAAGAAGATTCAGGGGTCCATGGTGCGCCTGGAGACCGGTGGAAAGGTCGTCAAGGAAGCCATTGGCCCCATCTACAGCAACACGCAGTCCCTCCAGATCACCAACAGCAACATTGATAAGGTCAACGATGCGATTGATCGTTTACGCCAGCCCCTCGATGCAAAGTCCCGAGAGGAGGGTGTCATCCGCGCTGGGTATGTGGTCTAGCTAGGGGGTAAACAAATCCAAGATGCTAATGGTCCCAACAGTCCGCAAGCCACCGGCCTCGCGCAGTACCTGACCGCGATGAGACGTGTTGAGAAGGCGCTGGTCGACCTCAACACGACGAACATGCGGTCCAACCAGAAAGCAATCGCCGACTTTAATAATCTTCTGAATACAGGCAGTGTGAAGCTGCAGGACATGTTCCGGGACGAGTTGAGTTTGCATATCAGCCCGGTTGAGCCGCTGCATTATCTGACCAAAGGTGTGTTGCTACCCCGTAATCTGCTTCAATACGATTGCTGACGACGAGTCCTTGTTTAGAACTCCCTTTCCCCTCCATTCCCGACGACACGATCTCCAAACTTACCCCGCTAGCTGCTGCAATCAGCTCGGCAGCCAAGAATGGGCCACTGCTTGGCTCGGGGGATAATCCCGCGCTCAAGATATATGCCGAAGTGCGCGGGTCGTACATTACCTCCGGCCTGCAGAACCTGGCCATCGCCTCCCTCAACACGGTCAAACGCAAACCGCAAGACGGCCCCTACAAACAAGGCACCAACGGGATTGGGATCTACTCGAATGCGCTAGAAGGATTTATCACCACAGAACATGCCATCATCAATCAAATCTTTACCGGGGACCAGCGAGGCTTGGCGTTGCAGGCCACTTTCCTGTCACCGATGGCAGAATATTCCAAGACTCTCCGGGAACTCAACCAATATATCAAGGCCAACCTGATGACGGATTGTTTCCTCGCGTTTGAGATCATGGAGATTGTGACAGCTATGTCTTACCGAATCGATTCGAAGACGGGAGAGCTAAAGAGTCTCTTCATCGAAGCTCTAAGGCCCGTGCGGGAAACTGCAAAGTCATCTCTCTCAGAGCTGCTAGAAGAGACAAAACGCAAGGCTTCCAGCTCGTCGGCCCTGCCTCCAGATGGCGGATCGGTGCCGCTTGTGACGGAGGTGATGAGCTCACTCTCTACCCTGACAGGCTACTCAGGACCATTAGCCTCGATCTTGACGTCAGTCGGTGATGGGAACTGGCGCTCGCGAACCAACACGTCCGGTGCGGCTCCCCTGGATGTCGGCCCGGATAGTAGTACCCTTCTGTCTCACTTTATTCTGGATATGATTGAGGCCCTCATGACTTCTTTGGAAGCACGGGGTCGGAATTTCCACCGCACCAAGGCCGCTCTTGGTGTGTTTCTGTCGAATGTTTTCTGTATTGTCGACCGATCGATTCGCCAGAGCCCCGAACTGGCGCGTTATCTCGGTGCACCGGACAGCATCGCCCGCATCGACACATTCCGCAAGCGTGCAACCTCGACCTATCTCGATGCGTGGAAGGAAACCTCTCAGTGCTTGCTTGACGTGCAGTACACCTCCAAGACTGGGTCTCGGACCAGTTCCGGGGGCGCTGTGGACTCGAGCTCCATTATCAAGAACTTGTCGTCACGCGACCGGGATGCGATCAAGGAGAAATTCAAATCCTTTAATGCGAGCTTCGACGATATGGTGTCCAAGCACAAATCGCTGCACATGGAACGGGAGGTACGCAACGTGCTCGCTCGGGAGTTGCAGGCTGTACTCGAGCCGCTGTACTCGCGCTTCTGGGATCGGTACCATGAGGTCGACAAGGGACGGGGCAAGTACATCAAGTACGACAAGACCGGCCTGTCGACTCAGCTGGCACAGCTCGCCTAGTATCGCCTCAGGCATTAGAAGCAATAATGAATACATACTCCATCCCGGAAATAGAATATTTATGCCTCAGGCTGCCATCTCCGATAACGTGACTGATAACACCCACACCCCGCGACAAGCCAAAAATTTCCTCGAACTTTCCACTCATTATTGAATCAATTGATTGACACAACACAGACATCATGTCTGAAAGCAACGATGTCTACCAGACGCCCCTCAACTCGCGTTATTCGAGTAAGACTTTTCCGTCCAACAATTCTCCCGACGGACGATTCCGGAAGTGATAGATTAACGGGGTCCAATTGATAGGCAAGGAGATGAAATACCTCTTCTCCCCTCGTATGCGGTTCTCAACCTGGCGTAAGCTGTGGGTGTGGTTGGCCGAATCTCAGAAAGGTAGGATACCCTACCAACCAACTCGCCGACCCGACATCGGACTAATCAAGGTCTCTAGAGCTGGGACTCCCCATCACCGACGAAGCCGTGGAGCAGATGAAGGCCCATGTCATGATTCAGGATGAAGAGTTCGCTGTGGCAGCCGAGGAGGAGAAGCGCCGGCGACACGACGTGATGGCCCACGTTCACACCTTCGGACTGGCCGCCCCCGCCGCAGCTGGAATCATCCACTGGGGCGCCACCTCGTGCTACTGCACTGATAACGCGGACCTGATTCTCCTGCGAGACGGCCTAGATATTCTGATCCCCAAGCTAGCCGTGGTCATCGATAAGCTCTCAGCCTTCGCCAAGGAGTACAAGGACCTGCCGTGTCTGGGTTTCACGCACGGCCAGCCCGCCCAGCTAGTCACTGTCGGCAAGCGCGCCTGTCTGTGGATCCAGGATCTGCTGATGGATCTGCGGAATCTCGAGCGCGCGCGGGACGATTTGCGCTTCCGCGGTGTCAAGGGTACCACGGGTACGCAGGCTTCTTTCCTGCAGATCTTCAACGGGGACCACGCCAAGGTTGAGAAGTTGGATGAGCTCGTCACTGAGAAGGCCGGCTTCAGCTCCGCGTTCATTATCTCCAGCCAGACGTACTCTCGGAAGATTGATGTGGATGTCGGCAATGCTCTGGGCTCGTTTGGTTCGACCTGCGAGCGCATTGGTATTGATATTCGCCACTTGGCTATGCTCAAGGAGGTTGAGGAGCCGTTTGAGAAGGATCAAATCGGTAGCAGTGCTATGGTGGGTTTTTTTGGTCTTTTGTTTTTGAAATTCAAACTAATCTTGTCCAGGCCTACAAGCGTAACCCTATGCGTTCTGAGCGTCTGTGCTCGCTCGGCCGTCACCTGCAGAACCTTCCTAAGGATGCTCTGGACACATACTCTGCTCAATGGTTCGAGCGATCGCTGGATGACAGTGCTATCCGCCGTATCAGCATCCCGGAGCTTTACCTGTCCGCCGACGCCTGTCTCATTCTTCTGAACAATGTGACTTCCGGCTTCGTCGTTTACCCTGAAGTCATCAAACGCCGGGTCAATGATGAGCTTCCTTTCATGGCCACGTAAGTGTCTCTACTTCTCTGTGTTATCAGGTACTAATATTCCTTTGTAGTGAGAATGTACGAACAAAATAATCCCATTTATATTCCATTGCTAATTATCGCAGATCATCATGGCCTGCGTGAAGAAGGGCCTCTCCCGGCAGGATGCCCACGAGGAAATCCGTAAGTCGCCATATTCCCTTTTTATGCGAGCCCCAGTTGATCGTCTCCAGGTGTCCTCTCCCACCAAGCCGCCGACAACGTCAAGAAGCAAGGCAAAGACAACGACTTGATCGAGCGGATCCGCCGCACCGCATTCTTCGGCCCCATCCTGCCCGAGCTGGATGCTCTGCTCGACGCCAGTACCTTTGTTGGCCGTGCGCCGCAGCAGGTGGAGAAGTTTACTTCCACTGAAGTCATCGCTGCACTCAAGCCGTATGAGAAGTATCTTGCCAAGGCGGAAACTGCTGCGCTGCACGTCTAAGCGGAAGCCATTCTAGTGGATGTATGAAGTAATTTGATGAGATGAAAGAAAAGTCGTGGGACGAATCAGCAATGTTATATAGATAATTCAGGAATTGATACATAAATGGTCTAGATTCTGCGACCAGTGTCTGCTGTGAATTATGCATTAATATAAACGGACTGGGCGCCCATCAGCCGGAGAGACCGAAAGACAGTCAACCCATTTCTAGAATACAAGAGTGAGAGAGAAGCACCCCATAGGAATGACAGGCATCAACTTTGTATCCAAGGTTCGATCAGAGCTTCATGTGTGGAGAAAAAGATCTAAAGAAAACAAAGAACCAAAATCGTCCGATACAGAATAGAATAGAAAAGTGCCATCAACCTCAAAAGGTGGACCAGATGGGAGAATGCAATTGAACGCTGTAGACATGCTAGTGAGAAGAATAGTAAGGGCCGTTGCTCGTCCCTGGGAAGATCAAGATCATCATGTCGTTATATGCTCGGAGCTGCTCTTGTCGGAAGTTTCGGTCAGTCGATCATCTGCATTTGTCGATTAGCGACATTAGTTCCAACTCAGACAGGTTCTTGGTCTGATTTGGGAGACGAACCATCGTCGCGGCATTCTACTCACACATAGATGCCGCTCACCACAGGGCCCGGTTTGACATAATTGCTTTTATCCCAACACCATACCCCCGTACTCCCCCCTTCCCCCGCTAGCACCTTGACCTCCGAACCCACGATACGTCATCAATTCACCGCATGAGCAGAGGGGCTGGCCTCCGGCGCCGCAAAAGGCATATAGAACATATCACGAATCAGCCAGACGATGTAGAACAAGCCGAGCACCCACAGCGAAGCCATGAGTTTGTACGTTGACGAACGCCAGGTGACGCGGCGGACGAGGCGGCGGCCATTGGGGCCCTCGATCGGACCGCGGCGTTGTGGAGGGGGCGGCGGCGAGTGCGAATGGCCGTTGGACTGCATGTGGGCGAAAGGATAGGCGAAGGCCTCGTTCATGGCGGCCTCGCTGTGTGAGGTTCGACGGCGGGCCATTATTAATGTTTTGTTTTGGTTGTTTTGGCTGTGGACCCGCGCCGGGAATGGGCTCCGGAAGAAAGAAGAAGAAGAGAGGAGACTAGGCGTATTCCGCACACAAGACCACACTCGGTGGGCCAAAAGAAGAGGAAGGGAGGGAGGGAGGAAAAAAAAAAAACCAAGAGGCAGTAGGCAACACTCCACGATGAGATAGGATGGTCGGAAGGAGTCCGTTCTACTACTATAGTGCAGGTAAGAAATAAAAGACAGCCGAATCCTTCGTGGTTTGGTTTAACGAGAGGCAAAAGGAGGGGCGAAAGACGAGGACAAGTCAGCAGTGGCCGGACAACAGCATTGAGCTCAAAGAGGGAATCTTGATTCTCCAGAAGCGGATCTGCCGCGGGCGTTGGCTGAAATGATCAGCGAATTAAGACCGCCAACCGGCGGGCGGGACTCGTGGGCCAATGCGCGAAGCAAAAGCCGAAATGGGGGAACTCTTGGGGTTCCTCGTCTTGTCGACTGTCGCGTCTGTCCGTCTCTCGATCGGTGGTGGACGGAAGACGGGTCTAGACACCCGGCCCCGGGGACAACTGTCCAGCGTCTGAGCGAGCGACTAGGGCTGATGATCGCCCCCGCCAAGAGGGACAAAAGTACGAAAAAGTACGAAGCCGAGGAGAGTGAGAATGGGATGGATGATCGGAAAATTAACCATAGGTGTTCTCCTGTCGCATGCTGGGATTCGTCAGACGAAGAATAATCATGATAACCATCCAAGAAGTCAGCAGTCCGGAACGGTGTGGTGGATCGCCTCCCCACACAGGACCTCGAGGACGGTAGAAATTGCCGTGTGTGTTGTTCTCGTGTATTCCTTTTCTTCCCGGTAGTGGATAAATAGGGGTAAATCGCTCCTTCATTTCACGAGAGCATAACAATAATCGTCTCCATAGTGAGGATGATGACTTTCGAACAGGATCCTCTCGCCAAGTTAATCATGAGGTCTTAGGTATCTTCACGTATAATCTTCTTCGCAGAATTCGTCGAAAATTTAATGTTCTTACACTCTTCTTCTCTCCTCATCCGTTTCAGCCGTGTTAAGAGCATCTGCCTTCACCTTTTCCTCACGACTTTTGGCTTCATAATAGTAAGCAAGAGGCGCCCACCCCTCTCATTCCCAACTCCGATCACCTCCTAGCACGCTTGAAATTGTTCATCTGCCTCAATTTGTGCGTATGCCAGTTGTAGATATTCACTCGAATCAACATCTGAATACGCAATTAGGCAGGGTCTTGTCTTGTCACCGGTCACCTCTGCCCATTTTCTGTGATTCGATCGGCTTTTAGTGCTGCATTATCGCCACTCCTGGGGATCACTCGCGTGGTGAAAAGCCACTGGCAAGTATGCTGGGATCATAAGCCAACGCATCGTAATGTTCTAGATTCATATCTGCTGTCCGTTTGACGTAGAGACAGTGAAGTTGACGCCCGCGGAAGCGTTTCCTTGCTGAACCTACTCTCTTTCTTCAAGATCGTTGGAATTGAATTGTTTGGTAACATAAGTTCCTTCAGGGAATCCGAGATTTCGTCACCTTAATTTGAAGATTATTTGGAATGCCGCATTGCAGAAGGGCGGCGGAACCGTACTACCCTACTAGTCAATCCACCCGGTGAGCTCTAGCTAATTAGAAAGAGAATGCTCGGGGATCTTGGGGCCAGTCAAACGGTTACGCGTAGGATTGGTGGAGAGTAATTGAAGGACGAAAGATGTTGTTCTTTTGTAGACGCTGAGCCATGAATTGACTGAGTGATTTTGTAGTTAGAGGTCCACGGGTGTATAGAAGTGCTTGACGCAACCGATACGCTAAACCGTATCGGGTATTCGCGGTCACCCGAGTATAGTCAGTCGTTGTGCTCGTGCTTTCCGTTTCTTCCCGTAGTTCCTTCACTACTAGGCACTATTACTACTACGACGGACGGGAATTCCAAGACGAGTTCAATCGCTCCTTCCAGGTGGTCACGAGAGTAGCCAAACTGGTCCTCGCTTCTTCCGACCCCGGAGCCTAAAAGCGGAGACTCCAGATCGTCTCAACCTCGGCAGTGGAACACATCGGAGCGCCCAGGTATTATTACTCACCGGCCTCCCTCGCTTTCCCTCCACATTCCTCACGCGACCTCCCCGGACCTCACCTCATTACCACCGCGGACTGTCCACTCCAGACACTTCTCCCTTCTCTACCCAGCAAAGGACCCCCGCTGAACCCAGGCCGTTGCGGCCTAAATCGCTCTAGGCATGTGGAAGCCGTCGGAGAGCCTGATGAACACCATCAGGCACTATGCCAGCTTCCCCGCCACCGGTGTCTCGCTGAGACAAATGGTGCAGTTCGGAGACCGACCATCTACCGGTATGCGACGCTTTCTGCTGCGACCGACCATAAAGAACGAACTAACTCCAGGGTAGGCACTCTGTTCCGCGCCTCTCAATTCCTCTCCGAAGAGCTCCCCATTCGCCTCGCCCACCGCGTCCAGGATCTCGGAGAGCTACCAGATGGGCTCAGTGAAATGCCCTCGATTAAAAAGGTGCAGGACTGGTATGCCCAGTCGTTCGAGGTATGAGTCATCGAGTTGATTCCCGCCTGTGATACTGACCGCGGCACCAGGAAATCATCACGCTTCCCCGGCCATCGCTCACAGAAGAAGTCAAAAGCCGTCTGCTGCGACCGGGCCGAATGAACGGTGGAGCTTCCAAGATTCTCTCCGAAGCCACCCAGAATCCCAGTGTGCGCGAGGGCCAGTACCGGTCATCTCCGAACTCGAACTCCACCTGCAATGGCAACGGGAAGGCCGCGGCGGCGGCTGGGCGACGGTACTTCTTCCCCGCCGATGATCATGCGCATTGGCCGCCCGAGTTGAACGACTATAACCAGCGATTCGCCAAGACCCTACAGCAGATCAAGCGGCGGCACGACAGCGTCGTAACGACTGTCGCACAAGGCATTCTGGAATGGAAACGGGAGCGCCAGCGGATGCAGATCGACTCCACGATACAGTCTTTCCTCGACCGTTTTTACATGTCGCGAATAGGCATACGAATGCTCATAGGGCAACATATCGCGTTAACGGAACAAACACACGTCAAGCACCCCAATTACGTTGGGATCATCTGCACCAAAACGAATGTCCGGGATATCGCGCTGGAAGCCATTGAGAACGCTCGGTTTGTCTGTGAGGACTACTATGGCTTGTTCGAGGCGCCCAAGGTGCAGCTGGTCTGCAAGGACGACTTGAACTTCATGTATGTGCCGGGCCACCTGTCGCACATGCTGTTCGAGACCCTCAAGAACTCGCTGCGTGCGGTGGTTGAGCAACACGGTGCCGACAAGGAAGATTTCCCCGTCACCAAGGTGATTGTGGCGGAGGGCAAGGAGGACATTACGATCAAGGTCTCCGACGAGGGCGGCGGTATCCCGCGCTCGGCGATCCCTCTCGTCTGGACGTATATGTACACGACCGTGGAGCAAACACCCAACCTAGATCCGGACTTTGACAAGAGCGACTTCAAAGCACCCATGGCCGGGTTTGGGTATGGATTGCCGATCAGTCGACTGTACGCCCGCTACTTTGGCGGAGACCTCAAGCTGATCAGCATGGAGGGGTGAGTCTCTGAATTACACATCGCCCAACCAAATTAAACTAACCTAAACCCATCCAGATACGGCACGGACGTCTACCTCCACCTGAACCGCTTATCCTCAAGCTCTGAGCCCCTGCAATGACAATTACCCGTCATGAGAGATGGCCGGGTCCGGTTCACCACCTCGCACCGTCTGCACCCCAATTACATCGAGCCGGAACCCACCCCCGCGCCCTCTCGAGGACTGACGCCCATGAACGTGCAGGCGCTGCGCTCGAGACTCCGCACCCGGGAGGTCTCGGAGCGCAAGCAAGTCGGCGACGCGGAGAGTCTTTTCCAGTTGGAGCTGCGTCTGAGAGAGGAGGATATGATGTAGGTCCTTTCTCCCGGACGTTGGATTAGATTCGCGCAAAAAATATCGCAAATCTTGCTTTGCCAGACCAGACCCAATAACCCAAAAATGGGTCTGGTCTTCTTCTCTTTGGAAAAGAGAAGCAGAGTACACCACAAGAGGCAGGCCACGTTATGTTGGTTTTGCATGCTTAATGATACCCATTACTCTCCAACCCATGACCAAGGTGTATACATACTGGAGCTTTTGGGACTCATCCTTTTTGTACCTCCTAAAAACTATTTTCATGGACGGACATGCACTCGAATTGCTGCTGTACTGTACTGTATTTTGAACCCAATCACCTGCTTCTGTAAATGCTTCTCCAAAGACCAATCACTACTAGTTCCTTATCAGGGAAGATCCGCCTGGGAGTGTGTCCCTAACACAACAAGAAAAATAAGCCTCCGAGGATACGGAATCATAGTTTCAAACCATAGCAGCCATTCACTCCTTCTTTTCCGAGTATGATTCCCTTCCCGCTCAGTCCTACGACCCAAATAATGAACCCTCCGATTTCCGCCCTTGAGACTTATTCCCACGGCGAGCAGGCGAGTGCCCCGCAGAAGCGGATCTCGAGCCCGGGCGTGATACAGACCTCGAAGGAGACGCGGTGCCAGGAGAGGTAGTGGGCGGCTTGCGCGGGCCCTTCCAGCCAGAGTCATCATTATCGACCACGATACGCCGGCGGCCAGGAACCAGAACGGGACCATTCTCGGAATGAACCACCCAGCGCTCGGCGACGAGCTCCTCTTGTTTTTTAGGGTTGCCCGGGGCAATAAGCTTGGCTGTGAAGCGGCGGCGGGTCATGGGGACGGACTTTTCTTGGTTAGTATTTGAGTAGGCCCAGGCACAAGGTGGAGAAAAGAGAAAGGGCATATTCTCACTTCGTTGTTGGCGAGAGCATATGTCATCAACAGCTCCCAGTTCGTCAATACAGCCAGGGCGCCATTCTTCTCTTCGCGGATACGGTTGTGGGCGCAAGCATCCTGCTTGAGGGTTGCTGTGTGGCTCATTCGAGCTGATTGGTCTGAGCTAGGGGAGTCGAGGTTGGGGATAGAGTATTCTGTCTTGTGTGAGTGATATGGGAGGTAGATTGAAACGACATCGTTTGACATACCCGCATGCAAACCCCTTAGTGATCCGAGTCGGGGTACTGCAAAGGCTGGCTCTGGAGGATCGAGCTGCATGCCACCGTCGTCGGGGTCAAAGTCGTAGTCGGAGTCTGTGTCTATATCGATGGGGATGACGGCATGGGGAGTTGTCCCGGGGGTGTTTGATCCGCTGTGTGACATTTGTGCGGAGAGTTTGATATCTAAATCAAGGATGATACTCCAGGCCAGTACGGGAGAGCCGTCTGGAAGCCGCAGAAGAAAATTGACGAGTGAAGAGTGACAGAGGGATAGGTCCTGCCCACAGAAGGCAAGAGCGACCAGTAGAAGATTTTCCACTTGCTGCCAGGTATTCACGACTTTGATGTGAATACCTTACGATTGAATTATAGATCTGGAGAGATGATGACGTCTATTTGAGAATGAGTCTCGTTCATCACCGTCCAAAAGGGCTATCATCGCACATACATGATTCAGCGCCTATCTTTCGTCTGTGTATATATTATCGGTCGAGGAAATCTGCTGAGATGGCAATTCATAATAGAGAAGCGCAAGATGGAGGATGGATGCAGTGGGGTCAAAACAGGCACCAGATGAGGTTAAATGGCTTAGTCATGGCTGGACTGCTCTTTGATATTATTTGCCCCAGAGTCGGCGCAATTCGTCGGCACAGCAGTATATCGAGGACGGAAAGTGATAATAGTTGAGCATGACGCTGAAGACTCGCTGGGTGAAGCTGAAGATCAAGACAATGAGGATTCTGCTGTGGGAGGTTGAATTTGGCTGTGAAAATGGACGCGGATTGTGCTGGATGGGTTCTACAGGGTGGCACACGTCAGCGTTTACGGGCATGACTGGAAGGAGTTGCTGCATTGCTATTACAAATTTGCTTAAATCCAGATCACATTAGCTAGTTGATAGCTCCGAACCTGCTTGTCCTGCTAACCGTTTCTGTTGGGTGGCTTATTCTCCACCGTTGAACAGTACGCATCGGGATACTCCAGCATCATCGAAAAGCGAAGCACCATCACCATGCCAAACTCCAACTGCGATCGACACGGCGGTCGCGAGCCACGAGGCGACGATGACCGCCGCGATAAAACCCACGCGTTCTAAGCAGACGCCAATTGCGACTGTGACGACGAATCGAGCTCCTCAGCGGACGAGGATAGGGACGTGGCGTTACGAATCCCACTCGGAAAAGCGCATCAAACGAAGAGTGTGATGAGGTCGCCGCAGGCGCTGTCCTGGTCGAGCAATAAAGAAAATGGTGATGTGCGAGGAATCAGAAATATATTTTTGGGATGAGGTCTGCGGGAACTAGAGTACGAGAAGCAGATTTGCAGAGGTCGTATATACTAAAGTCCCAATACCGTACGCATGTACATTGAGCCGGCTGATGGTAGTATAGCGCAGTATATGAATATTGTTTATCGCTCAAATTCCACAGACCAACGTCAAATGACCTTGAATGATATTATTCATACCTCATAATATCCGTGGGAAGGAGGTGTGGCGACCAGCCCTAACTCACACCCTCTCCCCATTTGACCTCATCACTGCAGGGGATGCCTAAGATTAAGGCCATCCATCCCCAGCCCAGGAGGTGGACGCTACTTCCCAGAGAGGACCCCAAGAGCTCAAGTCCAGGAACACACAGACCACACTCCCACCACGATCAGCACCGATCAACCCTTGCCTCCCTTCTATCCAAGATCGACAGCGATTTCACTCGGATATCTTTATAGAAGCATTCCTGCCATGGGCTAGAGAGCCAATCCCGAAATCCATTACATTCCTCGGAAGGGATGGTGCCGAACAGCGTTGCTTGTAGGGTTAGCGATGGGAGAACAATCCAACCTAGAGTTTTCCCTCCCCGGCCCCCTGGGATTCCTGAAGGAACGCAGTGGAATTCGTATAAAAGGCATCGGAATGCCATTTTCTTCGGTTGATTTCGCATTCCGTACACACTCGTTAATACTCGCCCCCTCCCTCACTCGTTGTTGTTGCTGCTTAACACTCTCTCGCCAAACCAGTCCGTCGCTTTTTGTCGTTCGTCGACGCTTCCTCTCCTTTATACAACAAGATACTCGAAAAATCGCCAATATGGTCAAGTCTATCGTTGCTCTGACACTTTTCGCTGCTGCGAGTATTGCGGTCCCTGTTCCACAGCCGGGTGTATGTATTCTCCTTCCTCGTAGATCTGATATGTTCTATGCTAATCACTACCATGTAGAACAATGTCAACACTCGAGATGGAGGCGCTAACCTCATCGGCGGCTCGGATAGCGGTGTCGCCGAGCTGCTGGGCGGTTTGACTAGCCGCAACAGCGATGCGCCTGACGAGGATAAGAATGGGGGTATACTCGCTGGCATCCCCATACTCGGCAGTCTTTTGAGTGTACGTGTTTTGTCTTTCCTCGTGATGAACTCCAACGTCCGCTAACGATTGACTTCAAGAAGAGGGATGTCCAGGATCTTGAATCCCGGAACAATGTCCTAGGCAACCTGCCCATCCTGGGTCCTATTCTTGCCGTACGTGACACCTAAAATCAGATTGATCCAAGTAGCGCTAACATGATAACAGGGCGGTGCTAAGAAAGAGAAAAAGCAAAACGGAAAGGGTACTCAGCCCCAGAAAAAGACATACGCAAGGGACGAGGGTTTGTCAGATATCGCTGGAAAACTTCCCATCATCGGATCCATTCTTCACCCCGTACGTTTTGAGTGTGAGTGGAAGAAAAAGAAAGTATATACTAACCGACTATTTTTAGGAGCGTCGCGACGAGCACCAGCATGAGGAACGCCAGATCGAGGAACTGATGAGCAAGGCAGGCCTGGGCGCTCTGTTCGGGAGTGCGCAACACGGAGTGGGTCTCCTGCCGGTAAATGACACTTCCCTGGAAACAGAATAAAGGAAAAATGTGCTAATACAGTTCCAGCAACGTCGGGATGAGGAGCAGAAGCATGAGAATGAAGCCCGCGACTCACCTCTCCAGGGCGCCACCCTCGTTGATGCTGTTTTCAAGGATGGGGTTCTCGGTCGGATCAAAGGTTTGCTTCCTGGGGTGTAAACCTGTTCTTGGAAGGCCCTGCAGGTTCAGTAATCTGTAATGGCAAGAAGAGTGAATGAGATGCTTTAGGGAGATGTTGAATGGGGATTGATGTTTTGATGTTGAGTCTGCTGCTGTATTTACTGTTGAACGCGAGCTGCAATGTCAGAAGATGATTCCCCGGATAGACATACTACGCCATATTTCTGGGGATGAGGCAAAGGCAGAGAGAGGCGAGAAGAAAACCCGAAATGAAGGGTTGTCGTTATATTGACGGAGCAAAACAGCCGCAGCTGGAAGAACCAAAACAAAGCAGAGAAAAGAACACCGAGATCGTAATTCGTCCTGCTGCACGCAAAAGCCGCCTATTCCCAGTAAACGAGCGCCGTTGGGGTATCAAATCAATCAATGCGAGAAAGCCAGAGCCAAAGCAAAGCCAAAAAAACAAAACAAAACAAGAGAACCTTCAAATTACGACTGACGACTCCGTGAGGGGTCAGTCGTAGTCCTCCATGTCCAGATCACCCACGTTCACCGTCGTCCCCAGCGCCTCTTTGCCTTCCCGGATCATATTCTGCAACTGCTTGTTCAGCCGGCGGATACTGGCATCTTCCTGGCGCTCTTTGCGGCGAAGCTGCGCCGCGTATCGCTGCACTTCCGCGGACCCTGGACTATTATTGGATCGAGGCGATGTCAGACCTGGATTCTTCGTTGGGCTCCTGGTTGGTGTGGAGGGGCGTGCACCGGAGGAATACGCGGCTCGTTTGTTGAGGCGCGGAATCTGTGCTGGTCGTCGACGAGGACTGGAGGCCTGGTAAGCCCTGCGAGCGCGGAGAGAAGGACTGCCGGTGTCGATGAATGGATCCTTGGACTCGGTTGGTACGACAACCCAGTTTCGGTCGATGTCTTCCTCGGGATACTGGCCCGGGACCGGAGTCAAATGGACTTGGTTGTGCGAGCTGAAAATGTTGTCATTTTCGACAGAAGATGGTGACTGCCACGCGCTGGGATCGAGCTGTTGTCCCGGCCCGGCGGGCATATCGTAGCCACGTCCGCCGCCTGCGTAGAACCCGCGGAACGCACCGGACCAGCACAAGTCCAAGACCTTGCCGACGACGTTGATCACCGTACGGCCCCAGCCCACAGGGGTTGCGGGAACCGAGCCATCGATACTGGGGGACGCGACGGACGAGTCGCGCCGGCTGCGTTTGCGGCTGTTGCTGCTGGGCTCTATGGAATCCACGCTGGCATCAAGAGAAGGGGGTAGGAAGGATTCGCGGTATCTGTTTTGACGGTAGTCGAGCTCGGCGGAATGGTGATCGGCTGCTGTTGTTGATGTTGTGCTTGTTTGAGTCGGATCGCGGAGCAGCGGCGTGGACCGGCCAAGCTCGGTCGGGGGTTGGAGATGGGAAGCTAGAGTCCCCGTGTCGGGTCGAGGTCGTTTACGACCGGAGATGGAGTTGTGGAGGGAGGAAGTCGCGGAGATCGAGTTGGGCACCTGGAAGGCTTCGGGTGTGCTGGAGAGATCCAGCTTTGGCGGCGCCGGCGACTCGAAATGGAAGAGAGGCATGTTGGCGAAAAGCGAATCAAGAAATCGGAGGGAAAGGAGGGTTCTCCCCCGGGTGGTTGTTGGTGAGCGAGAGGCAAGCGAGGAAAAAGAAAGGTGAGGCACAAAGATGACGCTTAGCGGGTTACTACGACAACAACCAGTAATTGCTGTGGTACCTTGTATCTATATTCAGCTAAGTGATGCAATAGCTCTTCTCATCGGATCAATACTATATATCATTCAAAGTCGTTGGCTCGTCCACTGAACCCCTGCGGCAGCAAGTCCATCATCCCCATCAACTAGCACGCACCATCCTTCTCCGCCCTGTCCGCCATCGCCCGCAATCACGGCCTCAAAGTGCTCTCGCGCATACCCCAACACACCATCATCAAAGGTTCCCGGCTGCAACCACACCGCCGGAATGCCTACAGAGTGAGCCTCCTCAAGCACCTTGAGCGTCACGGGTGGTGGGGTCACCACGGACAGTGAAGTCTGCTTAGGGTTTGGTAGGGCAGAAGGGGAGGGCTCTGTTTTTATCGAATGCGAGGGAAGAGAGATCTCCGCGGCTCGCGGGTTGAGGGGCGTCACGGGCAGCGAGTGCTGGTGGTACCAGGCAAGGACTGATATGTGTTAATAGATAATTCATGTTATAGATTGGCGATATTCACTTTTGTAACCAAACTTGGCCGGGTCGTTGCTGGCCCCGGCGACGGCGAAGCGGGGGGATGAGAAGAAGCGCTTGACAGCGGTTTCCATATTGACAGTAGAGGTTGTGCGAATTAGTTATTCCAACACGGGCTTGTTTGTAGAAGAAGAGAAGTGAGGCGGAGAGGAAGAGGAAGAAGAAGAAGAAGAGGAAGCTAATACCTCGGGTCCGTATCTCCAAATTTACTAAGCTACCCTTTTCAGCCAACTAACTAACTAATTATTTGGTCTCCTATTGATCGCAATACCTTGAAAGCCTCCACCTTCGTACCCGATTCTAGCGGGTCTTGGGTGGTCCTACGCCTCCCTGAGCTCACCCAGCTTTGAGCCTTAACGTGGGGACGGCTGGCACGGTCGGAGTGGCCACCCAAGGCTTTCCCTAACATCTTTTTCTCCCACTCACACCAACCAAGCGTGCTTCTGAGATGTCTATGGCTAGTTCCGTAACGGGACTCCTCGATCTCCCCAACGAACTCCTCTTGGAAATTACCCAACTTCTGGAATATGGCTGGGATCTAACGGCGTTTGGCGTGGCCAATCGCCGACTCTATGGGATCGTCGACGCATGCCTCTACCAGCAAACACTTCCTACCTGCAGCAACGCAGTATTGCGCTGGATTGCTGAGAAAGGCAATGAAGATGCATTTGTCAAATGCCTTAAGGCGGATATCCTCGCATATGTGGACAAACCCATCATCACGGCAGCGTTGCGGACAGCAATATATTTTGGACGCGATCGAATAGTTGAACATCTCATTAAGAATGGCATCACTTCCATTCACGATGAGGAGGAAACCGATCGCTTTGCTGCCGGGCGCCACTACTACGATACCCCGCTTTGTCGCGCTGTGAACGAGGGACGCATAGCTGTAGCACGGGTCCTGGCTGCGCATGGGGTCAACAGTTTTTATTATCCAATAAACAGGGAGCTGCTAACGCTTGCTGCATCGAAGGGAGATCTTGCGATGATGAAGTACCTTATGAAGGAAGCAGGCTTGGACCCGAAGAAACAAAGCCTCGGTGCATTGGCCGTCGCCGCTAGATCGGCCCAGACGCGAGCCACAGAGCTCTTGCTCGAACAGGGAGCAAATCCAAACCTATATATCGAACGTGAGGGATTGCCCCTTAGGATTGCAGCTGAGCAAGGTCATGTCGAAATTGTTCGTCTTTTGCTTGCATACGGCACCAACGTGAATCCCGCTCCAGCTCACCATGAGCTTCCTATCTACTCGGCAATGAGCACATATAAAAGAAACAGGGCAAGCAGAGTGGTCATTACAAACCTCATTGCCAATCATATGAATCTCAATCTGCTTCGGACAGGAGACGACAACCGAGTGACGCTTCTAACGATTGCCGCCGCGCTAGGTAGAGATGAGCTCGTCCAAGAGCTACTGCAGGAAGGTTGCTATCCAAATCATAAATGGACAGAAGGGGATCTCTATTACCACCTAGGGTCTCAAGGACCCCTCGAATGGGCTGCTGAGGCAGGGCACGACTCAGTAGTGAAGATACTACTCCAGCACGGGGTCATTGGGAATGATCGAAAGCCTTTAGCACGTGCTATCCAATATGGACATCCACAGGTTGCCAAAGTCCTACTTGATAGATACTTGGAGGATTATCGCAGAACAAGCTGGTTTAACGAACTTTTGCTTTCCGCATTAGAGCATGATGCATGCTTCGAGCTCCTACTAGACCACGGGGCTAATCCTACCAACGTCGTGAAAGAGGGAGAGTATTTGATCCAACATGTGCTCGAGTCAGGACGTCTATCACTAGCCCAAACGTTACTCCATCGAGGATTCCCGCTCAAATTTCCGCCCTTAACTCAAGGGAATAGAGAAAGATCCATCTTGTTATCCGCTAGTCGTGGAGGTGTGGCGATGCTCGAAATCCTTTTCCAAAACGGACTTGATCTACTATCCGTGGAAGACGATGATATACAACTCGCAATAAGTGACGCAATTCGACGAGAAGATGTTTCTGTCGCTAGCTTTTTCTTAAATCGAGGCTTCACAGTCCCTTGTGACGACCGGCTTCCGGAGTGCATCAACCATTCCGCCCGCCTCAAAGGTTCCGATAGCCCCACTGAAATGTTACTTGATACGTTATTAAGAAGTGGGGTAGACATTAACGCTCGAGATGAGCACCAGCGCACCTGTATCTGGGACGCTATCACTCTTTACTATCCCAATCAACTGAACGTCCTTCTGCAAAGGGGTGCAGACCCCCGTCTTCAGGACGAAAATGGAGATAGTCCTTTGAAATTTGCCGCAACACGAACCCCGCCGCTCATTGTGTACGTCAAATGCGTTCAAATCCTCCTTGAATGGATTGTTCTCCATTGGGCTGAGCTATCGGGTGAGGAGATTTACCAGCAGGTTTCAAAAGCAAAAGCTGGAGCAGTGAGGAAGAATAATCGAAGGATAGTTCGAATGCTGCAGCGATTTCAACGCGTTCATTTCGATTCAGTGTGATTATGATGGCCTTCATCCGCTATGATGCTGCACTAGTTTAGAGCTAATACCATCTATATGAAAAGAGGTCTCAAAATAAAATATCTTTGCAACGAAAACTTCTCGCTCTGCCTAGCACGGTAGCTAGTTAGCATCTTCCAATTGGTCACAAAAAATTGTAGACCTAGGAAAGAGAAATCCCGTCATCCAAAGAGCTTCTCTCTGATTCGGAAAAATAGACCCCGTAAAAGAATCTACAAACTTATTATTCTACATGTCCGTGATTAAGGCAAGCTACCATACGGTTCCGAGGTCCGTTTTTACTATTGTAGGAAAAATGAATCTTGGCAATATGTTCTCTTAAAACGATACAGAAGCCACTTGCCATCCTTCAGCAATCAAATCGTCAAGGTGCGCAGTCAAAACATTAGTTCCATCGAACTGATGGAAGAAGCCACCCACCCCACCTGTCTCGCAGTTGACGATCGGGGCGCCGCAAATACCCTCCGAAATAGCCATATTGACAGCACCAAACACTGAACCGAGAGTATACGATTGCCATTGTCGGAAATCGATCGCTGGATGTTCAGTGGGCCGCACCGGTGCTTCGAACAATCTCCCATACGCCATAATGCTCACAAGACCTGAACTCATTCCATCTACTTCACTCCACGACCCCTGTTCGATTTGATCACCTTTCAACAGAAATCGAGGGGGTTCGGCTTGAAAATAACAGCTGTTCGTAAACTGGGCCGATGCAGCTGGTGTGAGGCCAACAAGGGCAACGTCTATTTCAGGGCGTCTATCGAAAACTTCCCCGATCCTGTCTGCGGACGCGCGCGGGTGGTATACCTCGGTAGATAGCAGGAAACCATGGTTGGCGACTGTCAATGCTTCCTCCCCGCGAGGATTGCGAATCTTCACACCCGAGGTTGTAGCGAAGTTGGCAAACTCGTTCGCGGACCCTGGAGAACCGGAACCACATTCTAGTCTGCATCCAGGTGAGAGGTAGGAGGCCCGGAGATAGTTCGAGTCGTCTTGCGGTAGAGACTGACTCCAATCCTCATGAGCCTGGGGATCGATAGCTCGTTCTCGTGCTTGGTCTTTCATAGCATTGTAAAAGCGCTGTTCCTGATGGTGGTAGAGCGTGGTTCGACCTGCCACCACACCTGGAAGGGACGATGGCTGGTAGACACGTCCATCCCCAGTCTGAAGCTCGACTATCGTCCAACTCGGCAGATAAAGAATCGCTCGAACATTTGCCAGCGGTTTTAGAGCTCTCAACAACGCGGTGGTTTGCTCCTTGCTTGGAAACTGCATCGCCGGCCAACGTAGAGTAGGGCATGGGTCTGAGACGCGGGGGTTCGGATATGGAGTGCGTGGAAGGGGCTCGAGGTGGGATGCACCGATCGCAACGAAGTACACGGGCATGCATCCGATAGTAAGAGGTACTGGCTGCGGTGGCCTTGTAGTTTCAATCGATATGAACCACCCAGACATGATGACTTGCCCATTCCCAAACTTGTTTCGAATCCATGCCCATTCTTCACACGTTGGGGAACGAAACTTGCAGTTCTGCCCATCCCATAGCGTAAACGGTGCTGCATCATTCATATGTCGCGCCCCCCAAGCACCAGGGTTTTCCCATCGTTTTGGCTCTGGATGAGAGTGAGTCGTCGAAGCAACCGGCGGAACAACTGGTCGTGAACGAAGAGGGTTTGGAACTCCGTTGGTGTAGATATCGACATATGGCGAACTCGTTTGTAAACGCTGTACCTGCGACGACAACCGGACTAGAGTTGCCATGTTTTGGGCAACACGCGTCGACCGTCTGCCAGCGACTGACTGTGGTGGGCGTCACGATGATATGTGGTTAAAGAGCCGCCCCAAACGGGGCCGGCTAACGAGTTTGATAGCACGAAAATGGGAGAGGGAAAGAAGTTGAAGGGGAAGAAAGAGAAGAGAAGGAGTGAGTCATAGAGTACGTGACCGTTATCCAGCATGATTACCAAGCCTGTTTGAACCTGGGCGTAGAATGGTCGCGTCTTTTCAGGACGAGATCTAAGCGGAAATGGGGGACTTGATCCTGAGAAGGATATGCACCTTCTTGAGAATTCAACAGTCCTATTCCACGAGCGTTTTTTCCCCCGTAATTCAAGCGGCAAGAGGAACTGTCTGGCGCACTGATTGGGTTGTTGGAGGCTTCGCACCATTGCAACGTGGTCTACTATATGCACTAGGCCAGCCGGCCATCTGATAAGTAGCAAAGTAGGCTCATATTTAGTATGCCGGCCGTCCGTCTTTCTTGATTACGCAATCCCTCGCTCGAATTCTGTAGGTTTTGACAGTTCCTCTTCTTCAAATTTTCAACTGTTCGGCCGACTGGCCTAGTGGTAAGGTAAGAATACCATGACTAATCCATAACATATGGTGCATTCGCTAACATAACTACCAGGCGTCCGTTTCCGATGCGGGAGATCGCAGGTTCGAGCCCTGCGTCGGTCGATTCAATCTTTTTTTGCTTTCTGACCATGTTTTAGAATCTTTTCTCTCAGTGTTTCAAGCTCTGTTGAATGAGGAAACTCTATGGTTATTTTTCGACTTCCGAAAAAGCGTGGTTGTTGAGTAGTAATGAAAATGGTGATGTGCGTGGAATCAGAAATATATGTTTGGGATAAGTCCGAGTACAAGCAAAGTCGAAACCCAAAAAATGCTAATGTATTGAAGGTCAAGATATATACATTTCCAGGTTTGCAAAGGGGGGGTATACTGAAGTCCCAATACTCTATGCACCTACATTGACCGGCCGAGGGTAGTATATAGCACAGTATAAGAATATTGTTTATTGCGCAAATTCCACAGGCAAGCATCTAATGACTTTGTACATGATCCTTCTTGTGAAGATCTGAAGGCACAAGCCGGATTACGTGATCCTGTTTGTCGTTCTTTGTTGCTCTTCTGTATTTAGTCTATCTGTTTCCTTTTCCCTTCTGTTTCTTCTTCTTTTCTCATCTTTTCTCTAGTTTGAAGATTTTCGTAGAATGTCACTTCTTCCTTTTTGTTGAAACTGTACCCTCACACTTCTATTGCAAAATAGTTTCACTAAGAAATGTGCCAATTTAGCGAGGAAAACCCGGGCTAGACGCCAGGCACGGATACTTGAAGATGATTAAATGGGTATATTGAGACCCTACTTGGTTGCTTTCCTTGCTTAAGGGCTACCTGATAATCGGAGTCAGGTCGGTGGGGCGTGCCCAATAGCCAGTCAGGGGGGGAGGGGGCACGTAACTCTGAGCATAGGGTTTGGCTTTGAACATATACTCCGCGAAGGGCGTAGCCTTAGCCGTGACGGAGGTACGACCGAGCGACAGATGAATGGCGGTGTTGATAGCAGTATCATGATTTCCCGTCGGGAACATCTCGCGTCCTTTCTCTTTTTCTGTCGATTTTCGGAAAGACCGAAATGGGATTCTTGTACCCTTGAACACTGGTTCCTCTCGAATGTGAACTGGTAGATTTGGACCCGGTGGTTTCTACGAGATTTGCCAAAACGGGTACGTGAACATGAACATGTAGTGGGTCGACTGGTTCAGGACTAGTTGATACAGCAACGGCTGTCCCGACAAGACGATCCGAATCTGGGCTCAGTTTATATGGTTTCAGGAACTCCCAATTTGTAACTAACTACAACTTGAACTTATTCGACACCTTTCGTACGGTAATTCATCAATATGTTGGTTGATCGACTTATCCTGCGAGCAACCTAGCTCCGGGTACAGTCAGGTATCCTTCCGCCACGAAGAAATAAATCATGCGCATCACCTGGTTCTCAAGTTTTGTTCCTTTTCCACTGACCGTATGAGAGCTTCATAGACAGGGGTACTATCGCCTGGCCCTTACTTCACCCTCGCCTAATCCGGGCCCTCTGCCATAGCCTCAACGCGACGTTAGCAACCTTTAAAACATCCGACGAGTTGGCGATACTGAGTGCGATGGCGACAGGATGACTCAAAGCATTGTGTTCTATGTCCGATTCAACAAGGTTCAACAATGATCTATAATTGATCTGCCAATCCTGCTCGCTGGTTAGCCTCGAATTGAGAGGTCTGTTACAACTTCAAGTTTGAAACCTTAATTTGGGTGACTAGAGACAACAGTTGCTCCTCATTCAATCAAGCAGGTATTTCTCTTTTCGCTTTGGTGATGCCATGTAAGCGAGAAGGTGAAAGGTGAACTGTCCAGCGGTTCTTTGTTTTGGACCGATCTGCTTCGTTTTGGGACCGGTTTGCCCGCTTTTGGCCAAAATCGCGGGTTCAGCCGAGCATCGCCACAACACTCGATGGAGTTGTGGCGGACAACAGGTGACGTCTGTTTCCCTTCGAGTTATCTTCTCAAATATGGATGTTTCTTCCTGCTTGCCACCGTTTTTTCCCGTGCCGACATATTCGCCTATGACATGATCTCGGCTTTCGAGTACAAGGCTTTTGGCCACAGGTCAACATGGTCGGATAAGATCGATGTCTGCTCTTTATCAAAGACTAACTCGGTCACAGCGGGTGTCGCACTATAACCACATAGCCGAGAAGATTGAATCCTCACATTTCCGAACAATCTTGCCTAGAAGGCCAGTGGTTTCGCATGGTCACAATATCTCGAGGAGATGACGCTGCCAGCTCCGGACCACTGGCGAAATGCTCTGATCATCGTTCCCATTGTCGGAACTACTGTCGCAACAATATTCTTCATTCTTCGTCTTTGCTGTCGATATGTTGTAGCTCACAAGCTTCGCGTCGAGGACCTTCTGATGGGTATGGGACTGTTATGCACGTATGGCGTTGCCACCTGCCAGGTATACTGTAAGTACTTGGGTCTCTTCTCGACGTTAGTACGCTGACTTTCACTACCTAGCGGCGGTACATGGCATTGGAATTGATCAGCCAATATGGGTGTTGCCTCGTGAGCAAAGAGAGCGGATTACACTGGTACACCGGACAATCGTTCATTGCTCGAAGTAATTTGCTAATCCTGGCACCGTAGGCCAACTGGATACTTATTAAATTTTGGCCCTCTGCCCAACTGTTCGTGAAAACCTCGATTGTGCTATTTCTTCGCCGGCTGTTTGGCCTCAACAAGCGCTTTCGACATGCCGCCACGGCAGTCATCATTTTCGTCGTTGCCTGGGGGCTGACTGCCTTAATTGGAAATACTTTACAATGCTGGCCAGTCCAATATTACTGGATTAGGAGCATCGAGGGACACTGCATGAGCGGGCAAGACACTTTCTTCCTAGTCATCGGGTCGCTGTCAGTGGTGGAGGACGTGGTCATTCTCTGCCTCCCCTTACCAATAGTGTGGGATCTGCACACTTCCACAAGACAAAAGTTACAGATGACGGTCCTGTTTTCAATGGGTTGCCTGTAAGATGATTCAAACTATCACTTATTGGTACCAGGACTAATCCGTATGTATCACACAGAGTCTGCATTTTCAGCATCCTGCGACTAGTGGAGCTGAAACACTACCAGACTGGCAATTTGACTGGTAAAGTGCCATTACTGCCCTTACAAAACCTCAGTTCTGATGTCATGAGTAGTGAGCACCTCGTGGAACTCGATTTGGACCATCTTGGAATTAGACATGGCAATTATTTGTGGCTGTCTGTTACTCATGAAGCCTATATTCCAACCTGTCATAGGAACCGTCCGGAAGAGCGTCATAAAACTGAGCGGACCCTGCTGCCGTGAGTCTAAAGGGATGGCCATAGCCAAGTCTTCACCTCGCGAACCCAGGACGAGCGAATCCGGGATTCAAATAGTCCCCGAAGCACACATTCAATCAGCAGCGAGCCAAGTACAGGCGACTTATGAAAGTTAGAGGTGAGCTCGAGAATTCTTGATCCTTGTCCTCTACTTATACAATACCTCCTGGAGTTACTCTACGTGGCCGAGATCTGCTACATGGCTGCCGAATCCTTGACCCAACTGACGTTCCTCGCGTTCTATCTCCGCATCTTTCCGAACAGTAACTTCCACTGGATTGCATTTGGATTAATGTGTCTGTCGATTTGCTTCGGTATTTCCAACAACTTCGTCATGATTTTCCAATGTACACCGGGAAAGAAGCAATGTGTGCCCCGTGGATCCGTGAAAGGTTCGGATAAAAATGCCATCGACACGCAGCCAGCTGGTTCCCATAACGCCATGAAGACCTACTTCCAGTTGGACGCGGAACACTCCCTACGTCTGCCACGAATTGACTCGGAGAACCCGGTCGTCTACCGCGGTGAACTCTACTGTCGATATCCTCATTGCAAGACAACCACCCGGTATGCCAGACCATTCAAATTACGACGACATTATCGAGATAGTCACGGACTTACATACAGGGTATTCTCGACTACTGTGAGACAACAAGGTCGGATACAGCATGAGGCTAACATAATTAACAAACATCCGTTTTCGATGCGGGGGATCACAGGTTCGAGCCCTGCGTTAGTCGAATCATTTTTGGCTTTGAGCAAGATTTAGGCCGAAGAAATATTTTGATGACCAAGATAGCATAGTATTCAAGTAATCATACCTAAAAAGAGAAGTCTATTGAAAATTAATATAAAAAACAAGGATATATAGTATTATACAACCAAATTTTAGTTTGATTTCGTAATTTGAGTTCGATCTAATGTTGTCGATCTACTACCTCCTGCACACCGTGCGGCTGATGTCATTCTTCCCCATCTCCCATCTCCACCTTCCCTTCTGTCTCCAACACTTCCTTCTACTCCCACTTGCGCATGCCACCGTTCGTCCCCCGCAAGCGTTTCTCCTCCGAGGATCCGCCCCCGGCCAAGCGTCTCCGGCCGGACAGCCAGGACCAGCCTGCGCCTGCCATCCCCGAATCCGATGCGGACTCCGACTCCGATTCCTCGCTGAGCGATGCGCCCGAGGAGCTTGAGAACCATGACAAAGATTCCGAGGAAGAAGAAGACATCGACTGGGAAGACGCAATAGACACCAAGACCACGAGCGCAACGACTCCCGCCACGTCAGGCCCAGAGCTCCAGGATCTCGAGCTGACCCTGGACAAGAACGACGTGCACACAGTCGACATCCTAGACAGCAAAAAAGGGCCGACGAAGATCGAACGGCAGATTCGCATCCAGAGTCATTGCATGCATGTCCAATGCTTGCTCTTTCATAATGCAATTCGCAACGCATGGATCAATGACGCTAAAGTTCACGATATTCTACGTCGCAAACTGCCAGATGGAATCCACAAAGAGGTCAAGAAATGGCGCATCGCGTCCGGACTCGAACTGCCAGAACCCAAGTCAGAACCCAAGGGCAAGAAGAAAGGCAAAAAAGCTCAAAAGAACAAAGACTGGAGCGAAGACTCGGAGAGGTTAGAGCCTGGACAGCCGGATATGAGTCGCGGAGATCCGATCATCCCTCTTCTGAAGGTGCTGGTCGCATACTGGAAGAAGCAATTCCGCATTACAGCGCCGGGCCTACGCAAACATGGGTACAGACCGGTGGCCCCCCTTGAAGCGATCATCTCTGCGTTTCGCCAGGAGGAACACGACCCAGAGCAGCACGGAGAACGCATTCGTGGCGTGGATGAGTTCCGCTCCGCCGCGGAGCTTATGCAGGGCTCACGGGATGTGGGTGCACAGCTCTTCACCACTCTCATTCGGGCGCTCGGCATTGAAGCGAGACTGGTTGGCAGTCTGCAGCCATTGGGATTCGGCTGGACCAAAGCCGAGATCTACACGCCCCCCAAAGAGGAAGGTCCTCAGAGTGAACCGGAGCCTGAAGAGTACAGTGATTCCGAACAGAAACAGCCACCAAGCAAAAAGCGGCGCAATCGATACGACTCGGACCTGCCGTATCCCATTTACTGGACGGAAGTCGCATCACCCGTCACCCACGAAATCATCCCTGTCGACCCGTTGGTCCTCTCCAACCCTGTGGCAACTACTCCAGAATTTCAGGCCGCGTTCGAACCGCGCGGCGCTAAAGCCGAGAGAGCGAAACAGGTGATTTGCTATGTGGTCGCACACTCCGCTGATGGAACCGCCAAGGACGTAACGACAAGGTATCTACGACGACGGACATGGCCTGGCAAGACAAAGGGATTTCGAATGCCCGTGGAAAAGATCCCCATCCCTGGCCTCCGGGGCCAATATTTTGAGTACGATTGGTTCCGAGTGACGATGCGCGGATACGCACGACATCCGGACAAAAGAACTACGGTAGATGATATTGAAGACAACCGGGAGCTGCGACGCAAACAACCAGAGAAGAAGAAACCAGCCCAGGCGGGCGACACGCTGCAGAGCCTACGCACATCCACCGAGTTCGTGCTTGAACGATTCCTCCGCCGCGAGGAAGCTCTGCGGCCTGGAGCTGAGTCCGTCCGCACCTTTATCGCCGGCAAAGGTGCCCGGGCCAAAGAGGAACCGGTCTTTCGACGCACCGACGTGGTGAAGTGCATGTCTGCAGAGAGCTGGCACAAGGAAGGACGCCAGGTCTGCGCAGGCGCAGTGCCTCTCAAGCGAGTACCCATCCGGGCAGTGACACTCATCCGCAAACGCGAGGTCGACGAGCTGGAGCGCGAGACAGGCAAGAAACCACTACAGGGATTGTACGCGCGCGACCAGACTGAGTACATCACCCCGCCCCCGATCCAGGACGGAGTCATCCCCAAAAACACCTACGGGAATATCGATTGTTTCGTGCCGAGCATGGTGCCACAGGGTGCCGCGCATGTTCCCTGGCCGGGCACTGTGCGAGTCTGCAAGAAGCTGGGGATCGACTATGCGGAGGCCGTGACGGGGTTTGAGTTTGGCTCGAAGATGGCCGTCCCCGTGATCCAGGGTGTTGTCGTCGCCGCTGAGAACGAGTCGCTGCTGAAAGATGCCTGGCGCGTGGATGCCGCGGAGAGACAGAAGCGCGAGCAGCTCAAGGCCGAGAAGAAGATCTTGCAAACCTGGCGCAAGTTCTTGTTTGGGTTACGCATTGTTGAGCGTGTTCGCGAGGAGTATGGTGGTGGTGATTCCGACAAGGACCGGGAGCGCGATGCGCATAATCCCTTTGCTAATCGGAATAGCAGCCGGGCTGACATTCATGAGGAAGACGAGGGCGACGACAAAAACAAAAACCCTATCGACCATGGTGGGGGATTTCTTCTCCCTGATGAGGATGACGGCGCAGTGGATAATCCATTAATCGTGGAAGACCATCACCTGGATGATCGAAGCCATGCCGCTGGCCCATCGCAAGTCCAGGCAATTGACAAAGAGATTATTGAACCCGAAGACATCTCCGATACCGAGTCCGACTACACCGACTGAACTCTGGGGACAATGATGTATGATGACTTGCACTATATCTTTATTTTGTGGATTCACGGGAAAGGCTTCGGATTAGGAGTTACAGCAATAGGATTTAACATGGATGTTCCTCTTACTTGATTTTGTTTCATTATCGACAAGATCCTGAATTATTCATTCACACAAACTCACCCCCCACTTCTTCCCAAACCAGCCCTTCATCTCCCAACACCTCCGATCCCAAGGCAGCCGTTCCCCGTCCAATTTCATCGTCAGCGCATGCCTAATATAAATATCCAACTTAAAATCCCACAAATCAAAAACCTGCGGCATAGCAAACGCTAGCATGATAATCCTCTCCCTAAGCAAGGGCAACGGAATAAGATCCAAACTAGCATGATGCGGAACAAGAATCTGCGCCATTGTCGGCTGCAGATGGATGGGGATGGACTGGTTCAGTGTTGACGCTACTAGGTCCTGGGGGTTATCTGTTGGAGAGATAGTTCGGAAGAAGGGGGACATGTAGGTCTTGCGGCAGGTCATTAGTTTGTGGATGTCGAACCCGAGGCAGAGAGCGTTATTAAGAAGTGCTAATAGAGTTTTCGAGTGTTGTGTTTGAAGGGTGTTGATCACTGGGTCGGCGTTGAGGACGTGCAGGGTGTCTTTTAGTTGGAGGGTTCGGAGGGAGTTGGTGACTAGGGTGTCGTAGGAGGTCGATGTGGAGGGTGATTTGTTGAGAAGTTGTTGGCCTAGAGTATTTGATGTTAGTGAAGAGAATATAATTGGTTAGGTACCTAACATACCTTCTTCCGAATGGAGGAATACACTCAAGGCACTTTGTGAATTGTCATCGTCGAGAACCTCTGGGCTGGACCCTTCGTGGTGCTTCTCCGAGAGCGAGCGGTCGTTCTCTGATGACGACTCCTTGTCCTTGGGACTATAATATAATTCAGGAACCGGGCTGTCATTAATATTCTGCGGCTCAGCAGCACGCAAGGCATCCCGACTTGGAGCCTGCCGCCGATCCGTCAAATAATCATAATGCACCGGAGAAGAAGAAGTAGAAGTCGGGCCCGTGGACTTCGGCGCAAGGCGAATTGGCTTATCATTGCCTTTCACGGCAATCTTCTTCTGCTCTCTCTGTCTTTGTCCTGGGCCAAACTATCAGTCTGTGTTCCAAGTGAGGGATGAGAATCCTACTCCAAGCGCGCTGTGCAGCCCGATTTTGGTCTCTGCGGGCTTGGGTGAGAGCCCGCTTCTTTGGCTTATCATTTCCCTCAGCCCTAGCGACAGGCATTATAATGTATGTATTATGGGCTGGAGTCGAATAGATCAATGGCTTATGGCCCTGGGACCCTTCAAGAACAAGAGACGAAGTGGCGACGCCTAAATCCGCTTAGAGCCGAGCCAGAACGGGGCTAGCAGTTGACCGTGGCCCGAAATGTAGTGCGCGTGGCCCGAAATTAGTTAGTACTGAATTATTGAATTTCCTAACTTATAATGCAGCCTCTTATCGTATAATAGTCATACTTTATCATACTTAATATATCATAAACACAAAACAACTTCTCTTTAAAGTGTTTTTATAGTAGCTTAGCACTTCGGGCCACGTTCAGCTCCCATACCTGAGCGTGGCTCGAAACTGCCTTGTATGACTAAGGAATTTTTCGGGCCACGGTCAACTGCTAGTCCCGTTCTGGCTCGACCATAAATAAGCCATGATGGCTTACGATCGGCCGGCGCCCGAACTATGAAGTCTGTAGCAAGTATATATACCGATGTAAAGCACGGTATCAATGGAGCTCAGAAACCTCTCACTTCAATTGACTTATCATCTCAACATACTCCAGTCACCATACCATGTCCACCAAGAAAATCATCGCCATCGTCGGCGCCACGGGCACCCAAGGCTCCTCAGTTGCCCACACATTTCTAGATCTGCCCAATTGGCATGTCCGCGCTCTGACGCGGACGCCAATTTCCGCACAAGCCCTAGCCGACAAAGGTGCGGAGGTAATTCAGGCCGACCTAAACGACCCAGATTCTCTCTCCCGTGCCTTCAAAGACGTACACGCCATCTTCTTGAACACCGACTTCTGGGCACCCTTCCGCGCCGCTCTGGCATCAGGGATAGACCACGAAACGGCCTGCAAAATCGGGTACGACACTGAAGTGACAAATGGCAGAAATGCCATCTCCGCTGCGGCGAAGGTCCCCACGCTCGAACGATTCATCTATTCGGCCCTGGGACCAATGAACCGCGCCTCGGGCGGGAAGTATCCAGACTCGCACCACTGGGAGACGAAGGCGTTCCTGGTAGACTATCTCAATGACCAGGAGAAGGAGCTGGCGACCAAAACCTCGCTTATCTATATCGGCGCATATCTGCACAACCCGTTCCTGTACCCCAAGCCACAGAAAGAAACCGGTGGGGCATATGCGATGGTTATACCAGCCAGCAAGCAGATGCGGATGCCGATTATCGACACCGCGGTCTCGACGGGTCCGTTCGTGCGCGCTTTGGTTGAGGATGAGGCGCCGCGGACGAAACTGCTTGCGTACGATGAGTATCTCACTCTCGAGCAGATTATCGAGGTTTGGGAGAAGGTTACGGGAAAGAAGGCGGCCTTCGTGCAGATGGGTCTGCAGGAGTTGCACGAGATGTCCGGTGTGCCGCTCGAGATTCTGTATGCACCTGCGTTTCTGGATGAGTTTGGGTATTGTGGTGGGGTTGACGGGGTGATTGAGCCGGCGCAGTTGAAGGCCAAGGTGAACGTGAAGACGTTTGAGGAGTCGATTAGCAGGTTGGATATGGATTTTGTGCTAGGACTTCAGGGTAAATAGGAGGTAGTATATTTCAATGCATTTATTATTCTGTGTACAATTCCCACGTCTAATCCCTTGGCCGCGCAGCAGCCAAAGGCGAATCGATAGTCCCCCAGTCGGAGCTCCCATAATCTAGCTCAAAGTCTTCCTCTGGCATGGAGCTCACATGCACCGCCGGCGATGAGATAGGACTAAGCGCCACGCGAGGCCGAGACTTGAAGACGCTTGCGTAGTCAACATCTTCTTCGAGGAGCTTATCCTTCGGCGTAGAGGCGCCAGACCGGGCGACCTCTACTGGTGATGACTTTCGCGGCGTCTGGAATTGGTTGACTGGGAAAGAAGGTCGTGGACCCCGGCGTTGTCGGGCCTGCGGTTCTTGTGGAGGCAGTGATGGGAGTAGAGACATTGATTTGCGGGTGCGTTCGACAAGGCTGTAGTTGGATTTGGGCGGTTTGATGGGTTCCTGGTCTGAATCGGAGTGGTCGGAGGGAGAATGACGGGGGTCGAGGCGGACAATGGGCAACTCGGATTGAGTAGACGATCCATGGCCTGGAGAGTTTGCCATCTCAGGTGGACTTGAAGCTGGATCATCCTCTAACACTGGGGATGATACCTCAGAGCGAGCGGGCTCTGGGAGCACATGGAGTGGTTCTTCTACATAGCTCATAGCTTCTGCGAGTGGAGGAGCTGGTACACGATGCAATTTGCCGCTGATGTGAGAGATGGCTTCATTCACAGACGATATCAGAGACTGATCCGAATCTGTCAACACCCGTCGCCGATCCGTGGGCTGCCGACCAGTCCTGGATAGACTTGCAACCGTAAGAGACTGGTGGTCCCGAAAAAGTAACCGTGGTTCTTTGGAAACGGATTCTGTGATGCTTGCACGGGAATACTGTTCCTTTCGGACCGAATCATTGTATGCATGCCACTTGCGCAACCGATTCCGCTGTCGCAACACCCGAGCCTCCAGATCCATCACCAGATCTTGCTTCAGGTTGCCACTCAGACCCTCCGCGGTGGAGCCCGTTGCGCGCCCCCAAGCCTCCGAGAAAGGAAGTTCCAGGAAAGCATCGGTGCTGCTTTGCGCTCCCCCGTCCAGCAGAGCACTCGCCCATTCCTCGCTTCCTAGCCAGTTTGCCCGTAGCTCTCGCTCCAGACCCTCCGAATTTGCATGTTCAGCACCATGTTCGGACAGCGTTTCCACACGCTGGGCAAGTTCAATTTTCTTCGCATCAAGCAACCGCGAGAACTGTTCATATACCTCGCGCACACGCGCGCGACGCTCCCCCACCGCCCCCAGAGACACTTGGTGAGCAAGAATGAGCGGCACAAGATTCTGATAGTCTATTGGAGAGACAGTTGATGCCGTAGCCAATTTTAAGGCGGGAGTTCGAAATGTCTCCTCGACGGAACCCGCCATGACTTTGCGCAAAACGGCCGTCGAAAAGACGGCCACGAGCTCGTCGAACTTTTCGCCTTTGCAGTCATCCAGCATAGTCTTGCGGAGAGTGACCTCGCGCCCGAGCTCGCCATTTTTCTTTAAATCGGTCAGGGCCCGGAAGAGGGCCGCGCGGAGGTTAACGGATTGGAGTGGTTCGAGAGGAGGGAAGAAGGGCCGGAGTTTCTATTTGATCGGTTAATATGTTTCTATCTGCGCACAGAATTTTGAGGAATGTACGTTCTGCGTCTCCTCCAAGTCCCAGATGGCAAATAAGTGGAACAGAGCCCATTCTATCAGACGGATGCGCTGTCGGTGGTTCTGGGAGGATGGGGACAGTGCGCGAAGGCTGATGACGGGCCAGTCCGGCTGTTGGTCCAGCTGTAACAACCGAAGATTGCGAATAAAAACGGTCAGATGCGAGGGAGAAGACCATTTCAGCGGTTTTGGCCTGGCCCTGGAGGCAGCCATGTTGGTTGCAGTTATTCAATGTGGAAAGATAGATTGGCTAAATATTGGGGTAAACAAGGCGTTTGCACTGTTTGTTCTTCCCACCTATCTCTTCCCAATCAACTCTTCCTTCCGCTTTGTCAATTGCAACCGCCACCATGGGCTCCAACGACCAGTCCCAGTCTCCGTGGACTCCTCAGACTGGTAAGAATCCTTATAATTGCCTCGGTCCCTGTCACTAATGTCGTACCCAACAATCAGTGCTAGCCACCCTTCCTTACCCACCAGAAGAGAACTCCACCTCCCCCATCCCCTTCTTCCACCTGATCGAGCGGCTCAAGACCACGAAACGAGAGGGATGGCGACGGTTCGGGATGGCACACGGCGAATCAATCTCCGACCACATGTACCGCATGTCAATCATGACGATGATGGCCCCGCCGTCACTCGCCGTGCGTCTGAACATCCCGCACTGCACGAAGATGGCTCTGATCCACGATATGGCCGAATCGCTCGTGGGGGATATCACGCCCGTCGATAAGGACGTTACCAAGGCTGAGAAGGCGCGCCGCGAGGCGTCCGTCATGGAATATATCACTTCCACCCTGCTGGGTAATGTGCCTGGTGGGGTATTGTCCGGAGCGGAGATCAAGCGCGTCTTCCAGGAATATGAGGATAACGAGACGCTTGAGGCGCATTTCGTGCATGATATCGATAAGATGGAGCTGCTGTTGCAGATGATTGAGTACGAGCGCACCCACCACGTCGACCTGTCTGAGTTCCAGCATGTCGCCGGCCGCATCCAGCTGCCTGAGATCCAGGCCTGGGCGGCAGACGTGGTGCGCGAGCGTGGGAAGCCACCTGTTGGAACGGGCAATGGCAATGGAACTGCTTGATCTATCTTTCTTTTCTGGAGTTTGTTTTTGGGATTAGCCTTTTGGTGGTCAGGGTGCTTCTAGATACCACGATAGAGAGCAAGAGCGCAAGCTCACGGTGTCACGGTGCTGGATGTGACAGGGAATACATACATGACACGACAGATCATCATCGTCTACTCTATGAATCGAATAGCATAGACTGTAAATCAATCACTCAATCAACCGGCTCCTTCTCCATCTCCCTCGCAAGCATCTCCGCCTCGGCACGCATCTCCGGCTCCCCACGCGGTTTCCGCCCCTCGTTATCAACAACAGGAAACCTCGATCTACTCCGAACGCTTTCGTCGCCCTCGTCCGCAGAAGTATTCCCGCCGGCGTCCCTCAAAGCCCGCGCCACATCCCCCTCCGCCCCATCAAGCAAATCATAAACGGCATCCGTGCCCCCGGCATGATCCAGATCCGCCGCCCGCCGCGGGATAATATGCGCGTGCACATGTGGCACGCTCTGCCCGGCATGTATGCCGTCTTGGACGGCGATGTTCAAGCTTGCCGCGCCGTAGACTCGCTCGACCATTCGGCCCACGCGCCGGACCGTTAGAAATAGGTCGCTTGTTTCGGCGGGGGAGAGGTCGGCGACGCGGGGGACAATGCGCCGTGGGGAGACGAGGACGTGGCCGGGGAGGATGGGTTTGAGATTTACCAGGGCGAAACTGAGTGGTGTTGTGTGGAAGACCTGTTGATCCTTTGTTAGTCGCCGCTGTAAAGAAAATAACTAACACCTGAAGGGGACTGGGTCCGGGCTCAATGGGTAAATCAATTGTATTGTACCTGGGGAGTGACGAGAAAAGGACCAAAGTGGATGGGCGTAGCGCCCTTGAGGGCGGACATGGTGATGTTCGTTGTAGTGGACATGAGGAGCGGAAGACGGAAGGAGAACAGGAGATAGATAAGACCTTATCACGGTTATCAAAATGGATATCATATTGACGCCTATCGCAGAGAAAGAATGTCGTGGGCTATATTACAGTACATACACATGAAAGAAAATCCTCCTCAAACTAAGACTCTTTGGTCTCGGCCTCTGTATCGGGCTGGGTCTCGGGTTCTGCCTTGGGCCCCGGTGCAGATTCGGGTTCAGCCGTAGCATCTGTAGAGACGGCTTCTTCCTTGTTCTCTGCCACTGAAGGTGTGGGCTCCTCCTCTGGCTCTGTCTTTGGCGTTGTCTCTGGCTTCTGAGGTCCTGGTTGCTCTGAGTTCGTTGGCTCTTCAGATTGCGATGGCTGCTCTTGTGTCTCAGCAGCCGGTTCCTCGGTCTTCTCCTGTGAGCCATCTGTGGATTCCGTTGCAGTCTTCTCGACCGGAGTCTTCTCAGTCTCCTCACTTTTATTCACATTCTCCTTCTTCGGCAACCCTGACGGCTCCGCCGAGGCTTCCCGCACCGGTGATGGCTTTTGCTGGTTATCATCTTGATCCTCAGCACTCTCACTAATAGTAGTCACGCGCGATCCCGTCGACGGGCTATGTTTGTGTCGTCGTGTAGTGGCGCCGGTACTGATAGACGGGTCCATGTCCTCCACGGCCAAATTGACGGGGGTCTCATCATCCTTGCGTAGAATCGTTAATCGTCGGTTATCCATAGTAGACTCTTCGGCGGCAGCAGGCTGGACCGCGTCGGGACCCTCTGCCTCGGGAGGAATCGTGTAGTTGTCATCTGGGATGAGGTTGTACATGTCGCAGACAGTCTTGAAGAAGACATACAGACCGTCATGACCCTCAACCTCCCAGAAAACATCACGGTGTTGGAACCACGCATGCGCAAAGATGCGATACAGTCGCCGGAAGATGTTGGTCAAATGCCTCATGCTGGCCTGCGGGCCGCCTGCAGCCTCGTTGCCCAGCGTCAGCCGGCTAGGGAAGTACTTGGGGGAGGTGAGGGTGTTGGTCGCCCAGTCGAGAGTATGGCAGCAGTAATCAATAGCGCAGCATGACTTGGGCGGGTCGTGCACGGCGCAGAGGTACTGCCATTCGGACGCGCGCATTTCGGGGCATGTCTGCGATGAGCAGGGCGGGTTCTCGGCGAAGAAGGCAATGAGGAGGTTGTTGACTTTCATGGTGAGAAAGCGGCACAGTTCGTAGAGCCAGAGGGATCGGTCGACGCCTTCAGGCGGTTCAGCCAGCTGGATTGCGACCTCGCGGGTGATTGGGACTACCGTGTCTGATCCTTCAGGCTTCGTGAAATGATGGTATAGGGCTTTCAGGTGTTCTTGAAGCTGGAAAGGCGAGTCGAGCTGCGGGCGTCAGTTACCGGATCTGTTATGGGCTGGTCTTCCAAGTCCTACCTGCGACAGCGGAATCAGCGGCGGACCAAACGCCATGTCACCCGCTTTGGTGCCCGGGCGGATCCTGCGCGTCGAGCCATCATCATCGCCGGGCGACGAGCCCAGCAGGTTATCTGCGTCTTTGCCAAAAGAATCACCGACGGATGGCGACTGCGGGCCGATCTGGACCTCGGTGAACGGAGGTGGACTGGGGAGTCGCGGGGAGCTGGACGGAGAGACTCCCGCAGCAGTCATGGCGAGAGGGAGCGAAATCAAACGAGAGTGTGAAATAGGAAGGAGAACGAACCGGGCCCTGTGGCGGGCATGGAAGGAGTGGAGGAGAACAGGGACGGCCGGAGTGTTTTGTTGACGGGGGGACAGCAATCGAGTGAAGCTGCGATAAGCAAGGACAAAGCCACTGACCAACTAAACCCTAGCCCTACAATGCATCCTTTTTGGGAACGACCTCAATGGCGTGGAGAAGAACAGAAGAAAGGAATTATTAATGAATGGACATTGAAATCGTACTTCTACCGGCAGCCATATCTTATTCTATCTCTTTCTTGTTTGAGACAGCATGAGGTGGTGCTTAGGTAATATTCCAATTCATTCCAGGTCCGATGCTGGATCACCTCTTTGGATAATAATCCTACACCATGGATGACGAGGAGGCACCCCCCGAATTGGTCGATGTGTCTGCACTGCCAACAGACCAGCTATACCGGGGCCTGTCCTTGGAGGACGATGTCCCTGCGAGTCGAGTGCCCATCACCATCGTAACTGGTATATGCGAATCGATCCAACACCCGAATAGAATGCTAACAGTGTGCACGCAGGATATTTGGGAGCGGGCAAAACGACCCTGCTGAACTATATTCTCACCGTAAAACACGGCAAGAAGATTGCTGTGATCATGAACGGTTGGTCCCGGCATTTATCCTCTGCTGGACCCAAACTAACATAACCCTAGAATTCGGAGACTGTAAGCGTGTGCAATTGGACCTAGAGTATAGCTCTAATACCTCTCCGCTGAATAGCAACGGACATTGAAAAGCCCTTGACTGTGAACGAGGGGGGCCAAGAAGTCACCGAGTGGATGGAGGTGGGCAACGGATGTATCTGCTGCTCCGTCAAGTAGGCCATCTCCTCCTTTACCTCTGTTCTCAGTGATTGATATCATCCTAGAGACTCGGGTGTCATGGCCATCGAATCCCTAATGGAACGCCGCGGCACATTCGATTATATCCTGCTCGAAACAACCGGCCTCGCTGACCCGGGCAACATCGCCCCGCTCTTCTGGATGGACGACGGCCTTGGCAGCTCGATCTACCTAGATGGGATCGTGACTCTGGTCGACGCAAAGAGCATTCTCCATCTGCTAGACGAACCGGCACCAGAAGAGAAAGCCGAGTCTCACGATGCAGGCCAGCAGCACTCCGGGCACGCGCACGCCGGGCCCGTGCTGTCCATGGCGCATATGCAGATATCGCATGCAGACGTGATCATTCTTAACAAGGCGGATCTGGTCAGCGTGAATGAACTAGAGGCTGTGAGGGACCGCGTGGCGGCGATTAACAGCGTCGCTAAGATCCATGTTACGGATCATAGTCAGACGCCGCAAATTGAGGGCGTGGTCCTGGATCTACATGCGTATGATCACCTGGCGGATTTGGATTTTGGGAAGAAAGGACATAGCCATATGGACCCGGTGAGCTTTTCGGGTTGTGGGTTGTTTTGCTTCTCTTGCTGACCCTTCTAGGCCATCTCCACAATGGCTATTATCACGCCGCCCATCGCTGCAGACAAGGTTCCGCGCGTGGATGAATGGCTGCGCTCTATTCTGTGGGAATCGACATTCCCTGCGACAAGCATGTCTACAGCCCAACCCAAGGATTTCGAGATCCACCGGTTGAAGGGGATCCTCGCTCTGGACGACAGGTCATCTAAGATCATCCAGGCGGTCAGGGACGTGTTCGAGATCCGCGATGCAGAGGCAGCACCTAGCGGTGAAGACACCGCAACGGCCCAGTGTAAAGTCGTGTTGATTGGTCGCGGGCTGGGATCGAGCGTGGAGCCGTGGCAGGAGAGTTTTGAGTCTTTTCTGGCTTAAGAAAATGGATGACGATATAACATATGAAACCCAGCATAGTTACTTGTTGAGCGGCTTGCTTTGATGGTGCGATGGGCTTCTTAGTATCAAAACGATGCATTGCGAGTAATCCTAAAGAATGAAATAATACAGTTCCGTCAGAAGAGCTGCCTGTTGCAAAATAAATACTCCCAAGCCAAGTCCAAGGCGAAAACAAAATCCAAATGAGCAACCTCCAAATGACGGTGAAAAATCTCACAAGACTAGCAAATAACAAGGATGACCATAAGATCCACCAAATGCAAAAAACACAAGAAGCTTTTTCGACTCCGAAGATTTCGCCAGCGCACCCTCCATCGGTGCAAAATGCTCTCAAGGTGTCTGACTTGAACGCTGAGGCAAACGACGAGGTATAAACTGTACAGGAAAGGAAGGGTATAAACATGAGGTTCGTAAGCGTGGCGTTGTGTGGAAATGAGCACAGCCGAGTTCTATTGTAACGCGCCTTTAAAGTCCGGGTTGATTGGTAGTTGCGATTCGAAGAGAGACGATATTTGTCTGCTGCAGACACCCGCAGAAGCGGATTCAAGATCTAAGATTTTCATGGCCGGAGACAGCTCATGTTGACGAACGCCCTGGGCTGGGTTGATTGGTAGAGCGGATAGAAGAAGTGAAGGGGGAGAATGAGAGGGTCTGCTCGCTGGCTGAAGACAAGAGCTTGTCCAGCTGGATTGGCGTGTCAGTTCTTTGCTGAGGTTATTTGGCGGGGGTTGGTCGGTTTCAGTTTGGGGTGGTTCTCCGTTCGCGAAGTCGTCATGGGAGCCGTTTCGGGTAACGGTTGTCCAGCCATTCGGAGTTGGTGCATGGTTGGCATACTGCAAGTCCGACCATGCATCAATGTCATTTTCAGCCCAAGCCTTCTCCGCCAGCGGGTCTTCAAGTTGGGCAGCCTGTATCGGTGGAAGCGAAGACAGACCGGGAGGAAAGAATGAGAGCAGCTCCTTCGCAGAAAGTCTGTGGCGCGGGGTTGGATTAAGACAAATCTCAACCAGCCGTCGATAGTAATCCGGCACGGCAACCTCTGGTCCCAAGAGCAAAGGACGAGGTTGGCGCTCCGGCTCATCCTCCTCCATAGCCAAGGCCCACAGGGTCATTCCCAGCTGGTAGAGATCCGTCTTGACGCCGATATACATGGAGATGCGCTGGTTGCTTTCAATCTTCACCGCAATCTCCGGCGGCTCCCAGCCGACTGGACACCCTCGCCGGTTGATGTCGATAATTTTGGCATTGTCGTCTCCATCCACCACGATGTTCGACAGGGTGAAATCACCCTGCACGTAGCCCGATTCATGGATCTCGCAGAGGCCCTGGACGATTTGGTTTGCCCATCGTTCTCGGCGCGCAAACGAAATCGTCCCTCGCTGCTCGTACAGAAGGTCTACGAGGGCACCCTGCTCGGCATGGCTGATCAGCAAGCCCTTGACCACTTCTTGTCGCTCGTCCACCACAATTCCTTCCACTCGGACCACACTCGGGGAACCATTGAGCGCATGCAGGGCATTGATTTCGTAGAGAAACTCGTCCACGGTGTCGGGACCGGGAATTTCCTTCTTGATATAGGTCTGTTCGCCCAGCCGCACCTTGTAAACAAACCCCGACAGATGCGCCTCAAAATGTAGATGGTGCTCAGGAACGCATCGGACACCCAGTAAATGCCCGATGCTAGATATCGGCGGGTACGGAATGATCTCGTTTACATCCTCCGTCACATGAACATGTAGCCGCCCATCGCGGGTCTCGACCTTGAGATTCGTCACGGTGTCATAGAACTGGATATCGGGGAGCGATTCGCGGATGGATTCGTAGACCCGCGCGCACTTATCACGCTGGTATCGCAATTGTTTCAGGTCCTGCTCGAGCGAGTCCGGTTCAGCGCCGCGATAATCACACGAGATGGTGACCCGCCGCCAGCGGTTCGGCGTCTCGGCGTACGTGACGAAGAACTTCTCGCGTTCGGAGCGGTCGCGGAAGTGCATGCTCAGATTGAGGATCCATCGGTGCTCCAGCTCCATCCCTAGTGTAATTGGACTCCCCTCCGCCATGCCCGAGGCCTCGCGCTCGGGAGGGAGCATGTTCACGTCCGGGCAAGGGTCCCAGTCGGGGTCATCGTTTTTCTCGACGGGGTCGACGACCGTGGTTGAGGGCGTCGGGTCGGCCCACTGAACCTCGGGCGCGGACTGTCGGGGGGCCCACGCCTGGGGGTTGTGGGGACCTTGATCGGATTGTACTCAACAACGGGCCCCGGTCAACGGAGAGAGCACGACGGAAGTCCGGGTCTAACGGCTGGAGACGGTCGCGGCGTTCAGAGTTTTGTCGCTTGAAGGTTGTAGATCGAGGGAGACCGACACCTACTCTGCGAGAGAGTCGGCGGGTGAGGTTGTTGCGGTTGTGACTGTCGGTGGAGGAGGTACGGAGGTGCTGGCGGGGAGTGTTGTTTTGATTGCTCTCCTCGCGATCGTCGCGGCCCAGCCATCTTCGCAGACCCAGACGATGCCACATGCTCTGTTTCGGCGGAGCGCCCTTGTCGTCAGGAAGCAAATTCACCGGGCTACAGGCGCTGTTGGCCACAGAGATGGCCATCCGTCAGTCGCTCGGTCGTGTCAGGAAACAACGACTCGAACAACAACACGCGGCCGAAACGCCGGCCATAAGAGAGAATTGTTTTCAGACCAAGAGGCGCCGGCGCGAAACGACGGGGGGAAAAAGCTCTGTTGCCCACCAGTTTCGTCTGCTCTGCTCCTATCCGCGACGCAGCCCAGTTTCAGTTTTTGTGTTATGTCGTTTCGTTTCGCTTTCCTTTCTTTTTATGTTCGGAATTCCTCCGAATTTTATTTCTGGAGGCACCGTCAGGCCAGATTCGAGGTTGCACAATGCCGGATTGCAATGGGCGAGGCTGGGCTGGGCCAGAACGAGGTGCGCATTGGGGTGGAAAAAGCGGTGCACGAGAGTGTCGGTCTGCTTTGGCGCGGATGAAGGGAAAAAAAGAACGTTATGCAGTTGCAGGGATAGCACCGGCTGCACAATGGGCTGCAGGGGACAGTTATTATTTCGAAACGGGAGTAATATTTCACGGGGAGAAGAAGAATGGGAAATAAGAAGAGAAATAAAAGAAATAATCAATCTGATTCATCACCGGCGGCGCACAGATAAAAAGGTGGTCTGGGATGCGTGGCGGCCTGACCATACTGCCTGATTCAATATGACTCGACCTCCATCATGATGCAATGACTGGTGCGAATCGTAATTCGGATCGGAAACAGTCTGTGTCCAAGTGAGGCGCCTGACTGGTGGTTCTACTGGAGTTCTGGATCTATACACATCGTCATCATCACGAGGGATATAAACGACACGCGATGAGTCTAACCACAAGTGAGCGACGACGACAAAGAATACGAGTCTATGATTGAGATACAGCTAGCAGAGGGGAGTCTATTTTCGCCGTTTTGGGCCACGAAGCCCTACCACTAATCCAAAGTCTAGACACAAGGACCGCGAACTCCAGCCGATGCATTCCGTCGGAGGAGGACAATGAAGACGCCATGTACATCCCATGTGCAAATCAGAACTATACAGGTGAGACAATCGATATATATATATACCAGCCTTACTCCTCCGCCTCGGCTGCCTGCTTGCCCGCAGGCTTGGCCAGCGCCTGCTTCCAAAGTTGGCGGGCCTTGTCCTTATCCAGGTCGGCAAACAGCAGGTCGAAGACTTCCGAGTACCAGCTTACCGGGTGGCCCTCGATGCCCTCCTTGATGTTCTGGGGTTACTTGTTAGTTCGAGTTCCATTAATGATTGGGGAAATAACTCACCTCGGGCAGCTCAAGCCAGTCGGATGTGTTGTCCGCAGGGAAAATAACCTTGGTCGCACCAGCCCGGCGGGCAGCCACTGTCTTCTCGCGCAGACCGCCAATGCGCAGGACCTTGCCGGTGACGGTCAATTCTCCGGTCATGGCAACGGCCGGGTCGAGAGGGTGGTTCAATGCCAGAGACAGAAGGGAGCTTGCCATGGTGATACCGGCGGAGGGGCCTGGGACAAAGTGTGAGCAACGAAGGTAGATCAAAAAAAAAAAAAACAAAACTTACCATCCTTGGGAACAGCCCCCTCGGGGCAGTGCAGATGGACTTTCGCCTTCTCAAAGAACTGGTTCTCAGAGAACTGCTGGGCGATCACGGACTTGGCGAACGAGTAGGCGATGTGAGTAGATTCCTTCATAACGTTTTGCAGGTTGCCCGTGATTTCCAACCCCGGCCGCGACTGGTAAGTCAACGCGCTCTCCAGAATACATTCGACGTACAGAGCCGCACCGCCCATGCTAGTCCATGCCAGACCCATAGTCACACCCGGAGGGAACTTGTCGTACAGACGATCAGCGGTAAAGACGGGCGGGCCGACATAGTCCTTCAGCGTATCCTTGGCGATACTGAGATGCACGGAATCGGGAACCTTGAGGGCCAGTCGAGGGGTCTCGGTAGTAGACTTCTCGGGTTCCAGGGGAGCCTCTGCCGGATCAGATGGTTCATGCTCCCTGGCTTCCTCTTGCGCGGCCTTGCCCTCATCCGTCAAGGCATCTTCCTCTGCTAATACATCCTCGCCCAGTTCCTGGACGATGTTGAACGCAGCCTTACGGTACACTTTCTCGATTTGCTTCTTCAGGTTGCGAACACCGCTTTCACGGCAGTACGACTTGATCAGCTCCTCGATGGCGTCATCTTGCAAAGTCACGTCAACGTCCTTCAGGCCGGTCAACTCCCTGGCAGACGGAGCCAGATAGCGTTGGGCAATGGCCATCTTCTCATCTGCCACATAGCCAGATAGTTCAATGATTTCCATCCGGTCCAGAAGTGGCCGAGGGATTGTGTCGGTGACATTAGCCGTGCAGACAAAGAGAACCTTGGACAAATCCACGGGGACATCCATGTAGTGATCCAAAAACGAGGAATTCTGCTCGGGGTCAAGTAGTTCAAGCAAAGCAGAAGACGGGTCACCCTGGTGACCACGTCCAATCTTATCCACCTCATCGATCAAGATCAGGGGGTTCTCGGTCTGACATTTCTTGAGCGCCTGAATAATGCGCCCAGGCAGAGCACCGACGTAAGTCCGGCGATGACCCTTGATCTCTGCGACATCCGTCAAGCCTCCCACGGAGAAGCGGTAGTATTGCCTGTCCAGAGCGCGGGCGATCGACTTTCCAATACTGGTCTTGCCAACACCTGGCGGCCCCACAAGACAGAGAATCTTTCCTTCGACGGTTCCTCGCAGTTTCCCCACGGCAATGAATTCAAGAATACGATCCTTGACGTCCTTCAAGCCGTAGTGATCCTCATCCAAGACCGTCACGGCGTTCTTGATGCCGAAATTCTCAACGCTCTTCTGGCCCCAGGGAATCTGGGTCAACCAGTCGAGATAGTTGCGGGTGACATTGAATTCAGAGGCAGCAGGCTCCAGGTGAGCCAACTTGTTGATCTCTTCATCGAAGACCTTCTTGACGGCCTCTGGCATTGCGAGCTTCTCTGCCTTCTCCTTAAACCTCTCCACCAGCTTATCTTTGCCGTCGGATTCAATGCCAAGTTCTCTCTTGATCCCCTTCATCTGCTCCATCAACCAATACTCGCGCTGGCGTTTCTGGATCTTGGCTTCCACATCCTTCGTGATCTTGGACTGAAGTTGTGCGTTCATCAATTCCTTTTTCAACACGACGAGTGCCTTGGGCAGACGGTCTTCGATCTTCATTGTCTCGAGAACATCTTGCATTTCATGCAACTCGCCCGCAGAAACCGCGGCAGCAAAATCAGCCAGCTTGCCCGGCTCGTCGAGCAAATTCCCCGGGAACTGGTCCGTGTAGAAGGCGGAAATCTGATCGCGGAACAGGTGGTTTAAATTGGCGATCTCCCTGCACACGTTGACAATTTCACTGGTCACTGCACGAATGATGCCACTCTTCTTGTCATACGGCTCCTCGAGGAGGTTCTCCACGTTCACCAAGCTCACTGGGTAGTTTCGCAGAAAAGAGGTAGGTTCGTAATGATCCTTAGGTACTGGCTCAGGGGCCCCTTCCTCAAAGCTGGCCACCACATCACCTCGCTTCTCAGTCGTCTTGTCTTCAGACGTGTCCGTCTTGTTAGTCTCGTTGGGCGTCAGCAGCGACGAAATCTTGATGCGCCGGTGCGGGTAGAGAACAGCTGTCACACCATTGGTTTCACCCCGATTTTCTCCACGAAGAGGATACGCAGCTGTGATCTGGGCAAATACACCGACATCGTAGACATCGTCCAAGTTCTCGATCACATCGCCATCGGCACTGTCATCCTTGAACAAGAACGCACCCACGTATGGCTGGCCCCGCTTCATCATGTCCTGGATCGCAACGGCGACGTTCGGGTCTCGGATGGTGATCGCCTTGTAGAAGCCAGGGAACAGAGGACGCTTCGCAATAGGGATTGCCATCACCTGCGGATAAACGTCCGGGACCGCCGGCTTCTGCAGGGCCTTGTCACCTTTTTTGCCCTTCTTCCCGCTGTCGTCATTGCCGTTGTTTCCGCCGCTGCTTGCGCTGCTGGGTTTCGAATCGGCCGACGAACCACTAGGCGGGATTGGTGATGGAGTTTTGTTGGAGTCGCCTTTGCTATCGGCGGCATAGGGTTCCTTCTTTGCCGCCTCCGCGACTCGCTGGTCTTTATCTCTGGGTGATCGGTCCTTCCTCCGCGTCGAGCCCGTTTGCTCTACCGTACTTTTTGGGCCGGTTGCTTCCCTCTGAGACTCCGGGGTACGTTCCGCATCCTTTTCCTCCTGATTTGTCTCTTCCTCCTCCTTCTGTTCGGCCTCGTCCTTCTCGTTGTCTGGTGGGGGTTTCTCTCTCCGTCGAGTTGAGCTTGAGGAGAATGTGCGAGGAGTCGGCAGACGGGGGCGACCAAATTGCGCCGAGCTCAAGGCCGATTGGAAGCTGGCATTGTACCTCGGCGAAGCAAGGAACGGCCGGCGGAGCAGGGAACGGGGTGTTTGGTGGAGCGCAGCTCTCCAGGGGAGGGTCTGGCTGCGGAGCATGCTACTGGTGTCTGGGGGTGTGACAAGGCGAAGAGAACGGTTGAACGGGAGTTGAGGGAGCAGAAAACGGTGGACAACACCGTAGCACACAGCGCCAGCACAAGAGGGAAGTGAAGGTCGAAAGTTGCTTCAGTAAGCAGCACCTCTTTCATCATCGTTCCGGAGATACTTTGCTCCGAGAAACTTCTGGCAACTCAAAGCTTCTCTCTTCTACACTACCTACTGTTTACCGGCCATTCCTTTATCCAAAATCCTTCTTCTTTCTCTCTCTCCTTTCCCTCCGACGGTCGTCCGCCTTTGGTCGACGACCATCTTCTCACCTGCTGTTTGGGCATCAACTCTCTATGAATTCTTCCGCAGTAGTCCCCAAGGCCGCGGCTCTTCCCGCGCGCCTGCTGCGATCACGACAATGCCCGAACCAGAGCACACGCCCCGGACTGTGCTCATCTAGGCAAGGGCGACGCTACCACCATGTATCAACCTCTGCGTCTCCTGCTAGGCGTTTGCGGGAAGGCGTGTGCAAGAAGAAGGACTCCGTGCTCTCGATGCGGGTAAGTTGATCCTTTTTGACTGGCCAATCCGTGCCGACAGTAGCTAATTTCTATAATTTCCAGACATTTCATTCGACCTCTCCCCTCTCGGCCATCCCGGATCCCTATAAAGTCCTCGGGGTGGATAAAAATGCGTCGGCAGGCGATATCAAGAAGGCATATTATGGCATGGCTAAAAAGTATCATCCGGACACCAACAAGGATGAGCATGCCAAAGAGAAGTTTTCCGAGGCACAGTCCGCCTATGAAGTGCTGTCCGATGCCAAAAAACGAGAAAACTACGATCGGTTTGGCTCGGCCGCATTTGATCAGAGTGGCGGGTTCGACCCCAATGCTGCCGGCGCGAACCCATTCACCGGAGCGGGAGGGTTTCATGGCTTTGGCGGGGGCTTTGGTGGTGGCGGGTTTAACGGAGGCTTCTCAGGAGATATCAACTTCGAGGATCTGTTCGGAGCGTTCACCGGAGGGGCGCGTCGTGGACCACGCGGGCGCCGCAATCCGTTTCAAGAACAGATCCTTGTTGGCGAGGACATTGAAGTTCAGACCAACATCTCGTTCATGGACGCTGCGAAGGGCACATCCCAAGATATTGTCATCACGCCATTGACTGAGTGCGGAACCTGTAACGGGGATGGGTTGAAGCAAGGCGCCAAACGGTCTCAATGCAGCTCGTGCAACGGCTCTGGCACTCGTGTACATTTCATGCAGGGTGGGTTCCAGCTTGCCGCGACATGCGATACCTGCAGTGGCACCGGTATGACCGTTCCCCGCGGGTCGGAGTGCGGTAGCTGCCACGGGAACGGCGTGGTCCGGGAGCGCAAGACCATTCAAGTCAAGATTCCCGGCGGAGTTGAGGATGGCCAGCGGATGAGAGTACCAGGAGAAGGTGATGCGCCACCCACAGGAACAGCCGCCGCCGCTGGGGCGCGAACCCAGCGCGGTGACCTCTATGTCTCGATTCGAGTTGCCCCCGACCATCGGTTTAGCCGGAATGGATCCGATATCCTCTACACAGCGTCAATCCCGCTGACGACGGCTCTTCTGGGCGGTGAAGTCACCATTCCAACTCTCGACAACGAGGTCAAGGTCAAGGTGTCCACGGGCACGGGCACTGGGGATCGGATTACCCTGTCGGGAATGGGCATGAAGAAGCTCGGCAGTCGTTCGCGGTTCAGCCCTACGGGCGACTTGAAGGTCGAGTTCAAGGTGGCCATGCCCAAGTACCTGACCGGAAATCAGCGCACCATCCTGGAGGTCCTCGCCGACGAGATGAACGACAAGACGGCGAAGCGGACTATGAACTTCAGCAAGGATAGGTGAGTCTCCTCGCGTGTATCGTTTTCTTTCTATGCTAACGTGCAGCAGTCCGCCACCGAGCTCCGAGTCTGGCAACGGGGACAAGAGCGACGGGTTCCTGAAGTCTGTTTGGCACAAGCTCATGGACAACAAGAACAGCGACGGCTCGAAGCCATCCGATAGCAGCAAACAGGACACCAAGGACGACAAGAAGGACGGCGACAGCAAGAAGAAATCGTGAAGATGTGTAAATGTGCATTGTACACTATAAACCATGGGTTGTATTTACTTGTCATAGCGAGGGTGGGGGACACTGTGCGCTGTATTATTATGATTATTTTGAAGCCTATCAGACCCTCTCAGCTTTCATATTGTGCTCCTACTGTAGAATCGAGTGTATAGGTGTGCCGGATTCTGATTCGGCCGTGGGTTTGCTTTTCGCGCCTAGGCATCACATATCCCGCGCCCACTTCGGGCTTGCCACCCCATCAATCATCTTCGCGTCCATCACACACACGCGCTCTCTCTCCCTCCTCACACTCTCGAATCCTTCTTTCACTAACTAGCGAATCTCACACCTTGTTTTCTCCACCACCTGCGCATCCTCTTTCTCATCCCGACCGACGTCATTGGCAGCCCAGCCCAGCCCATTCGTTAGGCGCTGACGTTCCGCTCTCTCTCTCACTACCCCACAGCTCGTTCTCCTGCTTCACACCGACAGCTTGCCTGCCCCTCGACTCGTCACATCCCCAGCTATCTCTGCATGGGAGCGTACTGCTCCTGACGACCATCCCATCATGGTTCAGTCTCCGATGCTGTCATGTCCGCTGAAGCAGACCAACGAGATCGATTGGATACAGCCCCTCAAGGACTACATCCGTCAGACCTACGGCGAGGACCCGGAGCGCTACGCTCAAGAATGCGCGACCCTACATCGACTGCGCCAGGATATGAGGGGAGCGGGCAAGGATAGTGCTACCGGTCGCGATCTGTTATACCGCTACTACGGCCAGCTGGAACTGCTGGACCTCCGGTTCCCCGTCGATGAGAATCACATCAAGATCTCCTTTACCTGGTAAGAATTGATTTTGCCCCGACATTGATATCTGCTAACCGCGACGGTATCAGGTACGATGCCTTCACCCACAAACCCACGTCCCAGTATTCGCTCGCCTACGAGAAGGCATCCATCATCTTCAACATCTCCGCTGTCTTGTCTTGCCATGCCGCCAATCAAAACCGGGCCGAGGAGGCCGGCCTCAAAACCTCCTACCACTCCTTCCAAGCCTCCGCGGGTATGTTTACCTATATCAACGAGAACTTCCTACATGCGCCGTCGAATGACCTGAACCGGGAGACGGTCAAGACGCTTATCCACGTCACCCTGGCCCAAGCCCAGGAGGTTTTTATGGAGAAGCAAATAGCGGACTCGAAGAAACCGGGATTTTTGGCGAAATTGGCCTCCCAGTCAGCGTATCTTTACTCCCAAGCGGTGGAAACAATGCAGGACTTTGTGAGCAAAAACGTATTCGACAAGGTGTGGTCGACCCTTGTGCAGGCCAAGGCCGCTCATATGAGTTCTGTTGCGAATTATTATCAGGCGGTAGCGGACGGTGAAAGCGGATCTCATGGAGTTGCGATTGCCCGCTTGAAGCAAGCCGACAAGCAGGCCACGACTGCGCTAGGATGGGCCAAGTCATTCCCTTCGTCGGCTCCCACCACCTCGAATCTGACAGCGGAGTCCGGTCCTGCTCTGGTCGAGCTGATCAAGCACAACCAGTCGAATGTGCAAGCCGCGCTCACCACACTGACCAAGGACAACGACTTCATCTACCACCAACCCGTGCCAAATGAAGCCAGTCTGGCTGCAGTTGCGAAACTTCCGGCCGCAAAGGCGATTCCCGTCAGCGAGCTATATCAAGGACAAGATATCCAGCGGATCATCGGGCCAGATATCTTCCAGAAGTTGGTGCCCATGGCCATCACCGAGACGGCCAGTCTGTACGATGAAGAAAAGGCCAAGCTGATTCGGGCCGAAACGGAAAAGGTGGAAACTGCCAACGGTGAAATGGCCGCTAGTTTGGATTATCTCAAGCTACCGGGAAGTCTGAATATCTTGAAGGGAGGCATGGACCAGGAAATGAGCGTGGACGAAGAGTTCCGCCGCTGGTGTTCCGAGCTTGCCGGCCACACATCATTCCACAAGGCATTTGATGAGCTGCAGGAGCGCAAGGCAGATGTGACGACCCAATTGGACCAGTGCTCTAAGCAGCTAGACTTGGAAGAGAGTGTATGTGAAAAGATGCGTTCGAAATACGGTGCAGATTGGAGTCAGCAACCCAGCGGCCGACTCAACACCACGCTTCGAGGTGATGTTCGAACATACCGAGACACAATCAACGAGGCCAGCGCCAGTGATTCTCAATTGTCGGCTACGTTGCGGCAGTATGAGGGAGACTTTGATGAAATGCGGTCTGCGGGAGAGACTGATGAGGCAGACGTACTCTTCCAGCGGGCGATGCTCAAAGCCGGGTCGAAACATGGGAAAGGCAAGAATGGGGTTGCCTCTCCGTCAGAGGGCAGTCTGCTGGATGATGTGTATGACGAAGGCGGTGCTTCCGTCGCGGAACAGATCGCCACGGTCGAGGAGATTTTGAAGAAACTTAACCTGGTCAAGCGGGAACGATCTCAAGTGCTCAAGGATCTGAAGGACAAGGTGAGCTGGACTTCCGCATCTTAAAAAGACAAGAGACTTATGATTTCGTACAGGTCCACAACGACGACATCTCGAATGTGTTGATACTCAATAAGAAATCCATCACCGGTCAAGAAACTCAACTCTTTGAGGCTGAGCTTGAGAAATTCAGGCCACATCAGACCCGACTCCTTCAGGCAAACCACAAACAGTCATCACTAATGAAAGAACTGACCAAGACATACGGAGACTTGCTTCAAGACAAGCGCGTGCGAGCGGAGCAGTCCAAGTACGAAGGGATTACGCGGCAACGGAACACCGTGATGGCCCGATACAAAAAGGTGTACGAGGCGTTTAATGGGCTCACGTCTGGCATTGCCCAGGCCCGGACTTTCTATAAGGACATGAGCGAAAACGTGGAGAGTCTGCGGAAGAATGTCGAGACCTTCATCAACAACCGTCGGTCCGAAGGTGCCCAGCTTCTGAGTCAGATCGAGCGCGACAAAGCCACCGGCTTGTCGGAGCAGGAGGACCTTGAGCGAGAGAAGCTCCGACTGCTGATGGAGCGTCTGTCCACAGAACCAAAGCCGTCATCGACCTCACCATCTACAGGGTCTGCGGCTGCCCCAGCGAAGATCAAGTCCCCGCCGCCACCTGTGCAGACGCCGTCGTATCCGTCAGCAGGTCCATCCCCAAAGATGTCCCCTCGCTATCCGCCAAACTTGCCTGGCGGCATGCCCCTTTCACACTCCCCGGCGCCTTATGGCCAATACATGGGAGCTGGTTCATACGTGCCTCATCAGCCATTCCAGCAGGGCGCCGCCGCGCCGCTGTCCGAAGGCTACAATCCGATGGCATACCCGTACCGAACCCCAGTCTCCCCGCCGCCAAACCAGCAATTCTTCTCTCAACCCCCCACCCCATACGGATACTCCGGTGCCAGCCCTCCCCCTGGCGCTCCAGGAGGTGCCGTTCCCCCTTCGCATTACATGGCCTCACAGGGCTACATCCCGCCTCCGCCTCCGCCGCGCCCTCAACAGCCGAGTTATCCTCCGTCTTCGGGCGGTGCGTACCCTTCCGGTCCCGGTGGTTATGCCCAGGGCAGACCGTATCCGCACCATAAGCCTTCTTCGCATTCACAGCCACCATCCGCATCAAATGATCCATGGGCTGGTTTGAATGCGTGGAAATGAGCAATGCAATTCAATATACGGAGACGAGAAGGATCAATGTGTGAAGGAAGGGCATATCTATCCCTCTCGGCGTTTAATCATTCTGGCATTCAAGTTTCGTTATCTGAACAACCTAACCTCCCTTTTGATCATTCACTGCCTTGTTTTATTGCCTTCGGCTTTTGGCTTCTTTCTGCTAATGGTTCTCATATTTACCTGCACTGCGTTGGTTCTTATTTTAGAAGATTTGTTCTATGTTATGTATATGATGAATGGAAGATATCAATCTAGCACCTCTCCCTGGTATAGATATAAGTAAGATATTGACAATTGAGAATCACGTTGTATGTACGGTGTATGCTCACATTGTATGTATCTCCACCACCATCCATGAAAAGTCGGAAGAAGAGATGTACTATCCAAAATCCGTACCCCATCCAACACCAAAAAAAGCAGACCACAACGCCAATGGGTATCTTATAGTAGCAAGGAAGGAAAACGAAACCCGAAACCCGAAACAAATGAACAGAGCCCGTCAGTGTAAACTCAAGGCAAAAATCTCAGTCGAAACTGACGTCCTCTGCGCTCCTCACGCACGGTATACAAAAACCGCGCGATGGACTCCTGCTCCGACAACCCGGCCGAATTAAAGTGTTTCCGCACGGCGAGCGCGAACTGGTCTTTGCTGACTCGGCCTTGGGAGATGATTCGGTGGAGGGCTGCATCGTTAACTGAGCCAGATGAAGGATTGTTGGCATTGGCATTGGAATTGGAATCGGCGGAGGAAGCATCAGCATCGGCATTGGCATCGTCACTCCTCCGCTGAGAATGCGAAGCGTTATAATTCCCTCGCCGCGCCTGGCCCCGGCGCGTGGCGAGCGCCGTTGGCGAGCGCAGGCCGACCCCCTGGGATAGGATGATGCGCGAGTAGTCGTTGCTGTAGGCGGAGGGGGTGGGTAGTTTGTGGGCGTGGCGGTAGGCGTGGAGGATGTCGAGGGGGGAGGTCGGACCATGGGAGCTGTGCAGTAGTTATTAGCATTGAAATGCCGTATAATCTCGTAGAGTAGTGTATCAGATTGGATTGGATCATGGTTGGTTTGGATCCCATCTCCCAAGCAGAGCAGAGCTCGGGGGTGGTCGGTCGTCATAGAAGGCAAAAAGAAAGTGAACTCACCCTCGGCTGATCCTCCAACGCCTCGACTGGCACACTCGTCAAAGAAGCCTTCTGAGTCGATCCCGCGGGCTTGCGGCTCTTGGCCGCGGCGTTGCGGTACTCGCGCGTGCCACTGGAGGCCTCGGAGCGCGAGTCGTCCATGACGGCGGCGGTGCGCTGGCGCGGGGGTGCCATGACGTACGTCGGGGATGTCACTTTACTGTGGTGAGGTAGCGAATAGCAAGGGTTGGGGAGGGGATGCAGTGTTTGTGCACAGGAGCAAGCAACACTGGCATCAGATACAAAGCACAGGAATTGACGGCATCAAAGAGCAGCTCGTCAGACTCGATTTCGCCGCGCGGACGGACGCGGCAGAATTAGACCGTTTTGGGGTTAGTGTCAGATGGTTACATTTTGTCTACGGTATGGATGAGATGGTAGGATCGAGTATTGATCGATAGGAGAAAAATCAGTATGAAGGAAATTGATCTCTGTTGAATTGAATTGCATTGAGGGTATGGTGGCTCGTGGTCCAGAGACTGCGCAAGTAAATAACTCTCGATGCGGAGACGAAGCGTGCCCACCGCTCCTCTCGCCGACCTTCCCCTTTAGTAGTCATCCGTAGTTTGAGGCTATTATTCAGACTAGAAGGAAGTTGTTTGCGACCACTGGTCAGTTTATTGCCGCATTACCCGAGTCCGCGGAGGAGAGGGGACCCTGGGGGGGAGGGGAAGGTTAGTTGCTCCCGCAGCTCGGCCGAAATTGAAGACTTGGCTCCGTGATCAGGGGGTATCCCGAGGCTAAGGGCAAAACAGAACACCACCTGCCTGGAGGCCATAAGTTAATCGGAGAGTGGCCGATCCTCGGAAACCCCAGACTTCCAGAAAAAAACAAGGTGGCCACTTCCGAGCCTCGGATCAGAGTCGGGAATGGCAACTCGTGCGAAAGCCCGCTGACATGAGTGGTGCAGTCGGAGTGGAGACGAATCACGGCCCCCGGAAGAATGCCGGAATAAAACACAGCGAAAGGATGTGGATGAATAAAATAATAATAGTGGACTGACAGCACTAGTCAGGGGTGAAAGGCGAGAGGCGAGGGGCAAAACGTGGACAGGGCAAGTAAGACGAGCCCGACTCGGCACGGGAATGAATGCCGAAAGTCCTCGCCGAGCAGAGACCGAGCCGGAAGAGTGAATTTTTCGACGGACTCTCTCCGCTCGCCTCACCGAGGGGCCCCTTTTTGACCTGTCCTCCGTCGAGCAAGGACTCCGCTGCGCAGATTTTTTTTGGAGATTTTCCCCCTTTACACTATTGTGCCCAGACAGGCCCGCTATGTGCGGACCGCCGAGTGTGGAGCACATTATTGAGGGAAGTAAAAAGAAAAAAAATCAAAAAATAATAGACAGCCCCCTAGATCATCGTGGAGATCACAGTGGATAAGGTGCGCCATCGACACTAAGCCCCGCAACGAGAAGACCTTGCGAGCTGCCCGCTGCTGCGCAAGCCCGCCCCAGGATGGTATAATATTCAAGCAGGGTTGGCCCCGAGATTGCCCGAGGGCGTGCCTATTCCTAGGGCTGGTGGGAAGAGGAACAGCGGGGGCCTGTACCTGCAGCTTGGGTATCCTAGTGCGCCCGCGGAGGTAATAGTCCTGAACTCCTGCTGTCAAGCATTGTGTCGTCTTATCAGCGCCCGGCGATCCAGACCTGGCACAATCCAGCCGAGGCCGATCACGCCCTGAAGTCATGGACCAGAATCCTCTCCGCGATAAGACATGTGAAGGGCCACGTGAGAACAGGAATGGCCAGCGGGCTTCCCGTCAGACCGTGCCCGGTCAGGATCTCCCCGTTATGCTTACTCCGTAGAGGATACAGTAACTATGGGGTAACTCGGATCCGATGTGGACACGGTGGAAATATTATTATTCCCAGCGAAAAAACGCCGAGGGATCTCCTTCTTTCCCCTTCGCCCACACACGCCTATTGAACTCTCAGGTCCATAATCACATCATGCCCCTCTCCCCACAGATAACCATCCTCCAGGATCCTTAACCGGGGGCGGTGATATCAGGCTGATGTTCACCCGGATTGCACTAACTAGATGTTCCAGAAGCTGTGGATCGCGGATCCTCTTGGCGTGTGGCAATAGCCCGATACGGTGCGTGGGTGTATCGTGGTCTGGGCATGTTACATTCCCGTCCGCGCTCAATCAATCTTTCCCCGGATTCTGGGCCCCCGCATGGAGCAGTCCATCCACAATGCTACTGCGACTCTACCCGCTCGTTTCTTTTGCCCGGATGCAGGGGCCGGCCCGTACGACTTAATTGCTTGCTACAGTAGCTAGTTCCATATCAAAAGGAGCTCCGTGGCGTCTCGCTTGCGAACCAAGTGTCTCAGCGGTCAGCGATGCGAAACGCAACGGGCCCGTCGCACATATCCCTGGCTTGGGCTGCGGCGGGAGCACGTCATGACTTGATGCGCTGTAGCAAGGGGTGGTGGGAATTGGACTGGGCTGGGCTAGGCTGCCTTGTTTTTGGTTTTCCATTTTTTTTTTCTTTTTTTTGCCTTTTCAGCTGAGTGGACAACAAAGCGGCGTCGTCCGGCCTGGATCGAGTTGCCCTTTCGCGTCGTGCTTCCTTGCGTGATTGCGGGGGGTGTGACGAAGATAAGGAAGGGACAGATTGGTCACCGCAATAGTCGGGGGATCAACGCAATAATCCATGAATAATAAATAGCCTCGCCGGGCCCGGAGACCGTTTGTGCTCCGTGACTGTTCGTAGTAACGGACCGTCGTTCCCTGAGGCGTTCCCCGCCGGCTTTCCTGTTACGGAATTTGCTTTTTATCCGCGGGAGACGTGAGATAAGCTGGAGCGTAGGGCCGGATTCCGACTGGACATGACACCCATTCCTATTAGGTGATAAGCTGGAAGACTGCGGGGTTGAGTAATCTATGAGTCAAAAAACCTTCTCTCGACGCCTCTGACTACTTCAGCTGGTAGAGACGGTGAAAAAATTTTCTCAAATAGTGCGTGGGGGACACATTCTTAGTACCTATTATCTGTCGATCCTGCGATCGGGGGCGCGGAGGATCTTCGGACGGAAGGGGAAAAAGGGAAACCGGGGGCCCAATTCCGTGACTGTTGAAACTCGGCAAAATGCGGGTAATTGCAGACCCTCACACCTCTCACACGTCTAGCTGTACAGTAGCAGTGGTCGTTGGTGTATTCCGTATGGTGGGTTCCATCCCCTGCAGATCAGGCCAACTCCGGAGTACAGGAGGATAGATCACGCCATGCCCCAGGCAGGCTGATTTCTCCAGATCATCCCTTCCGGCGTCTGAGGCTGCCGGATTCGGCTGTGGAGCCCCCCACGTCTGCTCAAACACCCACGTCTGTCCTATCTCACGTACTCGGCAGCCGGCCCGGCAGTCGAGACGAGCAGGCCAAATTGCGGGGAGAGGGAGTCCGCCAGACCAGCTACCGATCGACGTAAACCATGGCCGTGATAGCAGTGGTAACCTGATAGCTGGTTCCTTTTACCCAGTGACCCCGCGACTGGCCTTCAAAGATAAGAGCTATGATCATCCATTGGCCATCACATGCCTCTCGCCCTATCATGGGGGCGTATCTATCTTTATCCCCAGTCTATCGGGGGCGGGACCCGGGGCAACACTGGCCGAGTCGGGGGAAATTCCCCATCGAGGAACAAAGGCATTAACGATTGCCTAATCCATCATCATGGACAGCGCTCATCCAGGGATGGTGCCATCATGATCGATCTCATGAGTGGCAGAGGATGACTGCCTCGATGAGAATCACTATGTGCTCATCGATGATCCTGGCTCGAATCAGGGCGAACCCGCGCTAGCCGGCGTAGGGACACGCACCGGATCACGCCACACGGTTCTTCAGCAAATTATGAGGTAATCCGCGTCCCCACATCGAGCATCCTGGAATGGAGTGCATACGTGTATACGGAGCGTCTCCAGGAGGGCGGAGGGCGTCAATCTGGCCTCTGCCTGGTGGAAAGCCGGTGAACGCTCGCATCCAAGACGCCCGAAATTCAAACGGCAAAAAATCAGGGAGAAAAACCCAGGTTCGCCCCCGTAGGGAGTGACTCCAACCCCTAACTAAGCCCTTCTCCACACGGACAAAAAATTCTTTTCTTTTTTTTTTTTTCCCCCGATTCCGACCTTCGCCCTTTCTCCCCGATTTCTCCCATTCCTCCCTTCCCCTCCATTCTTCTTCTTCTTCCCTCGCCTTTATTATCTCGCCCGCCCCAGATCCGCGTCCCCGTCTCTCCAGATTCTTTTCCTCTCTTCCGTCTTCTCTTCTCTTCTCTTCATCCCTCTCTCTCTCTCTTCCTCCTTCCCTCCCTTCTACCCCAACCCCCACCCAAAAAAAAGAACCTTGCCCGATCTACAACTAGTCGATCGCTCGGGCGCTTCCTTTTAGTCTGGACCCTCCATCATCCCTGCGGTGACCAGTCCTTTTCATCTATCCCAACATCCCCCGACGCCTCGGTTCTCCTTCCACATTCCCACGGCGTCTGATAAAGACCCTCTCGTCCCACCTGGGATTTTCACATGCCGTCTCCAACGTCGGGTTTCTTAAATCTACTCAACCCGCCCAACGAGGCTGCTTCGGCTACTTCAACCGACTCATCTCACTCTTCCATGGCCTCTTCTGCGAGCCTACTACCGCCACTAATGAAGGGTGCTCGTCCCGCGACCGAGGAGGTCCGCCAGGACCTTCCTCGGCCTTACAAGTGTCCCCTGTGCGACCGGGCCTTCCATCGTCTGGAGCATCAGACTCGCCACATCCGCACGCACACTGGCGAAAAGCCTCATGCCTGCCAGTTTCCCGGCTGCACCAAGCGCTTCAGTCGCTCCGATGAACTCACTCGTCACTCGCGCATCCACAACAACCCCAACTCACGCCGCAGTAACAAGGCGCAGCATCTGGCCGCTGCCGCTGCCGCGGCCGCCGGTCAGGATACCCCCATGGCCAACTCGGGCAACATGATGCCACCTCCCACCAAGCCGATTACTCGCTCCGCCCCGGTCTCCCAGGTCGGATCTCCGGACGTCTCGCCGCCGCACTCCTTCTCCAACTATGCCAATCACATGCGCTCCAATCTGGGGCCATACTCGCGCAATGGCGACCGTGCTTCCTCGGGTATGGACATTAACCTGCTGGCCACCGCTGCCTCGCAGGTCGAGCGTGACGACCACATCGGCTATCATTCGCGCGGCCCCATGTTCGGATCTCGCCACCATGGCAGCAGTCGCGGCCTTCCGTCTTTGTCGGCCTATGCCATCTCCCAGAACATGACCCGGTCGCATTCCAATGAGGACGACGATGGCTACGGGCATCGCGTCAAGCGCTCGCGGCCTAATTCGCCCAACTCCACCGCGCCCTCCTCGCCCACCTTCTCGCACGACTCTCTGTCCCCAACGCCCGACCACACTCCTCTGGCGACACCCGCCCACTCCCCTCGTCTCCGTCCGATGGGCCAACATGAGCTGCATCTTCCTTCGATCCGCCATCTGTCGCTCCAGCACACTCCCGCCCTTGCCCCCATGGAGCCCCAGCCCGAAGGTCCCAACTACTACAGTCCTGGCCCGGGCCACATGGGGCCGAGTCTCAGCGATATCATGTCCAAATCGGACGGTACGCAGCGCAAGCTGCCCGTGCCGCAGGTGCCCAAGGTGGCCGTGCAGGATATGCTGAATCCGACCAGCGGCTTCTCGTCCATGTCCTCGTCGACGAACAATTCCGTGGCTGGCGGCGACCTGGCAGATCGCTACTAATTTCGCTTTCTATTTTATGTGTTGTTATGCGCGCTACGAAACGATATAGACTTGGTGCATTACTTTGACTGATTGATCTGGTTTGCGGGCATCATCGGTGTCGGATTGGAATCTGTTCGGGTTACTTCTGCTTTTTTTGCTATTGTTTGACTTGTGTGTTTCTGTCAAGGCGTCTCTTACCTACCGATAGACGGATCTGGGGCTGTTTTTCTTTTCTTTGGATTGTTCGAGTTTCTTTCTTCCAAAAATTCTCTTACCCATCTTGTTTTTCTTCTCCTCTCCTGGAGCTGAGTTGAGGCCTGTGGTCTTGACCTCTTTTTTGACTTTTGGTCTTCTCTTCTCTTCTATTATCAACGACTTGTTGATCTACTTAATTGCTGATCCTGTTTGACGGGAATGAAAACTTGACTATCAAACCATCTTTCCATGCGTAGATGCCTATCCTGCCTATATATATATATGCTTGCCCTAACCAGTACATGTCTCTCGCTATGTGGCCTCGGTAACTACCCATGGACATGTTGACGACCTAGTTATTTCAACCAGTATTAATAATATTAATGGCAGATGTGAGTGATGTGATCAAGCCCACCAACCACCAACCAAACAGCTCACCGTCCATCACACCACGAACCCAACCCCCGCTCATCACGAGGCCCTGGCGCTCGCGGGCAGGTGTGGAAGATGTAGATAAGAGCCCGGTCGTTCTATCCTATCCCAGTCTCCGACTCGAACCTATTCCAGGAATCGACAAGTCGCAATCCGTATCTACCCAGTGCGGTTATAGTGTGGTAAGTGCAGAACCGGCCTAGTAGGTAGGATGTCTATGTATGTCGTGCATGCTGACGAACAGCAATGTGCAGATCTGTGTTGAGTTGAGTTGGGAGAACGATCATCTATCGCAGTCCACTATTCTCCAGGTAAGTCCTCTTTCCTTTCTTTCTGTGTCGCTAATCGCGCGCATGGACTCAACGCCTCGAGGTAAATGGCTGACAGCAGTCCGTCCGTCCGTCAGATTGACTGACTAACCTAGTCTTTCTTCCTCTTCCCCTTCCTCTCTTCCCCGCGCGGTCATCCTTGCGGAGCATATCGGAAGAAATAATAGTCGCAAGACCCGACGACACAGACCTGGTACCACTTCTAGTTGACTGTCGCAGTCGCAGTCCCGAACCCGCCAGTTCACCGCAAACATCCTCGATAAAAGCAAGCTCCAGTAATCTCCAGTCCCCTACTGTCGCCGTCGTCGGGCTTGGAATTTCCCAGTGTCGCAGATAAGAGCGAGAGTATCCGTATGCTCGAGAATAGGGTCATGAGGAAGGAGCCATCATCCGCCGGCTCTGACGAGTCGTGCGCATTATCAACATCATCTTCTTTGTCATGGAGTACGGCGGCGCTTTTCTCGTCTCAACCGCCGTCTTCCACGCCGAGTCCAAGTCCCAGTCCGGGGTTATATGGCTGTCTCTTCCACATGCTGGACTGCTACGAGTCCTTTGACGAGATCGCAGAATGGCGAACGCATGTCCTCGGCCATTTTCAAACACACCCGCCCCCTCCCACCGCGCGGTGTCCTCTCTGTCCGAATGTCAAGTTCACCAGCTCCGGCGCAGTGACGTCCACAGGTGCATTGCTTATGCTGGAGAATCGAGCCAGCCACGAGTCGATCCAAGACCCTTCTCCTCTCCCCACTCCAACCTTAATCCTCGCATCTGAACACGAGCAAGAACAGCCCCCCTCAGCATGGTCCCACCTCCTGACCCACGTCGCAACAGTCCACTACCAGCACGGTCACACACTAGCAGGAAGCCGACCGGATTTCGAGCTCATGGACTATCTGTACCGGTTGCGTGTGATCTCAGATGCCCAGTTCAAGGCGATGCAGCTGCCGCCTGCGCCGTCGAGTCCTGCGTATCATCGCTCACTGGATGGCGTGCGAAGGAGTATTGGGTCTGCGGACGAGCCATATTGTGCGCCCTATAGTCGGAGGAGGGAGGAGAGGCTGAGGGAGCAGACGAGTAATAATGGGGTTGGTGTGGGTTGAACTTGTCCGCCGTTCGGAAGAGAGTGGGGGATTGTATATTGTGTATGTATTTCTGGCTCGTCGTATATACTGCGTCTATATTGCCAATATATGCTATGGTCATTATAGGACTGAAGTCAAGTTGCGGTCTGGCTATAGATCCGATCAGAGTCAAACAGAGCAAACACCCGCACTTCCTCCTCCATTCCGAACCATTCATTATTTCTCTCTCATGTCCCCAGAGATGCGACCCTCGTCCTCACTACTGCGCCAGTCCTGAAATTACCCCCTCCGCGCCCACCGAATCCCGGTCGCATCGAGCACCGGCGCACCCCCGTCCACACGTTCCCTCGCCCTTCCGCCCTCTCCTTCTCTTATCACCATCCCACTCTCAACTAAATGGAGCGATTATCCCTCAACGACAGCCCTGCTGGCGGACAGCAGCAGCAGCAGCAGCGAAACCAACAGTTCCATCAACAGAATTCCCTCGGTCCCTCGGCCCCAGGCCAAATGGGCCAGCAGCAGCAGACTTCCGGCCCGCCGCAATTGCCGCCGCAAATGTTCACGACCGCGGCCCAGTTGCTCGACTTGACAGATAGTATGTGATCGCCTGGGTTGAATTGGAATGGGTGGTGGATACTGACAGGACCCAGAAAAACTTGTCCTCGTCCTTCGCGATGGGAGGAAACTGATCGGCGTGCTGCGAAGCTGGGATCAATTCGGTATGGCAGTCACATAGCCTGACACCACGCAAGTCTTTAACCATCGTTGTGTAGCGAATCTCGTTCTTCAGGAAACCATCGAACGGATCTACGCAGGGAATCTGTATGCCGATGTGCCGCGCGGCATTTTCCTCGTTCGCGGCGAGAATGTTCTTCTTCTAGGCGAAGTGGTGCGTACATTACTTCCGTGAATTTCGGTGCTGAGTGTTGACGATGTGATGTGTCCAGGACCTCGACCGCGAGGATGATATCCCCTCCTCTGTCACCAAGGCCTCGTTCGAGGAGGTCTTCGAACTCAAGAAGAAGGAAGACAGCCAGCGCAAATCCGGCGATAAGAAGCGCCACACCCATCTATCGGCGCTGGGCTTTGAGCCTGAACATAGCGGGGAGATTTTGTTTTAATGGGGAAGGATAAAGTGGTGTCGACGTATGTTTTGTATCAATGATCTCTCTATGCGCCGCGAGTGAAGGAGTTTCCGGCATGTGTGAGAGCACGACTCCGACGGCTTCGCGACCGGGCGATGAGAGGATGGCTCCGAGTGAGCCACCCACGATGGCCAGGAGCATAGATTATATCGTCTATGACGCTCCGTCTGCCAAAGTCTAGTGAATTCTTTGGCACGTATGAATCCAATGTTATAATATTATCGAGTGTTCGTCGTAGTAGAGCTTATCGATAACCCGCCAAGAGGTGATCTTTTTTTTCGTTCCTTCAGATTTCTCCACCGCCAACTTCACTCGTCACACAGCCATCATGGCGACTCTGGCGGAAAAGCTCGAGAAGATCAAGTCTCCGAAGCTGCAGAATCAACATCACGTATGTGTCCCCCGCTGGTGATTCTGTGGGCGCATGGCTAACTCGAACAGACCGCTGTGGTGCTCTCTGCCGTGGAAGACACCCTTCGCGATCAAAAAGCAGATTTCTCGCCCACAGCCTATTTTGCCGCGCTGCTCGCCCTACTATCCCAATCGCTCTCCGCAACCGAAGGAATTGTGAACAAGGACCTGGCCACCTCGGTCGTCTACCTGCTCGATCTGACAACCGCCTATGCCCCCGCCTCCATCCTCCGCTCCAAATTCTCCCAGATCCTCACCAGTCTCGCCCCGGCCCTGTCCCTGCCCGAGGTCGACGCCCCGCTCCTCCGTCCGTCCATCGGCTGTCTCGAGTCCCTGCTCATTGCCCAAGATGCGGCGTCCTGGAATCTCCCCCACACCCAGATTGGTCCTCGCCGGGCCATGGCCGGCCTGCTGAGCCTCTCGGTCGACCACCGCCCCAAGGTCCGCAAGAGGGCTCAGGATGCCCTGATCAAGGTCCTCAAGACTCCCCCGCCAAGTCCTTCGCTCGACCACGCGGCCGCTGATATGTGCGCCGAGTCCGCCATGAAGACCCTGGCCGACAGCATTGCGGCTGCTGGCAAGCAGAAAAAGGGCCGACAGGACGCACAGCACCACCGTGACACCCATGAGCCGCTGGTGATTCACTCTTTGCAACTCGTCAAGACCATTGCCTCTGCCTCGGGCGGCTGGCCGAGCAAGAAAATCGAGTCGCTGTGTGAATTGTTGATGAACGCCTCGCGCTCCAGCAACGAGTACATCACCATGGGGGCATTTGAGGTGTTCGAGGTCATTTTCGAAGGTATGGCCGATGAATTCTCGTCCGCCAAACTGCCGCGTCTGTTGGATGCCATCTCCGAGCTGAAGCCTGCTCAGAACGACTCGCAGCTTCTGCCTCCCTGGATTGCTGTTCTCTCTCGTGGATATGATGTTTCTGCACAGATTAATCCTGAAGATACGTTTGCCAAACTACCAGATCTCTTCCAGTTGATCTCTGGATTTTTGGCATCGCCGTCGAACAACATCCGTGTGTCGGCTTCCGAGTGTCTGATCTCGTTTCTACACAACTGCATCCCCGATACTGTCATCGTGGATGCGTCAGTCTACGATGAGAAGACACTGGAAAAGCTGGCTCGGGCCGCAACAGACCTTCTCTCTGTCAAGTACCAGGCCGCATGGATGGAAGTTTTTAATGTCTGCGCCGCCATGTTCGACTGCTTCAAGTGGCGATCCAGCCCGTTCCTGGTGGATATTGTCACCACTATCGGCGAGCTGCGCAGTAACGAGTCCTTCCACGGTAAAAAGGAGGCGGACCGCGTGCTGGGCAGCGCCATCCAGGCGATGGGCCCCGCGGCCGTGCTCGAGCTTCTGCCGCTGAACATCATCGACCAGAAACCCAGCCAGCCTGGCCGTGTCTGGCTGCTTCCCATCCTGCGGGACTCTGTGACCAATACAGACCTGCGCCATTTCCGGACCGAGATGGTACCCCTAAGTGAGGCGCTGTACCAGAAGGTCGTGAATTATGGGGCCGCTGAGAAGACGGTTGAAGTAAAAATTTTCGAGACCCTCGTTCAGCAGACGTGGGGCATTCTCCCGGGCTACTGCGAACTCCCGCTGGATCTGGTTGATGCTTTTGACCAGGGCTTCGCAGAGCTGTTGTCCAACGTCTTGTACAAACAGACCGAGCTACGCGTTGATGTCTGTCGTGCTCTGCAGAACCTGGTTGAGTCGAACCAGGCTATTTTGTCTGTTGAAGGCGATGAGGACGACTTGATTCTGCAGCGTCGTATCACCAAGGCTGCCGCGAAGAAGAACATTGCTCACCTCGCTGGCTTTTCCAGCAATTTGTTGGCTGTGTTGTTCAACGTGTACAGCCAGACGCTGCCGCACTACCGGGGTTATATTCTTCAGTGTATCAATGCGTATCTCAGCATTGCTCCTGAAACGGTACGCAAATTTCTTCTCGTTTATCCACAGTAACTAATAATTTTTGCGCAGGAACTTAATGACACATTTGTGCGCGTCACCTCCATGCTCGAGTCATCTCTGGCTTCCGAGCAAGAGGCCGCCGCCGCCGCCAAACAGGCCGACTCAAGCTCAGCCGACAAGATGCCGCCAACCTCCCACACTCTGATTGACCTGGTCATTGCCATGTCTATCTACCTGCCGCGCTCGAGCTTCAGTGGTCTGTTCGCCCTCGCAGCACACATTCTGAACAGCCCATCTTCGAACCCGGACCAGCAACTCATCAAGAAGGCCTACAAGTTGATTCCCCGTCTTGCTTCCACTGAGACGGGCAGTGCCGCTCTGCAGGAACGCAGCGGCGAGCTGCACGCCCTCATGCTGGCCACGTCCGACAAAACCCCGGCTTCTGGCCGACGTGACCGCATGCTCGCCATCCACGAGCTGATCACGCACTTGCCTACATCAGACCTGCATTTCATTCCGTCAATCCTGTCCGAAGTGGTGCTGGGATGCAAGGAAAGCAACGAGAAGGCCCGCACTGCAGCCTTTGATCTGTTGATCCACCTCGCCAAGCGCACCATCGACTCCGAACGCAACCCTCCCGGCACCGTGATCCGCAACTCACTGGTCCCGCACATGCCTGACGACTCGCCTGATGCCCCAGCTACAATCGAGGAGTTTTTCACCATGGTCTCTGCCGGTCTGGCAGGCACGTCGCCGCACATGGTCGCCGCGTCCGTGACGGCTCTGTCCCGACTGTTCTTCGATTTCCATACCCAGCTGCGTCCGGAGATGCTCACCGATCTCGTTCAGACCGTCGAGCTCTTCCTAACCAGCAACAACCGAGAGATCGTCCGCTCAGTCCTCGGTTTCGTCAAGGTAGCCGTCGTCGTCCTCCCGGAAGATATCCTGCGTCCGCGTCTGGCAACCCTCGTCCCCAACCTCATGGCCTGGAACAAAGAGCACAAGGGCCGTCTCCGCAGCAAGGTAAAGGGGATCATCGACCGACTTGTCCGCCGATTCGGCGCTCCCCTCCTTGAAAGTCTTGTCGGCGAGGCTGATCGCAAGTTGGTGGTCAATATCCGCAAACAGCGCGAGCGCAGCAAGCGCAAGAAGAAGGAGGAGGGCGGTGCTGAGGATGGCGAGGAGGCTGAAGAGGAAGGTGCCCGGCAGACCGGCAATGCCTTCGACAAGGCGGTTTACGGCTCTGACTTCTCAGACTCGTCCGATGATGGCAACTCCGACGACGACGCTAGCGAGATTGACGTCGATGACCAGGGCGTCGCGCGGATCAAGGGCCGGCCCAATGCCAACAAGAAGAAATCCTCCGCGCAGGGCAACCAGTACATCCGTGAGCTGTCACCGGAAGACAACCCGCTCGACCTGCTAGCTCCGAACGCGCTGGCCAACATCTCAACCACCAAGCCGTCCCAGCGCTTCCTTAACACGGGCCCCGGCGCGCGCAGAAAGCGTTCCGCCAAGGTCGACGCAGACGGCCGTCTCATTCTGGGTGGTGGTGATGACGATGCTGCGGATGTCGAAATGAGCGGCGGATCCGCTGCGGGTCCGGCGGGTATCAATGCCTACCTCGCTGCCGTTAGCGGACCGGACGCCGTCCGCCGCGGACAGAAGGGGAAGCTGAAGATCGGACAGGCGCAGAAGAAGAAGTCTGGTGGTGGTGATGGGATGGATCTGGATGAGGATGAGGGCGATGTGAATGAGCAGAAGCGTGGTGCTGCGCCTTCTGGGCGCCGTGGGCTGGGAATGCCCAAGACGCCTGGTGCTTCGGGGAATACTGGGGGACGTATTGAGAAGCGTCGCAGTCCGGGCAAGAGTGGGAGGGGCCAGATCCGGGCTGGAAGGGGTCGGCGGAGGTAGATTATTAGATTGTCACTATTGTGGGCAGGTGTTTCTTTTGTTTTCTTTTCTTTCTCTGGGTACAGTAGTTTTCGAATTCAGTTTGACCGCTCACTCTTCCGACTTGACTCCCGTACAGAGACTACTATTTTAGCAGGCGGTCTTGATATTGGAGTCCCGGCCATTTATCCATTAGGACTTGCGTATGTCGGGTGTAGTAGGTCAAATACCCTTTCTAATCATTCAATTCATCAAGTCTTGTTGATTAGGATTGGACTGCCGTTGGTAAATAAATAGTAACTTCTTTTTTATCTCTTAGCTCTCGCTATGAGCTTGACCCGAAGGTGTATGTAGAAAAACAGATAAATCAACTGGGTATCAAATTCTTTCATGAAGGGGTCTTGTATACACCCTACAAGTACAATGGTAGGGCAAATATTCAGAGAGGATCAGAAGAGGAAAAAGAAAAACAATAGTCCATGTATACACCCCGACACCATAGAAAATCCCATACTCCATGTAAAGCAAAGTGTCGTTTCCACATTGTCCTTCTTCTATTCCCACAGAAGGGGGACATTAAAAGAGCAGCTCGATCTTAGGTTAGGGAAGGCTAGCTATCTAACTTTCCTCGCCTTACCCAACCAAGTCTGCCACCACTTACAAACACCCAGCACAGCAGCGCGGCCATCATCGCTACGCTCCGTGCCGTCGGGATTACCCAGCATCATAGCAAAGACCCAGAAGAAGGCCGCTGTCCAGACAGAGAGCAGGACAGCAAGACATCCGAAGATGGAGAGCATCAGGACGAGGATCAGACCTGTCACGGAATAGTACTCGTGCGAGTCCGAGGGGACGACCACCGGTCCGTCGGGCTCGGGGTCTGGGTCTGCGTGGATCCATTGTGTGGATTGGGAGCGGGCTGTGTTGGAGGATGTTCGTAGGTTGACTAGACGCTCGTGGATATGTAGTGCTGGAGAGAGGAGGTCGCAGAGCTGCGAGGCGAAGGAGGTGGTGTGGAGGTAGTGGGATATGGAGCAGAGGCGGAGTGGGGAGATTAGGACGGCGAAGATGATGGCGGAGACGGCGTAGAGGGAGGCAGCGAGGGAGAAGATTGGGACGGGGAGGGAGAGGCGGAACTATACAGTATTAGAACCAATATAAAGCCTGGGGGGTCTTGAGAGGGTATATATACATACCAGCATCAACACCGCATCCTCGCTGTCATCTGTCGACCCATCGTCCTCCGGAGTAGTTCGTTTCGGCCCGCGGGCTGCGCTGGAACCCCCCAGCTCGCTGGACATGGACGGCTGATCTGCCGAGCCAGTGCGGGTGCGGGCTTCCTTGTGCGTGGTGCTAGAAACGGATGTCCGGGCACCAATGGAGGCGGAGACCACGTGGGAGGGGTCGGGGATGTAGGAGCGAGTGCTCGGACTGGCGTCGTGGCCGTCAAATGAGTCCGAGGACTGGCAGAGCACTCCGCCAGGGACAGAGGGTTGGTCGAGAGCTCGGCGGGCAGTCGGCGGCGGCGGAGGAGGCGGAGGAGGAGGAGACGCAAGTACGAGACCGCGGGTTTGCTGGTCCCGGTAGGCAGGGCTATAAGACATCTCCGGACGCCCCATGGCGAGTCGGATTTTTCTTCTCCCCCAGAAAGGGAGAGAGGGAGGAAGAGAGGACTGGACCAGCCAAGAAGTTGTACAGGCGCACAGAGGGCGACGAGGACTGAGATGGGGCTCACGGCATGGCCTCCAGCTCACGAGACATGCTGTCTGTCCAGCTCTCTATGGTCATTACCAGAGAGAGGAACCTCTGAGAGGAGCAGACTCTGCTCTTTATTATATGGCCCTGTGCAAGGCGAGGATCTGTTTTCAGGCGGCGCTAGGTTTGCCAAGGGCTCGGCATTGCGTTGAGCTCGTTTTGTCGTCATATTGGACCGTTTCGCTCTGCTGGTTGGACCAGGGCGGATTATGTAGATGTCCATGGAAGAAGAAGAAGAAATATAAAAAAAGCGGTCCTGCAGATGACTGCTGCCCGGGCACTGTTGATGATGGGCGAAGTAGATACGACGAACAACATGGGCGAGCCAAGCATAACGGAATAATGGGCGGGTCCCTGGTGGCCCGCTGCATCCAGTCAAGGGCGGGAAATTTTCGTCACGTGACGCCTGGTGCGACACAAGGCTCTGGGCGCTGAATATTATTGGAGATGGATAGTAGAGGGGTGATTAATGCCAATGGTGCCGAGACGATCTAGGTCAAGAGGTGTGTGGTTATGATGGCCATGAGAGTACTATATATATTTACTTGGCGAGACAGAGGGTAGCGTCGATTCTAGAGGCGCATCCTTGCGACCTCGAGTTTCGCACAACTATGTCTTCATCTTTGAGCCTCGGAGATCCTTCCGCCGGCGAATGGGCTTCTCGTGAGCGCTGTCCTTACGGCTGGGCTTCAACGCCGTGGCAAAGACGTTTTGAAGGACCCTTGCAGATGGGTACTGCACAGCAACCAGCCTTGTCGGAGCCTCAGCCGACGCATGGATCGACTTACGGAAAGTGCAGAAATTGAAACAAGAGTTTCTGTTTGGGGAGTGAATTAAGAAAAGCCACCTGCATAAGAGTCAGCCTTGTAGGATCCGCCCGCCGGCGCATGGATCAGACTTACCGGGACCGCAGGACCAAAACGACCGCAGGCCCAAAACTCGCGTTTTCTTTCTTTGCAAGAAGAGAACGGCGTGGCACATTTTCGGTAGCTAATGGCCATCAACTGGCTAATAGTGTGGGACAAATCGCACATTTGACATGTACAACAAGCTTCTCCCGAACGGATCCCTTCCAGTCACGTCCACATCGTGAACCTCCCGATCGCGATGTCTTCAGATGGATTGCAAAGAGGACCAGGGCTGGCCCATGCAGGCATGCAGGCTGTTGGATACGAAGCGCTGTGTGATTTAGGTAGGTATCCATGGCTATACACATGGCGATATATATATTCTTCTCAACCGACACCCTAAACATGGACCCTAGACTAGAGCAGGCGCTTATTCTTCACATATAATCAAAGCATGTAATTAACTTTAATAATAATCAAGTGGCTGGCAATGGTGTCAGACCATCGTGGCTGCCGACCGGGTGCGTTCAGAATTACATCGTCTGTGCGTGACAAGAAATGGGGGGAATACTGACGGAATCATGAGCGATCTGCATCGTATGAAAAATTAGGCTCCCAAGACACCAGGGCGCGCTAAAATACAGCAAGAATGCATGCAACCTTTCGGGACTGACACAGCAAAAATGTGCTCGGATCGTCTCCCTGCGATCCGGGCATCGTGTCGCACGGAGCATGGGGGCAGGCAGGGGGGTTCCTGTCATTTGCCGGCCAATCGTCTCCACTGGCCGGGGGATAGTGTGTGGAGCTGGTATGCGCGCGGCTGAGGTGTCGCCGGTCGTCACCGACTGAAGTGGTACTTTGGGCACAGCATGATTGTACATCGGGTGGAGAGGGGGGCATTCTTGCTGGGGAGAGTCCCACCAACGTTCGTTAGTCCCGTAGTGAGGGCGGCAGGCCGGGGCGGAAAGAACCCTGTGCATGCACTACGACATGAGGGGTGGAGTGGCCAGCTGGATGCGGCAGGGGTGGATCACGGGCACGAACAAGTCTGCGGCGTGGCTAGTGGGAGTGGCTGATGGCCGACGGAAGGGGCGAGATGCGCTAGTGCAGCATCGCCCTCGGTAGCTGGACACCAGAATTAAGGATTGTGCCGGGGGTTTATTTAAATGGAAAATAGTCTGGGTGCGGTGTAAGGGTGGCCTGAGGAGGCGATGCCGGTCCGATCCCCGAGCGAGACGGTAGCAGGGTGGGGGAGCGAGAGATCGACTCCCTTAGGGTCGTCTGGCAATTGCGGTGCTCTCGGATGATGGATGGTGGTGAGCCCATCATCCGGATGCCCTATGAGGCATACTCGCCCAGATGGCATGAAGCAAGAAAAGGAGCCGGTGGACGCTAACGCCCCCGAATGGGCCGCTAGCGCGATCCCTGCGGGCAGGCATTATTATTTCTCCGTGGCACAAGCACAGACCAACGAGTGGCACGGAGAAGCGTCACACTAAACCGGCCGCGGCATCCACGGGCGCCCCGTCAAGGACCGACCCACTCCTGGGGCGTGATCCCGCATGACGGTGAGGATATGATGGGAATGTTCGACGATGGGCAGCGAGCGTGGAGGAGAGGAGAGTCGATGCTCACGATGTCCGATCGCTCGTCGTCTCCATCGCTTCGACCCCTCCCTCTCTGAGCTCAATCCCGTCAGTGCCAGATCGGCTCCACCGCACACTAACCGTTCCTGGGGGCGTCAGCCTTTCGTTTTGTGACGGGTTTGACCAGCCGTCCCCTAATTGGTCCCGAGCTGCCTCCCACTAGCGCCGCTTAGGTTCAATTTCAGCGTTTCCTCCAACCCCCTCGACTCTCCTTCCCTTCTCCCTCTCTGCGTGGCCTCCTGAGTAGTGTGTCCCTTTCTTTCACCACTCCCGCCACTCCCTCTTGGGATCTTCCAAAGGACTTCTTCCCCCCTCTTCTTTTCTTCTCCATCCTCTCTCCATAATCACTCCCCCTCCACACTCTCCCTCACGCCCCCGGCACTGACCTCATCGGGCCCCATCAACACCCGCCGCCGGGATCGTGTCGCGACCATCTCCCCAAACCTGTTTCCGTGGTCTTGGCACTGCGCAAGACCTTCATCGCCAGCTCAATCTCCGTCGTCGATCGGTCGCGGGTGGCTGGCGCAGCTAGTGTCGTGTGAGGCAACCCCCGCGCGCCCTGTCGTTTTCGCTCCCCTCAATCGTCCACGAACGGGGCCAGAAGGCTGGAATAGAACACTGGTCGCCGACGGCTACTGTGTGTGGTTACTCGTTGATTGCATCATCGTGTCGCAAAAGCCGATCGGAAAAGCTTGTGCTGCACGTCCGGTCCGATTGAACCACAGCCCTTCTCCATCAAAACCCCGGGAACCATGTCCCATACGCAACCATCCCCCACCACTGGGGTTGCGCCGCACCAGGCGCACCTCGCGGCGCATGCCCAGGCCAATGGCCACATGCCTCCTATGCCGACACAGGGCCCCAAGGGAGTCCCGCTTTCCACGGCTCAGAAGATCGCGGCGCTCAATGAGCAGGTGTGGCTGCAAATCGGTAAGCATCGGCTATTCAATGCCAAAAACCACAAACTAGTACTGACTCACCTGCTATAGGCAGCTTGACGGAATTGATGGGCGACCTGGATGGCGCCATGAACGCGTACGAGCAAGCTCTTCGCCACAACCAGTGGTCGATTCCTGCCATGAACGCCATCTCCTGTATCCTTCGCACGAAGGAGCAGTTCCCAAAGGCGATCGAGTACCTGCAAAACATTCTCAAGCTGGACCCTGCCAATGGGGAAACCTGGGGGAGCTTAGGTTAGTTTATCTAATGTGCGAAACTGCAACGCAACCCGCTAACTGTCACAGGGCACTGCCATCTGATGATGGATAACCTGCAAGAGGCCTACACTTCCTACCAGCAAGCCCTTTATCACCTGCGCGACCCCAAGGAACCGAAGCTGTGGTACGGCATCGGCATCCTGTACGACCGCTATGGCTCTCTCGACCACGCAGAGGAAGCTTTCTCTCAGGTCATGCGCATGGCTCCCGAATTCGAAAAGGCCAACGAGATTTATTTCCGCCTGGGAATCATCTACAAGCAGCAGCAGAAGTTCAGCCAGAGTCTGGAGTGCTTCAAATACATCGTCACTGACCCGCCTCGTCCCCTCACTGAGGAGGACATCTGGTTCCAGATTGGTCACGTTCACGAGCAGCAGAAAGATTTTGAGTCTGCTCAGGCCGCCTACCGGCGCGTCCTCGATCGGGACCCCAGCCACGCCAAGGTCCTGCAGCAATTGGGATGGCTCTACCACCAGCAGAGCAGTAGCTATGCTAGCCAGGAGAAGGCGATTGAGTTCTTAGAGAAGTCGGTCAACGCTGGTAAGTTGAATTCTGTCTGGAATGGCCTTGAAAAAAAATACTGACCCATTCTTTCAGACAACAGCGATGCTCAAAGCTGGTACCTCCTTGGTCGGTGCTACATGTCCCAGGCCAAATACCCCAAGGCATACGAGGCCTATCAGCAGGCTGTCTACCGCGATGGACGCAACCCTACCTTCTGGTGCTCGATCGGTGTTCTCTATTACCAGATCAACCAGTACCGCGATGCGCTGGATGCCTACTCTCGTGCTATTCGCCTGAATCCGTACATCTCGGAAGTGTGGTATGATCTGGGTACACTGTACGAATCTTGCAACAACCAAATCGCCGATGCTCTTGATGCCTACGGTCGCGCTGCGGACCTGGATCCCACCAACGTCCACATCAAGGCGCGTCTGCAGCTGCTTCAGAGCCAGCTGCAGGGTGGTTCGAACCAGACCAATGCCTCGGCTCCTGCACCTCAGCCGCAGGATGTTCACCCCCAGGCCTACCAGGGTCCTGGAGTGGGTGCTCCTCCCGCGCCTCAATGGGGTGCTCCAGCTCCGACCGGTGGTCCGATGCCTCCCGGCCCTGCTCCTCCCCGCCAGCCTGCTGACTGGAACCGCGGCATCAATGAGCTGCAGTCGCAAGGTCAAGCCCCGCCGGCCAATGGTGGCCCTGGCGCTCCTCAGCAGCCAAGCCCTCGCCAGGATCCCGGTCGACTCCCGGATGCCGGTCGCGGCGGGCCGCCCCGTTCGCCCAAGATGGGTGGTCAATACCCGCCTCCCAACACCCTGCCTCAGATTGCCAACCCGCCTGCGTCTGGCCACGAACGCGCCCCGAGCGGTGGCTTTGGCGGCGGCGCTACCCGTGGTCCTCTGCCTCCCGCCCCGGCTGGTGGTGCTCCTCCTGCCAATGGAGGTCAGGCTGGCAACGGAGCCGCCCCTCCCTACAACCGTCCGTTCACTCCCCCGACCGAGATTCGGCCCCTCCGGGATGAGCGACCCTCCTCGCCCGGTTCGGGTTACCCCCACCAGCAGTTCCATACCGGTCCTCACCAAGGCGTTACCTCTACTGGCATTGCTTCTGGTGCTCCTGCGCCGGCTTCTGCCGCCACGGCCGCCGAGGCTGCTGCTCGCGAGCGTAGTGAGGACCGACCGCCGTCTGCCATGAAGCGCAGCCGTGAGTGGGAGGGCGAGTCTGGCCCCGTGAAAAAACAAGCCAACGAGGAAACCCGTGCCCGATTGGATGATCAGAACAGCCGCCGTGCCAGCCCTCCTGCCCGGGCGGCTTCTCCCAACGAGATGCAACGGAGTCCCTCGGAGATCAAGCGTGAAGAGGCCCGTCGTGCCAATGAGAATTACCACCCCTCCGAGGCCGCTCATCACCCCTCGACTCTGCCTTCCATCCAAAATATGCCTCCCAGCACCTCTGGTGGCCCCAGTCTTCCTCCGATGGCCGAGAGCGCTGCCCCGGCGTCGAACGGCCCGCCCGAGGGCCCTCCTTCGGCCCACACCCCTGTCAAGGAGGAGGCTCCTCGCTCCGAGGCTCCTTCGTCCCACGAGCCTGCTGCTCGCAAGATGGACGTCGATGAGGACTACGATGATGAGGGTGCTGATGAGGAGAAGAAGACCGGCGCTGCTACTGCTGCTACAAAGGAGAGCCCTCACGACAGCAACACTGGCAACGCCGCCAATGGCGAGGGCAAGGGCAGCCCGTCCAAGGCAGAGTCTTCTGCGTGAGAAAAAAGAAATTTGCCCGAGTTTTGCAAGCGATGCCGAAAGAGAACATGAGAATTAGCTTTGTTGTGCGGTTTTTTTCCTTTCTCCTGCCATTGTTCCCGGCCCTGTCTTCTTTTTAACTTCTGTTCTCTGTATGATGGTGCGAGTGAGGTTGGTTGGAACTGTGTTGGACGAGTGCGCTGAAGCGACCCTTGCTGTATTCGTCTCTTGTACTGATTTCATATCTTTGTTACTTTTCCTGTGAATTATTTGATGCCCCCCTGCATCTCCCCCAAATTAACTCCAATTGTCAAGTATCGCTCGGTTTCTCGTAACTACTCGTAAATATCTGCCGGGATGGTGACCAGTGTATCACGTGATCAACAATGGATCCTCAGGCACCAATCGCTTATCCCACACAGACCAGGCCCACGGGTGCTGAGTCAGCCCACAAAGCGTGCAAAATCGTCCGCCGACTCTTTTGGATTCGACACTCCTCCTACTTCGACGACTAACGACAACAGGGTCAAGATGTATGTTGCCCACCCCTGCCCATCTCATGGTTTCATGTCCAGAATACAATTGCTCACCTATCTCTCTCTTCCAGGAGTCACCGCAAGTTTGAAGCGCCTCGCCACGGTTCGTGAACAACTTTTCCCGGCATCGAAATTCGACATCCCCCAGTGTGCGGTGGTACTGATTGAGATTTTTACAGGCTCCCTTGCCTACCTCCCGCGCAAGCGCGCCGCCCGTCACCGTGGAAAGGTCAAGAGGTGAGTTTTATGGAACTCTTTCTGGAAAAAAAAAAATTTCGAGGGACTAAATGTTGTGCGCCAGCTTCCCCAAGGATGACCCCAAGAAGCCCGTCCACCTGACGGCCTCCATGGGCTACAAGGCCGGTATGACCACCATCGTCCGTGACCTTGACCGTCCCGGTGCCAAGATGCACAAGAAGGAGGTTGTTGAGGCCGTGACCGTCATCGAGACTCCTCCTGTAGGTTTTTTTCTTCACCCTGACCAGTTGACCTTGTACTAACATAAATACTGCCAGCTCGTTGCCGTTGGTGTCGTTGGCTACATCGAGACTCCCCGTGGTCTCCGCTCGCTCACCACCGTCTGGGCTGAGCACCTGAGCGACGAGCTCAAGCGCCGCTTCTACAAGAACTGGTACAAGAGCAAGAAGAAGGCCTTCACCAAGTACGCCAAGTCGCACGCCGAGGAGAAGGGTGCCTCCGTCACCCGCGAGCTGGAGCGCATGAAGAAGTACTGCACCGTTGTGCGCGTGCTCGCCCACACTCAGATCCGCCAGACCCCCATCAAGCAGAAGAAGGCCCACCTCATGGAGATCCAGGTCAACGGTGGCTCCGTCGCTGACAAGGTCGACTTCGCCCAGAACCTGTTCGAGAAGACCATCGACATCGACTCCATCTTCGAGAAGGATGAGATGATTGATGTCATCGCCGTCACCAAGGGTCACGGTTTCCAGGGTGTCACCTCCCGTTGGGGCACCACCAAGCTGCCCCGCAAGACGCACAAGGGTCTGCGCAAGGTTGCCTGTATCGGTGCCTGGCACCCTAACCACGTCCAGTGGACTGTGGCCCGTGCCGGTCAGATGGGTTACCACCACCGTACCTCTTGCAACCACAAGGTCTTCCGCATTGGCAAGGGTACCGATGAGGGTAACGCCTCGACCGAGTTCGACATCTCCAAGAAGCAGATCACTCCGTATGTTCCTCTTTCTCTCTACCGTTTGTTGCCTGGATATCATATACTAACTGACATTTTTAGTCTGGGTGGCTTCGTCCACTACGGTGAGGTCAAGAACGACTTCGTCATGGTCAAGGGCTCCGTCCCCGGTGTCAAGAAGCGTGTCATGACTCTGCGCAAGACCCTGTACCCCCAGACCAACCGGAGGGCCACCGAGAAGGTCGAGCTCAAGTGGATCGACACCTCGTCCAAGTTCGGCCACGGTGCTTTCCAGACCCCCGAGGAGAAGCGCGCCTTCCTGGGTACCCTCAAGAAGGACCTTATTACTACTGTTTAAGAAGGTTTTTTGAGCTGTGGAGGGTGGCAGTGTTACGTATTTTCCAGTTGTCCAATAAAAAAAAGCGACTACTTCATGCCTTTCGGATATGTAGAGTGAACATGTAATGTGACTATGTAGACTTGATGGAGTATGTGTAGTGCAGCTATATATTTCCGACCCTTGGTTGTAGCTCCGGCGTCATCCTCAAAAAAGGCTCAACCCTTTTTCCCCTTCTTCAACACGTTCTTTCCCCTGCTACTACTCACACGGTGTCTCAGCCACCGACTTACACAAACCTGGATTTCCTCCGTGGTGATACGTAATATTAATATGCGCTGCCCGGCGTCCATTCATTGCGTCATCCAACACCTGCCCACTCCAACTTGTCTTGTCCAACGCTCTCGACGATATCCCCTCCTCTACTCCAGCCCACCCTCTCTTCAGTCTCAGAATCGCCTACTCCATCACCTTCCATATTCTGCAACTATCTCGAAACCTGCACTTCATCCACAGCAAAACCACTACCTCCCCGCCGGACCACTACTCTCCTCATTCTCAACCTCCACCGCCTCCACCATGTCCTCCGACGATGCCTACAAGTCCTTCCTGGACAAAGCAAATGCCGACCTCGACGCTGGCCGCGCCTCAGAACCTTCCTCCACCATCCGCACCCAGACCATACATACCTCCCTCAAGGTGCCTGCACCGCTGCGGTCTGTCGATGCATACTACGTCTCTGAGACGGATGAGCCGTTCGAACCTGTTACTCTGAAATGGGACGGTGCTGCGCGCGGCAGCTGGCCCAGTGCAGGTACGTTTTTAGCTGTAGTTTTGTTTTCTTGGCCTGGAGGCTCTCCCAGCTAGGGAGATACCATCTTCTCTTCTCCTTTGATTGCGTGCCCATTACTGTGAGCTGCTTGTGGATGGATTATGCTAACGCACTGTCTTCGATCACCCACCCAGCTCAACTCTCTTCCCTCATCTCCCCAGATGCAGACCTATCGAAAGCCATCTCAACTCTCTCCCCCGCCTCCTTCGACCCGAAGAACCAGTATGCCTCTGCCCTAAACGCGGTGCGAGCTGCTGCCGTTGAGAAAGCGGAGGGCGAAGACCAGTCATCTGTTGATGTCAAGGTGTACAGAGTGGAGCTGGATAAGACGCGCGTCGAGTACTGGGTTCTTGCGCTGCATGCGCCGGAGAGTCAGCTTGTCGGACTGCGCGCGAAGGCTGTTGAGTCTTAAACGGGTTATGTTCGTCGGTGGCTATTGACACGCGAGGATGTTTTGGGCTTGACTGAAGGAGTTGAATTGCGCAAATGTGGGATGTTGCTTTTAGGTTTCTAATTTTGAATATACATGCAGAGTCAGTGCATCCAGCGCAGGCATACGAAATGAAATATGGATTATTGCGTGTTGGCATGGCGAGTTTCCCGTTTCGGTGCCGGCCGAGATGTCCGCGTGGAAAGATTCGCTTTCTGCCTTGATTTTTCTTGTCTCGCTTGTAAGAATGCGATGCAGGGAAAAAGAGCCCTGTCAGTCTTTTGCTCGGGTATCGTGGCATTCCGATGGGCCGTGCTGTGCCAGGGCGGCTGGCGACAGGGGCCGCGTGTTCGGGAATGGCAGACTGGTCGATTTATTGTTGGAACGAACATTAGGCATGTCTTTCTTCTTCCGTTGCTGAACACTTGGTCAGGAATATTCATTTTAGATCAAGGCGCTGGCCGGTAGTAGTGAGGTAAGACCGAGCCGTAACTGCTCACTGAAACTCCAGAGCTCTAATTTAGGGCGGGAATGATGTCGATCCCCGGATTCCAAGCCAGCATTCACGACCTCCATTCCTCACTAGCCGTGGGGCAACCAGGACTATTTTCTCTGGTGCTTTTTCTGATTGTACTTACTCCTCGTACGGCGAGGTCAGCATCGATTAATCTGAAACAATTGGAGGAAAATAAGAACGAAGAAAAGACAACAGGAAATAATAACTCACTGGGTGATCTAGCAGGCAGGACCTTGTACTCTGATCTACCTATATTTGACACGAAACAAGCACGAGAGCACGGAATACGCATACCATAGCCCGTTGTCCCCCTCCCTACCTTCGGTGGGCCATTCCTCTCCCTCCCCATCGTGCCCTACCCCAAACAATACTCCTTTCAGCGTCTAGGCTCTTTTCTTTCTTTGGCTCTGTGATTTTCTCTTCTCTTAGCTCCTACCTTCCGGCTATTCTTGAAGAGTCACCAACTAACAGGGACATCGTCCTGTCCACTCTTTCTGAGTCGATCTGCGCTCAACGACAGTGCAACATCGACGGACGGTCTCTCTTCTGTCTTTACAGGTGGAAAAAAGAAGGAGAGAGTGGGAAGGAAAAAGACGGTACTACCAAACTACGACAAACGCCTGATGCCAGGGAACTCCACGCGCACGGTGGATAGGTAATTCAGCGGAAGAACGCAAGAGCAAAGCAAGCAGTTCCCTTCAAGGATAATCGGTTCTCAGCAACCCAACCATATCCTCCAGATGTCGGACCAGGATCCTGGTGAAAACCAAACCCTAAACCAAACCTCAACTCCAGACACAACCCCAGCCTCAACCCCAGACTCACCTTCGAGACCCGGGATGCCTCATATCCGCCTCAACTCGGGCCGCCAGGACCCATTCATTGAGACAAACGAAGGCTACGAGCCCCTGGCGGCCGTGGATTCGACAGAGTCGCACCCGGAGCCACGGGCTCTGACGCCAGCAAACCCAGACGCAGCCATCGTTTTGGGTGCGCAGGGAATATCGCCGTACGGGATATCAAACGCTCCCGCTTCAGCGGAGTTCTTGCTCCCTCCGAGACTGCGCCCATCGTCTCGCAGCGAGGTGGACCGCCCGCATTCGCCGGATCGTTGGTCTTTTAGCCGGTCTAGCGTCAGCTCAGACCAGATCAGCCGCGAGAATTGCATGCCGCTCAGTCCGTTTGAGGACTCGCGCGCGCCTTCGCGTTCCGGGAGTGATGAGTATGATGTCAACACACAGACAGTCTCGGAGAAGTTCAATATCATGCCGACGGATGGGTTGCTTTTGTTCCCTGAGGACGTGGAAAAGGACGACTATCTACATAACCCGGACCCTGCGGACAAGGACCGTGACTGTGATGTCTGCAATCGTCGAGGTATTTTGAATGTGGGCGGCTTGGTGATATTGACATTGGGCATTTTGACACTTTTTGTTGGATATCCTATCATGTGAGTTGTCCTGAAACTGTTTTAACCTGCAGAAGATTAACCAGTGTTTGAAGAACGTGGGTGGAAGGGATACTCAAACGCGGGCACGTTTGCCAACCGGGCGATACTTTGTGTCTCGATGTTGGAGAACGACCGCTGCTCCAGAATATCCGAAAAGGATTGATCGATCCAGACACGCCGGAGGATGCAATGTACAAGAGGAACGCAGATGGCAAGATGTGGCAGCTTGTGGTTAGTTCCGGATTGTGGGATGAGGCAACTTTGACGGACACGCGACTGACATGCAACAGTTCTCTGATGAATTCAACACCCCTGGCCGCACATTCTACGACGATGATGATCCTTTTTTCCAAGCAGTGGATCTTTGGTATGGCGTCACGGCCGATAAAGAGGTGTGTATCATCTTATGCTCGCCGAGTATGATGCCTTGCTAACCGTCTGCAGTGGTACGATCCCGATGCAGTGACCACCTCCGAGGGAGTGCTAGAGCTTCGATTCGACAATTTCGAGAATCATGACTTGCAATACCGATCTGGAATGGTTCAGAGCTGGAACAAGCTCTGCTTCAAGGGCGGCCGTCTGGAGGCCAGCATGTCCCTGCCAGGCGACGGACATGTCGAGGGTTTCTGGCCTGGTTTCTGGGCGATGGGCAATCTGGCTCGTCCTGGGTACGCCGCTACCACGGACGGCATGTGGCCATACAGCTATCACGACGGCTGCGACGCTGGCATCACCCCGAACCAGAGTGCACCGGACGGACTCAACTTTCTTCCAGGCATGCGGTTGCCTGGCTGCACTTGCCCCAATTCCGACCACCCTTCCCCGGGACATGCACGCAGTGCTCCTGAAATCGACGTGATTGAAGGTAGTACTGCGCCTCTTCAGGGGAGCTACGGACCGTACGTTGGTAGTGCATCTCAGAGTTTGCAAGCTGCACCTTTTGATCTTTGGTACATGCCAGACTATGGTGAGTTTTCCCCTTTTTCTATATTTTTATATAAAATCCTAACATCCACAGATTACACTGCCGTGTACAATCCCCAGGTCACTCAAATAAACCCTTACCGCGGCGGCGTTTACCAGCAAGCCATGTCCGGATTGACCAACCTGAACACACGCTGGTTCAACGGCACAGAGTACCAGGAGTACGCCTTCGAGTACAAGCCCGGTGCGGACGGCCAGGTGACCTGGTTCGTCGGCGCAGACAAGACATGGACACTGGACGGGCGGGCCATTGGGCCCAATGGCAACATCGGGCAGCGCATGGTGCCGCTAGAGCCCATGTCGCTGGTGATGAACCTGGGCATGGCAGACAACTTTGCTCCCCAGAACAAGACTATTCGCGAGTATATGCCTGCGTTCCTCCGCTTTGACTATGTTCGCATCTACCAAGACCCGGACGAGATTAGCGTCACCTGTGACCCGCCGGGCTATGAGACGACAGGGTATATCGAGGCCCATAAGAAAGCCTATCTTAATCAGAACCTGACTTCTTGGTATGTTTTTGTTGACATCCTTCTATTCTGACTTACACTAACCAGATATGATAGGGCGGATGCCGGGTACCACTGGCCGAAGAACCACTTCATGCATGGATGCTAGATAGTGCATGGGACAACTTGTGTGTGTGTGCGTGTGTGTGTGTGTGCGTCACACTACTCTCTATCCATCTCCATATCTCCATCTCTCTATATGTCCCTCTGCCTCTATGCTACCATCTTTTAATTGTCTTTGAGTCGTTTTTTAGCGGCATTTTGTTCTGGCGTTTGTGGCTGTTTGGACATGTTTTTGTTTGCGGCTCTTGGTTCCCATGGAATCTATACCTTCTCCATTGTTCTTGGATTGAAACAGTACATCCAGAAAATCTACTGCCATTGGAGTTCACTGAAAATTCTCTTTATCTATCAACGTAGCTGAACTTACACATTATGGATTTAGGGCTTGGACTGTTTGTTTGAAACCCACTGAAATTCAGGTGAGGTCTATCATCTATCCATAACTTTTGTTGCAAATCCAGAAGCTAAAAACTATTGAAGCGCATCATATCATATATCCCTGTACATTGACCCCGCGCGGGTGAGCCCCTCCGTCAGAGACCGTTTGAGAATTCGAGGACTTCCCCCTTTCGAATCAGCTTTCTGTACGCAACATTTTGTCAGCTCTACTCTTAGTCGTGATTCCATCTACTCTCACTCAAGATGGACGCTGTGAGCGCAGCTTCTAGCATCATCACTGTGATCGAAATAGGGGCGAAGGTCGCCTCACTCCTATTGCAATACTACACCGCAGTTAAAAATGCCCAGTCAGAGATTATCCGTCTACAGGAAGAGCTTGGAAGGCTAAATACTACTCTCGAAGGCTCGCGAAAGCTTCTTGACAGTCAAAATGGCAAGAAGCTTCATACATCACAACGGTTGCACGAGGGCGTTCATGGTTGCTCGGTCCAGCTTACAGAGCTTGAAGCAATATTGAAGAAAAAAATTGACTCTAATCAATGAGGATACGGAGCCGATTTGGTATCCGAGCATTCAAGTGGCCGTTTGAGAGCAAAGAAGTGGACGCCATCATTGCGACCCTCGAACGTTATCGAGACACGCTCTCCGTCGCTCTGGCCATTGATCACACGTAAGCTATTAGGCTCACAAGTCTAAACTTTGAATTAGGCTGAAAAGTATCTAGCGCACAGACTCTTGACCTTTCCCAAACACTCGTTCTCTCAAAGCTACCCATTGCCAATGGCGCAACCTTTGATTCCCACGCCGAAGAGCACCATGCACGATGCCACCCAGCAACACGTGTTGCCCTCCGACAAGATATACTGGATTGGGCTGAAGATCCACAAGGCCAATGTATCTTTTGGCTGAATGGAATGGCTGGCACTGGGAAATCAACCATTTCGCGCACAATCGCACAGTCCTTCTCTGACAAGGGTATCCTTGGTGCTAGCTTTTTCTTCAAAAGAGGCGAGCAGGATCGAAGTAATGCAGCTCGGCTCTTTACCACTATTTGCTCTCGGCTGGTCGTCAAAGAACCTTCTCTTGCGTCAGATATCGAAAGTGCCATCAAAGCAGAACCCGCCATTGTTAGCAAAAATCTCCGAGAACAGTTCACCGAGCTCTTGTTGAAACTCTTGGAAGCACTGAAATCCACCTCGCAAGAAATTAGAACAATTGTTTTCGTGATTGACGCCCTCGACGAGTGTGAGAAAGATGATGATATCAGACTTGTTATCCGTTTACTATCACAAGTCAGAACTCTGACCTCGGTGCGCTTAAGAACTTTCATTACAAGCAGACCTGAATAACCAGTTCGATTGGGCTTCAACGGCATCCAGGGTGAATATCAAGATCTTGTCTTGCACCAGATGCCAGAGCCAATTATCAAGCACGATATAGGTGCTTTTTTGGATTCCGAGTTTGCCAATATCAGGAATGAGTACAATGTCCTATCACCCAATGACCTCCTTCCGCAAGCATGGCCCGGTCAAGAGGTCATTCAAGATTTAGCTCAGATGGCTATCCCGCTCTTCATCTTTGCCGCTACCGTTTGCCGTTTTGTCAAAGACCCGGTATGGTCTGAACCCAAGGGCCAGTTAGCGAAGGTCCTGAGCTATCGGTCAGCAAATGCACAGCTTAGAATGGACAACCTCGATTCAACTTACCGTCCAGTCCTAGATCAGCTCGTCGGAAATTCAAAAGCGGCACAGAAGTCTCTTGTGGACGAGTTCCGGGTAGTTGTTGGCTCTATCATACTCCTGGCTGAGCCCCTCTCGGTCCTATCTTTATCTAAGATTTTAGATATTCCTAGACCTGTTATTGATCGCAGGCTACGATCTCTTCATTCTGTCTTGAGTGTTCCAGAGTCCCCCGAAGCTCCAATTAGGATGCTTCACCTGTCATTCCGGGACTTTCTCATTGACCCTGAGAGATCTGAGACCAATCCGTTTTGGATTGATGAAAGAGAAATTCACGCCAATCTTGCAAGTCGCTGTCTCAAGCTTCTTTCTTCCAATGACAACTTGAAAGAGGATATCTGCGGTCTCACAATGCCCGGGACCGCCCGGGAAGAGATTCCGGTTGCCGTTGTGAACCTCCACTTATCAGCGGATGTTCAATATGCGTGTCAACATTGGATTTATCATATTATCCAGAGCGGTGCTCCTTTACAAGACTTCTATGAAGTCTATGATTTTTTCAAAGTTCATTTTCTCCAATGGCTCGAGGCGCTGAGCCTTTTGGGCAAATTATCTGAGAGTATTGCCATGATAAAAAGTTTGCAAAGACTTCTCTCAAGCCAGAGTAGTCCGTCTGCCGTCACCTCGCCTGTTCCTGCAGGTGTTAAAGCCGATTCTGATTTCAATCTTTCTGCTTTTCTAGAGGATGCGATCCAATTCATCCTCAACTTCAGGGTGATTATCAACCAATGTCCTCTCCAAATCTACTCGTCCGCACTCATATTCGCCCCTTAAAGGAGCCTTGTAAAGACTATTTTTGAAAGGAATATCCCTAAATGGGTCTCAAGATTGCCGACAATTGATATGGACTGGAATAATGCTCTCACACTGGAAGGACACAATGACGATGTCATCGAACTTGCTTTCTCACCAGATAATGAAACAATAGCATCTTGCGGAAAGGATAAAACAATTAGGCTCTGGAGTTCAGCGACTGGTGAAGAGAAGCAAAAGCTTTGCGAAAATATTCTTGTGAACCACATCGTATATTCACCGGACGGCAAAACCTTGGCATCATGCTCAGATGATTCTACAATCCGTTTCTGGAACACAGTGACAGGCGAAGAGAAATGTGAAGAGAGAAAAACACTCAAACGCCTTTCGGATGAGGTTGTGAGGTTGGCTTATTCAAAGGACAGCAAAATCTTGACGTCGCTCTCGCGTGATGGCGCAGTTCGGCTATGGGATACAGAAAAGGGCCATATGAGAAAGAAAGTGAAATTTCCTTGTCCACACAAGTTTCGATGCAGGAACGTCCTTTCGCCTGACGGCGCGACTCTTGTTTCATTTCCTTCCTCATACGTTCCATTTTACGGAGATCTATCGTCCGACAGTGACGAATCGTGCAGTGGGGAATCAGCGTTTGATGAAGACAAACAAGAAAAACGCAAAATTCGAATTTGGAGTACGTTGACAGGCAAAGAGATGAAGGTATTCGAATGTGCGGATGAAGATATAACACATATATCGGCCGTTGCGGTGGTACCAGACAGCAACGCGTTTGCGTCAGTCAGTTCCCCTGGGAAAATTTGCGTTTGGAATTCGACGACAGGGAATAATAGACGCACTTTGGAAGACAGCCTTACTTATAGTATCGCATTTGCGCCGGACGGCAAAACATTAGCGTTAACTTCAGCTGGTAGTAAAATTCGGTTGTTGGACGGGGAAACGCTCAGAGAAAGCAAGATCATTCATTGCGGTGGCGATACTTACAGGCCTATTGTGTTCTCTGCAGACGGGAAGATGCTGGCCGTCGGGAATAGGCAACGCACAATTCTGGTTTTCAGCACCATACCGGATGAAAAGGACGATAAATATCACGAGGATTATAATCCTCCCAGCGTTACACGAACGTTTGTCGAACTCTGGAATCCAGCAACGATGGAAACAATACGGACGGCAAGAGATAGTCAGGCCTGTGCTCTTGCTTTCTCATCTAATGGTACTGAAGTGTTATCCATTTCGTGGGACCACGCGATTATATTCTGGGATGCCATAACTGGTGAGGAGAAGCGAGTGATCCGAGAATCCCAGACGTTTACCTTCGGCTGTGTCACCTGGTCACCAGCCGACGATACAATTGCCACGAGCTCATATCCAGGGGTAGACCTTTGGGACAGAGTATCATGGACACTGAAAAAAAGCGCTCTGGGTGACGAGTTTAAAGACTCTCATCTCATCTCTGATATCGCCTTCTCGCATGATGGGGAGACAATTGCGATCTGTTTTGATACATATGCCACAGTCCGGGACGTGGCTACTGGTGACAAGAAATTTCAGATCGAAACCGACAGTTTGGGCGACGTACTTGATCGTCTGGTATTCTCACCTGACGGAAGGTCACTAGCGTTAGGTTTCAGATCAGGTTTCTGTCTTTTGGACTTGGAAAGAATGCTCTTATCCCCATTTCATTTGACGGAGTTCGAATTCTCGGCTATCGCATTCTCTGACAATAGCCGATCTCTAAAGACCAATGGTGGTGATGTGTTTGATCTCACCCAAAGGTGTTTCAGCTCTGAGGCAGGAACGACATCACAGACCAAGACCGTCAACAATTTATTCGGCATCCCCAGAAATCTTTTCGAGAATCACTGTCAGGATTGTGAGAGAACATTATCAGAAACTTCAGTCAGAATTAATTGTGAGTGGGCGATTCAAGGTCGAAATCGAATTCTCTGGTTTCCCTTTGATTACAGAGTGGACAAAGTGGCTCAGTATCGCAACGTCTTCGCTTTGGGACACAGAACTGGCGAGGTTAAGTTCATCCAGTTCGACCTCTCTCTTCACTGGATTAGGAAAGCGGTTAAAACCGTGTCTTCTGCGTCTCATTTGATAATAGAAGTATGCCTAGCGTCTACTGTAAATGTCGGCCAAGCACAATATTTGTTGAATTACCACGTGCATAATAGGCATATGCTTTAGGGGCCTAATGATAAACCTCAATTTTCCACGGATCAGTACTAACTCAATAGTTTCGCCATTTTGATCTAAAAGTATGGACGTTTTAGGAATTTACTGTCGATCAGAAGAGGCAGAGGTTGTCTGGGACCTTGATAACTGTTAGAACATAGCTATAGAATAAAGTAAAAGACTGACCATGATGCAACACCGGCTAAAACACCACCAATCAACCGCCCGGCTGCGGATAAATGCGGACAGCTTTGTTGTCAATGGTGAGACTCAAGTTACCTCTATGGACTGTGGACACTAGTGAGTGTTCTGGATGTTGAGAAAACTATATCCCTGCATTGTTAGTGTAGCGGCCGCACGAGCAAATCACCAATAAGTCTGAATCCGACTCCCAGTCGATACGTTCCATTACTTTCTTTGGTTTCTTAGAAGGATCATACGGACACCCCAAATTGGATGATTGACTTGAACTGAATAACGTAAAGCCCACCTCAAGGCATTTTCCCGCTTTTTAAAATCCCCCGCCCTCCCTCTTACCAAAAAAAAGAAGAAAAAGAAGAAGACTAAAAGGATATTTAACAGCCTCCCTTGGACTATGGTCGCATAGCGCCGCCAAACCGGTCGTGGACCGACTCACCGCTATCTGCTTGCGATTCCCTATCGTATCTCTGTATGTTCTTTTGGGTCAAGTCGGTGCTGCTATGTATAGAAGTGACTCTTAGCGAGAAGTAGGCTTTTCTGATACGTTCGTCGCTAATTATCACTTGGGAGTTCAATAGCATTAGCTCAGAGATTCCTACGTGTCAAGTTGATGTTTCCTTATGAGGCCCAAGACCCTAGACACGAACTGATGTGTTGGCAATTCGCTTCCTTAACCTATAGTTGAGGAGTATCACCGATCCTAGCTCCTGGAGTACCAGCGGTGAGGGCCTGCTTTCAAGGGGCGGGTACTCGTATTCGCGAAATATAGCCCTTTGTTTGCCCCTAGAGGCTGATTAAATATGCAGGTCTTACAGCTCGGAGCCAGGGCCGGGGTCATATCTGCCGAAGGCTTATTCTTGGCCCAGCGCAGCCTGTGACGTGTTTTTCAAATCCGGGGACTGGATCGTTCGAAACCAGCTCGTTCGTAGCCTCGTCTGCACCTCTCGTCAGAGAGGTCTCAAAATTGCCAGCTGGGCTCCGCGCTAGTGGACGACATCGGGGCTAAGCCTAAAGGGTTCGCGACGCCATATCCAGGGTAGGCGGATCAGAACCCGGATGTCCAGAGCGAGGAACCCTCATCGTGAAAATATAAATAGTCATCGAAAGCCGTAGATGATTTCCATAGAATCATAACCCATAAAGAACTCAAACTATCATTATAATCATTATGCGCTTCTTCGGCGTCCCTTTCTTTGTGGCCCTGCTGGGTTTGGCTGCGGCGGCCCCCAAGCCGAACAGGCGCGAGACGCAGCATCATACTTCCACCAAAGTCTCCTATCAGACCGAACTAGCTGGCGAACCCTATCATGGCCATGTCCCGACGGCTACTGTCAGACATACTAAGACCCTGGCTCCGATTATTATCATTTATACCGAACATCCGACCGTTACCAAGACTCGGGCGGCGGTCACCCACACCAAGACTAAAATCGTGAAATCGACCACTTCAGTCACTGCTGCAGCCAACACTGATACGGTTTGCGTTACATCGACTGAATTTGACACGACGACGAAGACTCGAACTCCGCCGGCGGTCACCAGTACCGTCTGCACGGACACCACCATCACAACAACGACGACCTCGAACATCCCGACTGTATATGGATTCATCCCCATTATCTCCACTCTCCCTACCCCCACTGCCGTCAAAAAAGAGAAAGAAGAGAAAAGGGAGCTGGTTCCTCTGGAGCGCCGCTCTCAAGGCTTTGACCACGCTGACTTCCGATACCCTAAGTCTGTCAAGTGCACACATGAAGTGGTGGTAGAAGTCATCATCATCGAAATCATCATCGGCCCTCCTATCATCAAGTGGCTGCCCGCCCATACAACTACCGTCACCAAGACCGACCATATCTCTGTCACCAAGACCATCGTCCCACCCGATGTCTCGGCCACCGTCACCGACACCATCACCTCGACCATCTGCGTCGACACCACCTTGCCTGCCGTGACTGACACCGTCACCAGCACCAACACTGCCACCGCTTCGGCCGTGAGCACTGCCTACGACGCCTGTGCCACTAACAACATTGCCATCACTCCATTCTCACACGAGTTCGGCGATATCGCTGGCGATTACTTGGTGGAGCTTACGATCCCCCACCATGTCAGAGATGTGACGCAGACACAGGCCAGCAGCGATTCCCCCTACGACTGCTGTGTACTGTGTGCGCAGGATAGCAGCTGTGTTCTAAGTGGTTACGAAGACGGCACATGCTTTATTTACAATGCGGCAAGATGCGTCCCGTCAGAGAACCAGCTTACGGGCTCTATTTCACACCGTGGGAAGAGTGGTGTCGGCTTGTCGAACGGCGCCTGTGGATATATTGTTGGCCAAGAGGAGAGATGAACTGATCACCGCGCACTCAAGAGTTGCTCAGCGCCCAGATAGAGAGTTTGACCAAGACTCCGGTAAAAGAGACGCAGAAAATAGTGTCAAATATATCCATTCTCGGCGTACAATTTACCGTCACCTAGCGTTGTGGTGTAATAAAGGGCCTAGAGGGCTACAGAAGCATCATTCAGTAATACGTAGTGTGTCAAGTGTGAGAGCCTAGCCAAATAGCAGAAATATATATTTTATCAACCCATACTCCTACCCCCATTCATCAGTGATACTTCAGGCCTCACAGATCTAGAACAGGACAGGTTACGAATTACGAATTGTATATACTTCCCCCCGTTATCCAAGAAATTCATACCGTGACACATCAATGCACAGCCCCGCCTCAAGATATTAGGGTTTGTTTTGGCCCGAAAACGTTGAACCCCGCGTTGATAGTGTAGCGGCCGCACACCTGACAGCTATCGTATTTGGTTCTGGTCATCGGCAAGTCTGGGTTCGACTCCCAGTCGACGCGTTTATCATATTTTTTGTCTCTTGAGAGAACATAGTATATGTATGAACAACCTAGATTGGATGATTGAACCGATTTGGATATCACAAGATATCATAAAGGGCCGAACAAAAGAACGATAACGTAAGTCATGAGTCAAATTCATTACCCACCAGGGGCATATACTGTAAGGTGCTAGATCTAGCAAGTTGCGCAGCACAGGATGCATTCCTATGTTGATCGAGTTTGCCCGACACGAACAGCCTTGTTCGCGAAAGGATGGTCCCGAGGGGGAGGTGTGAAGAGTGTGAAGGGTTGATCGAGAGTGCTCGCCTAGGTTGAATAGAGCTGGGTGGCATCTGTCACCAGCATCTAACTGAAGACCTGAAATCCTGCCCAAATTCAGACCTCACGTATAGGCCTACCCTCAATCCGGGTCGAATCTCGAAGCCGCGACGAATCCCGCGTCGAATCCCGCGTCGAATGTATCTCCCAATCAGAGGTGACTTGGATATGGCCCCGAAGAAAATCCGAACCCTTTACCATAACAGGCTGCGTAACTGTGACTAGTGGCATCTCTGGCTCTTCCATCCGGAAGTGACCCTGGGCTCGACGAGACGACAAGACTGTTGTCTTCCAGTACCGCGCAGACATGGGGGATCCAGGTCTGCGACTGGATGATCCAATAGCCGTATAGATGACCGGAAGACAGGCCACGATAATACCCAGAGGTAGAACAATAGCCGTTAGGATGGATTTGAATGCGGACCCATAAGTTGGATCTTCGGGGTCTGGGGAGATAATGTACTTGAGACGAACACCGATTATGGTGATGATACTGTTGCGACAACATACAATGAGTAAGACGGACAGACAGTGGTTTTCCGAAGAGAAAACTCACCCAGCGCCTAGCACGAATATAGCTGTCAGCCCGGCCTTTTTGGACGGTGGATGGTATTGTCTCCATAGCGTCGGTATTGGTAGAATGAGAACCAGCATGCAGAGAACGAGCTCGGATATAGTGCAGCTCATCTCCAACTTTTTTCTATTTCCACAGTGACCGGGCGTGTCAGGGAGCCAGATCTTCGACGGTGGAATGCAAAAGAGTGCAGTGGCTAGGAAGCTAGCAATCCATAGGGCCAGGCTCAGAGTCATCGTGCCACACGCAAACCACTTGAAGGTCCGCTGAGAGAAAACACGGATGTAGTAGTGGAGGATGGACAACTGGATTAAGGCAACAGCGGTCGTCCAGAGAAGGTCACCAGTATAGGCCATCTACAAGTATTGTCAGTACTCGTGAGATACTTGGAGACTTTGAGCCTACCTTGACCAATTGAACAAATGCCTCGGGCCCTCCAGTCCGGGCTACTTCGGCTGCATGAAGCCCTAGCCCGCACCGCAGAACCATGATGATTTCCACCACATAGCGACCGATTGCAATAAGCTTGAAGATCGTCAATATTTTCACAAAAAACATAGGAACATACTTACGGTCGCTGTCAAAATCAGCCAGTCATTCACCTGAAGCGATCGTCGCGACCACAGTCGCAGACCCACAGCGACGAAACCCAGCGCAAGCAGAACAGATTGAACAATGAGGTCGGCCTTCCCCGGCGTGTTATGGCCGAGGGAACCAGCAAGAGTGTCGAGGGGAGGCGGCATCGAGTCCACGAGGGATGGTGATGATGAGGATGTCGAACGATGCAAGGGCGGCCAACTCTTTCACTCCCACACATTCGTTTCTCTTTTTTTCCTTTTTCTTGTCGCTCTCACCCACGACTTGACTAGATGATAATGATCACCGCCATCAAGGCGAAATCAACGCTGATGTGATAATATCTTCCAGGATGGGTGGGGAGAGCAACTAGTTAAGGCAGCAGTCAAGGTGGGATGCTGCTGGCAAGGGACAGGGCTGAGACCCTCGCAGGAATAATGTATGTTTCTTGACTTCCTGGGCAGATCGGCAAAGAAGTCGGTCTGACAAGCGAAAACGTTGTTGTTGTTTTGGGGAATTCCTGTCGTGAATGTACCTGGCTCCACCTTCACTCTATCCCGCACGCTCGTGTTTCATATCCCTGCACGTTCCGACTCAGCTTTGCGATCAGACCGCTTCTCTGACACTCCCCTACGTCAAGCACCCTGCCGTGGTGTTACTGGATGCCTGAAAACCTTCTGATGGTATGCAAACAACTGTTTCTGATCCATGACTATATGCAAAACAAAACCAAAGAAAACTAACTACTGCGAGTCACAACTAAGCTGGTACAGCCGCCCTTCAAATGGCCGCAGTAGAATGATATCCGGGGTCGAATTTGTCTCACACGTCTGGTGATTCGAGATGAGCATCTTAGGAAGCGACAAGTCCACACCGTGGTCCACATAGCTCCACGAAGTTGCGCCGGGACTGAAGTTGAGCACCGTCAGGTAGCATGCATGCTTGGATTGCCGCTTGTAGGCCCAGATGAGGGGATTATCGAGGTCTAGGGCTTCGAAGGACCCATGGTACTGACACACTCGCCCGCATGAGCTTGTTACAGACAACGGAAGCACGGACGACTTACTAGAGTTGGATTGGATTTGCGCAGTGTGATCATGGACCGGTAGAAGGACCACACTGATTCGGGACAGCGCTGCTGATGGCTCCCACACCATTCGCTCTCGTGATTGACGGCTGGAATCCATGGCTTCGCAGCTGGCTCACAGAACCCGCCGTGCGGATCGTCTGTCCACTAGCCGAGTCAAGATCTTTGCTATCATGTTTCGCGGGGATCAAAACTTACAGGAAACGGGATACGGGTATTGTCTCGGCCTTTCTGGATGATTGCTTTCTTTGCAAGCTCCAATTTGTCGGCCTCACCTGAACCCGCATGTTCACATGCCCTATGTGTGCTCAACAAGAAGAATACCATACTTGCAAGGACGGACATACTCATTCCAATATTGAATTGTTTCGATATCCTGATTCATGTCCTCCGAAAAGGTACCGGGATTGACCATTCCCAGCTCTTGACCTTGAAATATGAGGTTCGTTCCCTGCAGCGTGAACTGCCATAGAGCCAACATTTTAGCACACAGCGCCCGGAAGCGCGGACTATTGGTGGTGAACCGAGAGATGCCTCTCGGCTGATCATGGTTCTCCATCCAGACCGTGTTCCAGCCACCGTTGTTGACCAAAGTCTCTTGCCACTCCGCTATGACCCGTTTCAATTCTGGGAGTTCCCATTCCCGAAGCATCCATTTGTCTCCATCGTGGCAATCCAGCTCGACATGCTGAAATTGGATTATGAGGTTGAGTTCCGGCCGAGGCTTGTACTTCGACGTATACTGGACTGCTTGGCGTGGGGTGACTCCACAAGACATTTCGGCCAATGTCACGGCATCATAGTGTGCGAAAACCTGCTCGTACATTTCTTGCAGATATTCATGGATGTGTGGTCTAGCAGTGTCAGATTTTGAGCTGTTTGCTTTTACAGTGGTCCTACCCGTTGGCAAATAGATAATTGGCTGGCTGCCACGTACTCCCGCACTTGGAGATTGGAGCATCGGGGAATTCAGAAGTTTTAGACACGAGATTCATCGTGTCCAGCTTGTTCATACAAAGTTAGCTTCATTACCTCACAGGATAACTAGGGCGTCGTACCCGGAAACCGTCAACTCCTTTGTCCAGCCAGAATCTTAGTACACTGTATAGCTCTTGTCGAACTTCTTCACAGTCCCAGTTCAGATCGGGTTGGCTTTTCCCGAATATGTGCAAATCTTGGAAATATATCGTCAGAACCGGGCCAAGGCTTCAGGAAAGCTGCACCTTGAAAACTACTGACAGAACTCGCCGGCTTCTTCGTCAAACTCCCATGTTGATCCTGATAGGACATAAGCCGCCAAGTTTCTTTTTTTGAGGTATACCAATATCCTACCGGCGAAAGTGCTCTCCCAGTTATTTGGCGGGATCTGCTTCCCTTGTTCGTCCAGCTTTCCTGGGCTCCAGAAATACCAATCTCGCTTTCCGAGATGAGGGTTCTTGCGAGCACGCCTGGAGGTTTGGAACCATTCGTGCTTGGATTACCGACATCAGCATACATCCCGAGGTAAATCTGGATTACTGACCGTGTCCGCAGTGTGATTCAAGGCGATATCGAGAATGATCTTCAGACCACGGTAATGTGTTTCGTGGACCAACAACTCCATGTCTTCCATCGTGCCGAAAATAGAGTTGACTTTGCGATAATCACTAATATCATACCTGCTCCACTATTAGCCCCCAAGTTTTGATTGAAATAAATACAACAAACCCCATATCACGCATGGGCGATTCATAGATTGGAGAGATCCATATGACATCGACACCCAGTGCGACGAAATAATCGAGCCGCTCCACGATTCCGCGAAGGTCCCCCTTGCCATCTCCGTTTGTGTCTTGGAAGCTCTGGATGAGCACCTGGTATATGCTTGCTTTCTGCCACCAGCGCAGCTTGTCTAAACTGTCGACATCTTCAGAGTCGCTAGTTGTGCCCGATGCTTCGCTACTCCCCATTGAGACCGGTGAGCTGCGATTTAATATTGGTGATGGGTTTACGGGACAGGGTGTCCGATGGCGCCTCTATATTCGAAGTTCACTCACTTCTTTTTTTTCACATGTGAATCCAGCCATAAACACAGAATGGGATGCAGAAACCGCATACTACATATCTTAGCATATTATTCTTGGGGGCATCTGAAGTCATAGGAAGGTAATGCATGGCAAACAAGATGCTCACCCAATCGGGGAGGCGTTCCACCGTATGTCGGTTCCGAAGGAAATAAAGACAATCATAGTTGGATCAACCAGCCAATATGATGAATGACTAGCGAAGGCGTGGCAATTCTTCTACGGCCAGTATATCTATAAGGCGAGTCGGTCGCCTGCGGACAGCTCCTGGACTTTCCGCGAAGGATGCTTCACACAAAGTCTTCAACTCTACAGAGAGTATTGACCGTTCCCACACTTTGCAGAACAAGAAATAATACAATTGTAAACCGTCGGTTCTATACGTCGTTTCTCTCGAAGCGTTCTCTCCCTGCATTCCACTCGCTGCGGCCATTTACTCCATATAAACCATTCGCGCAACAAAAACGAGGCACGATGGCATCTGCATCCGACGACACCTTCAAGCCGATGGTTCTCGATTTTGACCGCCAATGGTGGCGGGAGATCATCATCTACGAGATCTATGTGCAGTCGTTCCAAGACAGCAACGGTGACGGAATCGGTGATCTCCGCGGCATCATCCAGCGACTCGACTACGTCAAGAGTCTCGGTGCTGATATGATCTGGTTGACACCGATCTATGTATCGCCTCTCGAGGACCAAGGGTATGATATCGCGAATTACAAGGAACTGAACCCGATGTACGGGACGATGAAGGATTGGGAGGACTTGTGCGCTGAGGTGCACAGGAGGGGAATGAAGATGATGATGGATATGGTGTTTAACCATACCAGTTCCCAGGTGAGAATTTACGCAAATATGGAGAGTGATGATGGAGAGCTGAGATCTGGTTAGCATGAATGGTTTCTCGAGTCGAAAAAGAACAAGTCCAATCCCAAACGAGACTGGTACTTTTGGCGCAAGGGACGCACTGGCAAGAACGGGGAGCGTTTGCCTCCGAACAACTGGGAGAGCATGTTTGGAGGTTAGCCCTGTTCGCATCTTTTTGAGATAGGACTGACACGTTGACAGGCCCGGGATGGAAGTATGATGAGTCCACCGACGAGTGGTGTAAGTACTGGCCGCTTTTGGAGTATTAGCCATCTGTTGATGTATGCCAGACATGCATCTGTTCTCGTCATCGCAGCCAGACCTCAACTGGGACAACCCCGACGTCCGGAACGCGGTATACGACGTGATCGACTTCTGGGGCAAGAAGGGCACGGATGGATTCCGAGTAAATCATACCTCTCGCTGAAACTTGTGAGCATTTGCCGACATTTCACAGTTCGATGTCATCAACCTGGTCTCCAAGACGCCAGGTCTCCCAGACGCGCCGATCAAATTCCCTAACAAGTTCGAGCAACCCGCAACGGAGATGTACACGAATGGGTAAGTTCCCAACTCCCCCAGAGAGACAGTCATTGCTGAAAACGGTGCAGCCCGAATATCCACAAATACATGCACGAAATGAACCGCAAGGTTCTTTGTAAATACAGCAACTGCACAGTTGGCGAGATGCCCTGCGGCGTGAACGAGTACGAGGCCAGTGAATACGTAGCCAAAGAACGCCAGGAGCTCTCGATGGTCTTCCAATTCGACCACATGAACCTGGACGGCGCCAACGGCGACAAGTGGCAGCCTCGTAAATGGGAGCTGTGGGAGTATGAGCGTGTGATGCGTGTTTGGCAGCAGCATATGCTCGGAAATCACGGTCCGTGCTTTTCTGGGGTTGTGTCCACTAGACTAATCGAGATATAGGTTGGAGCTCCTTGTACATGGAGAACCACGACCAGGCGCGCGCAGTGTCCCGCTTCGGCAACCCAGACGTGCGCTTCCGCGCCGTGTCGACGAAGATGCTCGCCACCGTGCTGTTTGCGCTCCGCGGAACTGTATTCCTGTATCAGGGCCAGGAGCTCGGCACGCCGCACCCACAGAACTGGAAGATCGAGGACTATCCCGACGTCGAGACGCAAGAATGGTACAAAGCGTAAGTAAACAGACCAGCCATTTCTTCCAGACAGACCAGAAGATGGATATTGATATCTTCCATTCTGTAGTCAATACAAACTGCGCAAAGAGAAAGAGCCCAACAAGGAACCGGACATGAAGGACGCTATGGATGTCATCCGTCTGAAAAGCCGCGATAATGCACGCACCCCGATGCCGTGGGACAACTCGACGAACGGTGCTTTCACCACGGCGGCCAAGCCGTGGATCAGGATGAACGATGAGTACCCCGAGATCAACGTGCAGTCACAGGAGCAGGATCCGGACTCAGTGTTGAACTACTTCAAGAAGCTGATTCATATCCGCAAGCAGCACCCGCTGATGGTACGCCTTTAATCCCGCCGTTCATATTTGCTTTTACTGATATGGTCTAGTTCTACGGAGCCTACGTCCCGGTGAATCCCACGGACCCCAGAGTCTTCTCGTTCCTGCGGTGCCAGGGCCCGTGGCGCACGCTCGTCTTCTGTAACTGGACAACGGAAAACACCGAGTTTGATATCCCGGGGGAAATTGACGTCGACCTGGCCGTCATGCTAATTGCCAATTATAAGGTTGGAGATGACCCGCTGAAGCATAAGGTCAAGCTGCGGCCGTATGAGGCGCGCATTTACTCGCTTCGGAATTAGGGCAGATGCATGCTTTGTATAACAGCATCGCAGATAGAACAAAAGTTTTTACATATCGTAATGTCGGCAAGTGGTGGCGGGATGAGTAGACTGTGCGTATTTCTCCGGGCTTGCGGGATAAGGTTGCGAGGATGGTAGCTTCGCAAGAGGTACGTCACGAAGGTATTTGTTTGTTTACTCATAATGCTTATTATTAGTATCTTATAATTCATAGCCATCAATGTCTCGCGGCTTGGCAAAGTAGAAATCCCGCTCCTTCACAGCTCGCCAAGTTGACACCCTTTCCTAACCACGACATCCATCCTCTTTTTGGGAAGAACTGCCACAATCTCTATTCTTCATACACTCCATCACCGCTTTAGGTGCTCTTCTTCGCACTCTCCCGCTCCGCCTTGCGCAGAGCACGCTTGCGAATAGACTCATGCATACTCTTGTTCTGAGAGATGACAAACGAATTCATAGGCGTAGTGACCGAGGTCAAGAACCAAGCCATAATCCCATGACTCCAGTAAGGCGAGGAGCTATAAGCGTAAGCGGGTGAGCCGCCACTCCGACCGATCTTGCCAAGGGTGGCGCGGACAAATGCGCGCGGCGTTGGGATGGAGGCCGACGCGCGACGGATCTTGGACATGGCCGAGGTGATCAAGTAGGCCTGGACGAGCTCGACTGTGATGCCGTGGGGAGCCAGCTCGGCTCCCAGCGCGGTCGACCAGTGCTGCAGGAAAGCCTTGCTGCCGGAGTAGGTGGCCAGCAGTGGGGTCGGGAGCAGGCCGCCAAAGGAGCCCATGGTGAGAACTAGACCGCGGCGGCGTTGGATCATGCCTGGCACAACGAGCTGGGTGACGCGCAGGGTACCCATACAATTGATCGTGACGATATTGGCCATCTCTGAGGCCGGGGTCTGGGCGAAAGGAACGGGGATCGAATGGCTCTGGCCCACGTTGTTGACCAGCACAGACACATCCAGCTCTGCCACGACCTCCCGCAGGGCCTCGTAGTCTGCGTCCGCGTTGCGCGCAAAGTCCATGGCCACGGTCTCAGTTTCGACGGAGTACTGCGCTGTGATTTCTTCGGCGAGAGCAGCGAGTTTCGAGGCTGTTCGTGATACCAGCACAATGTTGAACCCTGACCGCGCCAACTGCAGCGCGAATTCCTTGCCCAGGCCGTCTGATGCGCCGGTCACCACTGCCCAGCTACCGGGGGGACCGAAGGAGCGGAGCTGTGAAGAGGGTGTAGGTTAGTCTCTGAAGAGCTGAAGAAACAGGGACATACATACCGGCTTTCCAGGCAACACGAACAGGCTGAGCAGCACGCGAATGAAGGTCCAGACTTTGCAGGCAACGACCAGCCCGCCGGTGGCCAGCAGAAGCAGGGCTCCGACAGTGGGCAGGCCGGGGGCGAGGTGTGTGGGCCATTGCGAGAGGCACTCGAAGTGTTTCGAGAGATCCATATTGAAGGAGAGAGAGACTATCGCAGAGAGGGTGAGTTGAAAAAGAGAAAGTGTGTGTGGACCAGGGAGATTGAAAGAAAAAGGTTGGGGAGAGATGATCGCCGCCAAGAATCAAACACATGAGGGCCTCGGTCTTTTTCTTCCTTCTTCTTCAGACAACAAACAAACAACCATGTCGTCGCTGCTGTCCTACCTTCCGCCCTTCGAGGGCCTGCTTCCCAAGTGGCTATTCCTGGTACTTTGATTTCTCCCCCTTCATTCTATCTTGCACCCAATTAATCCTCTGCCCGCTAGGTCTCCGTCATCTCTGCCGTGAACAGCCTCCAAGCCATCCGCTCCCCTGACTACACAGCCCAGCTGTACAACGGCCAAGTCAACGGCCAGTCCCCCGTGAACCCACTCGCCAGCCGGCTCTTCGGAACGTGGACCCTACTCTCAGCGGCCGTCCGCCTCACCGCTGCATACCACATCACCACGCCCGCCGTGTACGATCTCGCCGCGTCCACCTTCGGCATTGCCCTCGTGCATTTTGTGAGCGAGTGGCTTGCCTTTGGGAGCGCGGGTCTGCGTGGACGGTTCGTTAGCCCGCTCATTGTGGCGTCGTCTACTTTGGCGTGGATGGTGACGCAGCGCGGGGAGTATCTAGGTTTGTAGGATGGATGCATTTCCTGCCATTATATGATTGGGAGAAGAGGGAATTGGTTAAATCATGTATATATGTGATTTATTTTTTTGTGTGTACGGACTCCAATTGACTCTACACCACACTGCACTGCCTTTTTTATCCGTCTAGCTTCTTTCTGTACAGCTCGCCGCCACAGCCCCGGAGCTTGGCGGCGGCTTGCTCCGGTGTGATATCGCGCTGGGGCTCGGCCATCAGCTCATACCTGTGACACATTTTAGTGTTGATCAAAAGAAAAGACATGAGGGAAGCCTACCCGACCAGGAACTTGCGCACGGTGGCACTCCGCAGCAGCGGCGGATAGAAGTGCAAGTGTAGATAGGAAGCCTCGAGCTCGTCAGCGTCAGCATCCAGCGGTGCCTGGTGGATACCCATGCTGTAGGGGAAGTGCGTCTCGAAGAGATTATCGTAGCGACGAGTGGTCTCGGCAATCGCCTCGGCCAGCAAGGTCTTCTCGGGAGCCGACAAATCCACCAACGCGCGCCGGTGCGAGCGGCTAACGATCATGGTCTCAAACGGCCAAGTCGCCCACCAGGGAACAACAACGAGGAAAGCCTCGTTCTCGAAAACGACGCGGTCGCCCTTGCGCGCCTCCAGCGCGGCATAGTCCTCCAGCATGTGCTGCCCTCCGTGCTCGGCGCGGTACTTCTTCAGCTGCTCCAGCTCCGCGGCGGGCTCCTCGGGCAGCGAGCTGGTGGTCCACACCTGACCGTGCGGGTGCGGGTTCGAGCAGCCCATCGCCGCGCCTTTGTTCTCGAAAATCTGCATGTAGCGGTACTGCTCCTTGGGCTTGGTGATGCTAGCGTGCGGGGAGGAGGGCTGCAGGGTCGTCGCGGGCGCGATCTGGGCTAGTGGCGAGGTCGGCGCCAGGTGCGCGGCGTAAATCTCGGTCCAGGCGTCGATTACGGGGACGATGTCGCGCGGCGATAGGTCGGCGAGCGTCAGGTTGTGCGCCGACGAGAAGGTCAGCACGTAGCATTTGCCTGTCACGGGCTCGGCCTTGAGGAAGCGCGCCTCCAGCTCTGCGTTCGGTGAGTGAGTATGAGCTGCCGGAGAGGTAGGTCAATTGAATCACGAACCATCTCCCTTGCTGCCATCGTAGTCGGCCTGCTCCTCCTTGACGGCGCTGTAGTCGTTGACGAAGACGAACGTGCTGTCGTACTTGGGGTTAACGTCGCCCGCGGCGCGCTGGTTGCCGGGACACAGGTAGCATTGCGGGTCGTAGGCGGGGAGTGTCGTCTTGGAGGGGCTTTCCTGCTGTCCTCTACGAATTGTTAGTTATTGTCGTGATTGACGGCGTGGCTAGATCGACTCACTGCCAAGGCCGCTTGGTGCGGTGGGGGGAGACGAGGATGGAGGAGCCGCGCAGGGGGTTGTATCTCCGGTGGGAGATGTCGTCGAGGACGCTGTCCATGGTGATGGCTGTCTGTAGGATGAGGACCTTGAGAGGAGTGGAAGAACAGGAAACAGAAAAACCCGGATGTCGGCCAGTGGTGGGGTCGCGGGGTCTCCGGGTTTGGTTGATTGATTGTAGGTACTATAGCATAGGTATGACAATATGTATATGGAAAGAAATGGATTTTCGGGCAGATTAATTTCCTTGTACTTTTGGTATTCAATGGACTGGAAATTGGGCAAAATTGGTGCATGTCGTGCAGTATGTCTGTCTTGGCATCGTCATTTGTCGCAGAACCCGGTGAGCCGGAAAGGAATCGGCGGGATCCCGATATATGAAATGTGGGGTGAGCATGGAGCAAGTACTATTTACAAAGGAACCGATATGTACAAGAAAAAAGAACGCACAACACATCGTAAGTCATGATCACTGCCAATTACGCCGTCGCAGTATACGGAGGCGGCGTCTCCAACTCCTCAAACTCCGTCATGGACAGCTCGTACCCGAGATGCCGCTTGAGCAGTTCATGCGTGACGAATCGCTCGGGGGCATTACCCTGTGCATCCACAAACGAGACATGCGGATTGACATCGCTAATGCGCTGCAGCTCATTAGCATGGCGATGGTGGTGCGGGCACCCATCAACACCGATCAGGAAAATCGTAACGTGCACCCAGCTAAGACTCAACAGATCGAGCTCGAACTCATCCATGTCCGTGGCTTCGCCGTCTAGTAAGAGCAGGAGCCGCAGAATCGGCGTTTGCGGGCCAGCTTGCCACCCGAAAATGGGGTGGTAGGTCGCGGACTCGGAGTGTTTTTGGAAGTGAAGCTCCTTGATCTTCTGCCACCCTGTCATCACGCGTGTGCCGCCGCCAAATCGGATGTTGCGCCACATTTGATCCAAGTTGTAGTGATTGATTGTGCCGACGTGATGGGCGTGTGTGGAGAATGTGGTGAGCTCGTAGCCCTTGAAGTTGTGGTCGTGGTTGGCCATGGCGTCGGTGAATCGACGGACGACGGCCTTTGCTACGTCTGCATAAAGGGTTAGGAAGATTGATCAAATAACTGCGTTGGGAAAATTACCTTTGTTCTTTGGCTGGGTTGATCGAGAATAGCCCGTGATGAGATACTGGTTATAGTTTGGTCGAACGGGATCAAAGCCCATAGAGCCAGAGACATCTAGTAGGATCATGGTGTCGTCGTTAGGAGTCTCGGGAGCATCAAACGCTCGAAACGGCGGGGGCATGACCTGCTTCGAGTATCCCGCCGAGGTATGCTGAACATGGCAAGTATCATCGGCAGAGTAATACCCTGGTGGTGGTTCCACGGCAGAGGCCATTCTGGCACGAGCCATGTCCAGCGCGGAGATCATGTCTGGTTTCAATCGTGGTCCACCAACACCATCCCGGTGATTCATGACCCAATAGAGCCGTTCCTCGGCGGTATCTTCGAACCCTCTCCACGCAGGCGTGATCCCTCTCCACCCCGACGCCGCCTCGATGCTGAACTTCAATGGGTTGGAGGCCAAATCGGCCCACGCCACGGGAATGGGCTCGAAATAGCCCGCTCGCAGGAGGTGGAGATATTGGATCGGGCAGCGATTGCGCAGGTCCGCGATCTTTGCAGTCATGCCGATCTTGTCCTGGTAGTTGAGCACGATCTGTCGATCCAGCGGATCCGGCCATCTGGACTGTTCCTCGCTGACAATCTCGCTCTGCAAAACGATGGCGTGTTTCATCTGTTTCTTCGTTTTGATCAATGCCTTTTCTTCTGGCGATTTGATCGAAAAAGCCCGTTTCAGAGAAAACCTTCTCTTCTCATCGGTGGGAGGACCGGCGATGGCCAGCTTGGACATTTGAGCCTCCAGCTCGTCCGTCGCCCAGATACTGCTTTTTGGTTCCTGGGCGTTGATCGCGGCTTGTGCTTGTGAGTTGAGCGACGCATTCATTGCGATGGTCTGGTGTACCATTCGGGCATGGTAGCCTGGTTTGGGTTGCTGGATCGTCCAAAAGGTATTACCCATCCTATATCCATAGGGGGAAACGATACTATACGTGTACGGGTTGCTAGAAAAGAGGGATTGCTGGTAGCAGTCGTGATAGGAGCTTTCGCCCGGGTACATGACGGCCTTGGACCACATTTGCTGGACGGGCAGGCGCTGCCATTTCCTTCGTTTGTATTGGTGGATGTCGCAGTTACAGTAGTAGTCTGTTTCGTGCTCGGGTTCAATCTCCGGGTTGTAGATGCGGTACCTCATTTGGACGGTCTGTAGCAGGTTCTGCATCTCTTGCTCGTCGTGAGCGCGGACCTCCCCTGCTCTAATGACGGCATTTGTGTGAAATCGAGTTGCGCTCCTGGCTTTTGGAGGCAACGGCCTTTGCAAAGGCGGCTGCACGGGAGCCTGCACGGGAGCTCGCTTCTCCGACTTTTCGGAGTGGTTCTTTTCGGAGTGGTTCTTTTCGGAGTGGTTGTTTTCGGAGTGGTTCTTTTCGGAGTGGTCCTTTTCGTAGTGGTTCTTTTCGCTGTGGGCGTGTTTCTCTGGATTCTCATAGTACTGGTCCACAGCCTCATTGATGGTATTCGCGTTCTTTCGATAGAGTTAGCCAACGTGCGATCATGTCGATCAGGGTGAGAGGTACTTCAAGAAACATGGAGGCCGTCTTGTCGTCCGCACCGGGAGCGAAGCTGAGAAACTCAGCCAAGCTCGCTTTGTCGGGCTGCATGGTGACGATGTTCTATGGACAGGTCTGCGAGTCAGGACAGGGAGCTAGGGTTCATCGGCTGTGCTTTTAAAGCCAAGAGAATGCGATCGTCCGGAGGCAGAGGGAGGGGTTAGCAAAGAGGTGGCGGTGCAAAAAGGGTAACAAGGCTACGCAACACGGAGACTAAGTAAGCCAAGAGAAGGAGGCTCAGCAAAGAGGCAGTGCCCCAGCAGCAAGGGACCAGTGAGGGATAATTACCGGCAATCCGGCACTAAGTTAGTTGTTGCTCGCCCCGACGATTATTATTCTGGTTGAGATTGGCCACACTGGACTGATGACCCCGGACCCACTCGCTGGGAACAAGCATTCGGGAAGATGCATACGTAGTAATTAACGATAACGATGGGGGCAACAGGAGGATCCCTGGAAGACGCTGCTCGGGAGACTGCGCATTTACCATTTTCGGAAAGAACAAGTGGAGCAAAGACTGCACAGTCATTCTCGAAATCGCCTTGACCACCACACACACAATAACTGTTTTGTCTTAGTAGACCCGTGGTCGGGTTTTTCGCGTGTGGGTTGGGCCTTGGGCGGTTTTTGGCGAGGCGGTCTGTGGCAAAGCGTGCATGCCTGAGCCACTCGCCGTGGTCAAGCCACATTTCTCCAAGATGATGGTCGATGTAGCCTCACCGCAACGTCATCGCTCGTTCTCGCACACAACCTCGCAATCGCTCGAGGGTTCGACTCTCCTTAGCTCTGGGAATACATGCTCAGGCGCCCAGCCTGCAGGGAGAGAGTCGTCGTAGGCCATGCTGCCTTGGATCATCGGAGGTCTCCAAACCCCTCCGCGACCCTCGTAAGCAACAGGATTGGTAATCCTACGGACTGTCAGCTAACTAAGCCGGACCTATACGACCACACGGACTTCGGACTACAGTAGATGGCGAGGTTGATGCCGGAAGTAGTCTGCGCGTCACTGACTTGCGGTAGCTGAGCAAGCATTAACTTGGCATCAACTAGGCAGAAGTCGGCCGCGTCGTAGTAACGCATTTCAAAGACTACCTATGTGTTGCAGCATGTTGCATGTCACACCTATATATACCTGATGGGAGCTCGTTGTTTACATGTTGCAAAATATCCAGTTGATCATCCGTTGGTCTCAAGAAAGTTAAAAGTTTCCCTACAATCATTGTTTCACCGTGTCAATCCAAACCACCCCGTCACATTTGGCAACAAAGTCAGCATCCTACCACCGCGCAACATCATCTTCCAATATGCGTATTCTCGTTATTGGCGGCAATGGACAGACTGGTCGTCTCGTCATCGATGAAGCATTGCAGCGCGGCCATAAGGTTACTGCCTTGATTCGCAATCCCTCTGCCCTTCCAGCCATGGAAGGCCTGAATATCGTGAAGGGCACACCCGTGGAACCTTCGAACGTTGAAAGCGCTTTCAACGCAGTCCAGGGCGACCTCCCAACTGCCGTGATCGTCACACTTTCGTCCCCAAGAGAAAAGGGGACTCGAGTCATGTCTCACGCGCACGAAAACCTCGTCGCTATTATGAAAAGGCATGGTGTTTCCAAAATTGCGACACTGTCTTCATTTGGAGTTGGCTCTTCTCTCGCGAATATCAATGTGCTTATGAAATGGGCAATTGCCCATACCAGCCTTGGGCATGCATTCGCGGACCATAATCATGTCGATGAGATACTCAAGAAGAGCGGATTGGAATTCGTGGAGTTGAGGCCAGCGAGATTGACTATGGGCAAAAAAGCGCCCGTCCAGTTCCTTGGCGACGAGGGGAAAGGACTCGGTATTTTCGCAGGCCTGGGGGGGGATCTCGAGGGCTAGTGTGGCGGCGTGTTTGGTGGACGCTGTTGAGAAGAACACTTGGGATCGAAGCACTCCTGTGATATCGGAGTGATGGGGTGTCACCATGTCAGGGTATGGGACAATCGAACAGAACACTCATTCGGCAGGAAAAGATACGCCAGGAAAGATTGGGCTTTATGAAGCCTTACCTATTAGTTAATGTATGCTTTCGAACATAATATAGTTCAATCGGTCCCCACAAGATCAGAATGTTTGTCTACATGTTCAATCGTCTTATTGGTTATCTATTTTAAATCAACTTGCCTGGTGGCGATGACGGGTATAGTATGGTGGGCAGCCATCGGCACGGCTATATTTGCGTGCTGTGAGGAACTTAGATCGGGAACACCGCGCTATCACCTAAAGCCAGACGGCATGCTCGTATGGCTTCGCACGAAATATGTTCTAAAAAGCTGATTCTGACAGAGATATCTTTTCTATGTAACTGATGTTACAGGAACGGGATCGACTGGGTTTCCCCCGCATTCGCATTCGCATTCGCATTTACACCTTTGGATTCCAACATGAATCATAAATGGCGAAAACCGACATGTCTACGTTCACATGGCCTTCCCACGGTCGGGTCGTAGGGATCCAAAGAGAAAACGAGACCGGAGACGCCTTCGGCGGGATCCCCAATGCCCTGCCCCCCATCAGCGTTCGATCCGCCACCAAGCTTCCCCAATCACCAGAAACGATCGATGCATTCAAACTCGGCCCCGCAGCAGCAGGCTAAGCATAACTCGAGCAGTGCGAAGACTATCTGGCTGCGAACGTGTTCCGACCTGCCGGGACTTGGGTCGTGAACTATCTCAAATGTAATACCTAAAACGTGACGTCAGACCCTTCTTTATCGCTGGTTGGCTTATCGCGCTTTCCTCTCAACTCCAACTCCCCCACCACCATGGCACTCACGAGATATAGATAAACCCGGAGCCAGGGAAGCCTCACCGCCATGAACCCTCCAACAGTAACCTTCGATTCCCTACCGAACGAGGCAAGACCAATAAACCACCCCTAATCCGACCCCAGACTCATTCCTTCGTCCGTTCCAGGTCTCTCTACAGATCCTCTCCTCACTCTCCACGCAATCCCTCCTTCCCATCACAGCCGTCAACCACCGCCTTCACGCCCTCATCCTCCGTATCCTCCACTACCGCCTCCTTGCTGCCGCCTCCCTCCCAGAATATAAACTCCTCCTCGAATGCTTCCACCCGAGCTCTAAACTCACCGAGCCGCACGTCTTCTGCACATACCTCGGCACCGACGGACTAAGTGACCGACATGACGGGCAGGGCTCACTCTACGAAAGCGTCGACACCGCGCAAAGACTGTCTCGGCTAACGGGGCTATATTCACGATTCCGTCCTGAAGCGCACCCAGACCAAGATGTCAGTGGAGGAATGTCGCGACTCGTCTCATCGCCAGGTACGACGCTTTTGCTGCCGGGGGTGGTGGGGTTTATGCGGGCTGACACGAATGGGGATGAGGAAGAAAGTTCGGGGGCACCAGTGACGAGGGCGGTGAATTTGGAAGGGTATGAGGATTTCTCGCAGCTTTGTGTCGTGGTGAATCTGGTTCAGGTCATGCCTGGGACGACGCTACTGCGCAGTGCGCATACGATTGAGGACGGATTTATTCGTCTGTGGCGGGAGTGGTTGAAGAGGCAGGACGCGCGGTGGAAAGCTGCGGTGCGGGTTACAGAGGAAGAAGGACCGGAGGCGGCGCGGATGTTACAGGATGCCGACGAGATTCTCTGGGTGGATCGAAACGAAACGGTCGGATTGAAGATGCGCGTGCGAGAAAAGAAGTGGAATTCCGCTTTCCCGGTGTTGATGCACCGCGACGAGGAGTCCACGGACGCCTACGAGGTTGACTTGGAAGGTAAGTGATACTGTTGAATGGTGGGAAATCTTCAAAACTGACGAAACAGAACTGCATATCCGCTCCACACGCCTACTCCTCACCCTGGAACAGTCACAGGAAGAGCAGCAGAGCTACCAGAGCAACGCCATCATATTCGGTGCATTTCCCACTCACCAAACAATCTAAACCCGACCACCCGGACTCTCGGGTTGTCGTTCGGGTTTATACGCAAGAATAGGTTGTGCAGCGTCGTACAGGTCTATAGATAGAAAGTTGTGCCTGAGCAATACACAATTGAACAGCCAATGGCAATGCGTAGAAACTGCCCAAATCGGCACCGGATGCCGGGTGGAGTGCCTGTGGCGCGGCATCCACCGAAGTTTTCACCCTAACAATCCAGATCCAAGATTCGGGCCGAAACCATGAAGGGCCACGGATTCGTGAGCAAAGGTGAGTGCTTGATAATATTCGTGCTAATTTGTTTCGGGATGTAAAGGAGAATAGAAGGGAATCATTGCTCAGAGAGCCTTGCGCCAAAACCAGGGAGAATATAGTTGAAAATGTTCGCCACCGCGATTACTTAACAACAGTCGTTAAGGCGGATGCAAGCCGAGGCTGGATTCGGTTGTGTTGAGTGGGGCCCTGCTTTTTTTCTGCTTGCCATCCTTCTGCTCTTATATGACTGTTTTTCTGTCTCTCTCCTGTCATGTTGAATATTTTTCCAGTTTGATCTGCGCGACCTCCATCCTTGCATTGCGATCGTCGACCCAGAGTGGGCCGCATATAGATCGCATCGATCGGTGCTTGAGCGCAACAACATCAAAGAAGCATCTTTGATAAACATGGCGACTCTCGCCGCTGGGAACGAGGCATCTCTGCCATCCCGAATCCCTTTCTGGCGGTTAATTTTCGACCAAAAAGTGATCACCGACCAGGTCGCCAGCTATCCCTATGCCGGCTCAGGCACGGAAAATGATCCATACGTCGTGGTTTGGATCGACGGCGACGCCCGCAACCCCATGAACTTCGGGACTCTCAAGAAATGGTCCATCACGATCCTTGTCTCGTTCGTCACGCTCGCCGTGGCCCTGGTCTCCTCCGCCTTCTCAGGCGGCATGGGCCAGATTGTTGAGCACTTCGGCGTCGCCGAGGAAGTCGTCTTGCTCGGCGTGTCACTGTTCGTGCTGGGGTTCGCTATCGGGCCTCTAATATGGGCGCCGCTCAGCGAGATCTTTGGTCGTCGGCATATCTTCACTGTTAGCTTTGCCTTTTTGACAGCGTTCAATGCCGGCGCCGCAGGCGCGACTAATATCCAGACGTTGATTATTCTGCGTTTCCTGGCGGGCTGTTTTGGGTCTTCGCCTTTTGGGAATGCCGGTGGGACTATCGCGGATATGTTCCCTGCGTCGCAGCGTGGTATTGCGATTAGTTTCTTTGCCGCGGCGCCGTTCCTGGGCCCAACTATTGGTCCTATTATCGGTGGGTTTCTAGCGACAGGGGCTGGATGGCGCTGGGTGGAAGGTTTTCTGGCTGCATTTTCGGGTGCACTCTGGCTGTGCGTGATCTTCTTGCTCCCAGAGACCTATGCGCCCGTTCTGCTGCGCCGACGAGCCGAGAAATTGTCTGAAATGACAGGCAGTGTGTACCGCAGCAAGCTTGATATCGAGCGCGGCCCGATCCCAATGGGAAAGACGCTTCGAACGGCACTCTCCCGTCCCTGGATCTTGCTGTTCCGCGAACCTATCGTGTTTCTGCTCTCTATCTACATGGCCATCATCTACGGCACCCTATACATGCTCTTCGCAGCATATCCAATCGTCTTCCAAGAAGTGCGCGGCTGGAGCGAAGGTGTGGGCGGCCTAGCCTTCTTAGGAATTCTTGTGGGAATGGTCCTAGCCGTCATCTACACCTTCCCCGAAAACATGCGCTATGCCAAAAAATGCAGCGAGACCACCGACCGACTCGCCCCGGAGGTTCGCCTCCCACCCAGCATGGTCGGCGGTATTGCCCTGCCTATCGGATTATTCTGGTTCGCATGGACCAACTCTGCATCCATCCACTGGATGGCATCCATCGCCGCTGGGGCGCCGTTCGGGTTCGGGATGGTTCTCGTCTTCCTCAGCGTGTTCAACTACCTCATCGATTCATATACCATATTCGCCGCGTCAGTGCTAGCAGCCAACTCTGCGCTGCGGTCTTTATTCGGCGCCGCATTCCCGCTCTTCACGACATACATGTACGCCAACCTCGGCATCCATTGGGCCTCATCGATCCCAGCATTCCTAGCCCTCATCTGCGTGCCCTTCCCATTCATCTTCTACAAATACGGAGCCCAGATTCGTCAGCGATGCACCTTTGCCGCTGAGGCTGATGCGTTCATGCGACGGCTGGCAGAGCAGAATCAGAACCAGAACCGGGCTGAAATTGAGCGCGAGGAGACCGTGCTGGATGCGGATGAGAAGGAGCCTGACAATACGGCTGTAGCAGACGACGCGCAAAGCTCTTCTGATAGCGAGAGTATCTCTACTGTGCCCTCGCGCACCATCGGCCGGTATGCCTCAAGGGCATCACGCCAGTCGGGTCGGTCGATGCATCGCACGCCGACGGCGACGCAGTATGAGGAGAATCCGTACGATTTGGATCTGGTGAATACGCGCCAGTCGGCAATTAGTGGCCTTGGCAAGAATTAGCCGAATGCAGGCCTAATGATATAGATGTACATAGTTCATAGAAATAATATCATAGTGATAATTAATAACCGAATACTTGATGCGATCTGGTTGCCCTGAATTGCTTGATCACTCATCAGAAGCCTCGGTTCGTCCCCACCTCGGGCCACTTGCCAAGCGGTTAAATACCCCGGACCGGCAGACAGCTTCCCTGAACCTCCACTGCTCGCAGCCAGCTTCAAGAACCACCATGGCAGGCTCTAAGATTGACGCCTACGTGGACTGCGGTAGGGCCGACAAAAAGGAACCAGCTAAGCACCGCTGATCAATGACTGAATGACAGTGTCACCCTATTCGTACTACGCCACGCTGTATCTGCGACGCAATCGCAAAGCGCTAGAGTCGCATGGCGTGGACGTGGAGTATGTCCCTCTCTCTATCTCGTCGTTTAAGTATTCTCAAAACTAATAATCCATGCCAGATTCCACCCCGTCTTCTTGGGGGGAATCAATGTCGGATCCGGTCAGTCCCCGATCGATCGATCCCCGTTCGGACCGGACCGGTCTGGTCTGAGGCTGACGTGAATCACTCACACCAGGGAATAAACCGCCGTGGACACTACCCGCCAAAGCAGCGTACTCAAAATTCGACTCGGAGCGGGCGTGTAAATACTTTGGGGTGCCGCCCATCAAGCCGCCCGAGTTTTTCCCAATCCTATCGATCATGGTGAGATGCCTGTGTTAAGAACCCCAAAAATGTCACACTGATCCGATTGTAGCCCCAACGCTGCATGATCTATGTCAAGCGCAACTACCCGCGCGAACGCTTCGAGACCACATTCCTATCTCTCTGGGAAGCGATGTTCTACAAAGGGATTGACATCAGCAAGCCTGAAGCCATGGCAGAGCTGCTGAAGGGCCATCAGTATTCGGAGCAGGAGATCCAGACGATTTTGAAGGCAGCGTCCAGTCCCGAGTATAAGCAGGCCCTGACGGATAACACACAGGCGGCGCTTGGGAAAGGCGCGTACGGGGCGCCGTGGTTCTGGGTGCGTAATGCACAGGGCAAGGAAGAGCCGTTCTTCGGTAGTGATCGGTTTGCGTTCATGTGGCAGTATCTAGGATTGCCCTTTGAAGATGTTACTATTAAAGCCCGTCTCTAGTCAACCTCGCCTTCCCTTCCGAATCGGGCAGGTGCTCGACTTCCTTTTCTTAGCTGTCTCCCGTCTCATCTCATTCCTGTACATTTTCGCCCTATTCAATAAATAACACTTAGGTATGGACCGCCACGTCGTGTTGTTCTTGACAAATGCCGAGCTCAGCCAGGCCAATATCCATCTCGCCGTCGCCCACGAACTGCTCCTGCGACCCGGCTACGACGTGCACATTGCCTCTTTCGAGCCGCTGCGCGACGAAGTCGAGAAGCTCAACTCCACCGTCGCTACGCTGACCACCACATCCCCAGCCAATGCGGCCACTTTCCATCGGCTCGCTGGTGCGACTTTAAAAGAGGCCTTTGCGCAGCACCCGGCGGTCGAGCGTCTGCGCGCCCCCGGCTTTGGCATTCGTGCCACGGCCGCGTACAAGGGCTTGATTCCCGTGACCCTCGCGCTCTGGGATAACGGTGCCGATTACTTGACCATCTACCACAGCTGTGTCGAGGCTATCCAGCAGGCCAAACCGACTCTCATTGCGGTCGATCCGTTTCTCGCGCCGGGCATCGATGCTTGTCAGGTTACCAACTCGCGCTTCTGTCTTCTCAGCCCGAATACCTTTCTCGAGCATATCCCGTCTCTGCGGTTGACCAAGCCGTGGAAGTATCCGCAGTACACACTTCCGGTCCATGACTTGTCTCTCAGGTAGACACATTGCTAACTAACCGCCCACAGGATCAACTCGGGGTTCCCCTTCCCCATTCCCTTGAAACTCATCCTGCCAAACATCTACCTTCTCATCCGCCTCATCTTCGCGCTTCGATCGGCGCCGGTCTGCAAGAGCCTGGAGCGGTTTCGCAACGCCAATGGCATCCCCGGGCCCACACCGTCGTTACTGAACTCCCAGCTGCGCAAGGTTCCCTGCCTGCTGCCATCGCGCCGGGACACAGACTTTCCATGCTCGATTCCCTCGAACTTCACCTGCTGCGGCCCCATCCTGCGCCCATACCGTCCGATCACCGAAGAAAACCCGGCGCTGGCTACATGGCTGGCGCGCCAGGCGACTGTTCTTGTCAACATGGGGTCGCACGTTACGTGGACTCCGTTGGAGACGGCTCGGTTTGCAGCGGGTCTAAGGACATTGCTGGCTCACCGGGCAGATATCCAAGTCCTGTGGAAGCTACAGCGTGCGTTTCCAGACGGACAGCCTCTCAGTCAACTTTCAATGGAGGGGCTGGAGACCATTGTGAACTACATTCAGAACGACCGAGTCAAGGTGCTTTCTTGGCTGCCTGTAGAACCGATTTCGGTCTTGCAGAGCGGTCGCGTTGTATGCATGGTGCATCATGGAGGATCCAACTCGTACCACGAGGCTATCCGGTGAGTGAAACAGTTCATTCTGACCCATTTCCCTGACCCCACCTCAGAGCCGGCGTCCCCCACGTCGTCCTCCCAGTCTGGCTCGACACGTACGACTTCGCTGTGCGAGTGGAATGGCTCGGCATCGGTGTTTGGGGGAGTCATCGGACCGCACCGATTGTCGATAGTGGGGACCTCGGGTCGGCGTTGGTGCGAGTGATGGCTAGCAGCGAGTCGGCTGGAATGATGCAACGAGCACAGGGGATCGCTAACGGTCTGGGTACGGAGGGCCGGGTTGTGGCTTGTGAGAAGATAGTGGAGATGGTGAGCAAGACGCTCGGGAAGTGAACAAACAGTATTGCTTATCAACTCGGTGAGGCTCGGGTTCGGGATGGTGATGACTATGCTCCATGATGTTATCGTTAGCCCGAACTAGTGTTTGTCTTTCGTCACTCACTCGCTGCTGATGTGGTTTCGCTTCGTGTCTCGCCCGAGACCGAAATTGACTTTAGCCGCAGTATAAATAGCTCATAGTTGCCTCCAATGTTCTTCCATAATCGGACCGCCGGATAAGACCTAAACCCGGTTATCGTTGACCCCACGCTGCCCCACGTCGAGTGCTTGTTTGTCTTCTTCTTCTTCTTCTTCTTCTTCTTCCTTCTTCTTTTGTCCAACTACAATCACTCACCACAATAATGGCCGGAACTCGCGTCGCATGGATTGGTCTCGGCAACATCGGCCGGGTAAGAGCCCACTTCTCTCCCCCATCGCCAACAAACAACCCTGGAGCTAACCCGTACTCCAAATAGGGCATGAGCACCAACATCGCCCAGAAAGGCCCTCAATCCTCACTGGTCCTGTACAACCGCACCACGGCGAAAGCAACAGCGCACGCCCAGACGCTAGGCGGCAAGGCGACTGTCGCAAACACACTGTCTGAAGCCGTGCAAGGCGGCGACCTGATTTTCAGCTGCGTCGGCGACGACGCGGCCCTGAACCAGATCGTCTCTACAATCGTTGATGACAAGTCCCTCGACCTCTCCACCAAAACTTTCATCGACTGCTCAACCGTTCACCCGGACACCTCGCGCGCAACGGAAAAGGCCTTCGCCTCTCGTGGAGCGGCTTTCGTCGCATGCCCCGTTTTCGGAGCTCCGAACATGGCCGACGCAGGGCAGCTCATCGTCGTGCCGGCGGGCAAACAGTCCGCGATAATTAAAGCACGACCCTTTTTCGACGGCGTAACCGCCAAAAAGACAATCGACCTCTCCTCCGGCACAGGATCCGACATCGATGTCAGCCGGGCACTGACCCTAAAGGTGTTGGGCAATACATTCATCCTGAACACAGTCGGCGTGCTGGCCGAAACCCTCGTCGCAGCCGAAGCATCAGGACTAGGCATTGAGCCGATGAAGGAATGGATTGATGAGTTCGCCCCCGGGCCTTTTGCTAAGTATGCGGACCGCATGGTGAGTGGTGATTACCATCAGCGTGAGGAGCCGCTGTTCGCGGTTGATCTGGCGCGGAAGGATCTGAGGCATGCGAAGAATTTGGCAAAGCAGGGTGGGCAGCGTATGCGGAATGTTGAAGTTACGGATCATTTCTTGGAGAGTGTTAAGGAGAAGCGCGGGGAGAAGGGGGATGTTGCGGCTGTTTACGGAGCGGCGAGGAAGGAGGCTGGCTTGAAGTTTGAGAACTAGGGGGGTTTTTCGGGTGTTGTATGTTTGTGTTTGGTATCTAGAATAGGATTGAGGGTTGGATACATCGCGTCGGTGCCTGCCGGAGAGTATGAAGTCATAGAGTCGTTCTCCCCGCGTCCAGCACGACACTACACTACCTATCCTTGCCATTCTCATTCGGCTTCGCATCTTCGCGCCCTCCTTAATACCGGAGCGAATTCCTTTGTAGTTGAAGTCGGACAACAGCCACCCTCGGTGCCGTGGAAGACCGACATCTGTTATGTCCGCTTAATCCCGAGCCTGATCTATAAGAGTGGGAAAAGTGAACCAGCTCCATACATCTCTCAGACTACTTCAAAATATTCAATACACAATACAATGACACCCAACCGTATCACCAAAGTCGCAATTACAGGTGTAGGTGCACCCCTCGCTCCCTTCTCCAATACAAACATATACTAACCAACCTACCAAAAGGCCGGTGGAAACATCGGCAGCTGCCTTACAGAAGGCCTCCTCAACAATGGCAAACACATCATCACGGCACTAACCCGCGCCGACAGCCAGAGCAAGCTACCCGATGGCGTAATTGCCAAGAAAGTAGACTACAACGACATCTCATCCCTCGTCGAAGCCCTAACCGGCCAGGATGCGCTCATTATCACCCTGAACGGCTACACATCCAAGGAAGTCGACAAGAACCTGATCCACGCCGCCGGTGAAGCGGGCGTGAAGTGGATTCTGCCGAATGAGTGGGCGCCCGATACGGCCAATAAGGAGTTGGCGAAGGATGTGTTTGTTTTCCAGCCTCATGGTGAGTGAACTACCTAGTTTCTTATATACTTCCCATACTGGGTACTGGTTACGATATAGCTTCAATGATGCTAACCGATGGTATCTTCTAGAGGGTATCCGTCAGTCGATTGTGGATCTCGGCAAAAGTTCATATATTGCTCTGTCAACGGGCTTCTGGTATGAATGGAGTCTGGCTATCCCCGCGGCGTACGGCCTGGATTTCGCCAATCGATCCGTGACCTTTTTTGACGAGGGAGAGACGAAGATCTCAACCTCGACATGGCCACAGGTATGCTCTGTTTTGCTCCAGAATTTCTTCTCTTTCCATCTTGTATCATATAGCTAATTCAATCATCAGGTTGGCCGCGCCGTCGCCTCTCCTCCTCAGTCTCCCTATCACCCCCGAAGAACCAAATACAAACGCTAGTCTCGAGAACCTAAAGAACAAGCTCCTCTATCTTGCTTCCTTCACCGTTAGCCAGAGGGAGATGTTCGAGTCCGCGCTGCGGGTGACGGGGACGAAGGAGTCGGACTGGACGATCAACAGGGAGTCCGCTCAGGAGCGGTATGCGAATGGAGTTAAGGAGATGCACGAGGGGAATAGAACAGGCTTTGTAAAGATGCTTTATACGCGTGTCTTTTATCCTGATGGCTCAGGGGACATTGAGAATAGTAAGGGGACGGTTAATGCTTTGCTGGGCTTGCCGAAGGAGGATTTGGATGAGGCAACCAAGGCTGCGGAGGTAAGGTCGAGGACGCATCCCTTTGGTGCCTAAGTGGTGTGATTAGCACATAGTGAATGTTTGTGTTTGCCTGGGATGATTGATTGTAGTGGGGGTTTGTCTATTGTTCCAGGCAGGCGTTTTAAGGTGTTTGTCTTTCCCCGGCCAGGTATATAAACAGGCACCCTCGCCCTTTCCCTCATCTCCCCTTCTCAGTCCTCTTCTGCCACCCCAAATATATATGAGCCCCAGACCTTACGCCCATTTTTCGATATATTACTTCTCCAAGCTCCCACTACCACAGCTGAAGGATGATATTCTGGCAGTTGTACGAGCACGTGGCAACGTTGATCACGCAAAGACCTCTCTCATCTTCTACAGGGAGGATGACAATACTGCTGCGAAAAAGGACATTGACACACTAGAGATGTGAGTAGCTTATGCTATAACGCGCTTCCATTAATACTAACAATGTCTGAAGTATGTAACACCAATCGGAAGCCTGTGATCTGCCGCGACTTGAGAGTATGGGATATCTAAAGAACCACACACACGTGGAGTATTTGGACAATCGCTTGCCTATCTCCAATTCATCTACATTCATCACCTTCTATCTCACCATGATGACCCCCCTCGTGCTGGAAGTGCGGGAGCCCAAAGCTTGTGAAGGCCAACTGCCCGCAGTTGGCCCAGCCCGCGCCTCCCCCCACCTCGGTCAAGCACGGTGGCATTGTATGTACTAAACTCCATTGATTCTCTGGTCTGCCCGCTCATGCTATGATGGTGCCAGGTGTTCAACATCACTCTCCCCACCGGCGCCAACATGGCCAGCAAGATCCTGCAACTCTTCAAACTTTCCTTAACGAGTTCTACTCGTTGAACGTGCAATATTACGAGGGGAAATTTACCGGAATTTGGGCATTGATCCTCAACTATGGATTCGTCAAGGAAATGACCAGATGGAAGGTGTTCTGAAGAAACCACTGACTCGCAAGCAGATCTCGGAAGGTACCGCGGCGGTCGACTTGGACTGGAATTCTGCAGATGGTATTCCTGCGTATTTGCTCATTTGGACCCCTACCCAGCGCCATGCGGCCTTTGGACAGCAGCTTGGAATTGCTACGCCCGTTGCCTGTACTAGATGTAGAAAGTCTCAGTTCTAATAGTGAGGTTTATCTGACCTGCCCTTGCTTGTGTCATAACTATCAGTCTATCCCGAAACCCGACCAGCCGAAATTATTCTTCGATATTGAATAGACTTATCTCTGCGCCATGGTTTTATTTCCAATTCGAGTAGCCAGTATTCTAATGACCAACCATAGCCTGGTGCGCGGGACCATATCTGTTACCATGAGGCTTAGTAGCATCAATAATCTTCCGCATTTCCTGCTGATCCTCCTCCGTCAACTCAATATCACGAGAAGCCCAATTATCCTCCAATCGACTAGCCTTGGTGGTGCCGGCAATGGGAATCAGCCCTTGAGAAGCGACCCAGGCGAGTGCGATTTGACTAATATTGCAGCCCTTGCGAGCAGCCAGCTTTTTTATTTCTTCCACAATTGCTCGATTCTTATAGAAATTCTCGCCTTGGAATTTTGGGGAATTGCGGCGGAAGTCATCAGCGGCGAAGTCGTCGGGAGAGTTGTACTGGAAGTCATCGACTAGCCAACCGTGTCCAAGTGGGCTGTAGGCAACGTAGGCAACGCCTAGTTCCTTGGCTGTATCGATCAGGCCGTCAGTTTCGTGGACTGTCTCGAAGGCTGAATACTCGGCTTGAACGGCATCAATCTTGGCGACTATTTCCGGTCTGTGAGTAAAGACTTGCTAAGCGAATAAAGGTTAAGCTTACTCGAGTTTGCCTTGCGCAGTGTAGCAGCGGAGCACTCTGAAAGACCAATATACTTCGTCTTGCCTGCTTTACGAATCTCATCAAGCGCGGGGATGGATTCCGTGAGAGGCGTGTCTGAAAGAATAAGCCAAGCGAACATAAACATTATCAAGATCGAACGTACTGGGATCTATCCGATGGAGATAGTAAAGATCAGGAGTAAATCCAAGTCTCTCGATAGTGCCCTCGATGTACTCCTTAATATGCGATGCAGAGTTGGTGACCGTAAAACCCCCTTCTCCAAAGACGTTGAATCCACATTTCGAGGCAACTGTTAACAAGAATGGTCAGTTAAAAAAAAGGAGCGGTTGCAAATTGAGAGCTCTGTAACTCACTGAAAAGTTTGTCGCGAACGTTATGCTTTCTGATGAAGTCTCCCAGCAACTTCTCGTTCACACCGGCTTGGTAGACAACCTGTCCCCCAATCAGATTCTGCGGTCTAATGGTTCTGAAGCTATCAAATGTCAACTCACAGCGGTATCCCAGAATGTACATCCGAGCTCAATTGCCTTCAGAAGTACTGGTTCAGCTTCCTCAAGGCTGAGATTGCTACCCAAGCCAAAGCTCAGACCCATTGCACCGAAGCCTGGCGATGGGACCTGGATGTCGCCAAAGGGGAACGTCTTGACCATTTTGTTTGATTACACGGTTGTTTGAGATGGGCTAGGAGGAGTTTTGATTGCAGGAACAACAAAATCTGGTGACATCGCTCGATTTATAGGTAAACTCAGTCGGGGTGAACTCAGTCGGGGCGGTCGGGGTTAAGGCGGGGTGGTAGTAGTGGGTCGGTCATCATGCACATCATGCTTAATTACGCCCTGTGCAATTCCTAACTCCGTTGGCCCCAAGGGAACTGCAAGTGGCGAAGTGTGATCGATCTGCTTACAGTTGATATATTGGGGCCAGTCAGCAATCTTGAAAATCAAAGCCCCGCATCTCACTGGGCTTCTCGGCTTTGGTGACAGCATATTGTACATACTTGTCGACTTTGCCCGAAGATTACCCGTTTATCAATGTGGACCACCTCGAACCCGTCCTCGCTAAACGCATTTCGGTGCAAGTGACCAATCGCGCCATTAGGCAGCAGAAGACGGATTCATCTGATTATGTATGTTGAGAAAAGTTCTTAGAATATTACACAACTTCAGATTTCAATTCATTGCTGATTCAAATCAGTTACCCGATGCGAACAGGTAGATAGCAAAGAGTAAAATATGCACACAAAGACCATAGACTACAAATCAATAATAACACCACATGCCAGCTTATGCTTCTCAAGTTTTTGAGGGGTATTCTTCCATCACGCCATTCCTTTACTCCTGAATCTCCATGGACTGATCATGGTGCTCACCAGCAGTTCCCTCCTTGGGACCCTCCTGAGTAGCCGGGCCGTGGATGTCGCTAACGATGCCCTCAGGGGGCACCCAGCTGGCACTCTTCCAGGGCTTCACGTTGAGGACGTACATGGTGTCGACCTCCTCGAGAGTACGGCCCTTAGTCTCACACACAAAGAAGAAGACAACCAAGATGGCAGCGAAGCAGCACGCGGCGAAGACGTAGCCATAGCGGAAGTCAATGGAGCTGGAGATGAAGGGAGTGAAGAAAGAGATGAGGAAGTTCCAGGTCCAGTTGGCAGCAGTTGCGACACCCATGCAGACGGCGCGGTAGCGGAACGGGTACATCTCACCACAGATCGCCCAGACTATGGGGCCCCAGGTGGTGGCGAAGCCGACGATGAAGAAGCAGGTGAACACGATCATCGCGACACCGGCTGCGTGCGACTCCGGGTGGTAGTGGAGAACCTCGTGGCCCACGGAGGCCCAAATCATGAAGCAGATGAACATCCAAGCGGCACCCACCATCAGGCACTTGCGGCGGCCGTAGTGCTCAACGGCATACAGGCCGGGGATGGTCATACCGAAGTTAACAGCACCAAGGATAATCTGCGTCACGTATGAGTTGGACAGACCGACGCCCTGGAAGATGCTGGTTCCATAATAGAAAATGAAGTTGGCACCTGTCAGCTGCTGCAGGGACTGCAGAGCGATTCCCAGAACAGTGCGGTAGAACATGCGAGGACCAGTGAAGATCTCGTGCCAGGCAGCCTGTCCACTGGCGAGCTCCTCATCCAGCTTCTGCTTCATGTCCTGCATCTCCTGGAGAACAACGCGGTGGTTGGTCGGAACACCGTAGAGCTTGCTCATGACATTGCGGGCCTCCTCAACACGGCCGTGACGGTAGGCATAACGGGGAGACTCGGGGAGGAAGAGAGTGCCGAGACCCAGGATCAAAGGCCAGGCAAAGCCGATGCCCATGGTGATGCGCCACGAGGCAGTGGACTTGATGCTCTCAGTACCGAAGTTGACCAAGTACGAGATGAAGATGCCAAAGGCCACGAACAGCTGGAAGGCGCTGACCATGGCACCGCGGACCTGACGAGGCGCAGACTCGCTCTGGTACATGGGCACCACGCTGGATAGAGCACCGACACCCAGACCGGCAACCCAACGACCCAGGGCAATCTGGTACCACTTGTCCACGGTAGCGATCTGGACGATGATACCGACAATGTGGATCAGAGCCCAGAAGGAAATCGACAGCTTGCGGCCGATACGATCAGCAATGGGAGCAGCGACAAGAGCACCGATCATAGTTCCGATAGACAGCTGTGGAAATAACTAGTCAGCATAGATCATGATACTCTCGAGGATTGTGCACATACCAGACCAACAATGAGACCATTTCGAACGTTGCTGAAGGCATACTCGCCAGTCGCGGGGTTGAACTCAGCAAATCGCTGCTTGAAGTCAACCATGGTGGTGAAACCAGAGATTTGACCTGCACATTGCGTTAGTTTTAGGCCGCTTGTTGGAAATAACGTTACAACTGACCAGTCGAGTATCCGAAGATGAAACCACCCATCGAGACGCACAGGCCGAGGATGAAGGACCGCCAAGTCAAGTACTTGACAGGGCTGTCATCAATGGTAATTTCATCCTTCTCGAGGACCGAGTCGGCACGAGGAGGAGTAGGCGCCTGCGAGGAGAAGGGCGATGACCCCGGCTCGGCGGCCTTGGTCCGGCTGAACATGCCTCCAATGCCCATGATGAAGAGACTGTTGTGATAATAGTATGGGCAGGGACGAGAGGGAAAGGGAATAAAAAATCAAAGAAGGAGGGAAAAAGAGAGGGTGGGCAGTCAAGCACTAATAAATATGCCGTCAACAGACCCGGAATCCCCCCTTGGGGTACCATGGCAGGCGAAATGGGGGCCCGGATCTCATTGTCCCACGTTTTGGGCCCGGAATGGGGCGGAGGGAAATTTCAAGGACCTCATGACCTGACAGAGAAGGTGTATGTGTGTGTAGTTCGGGGCTTCGTTTGCAGTGGAGAATGGGTGGGCCAGGCGATGCCAAACCAGAAGCGGAAGTATGAACTTCAGGGTTTTGTTTTGAATTCACTTGTAAGACATTGGGAGCGGCAACATTCTCTTGCGTTTCCTTTTTTTGTTTATTGTTTACAGCATTGTTCTGTGAGCATCGGGCAGATGCTTGCGGTTGTGTCACGGGGAAAGCAGGCAACGGTGTATGCGGTATGGTGTTGTGTACAATGATCAGCCGAGCCCCTTTGCCACCTTCTAGAAAACTACGCATTCTAGTTAACTGTTGGGTCAATCTAGCTGCAAACCAGGCAAAGTGGAAACAGGGCCCGTGGGTTCCATGAATTTCATCGCAGTCGATGACGGGCACCAGTATCACACAATTGACACAAACCATTATTCCTATTTGTCTCTGGTGCCGAACACGAGCTGGAAGAAATTTTCAGGGGACGATTTTCCCCGACTTTGATCCCTTGTGAGAAGACTGGCCACTGAAACCGGTGATGGGTTGAGCGTGAAAAAAAAATCTGTTTACTTGTAGTGGGTCGCAAACGTGGATTCTTCAGCGCCGTTCGAACAGATTTAGAGATGAGCTCATCGTCATCAACGCTCGACTCGGCCTGCTTTCAGCGAAAAGCCATCTTTGTTGATCTACAAAGTAGAGCAGATTCGCGGAATCTGCCCTAATTGCCAAACCGTGGGCAAGCCATCACTTTATAGAAAACCACCTCGCTCACCGACTGCAATCTTTAAAAAGAAGCTGAAAAGATAAGCCTCGAAAATCATCAAGGCCCCACTACCGGTGAAGCTCACTCGGACATCTCCCGTCGGGCAGAGATTTGTTGTCGATCTGTTTTGTTGGGCTAGAAGCCCGGGGACCCACCAGAGACCCATTCGGCACACCGAATGCGTAGGTAGTATTCCCGATGTGCTCCCGAAGCCGACTCGGCATCGGGATCGACGTACCGTGTCCGACCATTGCTGAGGATGGCTGGGCTGACGATCGTACGATGGGAGCTGCTTTCTTTAATATTTTGGGCGGGCGCCAAGGCTAGCATTCCTCACAGGCCCCTGGGATATTTTTAGACTGACAAAGAATTGTAAACATGCCAGCTGAAAGCGAGACACATTCTTGATCGGTCGGCATCCCTGGATTCTCGGGATCGTGTCTTAGGGTCCAAACTAGGGAGAGCCCTCAGCAAAGAACGAGGGACCCACTTCGGCTGACGCCCCTGCCGCGATGTGCGGTGAGCCTGCGTCGTCATTATTGTTCTCAACGCAGGGAAAAAAAATTGGAAGGAGCTATGTGGGTCGAGATCCAGCGGTGCAGCTAACAGATCAAGCGTTAGCGTCCGGCAACATCTGCAAAAATGGAAATGGACACACCAAGGTCCAATCATGATTCTCATGCCTCCCATCGCTTGACTTGAAGACGTGGTCTGTTGGGTTTTCGGTGAGCTGGGAGATGAGTCCTCGGTCGAGGCCGGAAGAGCGATGCCGTGTACAGTCTTTGTACGGGATCCTACTGATGCTAGCTACACTGTATGGAAGTTTCTTCCTTTTTTTTGAAGACTTAGTCTATCCGAGTGTATAGTGTACTGTACAGTCGCGGCCGTTATTGACTTCCACGTCAGAAACATTGAGATGCTCTTTCAAACTCTAATCACATGATACACTAAACATAATGTGAATTGTGCGTAAATAACCATTATACGTATTCCGAACAATACCAGATCTTATATGATACCAGTATGAAGATACAAAATTCTAGAAACTGGAGCCTGGAAGGTTTCATGCAAACATAGCAAACCTCCTTTGGCAATCTGGAGAATTTGTCGACAATTCTCTCTGCATCTCGCATCAACTATGTTTATGTACCTTTACACAGGCCTAAGAACACAGGGGAATTGTGTTTATTGGCCGTGGAGCCTCTCTTCTCAACATGCAAATAAAAACGTTCAATTAATCTTGAGGTAGATAAAAGCCGGGGTGGGAAAGGCAGATATTCTTCCGAAAATAAACCTGTAACTTGCTGGCGAGGCTTTGAGCACGGCAAAAGCACATTTGACGTTTCATATCGCAGCCCTGTCGATCTAACGTAGGAAAAAATCGACTTAAGCTGAAGTACACAAATAGGAAAGGAAGAATATTGGACTGGAATTTTCATAGAGCAGTAGCTGATAAATTATGCTATCATCACGGCGTGCGTATCCAAATGGGACTCGACATAAATGTAGACCCATAATAATCACAATAGAGCGAGAGAGCAGGTAATGAAAGGAACACTTACGTCTAGCTAAATTCATGTTTCTTCTCTCTTGCCGCCTTCATCACTGCACAAGTTCCAAGCCACATGAGTCTCATCACAAAGTTGCTTGTTTCTTGTACTCGGTCGATCTCTCTCTGCGTCAAATTATGCACAGGTATGCTACGCATTGAGTTGGCAGCCGATATAAGAAGCTCCAAATCAAGCTGCGCTTGGGCATCGAGGGGGTGGATAACTATGTTGAGAAAGAGCGACATGCAGGCGGTATTCGAATAGAATGTTATGAACCTACAATCACACTTAGTGTCATTTATTCTTGTTTTTTTCCGAAGCCAAAAGCAACAATGCTTACCGAAATGCTTCTTCTGCAATTGTGCTGACGAGAAATCTTAGGCAACAGAGTGTTGACCGGCTGGCCACCAAAGATAGATCGAAGCTCGAATGGACTACGTCATGAAGGTCCCGGATCCCATCACTAGCTTCAGCAGTGCATTTTCTCACTGTCGTATGGATAACGGTCATGAGATGGTGATAATCTAATTGTAGTGACATACGGCGAATTGTATGCGGTAGATTTTCGTCGGATATGTTTGCAGAAGTATTCTGTGAGACAAAAAGTGCAGGCCGGAAACTGACAGGGATAGATAATCGCCAGCGCTCCATCTCATCATCTAGTTGCCGGATACTAAGGAGGAGTTGGTTATCATTGTCCTTCAAGGCCCGGGCAGAAAAGAGCAGTCGGCAGACCTTCTCCTTCAAACGGCTGAGGTGAAGGTCTCCCGGAAGATGGGGTGCGGGATGCCCGTTGGTTTTATCGTTAGCTTCAAAGAATTCATCCAAACCTGGTAAATAGGTATAGTAGTCCAAATAGTTATCAGGCGGGGTGAGGTCACAATAAACATCGGTGAGAAGGGGAGGATTTCCAGTGCGAAGCGATATATCTTTGTCGAACATATAGCATAGCCAGAAGAGCATTCGAATGTGGCGATTCTCGCGTTCTAAACGGGGAATTTCAAGCTCAAAAGGTTTGGACGGTTGATAGATGTGCCCCCTAAAGAGCAGACTATGCGACATGCAATCGAATGAAGTAAGGCAGCGCCTTGCCAGTGGGCACCGAATGCACGTTGTAGTTGCTAATTTATAAACTCAGCCTGGGTCTCCGAAGTGAAGGACAAGCCACAATTTGATCCAGCTTACCAAAATGAGTGCTGTTTGAAGTGTCGTTAGGCTAATGTCTCCAGTAATGTGCATTAGGAGACAATGCGCCTTGGCCGCACACATGTCCGCATCCATAGAAAGGGGTAACTGCCTCGACGCATTTAAGCGAGACGCTATAGAGAGAGCGCTTAAAACACAGGCTCTAGCTGATATCTGTGTGGACGAGAACAGCATCCTGTCCATGGGCTCATACGCGATTTCCATCGTCGTCTCAAATAGGACTTGGTCCAGAATAGGGAATTCTAGTCTGAATGAAGACCTGAAGAAGGCATTCAAAATTTCTCCAGTGGAATCCTTATCAGGTAGCTCGCATACTTCTTGTGAGAAAGATGGCTGAAGTGCTGAAAAGGGAGAGGATACCATGATGGGGATACTGAATTCCTCCCACGTGGTAGTCTGGCCGGTTCTTGTTGAGATCCATCGACGGCCTGCTTCGGAGGAAATGGGTATACCATTGAAAAACCAATTGGGTCCCAATTGATTTGCGGTCACAGTAACCTCGCGGGGGTAGTCCCTGATAGGACAGCCACAGGAGTTTGTAGATGTTTGTGCAAAGGCAGCAGGGGAGGGGGAATGTTCAGAGAAGGCAGTCCATTCCCTACCACTCGTTCCGGTTGAAATCTGCGGAGAGTTGACTTTCGAAGAGACGGTTATTATTGGCTCCTCAGGGTTTAGCAAATTTCGACATGTCGGCTCCTGCGATGTCTCAGCCTGGGCTAGGGACTCCTCAAGCTGCTCAATGCGTCTGAATAAACCCTGTACGTCACTAGATTCCACACTGGACGCAGGGGACCCGAGGGAGAAGGCGTTAGCGATATTTGCACAACCTGAAGTGTGAGGTATACGGAAAATCACACACCTGTTCCGCTGCCTCTTCCGTGGCCTCTCTCTGTTGAAGGTACATTCGAGGCTGCGATGGTGGCACCACTCACAGGGGCCTTCCGGGTTAAGAAAAGAGCACTGGATCTTAATAGGAGTAAATATCAGTACTGTAAAGCTAGTAGACTACGAAGGGGCTAATTGTTCCAGCATAGGGAATACAGTAGCTTGCCTTTCTCCGATAGCAAACATCGCATGCTCTTTTCTGGGGACGTGCTTTTTTTGGAGGCATGGTGGCGGCGAGGGGCAATCAATTGGCAGTGGTTTTGGTTTCGGGGAGCCGCGGAAGTACGGAGGGATCTTCGGAGTTTTCGGAGGCCGTGTCTATTATGAGGAGAGCGGCTTGGTGCTGGCCAAGTCCACAATCGGGGATATTAGCGTGTAAATCATGTGACCTAAGAGCCCATACCCTCCTGTCATTGGCTACTCTGATCGCCGAACTCGCGACATCCGCCTTCACTTTTAATATAGAGCACTGCGGTACTTCGGAACCTCAAGACCCCCGAACTTTAAGACGAACGCCCCAACATCATTGTCGCCGGTTGGTCGCCATCCGACTTGAACCATTAGAATCTGTTATAAATTCACTCCCGCCTGATCACCTTGTATCTTCCTCGTGCCTTCCATTTGTTTTTGGTCACTCACGCTAAAGAATCAGCTACGCCTGAAGGCTTACCCTCTCAATGGCAAATATCGTTGCTAGATGTCACAAGATTTTGGAGGCCGAAATCCTTCGTCGCTCTTCTCAAGTTGTTTCTGTTGTTGGTAAACGAGCTTACATTTTTGGAGGAGAATTGCGACCGCGCGAGCCTCGAGACAATGATGTCCATACTGTTTCATTAGGCACCAGTAAGTTGTGGAGCTGTGATGAACGACAAGAATTCTCAAATACAACGACACTGACGTCCTTGGCTATAATCTAATAGACGCTATGATCACTTCCGAACCCGCAAAGTCCCAATCTCCCTCCCCACGTGTTGGAACGGCAACCGCTACACTGAACGGAAAGATCTATCTATTCTCTGGTCGAGGGGGTGTCGCAATGGCACCTATTGAGGAACGGGGAGCGGTCTGGGAATTTGATCCCACTGCATTAAGCTGGTCGCTCATTATGCCATCTGGTTCCAACTCGGGGGTGTTCCCAGTCGCTCGCAGCTATCATTGTATGGCAAGTGATGGGAAGGATACGCTTTACATCCACGCAGGTTGCCCTGAAAAGGGAAGACTGTCAGATCTATGGGCATTCAGCCTTTCTCGCAAAGAATGGGTGGAACTCGCGCCGGCATTCGATCCTCCACGCGGTGGTACATCGATTGCTTTTACAGCTAGGAAGCTGTATCGTATGAATGGCTTTGATGGGAACACCGAACAAGGTGGGAGCGTGGACGTATATTCTCCCGAAACAAATTCTTGGACTTCGCTTCTGTATTCGCCTGATGGCAAATCCGGTCCTATGCCGCGAAGCGTGAGCGCCTTACTGCCGATTTATCTAAGAGACCGGTCATTTTTAATCACCTTATTCGGTGAGCATGACCCTAGTTCACTGGGTCACCAAGGAGCGGGGAAGATGTTGAGTGATGTGTGGGCATTTGACATTAGAAGCAAGAAATGGGAGGCAGTGGACGTTCAAGGGGGTGAGCTTCCTCTTGCGCGGGGCTGGTTCGATGCTGATGTTGTTGGTACGAGCGCAATCTTGGTCCATGGTGGGCTAGGGGAATCGAATGATCGACTTGGGGATGTCTGGAATTTCGAATTTTTTTGAAATCAAGCTAGGCGGTAGAAGCTTCGGTCGCTATACAGGGGGACTGCTTGCGTTGGAAAGCAGGAATTTGAAATATTGACACACTAGAGCTGTATCTACTGGTTAGGCCAGAATGGCGTGAATAAATATTGTCTGGTTTGTTCCCACGACTCCATATCCATTGTCCAGGCGTGATATTCCCAACCATTGTACCCTCCTCAACCAGCTCTAGGTCCTGGTCTGTTACTAAATTCGGGGTTAGATAATAAGAGTCCTGGGGAGATCGGCCATCTTTCCCTCAGAAAAAGAAATCGCGACATACTAGCTGCGAGCCAAAGAACGCCCAAAATCCTGAAGCATCCGCCGACAGGATATAGACTTGGCCGGTTTCCCGGAGACGTATGCTCAAACAGACATCTGCGTCGCACATCCTGCTATACTCGGATGCTTTTTCCATAAGGCATGATTTGCGACGAATTTGTTTCTGGTGCATTGCGTTTCTGTTTGAAATAGACCTAAGACTGTGACTATTGCTCATAGACAGTTGCAGCCTAAGGCATGATGCCTTGCTTGCAAAAGCGGAACGAATCATAAAGAATTGTTCAGAGTAATGCTAAACTGAGAGTTGCAGGGGAAAATTGTCCCGGCCAGTCAAATTCTTGAGTTACGTAGTTATAGCTACAGAAGAGTTGGAAGACATCTAAAAATATTTGTAAGCGGCATTTTCGGCCGCCGAAAGAAAAAAAGGTCACTCATGGTCCACCATAGAAAATGGAGATTAGGCCTTGCGTGGTGGGTCCAAAACCTTAAACGTGGGTAAAGAAGTTACATAGTTATCGGGGCAAGAGGATGGGCGATGGCCGTCGGATCGACTATTTGCCGTATCTCAGACTACGCATTAGTAACCCAGCGGCTAGTCATCTGAAGTACCTCGTAGCTCCTACCTGAAAGCTTCACTAACCATCCGCGGGTCGTTCGAGCCATGGCGAAACTGATAGCGGAGCAAACAGCTCCCGATGAACGTACGCCTCTCATCCAAGATGAAACTGGCGAAATCCAAAGCTACTCTCCGCAAGAACAAGAAGATCATGCAGAAGATCGACTTCAAACAAACATTGCCTATCGTCTCTACATTTCGCACTTTCTCTCAACATGGAACTCTCGGGTCTTCGAGTTTGGAGCCGTCCTCTACTTGGCCACGATCTACCCGGGTACCCTGTTGCCCATGTCTGTATATGCGCTTTCTCGTGGCCTAGCAGCAATTTTCTTTGCGCCCGCTGTGGGCCATTATATTGATGTTGGAAACCGTTTACAGGTGGTTCGAGTATCAATCGGTGCGTTTTTGTCCGTTATTAGATCCTCAAAGAAGCGCAAATGCTTACTCAAATCTCTTACCGCCATAGTACTCCAGCGCCTTGTTGTGGCTACCTCATGTGCGATCTTCTACTTCCTAACTATCCGCTTAGACATGCCACAAGTGGTCGATAATTATTTGCTAGTTACTTTGGCGCTTCTGGCCTGCATCGAAAAGCTATGCTCAATCATGAATCTAGTCTCTGTAGAGAAGGATTGGGTGTGAACAAGTATACCTCCTAATGATCACGGTCAACTGATTTAGTCTTCACAGGTTGTGGTTGTTACCAAAGAAGGCCATGGAAGCCTCAGAAGTGTGTATGATCTTTAACTTGGGGATATGATTTCGCGCTAACTTGTCTTTCAATTGAGCTATAAACGCTCAGATGAGACGGATCGACCTGATTTGCAAACTGGTCGGACCCCTCTTCATTGCACTTATCGACGGCATATCGACGAAGGCCGCCATTCTTGTCAACCTAGGAATGAATGTCAGCTCAGTGATTGTTGAATACTTCTCAATTGCCCAGGTAAGATTCTCTACTCACTAATGGTCTTTTCGAGCCCCTCGCAATACCCAAAACATCCTTCTTACGCAATTACTTAGGTGTACGACAGGGTACCTGACTTGCAGAAACCGAAACAAGCGGCCGCGGGTGAATCCCCACGTGACGAAGGCAATCTATCGAATCTATGGAGGAGTTGGTGCATCCTTATGCGGAAGACCTTGGAAGATATCACCGCTTATTTTCACCATCGCGTGGTCCTTCCGTCTTTTGCTGGGACTCTACTTTATCTGACTGTCTTGTCTTTCGCTGGCCAAATGGTCACCTGGCTGTTGTCAGCAGGCTACGATTCGACCCAGATTGCCATCGCCAGAACCTTATCCGTGACATTTGAAGTGCTTGCCACATGGGTTGCGCCCTGGCTCATGGGGAAAATCGGACCAGTTCGAGCCGGCATTTGGCTGGCAAATTGGCAGATTACTTGCTTATCAAGCGGAATAGTCATCTTCTGGAGATTCTCGAATTATCCTCTCATCTCAGCATCGGGTCTCGTGGGCGGTACAATCCTCAGTCGTGTGGGACTGAGGGGGTTTGATCTCTGCGTGCAGATCCTTGTTCAAGAGGTGAGCGGCTACTAAGGCACTGTTTGGCTTAGCCCCAACTCGCATAGCCTTGAGGATAAGTGACCTGCGGCTGATAAGTAACATGACAATAGGGTGTCGAAACCACAGCTCGAGGGTCTTTCTCCTCAACTGAAGCTGCATGGCAAAATCTGTTTGAGATCTGCTCCTACATATCCACCATCGTTTTCTCGCGACCTGATCAATTCAAATGGCCCGCCCTCATCAGTGTAATTGCAGTCGGTGTTGCGGGCTTTGTATATGCCATTTTCGTCCGGATCCAGCGAGGGCATTTGGTGCATCTACCCAAGCTTTTCTCTCAGGAGCACCAGCAGCACTCCAGGCAACGTGGCCTCGAAAGCATTAGCTCGTCTTCGGACTTCTAACCCACTTGCTTTGCTTCAGTCGGGTGGCTAGTACGCCTCAATCGTTCCAACTTAAGCAGCTTGGGTCAATTTACATCGAAAACATACTTTTTTAGCCGTACTATTGGTGGGGCCGGAAAAAATTAGATAGGTTCGAATATTTGGAAAAGGGAATATTTGAATGGTAGGGAGAATGAGAGTCTGCCCGCTTATCAAGACAAAAATCGGGCTTGTAGTGATTGTGGCCGGCAAGAACGTCTGTCTACATCCATCCACCGCGATGCCCCCACTTGTCGACCAGCTTGTTTGCCTCCTACACTCGAAACACGCCCTGCTTGCGCCGTCATGTTCCAAACCCTGCCCACTCTTCTAATATTTGCTGTACGCTTATCTTCACACTCAAGTGACCCCACGTTCTCTTCTGCCACTCATATAACCCCAACTTCACAAAGTTGGTTCTATCCACCTCATTCCTCTGCCCCTTTAGACCCTCCAGCTTCAGCCTTAGCAATCTCCTTTCGCAAATTCTCCTCCTCGGTCAACTCCCTCTTCTCCCAAATACAGCACTGAATCACCTCCCTCGAGAATACGACAACCTCGGAATTCTCGATTGCCTTTGCAAATGCGTTTTTCACCCTCGAGTCGTACGACCCATCTTGCGGTGGGTATTTGTCACCACCCCGGCCGTCGGGGCTAGGCTCGTAGGGCGGGACGTGAGCGGACCAGTAGACGCGCGTTTGACCGAAGCGGCCGAAGTAGAGCTCGGGATTTTGTGTTAAGATCGTGAATAAGTGGCCCATTTTTAGAGTTTCTTCTTGGTTGGTCTTAGGGGTTGTTTCGGGGGCCTATTGCTATTAGTTGCGTATTTCATTTCTTTCGGCTTTCTCTTTTGATGATGATGAGGTGGGTGGGGGGAAGGGAAGATAGAGGGAAGAACCTTATAACAATTATACGAGTCCCCGCCCATTGCATGGTGCATTTTGAAGATGGTGACGCCTCCGTATACGGGTGGCTGGCGGAGGAGCATCTTTCGCCAGCTGGCTTCTTTTCTCTCGTAGGCAGATTTCTTTTGAGGGGATGAGAGCATGTCGAAGGGTTTGAAAGAGAAAGGGTTCTCCTTCTCTTGCTCTTTCCCTTTATATTCAGTTTCAGTTGCCTTTTCTTCGTTGTCGTGGATAAGGGTTAATTCATAGTCTGACGGGAAGAAGGGCCGGAAGGCTTGTACTAAGAGCGGATTGTAGATAGGGCGTTTGTATGAGGATTCGTATTCGTTTATGTTTCCTTGGTTTAGTTTTGTGTCTTTTTTTAAGGGTGATGGAAGGATAGAGTTCCAGATTGGTTTTGAGTGCCATTTGCCCTTTTTGAGATTTGGGGTGAATGGTTGGAAGAAGAGCGCTTGTTGGATAGCGGGCGAGCTCTGGATTAAGACTGTCCAGGATTGGCATACCTGCTGGGCCGAGACGAGGAGGGTGCGGGTGTCGAGGTGAAGGAGGATGATCTCGAGGAGTTCAGGGGTGGTGAGGACCTTGGTTTGGGGTTGTTCTTGCTCTTGCATCGTGGTGTCTTATATTACTCGTGAGTATTCTTGGTCTTATGGTTGTTGGTTTGAATAGAAGTCGATGGGCCCGCGGTGGGTTAATTGAATGGAGTAGCGGGGGTGGACGATTGGTACTGATATGGAACACATAAAAACAATACCCATGGCCGCAGGGTGTCATGGGATTTCCCGCATAATCGCCCTGGCCCCCAACGGTCAGCTTTTACATGTTCTGTCACCTGCGAGTAGTCCAGCCACTGGTTCCTCGTAGGGCCCCGCACGCCGTGGGTGACTAAGATGTCTTGGGAGAAGCGAATTGGACCTGCAAATGTCCACCCAGCAGTGGAAGGTGGTAGGGTGATATTTATACAGGCTAAAAGCAGAATTCAAACATCCAAAAGAAAACACATCAATATTCATCTGTATTGGTAGTGGTATATGCTTGCAACAACAAGATCATCAAGTCAATCACTTTTGGTCCTCTTGACATAAATAATCCGCCAGGAATGATCTAGATGCTGGTCCACTAGACAATCAATCGCACGTCGAACGAATGATGAAGAAGGAAAGAAGGAAAAGAACGCCTGACACCATTTTGCACCCGTACCAAACGATGAATGATTAAGAATGGGGTCCACAGCAATATCATCAGCGGAGTCTGCTCTAACGACGCTGAGTCTTGCCCATTCCGCGCTTTCCGGCGAACTGTACACGATATTAGTAAAATATGGCAACTGAAGGACAAATAAACATACCAAATGCTTGGCCAGCGAGACGGTCGTGTGTCGATCGGCCTCACCCTGTCGGGCCATGCGGTTCATCTTCTTCTGGCCCAGCTTGTACAGGCGCTCGGCCTTGGTGCGGGAAGTCGTGTCTGTGACACCGTCATCACGGCGGTTCGTAGCAGCCTGGCTGCGGGCGCGGCTCTTAGCACGAGCGATGGCCTGGCGTGGGTCGTCGAGATCCATAGCATCGTCGTTAGCAGCTTCGCTGCGAGTAGCGGTGCGACCACGAGGCTGGCTCTGGGAGCGCGCGCGGGCACCGATGGTGTCGACGTCGTAGCCGGCCGAGTCCAGAGCGGTCTCCATCTCAGACAGCTTCTTAGACTTGGCGCTGCGGGGAATGGCGGCGCGGTTCTTGAGCGATTTGCGCATCTTGGCTTCGTTGCGCATCAGCACGCGCTTCTCACGGATCAGGTCGGCCTTCATGCGGATGTCGGCGTCTTCGGCATCCTCCACGCTCTCGTCGGACTCGTAGTAGCCGTCTGCCTCAAGCTTCTCCTCTTCCTCTTCAAGAGCAGCCAGTTTGGCCTCGATGTCCGGATCCACAAAGTCGTAGATGTTCTTGCCGTTCCACACCTCGGGGATCTTGTCGTGCTTCCACTCGTCGTCAGCGAGAGTGTAGTCGCGGTGCATGTCGAAGTTGTACACGCCCGCACCACCGTTCTCCTCTTCGAGGTCACGCTCGAGCTTCTTCCGGTTGGGGTCGTTCTTGTCATATTTCTTGAGATTCTTGACAGCCTCGGGGATGAAAGTCTCCCGCTGGACACCACCCAGAGGCTGGGCGACGTGAATTCGGGAGAGCACATCACCCAGACGACCGCCAGGGTTGGCTCCGGAGTTGCTGGTGCCGGACTTGAGCTTCTGCGCCACACGCTCGGCGAGAAGCTTGTCACAGGCAGCATTCTTCACGGTAGTCACTCCTTCGGTAGTGGTGCACGATACCTGCAGCATCTCGACATCACCCGACTTGAGAATCTCCTGCAGCTGCTCCTGGTACTCAGGCTCAAGATCCTCGGGGCGGCGAACATCAATCTTGTTGACCACAATGTAGACGATCTTGTTGGCGAACAGGGGCTTGATGCTGTGGAAGAGTTTGATCTGGTCTCCAACTGAGTATCCGCACTGTTCCGAAAGATCCATGAAGTACAGAATAGCGGACCGAAGATGGGCGACCGCAGTGATGGACTGCATTTCAATGGTGTTCATTTCCTCCAGCGGGTGATCCAGAATTCCGGGGGTATCGATGGCCTGGAAACGCAGGTATTTGTAGTCGAAGTGGCCAACGAACAGACTCTTGGTGGTGAAAGCGTAGGGCTGGACATCGACATCCGCGCGGGTGATGCTGCGCAGAAAACTCGACTTTCCGACGTTGGGGTACCCGCAGATCAGGAGGGTGCGAGTGTTGGGGTCAATCGAGGGCAGACGACCCAGATGTTGACGGACCTGTTCCAGGTAGACGAGCGGGTCCTTCAGGCGACGGCAGATGGTGGCCATGCGACCCAGGGCAGCGCGCTTGAGCTGCTTGCACTGGAACAGCGACTGCGCATATTTGATGAGGCGAACGTAGTCACGAGAGACGGTTTCAATCAAGTGCTTGGCGGTCGAAACCTGGCCCAGTGCAATTCGGAAGTGGTCGGCATCGTAGAGGGTGTTCATCAAATCCTTGTCTATGGGCGACATTAGACCCCGCTCACAATATTGATCAACGTGGCTGCCAACTTACGGAAAGGATGAATATCTTGCAACCGAGGGAATCCATCGAGGATAGAGGTGAATTTCTCGCCAAAAGTTTCCTGGGTGTACTTGACTTTTCTGGTGTAGAAACCTGAGGAGAAAAAAATTTCGGTCAGCGATGGGACTTATCGATAACCTCGTCTGATAGCCTTTTTTTTTTTCTTCTGGTCGCCTTGAACACCACACACAATCGGAATCATACCTCTGATACGGCTGATCTTGAAGCCAGCACGGATCTGCGTCGGCAGCTGGCGCTGAGTCCGGCTGAGGACGATATCGAGGAATTCCTGGCTCGTGGGCACAGGCGCAATCTAATCGGCGGTGAAAAAACACACATTAGTTGGTTGTTGTGGGAGGAAGAAGAGTGCCAAACTCACGTCCTTCCAAGTAGTCTTCATGATGGGCCACGAATCGGTCTGTCCTGCACGACGACTCGAGAATCCCAGTTGGTGACAAAAGGGTTGATGTGGTTTGCGTTTTCTCCACGAAAAAAAATTGTTACCGGTCCTTTTCTGCCGGGCGGCGAGCACCCGCGGGGGGCGGGATTGGGTGTTATAGGCGAGCACGTGATCTACCCATCTACAGACCAGAAGCCCTACAGAACAAGTACCAAAAGTCATGTACATCGCATTGTTCATGGTACACAAGCCATTTGCGACCGATTCGGGAATGTCATTATATAAGACTCGATTGCATGGCCGACACAATTCCCGCCCCACAAGAAACTCCGTTGCTTTTCTCTCGAACCCGTGTAGGACCCAACCCGAAGATGACCATAAACATGTAATAGGGGGACATGGGAAGCATGACAAAACAAAAAGGAAAACCGATAGAAAGGAATGCCAAAAACCAACCACCATTCTACTGCTCATTCCCGAGCTCCAGGATCTGTGGCAAATGTTAGAGCAAAGTATCACAAAAGATTAGCATAAGCTTCTTACCAGATCAACCCACCCGCCGCCGCCAAATTGGCACTTGCTAGGGCCATGCGACACGAAGCCAAACGACTCGTAGAACGGAATCAGATGATCGTGAGCAATGATGGCAATGCGGTCGGCAATCTGGGCCTCGCGGATCCGGTGGATATAAGACTTCAGTAGGGTGCTGCCGACCTGCTTGCCCTGGTGATCCGGGAGTACTGCCAGCGAATGGATGGCAATGGTGCTGCCGCCCTCTTCGTGGCCAACCGCGTGGTCTTCCTCAAAGCTCCAGCGCTCGTTCTGCCAGTTGTCCGGCAAGCGCATCGCTCGATCCGTCACGCAGGGCTCCGAGGTCCGAGTGGCGATGATGTGTCCGACAAGGGTAGCACGAGGCTTGGGCTGCCCTTCAGGAATAATGGGAAGAGTGAAAAGCCCTAGGCTGAGTTCGGGGCACCGGCTGAGGCGGTAGACAAACTATGGGGAAGGGGAACATTAGCAAAAGGGATTTTTTGGGCGATACCCGTCGTCAGAGTGTTCGTACCTTGTCACGCGAGCAACGCTCATTCTCTGGGAACGCATTCTCCACCTCCACACAATCCTCGACATTGGATACCGAGAGAAGTTGAACAAATGGGTGCAGCTCATCCAGCTTGGTGCGGTGGTGTGTCGGCGGGCGGCGGAGCCAGTATGGGAACTCGTTGGCATCGTCCTGATCCACTGCGACGTAGTCCTCATCCACCCCTTCGTCATCGTCATCGTCATCGAGCGGGAAACCGTTGGATAACGCAATTCCCGCGCGGCTCATGATCCGCGAGAGATCATTGTTGTTGGTAATCGGCAGCGAATAGTCGTCTGCATTCGACAAGGGCTTCAGGCCGTTGTTGTCAGGACCCGGCATGGATTCCGAGGGCCGCTCGCTAGGATCGGACATGTTCGTTGAGGTTGGGAAAGCGACCGGTGTGGTGGATGAATTGCCAATTTGTGCGTGGTGCTAGGCTAAAAGCGCACGCCCACAATGGAATCGAAAGGGCAGGGGGAGCCCGGGATCGGTGGCGTCAAATGAGATGCAAATTGATCTAGAGCGGTGGGGATCAGCATGCAGGCGATAAGACAATATATTTTCGCAGGGGCAGAAGATAACAGAGCACGTAGCGATGATCTGAGATTCTCAATGATTGCCAGTGGTCCTTGGTGGGGGGGGCTTTTTTCTCCCCAAGACCAGGACCCAGTGGCCGATAAGAATCTGCGCCAGCGAAGTGTGCGCGCGCAGGAAGGGGAGCCGTGGGCTAGCAAGGAGCGGGTAATGGAGAGTAAACGCAGAGAACACTTACAGTCTCGTTCAAATAGGGAACCGAGGCGACCAGGGCAGGGGTTGAGCAGGGCGGAAGTTGGAGAGAATTGGTGACTGAGTCTCGGCGAGGGAAACGGAAGTTGGCGGGGTGCGTTCCCGACCATGTACCGCGACTTGGCAGTACTACCTGCCCGTCGGAGTTCCCTTGGTCCGCCAAGTACCTCGCCCGTACCGGTGACTTGCCTGCCAGATCATCACCCGATCCCCTGGTGTCGATCGCCCAGGATTCTAGAAAACCTCAAATCCGAAGGTCACGGCAGAAAGGAGCGCATGTGACGGCCAATAATATCCCTCATCTATATCACCACCAGCGACTATATTCCTCATACATAGTGAGGACCAGAAGAACCGAGGCGGTGGCGGCTTGGGCTGACTCACTCTTCCCCCGACTCCTAGAGTCCTGCGCACTCTTTCCCCCCGACATGAATGGTGGACAAGCTGGAAAATGAGCTCTCGGACACTGGGCTGCTCGCGGACAGCTCTGCGGACGGTGAGCCTCACAGGACCCTGAATCCGAAGCTCCCACTGACTTAATTGCCTCAATAGGTCTCCCGTCCCAATGACCCCGCGACGCGCCCGCCACTCCAGCGACCCCAGTTCGCCGAGTTTTCTGGTGCTAGCATGAACCAGGATCGGCTAGGCCACCGGGCAAAAGAGAAGCTGCTCGACAGGGTATGTTTGGAGGTAGCTGCACAGCAATGGAGCTTCAATCGCTAAAGTGCACAGGAATTCTTCCTCAGTTTATTAAGCTCTGCCTCGACCAAACGAGAAGCCAGATCGTACCTCTCTCGTTTCAAAGAAAAGTCCTCCAAACCCGGACAGAAACCATCTAAAGAATCTGAGAAGGAGTCTTCTCCAGCTTCACTACCATCCGGGGTGAACCTCGGCTCATTCTATGGCGCTCCAAGGGCAGTTTACAATAGCCCCGTTTTCCGGCAAGATACCACACCGGCTCCACAGGGGCGAGAATACACTGAAAGGGTTCATTTGGCTCTAGTCAAGATCGTCGCGCCTCAATTGCTGGAGGATGAGGTCGTGGATGGAGTGGCCAAGACCTTGTCGCAGCTCATCCGGCTGGGGATGGCATGCTGCCTTGTGGTTGATCCGGGGAAGCTCGAAGATGCTTCTACGGTACGACAAGTATCTGTGGAGCAAGCAAATCGGATATCGGCGGCAATCGATTCGCAGCCCGACTCAAACTCCTTCCGCCTTGACTCAGCTTTATCTATGTCAGATAATGGCAATCTTAGGATCATGTCTCGCAAGGCGCTGCTAAACCCCCTTCGAGCTGGACATGTTCTCATCGTTGCCCCTATTGCCTATACAGAAGATGGGCCTAGGGCCGTCCCGGTGCCCGCTGACGATGTGGTGCTTGCCTTGACCAAAGACTTTGCGGGTCTGTCGACGTACCCAGACCCGGATGAAGATCCAACAATCACCGCGGAGAGGATTAATCGTCTTCAGAAAGAGGTTTCGCTAGATCGTGTGATTATTCTGGATCCTCTAGGAGGCATTCCAGCCTTCCATGGCCCGCAGATGTCTCATGTGTTCATCAACATGGAGCAGGAGTTTGACGAGCTTGAGGACGAACTGCTTCAGCACATAGAAACAGCTTCTGCGCACAGTACACAGTCAATATCTCAGATGAGTCCTGGGGCGGCGTCCTCGATTATCAACAGCAACCCATTTTCGAAATTCGTGAATAACGAGGTTGCTTCCCCCCTGCCAGAAAAGTCGGGCCACTTACCCGGCACCGAGACAGTCGCAAAAGCGCTTAGTGGGCACCTCAAGAATCTCCGACTATCCCAGCAGACCCTTGCAATGCTCCCATCTGCGTCTTCCGGCATCATCACCTCCCCACAGGAGGTTGCCAAATCGGCCTGTCCGCGTCAGCCAGCTGTAGCAGACTTCTCAGCCGTTGGCACTCGACGCCAACGAAATCCCCTCATCCACAACCTTCTCACTGACAAACCTCTACTTTCGTCCTCTCTCCCGCCGCGCCGACGCGGTGCGGCCAATCGTGGTGGGCCCAGCGCCGTCAACCCCCTCTCGTCGCATACCACCGTCGTTAAGCGCGGGATGCCTCTCACCATTCTCCCCAACCCCCGCGTTCAGGCATGGACCGCACAGAGCCAGCCACGCCTACAACTAAACGACCCATCCATCGACTTACCACGACTAGTACATCTGATCGAAGATTCCTTCGACCGGAAACTAGATGTACAGAAATACCTACAACGAGTCAACGACCGCATCGCCGGCCTCATAATCGCAGGCGAGTACGAAGGCGGCGCAATCCTAACCTGGGAAACACCTCCCGGCGTCCCCGACGACGGCAGCGAAGCCAGTCTGTCCCGCATGGTTCCATACCTAGACAAATTCGCCGTCCTGAAACGCAGCCAGGGCGCCGGTGGCGTCGCTGACGTGGTCTTTAATGCCATGGTGCGCACCTGCTTTCCGAATGGAGTGTGCTGGCGCAGCCGAAAGGATAATCCAGTGAATAAATGGTACTTTGAGCGCTCATGCGGAACTTGGAAGGTGGCGGATAGCAATTGGACTATGTTCTGGACAACGCAGGGTTTGACGGAAGACTCGCAGCGGTTTCAGGATTATGAGGGTGTTTGTCGGAGGATTCAGCCTAGTTGGGCAGATGGCAAAAGTGTTGTTGACTGATTTGCCTGAAGTACATATTGGAAATGTGCATATTTGTTCGACCTGACAATACTCAATTGCTGCCTATATAATAAGCCAATTTCCGGCGGAATACTTGCTATACAACCTTTAACAAGCACCCATAAACTACAACAACCGCCTTGCCCTATTCACGGGCCTGATTTTGATAGACCGCGCTGTAATCCGCAATAATATCATCGGCAACACTGACATTAACCGGGCTACCCATTCTCTCACGAATATCTTCTCCCTTCCACATCAGCCAAACCACAGGCGCAAAAGCTAGACCACTACCAACGAGGGCGAACATGAGAAATGCAAACTGAAACCCGATGGCATCGCACAACTTCACGGCATAGAATGCAATGGTGCAACTCATGGTTTGACGGCTGAAGTTAAAGAACTGAGCCACCTCAGAGCCTTCGACCCGGTATGAATCGATACTGTAAGTGTAACAAACTGTCGCGACGATCTGGACTCCGAAGATGCCGATAAACATGCCTGCCAATGGGCCAGCCCAATGAGACTTGTAAGACATAGTGAAGCCGAAAATAAGGAGACCTGCTGGTACAAGGGCTGCACCTAACCAAAGACCTCTGAATCGAACTTCGGGCGGTGGATTATTTGTACCTAGTCGCTTGGATTCGCGCCGAATGATACTGTCAATGATTCTGCCTGCCGCAAGCTACCATGATCAGTCGCCACAGTTAGTTTGATGTTTCAGAATTTTGACATAAGATAAAACCCACCTCGCCTGCAAGAGCACCAATGGTCATAGTACCTCCATACGCCAGGCCACATTGGAGGGCATTCCAGCCAAATCGCTCTTTAAAGGTAATGGCGTAAGTGACAGCAGGGAAAATTGCTGTGAAGCAGTACTGCGCCGAATAGTACAAGCTGGGGAAAAGAACGGATGGATAAAGACCCATACGAAAAGCTGGGAGGATGATATGCTTAGCCCTGAGCTTGACACCTGCGAAGGTGGTCCATGGCCGCAGCAATTCGCGATACTTGGCCATACTCAGCTTTGGAGGTTCCGTATTGGTATCGGAATAAATCCGAGGCTTGTAGTACATGGTCTCAGGAAGGAAGAAGACCAGAAAGGCCAAAGTGACAAAGTTCATGGCCGCGGTGATCCAGAAAATCCAGCGCCAGCCCACAAACGCCGTGACGGGCCCACCGAACAGCGACGCAAAATGCGAGCCTGAACTGAGCATGACAGTGAATATACCGAGGGCGCGGCCGCGCTGGTGGTAGAAGAATAAGTCTGTCACGGTGGCTGGGCCGAGGGCCATTGATACGGGGAAGAGGCCGTTGATGGCGCGAACGCCGACCAGTGCACCGTATGATTTGGCGAATCCAGACCCAAGAGCTGTGGCGAAGCCGATCAGCGTGGTGAACAAGTATACGAAACGTCGACCATAGACGTTGGCTAGCGGGATCCAAATGAAGGGGCCGACACCGTTCAAGGCGATGGCAATGGTACTAGATAACCATTCGTTAGATTGTATATCTACTTCACTGAGTAGCCAACGTACGTCTGGTAGGAGGCTTGAACCTCAGAGATATGAAGGGATGCTGATAGTAGACCGTAGGCTGGGTTGATCACAGAGGTATTCCACGTTCCAAGCTGATAAAGGCAACATTAATTAAGCGTTTACTCTTACAGGAATACTTGAACTCACGAAAGCAAGCCAGCAGACTTGGAACAAGATGAGGAGCTTCAGTTTCATCGGCCAATTGAGCGGGTCACCTTCATCTTCGGATGGCCGGGGGACGAGGTGGGCCCTGGGGTTGTAGACGGCTGATTTGAGCTCAACATCCTCGATTTCTAGGCTTTTATGTTTTGGGTGATCTTGGTCAGCGGTGGTGGCCATGATGAGGAGGTTTGAAAGGAAAGGAAAACGACAGTTTGGGCAGCAATAGTTCCAAGAGTTGAGCTGCTCTATGGATTCTTTAGTATCTCCCCGGTCCAAGCTACTGATAGTCGGCTAGCCGCGAGAAAGGATTCTGTGTCCTAGTATCCGGAAATAAGAGTCCACTCCCCAACCCTAATTCTCCACAGTATCCCCACGGGGCCATGCGGGGTTCTCGGACGAATCTTTATTTTCCTTGATATTATATTCTATATATTTCAATAATTCTTGGCTCTCTGATACCAGTTTCGCACACGTTGCGCCATCATCCATCGTCAAGATTGTGCCTGTAACCCACCGCGCGTCGTTTGCGTTAAGGCCCTCACAGCCCCGGCGCAATCTCACGAGTTGCCCTCCTTCTGGAGTACGCAGGACTCGAGGCCTGGAGTAGACTGCGTTTCCGCTGAGCCTCCCGCATGGCCGGATTCATTTTTCCGGACAGGTACATGATTGGTGAGGAGAGCATTTCTGGGATGCGCAAGGCTGATCAGGTGCTAGCAACCGCCAAGTGGGGGGGGGGCTATGGATCAGTGCTTACCCGGACAAACGCAGTTGACTCGGGTTTTGGCCATAGCACGATGAGCTGCCATCACGCGAGTCATGTTAACCACAGCGCCTTTGCTCATCGGGTAGAGTAGATTGTGGTTCCTCTTTATACGCTGGCTACGAAGCCCATGTTTACGATGTTGCCTCCGTCTTCTGGCTCGTTCTTCTGTATGGTGGGAACCGCAAACTTGACCATGAGCATCATGCTTGTGACATTAACATCAAGGCCATTAGAATATCCGCTGCATCCACAGCCGGGGCGGCACCGCGAGCCCCATTACTTCGACATTGTTGGCCAATATATCCAGACAACCAACGTGTGCAGTATTCGTTGTGAAGCTTCGACAGGAGGCATGGCTCTCTTCTGAGTTATTCAAACTTTCGTGCACCCGAACCACTTTCTTTTAATGGTTCCGGGTCCGGAGGTTGACCTCCGGTGTTCGGGCAGACATGTAATTAATTATGAGGACGTAAAGGACGCGGGGTAGTTACACCTCCCAAAATCCCATTGAAAACAGTACTGTCATGGACTTCTCGAAATACGGAACGCCGAGCAAAGAATGGCTCGAATTTATCGCTCACAACCCGGCTGCCGCCAAAGAAGGGTTCAGTGGCAATGACATTCTGGAAGCCTCGCAGCTCCGCCAGGCTGTGAATGCCAATCGCGAGGTTGCCTCTGAAAAATTGATGGCCGAGTCAGGTCTGAAAAATCGAGTTGACATCTCGACACTTTCAATCCCTTCTCGTGCCAGCCACACCATTCCATTACGCCGATATTCCCCAGTCAGCCAGCATGGACAACGACAAGATCCACGACAGGGCTTAGTATATTTTCACGGCGGAGGGTTCTTATTTGGATCTGAGAAGTCAGATGATTGCCTCTGTGCCAGCATAGCTGACTCGCTTGGCGTGGTTGTTTTGAGTGTTATCTATAGACACACACCAGAGTGGTCCCATCCAGCCCCACACGAGGATACCGAAGATGTCATGGCGTATATAGAAAGAAGTTTGCCAGATCTAGGCATTGAGGCAGCTAAAGGTCTATCTATTCTGGGCATCTCAGCTGGTGCTGGGCTCGCCGCGGCCGCGGTACTTCGCGACCTTCGGGGGCAACGCTTGGTTCAGGGCGTCATACTGAGCATTCCCTGGCTTATCCATGTGGATAATTATCCATTCAATCATTTTGTCGCCTCTGAGAAATCTGCCCAGGTGCAATGCCGCAACGCACCAGTGATTCCATGGCCTCGACTGAAGATGTTCAGTGACCTGCTTCGTGCAGAAGACTACACCGACCCGCTGCTTAATACGGCATTGGTGCCTGACGTGCAGCTAAGTAACTGGCCAAAAACAGCATTTGTGGCAGCTGGAATGGACCCGCTGAGAGATGATGGACTGCTATTCTCTAGAAGACTAGAAGCACTGGGGTGAGTTACCGAGACACTAGAGGACTAGAGGATCAAGCAAGGAATACTGAACATCTGCTAACTCACGCAGCATTCCGACAAGTGTCTATATTTTTCCAGGCCTTCCCCATGGTTTCAGAAGATGGCAAGATCTCCCAGCCACTAAGGTGTTTGATGCACGGATGCTGGAGTCTATTCGCTGGACGCTAGGGCTGGGTGGGCATGAAGAGAATGAGATCGAGGGATGGCATGAGTACCAGTAAAGCTAAATGTGTCTTATGGTTTTGCGTTTTGATGGAATTCACATTCATTCTTCTATTTCTCGAGTTTGTCTTCTGTTTTTACTCCGGCATCTCAGGAATAGGAGCAGGGCCGTGCCTAGATTTGACACCAAGAATGTTGGCTACTCCCAAGCACAGATCCTGGAGGGTTTTTAGTTCCTCCCTCGTGGCGCCATTGATCAACATCCCCTTCATATGATGCTGCAACTGGTTCGGACAGTCCATGCCGTAAAGCGCGGAGACAATTACATATCCTGTTGTCAAATCATCAATGACGCCGTCAAAGGAAAATATCCGTCCATACAGCACCTCTAGTAATCCATTAGCTATTCTAAATCATCTCAAATTGTTTGAGTATCATACCTCGGATAATAAATGCATAATCGGGACTAGCTCGCACCGAAGCTTCAGGATCGAACGCTCGATTCCGAGAGTAGATTCTCGTCCAAAATTCCTTTCCTCTTTTCCTAGCTGTCTCATCTGACTCCTTAGATCTGGGCGATTCTTTCTCTCGGAGCTCAACTGGTATGCACGCGGCCAAGGCTCGCATTGCGTTACCCGTTCGCGCGGCGCCGACGATGCCGGTGGATTTAATCAGCCCCTCCCGAAGCCTTTGAGCCGCGGCAAAGCGGTCCTCTGGAGACATAGTGGATAACAGGTGCTCATCGAGATGATTGTAGACTTGTGGAACTACGTCGGAATAGTTGAGCGAAGAAAGGGTAACTAGAACACACATGTACCATCTGAGGCGGTCCGAAGTGGAGGGAAGAGCAAGAACGGACTCCCAGAAGGAAGCCGGCAGAGTTGGCGTATCGGCGGCAGACATACTGTGAATATCTTAGGCTCGAACTGAAAGCCAAGATTCGAAATGGGAGGACATTTCTTTTAGTTGCCGAGATGTGGGGTTTGGTGTCGGGACCGATGGACATTGTTCTCCGGGTGGATTCGAGAAGTCCGGATATGACCTGGGGAGACGACCTATTGATAAATTACCCATCCTGAATCTCGACACGCTATCAACAACATGTTCATCGTTGCCCCTCTCTCAAATTGCGCTTCTGAAGCAAAGCGGGACCGAGTAAGTCAAAATTGAAAATAAATGAATCCATGTGAATTCTAACGCTAATTTTTCTGCCCCTCACAGTTCCTTGAATATATCTCTAAAATCGCCCCAGTCACCCATAGCAATGAGCCCAAGTGCCACGCATATGCCTGGTTTCGGAGTGCCGAAGACAACGACACTGTCCCTCACCATTGGCTGAGGGGGCTAGAAGTGTAAGATCGTAGCCCCGGAATATATAATCTCGGACTGACAGAATTCAGATACGAAAATGTTGAGGCAAATACTGTAACTCACCGTGCGAGCGCTGAATACAAAGCCTTCCGTGCCGCCGTTGGCGAGGAGGCGCTGCTCGATCGTCCCAGCGACCTGCGCTTCTGGCGGCCGTCCTCTGTGGGCTTTCTCACGCATGATCACAAGCTTGTTAGCTTCATGACTTCCACTGGGACCAACCAGTACATTGTTGTGGATGAGTTGACACCACTGGCTGGAAAAAAGGGTCAAGTTCTGGAGCAGCTGCGCCGGCTTGCCCAAGACGCGAAGCAAATCGACCAAGTACTTAGTTTCTGGGTGTTGCACCGTGGAGATGGAGAGCAGGACGAGAGTTTGCTGGTCTTTGCTCGATATGAAGGTAAAGCTGAGTGGGCCAATTTTGAGAATCAAAGCAAGAAGACATGGAAAGAAGTCTACGAGTTGAGCGGGGAGCAGAGGAGAACGACTTGGATAGAATCAGGACTAGGATTTTTGGGAAGATAGATGATCCATATCTTTTTTTGTCCAACAAGCTCAGTCTTGGTGCTAAATAATTAAAGCTATCTGTCAGAGAGAGCCAATATCTACCAAAGACAGTTTGTCCTTTGCCCCGTCTATACTCCAGAGAAAACTATGAACATAAACAAGCATCCTGCGGCCAGAGGATTCACAAAATAGCTGTCGCGTTTGGAGGTGAAGCCACAGCACCAGTATAGTTCAGCGGTGCCGACGTAAAGAAGAAAGACCAGCGCTTATTTTTGGCACAGATCTCCACCAACTTGTCTAGGTCAAACAGTTCCCCTAGTGGTGTACCCCATCCGGCCAGCAGGATCGGGTGAAGATGCCACGTCTTGTCTGTCGGAGCTATATCAGAAACCAGTCAGTAAGAAGATTATACATTGACAGTAGTTGGTTATAACCTACGTCGTACTTCGAATCCCGGCGAGTCGCTCACCACGGCAGCAAACTGTCTCTTCCAGAGCCACTCTGTCGTCCCTCGAGACTGACCTAGGCCGCACCATTCGCGCACGTTGGAGACCCTCTCTCGGCCTTCTGCATCTAGGGTCTTGTAGGCAGCAACATAGCCAGTACGCAGAAAAAGCACATCCCCGGTGCGAAACTCGACTCCTTGCTCCTCAGCAATGGCTAGCACGTCTTCCACTGAGATGGCGTGACCCGAGAAGTGATTCACTTCGATACCGCGACGTTTTGCGTACGACACATAGTCAATCAATACACCCCGACCCGCAAGCCCTTTCGAGCACCAACTCTGCAAACCATTGATTTCTGTGCGACTAGAAGCGTGGATATCGGCTTGAGTGGTCCTGGAACCAACAGGTTAGCTTTCGTAAACATTCGAGTTGTTGATGGTCTGATTTACCCGTTATAGAACTTCTTGTCTTGCTGATAAGCAAAATGACGCAGGCTATCCCATTGAGAACTTCCTTGAGTGTTGAAAGTAATCTAGATAATTAGTTCTGGTAGTTCATCTGCTCTCGAGAAAGAGAAGCTCACCACGTCATCGTTGACTACGAGCGGGTTCTTGTCGATAATCTTCTGCTCGAAACCTGCTCGTCCCAGAAGTGGCGGATTGAATAGATCCAGAGGCAGACTATTTTTCGAGAAAAGGTATCTGTTAGCTTTGGATCTGGTTTTAGTTCAATGTCCAGTTACACACTTTAGGCCAATGCGCTCTCCGGTTTTCACCTCTTCCTTGATTGTCTTCAACACCAACTCATCGGTCAGATAGTTCAGGGATCCCAGCGCACTGTCTGGTCCGTCGCCCCATAGTCCCCAGGCCGAGTTTGGTGGGTCGCCCTCGCGCAAGGGAAGCTGGTCGAATGAAGGGAGAGGATTACGCTGAGGGGCCATTGTGAGGGTGAGACAACGTTGAAAGCCAGGTCAGCTATGATAGAATCTGGGTGAACCGAGAAGGGAAGACTTGGGAATATTTTAGGTCACTCTTTTCATCTTGGAGACAACCATCTCCGGGCTCCATCAACTCAACTCAGATCGGATGTCGATGTCCGGTAGAGATGTGGGGAAGACATGAAATGTTGTTGCGGAGCGGAAGTATTCTCTTTCACTCGGAAGTAAAGTCTTTCCCTGGGTCTACCTACACGATCTCAAGCAAATGAAACCTCCTTCTCTAAATTTATATTTCAGAGCGACCTGGCAGGCGGTATAGCCATTTTGTTCATACTTTCCATCTTGCAATATATACCTCCAACGAGTTACGGCCATCTCACAATTATGGCCATTCCTGGAGTATTAATGCGTCTTTCTGACAATGTCTCGCCCATCGAGATCCCAAATATCGAGGGCAAATACACACTAAAGGCGGACGACAACAAAACCCCCGGGCATAACACGGTCTATTTCCTTAGCGACATCTCGCCGCTTCTCTCGTCAAAGGAGCATTATGACGACGACGCAACTACGAACCTCAGTACTTCCTGGGTAATCTGTGCTTTTATCAATGGCCGGGACACGGAAGGCGCAGGCGAACTGCAAACCAGCCCTCACGTACCGCCCACGCCTCCAGCTCGAGGATCTGTCCTTGTGATCAACGGTTCTACTCCCCACTCAGACAAAGAAGCAGACTACCATGCGTGGTACGATCAGGAGCATGGCGCCAAGCTCACTCGGGTGCCTGGCTGGCAAGCGGCGAGACGTTACTCCCTAGCCAAGGTCTATGGGGCGGCCGAAACGGCGAACTTCTACGGGTTTAATTTCTATGATGAGAAAAATGGCCTCGGAGGGCCAGAATGGCAGGCTGGAGTGACGGGATGGACGCTGCGAATTAGAAGTAATGCTGCTAAGCCAAATATTCGGAGAGTGTGGAAGGTGGAGGGAACACAGTGATTATGAGAAAGAAGATAACAGCGATCAGGGTATAGTAGCGTGTTTGCTATTATAAATATATTATTGAAACAACTGTGGCGGCGCAAATAGTCCGTACAAAGTATCTTGCGATATATCATTTTCCAGCTGATTCAAAGAGGCAAGGAAGCCCGGCGACGAGGTGCCAAATCCCAGATCTGGCTGGCTCATAATCTCCAAGTAATCCGGGGATAGAGATTGCTCTCCAGCCATTGGCGTTTTCAGGGCATCTGTCATTATGTTTTCTTGACTTTGTGTCATGGGCAGTGAGAAAAGTGTCTCGTTCAAGCCAGAGATTTGAGGCAACTCATATTCACCTGTGCCGCCTTCTCGGGTGCTGACCTGGAACTCATACACCATATCTCGCAAGATACTAAGTGGCTTCTGCAGACCTAAGTTGCATCCGTGCTGCAGCTCGCTCAGGCAAGTCCAGAAGAATGAGATGGGTTCCATGAATTGTCCGCGTTCGTGCCGCTCTTGACGGAGTATCACTATGACAGCTGAATAGATAGCGTAGGATAACAAAAATGGCGCGCGGCGGAGAGTAAAGGCTCTCTTGTATGCACGGACTAGCTTCTGAATCGCTAGTGCACTAGTAATGCATGCCTCTTCGCTTCGTCTGCGGCCGCCTTCGTCACAATGGCGGTGGAGATGGCCTTCTTCCAGAAATGCACGATGGAGGAGAATAGTCAAGGCATGGTGGGTCGTGCTAGTAATGCAAAATCAAACAAAGTTCCAAATTCTTGCAGAGACAGTACTCACTGTGGTGTTATTTGGTGCGGTGGTGGCGTAAAAGGTCCATCCGGATCGAATCTTAGGTGGGCCGGCAATGAAGTTCTCCAGTAGTCGAGGTCTTTTTCAATCGAAACTTTCTTGTCTTGCAGATACTCCGAGCTGCATTTGATTGCTTGCAGGCCATACAGGTCTGTGATTCGAGTCGAAATCTGAAAAAGACGAGCAAGCCAGCTGAAAGTTGAGACAGCATGCGCAGCTTGTGGCGCATAGGCTGGTGGCGGCTCCACAGGAGATAAAGGGTCAATATACGGTTCCCATTCCTCGAGTTCCTCAAAAGTGTCAAGAAACGACAATGGCACTCTCGCTTCGGCGGCAGCAAACATGCATGGCCGGCCCAGATAGAGCGACTGGGTGGCATCAGTGACAAAAGCGCCCCAGTACAATCGCTTGCGCATTTCCTGCTCTAGATCTCGTCTAAAAAGCTGGCCGTGGCCTGCTTTCGACATGCTCTGGTAATCGGGACCAAGCATCAAGTGGCAGCCCATATCAATGATCATGCGATATGCTGTCCCAGACAGATTCCAGCCAGCACTTGATCTTCCATGGGATACTAAGGTTGCACTTGTCAACAGCAAAGCCTGTGCAGATGGAATACTGGGCTTGTCAATCTCATCCGCCAGTAGCTGGCGAAACCTCCTATAAAAGTGGGATCCGGTGCTATTTGGGTCGTCCGGGTCTGATCTTAAGCCTTGCCTGTCACTATAAAGTGTGCTGGAGTAGTAGATTGCATTGAGTAGTAGTTTATTCATCCAGGGTCCACCGCCATTGACTAAACTCTCCGTGATGGCCGGCCGGTAAGAGACGAGATAGGCGTAATGCTGTCGGTTGAAGTGGAGGTCCAGAAGATGTTTTGCCAGCTCAGGAGCACAGCCATCAAGGTCAACGAGATTGGCTGGTTGACGAAAGATGCGAGGCTCCTGCTGCCGTTGGAGAGCGGCATTGCTGATGAGTCGCGCTTTGGAGGCCGCAATAGCGCTGTCGCCTTTCCATGTCATTTTGGATATGGTTTCTTTATGCTGTGCCCTTGACACTGGATTCATAATGCTGGCTAGACCGTGGACTGATGAGACACACCCGTGTTCATGAAACGCCCCGGCAACGCGAGCTTCACAAGGAGACATGCCCGACACGCCTCCAGTACCAGTGGCAGCAGTAGTATCGTTTTCTTTGGCTATACCTGTGCTAAGAGTTTGTCCTTGTACCTGGCCTTGAACGTCAGGCCTGGCAGTAACATTTGTCGGCGTTGGAGGAAGCGCATGTTCTGGAAGAGATAGAGACGTCACAACTTCTGGCTGTGTATCCTCATTCTGCATGGTATTTGCCCCCGAGTATTCATGCAGGTACTCTGAGGAGCTGGTATGTGCTGACGCCCTGGGGGACAAAAAGTATGAAGGTAAGCCATGCTTGCCCGTCCCTGATACCGATGTGGACGGAGTGGGTAGCGGGCTGGCAATGGCTGCAGTTGACGCGAGATGAACTAGGCTGCCATCTTGGGAAAGAGGATTACGCACATCCTCAACATTCCCGATAGCAAAAATGCCCGCATTATCGCTATCGAAATTCCCATTTTCACGCGGCATCCAGTCTCCGGGTTGCATATTAGGCGGGATAATCCCGGATGTCTTCATGTGCTGAAGCATGGCTATCACCGTGGCCTCAAGACTCTGCACGCGGGCCTTTGATGGCCTTGGTTCGCGTCTGGCGTCATGAGGATAGACACAATTGAGGCCCCCGGTGCTGCACTCGAGACAATGCGGCTTGGTCCCGTCGCATTTGACTTTTTTCTGGCGACAGGGAGTGCACGTTTTGCACGTTCCGGCGGATCGAGACGGGCGAGACACGCGCGATTCTCGATTGCCCTTTTGAATCGCCTTGCTCGTCGTTGTCATTGTGGTTTCGTTGTCAATGGACTCAAATCACTGATCAGAAATGGATTTTGCGGGGAGCCGACCGGGATCTCCACACGCAGGCATGCGTTTAGAGCGGGTCTTGGTCGCCCTACTTGGAAAGGCGCCGGAACAAGATGTCCGGGACGGTCGATGTTCTCCGCGCATTGGCTTCGTATTTCCAGACAATTTGATTGGAAAGAACGGTAGTCCCTCAACGGACATTGATTTTCTGGCCGAGAGAGGGGAGGGGAGAATAGCAAGAAGAAAGATTCGTTTTAAATGCGTGTATTTGTCAACTTGTGATTTTTCTTCTTGGAAGGAGTGTTCTCAAGTTATAGTCGCATCACAGCCGATAATCCATCCCACTACTATGGCGCCTTCCGCGGTACACCCAGACCATGTTGATACACATCCCGCGCAAAATGGAGTCAACAGTCACCAAAATGGCTCTGCGCATGCCCACACCAACCTTGATCCTTTCTACACAATCGTTGAACAGCCCATCGGCACCCGGCGCCCGATCCGAGTTGCTTGTATGGGTGCTGGATACTCAGGACTCATGATGGCGATTGTATTCAGCGAGAAGATGAAGGATAAAAACGCCGAGCTCGTCATTTATGAGCGGAACAAGGACCTTGGGGGCACATGGCTTGAAAACAGGTAATTCAGACTCGAATCCATGCTATTTTCATGTCCTAACTAGAATCAAAAGATACCCAGGGTGCAAGTGTGACATCCCCGCACACAACTACGCGTACAGCTTTGCGCCGAACCCTGACTGGCCAAATTACTATGCCACTTCGCAGCAAATCCATGAGTACATGCACAGTGTGGCGGACAAGTATGACTGCAACAAGTATATCAAGTACCAGCATACCATCAAGTCGGCCATTTGGAATGAGGATACGGCCAAATGGGAGATTCAGGTGAAACGGGCCGATGGGTCCATGCTCGATGATGAAGTGGATGTATTCATCAACGCTGGCGGTGTTCTGAAGTTAGTATCTGGCTCCCTGTTCCGCTTTGAGCTCATGCTAACATCTGTTCACATGTAGCAAGTGGAAGTGGCCGAATATTGAAGGCATTGATACCTTCAAGGGCAAGCTCGTTCACTCTGCCCGGTGGGATGATCAGTACGATTTCGCAGGAAAGAAAGTTGCAAGCATCGGCATCGGCTCTTCTGGAATCCAGATCGTGCCTCAGCTAGCCAAGGTAGTCGACTCAATGGACGTCTACGTCCGTACACAGACCTGGATCTCGCCAGCACCAGGTATCAACGAACCGACGGCCAACGACCCGGACATGGACTCGGAGTACAACTTTACCGAGGGCAGCTTGGATATGTTTAAAGATCCCCAGGTACTGCGCGACTACCGGGCAGCTATAATGGACCGCCGAATTGAAAACTTCAAGCGTGCCATTGCCGACAGCGATCTCCAAAAACGTGCTCAAGAGATCTTCCGTAAGAGTATGCTCGAGCGGCTGGGTGATACCCCCAAGGGCCGAAAGATGGCAGAGTACTTGCTGCCTAGCTTCCCTGTTGGATGCCGACGACAGACACCAGGGCCTGGATTTTTGGAAGCCCTAACGCAGGACAATGTCGATCTGCGGTGGGATGATGTCGTGCGGATCACCGAGAAGGGAATCATGACACGGTCAGGCGAGGAGAAAGAGTACGACGTGATTGTGTGTGCCACCGGATTTGACACATCATTCCGGCCTTCATTCCCCATGATTGGACGCAACGGTGTCGACCTGGCCAAGAAATGGGAGACCGAGAAGCCCGAGGCGTACTTCGGGATCTTGGTGCCGGACATGCCCAATTACTTTTGCTTCATTGGGCCCAATAGCCCCATCAGCAATGGCTCCTTGGTGTTGGGGATCCAGGCAACGGCAGTGTACGTCTATAAATGGCTTGAGAAACTGCAGACAGAGATGGTCAGTAGTTTCGTAGTAAGGCAGGATGCCAATGACGAGTACAACCAGCACATGCAGCACTTCCTGGAGCGAACCGTGTGGACGCGTGGTTGTCGAAGCTGGTATAAGCGCGGCACTGTTGACGGGCCTGTTGTCGCGATCTACGGTGGCACCTCGTTCCACTTCATGGAGGCCCTCAAGAACCCGCGCTGGGAGGACTGTCATATCAAACGTCTCCCGGAAGCTCGCTCGAACCGATTTGCCTACCTGGGTGACGGATTCTCCCTGAGAGAGACCAAGAGTGGTAGTGTTGGAGCGACGCAGACGCTGGATTTTGACGAGTACTGGAATTTGTTTGTGCTGCCCGAGATTCACAACTAATAGACATACTGGCTAGATATAGAAATGATTATCACCCTGTGAAATAAGCGTCCAACCCCCCCCCACCCCAAAGAAAAGAATTTGTCAACTACTAAGTCAATAATATCACTAAAATCACCTTGCGACAAATGGGGTAACTCTACCGGCCTCAGGCCTACAGGCAAACGCAAAGCCAGCTTCACGGTTCTACATTCTTCTTTTATTTCTGGGCCCTACTCCCATAGCGCTAGCTCGAACAATGGATAAGCTTCAAGGGAGAAACATACCCTGCATTCACCGCCAGAAGTTGAATGCAATACTGTTGGGTGCTTTCTATATACTTCAGAGTCGATCTTTGATTGGGGGGTGATTGACTCATTTTAACTACCCCTCGCCCCGTATTTTCTTCTGATTATTCGGAAGGTTTTATATACGGATCCATTTCTATTCCTTCACCCTTTCCATCGAACATAGAAGCCTTTCCTGGGCCGGTTCCTTCCCTTTCCTTTTCGAGCACAATCACGAGACGTGGCCAACCCTAACCTAACTTGGTGCCCGATTGGGTCTCCTCCCTATCGCAACAACAAGCTTATCGAGCAGCTTTCGCTCGTCGCACGTCTGCGCGACAGACACGATGCCCATCTGCATCGAATGCTCCTACCCAGTCTCACATCTGTATAGCACCTACAGCCGCGCGGACGACCGCTCGCTGGGCAAGGGCGTGCGACTCACCCAATGTCCACGCTGCCACCGCTTCGCCGACAAATATGTCGAATATGACTTTGTCGTGCTCTTTATCGACCTGGTGCTCATCAAGCCGCAGGTGCGTCGCATGGGAAACATGAAGCAAGGACTCAATTGACCACTCGAGCTAGGTGTACCGCCATCTCCTCTTCAATCGGCTCGGGCGAGACGATGACAAGTTCGATGTGAGTGACGCCGTGTCCAACATGACATGGCTACAGAGCTAATAACGAGTTCTCTTTAGCGATCAATCATCCGTCTCGGCATCCTCCTTCTCCTCTTCGACGTCTATCTAACCTGGGCGCGCCTCGAAAAGTCTCCCTCGCTGGCAACTACCTTTGTCTCACGCGCCCCCATCGTCATTCAATATCTCTTCTTTCTGAGTCTCAATGCGGCGGCCACTCTTGCGCATCACCTCACAGTCCGTCTGCTAGCCTCGATACTGGTGCCCAAGTCCCACCGCTACGGCGGCGTGGACCCCAGCAGCAATGGTACCGCCGGCGACACCACCCCCTTCCCCTCCGGACCTCCCACGCCCACCACTATCCGCGCATCACCATCATCACAGTCCTTCACTACTCAGTCGCAGCTCCCCAGCAACCTCGCCACAAGCCCAACAAAAACAACCCCCAACCCTGGCTCCTCCACCGATGTTACCTCTCCGATAGACCCATCCCCAAACGCGCATGGCCCATCTCTTCTAACACGGCCCCCTCCACCACTCCGACGAGCGTCAACAGCACCCCCGCAGAACATCCAACCCCTGCCGCCACCAACAGCGGCCAGTCCCGCGGCAATCAGCACCGCGCTCCTAGTCAGCAGCTGCGCCAAGCTGTTTCCCATCCTCCTGGTGATCTGGGGCACCGACGGCAACGGTAACTCCAACGAGCACGCTGCCGGAGGAGCGGGACGTTCATCTGCGCATTCAACGCCCATGCACAGCGCATTCCGAAAAACTGCCACGGCATTCGCTGACCACACGTCTTCCGCCGGAGCTGCGCTCTCGGACCAGGGTGAATCCTGGCTTGCGAGTGCTGCGTCGTCGCTGTGCGCTTCGACGCCGACTACATATCTTACTGCACTGTTTGATCTGCTTGCTTCGTTGCTTTCACTGGGCGTGGTTGATACCCATCTTGTACTTTTGAGTAATATCGAGGCGTTGTACATTCTTCTTGGGTGCGGGTATCTGCGTGCCGTGGCTGTTGCCGTGACAGGGCAGGTGGCGAGATGGGCGGTGCAGAAAGTCATTCTGGGTGCTGTGGGAGTGGGCTAGATGTTACCTGGCCTTGTCGTGATTGTGTAATATTAGCTTGTGGCATCCTTCCAGTACTCGCTGTTTCCTCCACTGCCAAACGACTAACTACCAAGAACCGTGTGAACTCGACTCTCTCTACTCCGTAGATCTGTTGGACGTAGTAGGGGCTGCATTTAGGGGAGAGAGTATGTCTTGTCCATAAAAGGGAATTCTCTCGCAAGAAACTAAATACTTGAACAAAGGAACAAGAGTACATGAACGGGAAATTTACTTGCCAAGACGCCGAAATCTTAGAGAAAAGGAATATCAGATTTAATACGAGCATAAGAGGATTGAAAACGGATAGATAACTATGTCTAGCAAAGAAGCTACGAGATGAGGTGATAGAAAAACTGTACAGAGCAGAACACCCGCGCCTCAAGCGCATCCATCTCCACCTCTCGCCAGGAAGACGGCACCCCGGACTATTTAACCCACAAGGGACAAAAACACAACCTGAATGGGTCTACATCTCCCACGCGATATGACCATGATCATTATCAACAAACACCAAATGCGACAAAGGAATAGGGCTCGTTTACTCCGGTACACGCTCGGGCCGCATGTCGGATCTCTTGGGCGCGATGAGGGGATGCCACTGCGCGAGGAATACAATTGCTGGGGCGTGTGGGTTAGCTAGATTCATCTTTAAATTGCAGTGTAAGACAAGAAAGAAAGAAACGTACCCCACATCAGATAGCAAGATACGAAGGAGAGGATCAGCGTGCTGCGCCAGAGTCTGATAAGAAGAAGTGTCAGTACATCTATTCTATTCCATTCTGTTTGCTGGTTGCAAGGCGGGAGAAAGGGTAGGAGAAACGCACGTCTGGTTATCGCCCTTCGGGCTAAGGAACCATGCCGCAAGCGAGGCACCCACGATGATAACGAGGCCGATGATGAGGCTCCAGCTATAGTAATAATATGTTAGCACTTATCCCCTGAGAATGAGATTGGAGCCAAAATAGTAAGGGGTGATCCCCCCGTAAGTAGACGGATAGCTTGAACCAAAGCACACGATCCTCCGAGTTCGTAGGATGTGTCGTCCCGGTCAAGGCATCTGCCCACAAAGGAAGAAAGAGACCAGACGTACCCGCTTGCCATTTTGTCCGCCTTGTGATGATATGATTCGGCGATGCGAATTGATAGGTGCGAGCGCGATTCTGGGCCCGCGACGGTGTCGTAAAGTTTCCGCTTGATTTCCCGGATATAGCACTCAGATGCAATTTTTAAACCCCAATAAAACCAATGCACGGCAATGACTTGACCGATCACTTATGGTCTGGTTGGCGGGATGCGGGGATGCGATGATGTCCACGGAGTCAAGGAAGAAGGCGAGAGCGCACAACACGAATACACTTCGGAGGCGAATCTTATTCGAACAGTGATATCGTCAAGCCCCTTGCCGAATAATCTATCCTGTCTGCAATGATCCCAAATGGTTCGTATCCACCGGATCGCGCGAATACCGAACGGCCAACGGCCACCTAAGCACGAAGTCTCGAGGGGTGGCGATTCGTAACGGAGAACGGGGAGACGTGTCGTGGGTTCAATGGGCACTGTACTTGAACAGCCGCAGAGGCGTTTAAAGGAATGCAGGGGGAAGTGGTGGCGAGGATACAGGCAGGACGAGAGCGAAGTTCAACGTCGGAGCTCTGGAGCTGCGGGTTGTGGGTGCCTCAGGCATAACAGGGCGGTGGGTCTGAATCGAGGCCAAGTACGCCTAGACTTGCTATTGTTGAGTGACGATTACTAGCTACATGGTTTGTGTTGTGCATTCATGAAACGACTTAATTCAAATGACCGATTTTGCGATTCCGTAGAATGACACAGTAGAAGCAACAGGGGTAAATACACAGGGCATGCAGGACCCACGGCTGAGAGAGGAACAAAAACAACCAAAAATCAATAGAGAAGCACCGCTTATGCGCCTTCACGGCTCTTGCGGTAGCTGGCCTAACATAGCGTTAGGGGTGCACGGGAACAGATTGGGCCCAACTCACCTCCTGCTCCACCTGCAGGCCGTCGACGACGGGCGCAAGCTCGCTGAGGATCTCGTAGGCCTTCTTGTGGAACTCCAGCTGGGCGGCGATCAGGTCGGCCAGATTGCGAAGGGGCTCGGGGGTATCAAGGACCTAAGCAATTAGTACCGAGAGAAGTAAGGGATGGGGGGGGAAGACATACGTTCTTCATCACGCTGACAGCCTCCTCCGTCTGACCAACAAATTCATCCTCCGCCTGCTCGATCTCCGCGCGGGCATCCTCACTCAGGTTATCCAGATCACCACGTGCGGCAGCCTTCTTGCTCGCCTTGATAGAGTCGAGCATAAGACGCGCATTCTCAACATTCTTGCGCGCCTTCGCAGCAAACATCAAGTTCGTATTCAGGGTGGTGTTCCATCCGGCCAGGAACCGGGACTGGATCTGCGCATCTTGAGCTAGACGGGCCTCGCCGACCTTCTCCTCGGCCAGGGCGTACTTCTCCAGCGCGCTAGCGAGCGGGTCCTCGGTCTCGGAGCTCTGTGCCAGAGTCTGCGAGCCCGCGAGCGATGCGCGGGCGATCGCATGGTTGAAGGTCTTGGGCTGCGGCTTTGCGGAAGGGGGTGCCGTCAGGGCAGCTTGGGCTTCAGCGGGCGAGTTGGCCTGCGAGAGGAGCGTGACCTTGTCGTTGATCGTGCGGCCGAGGTCATTGAAGGATTCGCGGATGTTGGGCGGGTAGTCGTAAGCCTCATTGGAGTACTGAGAACTGTTTTTTATTTTTGTTGTTGTTAGCTTGTGTCGAGGGTGGCGGTGATTGGGGAAAGGAAACAACTCACGTCACCTGCAGCAGTTTCTGGTGCACGAGCTTCAGCGCATCGACGCGCTTCTCGAGCTCGATGTATTCATCAGGGAGCTGGGTCTTCTCATCGGCCTGGCCCAGTTGCTCCTTGATCAGTTGCTGAGTGCGCTGGGCAAAGGGCGAGAAATTCGCGCTATTTCCCAGCGAGATACAGACAAGACGATGTCAGTAGGCGAGACACCTCGGGGGGTATTTATCGTAATGAACACCAATAAACAGACAGCATGACGAACCTAAAAGTTTTACCGAATGCCTGCACCCGATCCATGATGGCCGATAGTGGAGGGAGAGTGGTGTGGTTAGGGTAAATGGTAAGTGGTTGATAGGAGAAGGTTGGAGAGGTACTTGTGCTCGTGCTCGAGGCCCGCACCGCCTTGCTTGACCACGTGTTTCAGGCATCACTTTATCTTGATTACAGCAACAACAACAACCATGACATACTTGAAAAATGGAAAGAAAGGTCGATGCAATAAAACACTACTGAAGAGAAGAACATCATCATCCATCCCGCATATCACGTCAAAGTGGCAAACATCGCCCGCACAATCCGGGAATTCGGTTCTGTATCCGCAGTCAGTATAGAATCTCATGCAGATACCAGGGCACATACGTCTGCGTTCGGACCTCGAGAGCTCCGTAATCTCCTCCGAATTGCCATTGCTATCGATCAGGTCCGTCTCGTGTTCCCGAGTAATTTCAATACCACCCTGTCGCTCGAGTTGCAGCATGCGGATCTCCCGTTCCAGCTCGCGGACGTCATTTTCGCTGCTTCTCGGCTGGACTAAGACCATCGAACCGGTGCGGGGACTAACGGACTCGATGCGCTCCTCGAAAAACTGGGGTTCCACGTATCGCATGGGCGATGATACTCGTCTGCGACCATGGACAGACACAGAGCGGGGACGGGAGATGGTTTGGAAGTGGCGCGGCCGCTCGATGATTTCTTCGAACTCGATATCTCGGTGCCGCGATGGAGACCCCTCCACGATGAACTCTTCGTAGCTGGATCGGGGAGATGAGGAGTTGACGAAGAGAGTCTCTGTCGTGACCCGTTCTCGGGGTCGTCGGATCGGAGAGGGTGATCTGGCGACATAGTATGCTAACACATAACATCAGTTGTCTGTTTCTTGGAATGGATCGTCCAACCGGCGACGTACTCTCTGATGATCGGCGCTTATACTCCTTGCTCAAGCTGATAACTTGGTCGATCTGGTCTTTCGACAGCGCCACTTGGATAATAATCATATTATCCTGGACTCAACATTAGCACTTGATCCTTTGAATGTCGGTAAAAAGAAAACACCCACCTCCTCCTTGTAGGGATACCCAAGCTCGGAAATAGCATGCGTATGCGCCAGCTTCCTCGGCAGACGAGTCTTTCCCTTGCGAGGATAGGGCTTCTCCTCACGATGTCTGGCCGCGCTACTCGAGCGTCGACGATCAGCCATGCGGTCTCTGTCCCTAATATCACGATACTCCTCGTCACCGTAGTAGTCGGGCTCAGCGATGCGAATTTCCTCATAGACCTCGCGCTCATGATATCTAGGCGGTGACCGGCGCCTAGGTGGCGGCGGCGCAGGCACGAGGCCACCACCTCTACTTCTCGCCGAAGGAGGGACACCAGGGCCGCTGCGCCCGGGTGCCTCCATCCTGCGCCGCGGGAGACGGTCAAAGGTATCAAGGGACGACTGCCGTCTCACCAGGCGCGGGGGACGAAAGTCTGGGCTGTCGTCGCGGCGTTGCTCCCGCCGACGGCTAGGAGGGTGGTCCAGGTGGTCGTCGTCGTAGGATCGATTTGGAGCGCGCGCGGGAGGACCGTAGCTGTCTTCTTCGCGAAGTCGGAACTCGAACCGCTCGTCATCTACTTGGCGGGGTCGTTCAGCCACCGGTGGTCCCCGCGAGTAGCGGTCGTAGCGATCGCGGGAGTCGAGGGTGCCGGTTGACGAGCGGTAGTCATCGTTGTAGCGCGACATGGTGGGTGCCTGTTATTGCTGCCAGACACAAACACGCTGCCAAGTCTGGATGACCAGAACCGTGGATGACGCGGGCGGCTGACTCCGGGCCGCCGTGTGGTAGTGGGGGTGAGAACCACGGGTGACGATGGTCGAGATGGTTGACGGGCAGTGTAGAGGGCTGAAAACCAAATGATACGACAGGGAGTAGGAGAGTCAACGTGGCTGAGGTGAGGAAAAAGAGGAAAAGCAGGAAGCAAGAACGGAGCCGATGATGGCATCGCATGTGGGGTGTGGCAGTGACGGGACTAAAGTGACACTAGACACTTAGGGCAGAGGCTCAAGTAGTTATTACCACTGAGTGGACTAGCTACCTCCTACTCTAGTTGGTTACCTATCAATCCATGTCGTCGACATCATCCTCCAGACTCAATATCCCAAACGCCCAGTGAAGCCGGCCTGATCCACTGACGGTCACGAACCGTCGGTCATGGTTGACATCATCGCGCTGCACGGCGTTGAACCCAGGTCGCTACGGACAAGGATATGAGTTAGCTCCAGGCACCGGCCAGCAAATTCGCCACTAGTCAGTTACTTACTTCGCGATCGCTGTATTGCGTCCTACTGTACGGCGGCCCGCGCCCGTGCCTTGCCGCTACGACCCATGAATTCTCACAGCCAGCAGCCACAGCGTCCGAGGATTTCCAGCCCGTCAGCCGGGAGATCTCGCGCAGCTTGGTGATTGTCCAGCCACGCTGCGTGGCGTCGGTGTACTGCACCGCCGCAAAGAAGACCGGCACAGTCATCTCGGTCAGGGACGTGCCCAATGTGGGGCTGAGGCTACCGGCCTCGAGGTTATATCGCTGTGGATAGTAAATGCCTGCCATGATCTTGCCGACGTTTTGCGCATATTCGATTGTCGTGCGGGCTGCGACTCCGGCGGCAACCATCATTGCCGGAGGCATGGAGGGGTGTAGTCGTAGTAGCAGAATCCGCCCAGCATAGTAGAACCCCCACAGGACCGCGATCGTGTGCGTACGGTACTGGAGGGCTGGTCCAAATGGGGTCGAGATGGGAGGTGTGATATCTGCGGGCAAGGGTTGAAAATCTCGACCCAGGGAATGGGAAAACGTCTCGAAGGCTTCCATAATGGTCTCCCATTCTTGCTCGGCTTCATTATACGTGGAGTCCTCGTTGTCTCCCTCTGGAGACTCCCGGGATTCTTGGCGCTGGTCGGTGAACCCGGATGGCAGGCGCACTGGGCCTGTCTGAGGAATCATGCCGTACATGGGAGGACTGTCTCGAGATGGCGGGGCAGTCTTTTGGGTCGGTGATGTCCCGTCTCCAGGCCGATGTGCTGGGTTTCCTTGCGCCGAACCAGGCGGGGGAGCTCCTCCAAGACCTGAGCCCGGTGGGCCTGGTTGTTGACCGGGACTGCCACCCGCAAAGCGAGCCATGAATTTGAACATGCCCGGAGTAGGCGTCCACTCCTTCCCCGCCGCTTTGAGAGCCTTCAGCTTTCGCTTCCGGTCACGGTACCCAAAATCCGTTAATCGTCCAAGTAGGAGCCAGAGATGATCGACTGAGCCATAGATGGCATCCAACCGTCCAAGACCTGCTCGCGGTGGGCACTGGCCCCATTGGGAATATGGCGTGCTAGAATCAAACCCAAGTCAGCAAACATGGCAATCTAATGTGGAAGCATTCGACTCACAAAAGTTTGTTCCCACTGATCAAGCTCTGGATCAAATCCTGCTTGCAATACCACCAGTACAGATCACACTGGATACGAAAGTTCTCAATGTCTTTGCGCGTGAAGTGCTTCCGAGGTTCTCGCACATGGCCCTCGTCGACATGTCCAAATTCATCGTAATTCATCGCTCTCCCCGTAATGGTTTCGAGGACCGTCTGGTCAATAACGCTCTCTTTTTCGACGAATGGATCATCCTCAGGTGGTTCACAACCCGGATCGTGGCAACTATAACCCCCTGGCCATGAGACTACATGGGCCATGGGGTTGTACTGCTTATATATTCGCCGTCGGTATGCCCGAAGATCTCGAGTTATACCAGCATAATCGATCTCGCGGATCAGATGAGCAGATCCAGCAACATGGCTATTCCACTTGTGGTGATCGGCTGAGATCACCTCGTAATAACCCAAAGTCAACGTCGCTGCGAGCGTACCAATCTGCTTGCGACGCAGTGGGAGGCCTACGGCATGACCGACTCTCTTTAATGCGTAGTGGTAGTGCTTCAGTGACACAGTGGTCGGGGCATTCTGGAGGTAGGAGATGTGCAAGCTGCTAATCGCGAGGATGGCCTGCAATAGTGCCTGATGCTCCAATGCCTTGAGGGGAAGCGTATACGTCCACAGACCTTGCTGCGCAGTGGGGACCGGAGCGCCTAGCACAATGGAAGAGTCTGTGGGATGCCGCTCAAACATTGACATAGAAGGCCCAGTGGAGTGAATGAAATGAACAAATATACGGGCTGTCTTTGGATTATTGAGGGGTGACGAGCCCAGGGTGGGACGATAGGTGGCGAGGATATTTGGTTCATTCAGGTGAGTGGTGAAAGAGCGAAGCTGTCGGTCATCTTGGTTGGCGGAGGACATGATCAGACTTAACTGGTTGAAGCCTTCTGCTTGTACCTGGTCAACCATTTCTTCGTCCGACTCGACATCATAATAGTCTTCACTTTCGTCTTCGACATAAATGATCTGAGCCTGCTGTGGCAGGAATGGTTCATGGGGGTGTAAAGGGTGCTGTAATGACCCTGGAGGCGATTGATGATGATAGACAATCGGGGGTGTTGTTTGATTCGTATTCTAATGCCATTAGCAATAGGACGAGCGTCGAAGTACTGGGACCACAAACCGGAGATATATCCTCACTGCTGCTTTGGCCAGTTGCTATTAGCGGCAATTGTCCAGCATAAGAAACAACCCCTTCGCCTGGGTATTGGGATGAGGCACCCTGGTCCCTATATTCAGTGGCCGGCTCTTGGTTATAATGGGTAGTCTGGCTAGAAGTGGTCGATTGCGGCGGTGGTGAGTAGTCGGTTGAGGCTGTCGTAAGTGTCTGGAATGGCCACTGTTGCAGGTGTGTCTGCATCGAAACAGCTGGATAGTAGAAATGCGATGTACTGCTCGGCTGAGGACTTTCCGGTGGGGCTCTATCCGACAAGGGCGGAGGAGCGTACTCCAATGCCGCGGGGTCAACCGGCCTCGGTGCTAGCGCGGGATGCTGAGAGGCGGCGGCAGCAGCAGCCTGCTGGGCAGCCAGAGAGCTGGCATAATCATTAAACGTGGAAACCCGCATCTGGCCTTGCGGGAACTGCTGGTCCAGAGCATGGCTTCGGATGATGCCCAGTGGATTCTTAAACACCACGCGCTGGGCATAGCCCTCACATAATCGTTTGGACTTGACGCAGTGGTGACAGATGGGCTTCTCCTCGCCACATTTGATGCGACGCTTGCGACATGCTATTGCGGTCAGCCAATTGAACAGATCCATGTCTCTGGCAGCAACGTACTCAGGCAGCCCGTCTTGGTTCGCTTTTTGGGCGCTCTGTGGGAGAGAGAAGTCCTCCTTAACGCAGTCTCAGCCGCACCACCGTTGTCCACGGAGGGTTTCCTGGCCAGGCGATCATCCAGCCCGGCCTCGATGGTGTTTTCCATCTGGTCCACGAGCCCAGACTCCGGATGAATCGTTAATGGTCAGGGATAATCGGGTAACATCGTGGATGGTCCACAGGGGGAGGAGAGATGATGATGTGGTGGGCCAGCCTGGATCGGGCTATCGGGGGGTTCCCCACACGCCGAGGTGGATCACCCGATAGAGATACGACTACTTCGCTTCATTATGACTTTAGTCACTAGTGTTAGATCGGATTTGTTGTGGTCCTTTTCCGTGTGGTGTAGCGGAGGGTGCATCGATGGCACATTGGACGCCCTGGTGGACCACCACTCGGGCGGAGAACCGACCTAAATTACACAGTAGGGTCGAACAGACATGTTTCATAAATATTCTAATTAAATAGAAAAAAACAGTTGGACCGAGGCGGAGGAGGAGGAATTATTTCTTAACGTGGGCCGACGACTATGTCGATGCCTGAGGCCGCGAGCATGCCTGGTTTTCTGCCGGCCACTTTTTTTTTTTCGGCGAAAGCTACATTTCTCTCTCCAACCTCCACACTTTCCCAGCAACAACATTTCCAAGAAGAGGATCGGGTAGTACCTCGCTCACCACCTCCCACCGACCATGTTCGCCGTTCCAGGCTGGTCAGTCTCGAGCTCTGCTCTCAAGCAGCAGACCCAATCGGCAAACCAATCACAACCACCCAAAGATACGCCCACCCCCAACAATGCAAAGAACAAGAAGCGCAAGCGCGGAAACGACAATGTCACATCCGGCAACGTGGACGAAATGTATCGCCGGCATATCGAGGGCGGCGTCCCAACACCCAAGGCTGCGAAAAACCGGGCGGGAGATTCCGTGAAGTCAGAGAAGAAGCAGAAAGACCAGCAGACACCGCAGAAGCAGGCTGCACCGAAGCCGAAGAAGGAAACCTCCAAGCCCAAGAAGGAGATAGCCACGGGTGCCAATGCTGGTCCACTTGGGGACGGAGACAAGACGGCAAAGAAGAAGCAGAAGAAGGACAAGAAGAACAAGAAACAGGAAGACGGCGCCTCTAGTACGGTTCCTGATGAAGCGCCTGCTGCCACTTCCGCCTCGGAGACACTTGCACCACCTCCTCCTACATCAGCGACTCTTACACCCCTCCAACAGGCGATGCGCCAGAAGCTCATCTCCTCTCGGTTCCGCCATCTGAACGAGACCCTCTACACGACCCCGTCTGCCAAGGCCTTTGAGCTGTTCAGCGCCAACCCGGAGCTATTCGATGAATATCATGCAGGATTTGCCCGACAGGTGAAGGAGTCCTGGCCCTCCAACCCAGTCGATGGCTATATCCAAGCCATTCGTCGACGGGCCGCCATCCCCGTCCCAAAGAGAGGCAAGCCTCAGAATCTCAGCAAGGGAGCGCCGCTTCCTCGCCGGCCAAATGGAGCATGCACTATCATCGACTTGGGCTGCGGCGATGCCCAGCTTGCGCGTGCCCTGACCCCGTCAGCTAAGAAGTTGGCCATCAAGCTCAACAGCTACGACCTGCAAGCCCCGAATTCTCTGATCACCAAAGCAGATATCTCGAATCTGCCGCTGGAAGACGGCTCGGTCGATGTAGCCGTCTTCTGTCTGAGCTTGATGGGCACGAACTGGGTTTCCTTCGTCGAGGAAGCATGGCGCGTTCTGCGCGGCGACGGCAAGGGCGAGTGCTGGGTCAGCGAGGTCAAGAGCCGCTTCGGCAAAGTGACTCGCAAGAAGTCGCAGATCGGAGCGCAGAAGCCACAGAGCAAGACGGAGAAGAAGAAGCTCAAGAAGAAGAAGGGTGGAGATGCGGACGATGCGGACTCGGATATGGATGATGCCGATATCTACGCGGAGGATGCGCGCCCAGCGGCCACGGATGATGAGACGGATATATCGGCGTTTGTGGAAGTGTTCCGCACTCGCGGATTCGTGCTTCGTCCGGAGTCGGTTGACAAGTCCAACAAGATGTTTGTCCGGATGGAGTTTGTGAAGCAGGGCGGTTCGCCGAGCAAGGGCAAGCACGCTTCTGCAGTAGCACCCCCGACAGCGGGTGGGAAGAAGCGGTTCGTCGACAAGAAGGCGGACGGTGGCATGTCACCGGAGCAGGAGGCGCAGGTGCTCAAGCCGTGTGTATACAAGATCCGTTAGATACCTGTATAGAGACAAGTCAAGATCATATCGAACTGCTTGAGTGAAAAAAGAAGCTCTAGGCGTTGGATCAATTCATCAATTATTTTTCTATTGCTTCCAACAACAATACAAAACAGACCAGTAGGCTACCGATCGCGAGAGATACATAATCTCTCTCATTGATTCCCACCCAGCTGCGCAACAGCCTTGCCCATATCCTCGTCATTGTAGATGCGGAAACCCTTCTCCTTGGTCACGCTCGCAAGCTGAACGTTCTTGGCATCCAGCTTCTCCTCCATGACCTGCTTCAGCGTCTTCAGCACCAGGGTCTCGGCCTCGGGCAGCGTCAAGGAGCGATGATATTCATTCTGCAGCTCGGCCTGCGCGCCCTCGCTTCCGGAACCGATAGCCTTGGCGTCGTAACGGTAAAATGTACCCGAGGGTTCAGCGTGATATCTGTCAAGTCGAAACAATCAGCCCACCCACAATTCAATCTGGAAAACAACACAACACTACACATACAGCTGCGGACCATCCTCGTCATAACCAGCAATTAACAACGCCACCCCGAACGGTCTGCTCATGACACTCTCCTCGTCGTCGCCGCTCTCACCGAACCGGAGCGCCAGATCGCAAATCGCCTGCGTGGTGCTCTCCACGCGCAGCGGCTCGGCATAGTGGAAGGCATGGTTCTGGCACTCAACGCGGGCGTGCTCGACCAGGTTCCGGGCATCCGCCTGCAGGCCGGACATGGCGCAGCCGATGTGCTGGTCGATTTCGACGATCTTCTCTACGGAGGATGCCTCCAGCAGGGTCGAGGTGACGCGCTTCTCGACACCGAGGATGACGCCCTCGGATGTTGCTACCTAAGGTTGACGTTAGAGTCAGGATCCTCTTGTGAATTATGAAAGCAGGACTCGAATATCGAGGCGTAGGGAGGGACGTACTCCAATCGCTGTGGAACCTAGTTTGATAGCTTCGAGAGAGTATTCGACCTGGAACAAACGGCCTTCGGGAGAGAAGGTGCTGTGGGAGGGGTCATTGTCAGACTGATGGTGCATCACAAGGCAATCAGGGAGCATTCGTACTTGATTCCACGGTCTGGGGAGGAGGGTTAGTTGCTTCCGCAGCGGAGAGGAGAGGGACGGACGAGCTTACCGTATTCCGATCGTGCGATGAACATGGTGGGAGAGTTGACGCAATGGGTGACCAAGGGGAAGCAATGTAGAGAGTTAGAGTTAAGGGTAGAGGGGAGGGGGAAGAGAAGGGAGGGAGAGAGTGATGGAAGAGGAAGAGGATGAGATGAGATGAGATGGAGCTCCCCAAGCTTCAACTACGCAAGTGGGCGAGTGCCTGGTGTGGCTGCCTCAGGCAGAAAAGATGTTTTGTTTGCCTAGTTTGTTTGTTTCGCTGCGACTGGCAACAGACCTCCCCAACTCTCTTCTCTGGCGTGTCTTTGTCTTGTCTCTGACGTGTCCTGGACTCTCTCTCTCTGCTCTCCTATGCTGCACGCCACTCCCCATATCTTCGCGGGAGCATGTCCGTAAATGACTGCCAATCCAGCAATATGAACCCTTCACGACCCCGCGCGGCCTCCAGTCGCGTCGATTCCGACAAGTTTACTCCCGGGGATGAACCACTACAGCCCGAGAATATGGACCCCTTACGAACAAGCTCATCGGGACACAAGAAAGTCCCATCACGAGACATAAAACAATCCGAAAAGCGCACCGAGCGCACGGTGATCACAACCAGAGAGAAGGCGCAGGCGCGCACCAGAAATCCGGTCAAGGAATCTTCCAGTGCTGCAAACCGAGGAGATCCAAGGCAAAAAAAGACTGCGCCGGCCGATGCCGCAAGTCCAAATGCTCGGAAGAAGGGGAAGGAGACCGCTGACCGTTAGTATTCCAGCGCACAACGCCCTGTTGCATTCGGTGTATTGAGACGCAAGTGCTAACCATCGCTCGACTATACAGTGCCATGGGATCCGCAGGCCTCGTTGATTGCTCACTCAACCGCTCCGTTAGCATGTCGTGTATCAGTGCCTCCGCTGGCATCCGTGGTCCCGCAGTCGCTTCATCCCCGGCCGCTTCGCGAGCTATCATCTGACGCTCAAGAAGCTGCAATTCTCGAAGACCTTTTGTTTGTATTCATGGGGCTTGAGGGCCAATATATCCATTACCAAAGTACTTACAATCCTTCGGTTGAGAAGGACCGCCTGACTGGCCCGAGTTTCCAACTGGCACCAGGCTTGGACCCAACGCTGAGGGATCTCACCCAGTCAATGCTGAAGATGGCGACCCATTACAGCGCCATGGAAGCCTTTGTGGAAATTCAAAGTCGCGCCGAGTATGGAGCCGTCTGTCACGCGCTGTGCGCGTCCATCCGCAAACTACTCAAGGACTATCTCATCCTCATTGCTCAGCTGGAAGGCCAACTACTGAACGACCCCACATTCACGCTGCACCTCCTCCATCTCCACACGATTCCCACCAGCCAGTGTGTGGCCCAATTGTATTCTTTGGGCCAGGAACTTCTGCGACGAAATGGCCTTTTGGACCAGGACCTCGACGAGACAATCGATGACTTTGACGACGTCGATAATATTCTCGAGCAACTCAAAGAAGGAGGAGATTTGGTTCCCGGTGCCATGGCAAGCAGGAAAATCTGCAAAGGAGGCAACGTTCTGCGGTTATTGACTGAACGTCTCGCCATGTTCTCCGGTGATCCCACCACGAAGACTCTGTTGCAGACCCTACTTCGGGACGCCAGTCGGCCCTACATGAACATGTTGAATGAATGGCTGCACCACGGAGGCATCAAAGACCCTCACGCAGAGTTCTTGGTGAAGGAGCAGAAATGGATCAAGCGGGAGAAGCTCGAGGAAGACTATACGGATGAATACTGGGAGAAACGCTACACTATCCGAGACAACGAGGTTCCACCGCAGCTCGACAGTGTCCGAGACAAAGTTCTCTTGGCGGGCAAGTATCTGAATGTGGTTCGCGAATGCGGCGGCGTCGATGTCAGCAAAGCCGTCAAGGATGTGCCCAAGACGCTTGATGACCCGCGGTTTTTGGAGAATGTCAATGCGGCCTACACCCATGCGAATGCCTCCTTGTTGAATCTCCTTTTGACGAAGAATTCGCTCACGACTCGTTTCCGCTCTTTGAAACATTACTTCTTCCTCGATCGCTCGGATTTCTTCTCTTATTTTCTGGAGCTTGGTGCCTCAGAGTTGCGCAAGCCGGCGCGTGTGGTAAATGAGGGCAAGCTTCAGTCACTGCTGGACCTTGTTCTCCGCCAACCGGGCAGTATTGCTGCTCAAGATCCATTCAAGGAAGATGTCAAAGTCTCGATGAACAAGATCGGGCTCACGAAGTGGTTGATGCAGGTCGTCAGCGTTTCGGGGATCGATCAGGACAACCCGGAAGCCGCATTTGAGAAGCAGACGCCTGCATCCCAAATCGCCGAGGAGGACAAGGATATTGTCGGATTCGATGCGCTCGAGCTGGATTACTCGGTGCCATTTCCTCTGTCACTTGTCATCAGCCGCAAGACCGTGCTGCGGTATCAGCTCATCTTCCGGCATCTGCTGTCATTGCGCCACCTGGAGACGATGCTGGTCACGTCCTGGGCCGACCAGAACAAGACGACCTGCTGGCGGCACAAATCTTCAGATCCTCGGTTGGAGATGTGGAAACGCCGGGCGTGGAACCTGCGGGCGAAGATGCTTGTCTTTGTCCAACAGCTGCTCTACTTCTGCACGGCAGAGGTGATCGAGCCCAATTGGGTTGGACTGATGGAGCGTGTGAACGGTGCCGAGGGCGCTGAATTCAAGGGGTCAGCGGTGGAGTCGAAACAGGTCAATCGGACGGTTGACGAGCTGATGCAGGACCATGTGGATTTCTTGGATACATGTCTCAAGGAGTGCATGCTGACTCAGGCCAAGCTGTTAAAGGTAAATGGCTCTCTTTGGCGTTTGGAAGGAGACCGCTAACACCCAGCAGATCCATTCTAAGCTGATGACCTGCTGTACCATGTTCGCATCCTGGACGGCAGCATCGCTCTCCCGCGCCTTGGCCTCGGCCGACCAGGACCTGTCTGGAGACAAGGCCGGGGGCCCCGATGCGCGGGCGTATGATCCAACGCGCATCGGCAAGCTCGAAGACACACTCAAGCGGTACGAGGACCATTTCAACCGCCATCTGCGGATCTTGATGGACAGGTGGGTAGTTCCGCGTCTATTATCACTTCTTTCTCTAACTCGCCACTTTTTAGCTTGAATTATTTCGCTGCGACTGAAAGCGTGGTCCTTCTGAAGCTCGCACATTCTCTGAGCTCGATTAGCAAGGAGGATTGAAGCGCACGGCATGATACCCAGGACATATTCCCTCCCTCCTCATGAGCTCAGGACTCTCTGCTATTACTTGTCGTAAAGTAACCATACGACGCCCCACAGCCACCAGCGTCCAAACCTATCTGCTTCAGACATACGCCGAGTGTACCCTCCGTGCGGCATCGCGCCGTGATGTACTCCGGGGCAACAGCGTTTCTCCGATGCCTTGGCTATGGAGGGCGGTGGAGCTGGCTTAAGACCTGATAAGATAGTAGCAAGCGGGGATCAGTTCTCGCATGTGTATACATCGACAGGAACCATCCAAGTAGCAATCTACAATTTACCGCTGAAATCAGGAATGTGCCTACGTATAATAGGAAAATATTAGAATGTGATGGTGGTTGACCAGGTACATATTGCGCCGGCGGTGCCCGAAATGCCGCGATCACAGCCGAATTGTTTTTTTCTCCACCATATCGCGCGTATCTCACGTCATTAGACCCCGGTTGACTCCCGTCAGGCGTGCAACGAAATAAAAAGCGGCGCCATCGCAGAGGCGCACACCCTGGAACCAAACTCACTCCCCCCGACGCATCCCACCCGCGATGTCGACCGATTCCCTGAGCTCCGCCGTGCGCTCCCTCGCGCTCCCCCGCTCACTCACCCAGCATGACCGCCTTCCGCTCGTCCTTACCACTGCCGCCGCATTACTAGGCACCAGCGTTGTCGTCCCGGCCGCCTACCGCGACTATCGCACCTTTCGCTCCTACGGCGGTGGCGGCGTGCCAGACAATCTCCTGGGATGGCTGTACGTGCGCCTAGTCATGCAGCCGCTGGGCCGCGAAATGCTCAGCACGGACGTGTATGACCGGCGCATGGCAGCGGCCGAGGGCCACGGGAAGGGCGATGAGGGTTTTCTCACGGAAGAGCAGCTCAGCGCCGTGCGACGAACTGATGCACGGCCTGTCGTTGGACCGCATGTTTCGCCGCAGCGCCAGTTGACGCAGATCCCCGTGGAGCGCGTGCAGGAAGTGCGTACCCTATCCATATAACTACCCGCCTCTCTCTCTATAACTGCAGTGCTGATACGATAGATCGTGTCTAGAAATTCCGCGCAAGCTTCAGCTCCTTTGCAAACCGCAACTACCACCTCGTCAAGACAAACTCGTCCCTCCTCGAGGGCAACGCCGATGCCCTCTTCCTCGCCGCTAACCTCCCCGCCTCGGCCATTGCAACACGCATGCGCCGCGAGATTGCCAATCTGCACGATTTGTCCGATCACTCCGTGCATGCTGTGTTGTCGCCCGCTGATTGTACGTACAATCCTTCTCTCATGTGATATATCAAACTAATCAATCTTGTATAGGCAAACGAGTCATCGAAGCAGGATGGGGCCAGCGCCACGCGCTCTCCGGTCTCTCCAAATCGGCGTTTCTATCCTTGTTCGCGACCTCCGGGTGTGTACCGAATCTACCGCCAGAGTATCTGCTCATCTATGCGCCGCGCAACGAGGCGGAGATCGAAGTCGTCATGCAGATTATTGCTGCGAGTGTCAAGTTCATGGCCGGAAGGGAGGACGTGCGGTAACTTGTGCTTGAGGGCTGATGGATTTTTTCATGATTTATGTATTTGCAGGGTCTTCTTGCTTCGGAGTTTTTTTGGGCTGGTTGGCGTCGTGTTTGGATACCATGTGTTGTTGAACACACTTGGCAATAATAATTTTGTCTCTCTTTTAATTGTTGACATGCGAGGAAGCTCCTGTCAGATTGTTGCTTATAATTGGGCGTTTATATGTGTGTCATCCATGAGTTCGATCATTCAGTCGGTTCGGAGAGTTAGTGCGCTTCTTCACAGAGAATTTACCTGTCACCGTATCGTAGGATCGGATATAAAGATCTCGATGAATATATATAAGTGTGTTCATCAGTGGCTGATAACAGATCAATACGTTCTCAACTTTGGGTGCAGTGTCAAAGTAACACTGTCTTGCTGAAGAAACGCTATATAAACCTCCGACTGGCCGAAAGAGACTAAACAAGAGATTAGTTCAGTGGAACTCCAAAGTCTACGACCCACATACCTATTTAGGTAGGTGTTAAGTAGCCAAGGTATGATGATCCGGACAATAAATTCAACTTATATAGTCCCCCGGCATACGTGCACATTCAATAATACATAATTTTGTGCACGGCAAAGAAGCACTTGCTTCGAGTCATAACAATATTCCAACAAGCCACGCTCCGAACCGACGCGCTGGTTCATCCACGCTGGCAGTGGAGATTCAACACGTGGAGGACTGGGATTGTGACACATAGCGAAACACCCTCGGGGGGTCGCCGGAAAACCCCTAATCCTTCTAGTGTACAAAATGGGGTTTGAAAAGCAAGCAGGGGCAAAAAAGGTATCTACAATCTTGCGAAGGAAGTTAGTTAATAGAAAGGGGCTGGAAGTGACATGGTATGTATTATCTAATTACGTAATCCCACTCTTTTCCCGGTATACTTCCAGGGCAATGGATAAACGCCTAAATTATACCTTGGCGAGGACCGCCGGCCCTATACCGAAAAAGCACCGACTGGGACCGGTGTGATGGCACCGCGGCACTATGACATACTGGATGGAGTACGGCAATCGATGTGTAGTAGTGTTGGATACAGATCCTGGAGTCGATCATTGAGTTTGGCTTGTGTTTCCCTAGAACCGGGACGACACTGGTTTTTTGAATGAACTTCTGACTGATGATTATTTAATTGCTACCACGTATTAACAATGTACATACTACATTACCACAGATCAATGCTGCTTTTTCCGACAACCCTGTCGGCCCACGCTGCCACAGGCTCAACCTTACCTCCTCCAGCCAAGGGGCCTTACCGCATGGCCCCCTCGAGGCTGAGGTGTCTTCCCGAGGTGTGAACCACTCTGTCGGGTTCAGTGAAAACACCCAACACGGCATAGTGCGCTGGTCAACGGCCTCGCAATTAAAAAATCAATTTTTTTTTCTAACAAGAAAGGAGACCCGACACGCCGGGTGGTTTTCTGCCCCGTGGGTAACGTGCATGAACGTTCGTACGAGTGCAGGAAATCAGGCGTGCAGAAATACATGACCCGAGAATCTAGTAGCATAGTACTTTTGTCAGACAGCAACTCTGACTATTAACTATTTTTTGCTGTGAAAGGCAAGGCACACGGTGGTAAAAGCCCGACCACCCAGCCAGCCCGCCCACCCAGTCCACCCAGCGAAGTGGTTAGACTCCCGGAGGGTTGTTGGCGTGGCGCGTGCGGACCTACACTCTGCTGGGCCGCCGAGAGTCAGTAAGTGGATCCGAGCCCCCCGATCCTCTGTGATGCGTCAGGTCCGATTCGGAGATTTGCCCCCAGGATATCCAATGCGGCCAGCTCGGTTGGGAAGTTCCAAGGCTTTTCGACGGTGGAGCCTTTCCGACGGTGTGTCTGTGTCTTTGCACGGAGAAGGAGAAAGAGAGGAATATGCTCCACGGGCGAGCGCGGACTTCCTTTCTCTCGGGATGGAGATGATTTCCGTTCGGCAGGGCCTGCCAACAAAAAACCCACTAGGGTACATGTATGCATGCATGCATGCGTGGCGTTTCGGTCAAATGGGATGCAAGCCAGTATGTAACGGTCTGCTATTTCGAGACATATTGGATGTTGAGGCAAAACTCGGCGGCGCTGGCCGCACAGCCAGTCCACGCAGTCGGGTCCAAAGACCAAGACCACGTCGGAGAAGCGGTGAGAGGGATAAAAAGGAATCTTACCCACAAAGCAGGATCCCGAGGGAATGGAGCCCAACGAGGATGTCGCTGATCTTAGGCCATGGACACTGTCCGAGCCCCACTCTCCAGTTCGACGGAGTATTTTTGGATGTTGTCATCAAGCCGAGTAGTGTCAATTAGAGTAGTGCTCTGGCCGGCTGAAAAAGACCCCCTTGGGCACACCGGTGGGACGTAGTTAGAGAGCGCGCGTAAAGATTAGTCCTTGTTGGCCCTGGAGCCTCTCCGAACTGTATTCTGTTGTTTCGAAAACGAAACATTGTCTCCAAACCGCTGGGTTCTTGTCCACTGACAGCGGGAACAGATCCATTTTTCGGGCCACTAGAATCCGAAAGAATGTAGGGCTTGCCTGACTCGCGTGCAAGCAAGGACTGGCTCAGATCTGAATCTCCGTCTTTTGTGAAGGCTCGATCAGTTGGGATATTTGGCTCCCTGGTTCACCCTCGCATCAGGGACGGCCTGTCATTTGTCTTTTATTTTGGTATCGGTCCTAATTACATCATCTTCATTTGTCTGCTGTCGAATATTTTGATCGGAAAGGGAAGTGGATAGACTCTGAATCATTTTCGTAAGCTCGCGCCTTAACCGCTGCAGAACATCGGGCCCCCGAGTTTCAACTAGCCCGAAACATGGGTTGGGTAATGATGCCCCAGTGAGACGCAGCACAAGCGGTAGGGCCGGGATACGCTCGATCCACACAGTCGGGCGTCCTTGGACCCTCGAAACCCAGTAGTGCAAGACGGCAGATGGCGGTGCATCATTAGCTGATGGCTCAACCCCTTGGTCAAGGTTCATTAGCCTGACCTTAACAAAACACTCGTTACTGCGAATCCTAGTGTCAGTCACGCTAGCATATTGCTTGTGAACTATTCACGCTTCGGCTACTCTGCCGACCCGCTCTTTTGTTTTTTTTTTTTGCTTTTTTTTCTCGGTCCTTTTGGGTCTTGCTCGCCGGTCCGTTTCTCAGGACACAAAAGTAGAAAGAAGCATCTGTCCTCATCGCTCAGGCTCGCGTACTGTAGTAGTTCACGGTGGCAAGACATGTGATTGGAGACCCTCAGAATTCCCTAGAAGGAACTCAGTCATCCGAGCAAGACACTGAGGAGACATCACGGCTTATATCCAGTGTTCGCACACGAAGTCTCTTGCCGAAGAGACTGCCCCGACGTTCGGCCCTCGACCTTTGCTCCTTAGGTTCTTGGTCATTTCCAGGATTGGAAAGAATTCTGCTGAGCTCAGGAGACACATCCCGAATTAAGCGGAGTGTTGGCCCATCTATACCTATTAGTACATACCATGTATGACTGGGGCCACTCATACATCCCTCAGCAGTCGGCCACGAAGGGTGAATGATTCTCGCGCGAGCCGCCATCGTTCTCCGAGAATTACCTACTGCTGGTGCCGACGTTTTCCACACAGCACCCGAGGATTTCCAGCAAATCCAAATCTCATCAATCCCGCTTCCGTTCCTCCGTCAGAAGCCCTTCCATTCGATACACACCTCCTTCCATCCGGAAACCCCAACTCTCGCCCTCGACAGAAAGGACGATCTAACCAGACCCAGAATCCAAAAACGGCCAGGAGAGAGCCAGAGATACCATGACGTACGGCTATCTTCTTTCCCGCCCCCTGTTCAGGACGAGACAAGCACTGACGTTATAAATTTTGTTTTTCAAAGGAGTCCGGATGCGCAGACAGTAGAATTGGACCGCGAGTTTCTTGATACCATCACGGTTCAGGGTCGTGAGTACCAAAAATACGCAATCGATCACCGCATCTACTTTGGACCGGTAGACGAGGTAAGGCAAAAGAGTATTATGCACGGCTTTAGGCCTTCATACTGACGGACACTTCTCGCTGGCTCTAGGAAGAAGCAGCACGTCTCGAGATGCAGCAGCGGGTCTTCCACCGAATCTTCGATCACCGCCTGATCTTCCCACCCATTTCTCAACCTCGGCGGGTGCTGGATTGCGGCCACGGGTCCGCATCTTGGGCCGCTGAGGTTGCTGAGCAGTACCCTGATTGCGAGGTAAGTGGCACGCTCCGTCCCGAATACTAATAATCATTAAGACTGGTGTGTTCAAAGGTCATCGGCATAGATATTGCCCCGCACATGAGCCCGGACAATGTGCCAGAAAATTTGTGGCTCCAGGTAAGTGATTCGTCTAGTTGGGTCCGACAGAGTGCTCTGGGCGAAGAAACAGAGGCTTTTTTGGCGTAATAACCATGCCCGTGCCAAAGTCATCGTTGTTCAGAATGGTCGCTAACGAGCCGTCGGATAGGTCGACGACTTGAATCGGACGTTCACCTTCCCCTCCAAGCACTTCGACCTTGTGCATTCCAGACTGCTTGCGACCGGCATCAATCGAGCTAGATGGCCGTCCTATGTCCGTGACATCGCCAGGTGTGACGCCCTCCTCTGCAGTGGACTGAAGCCCTGCAGTAAGCCCTTTCGTGGTGGAAGCCGCCCATCGCTGACACATTCCATCTTGAAGGGTTCTCAAGCCAGGAGGCTGGGTTCAGATGGTCGAGATCTATTACAACGTGCAGTCTGACAACGGCTCGCTCACGGACGAGAATGCCCTGAGAAAATGGAGCACGCAGTACATGCGCTCCTTGGAGGACAGGAAGGACCTCCGAATCGGGTCGAAACTGCGAAACCTATTGACAGAGGCGGGCCTTGTTGAAGTCGACTTGAAGATGATCCCTCTGCCTCTCTGTGGGTGGTCCAATGGTGCGTGTTTTGACCCTTCTGTCGTAAGCAGCAACAGCTCGCTGACTTGAACCCAGACCCCAGAATGCGGGAAATTGGTCGATCCAACTGCGAGAACATCAGTCAGATGCTTCGAGATCTCGCTCTGTATCCGCTCACCCGACGCTTGCATATGACGACAGCGACTTTTGATTCTCTCGTGGCGCAGGCCCAGGAGGAGGCGAGAAACCATAGTTTAAAGCCATATTTCCCACTGTCTGTATCACCCCGAGAAAGTCACGCGCAAAATTTCTGACAATACCAGGTATGTTTGCATCGGTCGCAAGCCATAGGATGTGCCTTTGTGTCTAGCGAGTTTGTGACTGTTGACGATGAGCACTGGCCTCGTCGTCGCTTGTCCCAGTTGTTTTTGTGCTTTGCATGGAGGTATGCATATATATGTTGATTTAGCGGAAGACATGGGTTAGTCAAGCCAGTTTTATTTACCAATTGCCTCGCTCTGCCACCTGCTGAAGTCCCCTAGTGGAGGAGACCTCAGAAGTCGAGAAGTAATTCGACACTGGAGTTGTATGGTTCCAAGGCACACTCTGCTTGTGGGCTGCCTGAGTCTCCTCTAGCGTGACAGGTAGCTCGTAGTGTCATCCCCCGTTCACCACACAAACACCGACGGACCCACGGGTCTCATCAGGATGCTTGATGCTCCGTCGTCGCGGACTGACGGAAGCTGAGCTTTATCCAGAATCTTCCAATGGCCGGCCTCGACACGCGTTCGAGGAACATAGGGTCCAGGGGGCTGCGGCCCGTGTGAGCCGATCGATCGGCCGGCAATCGCGCTGGGGATCTTGGGTCGGCCCGACCATACCTTCTGGGGAAACATGCGATTAAGGCTCCGGCTGTGGCTGAGGTCGGTGGGCCGACCAGCCGTTCATGCTGTTGATGAAGCAAGAGAATGCGAGACGGAAGAGGAGAAACAAGCGGGAAGAAGGGGCTGTCGGGAAGGGTCAGTTCGATCCATACCGCCGGTATCTGCCCCTTGGGAATCGAAGCCTGGGCCGCTGGCTCTGGCCATCAATCACAAACACAGGGTCATATTTTACCCTCTCCGAAAAACTAGTATCCGATTCCCTCAAGAGCTCCCTCCCAGGAGCAAACGAGACGTTCGATTAGAGTTCGCCGGGCATGTTTAGATCGGAAGGGATTAAGGAGGGATCGGGAATAGAGACATGGCCAGATAAGACTTGGTCTGAGGCGCCATTTCTCGGAGAGAACAAGCGGGTGATCTGAAAGGGGTTTGATGTTGTTGCTGCGAAAAAGTACAAGACGGGAGCAAACAAAGACAATTGTCCTGTTGGGCAGAAACATGGTAGTAGTCATGATTTTCCTACACCGTCTCAACTCGTCTCAGGTCGTCTCATCAGTGATGACCTGCATATTTAGCTTCATAACTAGATACCTGATATCAATAGGTGTATTGCAAGATGTGTTAGGAACCCTTCCGTGGTGCATCAGCCTAGACGTCCGCCTGTTCTAGAGGATCACTAGTTCACTATCATGACCATGAAGCTGGGGGAACAACTTATCAAAGAAGAAAAATATCGTTCTCTTGGTCTCAATCTGGACGGTAAATGCTTTGAGAGTGTGCTTAGAGGCTTAGACTGCCTGATAGAACGGACGGTGAGAGGACCAAAACGAGTCTATTCTGTTTAAAAAGGAGACGCTAGTGGCATAGTTCCTCTTATCAAGCTTTTGTCAGATTCCAGGCTCGAAGGTCTTTATCTATCCAAATTTTTCTGTTCATCACTAGTGTCTAGACAGCCACAGAAGCACAAAGGACCATGTGGTTGACACCTCATTTTTCGGGCACCACTATTACCTAAACAGGAACAGCGGCGGGACAAAAAAGTTCTTGGGAATTTGTCGCTCGACTTCTCCAACCACCTCAACACCCTGAGCAAGATGCCGTCGACTTACAAGAAGGACAAGCCGTGGGATACGGATGATATCGACAAGTGGAAGGTATGCGCTCTCGTCGAATCTAATTCCAAGGGAAAAAACTGACAGGCTCCGCGCTCCCATCCAGATCGAAGAGTTTAAGCCCGACCACAATGTGGGCGGCAGCTTCGCAGAGGAGTCGTCATTCATGACTCTCTTCCCCAAATACCGCGAGGTGTATCTGAAGGAAGCCTGGCCGGCTGTGACGCTAGCGCTGGAGAAGCAGGGGATCGCCTGCACCCTGGATTTGGTAGAAGGTAGCATGACAGTGAAGACAACACGAAAGACCTGGGATCCGGCGTCGATCCTGAAAGCGCGCGACCTGATCAAACTACTTGCGCGAAGCGTTCCCGCATCCCAGGCAATGAAGATTCTCCAGGACGACGTGGCGTGCGACATCATCAAGATCCGCAACCAGGTCCGGAACCGAGAGCGATTCGTGAAGCGACGGCAGCGGATCCTGGGGCCCAACGGCTCAACCCTCAAGGCGTTGGAGTTGTTGACTAGCACCTACATCCTGGTCCAGGGAAACACGGTGGCGGTGATGGGTCCGTTCAAGGGCCTGAAGGAGGTGCGCCGCGTGGTGGACGATTGCATGGCCAACATCCACCCGATCTACTACATCAAGGAGCTGATGATCAAGCGCGAGCTGGCCAAAGACCCGACGCTGGTCAACGAGTCGTGGGACCGGTTCCTGCCCAACTTCAAGAAGCGCACCCTCTCCAAGCGCCGTGTCCCTCATACGGTTACCGACAAGTCCAAGAAGGTCTACACTCCCTTCCCGCCCGCCCCGGAGAAGAGCAAGGTCGACTTGCAGATCGAGTCTGGCGAGTACTTCCTGTCCAAGGAGGCCAAGGACCGCGCCCAGAAGGAGGAGGTGGTCGAGCGCCAGCGCGTGAAACGCGAGGAGAAGATGCGCGAGCGCGAGAAGGACTTCATTGCGCCCGAGGAAGAACTCCCCGTCGATGCCGAAGCAGAGAAGAAAAAGAAGAAGGAGAAGAAGGAGAAAAAGAAGCGGAAGCGCGAGGCCGAGGCCGAAGCCGACGGAGACAATGCTGTCGAGCGGAAGGAAACGAAAAAGAAGAGAAAGAGCAAGAGCAAGGAAGCGTCCTCCGATGCAGAGGAGTAAGCATCTCTTCTTCTTTCTTCGGTCTTTGGCGCTTATGGCTGAGCATGGATCTGGCGTTTCCTGTTTCTCGTTCCGTGTGATCTCTTTTATCAGTTGTTGTACAAAATATATAAGTATCAAGCAGATTATTATATGCCTTTGGTGCTCTATCTCATGCACGTAGATAATTTGTGCATCCATTACCCTAGTGAGCCATCCCAAGAACAGGATGAGCTCAATCTAGAGATGCGCAGCGTAAACTTCATTGCGGCCCATTCTTCGAACTTCTTGGAGAATTGGCTCCCCTCAATGATCAGCGCATTGGCTCAGCAAGATTAAACCGCATCACTCTGCTCCGCCAGGGGGTCTTCTGTTCCTCCGCACCGACTATGCCCTCCTGCTCGTCTGCCATGCCCATTTCATGCGCAAATGTCCCGCGCGGCACCCACTTAGCACTCGTCCTAGGCGTCGACTCCTCGAGCATCTTATCCACCTGCTCCAGTGTGAGGCCGTTCGTCTCCGAGATGACGAAGAAGGCAAACAGGAAACATAAGAAGAGCGCACTGCCCCAGACAAAGAACACCTTGACACCCAGATTGCCCTTGTCCTTGTCAACGATATATGGCGTGATGGTGGCAATGACACAGTTCCAGAGCCAGTTCGAGGCCGTGGAGAGAGCGACGCCTTTGGCTCAATTTGGGAGAGGATAGATCTCGCCGATGACGACCCATGCTGCGGGACCCCAGGTCATTGCAAATGCGGCGACGTAGCAGCAGGTAAATACTATCAGACACATGTTTCTGTGGATGGAATGGTCAAGGGTTTGATCATTAATATATCACGTTGTGTAGTTACTTACGTCGCATGGCCTGTGATATCGGCAATCCCTACGATGGCGACGATGAACTCGCAGATACACATGATGCAGGCTCCCCAGAGAAGTAGAGTTCGTCGGCCGAATTTCTCGATCATGTAGAAAGACGCTGGGGTGGTCACCACGTTGACAGTGTTCATGATGGTCGACATCAAGAAAGCGTTGGACATGCCGACTTGCTGGAAGAACGTGGTACCATAGTAGACTAGGCACGGCCAGGTTTCCCTTCTAAAATTCAATAATTATTCACTTACAGATGAAGTTAATACCAGTCCATTGCTGAAACATCTGCAAGGACGTCCCAGCAACAACTCGACGCAGATTCCCACTAGACGCCAAGCCACCTTTAAAGCAATCAGCCCAAGAGCTGCTAGAAATCTGCTTCTCATACTCGAAATTGGCTTTGATCTCCGCCAACTCAGCTTGGGAGTAACTAATACGCCGCAGATTTCAAGATAGGTAGTGGGAGAAACATGTCGTACCAGACCGGATTCGAAATGAAACCCGACGGCGTACAAGGGGAAGTGGCGGGCAACACAACATGTCCGCTTACGGTATACTAGTCATTTGATACCGGGATGGACATCAGGTAAGAACGGAGTATCGAGGGCCACTGTGTCTAGGAACTGGGGTTAGTTTTCGCGGGTTATCCATCTAAAAAAGGATGAATTGTGATTTCTGATGGAGTGATCTGTGTAATTTCTCCAATGTAATATTCACTGCCAAGTAAAGTGGAATTTCGGCGTATTTCCTGATACATGCACAATATGTTCATCATGAAAGTCATCAAAATGTATGTAGAACTGTCCAGACGGGGTCAAATTTCAAACTGTTGAAGACGTCTCTCCTTCAGAAGACATGTCACTGCCTTCCAGTTTCCGCAATTTATCCTGCAAGAACGTCTCTTGCTCAATGCGACTCTGCTTGAGGTCCACGAAGAAGACAAGGACGATGAAACTAAACACGCTGAGCGCGAAAAGGAAGTAGAACGGGGTCGAGGGGTTGTGGGTTGGCGATGCATCAATGATAGCGCTTGAGACAATTGGTCCGATGAAAGAGGAGGTCTTGCCGATAATGCTGAAGAGACTGAAGAAGAGGAACTCATGACCGCGCGGAGTGACTTCGGAGATCATAATCTGCGAGTAACTGTACCACGGACAAATAAACAGCCCGTAGAATGTTTGGTAGACCTATACAATATATCAGCTAATGTTCACACCGCCAGTCAGAAAAAAGACATACCCAAACCTCCCAGACATTGTGGAACCCGAATTTGTCCGTCCAGATTCCGATCATGCCCCAGCCATCAAGCAGGATGATTCCAAAGGCAATCGCGTTGAACATGGCTTTGGTGCCCAGCTTGAAACGCTGTTGGATCCACCAAAATGAATAGATGCCGACAGCCTGCGCGGCAATACCGACGATCAGAAGGTATGTCAGCTTCAGGGTGTTGTAGGCGACGATGCTGTTCTGTAAGGTCGAGATGACGGTCACAGTTGTGTTGAGGGAATCTCCCAGCAAGAAATACCCTATTGACGGGTTAGAAAATGATTCAAGAATATCATCAAAAACAGCCGTCACTCACCAATCAGATATATCAGGCTTTGTTTCAAATGCCAGATCTGTCGAACTGCGTGCCAGAGCTGCCAAATGCCCGCAACAAGAATCGACCGCTTGCCCGGGTCTTGGCCGGGCCGGCGTTTCTCCATGAAGAACCACGGCAAAGAAACCAACAGCCACACGCCCGAGACGAAGGCGATGAGCACACTGAGACCCCAATTGTTGTTGGCCTGGCTAGCATCCACGTCGAGTCCGAACATGATCCCCACAATGATGGCCAGAATAACAATCTCAGTAACCGATTGAACGACAAATGCAACGTTGGACAATTTGCTTCGCATCATCGTATCGGCATAATCGTACTGGTCGCGAGTGATTTGGCCCGACACATATTGGTTGGCCACTTCCTTCATATGGGCGGTGTTGCGCGCCAGACCCGGGAACGCGGCGGTCCAGAAGGTTAGACACGTCTGATAGGCGATTAAACCCACAATATACAATCCCACGCCGATATGCCACTGGTCCGCGGTGTGCACACCCAGCCAGCCGAAACCGATCCCGTAGGCGAAGAGAGACAGGATGATCAGGATATTAGGGCGCCAATAGCCGAAGTCGGCGAAACTACCGATCGTAACGAACACGACGATCTGGATGGCAAAGGAGATTCCATTGCTAAGCAGGACAATGCTGTTTATGCTGCGCAGTTCTCCCGCAAAGGACAGTAGCCCGCTGGTCGGAGCGGCCTGATACAACAGGTTTTGGAAGGCTGTGGGCGCAAAGTCTATATTCGGGATGCAAGTCAGCTTATGCGCCCAGAGTGAAAAAAAAAAAAAAAAAAAAGAGACAGAGAGAACGAAAAACTGACTGAATAGCGACAGGCCGTTGTTGCCGATGTAGTAGCTACAGGGGGGTTTAGTTCTCCGCACAGCCAACTCGATAAACCACGCACGAATAGTAGGCCCAGATTTCTTTCTGGGTGGTGCGGTATTGATCGTCGAAATGATCGGGCGCAGTGGGCTTGTCCTCAGCCGAGGGACTTCTGGCCGAAGCCACCTCGTCAGAGGTCAGGATGGTGTCCTTGCCCTGTTCCTGGTCCTGGTCCATATTTTCAGCGGGCGTGGTGTTTTACTGCGAGAGGTCTCACGCAGGATGAAGAAGGAAAAACGAAAAAAAGGAAGGAAAAGGGGAGTTTAGCGACTTTTCGCCACGATTTAAATGAGTTCCCCCGACCGTCCGAGCCCCGCGAAGGAAACTCAAAGCCACGGGGAGGCGCCTGCCGCTTGCGTTGGAATGCGGCTGCCGATCGCGATAGCCTAACCTTCCCGGGCCTAGTCGCTCTTGGGTTGCTGCCGCTTGGACACCCAGCCGGGACCATGGATGCCGACGTTTCATGCTAACTCGGCTCGGGGAGACCGGAAACTGCCCAGGAAGGGAAGAAAGCGAAATCAAGCCCCCGGAAAAAATTGAACAATTACGATCCTGTCAACCACGCCAGGAAGAAGGAAGAAATGGTGCCATGGAACCCCAACCAAGGCTGCATTTCCAGATAGACCGATTCACCGAGGCTCATACAGCTGCTGTTATGAATTAGAGAAAGCTGTAGAAGGCTGATTTCGACTCATACAATTGTAGTGCTCGAGAAAAGAAAACGGTGAATCTCCCACTCCAGCCAGCGTCTCACCTGCGGCATTTTCACTACATGCGGCATTTTCACTAGATGGGACATCTCTGACACGGAGCGCGCCGTTGAAAAAAATGTAACCCATATGCATGAAATGCTAGGGCTATGTCGAATAGGACTGTTGTCTGGGGGATATAGGCGTGCTGGCCATTCTGGTGTGTGATTTACCCCGAATCTAGTTGTGGGGAGACAACGTGATTCCGGGGTGTCACTATAACTCGCCTTACTCATGAGCCACTTCCTAAAAAGGATCTACTCCTCCTTTTCCAATACTTGGTGATTGCTTCGGCATTAATTCATATTCTGCGTCGCTATTCATCAATCCGTTGGAGCCGTCACCTTCATTTAGAGCTAGCAGCTCCTGGATGACAACGGACAAGGTTAGCGCAGCCACCGTGTGGGTCTGTGCTGCACTAGCCCCTTACGGTAGCTAACCCATGAGCCGGAGGCTGCTTCCAAGGAAGGTTATGCGTGCGTACTTGACAACCCAGAGTAGAGACTGTACCTTGTGCGATTGTTAGAGATCAGAAGTCCACCATCTCCTGAAAATAGGCCAGATTTTTATTCTACGTGAAATTGCTGATCGGCAACTTGAGTCAGTGAGTCTCTCAGGTGGATAGGCCGGGGGTACTGCGCAACTACAGTTCTGCCTTACAGGTAGTAGAAAGTCATGCTGTATAATCGGTTTTTGCGATCGGTTTTGGAAAAGGGTTGGGGCACTATAGATTGTAGAACATCACATCAAATACACAACATTCGGATGGGCGTATTTCAGCCTCTACTTCACGGTATCTGTCCTTTTGATTGTACAGTAATGTCTTTATCGAACAACTTCGGTATGCCAAGGCTCTGTCCCAGGCATAGCGACGATATCCTATGCTGGTATGCTATCTGCTGGCTTGCCGAATAAGTACTACCACCATGCCTGCCTGCATCCTCAAGCGCTTAGAGCTTAGCTTTGCCGCTCTCAATCTCCGACCAGCTTTGATCGTTCAGTTTCTCATAGATTGTGCCGTTCAGCCAGTACAACTTGTCCCCTGCCCAATCTTGGCGAGGATCCCAGCCCTTCTTGACGAGATCGCCCTTCGCTTGTTTGAACGTGACGCCTGTTTCAACTCTAATTCGACAATCAGCAAATAGGTCACAGAAATAGAAGGGACCAAGGGAAACTTACTTCTCCGTGATACGCACTAGGCGAGGAAGTGCGTATGAGGGAACACCTTTCTTCCTCAGCGCGCTGTACAAGTTTGACATGAGATCGGCTTCGGCGGCCGAGGAATGTTCTTCGAGAGTAATGCCGGCAGCGCCAGCTTGGCCATCATATCTGAAGACACAAAAATTGTTACAAAGGCTGACTTGACAGGAAGAATGCAGACTTACCCGCCCAGCTTGACGCCATACACCACGGCATCGTGAACCCCATTAATCCGACAAACGTGATCCCGGACTTCACCTGCACTGACATTCTCTCCTTTCCAGCGAAATGTATCACCAACACGGTCTTGGAACTTGACCCATCCAGATTGATCTTGAACAACAAGATCGCCTGTGCACTGAAAGAGGTCGCCCTTTTGAAAAACATCACGGATGAGCTTCTTCTCAGTAGCCTCTTCGTTGTGCAGATACTCTGTGAGCAGGCCCCGGTCACGCACACGGCCAATGGCCTCACCCTCCTCACCAAGACGAGCACGAACACAGAACCCAGTCTCGGGATCGCGGTACGGCATCTCCGTCTCAGTATCATACTTGACTATGAATGTGTCGTCCTCGAGGAATCGACGGATTGGGCCCGAGAAGCCTACTTTCCCAGCACCCCAGGCGCTGACACCGTGGTTGTCGAACTTGGCCAAACCCTCCGTGGAGCGGTAGAACTCTCGGATTTCGGGAACGCCGAATCGCTGACGGAAGCGTTCCCAGATCTCGCCGCGGAGGCCATTGCCCGCGGCCACGATGCAGTTGTGGTTACGGTCGTATGGGGATGGCGGCGTGGATAGTAGATAGCGGCATAGTTCGCCGATGTAGAGAATTCGGGTTGCGCGCGAGTCGTGGACATCTTTCCAGAATTGCGAGGCGGAGAACTTTCGTCTCAGACACAGCGTTCCGCCGTTGCCCACGGAGTAGCATACCCCTGTGAAGAAGGCCGTGCCGTGAAACAGGGGCAGAGACGAGTACGTGCGGAGCGGGGAGTACTTGGCCCGGTTGTTCGCATCTGCTGGAAGGGTGTTTGAGGTTATCAATGCCAGCATGTTGCGTACGGCACAGGCTTTGGGCTTGCCCGTGGTGCCGGATGTATAGATCAATGCGGTTAGATCGCGGGGAGTACGTTTCGCACATGCCAGTCCGGTTGGAGAGAATTGTTGCAGGTCGGTTGAAGTAATGAGTTCGACAGCGCCGGTGGAAACATCTTCGAACGATGATAGATTGAATGCCAAGTGTGGTAAATCGGCGTAAACATGTTGTGACAGGTCTGGGGTTGAGATAATGAACTTAGACCCGGACACAGTCAGGCAGTGGATGAATGTATCATCTATTCGAGTCATTAGAGTTTTGTTTTCTTACACTTTTGGGGAGAATCGCGTACCTCGGAGGTTGGTGTTAATCATGGCAGCCACCGCTCCAAGCTTTGACAACGCGTAGAGAATAATGACCATCTCGGGCGAGTTGGTTGTGAAGACGCCCACGAAGTCCCCAGTCTTCATATCGCGAGCATGCAACAAAGCCGCAAATCGATCAACCACTGTAATACCAATTAGTCGTTATACTTAATATACAAATTTTCAGCACTGACATTCTTTCAACTGGCTGTATGACCATGTTTTGTGCTCGAACCAGAGCGCATCGGCTGCGCCTTGCCCTTCAACCTCGACCACCCGTTCTAGCATCTTATAGATGGTCGTAGAGTCGCCCAGCTGAGCTATGCGCTCACCCAGTCGGGCTGCGAAGGCGCGATCGCCGGCAAGCTGTGAGAGATCGGTGGAGATGGAGAGCTTCGCATTCAGATAGGCCCCGGCGGCCACCGACAGAGCGGATGCCATGGCCACAGTGGGCGCGCTGACTTCGGAAAGCAGGTCCATTGTGCAGAAGCCAGATGGGAAAATTGTTATGGCAATGGACAGGATGAAGCTCCGTAGGGAGGTGTACAATCTATCTATACATAGCCTCCCCCGAGGGCCGGAGTCAGGAGGCGGATGCGAGTAAGGGTCAATCTGCCGTTGATGACACCCATTGCCAATGGTCTGGTTCCTGGCACGTCTCCAGTTGACTTCTGTGAATTACCGTCTATTCCCCGTATTTCAGGGGCCATGTCATCGAAGGAGCACCGGGGGACGATTGTGGGGAGAACGAGATGTATCAGATGTGTAACGTCTATACAGTCCCCACAGTCAGAGTCTTGGCGCTTTACCCCAGGTTTTGAGTGTTCAATTCGATCTTTCACTCAAACAAGCGAAGAAAGGAATAGAGAGAACTCAATGTTCCAGCTTCAGCTATCTGAGAGCCCTTAAATGTGGTTTTGCATAGAGATAATGGTGAGAATCAGGCTGCGCTAGATGTGTAACATGCTTCTATTTCCACCAATGAGAGCCAAACATCGAGAGCCGAGGTGGACAGTGTAACGGTATCATACATCATCAGGTCCGAGCAGAACGGCATTTACATCGGCTATCCGATGCCGTTCAGAGCTCACTCGGCGGACATACAGCTCGGCTCGGACAAGACTGCGTAATCGCTCGGTCCTTTCTTTTAGTCACAAGTCCAGGAGCCGCGGCTCATTCCCCACGCCCCCAGAAGAATAAATAATATAACGCGCCGGAGTCGTGGGGAAACTGTTCTCCCATTTTCTGACCGCATTTTAACTGCTATACACCATGTCCTCGCCACAGCAACGGCTCACCTCTGTCGCAAACCAGCTATCCACTCCTGGAGCTGCGCGCCAGAAGCTTCTCGCGAAAAACCCGGATGATGTGGTATGTACTTTCCGCCGCGCAAGCGCAATTGGGGAGGCTAATGGAATGGATCGCAGGTTATCACCTACCTGGCCCGTACGCCGCTTACCAAGGCTCGGAAGGGTGGATTGAAGGACACGGCGCTGGATAGCCTCCTAATTTCCCTCTTGACGGTATGTTGCTTTTAATTTGTGGTAGAAACGCTCTCTGACTGGGAGCCCAGACTGTTCGGGAAAAGTCCAATATCGACCCCAGCCTCATCGAGGATGTCTGCGTGGGCAATGTCCTCTGTCCCGGCTCTGCCTATGTCGCCCGCTCCGCCGTCCTCGCTGCTGGCTTCCCCGTGACTGCGGCTGCCTCGGTTGCGAACCGTTTCTGCTCGTCGGGTCTGCTGGCCGTTCAGAACATTGCGAACCAGATCATTGCTGGGTCGATCGACGTTGGTGTGGCTGTGGGTGCGGAGAGCATGAGCACCAACGCCGACGGCGGCGCCCCGGAGATGTCTGAGAAGATCACATCGCACCCTCTTGCCTCACAGAACGCCCAGCCCATGGGACAGACCTCGGAGAACGTGGCTGCACAATTCAATATCTCGCGCGAGCAACACGATCGATTCGCAGCGAACAGCTTCCAAAAGGCCGAGCGTGCCCAGAAGGCCGGTTGGCTCAACGACGAGATCGTCCCGGTGAAGACTCAGATCAAGGACCCCAAGACCGGCGAGGTGAAGGAGGTCGTGGTTGACAGGGATGATGGCATCCGCTACGGCACCACCGCCGAGGGACTGGGCAAGATTCGTGCTGCCTTCCCACAATGGACCCCCAGTGCCACCACGGGCGGCAATGCCAGTCAGATCACGGACGGCGCCGCGGCTCTGGTGCTGATGAAGCGCTCGCGGGCGCAGGAGCTAGGCCAACCGATTGTCGGCAAGTTTTGCGGTGCTACGGTGGCGGGTCTGGAGCCCCGGATCATGGGTATTGGGCCATCGATCGCGATCCCCAAGATTCTCAACAAGTTTGGCCTGAGCAAGGACGAAATCGACATCTTTGAGATTAACGAGGCTTTTGCCTCGATGGTAAGTAGGGAGGACACGATCCTTGTGTGGCAGTGGATGTAACACATGAGCTAACCTGTATGCGGGCAGGGTGTCTACTGTGTGAGCAAGCTCGGCTTGGACGAGTCCAAGGTGAACCCGCGGGGCGGTGCCATGTAAGTCATGTTCGGGTCGAGCAAAATATCAGTCACTGACTCGCGGATAGCGCTATCGGCCACCCCTTGGGCGCGACAGGTGCGCGCCAAGTGGTCACTGCGCTGTCGGAGCTGCGCCGACAGAACAAGCGGGTCGCGGTGACCTCGATGTGTGTCGGAACGGTAAGTCACTCTCCTGTTATCGAATGCGGCGATTCTAATCTGTGACAGGGCATGGGCATGGCTGGTATTTTTGTCTCGGAGCACTAGAGTCAGGGTGATACGATGCTTGTATATATTTGAGAAGTACATATGATAAGTGAAATGAATGCATGCTCGTCCATATGGAAGATCGGCTTTGCGCATGGAATATAGAAACCGCCATGTTCTCTCGCCTTTCGGTGTAACTCCATGTCATCAGCTCCCCCGACTGAAGGTTCCCCCCGTCTCCAGTAACCCACCAATCCGATCAGCCCCTGTCACGTGCGCGGCGTCATCAAGTGATCGATGGCGGTTCCTGTTCCTGCTTCCCCTCAAGAGTCATTCATTCAGTCCCTTGCCCAACATCTTGACTGGTGTGATTTCTTCCACTTCCCTTACTCCCTTCACCTCGTTCTGAATACACGCACCCCCCGACCTGATTCCCACCCCAGCTCGAACCCCCCACCCGGTCGCAGCCATGAAGTTCTTATCAGCCGCTCTGACTCTGGTCGCCTTCGCACCGCTCCCCGGCCAAGTCTCGGCGGGCTCGGTGTCATTTTTCGATCCCTCCCAGGTCCCGATCAAGGTCGACACCACCCAGGATTTCCCGGTCAAGGGCGACAACCCGTTGATGTACTGCACCAGCCCGGCCAATTATCTCCTCCAGATCGACCAAGTGGACCTCTCACCCAACCCACCTAAACCGTCCGTCTTCTCTCTCCCCAATCTGAAATGACTCGCCACTAACACTGCTGCGTTCGAACAGAGGTCAAGCTCTCACCATCAAAGCCAGCGGCACTTTGCTAGACAAGATAGAGAAAGGCGCGACCGTCTCGCTGGAGGTGAAATGGGGCTTGATCACCTTGGTGAAACAGACGGTCGACCTGTGTGACCAGATCAAGAATGTCGATCTCACGTGTCCTCTGGAGAAGGGCAAGATGGTCTTGACGAAGAAGGTCGACTTGCCCAAGCAGATCCCACCGGTAAGCCACCCTGCGTTCTCAGTGGTTGCACACATACTGATTGATACCAGGGCAAATACTCTGTTCTGGCCGATGTCTACACCAAGGACCAGCGGCAGGTGACCTGCCTCAAGGCCGACAATCTCGAGTTTAAGATGTAATACACCTGTTTGATATATCGATCATCGCTCTGCAGTAATGGTGCGCATGAGTGGCTTTCTTCGGCCTGTTCTACTATCAAGATGCCTCTAGCTCTGTGATTCTCGTTATCCACGTCGCCCACCGCCGTTCCTCATGACCCTCTCTGTTACTTCCAGCATTTTTACTCGATTTCCTATATTTCGCAGACATCACCGTTGATGATCATGTTTCGTTCTGTGGCTTGCTTCGCATTGTTATCATCCATCAACGGGGACTATTTTCAAGCCCGTGCTCCTAATTATCCATGTATTTGTGACTCAATGTAATCCAGCACTTACAAGGGGATATTGACTAGAGACCGAATACATTTGGGTTTTATATATGCATACTCATTTCAGACATGACGGGTATCTTCCCTCTAAAGCTTTCGATCAACTCTAGCCCCAGAGCTAGCTCAAGCAGGCTGCACTATCCACAAGACGCGAAACAAGCAGATGGCCGTAGTCTGCATAGGCCCATGTAGCCCCAAGCGATGCACAAGCCACCTCTTAATGAAACGAAAGCCACAGCACTTCTTCCACAACCTTACTCGCCAAAGAGTCGTCGCACCCGCTTGAGCACGCTGTCTTTCTCCGGGTCGTAGGGGTGATCTTTGCTCGGGATCTCCAGGACAGCAGGGAAGGGGTCAGAGAATGTGTCGACGCTGTGACGGATACGTTCTGCGATCTGCAGAGTAGAGGAGATGTGTCAGACGAAAGAACTCCCAATCGTACCCAGGCAAAAGCGAATGGAGAAGGACAAACGGATACGCACATGCTGATTGATCAGAACTACAGCGATATCTTTCCGCTCCTGTGTGAAGTTCTCAAAGGCGCGCTCAATCTCCGAGGTCTCGGTCTTGGAATCGACGACGAGGAAGTTTCGCTGGGAGTCCGGCGGATCGGTGACGTGCTAGAATAGGGACAAGAGTTAGCATCCTGATTGCTTTCCTCTAGCAGCTGGCAGTGATTGTAAGCAGTACATACCCCGATGCCTGCAAGCAGAAGCCCGGTGACGGAGCTGCATGGGTCGTAGGTTAGCTTGGGGATCAACCAGAGCGGGACACTGGTGGAGTTACTCTTCGTCGCCAATGACGGCCAGGAATTGCCGGTCCTGCATTTGAGGGTAATTAGCAATGCTCTCGCGAATAACAAGATTCGAGTACCTTGTATGAAGCGGCCGATGCCGCCATGATGAAAGGAGAGATGTGAACAAGAGAACAGGTCGCTCGAGCTGTCGTTTCCCGATCCTTATCACGAGGCTGAGTCAGCAGACTGATGTCAGCCTTTTTGTTTACACTCTCCGGTCTCCATCACAACCAACACAACTCACCTCTGTCCTCCACGGGTATTTGCATCGGAGGAAGCTGCCGAGGACCAGCTCTTTCCGTGTCTTTCCATCATCAGCATGCCCCGCCTCGTCCGCCGCCGTCCACTGGCGGAGCGAATTGGATCCTATTTGAACCCTTGGGACTTTCTACTCTGGGTGTCTGAGGAGATCGAAGGAAATGACTGGGATCAACTGGAAAAGGACTGGGGGTTGGCTATTGGGATTGCGCTGAATGCGATTTTTCTCATCGCGCGAGCAAACAGTCAGTCGAGTGGGAGCAGAGCCATCGACGACGTGTTTGGGGAGGAAAGTGGCGTGCCCTGGGGTAGCTGGCTGGTAAGTTGTCGCGCCGCAGTTTCGTCATGTCAGAATTGCTTGAAGCTAACGAGAGACTCTATGTGCACAGGTATCGATTACCACGTCATGTCTAACTTTGACTTCGTGCGCCAATGCTACCTACACCTTTTACAAAACGAGATCATATCGCCTGTTTGAAGCAGCCATAGACAAGACACCTGCGACACCATCTGCTCAACGAGTGCGAGTTGATTCGAGCCCCATGATTGCGTCGCCGATACGATATCTCGCCAATGCGCTTTCCACCGAGCCAGCAGAGTCCAGGGCGCATCCGGACGCGCACCGTGATGTGTGGCAGCTTTCGGTTTGGGATCCCTTGCCGATCTGTTTACGGTTGTTCTGCATGTTTAGCCCGGGACATGTCATCATTTATTGGCTTTTGCTGCCGACGCAGCTGTCTGATCCCCGCCCCAGCGTGACGATAGTATTGACTATCCTCTTTGCATCGGTGCTTTCTGTGCAGCTGTCGTTCCTTTCATCATTCCACAAGCAGCAAGCGAAGGATTTGACCTTGGTGCACAAGGAGGTTTTGAAGGAATATGACACCAAATTTGTGCATCCACGAACCCAGCCCCTGATGCGCGACGTGGGCACCCAATTCACTGATACGAGTGCTGGAAGTTCCGACACCAAATACAACAAGGTCGACGTGTATACCCCGGCCTTCAATATCCAAGGGGGATTTAAAACCAGTCCGAATCCGAACTATTTGAGCCATGTCGACCCCGAAGGACTTTCCCCCAGGCGCCTGGCCACCACCTCCTCTACCCCCAGCTCTACCATCTTCCAGGCGCAGCCATCGTTGAACACACCACAATTTTCGCGAGACGCTTCTCCCCTGGTGCGAACCTCGGGCAACGCAATGCGACAGCCGCAGTTCCGGCCATCAGCCAGCACTAGCACGGGCGACGGAGGCAGCCTGGGGGTCTACTCCCATGCCAATTCCCCTCTGCGCAAGTCAGCATCGACTGCGTTTGACCGCCGACTGCAAAGCAACGGTGATTTCTTTTACAAGGAGCGCGGCACGAGTCCGCTGAAGAAGCCTTCGAGTCCGCTCAAGCGTACCAGCGTGCCGGGACCTGCAAGTCCCGCGGTTGGCGTGCATAGAACAGGAGGTAGTTTGGGTACCCGGCGAGAAACGGGCCGCTTTTGAGACGAATTGATCAACACATTTCAACGTGACTTTTTTCTCCCTCGAATGCGTCATATGCAAGCCCTACTTAATGCACGTCCACCTGCGAAGGGGAATGCTCGGAAAGAAACTCCGCTCGTACATTTCTTACTTGACGTTTTCCCCGGTGCAATTGGACAGGGCGCGCGTGACTTCGCTTTCTTTTGCCATTTTCACCCCTCCTGGACTGCAGCCCTTCCACACGCAAAAATGCGGCCTGACGTTAAAGGACCAATCCATGTACGAGATACGAATTGCTAAATGTGATATTATTGGTGGACAATGCTGTATTATAACACGGAGCAGAACAGTCGATGAATTGGTTGTCGTCAATCCGCTTTCCGCTTCAACCACCACCACCACTTCGTAACTTCCAAATGATGCAATTGCGTCCGCAACTCAACCCTGACACGCGACTGCCAGGGCAGGTGCCATCCATACCAGATGGCGGCGGGGTTTATGGTCGAGCATTCCGCCCCGGGGGCTGGCAGCATTCTTCACCGCGGGCCGCATAACATTCCAGTCTATGAGCACACTCTATCCTTACGCGTGTAGAACGCGATTACTGGGCACTTCGCAGCTGGACTGGGATCCATGCCCCCTGGCGGTTCTGTGCGTCTGTCATTTGTCCTGTGACGCCCCTCGACGCCCCTCGCCATACCCTAAACATAACCACCTAATCCGGGACAGCCACCACACAACACCGTCAAGAAAGCACTGCATTTGGACGGCATGGGCCAGATGACGGATTCTATCTGGCTTGCGAGTCGGGCTCTTTAGCACCCAGAGCCCCCGGCCCAACATGGCAACCGTCAAACTACCAGAGGGACACTGCGTGAATCTTCATCCACGGCCCCAGCAGCCCAGTCCTTACAAAGCATATCGAGCCGAATATCATAACATCACCGAGCTTTCAGCAGCGCCCCCGTCTCCATACACGCCTGCAACGTCGGGCAACCTCCGCAGATCTAAAGCCACCAAACTTCCACTTCCCAGGGCCTTGGCCGACAAGAACAAGGATCCACGAGGTGAATTGCTTTCTTCGACTGAAGTACTCCGACCAGCGCCACTTTCAATCCCTTCGGCTTCAACTCAGAACGAAGGCGAAGCTGAAGCGATGGCGAAGGATCGCGACCAATACTGGCGGAAGCTCCGTGGTAAAAATGACAAAGAATCCCCTCAGTCTCAGAAAGAATACAGTAGCGAAAGCACCAACCAGGCGCAGAAATCTTGGTACCAGAACAAATATGAAACCAACACCGAAGACGATCTGTTCGTCACGCACGGAGCCAGTCTTCGAACCGATATTGCTGTTCCCACCAGCAGCAGCAACAATCTTGCGCGCCACACTCGAACCAGTGCTACTCGACAGGCGCAAGCGGAGAGCCAAACGAAATGGCGGAAACATGGCGACCTGTGCATGGATGGCGAGACCAACGACAACATGCCACAGAGGCCCGAAAGGATAGAACATACCACTGATTCCAGCGAACAATCCCATCCGTCAGTTTCGCCCGTGTCTGCTGAGGACAGCCCAATGACCGAATGGGAGGACAGATTCGTTGTTCATATGCCGACAGCTAAAGACCCGAATCCGCCAACGATGACCGCGCACCAGATAGCCCAGTATCAGCAGAGCATCGAAAGAGTGCATCGGAGTGGTGGAAAGATGGTTGATCCTGACGCTCTTCCTAGTCCCCCACGGTCGTCTCCCAAAGTGAAAGCGAACCCGGGTGCTCACCAAGACCAGAAGCCATGCTCTTTCAAGGCTTACGACGGGCGTCCTATGCCGTCTTTGCCAGAGACTAGCCAGCAACTAGCAACTCCACATCAGACCCATGGCCCGCCTGGCTACTACAGCCCGGATGAAATTGGGAAAAAGAGATTCAGCACGATCTGGGAAGAGTCATCGCCTTCAAAGAGTAAAGACAAACGATCCTCTGCGGCAGACGGTTCTTTTTTAGGATGCAAACAGATCAACGGGCCCCGGGAGCAGCCCCGAGAAGATACTATTCTCGCTCCGGGGGAGAAGAACCCGGACGAAATCCTTCTGTTCTCGACCGACGATACCAGCTCAGATCCTCAATATGCTCCGCCCAAATACGAACTGAAGAGTCGGCAGATAGAAGAGAAGAACGCGGCAACCGCCAATCGGACGGTGCGGACAGCAAAGCAGGCCGTCCTTCAAGACGAGTGGGCAACAACTTCTCGGAATACGAAGCATGTCCAATGCTCGAAGCCGTCGTCCAGGACGCTGTGCCGGGATCATTGTTGCCAGCAACACGAGAGATCAAGGGAATCCGCCCACAACTCGAACAAGGAAAACTCCCTCCCTACTGGTCATTCTGGCCTGCCGGAGATCCCGGACGACGATCCCAGAGGCGACGATGTGTTCATTATCACACCCACTATCACGCGCACTTTGATTCCCACCACCGAGAAGAAAGCCGTGTATCCAAAACAGCAAGGGATCCGACGTCCTTCCATTGGAAATGGCCAGGCCATCACCGGCGAGGCCATGAAGGCTGTCCGCGCGAAGCCTCAAATGGTGTCCACCACCCTTTCTGGGCTACGACCCTCGATTCCAGCGTCGCTCACGACCTCAACCGGGCCGAAGATGACACACTCTCAAACAACACAGCTCAGCAGGGTTCTTCCCGCCAAAGTCGATGCGAAAGAGAAAGAAGAGCGACCCCCCCACACAAGGCAAAGTTCAGGCGGTATCCGTGGGTTCATCCGTACTTCCGGGCTGGTCAAGTCGCCCACTGACGGCCTGGCTTCAATGATTCGAAATGGGGCTGGCTCCCTTCATCTCCCGGACTCTTCGCGAAAACCATCACCGATTACCCTCTCAGCGCCTCCGTCACGGGACAACTCTGACTCGTCTAGATCTAGCAAATCGTTCTACTCGGCGAAAGGCTCGACGCCGGCATCTTCAGTCAAGGAGGACCACACCGTGGTTCACTCCTTGCTCCGCTCTACTAAGGTTGTGGAAATCGCTGAACTGGATGGTCAACAGGTGTCTAATCCAAAGGAGTCAATTCGAGTACCAAAGGAGCCTAAGGTGGCAAAGGAAGCGCCTAAACCTCTCAAGGAAGCCCCCAAAGTGCCCAAGGAAGCATCCAAAGTACCCAAGGAAGCATCCAAAGTGCCCAAGGAAGCATCCAAATTGCCCAAAGAGACATCCAAGTTGTCCAAAGAGATACCCAACATGCCCAGGGAGCTACCCAAGTTGCCCAAGGAGATCCCTAAATCCAACACTGCACAAACTCGTGCCGAGGCGCGTGAAATCCGTTCGCTGGAAAAGATTATCACTCGCGAGAAGCGACAGGTTACCAAAGACAAACCCAAGGAGAAGCACACTTCCCGCAAGGATGCATCTCCGCTGGACAAGGCCATCACTGTCAGGGATGTCAAAGACGCCTTTAACCCAGTGGCACTGTCAGTGGCATTCGAGCTCACCATCACCGCAGCCACGCACATCTACCGAAACTTCCGCAATTGGATCGATAACCCGCACATCAAGTCCGTGCTGGGTAGTATCATGAACATGGCTCGCCACTGCTACCGCGTCTTCATGCGTATCTTTCGCGCTGTCTCGCGGTACCAGTCTACGGGGACTTGGCCCAAGCCCCATAACGACCAAGCCATCAGCAAGTTCCTGGTTGAATTGCTGCAGGCTATTGTGTATCTCTTTGTTCTGGGCTTCGGAGCTGTGGTCTTTGGTCGGATTGCTGGCTACGTCGTTCTGGTGGGTAGTTGGGTCGTCTGGTTTGCGAGACCTTTTGCTTGGACCGTTCAGAGCGTCGGCCGGGCTTTCTTGTAGTACTTAGTGTTCTTACTTTCTGGTGGACTGCGAGATTGGATGTGGGATATGCAAGACTGAGTTCTTTGACAAGCGTTGCATTTTGCTTTCCTGTTTCTGTGTGCATCGGTTTCTAATGTATTTTTCAGGTGGGAAATGGGGGTTCTTTGTGGTGGTGGATCATTGATGGTGTTTTTTGGATGGTGTTGATGGCTCTCCAGGATGGGACCTATACTCAATGTTTCTTGTTTTTTCTGTTTGCATTCTATCTATACTGTCATTCCTATCTATATACGCAGAAAAGCCCATATTTTCTTTAGTCATGAACGGTGTGGTCATCTTCTCCTAACAGTCAGGCTGCACTCAAATCCCCGAATGCTACTAAAAGTCTAGCAACACCGCTCCCAATTTTAGCGCGTATACGACGCGTCCCCTATTTTATTTTTAATTTATTAAACAACCATGCATTGATTTGAAGTAAGTAGGAATCGAAGGCTACATGCTGGACTTTGTGGCCTAACTCGTTCTACCATCCTCTGTCCTTGAACTAGAGTAGTTGATTCCCCGGCGGCATGCCGTCCCCGAAGCCCGAGTGGAAACGTTCCATCAGTTGGCTTTGGTTTTCAAATGACAACGCACGAGAGCCATATAGTGTTCTCTAGCGGGTTCTAATCCAATTTGAATGAATGTCCTTGGGGGGAAACTCCGGACTACCTTGGTATCTTTTTTTTGGCTTGTTTATCATGCATCATGCCTCATTTAACCATTTATCCAGTTTCCCATCTACTCAGCACCGTAGCGTGCCCGATAATCCTTCAACCGCTGGATCTCCGTTGCGCCAATCTGGTCACCCAGCTTTTCGATCAAGTCATGCAGACCAATGACTGACCGGATCGGGATATTCTCGCCCAGGTCTCTCTGCGCGACACCAATAGCGCTTTTGGGCTCAGCATCGCTCACTCGCTCCTCACGGTCGAGCAAGACCACCACACCAGCGACGATTCCTCCTTCCTTCTCAATGATGCCGACGGCCTCACGCAGTGCAGTGCCCGCGGTGATAACATCATCCACAATGACCACGCGCTTGCCCTTCAGAGGTGCTCCGACGATGTTTCCACCTTCTCCGTGGGCCTTCGCTTCCTTGCGGTTGAACGAGTAGCTCACATTGTCCCAGGTGCCCTGGGGCGATGCAGCTAACGAGTCCCGCACCGCAAGTTCGTTGGTGACTGCCGCGCAGATCGGAATGCCCTTGTAAGCCGGTCCGAAAATGATGTCGAAGTTGGGCTTGATGACACCGTCGGCGTTGGTGGAGACAAATGGCTCCGCGGAGAGCACACTGGCGTAAGCGGCGGAGGTGGCACGCAGCAAGGGAGCGGTGTGCAGGAGAGAGGAGGTGAAGAAGTAGGGCGACTCGCGACCAGACTTCAGGACGTACGTGCCGAAGGAGAGCACATTGTTGGAGATCAGAAGAGGAAGCAGGCTCGCCTTGTAGTCCTGGTTGGCGGACGGCGGGGGGATGGTGGTGGTTGACATCGTCTGTTCGCTGCCTTTGCTGGGGCTATCTGGCGATATCAAACAGGAATTGAAGACTCAATCGCGAAGCCCCGCTGGTCGAATTGCAGAGAGTGAGATTTGGAAAGTGCAAGCGGAGCGAAAGCGGCGAAGGAAAAATTTCCCGGGAGACCCTCTTTTTCGTTCGGAGGGGCAACGGAGGGCTTTTTTTCGAGCAGTTCAGCACCAATACCGTGTCTTCGGATGCAGACAGTTAGTTGGAAATACAGCTAGGCCGTCCAAATCAAACCGAGCTCGCCGACTGACTTTTGAGGCCCGTCGTCGCTCTCGTGGGCAGTTCCAGGGCAGGGCAGAACACGTGCTTTGCCTCCCCCCGCCAAAATCTCGCCCCTCCTTCCTTTCCCGCTTCTTAGTTGCTTCAACTGCCTCGCCATTGTTTCCTTCTTGTGTTTTGTTTCGTTTCCTTGTCGAGTTGGCTTATTTGGTGCTCGACATATATCGAAGGGGATAATTCCACCCTGTCATCCCCTGCAAGACTATTGCTGCAGACTCTGCCCCGCCGCCCCGGTGTCGGAGAAGAATTCAATTGAACTATATCCTAGCCTGTGGTATGTTTAAGCTCGTCTACCCGGCTTCTTGGAAATTCTTACTCGGTCGGACAATTCGCTAATGGAAAGCCCCTCCTGCATAGGTTGACGCGACACCATGCATATTCGAGAGAAGCTGGCGCAGAACGAGGCCGCTGGGCAACCAGGGATCTCGTTTGAGTTTTTCCCGCCCAAGACTGCCCAGGGTGTGCAGAACCTCTACGACCGCATGGATCGCATGCACGGACTGGGCCCATCGTTCGTCGATGTCACTTGGGGAGCTGGTGGCCGCCTATCGGATCTGACGTGCGAGATGGTTGGCGTGGCACAAACGGTCTATGGGTTGGAGACGTGTATGCATCTGACATGTACAGACATGCCGCAAGAAAAGGTCGACCAAGCCCTCCAGGCTGCCTACAAGGCCGGTTGCACCAATATCCTGGCCCTCCGAGGTGACCCGCCACGAGAGAAGGAAACTTGGGAAGCTACGGAGGGAGGCTTTCGCTATGCAAAGGATCTGGTCAAGTACATCCGAGAGAAGTACGGCAACCACTTCGACATTGGTGTGGGTGGTTACCCGGAGGGTGCCGACGACAATGCGGATGTGGATCAACTTATCGATCACTTGAAGGAGAAGGTGGATGCCGGCAGCTCCTTCGTGATCACACAGATGTTCTATGACGTGGACAACTTTATCGATTGGGTTAAGAAGTGTCGGGCCAAGGGCATCAATATTCCAATCATTCCGGGTATTATGCCCATCCAGACATATGCCTCGTTCATTCGGCGGTCCAATTGGACCAAGACTCGCGTGCCCCCGGAGTGGATGGAGTCACTTGACCCTGTCAAGAATGATGATGCTGCCGTTCGGGATATTGGGAAGCATCTGATCGCAGAGATGTGCCGAAAGCTCATGGCCTCCGGTATCAACCACTTGCACTTTTATACCATGAACCTTGCACAGGCAACTCGGTTGGTCCTGGAAGAGCTTGGTCTCGCGCCATCCGAGGAATCTCCAATCCAACGGGCTCTGCCATGGCGGCCGTCGCTTGGATTGAATCGCAGAGATGAAGATGTGCGCCCAGTGTTCTGGCGGAACCGAAACTCGTCGTATGTCGCACGTACGCAAACGTGGGATGAATACCCGAATGGTCGCTGGACCGACTCCCGTTCACCTGCGTTTGGTGAGCTCGATGCGTACGGCGTCGGTCTCAAGGGCACAAACGAGCAGAACATCAAACTGTGGGGTCAACCGAAATCGTTCAAGGATCTGTCCGATATCCTCATCCGTTTTCTGGAGGGCAAGCTGGATCGCTTGCCCTGGAGCGACTCCCCGATCACGGCGGAAGCAAATGCCATCAAGGATAAGCTGCTCTCTTTGAACCGCAGGGGATTCCTGACGATCAACTCTCAGCCTGCGGTCGATGGCGTCAAATCCTCTCATGCCATCTTCGGCTGGGGCCCCAAGAACGGCTTTGTCTACCAAAAGGCGTACTTGGAGCTTATGGTGCCCTCCTATTTGATCGATGAACTGATTGCGCGTATCGACAAGAACGAGGATCTCACATATCATGCCATTAGCAAGACTGGCGAGCTGAGAACCAACACGATCGACAGTCCGAATGCGTTGACCTGGGGTATCTTTGCTGGGCGGGAAATCATCCAGCCGACTATTGTCGAGACAATCAGTTTCCTCGCCTGGAAAGACGAAGCTTACCAGCTGGGCGAGGACTGGGCCAAGTGCCACGAGGCCGGAAGCTCCAGTCGCAAACTGATCCAGCATGTGATGGACGACTGGTACCTTGTCAACATCGGTAAGATCATCCATACCCCTATTGATCTGAGTTTTATCTAACAAGAAGGGACTATAGTCGACAATGACTTCCACAGAAATGATGCTGTCTTCGATCTCTTCGACAACCTGGAAGTCAAGGATCTCAATGTCGAATTCCCTGGAAAACCAGAATCAAACGGCACTGCTCATCAAAACGGGGCACCTAAAAACTAACCTCTTTCTTTCTCTCCCACTCAACCGGGATTCAGGACTCTGCTCCAACACGAGTTCCTTAAATCGAGCTCTCTCAATCCAAGCTCACCCCTTTCAACCTACTCAACTACCACCACTACCATGACTCTCACCTAATTTCAACATCACCATTCTCAACGATACAAAATCCCGAATAAGAGAGAACAATTCATCCAACACCGTTCTCGGGCATAATTTGCAATGCGTCATGGCGTCACGATTGAAGACCTCTCAACGATTTCTTCCTGAGCGTTTCTAACTCAGTTCCTCATTTTCAACATCTACACATTTCTCATGTACCGATACCCCGTCCCTTTAACAATAACGGTGTGCGTCTCTATCGATCCATTCTCTTCTTCTCCATATCTCTCTCTCTGTTCTTGTTTCACCTTTTTCCCGGGCCTGGTGCTTGATCTATCTTCTGGACTACTGCTACCTTGTACACTCAACATGGTATGGGGCAACAACATGCATGTATCCACTAGAGAGAAAGGGAGGATCAAAATTTATTTCGGCTAAGAGACACCCCAAAAAATCATTCAACATCATAATCACTAACTCCAAGAGATGCAACTGCGCTTCTCTCTCTTTCTTCACTTTTTTTGTATCCAGTCGTTGGATTTTGTCTAATAGACCTTGTTGCAATCAATGAAGATCTCATCATAAAAGTTCCCGCATAGGACTTACTTGTTTTCATTATTGTCGATAGTACAGTAGATGGCAGTAAGTCTTAACGACAGTCCCGATTAATCTAAAATCTACGTATTTTACCCAATTACTTTCAAAAAAATTCAGCAAGATTTCATTAAGGCATTTGATAGTTCCTGTATAATTGAATGTGGTTGCGCTTAGGAAGTCAACAGTTACTATATTTTGTAACTAACTACACTTCCCAATTTGCATGACGATAAACCAAACGTGTCGTTTTCTCCCAACACTAGACAATGATGGAAATCAATCTGCCCTTTATAACGCAAAATATCAAGCTGTTTTCAGCTAGAAATCGCATGAAAAAGTCCATCGAAGTTGGTAATGTGTTTGAGGAGCGCTGTGTCTTAAATGTATGAGGTATTCTTTGCACCGGCCTTGAATAGTTAAGACGAAAAGACCACTATCAAGATCTTCTCTCAGATCGTCCCTTTCACGGGTGTACGGAGGCGGATCTTCTTCCGTTGCGGTTGAAGTGTTGCTATAGATGCTGGGGAAAGAAAGGACCGAGGATACGTCGCTTCCTTCTTCAGCGCAGTGGTCTGTCTTGGGGGAAGACGTAGAGTTATGGAATGAATTCGAAGTTGAATCGTGGCGTTTCATATTGGACTTCACTTGATATCCATACTCAGACCTTGCTCCAATTTGTATGGATGTGAAATCGTCATCACGAAAGACGCTAGTTGATAGAGATCCCGAATATTCTGGTATACCGGATATAATTGAATTTTTGGCTTCATCATCGCTTGCTGAAGGGGTCTCAATGGCAGTTTCATTGCGAGCCTTTTGGCCTAAACCCAGTCAATTGCTTTTCTGAGAGACTGAAGGGATAAGGAAAAAATACGTCGAGCAAAAAAGTGGCGGAGCTTGAAGAAAAACCCCATTTCTAGTCGCTTTCTGACTTTCGAATGCGTCCAATTTTCGGTGTTTTCAACACGGCTGATGCATTTTCTGTGAGCAGAGACCTTGGCGCTTGGCGAATCTCAAATTCACTCCCTTTGGACTGATCCAAGTAAGTAAGGGCAAGGTGGATTTTCGGTTATTTTTGAATTGATGAGATAGAAAATCTTTCGTTTTCTTGCGGAGTGAGGATCGAGAAGGGATGAGGGAATGAAAATTGGGTTTTCTCGCTCCTAAATTGCAGATTCCCGAGAAGATACGAATGTTGACGAAGTATGATAACCTCCTCCGACCATTGCTGTCGGATCTATCGGCATGCATACATATCAAGTGGAGCGTTTCTTTGAAACCAATGGTTCAGAAAACCCAGAGTCACAAGAAATATGGCATTATATTGCTCATTTTTCCTTAAATATCTTCCACGTGATTTCCCCAAACTCTAAGTTTTCCCCTTCTTCTCCTGTATTGAGTCTGCCTGACTGCTACTGATATAGACCAATCTGAGCTAAAGCTATGCCTTGTTCGGGATATTCTACAGACTTGGAAGACGGAGGATAATTTGTTTAATCTTCTTCTGGGATTGGAACAAAAGCAGCCTTACAGCACTGGGGACAAAAAGTAACTCTAGATCGGCGAGTGACTTTTGCGAGAAAGTAAAATGACTCATTTAGTTCCTATTCGTCAAATGGTCCGGCGACGAAAAGTCGGCCCCTTCTCCAATTCTCCGCACGAGGGGACGTTGCCACGGAGTGGGGGGGGGGGGGGGGGGGGGCCTCTCAGCCCTACCCGGTCAGTCAGACAAATTCAGCTTTCGGTTACTGAAACTTTAAATTTCGGGGCCACTCAATCGATATCACCCGAGTATTCAGGTAATTTTCTTGGATACCCTCCAGTGCTGTTTTCTCAGAATTGTGATCTATGAACCCCGACAGCACGCGTGCCCCTAGAAATCGTTTCAAAGATTAGGCCCTGCTTTCATACCTCGCGGGAATACGAAGGTTCGGATATCAAGTTGCTGGACCTTAAATCCTAGCTCAAGAGGACGAATTTATAGGGTCTCACAGAATCAGAGTTCACAGCTAAAAGGTAAAAACTCGTAAGTGTTTCTCCTGCTCCGTTTTTCACAACTTCAGGATAGGCCTCTAGAGCGCCTATGTTCAAGTAACGTGCGGTATGATCGGCAGATATCATTGTCTTAGAAATGCACTTCGAATGATGTTAGGGATAGTCAGTATGAAACGGAGTGCGTAAGTATCATCAGGACCCACCCATACGCTCTCTATTATCTTGCTGGGTTGTGAAATTGTAATCCGTAGCTTGATGTGGACAATGATCATGGTGATAGTCGAATCCCGCCTCTCACAAAACCCATTGCAATCATGACATAGCGGGCGTTTGATATAGGCAGTGAATGATAATACAATCACTTTTCTACCTGTAATGTTAAATTCAACAAGTTAAATTTCTAATGAGGGCAGATCTGTGAAACACTAGCTGGAAGTAGGATATTAGCGTAAGAACACTGTTAAGCTGTGCTAATTTCCCTATACTAAATTTGCAAACGTGGGTGCCTAATACCTATTCCTATAACATGTTAGATCTAAAAAAAATACCAAATCTTTCCCGGAAAATTCCGCTCAAAGTAGGATGAGGAAGCCCCCCAACCGGCCTATTATGCCGAAGTCACTTACATTGTTTGCCACATACCAGGATATAAGAAGGATAACCTTGTTTCTTTAATAGCAAATACTCAGTTTTTGAAACAAATCCTATAACATATCTCCATCCTTTGCTATCAAAAATGAAGATGAAGGGATTCATTACAAAGCATATCGATGAAGTTAGCGATACAATCAGGACAGCGGAAGTGTGGATATACGCATATGTTATAAGGGTTCATTCTCTTACGTCGAACGCATGGAGAAAAAAACGTCAGTGATTTTGCCATTATTCTTTTTAGTGATTATGCTAACACGGAACTAGACTCAAGCGACCTCGCCCATTGTCAGGACGAGGTACCGGATATAACTGCGTCTGAGTCCAGAGAAGCGTATGTTGGCGAACAAAACGATTGGGAGGCTAGTGGTCTATTTTATGCATGGTATTAGATGCCTCTCTACAGTTGACTTAGCTTAAGATTATTTGCGATGTAGGCAAAGTGTTTTGAGCCACTGAGGAATTAGAACGAAGAATAAGCCTAAGGCCAGGACATCATGGTCTTCGTAGCCATAAAATATTTTAGCATGCTTACATTGAAGGACTATTACATGTGCAATATATTTTAAACGGGAAAGTCACAATTTACCACGAATAGATCGGCACCAAACATTTCATTCTGCCTAGCCAAACTCAAAAGCCATTGAAGGATAAATGACAACGACTAAAGCTTTGCCTTGACTGGATCTTCTGGGTTTTTCTTACCTACGATCAAAGGATCCTTAGGCGTGAAAGGTAACGCTGGCAGCCGCGATTCCTCCACTCCAAAAGCAGCAGCCAACACCTTCCTCGACATTGCAGTTCCGGAATTCCGATACCCGACATCCTTCGGCATAGGCTGATCAAAGAAAATCAAAAAATGAATGTCCTGGTCTCCTAGAACCTCAATTTGATGTGGATACGCCGCCGGGACAAAATACACATCGCCCGGCTGAAGTGTGTAGGTTTCCACTACACCCTTAAGATCCATGATAGACATGCGCGCATAGCCCCGATGCACATATCCCATTTCCACGGTGGAAGGGTGCCAATGTGGCTCACGCATGCCATCTTCCTCAACGCGGAGGGAATACATGGACATGTCGTGCAGGATAGGCCAGAATTGGCTACGGGCTTGTTTGGCAGAGCCGTGTTCATTGAGCACGGGAGCCTTCATGGCCTCAACTAAAAATTTGTGGCTGTTGGGAAGCTTAGCCGAATGGGGGATGTTCGGCAGACCTTGACGACGGACGATAGGCTTGGATTGAGTGGTACGAGAAATGTCCGCCCATGCCGACATATCAACATCGTAGGTGTTGCCGAGGACAGCATCGGTCATAGCACCCATCGATGCAGCAAGAGAAAAGTTCTGTGGATTTTCATGCCGGAAGCACATGATAAGTTCTGCGTCTGTGCCTCCGATATTTTCGATGTGGTGGAGAGACCCAGATTCCACAAAAAACATCTCACCAGCTGTTAAGGTGAAAGTCGAAAACCCATTGTCGTTGTCCAGGATGGAGACAAGGATGTCACCTTGAAGGCAGTAGGAAAGCTGGTTTGCATTGGAATGCCAGTGTGGCTCTCGAATAGCACCTGGGGCAAGAACGAGCTTCTCTACCGACAGATTGCGAAGGCGGGGCAGCTCAGCGGCCGTGATGGCACGCAAAGAGCCTAGATCACTGCAATGATAGGGCTCGGCATTGGAGAGGGAGGCAGAGTATGGAGAAGGCGACATTTTGCTTCGAATTATAGAAGTATAAGAAAACAGGATGAAGAACTTGTGGGTCTAGCTTCAAAGAGTGGCTACACCTTTATATATTAATATCACCTAGCTATTTCAAACTTCATTCAATGAGTCATTGAATTAAGAGCAGCCTAGAAAATTGAGCCTTGGAAACCATTGCCCCCGTTGAGTGCAAAAAGTATCCGTTTCCGAGTTGAATTCGCGGCCTGACCCATCCTACTCCAGGTAGAATATCTGAAAATAGGATGTCGAACTCAAGATGACGTATGCGTTAAATGAATGGTGCCTAGAATCGGGAATACTATGCCGATCATTATTCCCGCATTTTCAATAGGGCTGACTCTGTACAGAAACTCTAGTTTGAGGCAAATTCATTAGACAATGAAATTCTATTATCGGATAGATACCATATGCCTTTTCTATCCGCTCCACTTGGTTCCTCCTTGAACTTCCGAGCACGAAACCTAACACTTCTAAGCTTTAAGTGGAGACAGGTCAAATATTTGCTCAAAGCATTGCATAGCATTCGTCTATTCTAGTCGCAGTATCTCCATTCTGGTCCCGATTCCTAATTTAGGATAAGGAGGATAGGGGAAACCTAATCAAGTGGCACGACTTCAGCTTGGGCGCACCTCAAGGGAGCCCCTCCCTCTTTTGTCCACTTGATTCTGTTGCGAATAGAACGGTGTACCGTTGTGCTAAAATTCTATCAGGTTAGCCGGGGACAAACAAGCTTCAAGTGTGGGCCCATAGGGTGGGTCCCCGAGTCGTCAGCCCTAGGAGGCAAATATAGGGCTGAGGGGTTACCCCTCATGAGGGGATTATCACTATGATAATAACCAGAGAGAAAAAGGAAATCTGACAAAGTACAGTACCTTTCGAAATCAGTTATACCACTGTCTCAGCAATAAGCAGGATAATTTAAGTTTTACCATTTTTGATAAGAGTTCTTATAAAACTAAAGGGTAAATAAATAAGATCACTAATCTATAAACAGCAATTCGCGTTCTTCAAGTAAATGGATTAGCTTATGACTAGAGAGAGCGAATGTATGTGACAGTTGAGGCATCACTGCGGACCTGTATGGATGCCCTTGAAGACATTGGGAAACCTCTGAGAGTCATTCCTCGCCTCTAATTTGACCCCAACAAAACCGATTCCTGGTATGATGCTTCTGTTGCTGCGCTATTAGAAACTGGGATAGACTCTAGTGCCTCCATGTCCTTATTGCTGTTGTTCGAATCGTTCTGGACTCCGTATTTCACGTCGATGTCCTCGAGTTCTATCCCCTGTGTCTCAGGGATGAAGAAGTAGGAAAATAATAGCGATAGAATGGCTAATGAACCATATACGAAACCGAGCCGCCCGCCGAGGTCAACGTGGCCTAGGTCATCGGGTGTTTCGAGATAAGGGTAAGAGAAAGTCACCGCGAACCTATAGAGCAGAAAACTTGTTATCAGTGCCTTGAGAGACGCGGGGAGATGAGGAGGGAGGGACTGTGTACTCGGTGACTAGCTTCAACGTATAGGCCATCTGCAGCGTGGCCTCTCGTAGGGGCGCAGAGGGGATCTCTGCTCCGATCACGTAGGTCAGAGGGCCCCATCCAAGAGACCAGGCAAAGCTAAAGATGAGGAGCATGGAGATGATGCCTTCCTTGACGCCGTTGTCGTCATGGACGGAGCCTAGGATGCCCATAGCCATCAGGGCAATCGACTGCAGCGTCGAACTAACAATCATGAGGGTTCTGTCCCCGTTATGTCACTGTCAGCCGATATCGCCCATCACGAATTCTTGCAGCCTGGGTGGGCATGGTTTATTATGGATTTGAGACTGACCTTCGTCCCAGTATGTCAATAGTGAGGAGAGAGATAACAAGAGCGCCAATATCAGTGGCATTCGTCCCCAACGTGACACTGAATGGATTGACCGTCTTCAATGCCTTGACGAAAAGCGTGCCGTACTGCGACGCGAAGGCCTGCCCACTCGCCTGCTGGAAGAAGTTCATTATGATAACGACAAAGGTGCGCTGCCGGTTCTGTGCCACGAAAAGATCTCTGAACCTTCTCCGCTGTAGCTGCGCGGAGACGCGACGCGAGAGCTCGTCGAACTCTACCTGAATATTCTCGAGGGATGTATTCTTGTGCTTGAGGCGCGTGAGGGACTTGAGAGCATCCTCTTGGCGGTCGCGTAGGAGGAGCCATCGCGGAGATTCTGGGGTGAACCAGATGAGGGAGATGACGATCGCGGGTATGATGAGGATGAGGCCGAAGGGGATGCGCCAGGAGGCGTTGTTAGGGATCGTGGAAGTACCGCGCGTGATGGCCGTGACGACGAACCCGCCGACCTTAACGTTTAGCCAGTAGAGCACGCCCACGGCACCGCGGATCTTGGCCGGGGCTATCTCCGCAAGAGTCGTGGGAATGACGGCCAGCTGCATGCCGAGGTAGACGTCTACCGGCCTTGTTAGGTGATCAGGTCTGCGACTTGGGAAACTGGCCGTTGGGCCGTCTTGTCAACTTCCACTCACAATGCAACGCTCTTCCGGCGAGGATCTGGCCGTCGTTTTGGGCGCTGATGACCACAGAGGCACTACCGAGGGCGTACACACTCATGACGAAGACGCACATCCGTCGTCCCCACCTATCACTGATCCAGCTGCCGACGAAAACGCCTGAGGTAGATAACAGTCAAGGACAGGCTTCTGTTTAGAGAACGGAGGGCGGAGACGAACCAATGATCTGCGTCCCAGCCTTCAGGCTGTTGTACAGCGCCGTGAACAAGGGTGGAGCCTCGTATGCTTCGAGGACTTTGTCATAACGGCCAAACTGGCGGATGAAAGCCTCGATGGCCTGGCAGGATGCAAAAGCCTGGTCGCTGAAACCATAGTTGAAGGCCGAGATGACAAGGAGGGCCGTCGAGAGAATGAGCATCGGGCTGAAGCTGTGCCTATGCGGCCCTGACGGGCATAGCATCGCAATTGGCAATCGGGCACCGAGTGCCGCAACTAACGAACAGAAGGTTGCGTTGAGAAGGAAGGGCCCGGTTGGCTGACTAGCCTAGCAAACAGAGGGTTTGATTCCCTGGCATGAGTGGGAGGAATGCCCAGCTGGTGAATCGGATTATCAGATCGATCAGATAACACCGGCGGGTTACGGCTCTTTTAAGAGGAGGACCGATGAAAATTGTATTGTCCGAAGACCAAAGCGCACACTCTTTTCCGGCTAGCGAGCTTAGTGGGCGGAACCCTTCATTGGACGGATGTTGGCCGGTGGGGGATCTGATAACGTAGATGGCATGACGCGGTTGCGAGAGCGGCCGGATGGGATTGCTCGGTTTGCTTCAATTCGCCCCTTGTGAGAGAGTGGTGGATCAATTTGATCCACTGACTCCGTCGTGATAAAGTCAATTTTCTGTGATGTCGGGCAGCTCTCTGTGTTGCCAAGGCTCCTAAATTGGAAGGCATCCATCCGGACGGGATTTTCCACACGTGCGGACACAGAGGACTTCATGGTCAATCGTGGTTTGAAATTATACTGTCGATGGAATGTTGGGGCGCAAATATTTCAGGGGCGGGGGTGGAACAACCCTCGGTGTTCCGACGACAGCCGACAAACGGAGGAAAATTACGCAAGCAACAAAAACGCCACGGAAGTCGATACGATTAGACGCGTGTGAGCCGACTGCAGCATAGTGGGTTTCGAAATAGGATTCAAGAAAGAATCTCTGGGAGAAAGTGGTGAAACTGATTTCGATCCATCCTGTATAAGCATTAGATCTTGAACAGTCGAACACGCTCGTGATGATTGTGAAACTGCTCTTGACGGTAAACATAGCTCGATCACCAATCTCCCTACGTGAATCTCTTGTATCCCCGCTATTATTCCCTCTACAAATAGCATGTGAGGTCGTGTGAAGATGACGCCAGAACTAACTGCTTTCAAGGTTGGAACCGATAATGGCAATGCCTGCTCCGTCTCCCGGATCATGCTCTTTATACCTGGGAGCTACGAGTGCTCTGAGAGACGTGGCTATAGCTCCCAGGAGCAAGCATCATCGTGTCCGGAAGCTTCACCGGGAGCTTCGCCGGCTCCTGGGGCCGATTGACCTTTTCCAGGGAACTTATTCTAATACGTACCCCTGTCGAGAATTTTCAAATCAAATTTCCCACCACACTCTCACAAATTAATTCCCAAACCCTAATCTAAGATGTCTTAGTCTAATTTTAGACCACTGCCCCCATAGTCCCCGCTGAACTGTACCATATTATCTTGCAACAATCGATGAGTCATTTTTCTAATACAGTAATAGTCCATAGAACCGTGTAGAACCTTCATCCATACAGTGCAACAAACGGGGTACCCCAAAAGTGGCCCACTCCTCGAACAGCCAACTTGCGGCGATTTGCTTGGTGATTTTCCAATAAAGGTTTGCTTTTGTTTGCTGCCCAACAAGCGGTAATAATATAGAACTAAAACCACTAGAATTCCACCGCGTTTCTGATCTGATCTCTCCGTTCATCCTCGTCTGGCGATGTTGAAATTTCATAGGCCTATTGTGCTTCCACCTCTGGACGAGCGGCCGGAGTGATGAAAATTGCATTGCGGCTGGCGGCGGAAGGATATGGCAGAAGTCGGCGCTGGATTTACTCAGTGTCCTTTAGTTTCGAATTATGGAGTCATTTTCCTTCCATGCAACCTATATTATTACCATTATGATTTTTATAGACCTTCTCAAAGAGCCCTCCTTATCTATATAAATTTCGAGAGCGAAGGGAAAGAAACCTAAATAATCGATCGTGTCAATAATATCGACTGGAAAGCGTTTAGATTGAGGCGCACTTCAGACCATCCAAGCGAGGACAACTCGGGATGAACACGAAGCTAAGCCCCGTTTTGAATACGACCTTGGCAGGGATTAAATCCCTGATGACAGCTTCATGGGCCTATACGCTGTTTCTGACTATAAGTACGGCAGCACATCCAATGCAATTACATTCTTCCTCCTCAGAGCAAGACACTTCCTTATTCATCTTACCACAAAATGGCCAAATACCGAGTTTACAACCGCCGCCAGCAGGGTCTCGCCGAGACAACCCGGTTGATCCTTGAGATCAGTGGAGCGGAGTACGAGAACGTGTTCCCTAAGGCGAGTATTGTATTTATATTTAATTACGGCCATTGTGCATCTAACATGGCACGGTAGGACTGGGATAAAGAAAAGGGATCAACTCCGCTTGGACAATTACCGGTTCTGCATGTCCAGAAGAATACCGGCGAATGGGTACATTAGTTTGGCTCATGATACTGAGCGAGCAACTACTGATCGCAACAACATAGGAATCCATTTCCGAAAGTCACACCATGGAGCGTTTCCTCGCTGCAGATCTCGGACTCCTCGGTTCAAGCCCGGTAGAAGCAGCCGTGCTAGACATGTATCATGCAGCTTGGAGTGATATGATAGCCATGTTCATGTGGAAAGTGTGGCGGGCAAGCAATGAGGATTCAAAGAAGCGCGGCGCTGCAGAGTTCTGGGATTTGTTTCCTAAGTTCCTTGAGGCACACGAGAATATACTGGCAAGTAGGGGTCTATTTTACGGAGGGAAAGAGGTTGGTTACGATTCGCCTTGTAAAATTTCTTGGGTACTGATCTATCTCTAGCCCTCATTGCCCGACATTTACGCCTTCACCTGGGTGAATCGTTTCATAACCAAGTGGATTCCGTCTCCCCCCGGCTCTATCACTGAAGAGAAATATCCACGAATGTGGGCACTTTGGAAGAATATTAGGGAGAATGTCAGAATCAAAGATTATATTGAAAGTGGGCGGTGGGAGCTCAAAGAGTAAAGGTTTTTGTTGATGCATTTCTGGAATGGGGATTCAAATCCTGGTCGGTTTATACTTGATGTGGTGGGTGCCTGAGGTGTCAGCGCCCACCGCCCTAGATAGATAGGATTTCCCTTTTGGGAGATCATGAAGGAGAGGAATCGAGCGGAGTGAGATGTATTGACTGAGTGATCTCGTTCCTTCTCGGGTTTCTGCCGTGGCGCTCCGAATTCCCCTTAAAGCTGTTCACGATACGATATCGTTAGGATTTTCATTATCGTATATCGTATCGTTAGACTAAAATTTCTGCGATAATTTATCGCACGATAATATCGTCGAGATCGCATATCGTGAACAGCCCTACTTCCCCTGAGTCTCACCACCATAGGTAATACAAGAAAAAAAGGGGCTATCTAAGGAAGCGACGGCTTTTCCTAACGCTTGCGATATTTTCAGGCGGATAGTTTTGAAAACCTCTTTGACGCCTACGAGTTTTCTCCTGGCTTCTCAAACCAATTTCGTATGCAGCTAAAATAATTAAATCTTATAGTAATTCAGTCGAGTTGTAGAGATGCACCTACTTTCGCATGTGTCAAAGATATTTCTACAACTCCGGAGCAAGAAACCTTCTACGACCACTTTTGACACTACCAAATCCCTTTAAATGTAAATTTCTAATTGGTTATTAAATAATAACTAGGCGTGATTCTTACAATATTGGAATATTTCTTGTTCATGGTGCGAAAGTATAGTGATTCGGTTAGATGATTTGCGTCCTATCTTTACGGCCCATATCCAACACTGTACCGTGTAGCCAGGAGTATTTGTTCTCTGGAGGTTGTCAAATTCTCTGAACCCCTGCTGAATTGAACAGGCATTCCAGTCCCCGTGAAATACCACTTGATCAGGGGTGTGTAAGACTTAGAAATATCGAGTCAAAGTAATAAGTGATTTGTCAAGACCCGGTGATAGGGCTTCAGGTTTCATTTGACCTTCAAGGCAAGCTTGTCCAGGGGATGCCGTCCTTGCATCTGGGCTCCAGGGTGTCCGATTTGACAAGGGCGAGGAATCCCTCAGAAGTAAGTTGTTATACCACCTGTTCATCTTCGGTACATTGCTCTATTCGTCAATTTGGTGCTAGGGCATTGCTTGCTACTAAGTCCACTTTCCATGAGCTCTAGTGTTGTTATTATTAGCTAAGGGTCTAGTCTTTGACTGGCATAATGCTCTGTACTTGATATGCTGCGGCCGATATCTCGCTCTCTGCTCAACGCAATCTTTAAAAGCGGCAATCCATCTTAATATGGGCTACTCGTGGCCAATAGCAGAGGACATAGGCACCGATAGTTCAAGAAATTCGAGAACCCGGCGAGACACTACTGATCTCTTAATTATTCTCGTTTTGTCCATCAAATCCTTCAAGATGACCAGAACACAACACGCTACACCACAAATCCTCAACAGGGTTCCTCGACATACGGGTACCGCTTATAAAAGACGCTATAATGCCCGTTAGGCCTATTGCAAATCTTTTCTGTGTATTTATAGCAGTGATGGTGGGTGGCGCCTAGCGCAACACTAGCATATCCGGGGTACAGATGGCAACAAATTCAAAATGCGTAATAGAAATTATCTATAGCTTCACCTAGAGATTGCTTTTCAAGACTAGAAACGAGCTTCCTTCCATCCACGGGTGAGAGCTCTGAGCAAGCTCGATCCCGCTAATACTTCATACTCTTCAGAGAATCCGGCCGCCCTATTATATCTGAAAAGCGTGTCTTGCAAAATCGAGGAATAGGAAGACTTGGAATTGAACACAAGCCCGCTACACCAATAAACCGTCCTCAATGTCTTGCAGGGCCGAGATGCTGCGGACACGCAGGATAGGCCAGATGAAAATTGCCTGCTCATCTGCCGACCATTCCGGTGCCTGTAAGTCTCACAGTTGCTGTTTTTTTCATTGCCGGTAGTTTCTCTTTGCACTTATCATAACAGCCATGTCAATGGGCAATGGAGCACGCACAATGATTATTGGTAGATACTTCTATTACCGGGCCTCCTCGTCCAAGATGAAGTCTCATGAGCAATGATTAGGTACAATGTGCTACAGTTCTCCGGCCAGAGTCACCACATTCCGAGTACAGATGAGCACGGGCCTTGTATATGTACTCTATATCTCCCACTATGTCGATGCACGACCAGGCGAGAAGGCAATGCCTATCATGTAACCGCGTCCCAAATCAGGAAGAAAAATACATGTACATTTGCAGGCATTGTAAAAATTCACGGAAATGTGGGAATGCTTTAAGATGCAGGTGGCAAATATCGTTGGCAAACAGCACATTTGGACCCACTGTAGAAGATCGAATCGGTGCGAAGAGCCTTATAGCTTAAACCTGTTACAAATTTGTATTTCAATCAGGCCTGTACGTAAAGCCGTTTAAGTTCATTGACAGTTAGCGTTTGAATTGGACTGATATAATATCATTGATGTATATTTTCTCTATATTTACATCGCCTATTGCCATCCATGGTCGAGTATCACAGTAGTCTGTCTTACAATTGTTGCATGTATTCTTGTAGACATTGACAAGCCACAATTATTCCACAGTGGCCGCCATTAATGCGGAGCTACAGATGTTAGCGATGCACGAACCGAGGAAGATGTGCTGTAAGACAGTGGGAGATAACACTGTCTGAACGCCGAGGCCACTGAAAATAGAATGCATTGACCGGGATGTCAGCGAGAACGTTCATTCCGGTCTCAGAGGAGTCCAATCACAAAATTTGTGAACTCGAAAAAAGCGAAGTATGATCCCGCACAATTTATTTGATGTGAAGAAATGGAGAAGGAACATTTTCAAAGTCTTTGTTAAAGCATGCTGTGGTATCCAGCCTCAGCTGGGGTTGTTTCTTCACTGTTTCTCAAGCATTGTTCTTTATTCTACAGTTTCATATATCTTCGAATTGCATTTTCCTATACTATCCCCGATTTTGCTTTTGATCCACGAGGACTGCTGGAACTGGAGAAATTTTGGACAGGATCACTTTGGCTAGAGATGCCTGATGTTCCTCGTTTACGCCCTTCCATATCGTCAGTTATATTTCTGGAAAACCATTTCGTACGTGTACCTAGTCATTGCTTTTCTTGTTTGATCTTCTGTTTCCCACTTCTACCTGTTATGCATCTCTGTCCCTTGTCTCACTGACACTCGTATCCTCGCATTTCCTCACAGACCCTCACGCAGAGGAAACTCTTGCTGATAATATACAGGCTCGAGGCTATTAAAATTGCTTGGATCTTTTGAGAATATTCTCCTTCTCCATTCCTGTTTGTCTTCCGCTATCAGCTCGCAACATATGCTGCGAACCTGAATACTACAGGCGGCCAGAGATAGTGATTGGTGACAATGCATTGGGAATATGCGGGTGGTTTACTTTTACTCTGCGCGGTGACAGTAACATGCTGGCCTTACGACGAGTCTCTGGTTGCCTACAATATCAATGAGAACAAAACAGCCACGAACCCTGCAGAATATTGGGGAGCGTGGCCGAACCACACCTATTTCCCATCTCCGGAAAATTGGCGCTTCCCTATCTACACCTTGTTCCTGGATCGATTTGTCAATGGGGATCCAACAAACGACAATATAAATAAAACGCTCTTTGAGCATGACCTCAATTCGAACCAAATGCGTCATGGTGGAGACGTGGTCGGTTTGGTTGACACCTTAGATTACCTGCAAGGCATGGGTATCAAAGTCAGTTCTGAGACGTGATCTGGAGCTCAATATGATGATTGCTGATAATCCTCTTTAGGGTATATACCTTGCAGGATTGGTGCTTATGAACCAACCATGGGGCTCAGACGGGTATTCCGCTCTTGACACCACCTTGCTCGACCAGCATTATGGTACCATTCAAGTATGGAGAGATGCCATTATTGAGATCCACTCACGTGGAATGTATGTCATATTTGACAATACTGTGGCTACGTAAGTTGCCTAGAAAAACTTTCTCCTTTTGCTTAAAATCAGTATATTGATCAGAATTCAGGTTGGGAGATCTCATTGGCTTTGACGGCTATCTCAACACGACTACTCCATTTACTGTCAAAGAGCACAAAGCCCAATGGAAGTCGGATCGTCGCTATGCTGACTTCCATTTTGGCAATAGCTACAACGAAACCTGTGACTACCCTCGGTTCTGGAACCAGACTGGGTATCCGGTAGAGGAGTATGTCACTGAAGAGCTGAAAGGCTGTTATAATAGTGATTTTGACCAGTATGGTGACATTGAAGCCTTTGGCATCTTCCCTGACTGGGAGCGTGAGCTGGCAAAATTTGCATCTGTGCAGGATCGTCTTCGCGAATGGATACCCAGTGTCAGAGACAGGCTCATCCGTCACTCGTGCATGATAATTAATTCCTTGGACATTGATGGCTTCCGCTATGACAAGGCAACTCAAGCCACCGTGGATGCTTTGAGCGACATTTCTAGTGCATATCGGGAGTGTGCTCGCCAAGTTGGCAAAAATAACTTCTTCATTCCTGGAGAAATTACTGTTGGAAATACTCTTGGTTCAGTTTTTCTTGGTCGTGGCCGACAGCCAGACATGCAGCCAGAGACGCTTGAAGAAGCATTCAAGCTAACAAACACCTCCAAGTCCACCTATATCCGACATCCAGGTCAACAAGCGATCGACGGAGCCGCTTTCCACTACTCGGTGTATCGGTCTCTGACTCGTTTTCTGGGAATGGATGGCAATCTGGCCGCTGGTTACGACCTTCCAGTAAACTGGACCGAAGCATGGTATGAGATGGTGCTCACAAATGATCTACTTAATGCTAACACCGGCAAACTTGATCCACGCCACATGTATGGAGCGACAAACCAGGATGTGTTCCGCTGGCCAACTGTTGAATTCGGTGTTCAGAGACAGCTTCTAGGCCTTTTTATCACAACGTTGCATATGCCTGGTATCCCTCTTCTACTTTGGGGAGAGGAGCAGGCGTTCTATATTCTGGATGCGACCGCTTCCAACTACATCTACGGCCGTCAAGCCATGTCTCCAGCGACGGCTTGGAAAACTCATGGTTGCTTTAACTTGAACTCAACTCAATATTTTGAATGGCCCATCGAATCCGGCCGACTGGGGTGCCACGATGCGGCTGCCACTTATGATCATCGCAATCCAGCTCACCCGCTTCGGAACATCATCAAGCATATGTACCAGATGCGACAGGAGTATCCCGCACTAAATGACGGATTGTGGATACAGTTGCTGTCAAATCAAACGCACGACGTCTACTACCCTGGTTCCAATGGTACTCTCACCGAGACCGGCATGTGGTCGGTTTTGCGCAGTCCTTACTACGAAGTGCAAGACTTGGGCAAACAAGGCAACCAAACAGTATGGCTGCTCTACCAGAATGACAACCGTACGGTGACATATACCTTCGATTGTTCGGATCAAAATCATGCATTGGTTGCTCCATTCGGTACTAATACAACCGTCAAGAATCTCTTTTATCCCCATGATGAGCTCACACTCAAGGACAGTTCAACTAAACTGTATCTGAATGGATCCACAAAATGGAATGGCTGCCTTGACAGTTTAACTCTCCATCCGTATGAGTTCAGGGCATATGTTCCGAAAAAGGAATTCCGACTTCCTCGGCCTATGATCACCAAGTATACCCCAGGCCATGATGTTCCAGTGCTTTCAAAAGTTCGGCCTGGTATGAGCGAGGATTTGAAAATTGGTCTATATTTCTCAACAGAGATGAATTGCACTTCAGTAACCCAGTCCATTTCGATTGAATCCTCAACTGAGCTTGGGAAAATGCCTTCCATTAATTTGGATAGTATCAAGTGCGGCAATGTCGCCGTGGAGAAGACGATCTTGACCGGACAACTTCCATCTACATGGGTTTGGATGGCGACTCTGAACCGGGTGTACAATGGAATCCATCGATTGACCGTCAGTAACGCAACTAGTGTCGATGGAAGAACAACCGACGCCATTGATCATTTCTTGATCCGAATCGGACAGCAAGACAATCCTATGATTTTCACAGCGGCAAACTACTCAACCAGTCTCCTTCATCAATATGAGAATGGAGAACTTTACATTGAACAGCACGCCGCGGGTGCCGACAAGTACCGTTACTCGACAAACTTCGGTAGTACCTTCAGCGACTGGAAACCGTACCAAGGAGGACATGCAACCATCAAGGAGCTGCCTTGGTCAGGGACTAAGGAACAACGATGGAAAGGTAAACACGTTCGAGTCGAATACTGGAGCCGATTGACTGGCAGCAGTGCTTACGTCCAAGAGGGTGATGGCGCCGGATGGAATCCATCTATCCAGCGACGCTGGCCTCACCTCTATTTCAATGGCCCGTTCAACGAATACGGCTATGATTCCGGCTTGGACAACGTGGTAAAGCAGGACGAAAATGGCACCTGGATCTACCGCTTCATGGCTGAATGGCCTGCCCAGGGCCAGCTCAATGTGTGGGGCATCAACCTGAATGGCCAACCGGACCAGAGTTATATATATGGTGATTCGGACGGGGATTCCGTTTTGGATCGTCTGCCTCCATCATCCCTCAGCGTTACCAGCATCAATATCACCGAACATCCGCCCAGTCCGCACCTAGCCTGGACTATCTACATTGACGATGGAACTTTGCGATATAAGCTTGTGCCGAGCGGATCAAAACATGTCCAAATGGCTCTATTTTCCCTACTTTGGATTGTTCCCGTGGTAACTGCGACGAGTGTTGCCTATGTGTTCATGAAGACTTTCTACAGGATCAAGTTCAATCAGGTTGGGGTTAATGAGAAGAAAACACTTATTTCAGTGGATTTTCTGGATAGGTTCAAGGTGCACCATCTGGAAGATGGCCACTCTATGAATCCTTTCCTGCGCCTCATGAACAAGTCCCGGTTTCTTCAGAGCAGTTCTGCCTTTGGCAATCGAGAATCGCGCCGACGAAAGGTTCTCATTGCAACTATAGAGTACGACCTTGACGATTGGGGCATCAGGATTAAGATCGGTGGCCTCGGTGTCATGGCTCAGCTGATGGGTAAACAACTCGGCCACCAAGATCTCATCTGGGTCATTCCCTGTGTGGGTGATGTGGAATACCCCATTGACAAGCCCGCCGAATCAATGTTTGCCATGATCTTGGGCAACCAATACGAGGTCAAAATCCAGTACCACATCTTGAGAAACATCACCTATATTCTTCTCGACGCCCCGGTTTTCCGTCAGCAGACCTCGCTGGAGCCCTATCCTGCCCGCATGGATGATCTCGACAGCGCCATTTACTACTCTGCTTGGAACCAGTGCATTGCGCAGGCCATGAAGCGGTTCCCTGCTGACCTCTATCACGTCAATGATTACCACGGTTCGCTTGCTCCTCTTTACCTGCTTCCCGAAACCATCCCCATCTGCCTATCGCTTCACAATGCCGAGTTTCAAGGGCTATGGCCAATGCGGACACAGAAAGAGAAGACCGAAGTAGCATCTGTCTTCAATCTCGACCTAGAGATTGTCACTCGCTATGTGCAATTCGGCGAAGTCTTCAATCTCCTTCATGCAGGTGCAAGCTACCTCCGTCTTCACCAGCAGGGGTTTGGCGCGGTCGGTGTATCGAAGAAGTATGGGAAACGGTCATATGCACGCTATCCAATCTTCTGGGGTCTGAAGAAAGTGGGAGTTCTGCCAAACCCTGATCCCTCGGATACCGGTGAATGGAACAAGAAGCTACCAAAAGAGAGCGATATCAACGTCGACAATGAATACGAGACAAGTCGTGCAAAATTCAGACGACAAGCCCAGCAATGGGCCGGGCTTGAGCAGATCCCAAATGCCGATCTACTTGTCTTCGTTGGACGGTGGTCCATGCAGAAGGGGATCGACCTCATCGCCGATGTCATGCCCGCTGTTCTGGAATCTCGGCCAAGTGTCCAGCTCATTTGCATTGGACCGCTCATTGATTTGTATGGAAAATTCGCTGCCTTGAAAATGGATCGGATGATGAAGCTCTATCCTGGGCGTGTATTCTCGAAGCCTCAATTCACTGTGTTGCCACCGTTCGTTTTCTCGGGTGCAGAATTCGCATTGATCCCTTCACGAGACGAGCCATTCGGCCTTGTTGCCGTTGAATTCGGCCGGAAGGGTGCTCTCGGAATTGGTGCTCGAGTTGGTGGTCTTGGTCAAATGCCTGGTTGGTGGTATACTGTTGAGTCGACGACAACTTCGCATCTTCTGAAGCAATTCAGGCTGGCCATCGACAGTGCCCTGAATTCCAAGCCGGAGGTGAGAGCTATGATGCGAGCTAGATCAGCTAAACAACGCTTTCCTGTTGCCCAGTGGGTTGAAGATCTGGAGATTCTACAATCCACTGCTCTTCGCATCCATCATAAAGAGAGCGCGAAGACCCAAAGTCAGAACATGGTTTCTTCCTCTGCATATAATGCTATCTATGGCATGATGACTCCCCAGTCCGAATCTCCAAGGACTGGCTTGTCGGGTGGACCGATTAATCCTTCGCCTCAATCCCCTCATCATAATGGGACTATCTCATCGCTTCAAAGAGGCTCTGTGGTTTACAGTCGGGATCCAAGTCCTGGCGCGGATGGACGTCCAAAATCAGGGTTGAGCCGCGAACTTGCATTTGGTGGTCGCGGCCGACGAGATGTTCGGAAGGGTGCTGCGGTTGAGACCGATGACAAGAACAGAGGAACTTTTCCACAGGCAGAAGACGATAGCGATGACGAAATGTTTTCGACAATCTACGGGGAAGATGAGTATCCCATCACTGATTCGGCTCCCTCGCCGCAAGATGCTCAATCTTCCAGCATTCCTTTCAACCAAGAAGCTCTCTCTACTCGACACTCAAGCCAGGGATCTCTTCTAGCCCGGTCAATTGGTACACCCTCGAGTTCGACCGCCCCCAGCACAGTAGAGAGTGAGGATACACTTCTCCCTCTTTCACGACCTTGGGCAGAACCAGGAAGCCGTCTAAGCGGCACATCCGTTCTGTCAGTTGACTCAGTTGTTGGAGACAAAAAAGACTACAAACTTCAGAAGGTGGACCCTTTCTTTACTGACAGCAATGGCGAGTATTACCGAGTATTCGAAAAGAAGCTTGAGGAACTCAGCGGCTCCAACTCTGATACTCAACTATGCATTGAGCAATACCTCGAAAAAAGTGAAAGGAAATGGTTCGACCGATTCAGAGACGCTCGTCTGGGTCGCAATCAATCACCAGCCCCTTCCATGCTATTTGGCAGAACTGGCACCTCTCCTCCAGAATCCATCACTAACGACGATTCAACTTCCCACGATAGCGAAGTTCCAGGGCGCAAAGAAGATGGTGCAGACGAATTCCAGCTTGGAGACGACTATGTTCCACCTACTGGACTAAAGAAGTGGATGCAGATGCGTATCGGCGACTGGCCTGTCTACTCCCTCTTCCTTGGTCTAGGGCAGATCATCGCCGCGAACTCTTATCAAGTTACACTGCTCACCGGTGAGGTGGGACAGTCAGCCGAGAAACTGTACGGAATCGCGACAGTGTATCTGGTCACTTCATGTCTCTGGTGGCTCTTCTTCCGCTTCTGCAAGTCGGTGCTTGTTCTCACAGTCCCATGGTTCCTGTACGGACTCGCGTTTCTGATTATCGGCGTGGCTCATTTTGAGCCCAACTCATTCGCACGCGGCTGGATCCAGAACGTGGGAAGCGCCGTATATGCTGCAGCCTCGTCAAGCGGCTCTGTTTTCTTTTCTCTTAATTTCGGTGACGAGAGCGGTGCGCCGGTCAAGAAATGGGTGTTCCGCGCTTGTCTGATTCAGGGCACGCAACAAGCCTATGTTATTGCGCTGTGGTATTGGGGATCAACTTTGACCAAAGCCTCCGCAGCTGGTGTGTCAAATATCCAGGGCAATATCACTAACACTTGGAGAATGACGTACGTTTGTCACCTTCTATGAACGTTAATTATAATGCTGACACAAATATCACAGGGCTATTTGCACACCGATCACGGTTTTCCTCTGGTCTATAGGCTTGATAGTCTTCTTCGGTCTTCCAGATTACTACCGACAGACCCCGGGCGAAGTTCCTTCCTTCTACAAGTCTGTTTTCCGACGCAAGATCGTGCTGTGGAACTGGGTTGTGGTCATTCTTCAGAACTTCTTTTTGGGCGCCCCTTATGGCCGGAACTGGAACTGTAAGTATTTTCTCTTTCACAAGGACACATCTGAGCTAATCCGTTCATGCTATAGTCCTCTGGATCTCCAACCATGCCAAACCATGGCAGATCCTGCTTCTCTGTATTGGCTTCTTCGGTGTCGTCTGGATAGGAGTGCTTCTATTCATAGCGTATTTATCCAGATCACACAGCTGGATTCTCCCCGTCATCGCTTGTGGCCTCGGCGCGCCACGCTGGGCACAAATCTGGTGGGGAACGTCTGGATCAGGCCTCTTCCTTCCCTGGGCAGGTGGATATACATCAGGGGCTCTAGTGTCGCGCAGCTTGTGGCTATGGCTTGGTGTCTTGGACGCACTACAGGGTCTGGGCTTTGGTATGATCCTATTGCAAACACTGACGCGCATGCATATCTGCTTCACTTTGCTAGTATCGCAGATCTTGGGCTCCATTGCCACCATCTGTGCCCGCTCTTTCGCACCAAATAATATTGGGCCTGGCCCTGTATCTCCGGATATCACGGGCGGGGCAAGCGCATTGGGAAATGCTTGGTTCTGGATTGCATTGATGCTCCAACTTTCAATCTGGCAAGTTGCTCTGGGTGCGATATATATATTAGCATTTCTTTTCTAACTGATAGTTCTAGCGGCGGTTTCCTTCTCTTCTTCCGAAGAGAACAACTCTCTAAGCCATAAGCTATATACCCGGTGCTTGATGTCGGTCAAACAGTATACGGTATTCGTGACAAGGCTTTATACTCAGACCTTTACGCTCCTTTTATACGTCCTTTTATACGTCTATTTCATGTGTCAATTTCCTGGGTATTCTAGTTTGTCGCTATTGATCAAGTGCCTAATGGAAGGACATCGGTGAACAGATCGAAGTGAGAAAGTCCTGAGGATCGTTCACAACTCTCACTCTCTACATCAGGGAAAAAGAACAAAGTTCTTCAGCTGGTGATTTAAACTCATAATTCATTCCTAAGAAAATTCGTAGACTATCCGAAGAAGCAAAAGGAAACAGCCCGAGAAACACGGAGCATGGAACAAGACATGGCGGGGAATAATGTTTTTTGAAGCACAGCCCAGGACTAGGATAGCGAATTACCAGATTTATATCCAAGCTCATCATCCTCCATAGAGTAGTCAAGACAACTTTACCACTCGAGAGGCTCGTTCTTCACGTCACCCCGATTGGTCTTGGGGACGGGAGCTGCCTCAACCATGGTGGCACCGCGGTTGCCACGCTTGAGGTAGCCGCTGCCATCGAGCCAGGGAGTCTCAAGGCTGCGCTTAGTCTCGAAAGAACGGATCTTTCCTTCCATTTGAAGGGTAATACCGATGTCATCCAGGCCGTTGATGAGGCAGTGCTTACGGAAGCTCTCGACATCAAAGCCAACAATCTTGTTGCCCTGGGCATCCTTGATCTCTTGGTTGACAAGGTCGACCTCGACTTCGCGGCCGGCACGGGCCTCAGCGGCGACCTTCTGCAAGGCAGCTTCGTCGGAGATGACAACGGGAAGCATGCCGTTCTTGAAGGTGTTGTTGAAGAAGATGTCGGCGAAGGACGGGGCAATGATACACTTGATGCCGAAGTCCAGCAGAGCCCAGGGGGCGTGCTCACGCGAGCTGCCGCAGCCGAAGTTGGGGCCCGTCACGACCAGAATCTTAGCGTTGCGGTAGACGCCCTGGTTAAGAATGAAGTCTGGGTTCTCCTGGCCGTTGGTGTAGCGGAGCTCGTGGAAGGCAGCCGAGCCCAGACCAGTGCGCTTGATGGTCTTGAGGAACTGCTTGGGGATGATGGCGTCGGTGTCGACGTTGGCGCGGTCCATCGGCGCAGCGATACCCTTCAGAGTGGTAAACTTGGGCAGACCGGCACTGCTGCCAACCGAGGTGTTGGTGTGAGGCTCGTTGTCGGCCGGCAGGTCAAGGACGCGGTCGAGTTCGTCCTCGGTTTCAGGGGAGTCATAGTCCTGCTGGACATCGACCTTGGGCTCGGCCTTGGCAGCAACGGGGCTAGCAGAGACGTGCTCGCGGACATCGGCCAGCTTACCGACGATGGCAGCGGTCGCAGCCATGGCGGGCGACATGAGGTGAGTACGGCCACCGGCACCCTGGCGACCCTCGAAGTTGCGGTTAGAGGTACTGGCGCAGCGCTCTTGGGGCTGGAGGATATCCGGGTTCATTCCCAGGCACATGGAGCAGCCAGCCTCGCGCCACTCGAAGCCAGCGTTAGTGAAAATCTGGTCTAGACCCTCAGACTCAGCTTGCGCCTTGACCAGACCCGATCCGGGCACAATCATGGCAAGCTTGATGTTGGAAGCAACCTTGCGGCCATTGACCACCTTGGCGGCAGCACGCAGATCCTCAATACGGGCGTTGGTGCATGATCCAATGAAGACCTTGTCAACGACGACCTCCTTCATAGGGGTTCCCGCGGTGAGACCCATATACTCGAGAGCGCGCTTGCACGAAGCCTTGCGGTTCTCATCCTGGAAATCATCGGGACCAGGAACAACACCAGTGATAGGGATAACATCTTGGGGGGAGGTACCCCAGGAGATCGTGGGAATGATGTCCTTGCCGTCCAGGACGACGTTGGTATCGTACACAGCATCGGCATCGGACTTCAAGCTGGACCAGTAGTTGACAGCCTTCTTCCACTCGGCGCTGTCGTACTTGGGAGCAAGGGGACGGCCCTTGAGGTACTCGAAGGTGGTCTCGTCTGGCGCAATCATGCCTGCACGCGCACCAGCCTCGATTGACATGTTACACATGGACATACGCGCCTCCATGCTCAGGCCGCGGATAACGGATCCACAGAACTCAATAACGGCACCAGTGCCACCGGCTGTTCCAATGACACCGATAATGTGGAGGACGACATCCTTGCTGGTGACGCCGGGCGGAAGCTGACCGTCGACCTGGATGCGCATGTTCTTGCTGCGGCGGGTGATGAGGGTCTGGGTCGCGAGGACGTGCTCGACCTCACTGGTACCGATACCGAAGGCAAGGGAGCCGAAAGCACCGTGTGTCGAGGTGTGACTGTCTCCGCAGACGACGGTGGTGCCGGGCAGGGTGAAGCCCTGCTCGGGGCCAATGATGTGAACGATACCCTGGCGCTTGTCACCCATGCCAAAGTAGGTCAGGCCGAAGTCCTTGACGTTCTCCTCGAGGGTTGTGCATTGCAGACGCGAGTCAGTCTCTTCGATGAATTGCTCGGCGTTCTTGAAGTTTTTCCGCGACGACGTGGGGATGTTCTGTTGGACGCCAGCAATGCATTAGCCATGGTCTATGATCGATAGAGCGTGTCACATACATGATCAACAGTCACCAAGGTGCAGTCCGGCCGGCGGACCTTGCGGCTAGCGTTCTTCAGACCCTCAAAAGCTTGCTAGAGAAAAAAGAAAGTGAGCATACGTTCGTCACAAGCACACAGGTCTTGTTGAGTACTTACAGGTGAGGTCACCTCGTGCACAAGATGCCGGTCTGGAACAGATTAGACAGGGACAGGGGGTTGATCTATACGAAGAGTGGCATACCGATATAGAGCAGAACAGTGCCATCTTCTTGCTCATTAACGACGTGGGCGTCGAAGACCTTATCATACAAGGTCTTCGGCTTTGTCTCTGCGGAAGGCATAGTGAAAATGAAGAATTGGGGGAGTGGGGAATGTTGCGACTCGAGTAATCAGGAGAGACAGGAGGAATTTATTCTGCAGCAACCGCGATGTCGCAGTCCGGCCAGTCGAGGGGCAGCCCCGATCTCGGTCGGTCAGCGGCGAATACGTGGCGCCTGATTGGCTGCGGTGGCAAACAGGGGGGCCCCGATGTCGGACTCCAGCGGAGTAACGGCTAGTGGCGGCTCTGTCAGTGACTCAAGGACTATATGGTGGTACCATGGGCATGATTCTTATTTTTGCCCACTGATAGGTTCAGGTTGAAGAATTTTTATTTTATAGCATGGAGACCGTACATAGGTCGTTGTCGGTCTTCATCAGATTCACAATACGGCTAATAATAGTCAATGTAAATTGGAATTCATGCAGAGGCCATGACGTAAAGACACCGACCCCAGGGTAACATAGCCTCACGCTCGAGCCCTAATTGGATGCATGCGCCGCGCGCCGTTGGATGGTTTATGCGGGGGTCCGATGGGGGATGTATATAACCCTAGCGAATTCAATGCCGGGGCAATATTGAGAACACAGAAAGGTCATGATCATCTAGGCCGAACTGATCTATGTACAAAAATAGAGAGTGAAAAAAAAATCACGAACGAGAAGAACCCAGATCCATTACAATCCTCTTGCCAGACACCGAGCCAGCCCGAAGCGTCTCCAAAGCGGCATTGATGCCCTCCAGTCCTCCGTCGGCCTGAACAATGTCCGGCAACGTGAGTGTTGTTGATTGCAGTAAGTTCTCCAGCCAACACACCAGATTCTCGCCCACCGCCGGTGATTCATGGAAGAGTTTAATGGGAACGGTGTGATAGCGGATTCTCTCGTCTCTCTCCTTGGGCAGACCAGTTAGTCCCAGAAGATGTGCACGGCCGGTGAGATCGAGGGTCTTTTCAAGTAGAGTCGCGGTGTCTCTTCCCACGATGTCGACTGCATACCGCAGTTTTCCGTCAGTCACACCGCGGATGATATCCACGGCACGATCAGGATTTTGCCGGTCCACTAGGACATCGGCACCGGCGGCGAGGAGCTTAGAGCCATACCGCGCAGCGTCTGCGATGCAGATAACTCGTAGTCCAGCCAGTTTGGCTAGCTGGAGAGTAACCAGTCCAGTTGTTGTTGATGCTTCAAAAAATACCAGTCAGCATGGAATTAGATTTCACATTAACGAGGATCAACATACCACCCCAGATCGCGAGCCAATCGCCACGTTGTAGTCGTTCAGTTTCCCGAATAGAAGAGAAACATTCATCTCGAATATCTTCTGGGATGTCATTTCGCTCGAGCTGAGTCACGATATTGACCAAATTAGGACCAGGAGACTGTAAAATGGTGGAGAAGTCCACTCCAAAAGAGACACCCAAGGCCAATGCTGCAGCGACAAATGCAACTCCTACAGAGGCCGAGGCATGAATCGACGTCGTGGATGGAATCCGCGCCGCATTGAAGTGAGTTGTTATGGCATATTCTTGGAACGCAGCTTTGCGAATGTCTCTGTAGTCTGTTGAGGGGACAAGGACAATGTCGCCGACCTGGAGACGTGAGTTGTCGCTAGGGACTTGCAACACCTGCCCGGCCAGGTCACGTCCGTTAATCCAGGGCAAACTAGGTATGCCGAAGTTGAATGCTCTGCAGGTATTCGATTAGCAACTAAAGATCGCAATGATAATGGGGCCGGGAATTGCGTACGGAGCCTTCCAGTCAATCGGGTTCAGACCGATTGCAAGAACCTGCGGAGCCAGTATTAGAACATGATAATCTGCATGACGAATAGCTGCCATACCTTGACAAGGATCTCGCTTGGATTAGAGACAGAGGGAATATCATGATCGTTGACCAAAGTATACCGTTCGCGGACTCCTTTCAGAAGCAACACCCTCTGCTTTGTCTCGACTAGTTGTCTCCCAGAAGCCTTCTCTTCTGGTTTTGACGTAGAAACATTTAACTGTTCCTCTGTAGTAATAAATCCACGATGAAAAGTCGTAGGCTTCTCCTGGAGCTGAAGGTACGTCGAAGTTGTTGTCGACATGATGCGTGGGGCCAGTAGAGCCATAATACAACCACAAACACAACAGAGAGAAGCCCTTACCACTTTCTATATCAATAATCTATGATGGCTTACAAACAGGACAGCCTCTCGGGCGAGAGAAATAATAATAAGGCAAAGCGCGCTCGCCACAGGCTAGGGCGGGCGGGCAGTGATATCAATCCTTCGCTGAAGCACGTAGGGTTTGGGTCACCTCCACTCGGCGTCTAGCGGAATTGGACTAGATGGAGGCATATCATCTGTCTGTTGCGCAATTGAGAGTTTCGGATGCGTCTGGGGCGTGGTCAGGATGATTCTCATTGCTCACGGCGGGGCCGGAATGGCGTGATGATGATTCTCGTTGGAACACTCGCAGAGGAAACGGTAGATCAAATCTTATCGTAAGCGGGATACTACTTGGATGATTACTCTGGAGCTTACTGAGAGAATGGTGTCTCCAAACAGGAAGATACTCTGGACATGGGATGCGAAACCCGAATTAAGACACTAATCTTGATAATCAGAAACCTTGAGGATTATTAATGTGCATTTGACTTGGAGCAGCTCGCATAACACGTGTCAGCAATAGCAGAAAAGCGAATGTGAAGGGGCTCTCATTGACCGGGATTGATGTGATCCGGGGCTGTGATGACGAGACCTTCGGTGCTACTGGCTCGAGTCTGCCGCGACCCTGACTGAAAACAACCAAATCCCGAGTGCATCTGATTGCAGATATTCAGATCCCGCAATAACAAAAGGTGTTATTATACGTAATTCTTGGTGTGACATATTTGGGTCAGCAGCATTGGGGTAGATCCATGAGTACGTATACGCCGCGGTGGCATTGACGGATCAACTTTTCCAGGAATTCTGGAAATAGAATCTCTCGAGTGATCTTTCTCAGAATCTGAATATTCACCCTTTTAAGTTATCGCCGTTGGATTCTAATAATTAAGTAGCTTGTGAATTTCGTAGACTAAAGCCCTAACGTGGAACCACAATTGTCAACAACGCCAAACCCCAGATTCATCTCAGCTCCTCCAACAAACACCCTGCCTCACAGCCTATCGAGTTTATGGAAAATGTATATGAAGCGGAACTACACAATGATTCCCAAATAATCCGCCGACTATTCGACTTGCAAGACTCGGGCCGCCTGGGCCTTCGTGCGAGCACGTAATCGCGGTCAAGAACGACGACAACTTCTAAGAATTGACGATGAATCTTGCCGATCATTGTCAGGGGCCCAAAACAGGGAAGGCAGCCCACAAACTGCCGATGTTGCCATATCGTGTCATGGATTAGAGTGAGGTCAAAGCATCTAGCAGCTAATGATATAGATTGGCTAGCCGCGCTGCCGGGTTCTTTTATTTTTTTTGGAGAAATAAACATAAGACTTGTGCTGCATCTGACATACATATCGTGCCAAAATCAAAAGAAACTTCCATATGGCCAGCTCGGAAAAAGACATCGCTCCAAGTGATGAGGAGGTGAATGGCGATTCTTCTTTAGATGGTGCAGGCGCTGAACGGCGAGAAGGTAAGTTGGCAATTGAAAACGCCCGAGAATAAGAAGGTTGACAGGTTAGTAAAATGGTACCGTTCAACTTTCTACAATGCTCTTATCCTCGGACTATGCAACTTCCTTGCCCCCGGCATCTGGGGCGCCATGAACTCACTCGGCGGAGGAGGAGAAGAGAAGCCCTACCTGGTCAACGCGGCAAACGCATTAACCTTTGGTCTGATGGTAGTATCTTGTTTCCTATCAAGTGTCGTCGTCCGTCTCATTGGAATCAAATGGACATTGATTGTGGGCACAATGGGATACGCGCCGTACGCGGCCGGGCTCTACACCAACAACCGATTTGGGGATACATGGCTGGTTATATTGGGCGCAGCGCTGTGCGGTATATCTGCTGGAATCTTCTGGATGGCTGAGGCGGCCATCGCGCTCGCTTACCCAGAACCATACAACCAGGGACGTTTCTTAGGATTTTGGCTCAGTTTCCGTGTCGGAGGGCAAATCATGGGTGGCATCATCAGTCTGGGTATCAATGCCAAACGTGGCACAGAAGGCAGTGTATCATACACCGTCTATCTCATCTTCATTGCGCTACAGGCTATCGGTCCATTTGCCGGACTACTCCTGAACAGACCATCTAGGGTTCAGCGGAAGGATGGGATCCCCGTTCAGCTTCACGTCACGAATACCCCCTGGTTTGAGATCAAGCAGATGTCGAAGCTTTGGATTAGCCGGAAATTCTTGCTCATCATCCCATTCATCTGTCAGGCGGTCTACACCGAGGCTGTGATGTTCAGCTATGAGGGATTGTGGTTCACGGTGCGGGCGAGAGCGCTTGGCTCTTTTCTATCAGGTGTAATTGCTCTGATCGCGGGTAACCTCCTCGGTGCATTCCTTGACAGCAAGAGGATTCCATTGAAAACAAGGACTCGGTCTGCGTTTGTCTTTGTCGTCGCCTGGCAAGGGATGTGCTGGACCTGGGCATCGATCGTAACGACAGAATTCCAGAAGACAAATCCGGTCTATGACTGGACCGACGACGGCTTTGGAAAGGCTTTTGCCCTGTTTTTGTTCTGGGTTGCTGGTTTTCAGCTCAACTATATGTTCCTGTACGTGGACCCTATCATAACCTCGGCCGAAATGGAAATTTGCTAATATGATGATCAATAGTTTTTTCCTCGCTGGCAATCTGGCGGACGACCACGAAGAAGTTATTCGGATTGCTGGTTTGTTGCGCGGGACCGAGTCTGCCGCTCAGACTGTCAGCGTACGTTCTTCTTGTTCCTTCTGTCAGCGTTGTGGATGATGCTAACTAGAAGTATACAGTATGGTTTGAGCAGCGTCAGCATCATGGCTTCTGTGGGAGATGTCTATCTCAACTTCGGTCTGTGGGCTGTCGCCGTCCTGCCCGCATGGCTCATAGTCAGAGAGATAGGGACAATTCTAGGAGACAAAAAGTTGGATAGAGAGACGCGCGGGTTGCGGGAGGCTTCTGACGGCGAATAAAAAGAAGTAAGTGCTCCGGATAGTTTTGGCGATATAGTATAAAGACGATCAGAGACTCTTCGAAACGAGCATTTTTGGTTCAGTAGCTAGAGTATATGTACATCAAAGCACAGTCATTCAAGAGTTCTATGAGTCTCTAAACAAGCTCAAAAGGCCTATTATCATGGTGGAACACGAGTAAAGCGAGGCGATGTCGCACGAACAAACCAAGAATGCCGCACGCGATCTGTACCACCACCATGTGCCATGCAAGTCGGTTCTCTTTCATTGGTCCCATCCAGACCAGCCACAGATTCAGAATTGTGAGGTTAGTTGACTCGACAATCTGACCATCTTCATTGGTAGTGATGCGCGCCAGCCGGAGCTTGTGCAGAAGATGTAGTGCCGCGCCAACCAGCGGAGATGGTGGGATGGTCCACTCCGTCACAGACGTGTCCAGCAGGCCAGTCACAGCGTTAAATTTTGGCAGTCGGTGTCTAGGGCACGGAATAATCTTGAATAGTTGCGGTGTCGAGTAAAGGAAGTTGAAGATTTGCGGGATGAACAGTAGCAGCAGGGTTTTGCTGAAGTGCCCAAGAATGCCTACGACGGCGAACACCATGCCGGCGAAGTAGCAATAGGTATCACCCACAAACACCTTGGAAGGATACCAATTGTGGCACAGGAGTGCAGCCGACACGCCAATGAATGGCAACAGGAAATAGATCGAGAACAGGTGGGAGTCGGTTGCCGGGTGCGGGTATGGCGTGACGGGGGCGAGGTACATGGCATCATTGAAAAGAAGCAAAAGTGCAATCACAAGCGATTGAGCCACTTCAATGCCGTTGATACCCGCAAGCATGTTGATGGCATTGGGACAGAAAATTGCAACTGCGGCCATGTACATGTAGTACAACCATCCGAGATCAACAAAGTCACCCAGGTAGCGTTGGAGCGGTACCGGAACGACCACCTGGGTGACGCCGAAGTCGACGAAATAGACGATCAGCATTGGAATCGAGGCGAATGCAGGGATCAGGACTTTGTGTCTCCAGCGGATGTCGAGCAGGTCGTCTCCAATCCCCAGGATGACGACGGATTGCAGGGAAAGAAGACCCGACAAGTATGAGGCAAGCTTTTCATGAAATATTAGCAAACCGATAATTCAAGGAACTTAGGAGAGACAGACTTTGCCATGAGGGAATCGGTGGAGGTATCGGCCCATTTCAACATGATGGACTTCCAGGACGACATCGCGATTTCCTCCACCGGATGTCGCTGCGACGATGTCTTTGTAAAAGGCAAATGGGATAAAAATAATCAGCGACAACAGATATATGACCGCACAGACGGCTCCCATGGTCTCTGGTCTAGGGGTCCGACGTCAGTGCTGCGGTCGACTCCGCCTGCCCGGAACTTGTATACATACATCTCAGGCCGTCGGGGCTTGGCCATGTCTTTTCCCTTCAGGCCAGCCTTCAGAAATACCGGCCCAAGCCATTGAACCAGACTATACCCCAGGGCGAAGGTGATTCCGCTCAACGCAATCGAAGCCACGAGCGGCGCACCGTCGCCCTGGACCGTGTTTACCAGGATGCCGACGCTGGCCCCCACGAGCAGCAGTAGACGCCATGTTTCTGTACGTGAAAGAGAGCCAGAAGAGTTCATGGTGAGCGAACAGCTTCCAAGCCAGGAGATTGTCGTCACACCTGAAAGAATTAGCTGTTGTGACGCATTGTTGCACTCGCAATCTGGCTTCATCCTCGAACAACATGGCTTATTCTGCCGATATTTCCATTCACCGCCACGGAAGCGGTCAGTCCATCTACGGCAACGATGGCCGACTCCACACGAAGGGGCGCTGGACTCATGCCTGAATCGCACTTGCATAAGAATAATCCTGGCCCAGACGTCGTTTCTCCCTCTAGCTGCCCTGCCTCTTCCCAGGGTCCCAACATAGAGTGTTCAACTCCCGGACCTCAACGAGAGCAGTGGAGCGATGTCCGGCGGATTTGCCGACTTTGATGCCGGCCATCGGGATTTGGTGACGGTGACCAAGTTCAATTTCTACGGTAATCGCATCGTCACTGCATCATCCGATCATCGCATGAAAGTGTGGGATCTGAAAGACGGTCAATGGCAACTGACAGACACCTGGCGTGCCCATGACGCGGAGATTCGCGATGTAAGTAGGAAAGAAAAACGAAACATCCAATGTTTACTGAACGTGGAGTTTAGGCAACATGGAACGGTCCCTTTACAGGCCAGCATATCGGCAGTGTGGGGGAAGATATGAAGTTTAAAATCTGGCAGGAAGATGTCACACAACCGCCCAATTCAGGTCGGCGATTCAGGTCGATCTTTCGGATGACCGCACCGCAAAGACACCCGTTCGTTTCTCTGGATTTCCGTAACATCGATCTAGAGTCGTGGCTGGCTCTGATTACGCGAGATGGCTACTTAATGGTCATGGAACCCGTCAGCCCGGACAGTCTTGCGGACTGGCAGCCCCTCGACCAGTTCCGCGTGTGTGCCGCCCCGGAGCGCGGCGAGGAAACCAGCTTCCGGGTCCAGTTTCATCACGATCCCACGGATATCACGCACACCCTCCTGCCGGAATCGGAACGGAAGAGTCTTTCACTTGTCGTGGCGGCGATGGACACGGTCAAAGTCTATCGCACTGACGCGAACCGTCAGTTCTATCATGCCATTGAGTTGAATGGCCATACGGGTCTTGTGAGAGACATTTCGTGGGCAAATGGCTCCGTGCGTGGGTACGATCTCATTGCGAGCGGGGGGAAGGACGGCTTGGTTCGCATCTTCGAAGTGTATACCACGGCCAACACCCACAGCTCACAAAATGCAAGCGGGCGGAAATCGGAAGCTAGGACGCAGTCGCCTTCGATTCGGTCAACGACTCAGTCCGGGATTGGAACCGCACTGGCAAACCGTGCGCCGAAATCCACGTCCAACCGTCGGGCGAGTGGAGATACGCAGTTCCGCCACTCCTGCAAGCAGGTCGCCTGCGTGGACAGCAAACACCTCGATGTGTGGCAGGTGGAGTTTTCTTTTGCTGGTGAGTGATTTGGTTACCCTATATCACGCTCCTCGGTCTGACTCGGTGCCAGGTGACGCTCTCATCTCGTCGGGGGATGATGGAATTGTTCGGTTCTGGAAGAAATCCTTGTCAGGGGAATGGCTTGAGTATGCCGAGACCGACATGGCATCTCAATGAAATCCTGCGTGGCCGGACTTGAATGTGAGACCGAATGGGCGGTATCATGACGGACACCCGCTGTATAACTCTGTTGCTTGTGTGATCCACAAGTATCCGCCATATACTACATCCCGTTTCTGAGATACCCATGCAATGATGTTGAGTTTCCGGTGTTGCGTGCACATCCGTATATGAGGCAGGAACAACCACTCCAAACCCTCCGCGGGCGGGGGTCCCACCCCAGTCTGTTTTACTCTCTTCGTCCAGCGTCACCTTCTTTGGCATGCTGCTCTTTCTTATTTTTACAGATCATTAGCCTGCCATGGCTGTTGGCCCAACACTCGGCACCGGCCTGTTCATCGGCGCGGGTGAGGCTCTGGCCGTGGGCGGGCCGGCCTCCCTCCTCATGTCTTACGCCTTCCTGTCATTCCTAACTTACTCCATGGCCACGACGGTGGCCGAAGTCGCCACCCACATGCCTTCGGAACACGGGACCATGGTGACCCACGGCTACCAGTACATGTCCAGCAGCATGGGATTCGCCACGGCGATGCTCCGGTGGTACTCCATGGCGATGCTGGTCCCCTTTGAGACTACGACAGCAATGGTCAACCTCGGTGTATGGCAGCCAGGTCGCAATGTCACCATGCGCTTGGGATTGATCACATCCATTGTGGTGGGGACCAACTTTCTTCCCGAGCGATTTATTAAGATGTCCGAAGTGCTGTTCACTCGCATCAAGGCCGGCACAATGGTTGCCTTCCTCGCTCTCTCCCTGTCGATCGGACTCGGCGGCGCTTCTGGTCATGAGCAGTGGGGGTTCAAATACTGGAAGGACCCTGGCGCGATGCGTGAATACTTGGCACACGGATCGCTGGGACGATTCTTGGGTTTGTTACAATGTCTGCTCCATGCCGCCGTCGCGTTCGCTTTCGCACCTGAGTTGATCGTGCACCGCGCTGAGAATTCCGAGTTGGCCGAGGCTACCAAGCGTACCGAGAATGGTCAAGCTCCCCAGAGCAGCAGCATCCCTTCCAGAACGGCGACCGATGTGTTGCAAACTGTATTCCCATACGTCCTGAGTGCCGTTGCCATGGGTGTGATGGCTCCGTTCAACGAACCCCAATTGAGCAACAATGGAGCTGGCGCCGGGTTATCCCCCTTCGTCATCGGCCTCAAGACAGCCCAGGTCAATGTTCTCCCCGTGACGGCGACCATCGCTATCTTTCTCTCGTGCGTGGCCTCGGGTCGGTCGTTTCTTTACCAATCCTCACGCATTCTGTGTGCCATGTCCGAACTGGGATACGCGCCCCAGATGTTCCAGTCTCGCAATCGCTGGGGCGTTCCCTGGATCGCCGTGGCCACGTCCGCCTCGTTCACCGGCGTAGCATTTCTGTCTGCGATGCGCTCAAGCTCGGTGGTGTGCAACTGGCTGCTCCGCTTCGTCACAACCTCCGGGTACATTTCCTGGCTAAGTTCCTGCATCGTCTACCGCCGCTTTCACCAGCAAATGAAGAGGGATGAAACTATTCCCCGAGACCGATTCGCCATTCAACCAATGGCAACATCCTTTGGAATTCTTGCCAGCGCCGGCCTGCTCGTTTTTGGCGGGTTGAATGCGGTCGCTCCGAGCACTGCGTCTGAATCACGACCTGTGAGAGCGATCACGACGTACTCGGGGATCCCGGTGTTTCTTTTCCTGTATGTGGGACATCGATTCAATTCGCGGACGCTGCCGAAGAAGCAGAGGTGGGCGGACAATAACCGACCAGCTGAGCCGGGGGAAGGTGTGCATGTAGTTCCCGATTCGTGGCCGCGGCGAGTCCATGGGCAACCTTCGAATTCATTTCACCCTTTGGGTTCCTTTGAGATGCAAGAGCACCCGCGGATGGTTGGGGCGTGACTGGGAGGGAAAGTGGACCTATCGTCCTCGTGTGTATTGTAGTTGGGGTGTTATTGTCATTAATGGGGTGAAATTATCCTTACCCTAGAGTAGTATACGGTGTCCACGTGTTTCAGTTAGTCCGGCTGATCAGCCGAGTTAAAATGATGGTAAACTGAATCAGTCCGTCGTACACACTAGCTACCACTTGCCCCTCTGTCTCTCTTTCTCTCTCTCTCTCTCGGTCTTTTTCTTCCTCCTTCTGCGCCACCCCCCGTCCATCACTGCGTCACTTGGCCGATCTTCCCTTTTCCTCCCAACGTCTTCCTTGTACTTCCATATGCCAACCTCTTCGCCACACCTGCACTATCTTTTTATTTTAGGGGTTCCTTCCCCACACTTACTACGTACACCCAAAACATCCTTTCAGGATCCACCGAGCTTTCTGCTTTCCCCTTCTTCTTTTTCTTTTTTCTTTTTTCACCACTCTCCCTCTCCGGGCGCCCTGCCCTGGGTGGTGTCTCGCAGGAGGGCCGGTTGTGCAGCAAACCCACTTGACACCCTCTTTTCTGGCAATCATGATGACCAACAAACAGCCGCTGGGTTCTCCACCACCCAGCCCAGCCAGCCCAGTCGATTATTATTCTTGCATTCTCACTCATTCTTCGCTGCGCTCGGCGGACTGACCATCCCACAGCTAGATTCCACCTCCGAGGTTTTACACTAATCCCAGCGGTTAATGCCAGCGGCTCGGATGATATACCCCCGTACTAACACCCGCAGCACTAACTCCCCCCTCTCCCAACTCACATACTGCCTGCGGCCTGATACTGCCCAGCCCACCCGCGCGGGAAACCCCGTGACTGCCACGGTACGGCCCACGCTTGACCGGACCGGGTCTAGTGCCACGCCGCCTCACGGGCACAGTTCAGCACTGCGCACATTGCAGCATGGCTGAGTCATCCCCCCCTCTCGCCGCGATCGCAAGCGTCTGACTGGACACCGCGCGGTTCACTCGCTGGGCTTTCGCTGCCTTAGGCCCCCGTAACTTAGCCTCTCTCTCGCTCTCTCGCCCTCTCTCTCTGTTCCTCTCTTTCGCTCTCTTGGATCTGCTCCTCCTCCTCTTCCTCCTGCCTCGAATCTTACTCACCAGTCTCTGCCCTTCCGCCTCTCTCTCCCTTTTTCTCGCCTCCTACTCCTTCCTACCGTCCTCCCTTCTTCCCACTCACTGTCCTGCCTCACTTTTCTTCTCTCCTCTTCGGACCACTCCACGCGAATTTGTCACCCTTTTCACCCTCGTCTCCTCAAGCGCATTACAATCCAATCGCACCCTCTGCGCTACGAATCCTCGTCGCTTTCGACTTTCAAGACCAACGCCTCACCGGACCCCCTCGGATCTCCTCGTCCTCTTCCTCCCTCCCTCGAGGACGCTAGACTGCGCATTTTTGACGAGGCCCTCCTGCGCTCCCCTGCCTCCCGAGTTCGACCATCCCATTTCCATCGTTGATCCATCATTATCGCGCTCCATATCTCCAGTGTGGAAACACTTCTTGGTGACAGGGACACGGTCTGCGCTTAGTGCTGAGGTTTTCCCTTCGTCTCTGCCAGTCATACGCCCCTAACGTCCAGACGCGTCAGGATCTGCGACGGAAAACTGCGGACAACTCACCCACGCATCGTGGTCGTTGACATGCTCTGTGAGAGGTCACGGGTTCAAGTGCGCCTCCCTGTTAAGAACATTAGTCTTGTCAGGACCTGAGAGGGGGTTGTCTGTCAGAGTATGACAGATACCTCCTCCCTCGCCATCACGCACGCCACCACGGATTCGTTTCCGGTCACCGCGCCTCTGGATTCCCCTGCCGCCAACGGCGCCATCTCTGACTCGGTCGCGCCCGACGAAGAAGAGCCCTACACCATCAAATGCATCTGTCAGTTTGACGAAGATGATGGTAGTACGGTATTCTGCGAAGGGTGTGAGACGTGGCAGCATATTGTCTGCTACTACCCGGACAAGAGAGTGCCGGATGTGCACAACTGCGTCGACTGCGAGCCCCGGCAGCTGGATAGTCGGCGCGCGACCGACCGACAGCGGCAGCGGCGGATTCGAGAGAAAAGCGAAGACGGTGACCGGAAAAACCGGCGGTCGGGTGCCAAGTCCTCCCAAAGGAAGAAGATCAACAAGGAGGGCGATGTGAATGGTTTCCGGAGCGAGTCGGGTAGTCGCGACCAGCCACCGAGCAAGAAGGCAAAGATCTCGCATCGTGCGTCTTCATCTATCAGTGCTCTGGCTGGCGCTCCGGCCTTTCCGCCGGACTCGCGCAAGCGCCGTTCCTCCACCTCTATGGCGATGAGCCCGACCAAATTCTCTGGCCCTCCGATCCCTCTTTACTCGAACGAGTTCATGCACCTCTACGACGAAGACGATGACCATGTCAGCATGGACAGCAATCTGTTTGTCAATGTGAGCCTAGTGGGGGACACTGCTTTGTGGTTGAAGGATCCAAACGCGTTGGCGCAACGAACGGGTGGACATCGTCCCGAGGAGGTCTTTACCTGGTCTGATCTCGCAATGGATCGATCACAGTGGCCCTCCTTGACTACGGAGACCATCACAGATCCCAATCTCGAGATCGATGGCCGACACCCGATGTGGAAGATTCTCAAGACCCAGAATCCGATACAAGAAGGACAGGTCGTGGGAGAGATCACTGGCAAGGTCGGCCATCTTCGCGACTACTGCCTTGACCCCAACAATCGATGGGCCGAATTGCGCCATCCGGAACCCTTTGTCTTCTTCCACTCCCACCTACCCATTACCATTGACAGCCGGCACGAAGGCAGCATCCTCCGCTACATCCGACGCTCCTGCAAGGCCAATGCAACCCTCAAGATCTTCATTACCAACGATGTGGAGTATCACTTTTGCTTCGTTGCCAAGGAGAACATCCCGGCGAACTCAGAAATCACTACGATGTGGTACCTGGAACCGCAACTGTCCGTGTCATCGGATGGACTGGTGAAGCAAGAGTCCGGCGATAGTGCAACCGAAGCTGCTGCCATTCGTCTCAGCAATGCTCTGGCCAACTTCGGTGGCTGTGCTTGCGACCCTTCACAAAACTGTCTACTCGCCACCCTGGATCGCCGGCGACACCCGAGATCCTTGGATTCGAGGCAAGCAAACGGCAAGCGAAAGAAGGCGAAAACAAAATCAATTGCCTCACCATTCGATACGGGTCGAGCATCCACCAGCCGGGCAGACAGCGAGACGACCAAGCATCCAGATGAGGATGATCCAGGCGCTGAGAGTCGTTCCACTTCTGGGTCTGCACGGGGTCAGCCCCGTAGTCGCGATCTCAGTCCAAGTGCAGCTCAAGACGCAGCGGCCGCTGCATCGGAGCTATCCAGTCGCGAGCGGCGCAAGATCGCAGATGCCGAAAAGCAATTCCAGCAGCTCGAGCAAGGCCAGGGCAAGAAAAAAGAAACGTCCCAGCGGTCCATCGGCAGGGTCAACTCCCGCTGCTCCCACCAGCTCAACGCAAACGGGATTCTTTGGGTCGAATCGTGCATCAGGCAAGTCACTACAACTGGATACCGGCCATTCTCGCTCGCCCACCGCCGCCGTTTCACCAATGGGTGTTGCTCGTCAAGCTTCTCCTCGGAAGACATCTGGGAACAGCACGCCGCTCAATCGTTCTCCTCTCGCCCGCCCGATATACGTGGATGCCGCCGTCCAAGCAGATGTGTACGAGGGTGATGAACCGCCGTCTACGCCGGATAACTCACGTCGCAAGCGCGGTTTCGTTCCAATGACAGTCCGCCTCCTGAAGCGATACAGTACGGACCGTCTACGGTCTGAGGAGATTGCGCGACAGAAGTTGTCGTCGGCTGGCTCTGACAGCGTGGCGCCAGCGGAATCCCCGTCGTCGAGCACCTTCAACGACAAACCCGACGTTGCCATGGCAGATGCGGAACCGTCACAAGGTGATGTGGAGATGCAAGATACGTCGGTGATGCCTGACTCGGAATCTCCCCAGTCAGCGAAAGACTCTGGCAAGCCACTGATTCCACCACCATGGCCGTCTACTGCTGCCCACAACACCCGGATCCCTGGGATGACCACCCCCGACAACCGTGGCAATTTGCGTGTTTCCATGCCTCCTCCAACACTCCCTCCCATGCCTCTTTCCATCAGTCCCGGATCCGCCTCCACAGCGAGCCTTGCATCTCCCACCACCTTCGAAACATCATCCCCGCACTCTGCTGGACAGCCACCACTCGGGTCAGCTCCAACACCGACTCCTGCCAAGAAGAAACTCAGTCTTGGTGATTATCTGATTCGACGAGGCACGATGGCCACAACGCCCACCTCGGAAAAGTCACAGGCCCAAGCCAACGCCATCCCTGCGGCACAGATCTCACCATCCACGCCAGGTAGCGGTAGTGGGCCCGTCGCCGGTACAGACAATGCACAACAGACCACGCCCACCAAGTCAGAGCCCGACGACACCGACAAGAACGAGGCTTCCGGCTCGCCAGATGTGTCCATGAAGGATGCTACAGAGTCGACGACATACCCTCCCGTCCCGTCCGTCTCCTCCTGAACCCTCCTGAACCTTTTATACTAGCGGCGGTAATGGGTGAGATTTACGTGTTATTACGATTCCCAAAAAATGTTGTGTTGTGGTTTCCAATCAATGAGTCAACTGTACTCCCATCGTGTGAGTGCTGATTTATTTCCCGGCGTTCATCGAGAGGCCACCTTTTTTTGTGTGACGTCCTTGTTCTTTATTCTTGCTTTTCGGCGTATTGGGGTTGGGAACTTGGGTACGGAAATACCAGGAAGCGAATTCGGTTGGGCAAACGGATTGTTCTATTTCGGCGGACTGCAAAGTGCCAAACTGGAGTGACTTGTTATTGTTCTTGTTTCTTTTTCTTTTCCAAATGAACTCCAGGGGGGTTTTGTTCTTTTCTCTCTTTTCCGTTCTCACTCTTCCTAACCTACTCCTACTCTTTTCTTTTTTTCTCTCTTTTTCTTTTCAATGATTTTGTGAGACTACTTATTCGATCTTCTCTTCCACTATCGTCCCGTGGTTGTTTCCGTGAGACGGTATATTAGATAGTTTGTATTAACCCCATGTTTATATTCTTCTCTCTCTCTCTCGATGATAAGCCATGCCCGTATTTGATGGATGTGTTTCGTTGCTGTATACCACTAGGGTATTGATGAAGCAAGGCTTCTTGATAGGTTTACTTGTTAGCTCTCTATAACTTAGTACTTCCGGAAATCGTCGTTTCGCATACCCTGTTGACGGGCAGATCAATCTAGCTTCATAGCACCAAGCACATAAGCTAACATGACCACACGGTATCTCCATAGATGAAGAACCACGACCAGTCTTAGCTCTAATAAATGATGCAGAAATTTTTCTGGCAACGTGCCATCTGATCTCAAATAAACACTGCTATGGTGCCATACGCTACAGCAGTATGCTCGGGACTGTTCTGAGGCTCAGCAACTAATGCCGAGTTAGTCGATAACCCTCGGTTCGCATGCCAATAGGAAATCTAGGGCTCGCTGGCGTGTGATAGGACGAGATTCGACGATTCCGTTGAGCATTGAATGAATAATGCAGCTTTATTGGGGCGAACACAGCAACCGTTGTAAAACAGACCATTGTGAAACAGGACGCGTACTCTATAACCAACCAGGATGTAGATCGAGATCTGCACTCAATCTAGTTATTTCAATGAACCCGAGTACCTCGCTTTGTCTCCCCACCAAATTTAAGGGCAAGAGTGCCCTAAAGAATACTATCAGAGTGTGGTTTAGATATATGGTGTGTACTACTGCAAACTTGGCGATCGAGGATATGTATACACCTGCTTTCATCTGTGTCTACTGGGCAGCCCTAAGGTGTTACTATGCACATGAAGATACCTCGCTCATCCACGAGGACATGCCAAATGTGCCCAAGCACACGGATAAACCAGTGTGCAGAGTAGGACAAGATGCGGACTTTCTACATAAATCACAGGCCTCCTCTTCTTGATCCTCATCTCTTGCCCCATTCTGACCGAATTCATGAAATTCGTCTATCAACTCCAGCCCCAGAACTCATCATGGCTACTACATCACCGCAAATTCAACCAGAAATCCTACTCGTCTCTCTGGAGAAACCCCACACATTTGACCATGAGTACAAGAGTCTCATTAACCACTTCGGAAAAATCTCAAATCTCAGACAGGCATGGCGAGCCGACGAAGTGTATTGGATCCTTTCCGATATTCCTCTAAAGGCGGTCATTCTGACAGATCGAGCACTCACAAGCAAAAAGCACGAGAAGGTCCGCGATGCAGTACTTGAATACGTTCGTGACGGAGGCACTGCAATCTGCACGAGCGATTTTGCGAAAGATTCCAGTCCCGAGGAACTCACTGCGTTCTTCAAGCATGCAGGGCTGTCCTGGACGTATGGACTTGATCATCATGCGACTGTTTCCCTGAACAAGACTCACGCCACCCAAGACGGATGCTGGTTTCTGCCAGAGTCATACACCGCAAAGACTGTTTTCTTGGATAACGTTATGGATTCCGAAGCTTGGTACCGGCCAAATGAGTGCGCTGCTATCAAGGGAAATGTGGGCTCGTTGGATAATACTGTACATGGTCTGAACTTGACACCGGTTGCGTTGGCCAAGATTGGAGAGGGTAAGCTGGGTTATGTTGGTTATTGCAATTCGGACAAAACGTCCCTTGCATTCGTTCTTGTTACGTGTGGGATGCATGTACGTCTGAGGAAATGAATATTATGACATTATCAGCAGCGAGGGTGGTTGTCGAGTAAATCGGTCTATTAAATACTGTTCAATTTGTAATTTTCACATATCGATTTTAACGAGACAGGAAAATCATACAAGAATGCTCCTGTTAAGATTCGGATGGTAAAAAGAGCTCGCATTGAATCTGTTAGGCGGGATTTCTGAGCAAGTATCTCGACCATATACCTCCCAGAAGTCCTCGGAGGAATTTGAGTCTCTGGGGAAGCGGCTGGGCAAGCCTATACTTGCAGCCCAAGGTACAGACATAGGAAACCATGGCGCCTACGGAAGTAATGCACGCGTTTCTGTTGCTTGTCGAGCATATTTATGGTGGTTAAGAAGGGTATTACAAGGTTTTCTGGGATTCAACGACGGGAATATCAAGTCCATTAAAAGAATTTTTATTCATGCCAAATGGGTTAATCGTTTCTACGCACGTTTGCCATTCACTTCTCTTGGTACAATTTCTTATTTATTTGCCTAACTTGCTTTTACATTATTCTCATGACATCCCGTGAAGGAAACATTGCCGGTCCAAAGTGATACGGTATAACCTTTTGCGTGGGGAAGATGGCTGAAATCATGATGGATAGTACTTCACGGGCTTGACACCGGCCAGTTTAGTGATAGGTTCACCTGACTTTTCTACCCTTTCCAATTCTTCACGGGCCATTTTCGATTGTATCTATATAGGAGTGTTAGTTCCTATAAACAAAGCAATATCTCAATCGTAGGGGACTTACCTCTATGCGGTTCGGGGAAATAAGCTCCCTCGGACCTGTAATCTTCCATTCAGGTAGGCCCTTGGGCTTACCCAGATCTCTTAAAGTCTTCTGCTCAACCAGGCTATACTGGCCATCTGCGCGGTTGAAGTTGAAGGGCTCCTTAAGGGCGACCGGCGGGTTGGTAATAATGCGAATATCGCGTCGCAAGTTGCGAGAAGCGGAGTGCAGCATGAATGGGTGGAGAAGAAAGACATCTCCCACCTCCCCAGTAGCCTCGTGGAAGGACTCATCATTTGTATATGTTGAGGAAGAACCCCACCGCTTCCAACAGTGGGTTTCTTTCGGTACGGTATTTGGGACGTTGCGAGAGGTGAGGGACGGCCATGTGCCCTCGGGGTGGTTATACTATATCATCTTACAGGTTAGGCCGCAAAAGATTGAGTTTCTTTGAAAAGAACATACCAGATGATCAGCCACCAGCCCAATACCATCAGTACAGATCATCGTCCCTCCTCCCTTCGACTTAATATCGCTGAACAGCGGAATAACCAAAAGTGCTTGCTCAGGACTATCCAGGAAATGAATGAACCAGTCCCCATCATTGTGCCAATTATCCAAAGACCGAGGATCCAAATCATCTTCCGGACTGTATTCTGGCTTGCCCATATTCACGATCCAACCATCCTTCCAGTCTTTGCACCAGTCAGCAATTCGGTCTGCTCCGCCAACCAGTTCGCAGATGGCGTGCCAAGCTTTGGGAGCAAAGTCCTCGACGCTGATCATGGTATGACCCGGCATGTTCACCTTCTCCTGCACCCAGGTTGATTTGTCAGTGGGCGAGACGCCTAGACGAGTCCAAACTGAGGAGGTGAATTCCGCAGCTGCTTCACGAGTGAAGCACTGAGGAATTTTGATGAAGCCATGTTTGAGCCAGTGTTGCTTTTGCTCCTCACTGAGAGTATATTGGGGCTTTGCTGCGGGCATACTTGGTGCTGCTGTATTCCTCTCCAGAAGTCAAAGAGATTTGAGCTACTGGAGAAGCACTGTCATTTGGTCTTATGAATACTCGCTTGACTGATGGGCTGACCAATGCACCGGACTTTAGCCGTTGGCTTCCAAAGTTGTCTCGGTGGTAGTTCCGTTCCCAAATAGGTCGAACCGCGAATGGTGGAGGTCTGCGGGGTAACGATATGTCGATCGAGTGGTGAGAACGCCTCATCGGTGCCATGATTGCCAACTGGGAATTTCCCATGGCTTCTATAGGGCTTCTCTTTACAATTGACGTATTCCTGTAAGCGCACTATCATATATTTAGTTCTATGCGATACGCATAGCACATTTCTATTGGCTACACAACCCCGGCCAGTAGATCTTCAAAGCTCTCTTGAATGGAAGCCTCAAAATCGCGTTCGGTTCTCGTAGGTTTCCAACCCAACTCATAAGCCTTTTCAGGTTTAGTGCTTGAACTATTCATCCAGTCAGCTCACATGTTCTTGCTGTTGCGGGGCGATCCAGTTCCTTACTTGGATGAGAAGCATGCCTCTGCGAATTGAGTGTCTCCGTCGGCCAATTTCACAGCCGCCTCTTCCAGACTAATTGACCTCGGGGTCGCCGATTGCAATGCGCCCAGGTTAAACCCTATCTTTCCAATCTGTGTCGTCACGTCAAGCCACGAATGAGACCCGGTGCTTGAAAAGTAATATCCATTGCGGCCGAAAGGAACATCTACTCCAGAGAGAATCTTCTCCAATAGCAGCGCATACAAACTCGAAAGATCAGCCACGTGGACATGGCCAGAATTCGTTGTTCCTGCGTTCAGATGCTCCGAATAACCAGTTGTGATTGCATTTCTGATCAAAGTTGGGATCTGATGTGATTGTCGTTTGAACCAGCCATCGCCACGGCCATAGACTGAAGGTGGCATCACGATGTACGTCTTGACATTTGCACTTTCACCGGTTTGAATAACGTTGACATCGGCGGTTCGTTGGCCGTATGCTTGGTTTGCTTCGCGAAGCAGCTCATACTCATAGATGTTATCTTTATCAGAGAATGTCTGCACTTCAAAGGGAGACTGAGTAATTGATGACGCGGCGATGTTAGTTGTCCCAGAGAGCTAGATGTCCGTTCAGTACATTCTCGTTACTATGTGCCAATTGGAGTCTCTCACGTGAAGAAAATGGACATCGGCCCCTGTTTCTTCCCTTCTCTTTTGAAGACCCCGTATTAGTGCCTTGGGAGCATCAGAATGATGACCCGAGGCTACATTCACAACAATGTCATGGCTGCTTGCCACCTGTTCTAATCTATCTGCATCACCCAGGTCGTTCACGAGCACCGTTTGAACTCCTTTGCCTGCAAGAAGGTCTGCTTGATCAGGTCGGCGCACAACGGCTGTTATGGATAGGGACTTGAGTGCAGCATCAGTGGTGTCGAGTAGCCGGTGCAAGACTGTTCCTCCTCTGTAAACGTTTCTCAGTCAAATACTAATTAGATATTGACTAGCTGGACGTACATAAACCCAGTTGCTCCGGTGAGAAGTATATTGGAAGGCGCCATTCTGGATATGTGAGATGTGAGGCAAAAAGAAGAGGCTCTCCTACAATGTTGATAGTAAAAACTAAGATTATTCACTTGTGATTAGAAATCAAGTTACGGCCCCAACATCTGCAGGAATACATATTCCGTGGGCGGGGAGGAGATTACTCTACACCCTGAACAGCGAACCAGTGTATATCCAAAACAGAACATGTAGATGTTCGACGAGAATTTTCTGCAAGATACTAGGCTGGTAACAACAGGCCTCCTTACTGAAAGCGGCCAGTGGCTAGCCGTAAATTGGGAAGAAGCAACATACTTCCAGCTAGGAAAGTGATCGCGTGCTCTTTTTCGGCAATGATAGTTGATTTGCTGTATTTCGAATTGTTTAGGATCTTAAAAGGCATTGGTCGAGCGTAAACAGTTGGCAATGCGTATTCCCTCTCCACCAGTCAATTGGGTGAAATGTTGTGGTATATGAGGTCACGGTCGATGAGTCAAACTTGGCGATAAGAGGGGTCGATCGGTGATCCTTCATCGACTTTTCCCTCTCTTACAATGCCCTCAAGGCCAATTCTGAGCCTACCTCATTTACTATGAGTGCTTCAGAAACCGATTCCTTGTCGCCGGGTGACGTCTCATCCCGTCGATCATTCCATGCAATGACTCCCGAGATCGAACAGCCCGCACTAGCGCCAGCTGACGGCGGCAGAGCTGCCTGGCTGATGCTGGCGTCAATTTGTCTCATTCAATTGCCCGTATGGGGTGTGTCTTGAGAGGACTCGTGTTTTCAAATAAAATTACTAACTGCAAACAGGCTTCTCTCTTGCCTTTGGTGTCTTCCAGGAATACTACTATACTCATGACGTGCTGAAGGGAAGCAAAGGCGACCTGGCCGCGGTGGGAACTACCTCTACTGTATGCAGAGAAATTCTCCAGACCAAGAAAGATTCTGATCCTCAGATTAGGGCGTCATATACCTGCTCTCGCCCGTCACTTTCACGCTGTTGACTCGGTATCCGCGTCTTCAGTACTACTGTGCTCCCGCGGGTATTGTTATCACCGTTCTCGGGTCATTGCTTTCCTCCTTCGCCATTGAGGTGTGGCATTTAATCGCCACTCAAGGCGTTATGTGCGCCATCGGCAATGCGCTCCTGTTCAGTCCGTCATCACTCTATCTCGATCAATGGTTTGTGCGCCGGAAAGGCCTCGCGCTTGGGATTATGTGGGCTGCGAAGAGTATTTCTGGGGTGGTGATGCCCTTCATTGCTAGTGCTTGTTTGGACAATTTTGGTTCGAAAACTACGCTGAGAGCATGGACTGTCACCGCGGTATGATGATACTTGACATTACAACATCATAAAGCTGACAGTCCATCTAGTTGGTGACTTCACTCATGGCTCTGCCATTCATGAAGCCGCGGATTCCAGTGTCGCCATCTGCGTCCGCCCGCCCCCTGGATCTTGGCTTCTTAAAACTGACCACTTTCTGGATGTTGCAAGCAGGAAATGTCATCCAGAGCTTTGGATACTTCCTCCCCTCGACATATCTCCCTTCATACTCTACCACTACAGTCGGTCTGTCCCAGACCACTGGCACATTGCTCGTGTCGCTCTTTAACGCGACATCTGTTGCCGGCGGGATTGCTGTAGGTATGCTCTGCGATCGCTTCCCCGTAACAAACATTATGCTTCTGTCATCTGTGGGATCGGCACTGTCTGTGATACTTTTCTGGGGCTTGGCAGGGTCCGAGGATCCAGGCTCATCGCAAACAGCAATGGGACTTCTTATCACGTTCTCCATCTGTTATGGCTTTTTTGCCGGCGGGTTCAGCTCTACCTGGTCTGGTGTCATCACTCAGATCAAGCGTGACTCTTCATCATCCCTGGAGACAGGATTGGTCTTTGGCCTTCTGGCTGGGGGCCGGGGCATTGGGAATGTCATCAGTGGACCACTGAGCACGGCGCTGATCCAAAAGGGCTCTCTTACCGCTGGTCATGGCCATAGTGGTACTGGATTTGGCACTGAGTACGGAACTCTCATTCTCTTCACGGGCATCACGGCATTTTTTGGTGCGTGGAGCTGGATGTGGCGGTATATCAGCACCGGGGTGCGTCTGGTCATTTGACGTGGGATTAAGGAGTACTACGGCTGGTCAGTGAGATTGATTAGGCTGAAATGTGAAAGATAGCAAATAGCAGCGTATCATATGAAACTCACGAAGACCAGCACTTGGTCGCCAGAGAAGTGAATGCCCATATAGATCGAGATCAAATCACGTGATCGATTCTGCCGCTTCATTCACTGCGAGTCCGCCGAGAAGGTGTCATTCGCGCAACCCTCAACAGCAGAAGCTGCACCCCCTAACCACCTTCATTGCAGCCTCTGCTTCAGGGCCATCGCCCATCCTCGTCTCCACGATGGCTTCCGATGCTGCGTCGCAGGATCCCCTCCTCTCGCTCCGCCGCGCCATCGCAGCCGGCAGCCTTCCCACGCCGACAACCTCGTCCGAGCTCAGCGACCAGCCAGCCACCGACAATCTGGCCGAAGCAACTCATCTGTACTTCGCCCAGCCAAGTCCGCAGGTGATTGCATTGAACACAGCGACGCGCTTCGTGTCTGCGTCCACCGACGCGGCCGTCGACCTGCGCAGCATCTTTTTCGCGTGGCAGAAGAAAGATGTCGCCATTCCGGATTACATTGCCTCGGCGCAGGAGTTGAATGAAAACCTCAAGAAGAAGGAGGGTCAGGAGCCAGGCAAGGAGGAGGTGGTGCAGAACCTGGTTTTCGTCGAGCGTCTCGATCTCATCACCTGGCTCGAGGGCGCCTCTGATGAGAGCGAGTACATCAAACCTCTCGAGGGTGCTGCCGCTGCCGCTGAGGCTGCCGCTGCCGCTGCTGGCGCCGCTCAGGCGGAGACATCGGCTGGTATTGCCTCTGGCGCAACTGGGGGCATTTCCTCGGTGCCCAGTGGTGCGCCGGCTGCACAGGCGGGAGCTCAGGCTGGTCGCGCGCAGAAGCCTATCGATCCTCGGTTGCAGGAGATCTACAACGGAGAACGGAAGACGGGGGATCGTAATACGGTGCTACGGGGCATCAAGCCAACGGTGAGTCTTGTTTTCAGTCCGTAATCACACCCACATCCAATCTAACAACCAAACAGGACTTCTCACACGTCCGCAAAAGCGCGGAAATCTTCCTGGATCGCAACCGCAATCGGGCCGGGCAGGCTGGCGCCAAACCTGGCAGCAAGAACCAAGTTGTGCCCGCCCCGTCCGCTGGGCTGTCCATGACCTCGTCATCTCGCAAGTCCGGCTCGTCTTCGCGACCCGATCCTATCATCCTCCTCTCCCCATCCGCCTCATCCCTAATCCGCATGTCAAACATCAAATCCTTCCTCCAAGATGGCGTCTTCGTACCTCCCGACCACCCAACCTTAAGCATGACCGACGCCCCCAACTTCCTCTACATCAACCGCCCCTTGCGCATCCTGGCCGACCCATCCGCCTCAGCGAGCGGCGCAATCGGTTCCTCCGGTGGCAAGCCCCGCAAGCCCACGCGGTTCATCGTCGCCGACAGCCCCGCCAATTTCCGACCCGAGTACTGGAACCGGCTTGTCGCTGTGTTTACCACCGGCCAGACGTGGCAGTTCAAGTCGTACAAGTGGACTTCGCCCCCGGATCTTTTCAAGCACGCAACTGGTATCCATATCGGCTGGGCCGGCGAGGAAGTCCCCAGCCAAGTCAAGGGGTGGGGTCGTGGCGTGAAAAGCTTCTCCGTTGACCGCTGGGATGAGAAGGGCGGGCCGCATGGTCCTGGGCGCTGGAGAGATCATGAGATTGTCGAGGGCATCTGGTCGACTATTGAGGAGAGCATGAAGCTGCATGGATGGGGATCGAAATGAGCTTCCTTTTTCGCCCCCTCTATCTCTCCCTTCTTGCCTTTGTTTCCCTTCTTCCCCCCATTCTCGATTTCAACGATATGATATTTCAAGGCGGGGGTCCAGGCGTTGTCTAGCTGTGTGAACTCTTCTTACCTCCCCAAAGCTTTTTCTATTCTAGTCTTCTTCCCTTCAGATAGAAAGGTTTTATTCTGTACAATGAAAAAAGAAATGGACTTGGATTGACTTCTTTGTGGAAAGACTGCAAAATTATAGTCAAACAAAGTTTAAGACACAGCAATTGTCTAAGCGTTGTGGATTAGTAGATGTATAGCAGACGTTACGCCACGTACTGCATGTGCAGGTCCTGATGAAGTCTATCTATAAAGTCAACTCTATTTACACGTTGCGCATATGCTATCCGACGGCTTAACTCTATTTTACTTAATTTTAAACAGTCATAGTATCTATGAAGATATTTACACAGGACTGGGGATTAAGAAGGGCGCATAGCTTATAAGCATCACAGCACCAGGAAACTACGTAGTTGCTACAGGCCAAAATCAATAAGAACTGAGAATTGAGAATCATGTCCATTGCAATTAAATCCACAGAGCCGAGCTAGTTAAGACGACATGCACACGCATCATAAAAAATAATTAGCCAGAACTCACACGCTGTGCCGGAAGAAAATGATAAAGGATATGAGAAGATGCAGATTGGACAAAGAAGATGAAAATGGAATCGGAAGTGGTATGAAAAGGAACAAAGGTGCTCAAATCAAGCTCAGATAAGGCAGGCAATGCAGACGAACAAATGGTGTATTGAAGACACGAAACACAGCACGAATAATTAAGAAAACGCCATTTCCGATGCTCGGTAGTAGAAAGATTCAAAAGAAAAATAATCCTCGAGTCTTGAATGTGTTGGTGTTTTTTTGGTGTTTTTAGTTAAGTCTGTTGTCCTCCATGAATGGGGAGTCGATGAGACGTGTTTTGTATGATGCAGACACTTCTTCCAATGGGTGTGGGCTGGAGAAGGAAGGGAAAGAAAAGTCGTTCCAAATATTACAAGATGTTTTCCAGGTTCCGGCCTTCTCTATAACATGAGCCATCGATCGTAACGTCTTTCGTCGGGGGAGCGAGCCGAGGATGTATCGATCTCGTGACGGGTGGGTATCAAGGGTATGGAAAGCCGTCGGTGCTTGTTTGACAGGCGGCAGGTCGTGTCGGTCGTGACGGAGGTGAAGGCGGACCACCGGAACAATGAATCTCGACTGACCCAAAAGGTTGTTGGATGACGATGATACAGTGCCGCGGGGCATGGCCGTTTTGTCCAGAATGTCAACGCTGACCACGGGAGACGTGTCATGCCCGGGCCGATCGGCTCATGGTGCGCTCTGGAAGGCCCTGATTGGGCGAGTACGAGCGAGCAGAAGAGATGTCCACATCGTGTTCTTGGAGGACCACGGCGTACTTGGGATCGCGCATAAACTTTGGTACAGAGTCCTGAAGAAGGTTAGTTAGCACCATAGAATTAAGAAAAGAAAAAGACTTACGCTAGCCATCAACTTGAAGACCGAGTTTTGGGCAAGCTCGAACAGACTCACGACTTCCTGGAGGCTCTTGAACATTGACTCGTCATCTCCAACGGCCTTGGTCATACGACCAGCCAAGCTGTTGCGCAAAGCATGGTCGATGTTCAATTCGCAAGGCGAGCCAGGGGCCAGGAAAGCGTTGTACAAGCCATAGGCTGCGGCTAGAGTTTCTCGGACCGAGTCCACCTTGTTGAATGTACCGATCTTCTCCGCCTTGTGGTAGTTGGCCGTGAACTCCGACACGTCAATATAAAAGGACAGATTCTCCTCACACAGCGAGTAGCGGAGAAATTCCCGGAAAAGAAGCCGAAGAGCCGGGTCTTGCAGGATATGCGTCAAACGGGAGTTGTTCGAGTCGCGCGGGATTCCTCGGTTGTCGTAGCCACTGCTGGTATCACGGCTCTTGTCACGGGCAATCCACCCGCACACGCGCTGGCCACGTTCCGTGATGCCGTAGATCGAATATTTAGAGGGCTGGAAAACCGCATTCCCGGAATCTGGGAATGATTTATCATCCTGAATCATTGTGATCAAGCCGTACTTGACAAAGAGCTCGGCAATCAGGCACGTTTCCCGGCGGTCAATGGTAGTTGAGCAATCCATCAGCCAGTCCACTGCGGCCTTGCCGATGAACGTGTTGTTGTATATCTTGCCATCCTGCAGCTTCCGTTCGCGTGCCATCTTCACACCCACCAAACCGTTGGCGTAATCAGTCAGCGAATCCGAGTCCGAAGTGGAGATGGTGCTCTTGATGTTGGGGCCCTCCTGGCCGGCAAAGCGGCGGAAGATCACCTCCATCGTGGCGCGATCCGGCGACAGCTTGTCGGTCTCGACATCACGCTCTAGGGTAACCAACTGCATCGTGTTGCGAGGTGACTCCAGGACAGCCATGACGTGGCGCGCGGTGATACCATTGCGCTGGCAGAAACGCTGCAGGATGTTGATACCCTTGGGCGTGAGCTGGAACAGAGCTCCCTTGAGCGGGAAGATCATGGTCAGCTTGCCATCCACGGTCTCGATGAACCGGGCATCGAGGAATCGCTGGCAAACCGAGCGGGCCATTTCCTTGGCCATGGAGAAGGTGGTGGTCGTGGTGGTGGTGACAATGCGAGACGGGTCCTTGGGGTCGGGCATGCGATTGGATTGGGAGAACTTGAGCGAGCCCAGGTTGTTGATGGCCTCTTCCGAGGTGAAAGTGTGGTCATATCGGGTAAACCGGACACGGTGCGAATCCAACTTCAGGCTGACCATGAGGGTGGAGAAGAGGTCCATAAAATCCTACAGGTTGTTAGTGTCCACTGTCCACCATCCATGCAATCGCACTTACCTTAGTGAAAGGACGGTCATCTTCGGTCATGCGCAACAAGCGGGATGAGGTTTGGTGCATTTTGGAGGGTAGAGCCGACTGGACTGGGCGGCTGTCCTCAGGAGGCGTTGGCAGGCGCGAGACGTTCTGGCGACGCCTGGGGAACGATTCGGCTGGCGCCGGGGAGGAGGAACGCGCAGAGTCAAAGGACAATTGATCACTGCTGGGGCTTTTGGCGGACAGTGGCGGGGTCACCGGCAACCCGTTCGGCGACGGAGGCTTTTGTGAGGCCGATAAATTGGCAAAAGCACTGGAGGGTTTCCCACGGGCCAAGGCGGCAAAGGAGGGACGAGTGCGGGAGGAGCAGGTAGTGGTGGTGCTCGTTGGAGAAATGATGACAGAAGAGGACGAAGAGGATGTGCGGGTGAGGGTGGGAGTATGAGCAGGAGAGAAAGAGTCCGGAAGGAGTGGAGGAAGAGGAAGAGAATCTTCTCGGCAGTGGCTCCCGGAAGATATGGTTGGCATTGGATGGGTGGACCGGGCAGGGAAGGGAAGGAAGGCAGAAAAGGATGAGGATTGCGCCGATCGGGGACAAGGAAGGGGGCACAGGTAATAATGGGTGGAAGGAAGGAGACAAGGGGAGCGGGAAAAAGGGGGAAATGGTTTCTTTTTGTTTGGAGGGCAACAACACGTTGAAACCCGTCTGTAGTATACGGAAGAATGGAAAGAAAATCTGAAGAGTGTCTTTGACCCACTGGCCACGCGAACGGCAGCGGCGTGGAAGGGCCGGGTTTACATCCTACGAACATCCTGCGAGGCAGCCTCTGATTCTTTCTTTCCATTCCGCGACCACAACCACCGGCCACGACGACAGTACCCGGCGAGAGAGCACGGCGACTCCGTCCACCACTCTCCACGTTAAATCCCAGGTCATGCAAGTGATGTGGAGCGGTAATACCAATACGGCGTGTGGTGAAATCATTGAACGCATCCGACCCAGGGAACCCGGCTGCAGGGATCGGCGCTCTGCCTCTGATGATTTCAGGAAAAGCCCCCGAGCGCACACCACGTGGGAATCCTTCTCAGCCTCCCCGTGTTGGGTCAAACACCAACCTTATCGTGGGTCGCCACTGCGCGCTAGTGCCCTTCGGGGGGAGGAGTCCTCGGAGGCCGAAAAGTCCGCCTCGTACTGGTGATCAACTAGGCCCGAGAAGGCAGTACCTCGTCGACTAAGGGGATTCAGCTCGCCTTCCACGCCCTTCTTTAGGACGGTTCCACGCCCACGTGGAGTCTTAGCGTCTGTACAATCTCGCTTGTTTCTTCGCACCAACAGCCCGTTTGTTTCACCCCTTTGTTTGAGGTGTGGCCTCAAACGAGGAATGATGGTTCTGGCGCCTAAAACGAGCCTCTCACCGGTCCGCGGGGCCCGGATCCAGGCACCCAACCATGCTTCATTCCGGTCTCACGCATCCGACACGTCAGCGGTGTCGCGACGAGGCACGGTTGGGAGTCATCGATCCGACGCCTCCCAATCGTTTGATAAGGCTTTCGCTAGCATCGTTCGAGCGACGACCTCCGCAATATATCCAATTGATGTATCCAGCCGATCCCCTTGCCACGTGGATTGGACAGGGGGGTGCGTGGATCACCGACTATCCATACCATACTGGAGGACATAGTCTCTGTAAACAATACCTAGTAGGTCCTCCGCACGTACACCAGCCAGGACGACAAAGGGGGCCACCAGGGGCCAATAGTGCCCTGTACGCATCCGAGCACATCCGATCGAGCCCCTCGGACAATAAATGATCGCTGAGGCTCTGACTCCTCCCTCCAATAATTGGGGGCCAGTGTCCAACTAAAAGTGGTTGGACAGGATAAATGGCTGGCCTAACGACTCCTAGCAGTCTACGAGAGTCTAAGCCACGTTACGGACCAGTTTCAGCGTGGGCCGTGCGGCCGCGGGAATCCGCTACTAGCTAAACAGGGTTAAGATCAGACAGCTACGTATTATTATTTCTAGCTGGTGGAAATAGTGATTACCAAGAGTCACCGGAGGATTATCCATCTGAGCGCAAAGTTGCGGTCAGACGGTTTCAACGACCGAAGTAGTGGAAGTCAGTCGATCCCCGTGCTGATCCTCATCACACCATCCCTGACTGCCACGCGACGGCGGCGGTGTCAAACTCGCTCAGGGGTGCGCCCTAGGGGGGGAGAGGGGTGCAGCCAGCCCTGGTTCGTGTTAGCCACGGACCTGAAGAGAAAAGTCTACCAGGGCCATCACGGCCTGGCCCCCCCCTTGCGTGCCGATAGCGCTGGTGATAGTTTGGGGAGGCCCTCGTATTTGCGGTCGGAATAATAACCATATTAACAAGAATCCAGCCCTTCCGCTGAAATGGTTGGTTAGTGCCCTCGTCTCGAAACTATGACAGTAAAGCATGCGGCCGACCCCAGACAGCAGCGTGTGGGGAAGAGAGTGCACACCAGTCATCTCACGATCTCTCTGCCCCCTCTCTGCCACGTGGGATGCCCTAGGACCATCGCCTATTCCTTCTCGGGTACTCACTGCGTCTGCCGACGTGTGGCTGCTTCCTGGATCGGGGAGGGACAGGGATGGCCATCCTGAAGCGAGGGATCCCTCAATGTAGAGCATGCAGAGCATAGCAAAATTATGTACTGTACAAAATTGAGGCAAGATCTGGCTACCAGACATGACTCATGATCGTTTGTTGCGATCCGGCACCCCGATTTGGCTCAGGTGGCGTGGCGTAGACAAATCCATAGATGTAACTACAAGGCGAGATCTTCCCTTCCCGCCGTGGGCTTAGTTCGTCGTGTCGGAGGTTTTTTGCTCTTTCCTTTTCGGCCCCCAATTTGCGAATCGTCAGAAAAAAGAGGGGGCTCTGCGCGCTGTCCGAGCTGGGATTAGACCATTTTTCCGGCCTCCTGTGAATCATGTTTCGGACACTCGCCGCAGCTTGTGCTGGCCCGATGACTCTAGGACTGAATCGTACATCCAATTTTACTCAGTACATTCAACTTTACAAAACATTGTATCCACTTGCTCGAACGGGACATGGCGTGCGAGGGCTGGGTACATATTAGTGAGTGAATCACGTCATAGACTCTGGGAACGAGATTTGGAATCGGAGGGAAAAGCCCAGATCAATCTGAACCGAACAACTCCTGACCCTTTACCAGCGATCTAGTTCGGCCGGAGCGGACTCCAAGCAGCAGCGGGCGGGCCAATAATGTTTCGCCGCAGGGGAGAAAAAAACGAAAGAATACGGGGATAGTCCGTGTGGCAAGTTTTCGCATTCGCATTCGCACTAGCACCATTCAAGAATTTTTCTGGAAGACACTAAGAAGCACCGCCTCTAGGCCGAGCCATGGGTCCGTCTGCTCCACCATCTATCTTCTTGGCGGCCATCTTTGGTTCCCGGATATATGAAGCGATTTGGAATAATAGAACAATCCGATTATTGGGCTCGGGGGAACTCGGTATTGCCCCTTTTTTTTTCGTCTTTGTTCCTGACTTACCTTTGGCTTGGGAAAGGGTACCATTCCACCGAAGCTTGGCGGAATTTGTCGGAGTGCAAACTCTAGTTATTGATCATCGTGTGCTTTACTGTTAGTTAACTACTGTACAGACCGATAAGTGACAAATCCCTATTGGGGGGCTGCGGGCGATTGGATCGGACAGTACTTACTAAGATAATATGGCCTACCATGCAGCAATAGTCCTGAATTTGAGAAAGAGAGTGGGCGAATGTATGAGTATGGTTTACGATTCCTTTCGCCCGTAAGTATTAACGCAAGGATTCAACTCCACGTGGGTTCCCTGCGAAAGGTCGCAATGGAGGATCAGTAGGTACATCTAACATCATCCAAAGGATTCGCTAGTGGATGAGGTCGAAGATCGCAGGAATCGATTGCCCAGGGGTTGCGATCATGACTTGCATCAGTCTATCATCCTTCGCCGGGTGAAGGATGAAGGATGTAAATCATCTACAAGTCCGCCGTCTCCGGTAGGAGCATGTCTGTCCTGCGCAAAAAGGACCACAGTATAATCATAAAGCTGTGTATGACAGCCCGAAAATGGTAAACACCCACTGCTGCACACCATCGGGCAGAGCTATTGTTCCCTTTCCTTCATGTCCGTCCAGTCTGTCTTTCTCTCTCTGCCATGCCTAGCGAAACCCGAAAAAACTCCGTTGATGTGCAGTCTCCAATACCACAAACTTCTGCAGATGTACTACTCCTTCGCCACTAACTACAACTGTCGATGTTTTCCACTGCAAAAGACAAATATGGCGTCATGAGGGGGTGATGTCTTCCAAACAGTCCAAACACGGCTCGTGGATTGTCTGATCGACTCGCTTCTGCAAGTAGACTACTGCATGGACGGCGACAGCGGAGATGACGGACTGTGATCGCCATTACGAGGCCGAATCACAACGCGCTCGTGGCGTTTCTTCACAGTGATGATCCCTGCTCCCCTCGTCTCCTTTTATCCGGTTGTCGTCCATCTGACACTCGAAAACTGGCGATCTTCTCAACCGGAAGACCGAAATTGTCCGATGAATAGTAGAATAATATGCATGATGATCCGCCACTCGTACCGACCAATAAAGTAGCTTAGGTCAATCGTTAAAACACGTTTCACGATCATGTCTTTGCTGGGGTGGGGTGGGACGAAAATGCATCACCGCAAGCGGGGTTGGGTACATGGCCCTCACACCTCGGCAGCCTCCGTCCATCTGCAAAATACCTGTTCCTCATTTTGACTCTGCGTGTATGTGGTGCCGACGGTCGCTTGCAGTGTTGCAGCCATGTTGCACAGATTCCTTGCAGGGCCCAAAAAATAGTTCTCGACCAGCTTTCTTTACTTCATTTTCCCTTCAGTCGTTTCGGCAAGGGCTGGACCTGGCCACCCGTGCAACGGCCTAGAATAACGATCTGCAGCGTGCAGCAGTGGCTGGGTGGATTGGCAACGGCCCGTCAGGTGCTGTCCTACGACTAGGTGCAAAGGTCGATTGACTTGGGTCGTGGGTGTATTCTGCATGGTCAGTCAAACTAGACAGCCGACAGCCGACGGGGTTCTAGGATATGTATACAGGAGGTATACATTGCAAGACGTGTAGTCACAGCATAGCAATACAGCAAGCCACACAATAATAAACCCGGATATATGGATTCAGGAGGAAACTATTGATTGGTCTATTCTAAAACCACGCGCGGCCTGCAGACTGGTCGCATGGTACCCCGGTCGCCACAACCATGCGCCCTCCTTGCATGCTTGACATGCTTCGCGACATGTCACTTCAGACACATGGCGCTTCGCATGCTTACCTGCATTCAGCCTAGCCACAAATCCTGATCGGACGATTGACAATCAATTATAAATGCCTTGGTAATGAGAGGAGTTACGTACAGTATTGTTTGTTTTCGAGATACGCCAGTTTAGGTGTCATTTAGGTGTGCAAATGGGTGTGTGCATTACTGTGGGTTTGGACCCAGAGATTCTTGAATCCAAAATACATGGTGATGGACACGGTCTCTGAAATATATATGCCGCAAGTCTTCGTAGATGCCAGAGTTAGAGTCTCTAAACTTCTCTTGCATATCAGAGTCTCTTAGAAAGTCGAAAGCCATGCCCAATATGTTTAATTGCTGCAACTTCAGGTCAAGCTGTTTCGGGTTTTTGATCCCTCTGTTTTGTTCATGTCAAACATCTATCCTAGGAGCGTTAGTATAGCTAATTGTGGCTTAAAAGGAAATATAGTTCCTAGACCTACGTCGCCTTTAGCATCATTAATCTTGCTATCCAAGACTTCGAAAATTCAGATTTTTGTCGCTCGGAAGCTAAACTCGAGATAAACCCTCGTTCCCTTCAGAGAATCTTTAGAACTTATCTTGCCCCATAGCTCTATCCCAATTTTGCGACCTTCGACCTCTTTGATTTCCGGAAGTTTGGGACAGCCCTTGAACGTTCTCAGTTCCCAGAATGAGTTTCCGGTACGAAGGTCTTCCTGAAAGAAGGTAATAAGACATTCGACTATCAATATAGCGCTTGTTTATGATTGGAACAAGTCGCAATAGGTAAGGATACTACCAAAGACTTTCATACTCGAGAATACTGCTTCTACAAATCTAGATCGAGGTACCAATTCCTTGTCAGCATTTTGCGCATCAGGATTTCACTTGTATTTTTGTGGAATGCTGTCCAGCAAATTTCCAAGGTCAGAGATCTGGAGCCAGATGGAATGGTACCGGGGGAGATGTTCTATATAAGCTGGAGAGGCTGTCCAATAAAATCCTCAAAGACGGATGTGCTAGTTGAATCGTAAGGACACTCGTGACAAAACGATGCTATCTTAGGCATATACAGGCAGTGGCTTATAGCATTGATCAATTGAGCTAGTACGGTATCGAGCGGACCAGCCCGTCCGTTTGAAGCCTATCCTTGTATAACATCCAGATTCATCCACGTAGAGAAGGTGGTAAGACTGGAAGTGTGAGATATAGTGAAGGTATTCGTCACGAAGGTCTAGGTTGCGCTCTCGGGCATTGACCCGGGCAGTTTCTTTTGACCAGCCCTTGGACGCAAGGCCCCGGCTGATGCTCGATTTTGGTAGCAAAAGGTGCTCACCAGCCCCTTTACTTTCGCCGCAACCAATTATCCTTAGCCGAGTTATTGAAAGTGGTCATCTGATCCGTCAACTCAGTATATGGTTCATCATAAGGGTCCTTAATTCTGTAAAAGATTAATGTCAATATCCCATGCGACGTAAATATGTCAAGACTTACCCCCATCCTCTGGCAAGGTTCTCGATATATGAGCACCAGTGCCAGCCCACGAACCACTTCTCCTGCAAAACCCCAGCCAGACTGGCGACGTAATCCTCCCCGCGTTCTCGCTGTCCATTGATTGAGCTTTTCCGTTGTGGGTTCAACTCTGTACAGCAGAAGTTGCCAATATCAGCCAGTAGTACTGGTTTTCCGCCACACTGCCTTGAAAACATTTCCAGTTCCTGTCGCATCTTCTCTCGCGCTACCGGACTCGGTCCTTCCACGAAGTACTGGACAGATAGAACGTCGACATACTTTGACATCGCGTGGAGCACGGCTTCGGGGATTCCCTTGTTGCCGTTGTATCTATCTCCAAGAATGAGGTGGTTTGGGTCCTGCTCCTTTATCGCTCCCACAATTGTCGAATAGTACCTTTCGGCAATCTCGCCCACCTTCTTTGCCCTCTCGGTGTCGCTCAGACCTTTCAGCTGCGGAAAATCGGCCCCAGAGGCGTGCCGAATCCATGCAGGTATATCAACAAAGTAGTAGCCTAACAAATTGGTACTGTCCTTGTGTTGAGAGCATACACTTCGGGCAAGGTATCGGCACCAGTTCTCGAACCTTTCCGAGAAAACATCACGAAAGATGGGATTCCCATTCCAATCCTCAATTTCCATGACGCGAAGCTGAACAACATATGGCATACCAGTGCTCTTGAGTTCCTCAGCACTCCAGGGGAACAGGCTGTGCTGTAGATCCATGGGTTCCCCATACCAGTCTAACGCCTTCCCCCAGCCGCCGCCAACGTATTCTTGTGTCCATCCGATCGTGTTGAAGCCGAACTTTTGGAAGTCCTTGACAACACCATTTTGTATCCAGGACGCTCTTGAGCCATATTTGCGTTCCCAGACTGACGCATTAAAGTCATACTTGAGGTTAGACTCGTCCGCGTGATTCAGGCCAATGGAGAGAAAGGGCTCGCCTGATGGATCGACGAAGAACCAACGCCCATCTCTGTCTTGTTGTACACGAAAGAAAGAGTTTTCCATATTCGATACAGGCACTAATGCAAATGAAATGGAGGTCTGTCTTGCGCAACTTAGAGGAGCACAGGCAGTCGGAAGAGGCAATAAGGCTTCAGAAAGAGGGATGATCGGACCAAACACGCAGCCACCACAGATGATAGTCAGTGACCAGAAGAAGAGGAATCCACGATGGCACGACGGCAAGGTACCAGTAGTGCCCACCCTCAATTTAAGATCGAACTTTTATCTTGGATCAATAGTGCCGAATATCCGCGCCTTATTCCAACAATTCCAGGATTCTTGCTCATCCCCCCACATGCCCCGTTGGATCTCGACTATAAGCTTTTAACCGTTTAAGCGGGGAACTCTATGAGGCTCCAAGGTCGGCCGGTGGGGAAAGAGTTGCACTGGGGAATCCCCGGGGTTCCCACGGGGATTTGTGCCTGCATAAGCCAAGGCGATCTGGATTACGGCATGTGCTACATGTGCTACAGGTATTTATCTCCCTGCTGGGCCACCTCTCGTGCTTCACCTATCTCACAAGGCAAAATTTACTTGGCCTCCAAACATGGTTCAAACAAAACTCTGGCGCAATTGGTCGCCTCGGACTGTCCTTTTTGCAATCAACGTCTTCGCGGCAGTTGCGATTTTCTTCGAAGGTTATGATCAAGGTGTCATGGGAGGTGTGAACGGCTCTCCAGACTACCAGAAGGTGGTGAATATTGGCAGTGGAGATGGCATTGTCACTCAACCAACCAAGCAGGGTGGTCTGGTAGCAGTCTATTGTGAGTACGCTGATTAGACAATTAAACCTGCATCACTGACTGACATTACCGTAGACTTGGGTGCTCTCTTGTCAGATAATTGCTCCTGCCCCTACCTGTTTCACTACTAACGAAATCTAGTGGTTGCTTCTTGGGCGGTTGGTTAAGTGACAAGTTAGGCCGTATCAAAATCGTCTTCGTGGGGGCATGCTACTGCCTGATTGGAGGAGCCTTGCAGGCTGGCAGCATAAACGACAAAATGTTCATTTGCGCGCGTGTCATCACTGGCGTGGGTACTGGCCATTTGAATGCGATCGTTCCAGTTTGGTCTGCCGAGGTTGCTCAGAGCCATTCAAGAGGTTCGAGCAGCTACAAATCTCTCCAACTGGAGTCTCTAACCGCTGTATAGGAGCCTTCATATGCCTTGTGTTCTTGGCTAATTATGTCGGCATTTCAATTGCGTACTGGCTCTCTTTTGGACTCAGCTTTACTAGCGAGAGCGTCGGTCCTAGCTTTCGGTGGCGCTTCTGTCTTGCTTTCCAGTGCTTACCGGCAATAATCCTAGCATGCGCTATCTGGCTCCTCCCCGAATCCCCACGATGGCTTATCAAGGCAGGTCGCAATGAAGAGGCCCTGGAAGTTCTTCAAGCTCTGAGAGGTGACAATAGCGCCAATGCTGAAGCTGTTCAGCAGGAGTATAACGAAATCATTGATGTTGTCGAGGCCGAGAGGTCTCTGGCTGAGAAGGGAAATTTCCTTTCTTTGTTTTTTGGCACGGCGTCTGGCAAGCTTCACTTGCCTCTTCGGGCAAACCTGGCTTTCTGGCTGCAAGTTATGATGGAATGGAACGGCATCACTGCAATCACAGTATTCTCGCCCACAATCTACGCGCAAGCTGGGTACGGCACCACAAAAGCCGGTTGGCTCAGTGCTCTAACAAACACAACCGGCATATTTGGGACCCTCATTGCCTCCCAAACAATTGACAGATTCGGAAGAAGGAATCTCATGTTCGTTGGGGCCGCTGGCATCGCTGTTACACTGTTCTTGGCTGGCGGATTTGACAGGCTGCTTGTTAATCGCCCCAGCCAAGCTTCGGAGTACGGTGCTGTCAGTGTCCTGTGGATATTCTTATTTACTCTGATTTATAGCTCTACATGGCTCATGTATGCTTCCATTATCTTCACTTGATACTGCCAAAGAGTTTTGCTTATTTTGTTGCAGGGTACCCTTTGTTTATCCAACTGAGATTTTTCCAGTCGCCCACAGGGCTTTTGGAAACGGCTTTGGCGTTGCAGGGTATGTCAAGAACTTGAATGAAGTCAGTGCTCGAGCTAACCCTTCCATAGATGGGCGATTGGCTGTGGCTCTTCCATTCTGGCAAATCCGGTCATGTTCAGCCGGATACAAGAGAAGATCTTCTACGTTTACGGCGCATTGAATATTGCTTGGATCCCCTTAGTTTATCTCTTCTGGCCAGAGGTACTTATCTTCCCTTGTAGCTTTGTTTGTTCTTATCTAATGGGAAATTCTAGACAGCAAAGCGCTCGCTCGAGTCTATCGACTGGCTGTTCGAGTCATCCGTGCCATTCACCTGGAAACAAGAAGCGCACTATAAACATGCCAAGGCGGAGTTTGACAGACTGCATGATCACAACCATGCTGACAAGCAGAGTGGTATGCCCTCGGAAGTGGAGTAAATACACCTCATCGGCCTATCTACGGTCGGACTTGCTCCGTTGCTCCTCATCTAGGGTTGAGGAAGACCATTGAGAGGTGCAGAGACAGGAGGTTGCCATAGAAATACGATTTATCTTCCTGATAAGGCTTGTACTTTATGCTCTACGTTACCTCTACTCCCGATAACAATATTACATAGAGCTATCCAGAATTGTTTTGTTGATCTGGTCTGGCCAGATCGGCTGCTAGCTTCCCTCTCTCACGTCAGCCACGTTTTGCCTCTTTCCCCTCATTCTTCCCTTCGTCAACCACCCTCTCCTGTAGCCAAAGATGAGCTCCCAGCCTCAAGTCGCGCCATATGGCACCTGGAGCAGCCCCATATCAGTTGATCTGGTCTCAGGAAGTAGTGTGTCATTCTCCGAGCTCCACGTCAACGTAAGTCAGCTTGGCACAGCATTTATCCCATGTAGCTGACACGAAAAGCCGAAAACGGGTGCAATCTACCTCGTGGAAGGCAGACCAGCTGAGAAAGGAAGGTGCGCCATCGTAGAACAACGGGGCACGGAATCAATTGATATCTTGCCATCAGAGTACACTGCTCGAAGCAAGGTGCATGAATACGGTGGTGGTGCCTGCACTGTCAATCCAGACGGAAGTCTGATCTTTACAGACGCCAACACGAGTGGTGTCTTCCGTCTCAAAGCAGCAAACGATGTTCAGCCGATCATCACCGCTTCGGAACAGTTTCGATATGCTGATTTCGACGTTCATCCTCTTCAGACAAACTTGATTCTTGCTGTTCAGGAAGATCATTCCGGCAACAGTGTCGCGAATACGGTTGTACTCATTAATTCGGATGACAAGAGTGTTACGAATGTTTGCCAAGGAGCGGATTTCTATTCGGCACCAAGGTTCAATCATGACGGGACGAAAATTTGCTGGATCCAGTGGAGTCATCCTGATATGCCGTGGACTGGAAGCGAACTTCACATTGCAGATTGGAATGCTGCAGGTCCAAGGAATGCAAAGCACATTGCCGGTAAAGCTGCTGTGGAAGGTGTTGGGCAACCTAAATGGCACGAAGATGGGACATTATTTTTCACTAGCGACCGTACTGGATTTGCTCAACTGTATCGTTTAAATTCTTCATCTTTGGAGGTACTGCCACTTGTTTTACCTGGATGGGAAGAAGCAGACATTGCTTGCAAACGAGTGTTTTCAGCACTTGGAAAGTAGGCGTCCGATTCTTTACTGAAGGCATCTAGCTGACTAGTGGACAGCAACTCATACATTATCTTGACGCCTACTCAGCTTGTGGTTACTTCCACCAAGCTCGCCACGGATGCGCTGCTGCTTGTGGATCTTCAAACTTCCAAAGCGCTGGAGTTATCGCTAGGTCTCGTCGATATTCCCATGAACTCGATTCGCAAGATCTCAAACACCAAGTTCGTCGTGATAGGGAGTACAGTGACGTCTCCGTCAGCGCTGTACCTCGTTGACATATCGAAACCATCCGAAAAGGTTCTTCTAAAATCTTCCACCGCTATTCCATTGTCACCCTCGATATACTCCATTGCCAAACTCATTACGTTCCCTCGAACACAGGGAAAAGAAACAGGCGGCGTTGCTCATGCAATTTTCAACCCGCCCCATAACCCATCTTACACTCCTGTCCCCGAAACCAAGCCCCCAGTCATAGTCTCCATTCACGGTGGGCCAACAGGCCACGATGCGCCAGGCTTGGATCTCCGAACCCAATACTGGACGTCCCGAGGCTACGCTTATGTCCATGTCAATTATGTTGGTAGCACTGGATATGGACGCAAATATCGGGAGGCCCTCAATTCTTCCTGGGGTATCAAAGACGTAGATGATTCCGCATCCTGCGTTGCCTATCTTTCGGAACAGGGTCTCGTTGATGGTACCAAGGCCGGCATCGTGGGAGGAAGTGCAGGTGGGTATACCGTACTTCAATCACTGGTTGACTTCCCAAAACTGTGGGCTGGAGGAAACAGCAAGTTTGGGATCGGAAACTTAAAGTCCCTGGCGATGATGACCCACAAGTTTGAATCGCAATATCTTTTTGCTCTCATTTTCCGAGAAGATACGACTGAGGAAGAGAGGGAGAGGATCTATCGGGAGAGAAGTCCTGTCTTCCATGTGGACAAAATTGAAAGTCCGCTGTTGATATTGCAGGGAGATGAGGACAAGGTGGTGCCTCTCGATCAAGCTGAGGAGATGACAAGAGTCTTGAAAAACGGCGGGAAAGATGTGAAACTTGTTGTATTTCAAGGAGAAGGACATGGGTTCCGAATGCAGGAGAATGTGAAGACTGCCATTTTGGAGGAGGAGGAACTCTGGCGGAGGACTTTGCTTGCGATGGAGTGAATGTCTTAGACCGAATAGCGGTTTCCTCCTCTGATACAGTCGTTTTCGAAATCGCCTTGACAATATACACTGAGAAACTCTTTCCTGGTCCCACTGCCAAGGCGTTGATGCAGATCATTTACTGAGCTGGCCGCGTTAAATTGAGGGGCGCAATAAAATGCGCTCTATTGTATCTTATATTACCTCGTCACGTAAAATTACACTACAATCATTCTCTTTGGCCTCGGCGTCGACGCTCTCAAACAGGCGACGTTCGGCGACAGCGATGTTACCACCAGCCTGATCGAGCATTCTGTCGTACTCGCGCTTGTTGGCACTAACAAGGAGCGAAGGGGAAGCGAAGAGCAGGTTCATTTCTTCAAGGGAGCGGCCATTGGTCTCAGGGTAAATGAGATACACTGCAGGTATTGCAACTGATAGATCATCATTAGTATGTGGTTAAGAATGGCCGCAAGCAACTTACTGATATTGAAACAGGCAAAAAGGAGGAAGGTTCCGTATCCTATATTTGCCAACATGATGGGGATGAGCAAAGCTGTAAGGCCAGAGCCCACAGACCTGAAAGTCATCGTTAGTACACTCTACCAATCCATTCTGTACAGGATAGCAAGACATACCATCCAAAGATTGCGAAGGCGTATCCTTGAGCCCTAACCTCTTGTGGCCAGATCTCTGTGGCATACAAAAAGCATGGCACAATGATGAACTATGACGTGTTAGAAAATGGTCTGTACACTTGGAATAGGGATTTTACCATGGTGAAGATCCATAAGAAAACGAACAACATAGAGGCAGAAGCGACACCAAGTTTCTCAGCTTTGGAAACATCATCTGTGTCCTTAGAAACTTTGAGGAAAGCAGCGCACATGAAGAGAACAACTCCCTGGCACGAAAATCCCGTCAACATACTCTTGATTCGACCGAAGCGATCGATGACAAGGGTCTATGGTATGTTAGGACACGATGCACTTTTCTGAACACGTAGTTAAGGGATACTTACAGCTGCCAGGGTTCCAAAAACGCCACAGAATGTGTTGCAGAAACCGGACATCCATGCAGATTTGGATGCAGTGAAACCAGCCTGGTGGAAGAGCTCCCCTGAGTAGGTAGTGATGGCCATAATACCGCTCCACATCAACATCTGCTGTGTAAAGAAACTCATCCAAGCACGGCGACCGAGGTGGAGACGACCGGAATATCGTCCAAAGGCAATGTTCCAGATGCGGTTGCGCTTGTGTTGAGATGCTTCCACAACAGCCTCAAGCTGCTGAACCTCCGCCACAAGAGCAGGATCGTTGTGATGGAGATCTCCACGAACCTTTGCTAGAACATCAACAGCTTCTTGCCGGCGGTTGTTAGCAATGAGCCAACGAGGCGATTCCGGCAAGAACACAACGGTAGTGGCTATCAGGATGAGGGGGACTGTCATCAAAGCCAATCTGTATAGTATTAACAATGGTCTTGGAAAATTGGGGGAGAATGACCCACGGGAATCTCCACTTGAAGGATACATCTGAGTTGTTTCGAACACCGTAGTTGAGCCAATAAGCAATGGTGATACCGATATCTAGAACGATAAGCTACTTGGAAGGCCAAGTGGAAAAAGCAGAAGGCACTCACAGTTAGAGGTAAAGATCAAGGCGAAATTTACGCCTCTATTATGAGCTCTTGCAAGTTCCGAGATCCATGGCGGCACAATCGTGTTGATGAACCCAATTCCAATGCCAGCAATGACTCGAGCACAGATGAACATGTTGGCGTTCTGGCTGGCAGCCATGAGAGATCCTCCAAGCACGCCGAAGACAGCGCCGAGCCAGACGCCCTTCTTTCGGCCATATTTGTCACCGAACCACCCAGCAATGAAGCATCCAAACATGGAACCGAAATAGTAGACGGAGACAATTCCTCTAAGGAAATGGTCAGATGGGAATAAGTAAATTTGATTTGATATGACCTACCCTTGCTTAGTCGCGTTGGTGATGACACCGTCTGAGCCAATCTGCGTGACTCTAATGAAATCTGATGTACCGCTGACACCACCCATCACACCTAACGATGACGATCAGCTTGGTGATACAGGTATGGTTTGCATGAGCCTCAATACGCACCTTGATTGTAACCTTCGAAAATCAAAGCCGTTGCGGTAAAAAGGTTGAGAACCAGGAGCAACAGCTTTCCAGGAACACTCTGCCATACTCGGAAACCCATATTGGCTGTCTACGATGCAATCCTTTCTTCTGGCTGGTACAGTTCACTATAGAAATCGAGAAATCGTGGGCTCTGGGTGGATGGACCTGGACTCGATGTTTATAGAAACTCGGTTTGGGGCGGCCTCGGAGAATGCTTCACCCTAGACAATAGAACGGAACCTAACGACGCCAAAAAAAAAACGAGACCTTGTTGCGTTATGGGATTGAAATGAATGGCGGTAAATTAGGAGCCAGCCACGGGCGATTTCCAAGAATTGTGATTATTCCTGAAGAGGTCTGGTCAATAACCAACGCATGGAAATCGATAAAGCTGTTAAACGCTTAAACCAACAGATTCTGGGCAGTCATAGTCACACTTCGCCTTCGCAAAGCGATCTTGGGGTCCGATTCCTGGCCTCCACCTTTTGAATCAAACCGAGTCGAAGCTTACCCCCACAACCGTCTGGGGATAGCTCGGCGCGGCCTCGGTACCAGGAAACGCCTATAATTATGCAAAAGCGATTGTGGGGTGGGACAAATATGCTTGCGGAATGTATAGACGCTCATACTAGTACATAATCGTGGGTTATGCTGGTATAGAGAAACTGTTAAGTGGTTAATTGGTAAAATGGTTAAGTGGTTAAATTGGTAGAATTGTTAAGTGTTAGAAGAGACGCGCTGCTAATCCCACTCCGCAAGCATCTTGACATCTGACAACCCGTCCCCGCCTTTGGAGTGGAATCTGAACTGAACCCCACGTGTTAATTCAAAAATCTTGCGAGGTGGGCTTGGAGCGGTGTTCCGTGAGTACCGTGGTACAACTATATAAGATTCCATCCCGAAGTTCTTCCAGAATTTGATAAGATTCCAAAAACGCGCTCAAATCTACCTTCAAAAAAGAAATAAGAAAAAGACCTTGAACCTGTCCTCCATGGCCTCTAACAACTCTGTCAAGACGATGCATCGTCAAACACATCTCAACCGAGAAGACCCAGAAGTCAGGCTATACTACCAAGAATGTCTACCCCCTCAAGAGAAGAAAGGAACGATCCTCCTCATTCACGGCTTTCCTCAGAGCTCTTATCAATTCCGCTTCGTTATCGAACCACTCGCTCAAGCTGGATATCACGTCATCGCGCCAGATTATAGAGGACATGGCTTCTCTTCCCATCCCTTGGGGGATACCGGCTACACCAAGAAAGAACTCGCGATTGATATCTTTCAACTGCTCACTAAGCATATTGGAGTCACAGAGAAGGTACACGTGGTCGGACACGATATTGGCGGCACCATTGCCCACGCCTACGTCTCTCAATTCCCAGACCATGTAGCCAGCGTGATCTGGGGCGAATGCCCTCTTCCAGGGACCACGCTATTCGACAAGATCAAGCATACGCAGACCCTCTGGCATTTTGATTTTCAAAGCCACAACCCCGAATTCTCGGTGGCGCTCGTGCAGGGTAGGGAGAGGATGTACCTGAAGCACTTCTACGATCGATTGACGCAGAACTCGGCCGTTTTCACTCCCGAGGTCTTGGACTTCTACACGATGCAATACCAGGTGCCCGATGCTTTGCGATGTGCCTTCCTCAGCTATCGCGCGTTCACGGAGGATGGAAAGCACAACCGGGAATGGCTGAAGGAGAACGGGAAGGCGAAAGTGCGCGCCATGATCCTATCGGGCGATCATAGTTTTATTGCCTCTGAAGCGGAGGGCATGGCGAAGGAGATGTATGAGAACGTCAAGGTTGGGACTGTCAAGGACAGTGGACACTACCTCGCAGAAGAGAATCCCGAAAGCTTCGTGGAGGAGGTTTTGGCTTTCGTTGAGGCGTAAACATTGCTAGGGTTGCGACTACCTGCGGAGATTTCTAGGCCTTGGTAGGCTATGTTGATAATTAGGCGTACTTGTAGAAAGCCCCCGAAGGCCCCGGCTCTATTCATTGTACAATATAGGAAGATAGATAGCCGTCTCCAGTATACTACGTTTATAAGTTACAAGTCTTAATCGGTTCGTAGTAGGCACATAAACAGGTAAATCTAAACAAATGTTAAAATCACCACGGTACGCCGCTCCCAAATCGATGTCGATAAGTCCAGCAGGGGCATGGGCAATGCTCGTTCTCCACCATGGCCACGGAATCTTTAACTTGAACGACGGACAGCTGAACCCCCAGTTGACCAAACGCCTGGGAGAAAGACGACCCGTTGTGGTACTGTTTGGCCAAGAGCTCGTCCGGGGTGCAGGAAACGCCATATTCAGGCGTGTCTTGAAGCATTTCGCAAGTGAAGGAAGTCAAATTGGGAAGATCCCCATCACGTATGATGTCGTAGATAGCATCGAGAGGGAAAACAGCCTCGTCGTTGCGAAAAGTCAGATGCGTCAGGGACTGCGGAAGTAATTCTTTCCAGGGAGTGAACCTAGTACGCCCATCCAATTCCTCCTCTTCGGTATCATCCCCTATAGCCATTCTTGGGGTTATGGTCAGCCGCTTGAGAGCAACAAAATCTCTCATGTCCAATGGATCTTCCCAGTCAAGGTCAAGATCTAGATCTAAGCTTTCAAGTGACAAGGCGTGAGGCTTTAGAGCATCGAGATACTCCGTGCGATCAGATTCACTGAAGCGCGGGGTGATGATAGGGTCTGGTCCCTGGCCTTTGAGGGTGAAATGTTTCAGCGCACGAGGGAACTGGAGCATATCTGCTAATTCAGAAGCATGGAGGTCACAGTTCAGGAAGCGTAGTTCTTCAAGTTGCGTTGATCGAGTGGTCTGGGGCTGCTGTGAGGATGTCTGGACTGCAGCTCCTGAGAAAGTGAGACTTCGTAGGCCCGGATGGTAGAGCAGCCCCTCGTACGGAAAGAGGTACCAGGTTTGAAGATGCCCGACATCAAATCCAATATGACCTAATAAGAATTTAGAAATCTGTACTTCTACTAACAGCGTAAGGTGCCCTACATGAAGTAAGAGAGGGGAACAATTCAGGTTGGCGTAATAGGCTAAATTTCGCCGCGGCTGTATAATCAAAAAAGTCGCTTTTGATTACTAGCGATTCTAGGCTAGATAATTTCGCAATGATGGGATCAATGTGCTCCGGAGACGTAGTTGGTTGGTCTTTCTCATCAAGTGTGTTGTGGTAATGAATTTGCAGTTCCCGAACAAGAGGGGGAATCGAATGCTGTGACTGAGAAAGTGTCGCGAGGAACGTCTCTGCCTGGTTGGGATCCCGAAGCACTATCGAGCGGTACAAAAACGGTAGGCATATCGAACGCAGACTGCGAGACACATGACTGACAGACCGGAGACTAGATGGACGGATTTCGACCAAGATGGCCTCGATGATTTCCTGGGGTAATGCGACGAGTCCCTTGGCACTGAGTGATTCCATAGGCAGGAAGAAATAATAATGGAGTGCTAAATCTGGGTGCAGGCCAAGATGACAACACCACCTGTTTTAAAAAGTACGTAGGGCGGAATCTGGGCAGGCAGGATGACGGCAGACCTTACTATACATGCAGTTAGTGCTGTTGATTGGTTTGCCTTGTGGCCTGAGGTGTCAATTCAAGACCAAAGAGGATCAGCAGATCAACCTGGAATCTTCACCTCAATCGGTTCTTTGCTGACTGGGGTTATTATTGGCGTGTTTATCGCGCTATAGGACCTAAGACGATGGCGAGGGTTAGGAGTATACTAAGTCTGAATGAGGTGTCTACCAATATCGTCAATATCGTCAACAGCCCTCATTTTCAACTGGGCATTGTTGACTGGTATGAAGCTCAAGGCGCAATCCTGTCCGCAATTAAACCCTCACATTGATTCAGTTGGCCTCAATCGTTGACAGCGATGACAACGGTGAAACTGTAACGATAGATTGCAAACTTTGCTCTTTCTACTACAGCAAGTTTGATGACCAGTTAAGGCTTCCTGCCGTCCTGATTGTATTCTCAGATGTAGTTGAATCTCTCATCTCGAATTTGGTTCTGAACTTCCACGACGCAGGCCTAAGTCTGCGCCTTCTAGGCTGGTGGGGTTATTTCTTCGGCAAATCATTCGATCAGCAAAAACTGCAGCGCAGTTTTGCGAAAAGAGAAGCTATCAGACGATCAAAATCCAACACCCTGGTCACATCTACGTCGGACTCATCGATGTCATGTTCTTGTTGTTGTCGGACACACCGCATTCGCCTCACACCATCGCTTTGGGGGAAAGCGTGGACGGCAAATTGCCGTCTTGCAAATCACCACCGATTGAGCGTTTTGTATCCACCACTATGCTACCAATTAATCACGGCTAATCACGCTATTTTGTATTCACTAGATATTCCTCACAGTTACCTACTCCGACTACACAGTGTAACCCCCGTATGACGCTCAACGACAGGTCAATCAATAGAGAAGGCTCTTCACAACAGGCGCAAACACATCGCACATCTCTGTTCGAGAGGTAATCCAGAATCAGCCTCTTCCTTCATGATAGCATTCAGTGATATGGTCAATTCAGAGGACTTCAAAGTCGTGAAGCCCAAAGACCTATAAAATCCTTCATTCCAGGGTACATCGCGGAAAGTAGTCAAAGTAATAGACGGGCAGCCGCAAGATACCGCCCAGTCCCTCGCTGCGTTTATCAACTTCCGGCCGATTCCCTTTCCCTGGCAGTTGGATTGAACCGAGATTTCATGTATATGAAGATTTTGGTCCATCAACTTGCCATTGAGAAACCCAATCGGTATATCTTCAGGATTAACGGCTACCCATGCAGCCCCGTTATCGATCAGCTCTCGGTGTTGATCCTCGGATTGTACGCTGTCATTGGCGATCCATGCAAGATCCGGGAATTGTAAAAATAGTTGGGCCGCTGAGCGCTCCACAGCTGGTAGAAACGGTGCGTCTTTTGCCTCTGCCAGTCTGACTGTGACAGTGTCCATGCTATATTATATTCATAAACATAATAAGACTTATGCAGGGCCTCGATATGTGTTGAATCTAGGTGGTTGCGCAAGAACGGTGAAGCGTTCGAAGCTACACCCGTTAAAAACAATTCTCAGACATCAGCAAATAGTTAACCAGGACACTGTGAGGAATCAAGTGCCTTGTGCGTCCGGAAATGCAATAGGCGGAATAGATATAGGGTAAAAGCTGTAAACATACTGAGAAATCCCGAGGATGGCAACAACAGATACGGTTGATGAGAAGAGATCGCGCAGGGATTTGTCGGGTCAATTATGTCGGGGAAGGCGAGGTGTACGTGACGATGTACGGGGTACGGCGGCGCTAAACCGGGAACAGTAAAACTAACGATGTACAACCTTGGAAGTGGGTGGATATTGAACATGATCAGGTATCAAAATCCAGCTCTATAAATGCAAATGCAATACAACTTAAGCCTTCCTGTTTCGTAACACGCCATGGCTCTATCATCATTCTTGCAAGAGTAGACAGACCCCTCCAGATCAACCATCTCGCCACCACTGACCGAGTGCGCCACCCTTACCCGCCATTTCAACCACCTCCTCAAAGCTAATTTCCACTCGGAACATCTGACCATCCGCCGTGCCATTCCCTGATCCAGTCGGTGTGACAAGACCCCACCGGACGAGCTTCTCCCACGCCTCTCGGGCCACATCCCTCCCCCAGACCCGACCAGGTGTCGCAGCAGCGCCAGACACCGAAGCGGACGTTTTGGCTGTGGTAAGCAACCGCACGTACTCCGCGTAAGCGGCGGGAAACGAAAGTGCCAGACTCTGTGCTCCTTCGCGGCCTGGGTCGAAGATCGCTGATAGGCGCGTTGCTGCTAGCACTAGGGCCAGAGGGAGCGAGGAGGGGCTGGACTTGGTTGTGATGGATGTGGAGAAGGGGAGCGGAGCCGGGTCGGGACATGATAGAGGCTCGGATGCGAAGGCTTGAGGTGTGGGGATCTCGTATTCGTCTGCGTAGGTGCTGTGGTGGAGAGCGCTGATGGGGAGGAGGGCGCTGGTGAAGAACTCCTTGACGGATTTGGTTTGGTAGAAGATCCGTTTCAGATGCATTTGGAAGTTGTTGTCCTCCCATAGATCCTGTTGTGTCCGATGTTAGCATCAAGTGAGAGATGATAGAGAATAACAAATCCAACCTTGAGATATGCCTTCCAGCCCTCGAGTAGTGTCTCCCATCCCCGCGACTGGGCAATATGCTCACACTCACTGTCATCAAGGTCCAGACCTGCCAGACAGACATCCGAGAAAGTCTCGAACGATCTGGGAAGCGGGATGTACACATATCGATGGCTGAAGCGACTTTTAACTCGCTTCTCCAACATCTCAGTCACATCCACCTTGGTGGTCAGTCCGAGCACAGCAACCGGGGCTTTGCGGGCCTGGGCGATATCGAACAGATTGTACAGCAGGGTCTGTCGTGGATGGGTCACGAACAAATCGAATTCATCTAAAATAATCACCACAGACTTGGCGGCAGTCACAGCTCCTCCCTCTCCAGAAGGCCCGAAAATGTCTTCGGGGTGTGATAGGAGAGCCAGCAGGGTTGCCATCGTGTCGGCATAGGAACTGACCTTGGCCACATCGTCTTCGGTGTCGGTCTCTCGACCGAGCTGGCGCCACATCTCCCGCAAGGCCAGCCGGTCATCCGTGTGCAAGAAACCATTGAGACGCACGACGTGAAAGTCATTGCCGTGCTGCTTTCTCAGGGATGAGAGGGTCGTCTCGACAATTGTGGTCTTCCCGCATCCTCTTGACCCAAGAAGTAACATCGAATTACCCTCGCCAGCAGTGACGGTCTGCTCGACCAATTGATGCACTTTCTGGTACTCATTTTCCAAGCCATGCACCGGGACTTGTCGTTTGCCCGACAGTTTATCAAGAATGACGCTCGTGAGTGTGCGGACTTCGTCGTGGAGGCCATTCTGACACAGAGCCTGGAACTTGGCGGCATATTCAGGTACCGGCTCAACCACATCGACAGGTTCCATCGCATCTGGCTGGTCTTGCTGCAGGTCGTGCTGGAGCTGCATTGCAACGAGGTCATCGAGACCATCGTTAAATTCGTTGGGAGAAGGTGATCGGTTGCCATCGCCGTTGATTCCGCCTCTCGCCGTACTCCTCCGTGACCTGGTCCTGGCAAGTGACCCTTTAGCTGCTGGTTGAAAGTCCACATCCACGTCATCCTCGTCCACCTCTGGACTCTTCCTGAGCCGCTGTGCACTTCTCGCCCCACGCGCGCTCCTCGGCGTAGCAGCCGCTCTGCGACTTGGCGTCGTCACACCATCCTCAAGCCTTTTGGGTGTTTTGCGCTGCCGCCCAGTCGACCGCGCGCCGCCGCCGGCTCTACCAGGAGTCGCGTCACCGATATCCAAGTCCAAGTCATCCTCCACAAGCCCATTGCCACCGCGCGTCGATCGACGCCGGGGCGTTCGTTTCGGAGCCGGTGCGAAATCCGAGTCTTCGTCGTCCTCTGCGGCATCGGGAGAGGAGGGCGCCGAGAAATCCTGGTCGTCGTCCTCCATTTTGATATCGCCATCTTCGTCGGAGGACGGCTCTTCGGAGACCTTCCTCCGCTTCGAGGCACGAGGCTCTCTCATGGCTGGAATTGGGTGGGCGGAAGGTTCACAACAAGGGTGCAAGGAGCTCCGATTGTTTGTCCGCCGATAAGCCCAGTGAGCGCATTTTGTCGCCTCAGGCCAAAACGCGTGACGCGAGATCAGGTGCAATCATGATTGTTTCTCATCTTGAAAGTGTTTTAGCTTGAACATTTGTAAACGTACAATAAAAATAAAAATAATAATTATCATCCTGGAAACAACAAACACTCACTCTCCACGAATCGAGCCATTTGGACCGACATACTTCCTTCGGCAACCTGGCGTATCCGTGGGCGCGAGATCAGCCGAGGTCCATTGGCTCAGGGCCGCCAATTCCGATCGGAATATGGGCTTCACTCACGTCTCACTCACGACAGCACTTTGTTTCTCTGTTTAGCGCTGCATAGCAGTACATACACATTTACCCACACCATGTCTGAGCACGGCATCCGCCCACCATCGCGCCAGATGGACGAATTCGAGGAGATGGTCTTCGAGTATACCCAGCGAATGGGCCTGGGCAGCGACGAGGTCGGTCTCTCCCTCGCTCTCTCACTTACTCCCACCACCTGTCGAGTTAACTAACCACATGCCATACTAGCACTGGGACGTCAACGCACAAGAATGCTCTCTCCGCTTCGAGACCGCCACGCTCGGCCCGCCCGCCAAAGTCTCCTTCCTCTTCACCATCGTCCCCTCGCTAAGCAACTACATGGGCAATCTACACGGCGGCTGCGCGGCGACCCTGATCGATGTGCTCTCGACGACAATCCTTCTAGGCGTCTCGCAGCCGGGCAAGTTCGCGCTTGGTGGTGTGAGCCGGAATCTCAAAGTGACGTATCTGCGTCCCGTGCCGACGGGGACGGAGGTCCGGCTTGTCTGTGAGGTTGTTCATGTCGGTAAGCGGTTGGCGCTCCTAAGGGCGGAGATTCAGAAGGCCGATACCGGGGACGTTTGTGTGGTTGGGGAGCATGAGAAGGCGAATACGGATCCGGAGGTTACGCAGCGGATTTGATTTAGATGGGGACAGTTGAATAGATAGGAGGGTTTGAGTGTATAGAGGTTCATTTGTCTTGTTGTTTGTGATACCAGCTTAGGTGCCAATTGTTACCAATTCATTTATGATAGAAACAACGTCTCCATCCTGATACGATATGACAGCGCAGCTATACGGCATCGGTGTTGGAGGTCCAGACAGGCAGCGTTTGAGGCTAAGGAGCGAAAAAGAAATATCAAGAAGAGCATCAAACATATCCAAGAGAAATATAATCAACCCAGCATCTAAGCAGCAAAAAGATTATCCGATTGAACATGGCTCTTTTACTCCTGAACGAGCTGCTGGTCTTCCCGGAGCCCTTCAACCACCAGCTCTTCGCCGGCCGCGCGACGGTACATGTCCCGAACGTCATCTACAGCATCGCACATTAGCATAATCCCAATGAGTCATGAAAGAGACTTACCGGTGGTGGTCTCAAAGTGCGACGTCGCATCGTAGCTCTTGGAGATGAAGATGTTGTCCTTCTCGCCGCTCTCGAGAGGCTCGTACAGCGGGATCGGAGGGCCCATGAACTTCTCTTCGATCTCACCCAGGCGCTCGAAGCCGGGCTGCAGCTCCAAGTGGTGGTTGGCGTCATTCTCGGCAATGGTAGAGACAATGGCGATGTAGTAGCCCTTGGGGCAGACGTTGTGGGCCGACGAGACCATCGCAATGTAGATATCTAGAGCCATTATTAGCGGAACCATGAGATAATTAGATATTGATCCTTACCGTGCTTCCGCCCAACCTGAGACTGGGGGATGATCAGCTGCAGCGAGTCGCTGCCGTCGGTCTTGTCAATGGGGTGCTTCAGGATACAAATCGCCTTCAGCAGGTATCCAGTGACCTTGGCCTTGCTGGGGAAGTAGGAAGGATCACAGATAATCTTCTTCGTCTTCGTCTCGAACTTCATGGCATCGGTCCCCTCATCGCGGTCCTTCATGGTGGCCTTGATGCCGGAGACCTTGCCGCTGTCGTCATAGAGGACCTCATCGACGTGGGTGTTCAGCATGTACGTGCCGCCGTAGATGGCTGACAGACGGGCAAAACCCTGCGGAAGCTCGCCCAGGCCGTATAGAGGGTAGATGTAGGGCGACTTGCCGTAGCGCGCCATGGAGTTGACGTACAGGCGGATGCGGTTGATGGTCTCGACGGCCATGCCGGGCGTGGTGATGTATTCATCCGAAGGGAACAAGGCCATGGAGTGACCGACGAAATCCCGAGTGTTATCCTCAAGACCGAACTTGTCATAGACCTCCTTCATCGTGCACGATCCGATACTGAGACCTGATGGGGTTGTTAGTATGCAGCCATGATTTATTGATGCGGTTCCAGACTACATACCCTGGTGAGTGGCAGGGTTGTCCTCCTTGAACTCGCCAACCCACTCCAGGAACTTCTTGGCCCGGCGCTTCTCGAACAAGCCCATCAGAGACGAGCGCAGAGCCTCACCAGCATCCGACGGAACCTTGGCCACCGTCGTCTTGGTGCCTTTGCCTTGTTGGACGTAGCTGCCAGCAATCTGCTTGAACTCGAGGTACTGGGTGACGTTGGTGGACACCAGAATGTTTGTCAATTCGCCGTTGGCCATCAGCAGCTTCGGGACCAGGTCGATATTCCAGTCGTTGACGCGCCCGTACTTCTTCCAAGGTTCCTCGCCGGGGCGGACATTGCCATATTTCTTGAACAGCTGCAAGAGAGATTAGCAGGGTCGAGCCAACGTTCCCGCAGTAGTCATACTGTCTCAATGTTGACAGAAGCCGCCTCACTAAGCTCCTTGTTAGCAGCCGTTGGGGATGGGTGAAGCTACCCACTTACCCGCCATAGTGGTCATTGCGATCGATGTGAAGGACCTTGTTGCCCTTCACACTCAGGACACTGAACCAGAATCAATATGAGCTGCACCAGGAGCAGACACGCAGCGATACTCACCCAGACAGCACACACTCGGTCAAGCCTAGCGGGCGTTAGGTCGGGCGTTGCAGGATGGCGGGGTAGTCACATACCAGTGCCGAGCACCACGACATCGTACTCGGGAGCAATCTCATCCATGGTGAATAATAGGGGAAGCAAATTCCAACGATGGGAAACCGAGAGGGAAAGGGAAAGGGGGATGGGGGAGTGAGAGAAGGAAAGAAAGAAAAGAAGACTCCTGGAGAGCTGTTGCCCCCCGCGGATCGTCGAAGCGGTAAGTCAACGGGACTAGACTATTGGACTCCACTGACAGTTACCTCAGTGACCAGATCAGGGTGTTACTTTCATGCGACGATGGAATCAGATTTGATTTAATTTTGGTCCTAACCCTTGGCGAGACCAAATAGTGTCATCTGCGATGGATGGTGTATAATGTACATGCGAAACTACGACACGATATAGAACTACAAGGCCTCCTCACTCTCGATGCTGCTCTCCGGGCGATAGCCCTTGGCGTACAGCTGCTTCGCATCCTCATAGGCGTACCACCGCTCACGGAGGACATACTTGATCGCTTCCATAGTACGTCGGATCTAGGACAGCAGCAACTGTTAGCAAGACGACGACAAGCAAGCGCCCGGGCATCACGTACCGCATTGTCCCGCTCCTCGGACTCGTGTGCACCGTATCCAGGCTTGAATCGCTCCCTCTCATAGTTTGATGTGGCGATGCGATTGCGCTCCTTGACACAAACCCACCACAGGGAATGGATGTCCTCCCAGGACTTCTCGCGGAGTTCTTGGATGGCCCACGGGCGACCTGTTCGAATATCCGTTAGACGTGAATGGCATAGATCATCGTGCAACACGAACCGAAATCCATATCGTATTCCGGGTCGCTCAATGCCTCGTGGTTGGGCGGGAAGAAGCCCCAGAGGCCGTGGTTGGGGTTGGGGTCTCGGGGCTTCATGTCTTTAGGTGAAACCGGCTTCGGCAATGGGTATTTCGACACACTCAGAGGGTATCTGGGACCAGTCCGATGGATGGCTGACACGGCTCGGTTTCTGTTCAGGTCGCGTGCAGCAATGGCTGTTGACGAAAAGCTCGAGGACTGGGCCGACCGGCTCGATGGGAAATGCAGAGATGGTGCCAGGTAGGGTGGAGGCAATTCTGCCAGAGCTAGGCGGCCATGGCCAGCTAGACGGGCCACGGACTGCCGATGCATGGCGGATGGTGATGAGGGAGTGAATGAATGAATGACACCAGCCCTTTTTTCTGCCTGCGCGAGAGAACTGGGAAGGCGGCAAGGGAGATCACGTGATTGGAACCGAGCGGCAGAGGAGCCAGTGATCCATCGTTTCGCTCTGGTCATTTGCGTTTGTTCTCCCACGACTCTTCGCAACAGTTCTTTTGCTGTCCGTTCAATCCCTGGCACGCACTTCTCCGATCCGTCTCTTGTCCTGCGCCGAGTCCTGCGGCTGTGCTCGGCATTGGCCTGTGCACCAACAGCATCCGCGCGTCTAATCGCCCAATCGACACTCTCCACCTCCAAGCAGCGGGACGCCGCATCAGGTCTCAAGACACCCTTTGAACGGCCACCCCTAGACTCAACCTCCCTCGACAGCTCGTTTGGCCAACAGCCTTCTCTCAGGCAGAATCTGAGAGAGTCTCACCCGCGCCCAAGTTGAGGTGCCAACCATGAACAGATCAGGTGTGTCATTTTCGCTTCTGCTGCTGAACCCTCCACCGATCCTGCTGCCACCGCCGGAGGAGGGCCGTAGGGGCTCCTACATTTGCTTCTCTTGCCATCCATAGCCTTCAACTGTGGTCGACATGAGCGAGATCTCCAGGATTGCTCTTTTGATACTCCAATGGCAGGGTCTCGAGCAGATTCTCCATTTTGCGACCGAGACATTCTGGCAAGGATCTGTCGAAACATTCCTGGGGGTGTGGACAGGATCAGAGGCGCTTTGATATGACAAAAATGGAGATCCATACTGACATCCCATGCTTTTTGATCCAGGACCAGGTCCGCAGCCGCTGAGAGGCATGTCTGGATTCCCCGTGCAGCAACAGCAAGCTCAGGCTCGAAATGCCACCCTCGCCTCGTCGCGGCTACCAAACGGAAAACTCGGTACACTACACACATACATACAATGATCGGAGAGTAGATGGATTGCTGATATGCGAAATTAGGTGGCGCTGCCAATTGGAACTTCAACTTGCCCGTGAGCGGAGCCTCCGGCCTGCAGGGCAACCAGCAACGCACGATGGGATCTATGGGAAGCTTTGCGCAAAGCCTCGGTGGTTCTCAGTCAGCGACATCGCTTGATCTCTCGTAAGTGGGCTTTGTGGATTTACTGGTGTATGGCGAGAGGCTGATCATCTCCATGCTACTAGGGAATTCCCATCTCTCTCCAACGCATCACAACAATCACAGTCGCAGACCCCCGGCCAGATGATGTGGGCCAATGCCAATCAGCGAGCTACCCAACAAACACCGGTCCAGAGACAGCAGCTCCCCTCAACGTCATCGCAACCCCCTTCTCGAGCTTCCCAAACCCCTTCGCACCTCACCCCCCAAACGTCTCAACAGCCCCAGGACGATATGTTCCCCTCCGGGACTCAGTTCGCAAATCGACTCGATGATTTTAGAAACGGCGGTCAAGGCATCAGCAGCCAACTCGGACCGGTCAGCCAACCTCAGACAGGCAACATTGATGAGTTCCCTCCTCTGGGCCGCAATGTTGCTGCGGAGATTGGCTCGGACCGTCGGGGCTCTCTCATGCCAAATACGGGCTTTGGAAGCTTCAACTCTAGCCTAGCCTTCGCCGGCGTGAACCAGGCCCAATCTGCGCAAAATCGCAATGTCATTGCGCCGTCGTTGAATGGACAGGAGGCGGGTCGCATCATGTCACCAGGAGGGGCGAGAGGCGGTAAGTTTGGACGACTCCCTAAAAACAGTGAAACCTGCTGACTCTTCCGTTTCACAGCTCTGGGATCGTCGCGGTCGCCGGTCAACCCAGGTCCTAATGGAGTCTTGGGCCAAGAGAAAGAAGTTAGTTGGTCTGGCGATCCTCACGCACGCCCCGCACTAACAGAAACCACAGGACTTGAACGACAGCACCCTCATGTCGGGTCAACGCAATTTTAGCGACCCGCAACAATTACAGCAGAGACAAGCCAGCGATGCACAGCAGGAGGCCCAGGTCCGTGCAGCGTCACAGAGTGCCGAACAACCGCCGCTTGAGCAGATGAGTGAGCTCGACCGGTTTGGACTGTCCGGTCTGTTGAGAATGATCCACAGCGAGAGTCCCGATGTCGCAAGTCTTGCCGTGGGACAGGATTTGATGACGTTGGGCTTGGACTTGAACCAGCCCGAGTCAGTGTTCCCGCTCTGTATTGTCGACCGATTTCAACTAATGTGTCATGCAGACCTCTCCATACGTCCTTTGCCTCGCCGTTTGTGTCGTCTATGTCCGCGGTTCCTCTGGAGCAAGATTTCTCTGTGCCATCTTGTTACAATGTTGCGAACATCCAACCTCTTCAGTCGCGCATCCCGGGATTTAGTGATGAAACGCTTTTCTACATCTTCTACACTATGCCTCGTGATATCATGCAGGAGTTGGTCGCAGAGGAGTTGATGGGTCGCAAGTGGCGGTATCACAAGCTTGAGCGGTGCTGGTTGACTCGTGATGAATCATACCCTGGCCCGGTGGATGTTGAGCGTGGTGTGAGCGAACGCGGCGTGTACCTGCTTTGGGATCCCGCCAGCTGGAAAAAGATCCGGGTATGTTCTCCTCGTCTTTTTTTGTGTGACCTTTCTAACCGACCCTCTAGCGTGAATTCATTCTTCGATACGAGGACCTGGACAACCGGCTGGATCCCAATAGAGGAGTGAACCGCCCAGCCGGCGTCACGCATGCTTCATGAATTATCTCAAGCTCGAGCAAGAGGTGGCGAAACACTAATTGATCGGCAATGGCGTTTGGTTCATCTGTAACCCGGTTTCTGTGATGTCGGTCATCCAGGAACAGGGGGTGTGTCTGATTTATCGGGAAGTACATGTGGTGGGTGGGTGTCAATCATGTTTATCTGTGGAAATCAGGAGGAAGCATCTTGAATGAGTTCGGATGGCATGATAACTGGTTCTAGGTATCCATCTACTTTAGAATCTCATCATACTACTCGACTGCTTTGTGGGATGGATTCCTCCGACACTACATAGAAGTTAGAACAAATGCTCCTGTCAATCAGCATGCCTTCCGCGCCGTAGAAAGAATAGCAACCCAATCCATCGGCACAACCCCATCCTCCCCATACTGCTCTTCCAGATATCGCGCCAGTGCTGGCCGAACCTTAGCCTCATGCTGCTCTCGCTGTTCCGCCGTCCAGAACTTCTGCGTGATCACGGAGAACATCATCATAGTCGAGTCCAGCACCTCCTTGGTGGTCAGCGGAATGTGCTTCGTATCGGCCTTGACGTTGATATCTGTGAATCCCCGCTGCTGAAGCTGGGATTCGATCCACGGTACGGAATTCCACTGCCCGTCGCCGAGTGTAGAGAGGAATTCTTCTGCCGTGGGGAAGGGGAGATTGCCTGGCATTGTTGCGATGGCCTTTTTCATGACGGAGACCCATCCGGCTGGTGGGTTTGTTAGCAAGTTTGGTCAGATATAGGTCTATGGGAGAAGGCAAGGACTTACGCTCAATCCACGTTGAGAAGGCGATCGTTCCACCCGGTTGGAGAATCCTCAGTGACTCTGATGGCAGGATATACATGTGAGTGTTTGTTGGTCGTGAAGTATGGATGGAAGTACTTACCATCCAACGCAGCCTGTGACTTAGGAAGTGCCATGAACGCTCGAAGAGAATCAGTCCCAAGTCCTGCAGAAGAATATCCGACGTACCAAATGCAGTAAACATATACGTAAACTGCCCAGACGGAAGACCCGTCTCCTGCGCATCCACACTCTTCACCTCGACATTTAGCCACCCCTCCTCCTCCACTCTGGCGCGTGTATACTTGAGCATCCCCTCGGAGATATCACCACAGGTCAGGGTCCACTGCTTCCTAACGTGCTCGTCAAGCTCGTGGTGGAGGATGCTCGACACCACCCCGGTACCGCATGCATTATCAAGAACGACAAGAGGTCTGTCAGGCTGCGACTTGGTCTTGAACTCCGTGAGGATCCCGCTTTGGCTGATGAGGCACTTGGCGAATGTGCCCGTGATCTTCTCGCCGGTCCTATACTGGGAGACGAACGAGTCAGACTCGAACAGGGCTTTGAAGTCCTTGGCGGCCATCGTAGATAGAGATGAGTTGTTGGTGAGAGGGAGCTTGAGTTGGGAGTGGATTCGTACTAGGTTAACCAAGTTTCTAGACAGGGTCATAGAAGATGAGTTGATGGGGTCTTCTGCTGTCGTCTTGAGCGGACTCTTTATACCTCTCGCCCCCAATCATCCTTGGATTGTCTGGTATAGTTTGCCCACCTGCATGGAAAAGTGTCCGACAATGTCTCCGAGAGTGTCCCTAGCTATACCTCAGTGGGCATGGAGCAGGGTCTGTCATTGGTGGACCACCAGTGGCTGTCTTGCAGCAACGAGTACCTTCGGGCACCTCATTCAACAAGTAGTAACGGAGCCTTCGATTCCAAACGTGAATGTATAGAAATCAGGTGACCCGTGTTTATCCCCTCGCTTATGTCATCATCCTGGCCCAAACGAGCAAAGCATAAACAGCGGATCGGCGGGCAAAACAGTCGGTCGGTCGCGCCCACTTCAACAACACAACAACCCCAACATCCATGGTAGCTCAGCCGCCACCATGAGGATCACGGAGATTGTTATAGATGTGAGTGGGCTTCTACTCTCGACTGCATGGCTTGGACTAAATATGTGTTGCGCAGGGCTTCAAATCGTACGCCGTGCGAACGGTGATCTCGGGATGGTATGCACCCATCATCATCGCCTTGGAGAATTGGCTGCAGAGATAGCACGAGATGAATGATACTAATAGTGCGCCACAGGGATGAAGCGTTCAACTCGATCACCGGCCTGAACGGCTCCGGGAAATCCAACATCCTCGATGCCATCTGTTTCGTCCTCGGTATCACCAACATGAGCACCGTCCGCGCCCAGAACCTACAAGATCTCATCTACAAGCGCGGCCAGGCCGGTGTGACCAAAGCCAGCGTCACCATCGTCTTCGATAACCGGGACACGTCCAAGTCGCCGATCGGGTTCGAGGAATACGCCAACATCTCTGTTACCCGCCAGATTGTCCTAGGAGGAACGAGCAAATACCTGATCAATGGCCACCGCGCACAGCAGCAGACTGTGCAGAACCTGTTTCAGAGCGTGCAGCTCAACATCAACAACCCGAACTTCTTGATCATGCAGGGTCGCATCACCAAGGTGTTGAACATGAAGGCGGTGGAGATTCTGTCGATGATCGAGGAAGCGGCTGGGACGCGCATGTTTGAGGATCGACGGGAGAAGGCGATCAAGACCATGAGCAAGAAGGAATTGAAGCTAAAGGAGATCGAAGAACTTCTGAAAGAAGAGATCGAACCGAAGCTGGAGAAGCTTCGATCCGAGAAGCGTGCGTTTCTTGATTTCCAACAAACGCAAAATGATTTGGAGCGCCTGACTCGTCTGGTTGTGGCACACGACTACGTTCGCGGCGGCGAGCGACTGCGAGTCGCAGGTGAAGAGTGCGATAACAAGCGAATGAAGGCACAATCGCTGGAGGAGAATGCGGACAAGTTGAAGAGTGAGATTGCGCACTTGGAAGAGGATGTCAAACGGGTTCGGGCAGCACGCGATATAGAGCTTCGGAAGGGCGGCAAGTTCCAGGCCCTCGAGGACGAAGTCAAGAACTATTCACATGAGCTGGTTCGGCTGACCACCGTTTTCGACCTCAAGAATACAAGCATGGTTGAGGAGAAAGAGAAGCGGAAGACCATCCAGAACACCGTGGCCGATCTTGAGAAGCAGCTGAAAGAGAAGAAAAAGGTCTACGACAAGCTTCAAGCGCAGTTCGACACTGCCAAATCTGAACTTGATGCGCAGACGAAGGAGGTGGAGCAGAAGGAAGAGCTGCTTCAAACGCTGCAGACCGGTGTTGCCTCAAAGGAAGGACAAGAAAGCGGATACCAGGGTCAGTTGCAAGACGCAAGGAACCGTGCTAGCAACGCCGCAACGGAGCAGGAACAGGCCAAGCTCAAGATCACCAACTACGAGAAGAGGATCAAAGAGGAAGAGCCCCGAGCAAAGAAGGCCAAGGAGCAAAACTCGGGTCTCCTGAAAGACCTGGAAGGTCTGAAGGCGCAAGGGAAAAAGTTGGAAGGCGAGCTTAGCCGGCTTGGATTTGAGCCGGGCAAAGAGGACCAGATCTACCAAGAGCAGTCGCAACTACAACGGGATATCCGCGACTTGCGCCAAAGGGCCGATGGTCTTAAACGAAAGGCAGCCAATATCGACTTCAACTACACTGACCCTCACCCCAACTTTGACCGGTCCAAGGTCAAGGGTCTGGTTGCTCAACTCTTCACCCTCAACAAAGACCAGCTCGAGGCTGCTACGGCGCTGGAAATTTGTGCCGGTGGTCGTCTCTACAACGTTGTGGTTGACAGTGCAGACGTTGGTACGCAGCTGCTGCAGAACGGTAAATTGCGCAAGCGCGTTACCATTATTCCTCTAAACAAGATCTCGGCATTCAAAGCCTCCGCTGAGAAGATTGGTGCGGCCCAGAATCTTGCTCCCGGCAAGGTGGACTTGGCCTTATCCTTGATCGGCTACGATGAAGAAGTGCTTGCGGCGATGAACTATGTGTTCGGCAACACCCTGATCTGCAAGGACGCCGAAACTGCCAAGAAGGTGACCTTCGATCCTTCTGTCCGGATGAAGAGCGTCACTTTTGATGGTGACGTGTATGATCCCTCTGGTACTCTTTCTGGAGGAAGCTCGCCGAATTCAAGCGGCCTGCTTGTTACATTGGGCAAGCTCAATGAGATCTCGAGGGAACTGAGGAGCAAGGAGCGCCAGCTGGCGACATTGGAGGAAAATATGAAGCGGGAGAAGAAGAAGCTGGATGCGGTTCGCTCTATCAAGCAGGAGCTGGACCTCAAGACCCATGAGATTAAGCTCACCGAGGAGCAGATCAACAGCAACTCTTCTTCATCGGTGTGTACCGCCCATCACGATTGACTATGATTGAAGACTAACATGTGGCAGATTATCCAAGCCGTCGAAGAGATGAGGGCGAACATCGAGCAACTAAAGGCCGACATCACCAATGCTAAGGCTCGCCAGAGCGAGGCATCCAAGGATATCAAGAGAATCGAAAAGGACATGAGCGAGTTCAGTAATAACAAGGACAGCAAGTTGGCGGAACTGCAGACGTCACTCGACGCTCTCAAGAAGCGGCTCACCAAGAACTCTGTTTCCGTCAAAGAACTCCAGAAAGAATTGCAGACTTCCCGGTTGGACTCGGAGCAAGTGGGCAGTGATCTTTCGGCAGCGGAAGAGCAGTCTGCCGAATCGGACAGCACTTTGAAGGCACAACTCGAGGAGATTGAGTCTCTGAGGCGAGAACAGGCACGACTGAAGGTTTGTGAATGCCATTCAAGATTTTGTGAAGGCAGATCTAACGGCAGTAGGATGCCCACGATGTGGCTCAGGCTCAGCTCGACGATGAAAGAGCCAAACTGACTGGCTTTGACGATGAACTGCGAGAACTCGAGGAGACAATACAGTCCAAGACATCTCAGGTCACCGAGGAAGGTCTAGAGATGCAGAAACTCGGCCATCAACTCGAGAAGCTTCAGAAGGATCAGCACAGTGCGGCTCAGGCTGTTGCGCATATGGAACAGGAGCACGAGTGGATTGCAGACGAGAAGGAGCACTTTGGACGTCCGAACACGGCCTACCACTTCCAGAACCAAAATATCGCCGAATCTAAGTCGACCCTGAAGAACCTGACGGAGCGGTCTCAGGGCATGAAGAAGAAGATCAACCCGAAGGTCATGAACATGATCGACAGCGTCGAGAAGAAGGAAGCCGCGTTGAAGAACATGATGAGAACGGTCATCCGTGACAAGAGCAAGATCGAGGAGACCATCCTCAACCTCAACGAGTACAAGAAGGAGGCTCTCCACAAGACCTGGGTCAAGGTCAACGCGGACTTCGGGCAGATCTTCGCCGAGTTGCTGCCGGGCAGCTTTGCCAAGCTCGATCCTCCAGAGGGTAAAGATATCACCGACGGCCTGGAGGTCAAGGTGTCACTCGGCAAGGTCTGGAAACAGAGCCTAACGGAGCTGAGTGGCGGACAGCGGTATGTCATTCTCTGTTTTTTTTTTTTTTTTTTTTTTTTGGAAGCCCGTACTAATTGTTCTAGATCTCTCATCGCTTTGTCGCTGATCATGGCCCTCCTGCAATTCAAGCCGGCCCCGATGTACATTCTGGACGAGGTCGACGCAGCGCTGGATCTATCTCACACGCAGAACATCGGCCGATTGATCAAGACCCGTTTCAAGGGATCTCAATTCATCGTAGTTTCGCTCAAGGACGGCATGTTCCAGAACGCTAACCGCATCTTCCGCACGCGGTTCAGCGAGGGAACCAGTATTGTGCAGGCGCTAACACCGGCCGATATGAAATAAAATCGCCGGCCGGGCATTTGTGTTTATAGCCTTTTGGTCTGTTCAGATTGGCGCATGTTTGTTTTGGGGGTGTTTTTTGGTTTAATAATGTATTGGCATGAATTTCGCTGGTTCATCTGCATGACTCTTGTTGTCCTGTCTGTTGTAGATCATCGGTCACTGCGTTTAAAGAAGCCACGAAAGCTCCGATTGTCTAGCAGGTTCGAAAGGAAATATGTGAGTTTATTACAGTTTGTCTCTCTGCGATGATCTCAAATTCATTCTGGACACGAAACAGGGCGTTGAGAACCACCTCGTCGAGCAAATGTACCTGGTAAACAAATTTTTTAATTCGGTTACACCCTCAGTTAACCACCCATGCGTCCCTTATCTCAAACAATTACTGGCAAGACAACAAGGGTGGGCGACGATTTTTCCTCCTCGGAGGTGAAACACCATAGACCATTCAAGGTTCAGCCACGGAATGAACTCATTGCTTGTAATGTCGTGATTGATAACTACATCTTGCGTCCGCTTAGGTGTCTGTGCGCTTCAGCTAAGGCATCCCACCGCACCTTAGGCCTCCGACTCTTGTTAGCGCCCTTCGAGACTGTGTTGTTATATGATGTTGATTTCTCAATCAGCAAATAGCCTCTTTCTTCCCACGCACACTATACTCTGCCATCACTTTCTAATGTATGGTCTTAGTATGCCTGGGATATATGGTCCAAATCTTTAGATATGAGACATGCATTCTCAATCGCAGCTTAGGCTATTTTTAGCACTAATTTGCGGATGATACTACTAGTGGGGGCCCAAAGCACTTCATAGGGCATAGCCACGCTTATTCCCCTTAATCTCATATAGACGGCTAAGGGAAATAAGCAAGGCTGTACCGTTTAGATCTATGAACGAGGCTGAGATCTCTACTAGGTCTCTTGTGTATAAGGCGCGCGGTTATGTTTCGGGCCTAAGGGGTAAATTAAATTTTATAAAGATATAATGAAAGCAGGACTTGAATGTACAAAGTACTACGTGATCTTCGAAGCGACGTTACCAACCTTCCATTCCATAATCATCTGGCTGTGCCTGTATACTGGCTACGATGAATCTTTTCACCCGATTCTCTCTTGCTCTACTGAGTACAAATCTTCTCTTTACGGGAAGCACCGCCGTTCCTCACTATCCGAAGCTCGCCAAACGTTTACCGGATAATTGGAAGTTATACAATGAGTGGGTCTCGATGCTCGATGTTCAACCTTACACCTACGAAGGTGACGCATGCGGTGACATGGGAACCTTCAATCGAGGGACTAGAACACTCACCTGGGTAACTGATAATTCCGAAGAAATGGTGGTCACATGGGAGAAGAATCCAATCGCCCAAAACATGGCTGCGGTTTATAAGGGCACGCTCCAGGTCAAGAAGGACGGTGAAGTGCAATCTACCCAGGATGTAGCTGTTAAACGAGACCGAGGTGATGGAGCCAACGGAGTTGTCTACGGTGCCTCCTTACAAATGCGACTTGAGGGCAACGAGAACATTCTCGGAGCTCTAGGTGCTGTGTTTTCAAACGATCCCACAGCTGGCAACGCGATCATGGCTTACGTCCCTGCTACATCACTGGAGCAAAATTTTGGTTCCTACTCGAATCAAGATTCGGTCAACAGCGCATTCAAGCAGATTCTCAGTGCAGTGGCAGCAGTTCAGAGCGCAGGAATCATTCATCGCGATCTCAAGCCTGAGAACTTCCTGCTTGATGGCAGCACGCTGAAGCTTATCGATTTTGATACAGCAATCGAAGCTGCAAGCTCAGATGAGACCAACGTTGGCACCGCAACCTATGCTGCTCCAGGTAAATGTTGATCCTCCATTTGTACCCACTGAGTCCGGGGTTAACCTTTTCGACCTAGAAATTGTATCTCAAAAAACAAAGTCCGGAGGTCCTTATACCAACAAAGTGGATACATTCTCGATTGGAATGACCTTTTTGGTCATGTCTGTGCCGGAACTGCGAGACGCAAACACTCGCTTTGACTTGTGGAGGAACCTCATAGAACCAAACGACGAATTGTGGCCTTCAGCCAGCACGGTCGCAAGTATCCTGAAGGGAAAGAACTACGGCGTGTTCAGCGGTAACGATAATCTCCTCAATGTGCTCTCAAATGCTCTGTGTGAGTCAGATACTCGTTATGACCCACAGAGTTTCAAATCAGCCTTTGAGAATGCAGTTTAGGGTGGAATGATCTGTGAAAGATTGATAATTGAAGCCTGAGCTCGTGCATAGCTTCCTGAGACTTCTGGCAGTATCGAGGGTCGAGCCTGGGGAGACCAATGGAAAGAAAAGGGTTGGCTTTGCGTCATGAATACACATTGGTTTGGGCAGTACAACCTAACATTCTTTGCATTTCATCTTGCAAAGATCAGCATACCCGACTATAGTGGGCGGGTACTATGTCCACGTACCATATGGAACCAACACCGCGCACAGAATAGTACTTCAGGGGTCAAACAACTCTCATATCATCGAAACTCCATAGAAGATTCATCACGGCACTGTAATGTACTAGACCGTTATAATATAGAGCCAGGATGTTCAGCTGGGACTCCTGAGACGGACCCATGCGCTGGTACATTCGCTCTATCCTAGGACAACTAACTGAGCAACAACACACAGCCAACGTTCAAAATCGTTCTGGTTTGCGGGTAATCGCTCCTCATTTAATTATTACATATTCCTCCTCTCTTTCATCTCATAATCCTTTTTTCATACTTACTCATTCCTACTCATCTTTCAGGACTTGGTCCTCCGGCACGTGCGACTCTCTCCATCCGCCACCTTTCACTCACACTCTCTCCATCGCCGCACTCCGCGACCACTGCGCATCGGCGCCCTCAACTCAAACCCGCCACCGCCGCCGCCAACACATCTCCTACTAACGACTTCTCCCGCCATCCACCTCGCACAAACCGCCCAACCGCCCATCTCCCGCGCCTCCCTACCCATCCCGGAACTCTTCCGCCTCCATCATCCAGCCACCGCGGCTCTTCCATCCAACACCACCCTGACTCACGCGGGCGCCCGCGCATCATCAAACCGCAAAAATGCACGACGACGAGCCCTCGCTGAACATCCCGTCCCTCCTAACGCTAGCAGTCGTGTCATTCTTCGTGCTCCGCTGGTTCCTCAACCGCGACGACAGTCCCGCAGGCGCCAGCGGCCGGGCTCGTGGCCGAGGCGGCAATGCCGTCGACCCGGCCCAGGTGGACCAGATCGCGCAGATGTTCCCCCAGCTAGGGACCCGAGATATCATGTGGGATCTACAACGGAATGGGGGCAGTGTTGCTGCTACGACGGAGAGGATCTTGACGGGGCGGGGGCTGGATACTGTATGTTTGTTCTTTCCCTGAGATATTGCCGCGTCTTTGCTATGAGACAAGGCAGAAAGGAAATATGTCTTTACTAACATCTATCTTTCCTTCCAGCCGCCTCCCTCATTCCAACCCCAGATCCCAACCCGCTCAGCCGGCGCTCCCGCGCAGCAAAGGACTACCTCGGCAACCGCATCGGCGTTAAAGGGAGACGGACAAGACCTGATATCTCGGTACAATCTCAGCGGCAAGGTCGCCAGCACCGGCAGCGGAGACCTTCCCGAGGCAGCAGCAGCGGCATCGGGCAAAAGCTCCTGGTCCCAGAACAAGGACGAGCGACAGCGTCTGCTCCAGAAGCGCCGGGATGAGATGATCCTCGCCGCGCGGAGGAAGATGATGCAGAAGGAGCAAGGCAGTCCCCAATGAGAATCAATCTTGTTCCGATCCTCTGATATAACTTAGGGCTTTGGGGTTTTGGTGGTGGTATTCTTGCTTGATTCAAACTTGATGCGGACACACCTGCCTCTCTTGTCCTTTTCTGTCTCCCTTGATATCCGAATCTCCCTGCGTCTTCTCGCGCCTTGTTCGCGGCTTATATTGGAGCGTTCGCATGCTGTATGGTGTTAGGTAAAATTGGAATAATCCTTGGTTCCACACTTTTCTGTGTACTGATTGAGGTTAAGAGATGGGGTAATGAATAGGGTATATACGTAAATTCTATGTACATGAGCTTCGTTTCGGGGATGGTATGTGCGCCAGAACACCGAGGGGACCAGAGGAAAGCGCCTAGAACTCCATGTAATCCTCCTCCTCGTCGTCTTGAGTACCATCGTAGCCACCGTTGGCTCTCTGCTCCGCCATCTGCTCCCTACGGGCTTGTTCTTTCGACGCTCCGATTTTCCTGAGCGCAATTAGTATATCACCTCCATCTTTTTTTGGAAGTACATACCGAAGACCATTCACCACTCCAGCCACAAACCCTCTCTCCTCTGCCACCTCCATAGCCCCGACACCCGTAAGCGCAACGCCTCCACCACCGGTAGCAGCCGCATCCAAAACATCAACCCCAGACCTCATCTTAGCCATGCGCACCTCGCGCAGATCCTTCAACAACCTCCGGGTTTGATCCGGATCCACGAGATCATCACTCGCTGCGTCGAGGAGCATATTCCCAACCTCGACCCAATGAAACGGCAACGCGGGCATATCCCGCGCAGACGTGCTCGCTTGCGCCGTGTTCTGGGCCAGAAAAGGCGGCGACGGGTAGTATCTGTCTCCGTCGGGGGTATACTGCGGCCGAGCAATGGGTTCCAGCGCGGCCCGATCGTGCACGCTAGGTTGGCCCGGCAGCGGGGGAGGCGGCGAGAACGCGTTCTTGTAGTCTTGGTGCTGGGACTCGACTTCGAGGATCAGACCCAAGGGATCAGGGTGTAGCCATGCAGGTGGGATGATGTTGGCGCGGCGTTGGCGTTTGAGGAGGAGGGCGAGCCAGAGCGGGAGAGAGGCGCGTCGGGGTGGGACGAGCGGCTCGATGGGGCCCTATATATAACACACAAGATTAGAAATGTGACAAGTATGTAGCTGGACCATGGCCATAAACTCACCCCGAGTAACTCGAGGCCCTCCAGGCGCTGCCGAGGCACCACGGTCACCATCTCCATCTCCGCGAGAAAGGCGATCTCGGACGGGATGATGCCCCGCGGATGGGGGAAGGCCATTGGAGCGAGCGACGGCGATATAGGTTAGAAATAGACCAGGATACTGCTCTCACTCTCACTTAGTACTGCCCCATGGTCTTTCCTATCTCCCTCGAAAGCAAGTAAGGAAAGTGTGGCGCGTGTCCGCGAAACATGAATTGCCCAATGCGGTGAGCTGGTCTGTTTGGTCTGTTTGCAGCGCATCCACTTAAGCTGCACCATCTCCTCTACTTGACTACTTCCTCTTCGTCTGTCCGTCATTTCGATCTCGCCGGGTGACAATGAGCTCCACATCGCCCGAATCGAACCTGAGCCGCGCAGCTCGCTATGCTGTTCCCTTCGCCCTGGTCCTTATCCCCATCTGGAGGACCAAAGTCAACGCCGAAGTCCCGCAGCCCTACCTGGACGAGGCATTCCACGTCCCCCAGGCGCAGGCATACTGGGCTCACAACTGGACGCACTGGGATCCCAAGATCACCACTCCGCCAGGCCTATACCTGTGGTCTTATATCCTCTGCGCAGGACTGTTAGCTCTCCGCGGATCTCCGACACAGCTCGACACAGAAGCTCTACGCACGACCAATGTCGCGGCCTCGGCGGTGTTCTTGCCGTGGAGGCTGCAGACCTTGCTGGATACAGTTCACCAGATGCGAAATACCCGACCACTGGGTGCGTGGTTGAGCCATACGGTGTTGAATATCTGCTTGTTCCCCCCGCTGTTTTTCTTCTCGAGTCTGTACTACACCGATATCTTGGCTCTGTTGGTTGTTGTGGAGGCGTATAATTGGGATCTGAAGAGATCGGCTGTGAAGGGATACGCTGTGCTGCAAACGTTGGTGTTTGTGTTCGTTGGACTAGCTGCGCTGGTCTGTCGCCAGACTAATATCTTTTGGGTCTCAGTGTTTCTGGGTGGGTTGCAAGTCGTTCGGAGGATTCGGCAATCTTCGGAACCTTGTAAAGAGTCTGATTTTTCGGATGTTGTTGCGCGAAGTCTGCAGAATGAGGTTTACGATCCTCTGGTCTCCGAGGCTTCCTTGGCGGGTAAGTCATACGCTACTCTGTCAAAAACGAGACGCTCATTTGATTTAGACTATTTCAAGACAGCCGTGTCTTTTGCTGCGGCGAGTCTTAAGCAGCCTTTTTCCGTTGTGGTTTCGATTATTCCCCACCTTGCAATCCTTGGAGCTTTTGGTGCATTTGTCCTGTGGAACAATGGCGTTGTCCTCGGTAAGCGATGCTCAACAATCGTTGGGGTAATAGATATACTGACTCGAAACCAGGCCACAAAGAGTTTCACTCTGCTGGCTTGCATCTCGCCCAGATGCTTTATATCTGGCCATATTTCGCCTTCTTCTCCTGGCCCATCATCCTACTTCCTGTGATCAACCTTCTGCTTCCATCGGCCTATATCCCAAAGTACCTGAACTACGGGTTCCCTGACAAGCACAAGAGGCTGCCAAGTATTGTGGCTATCTTTCTTGCCATTCCAGCCATGCTTGCCGTGGTCCATTTCAACACCATTGTGCACCCCTTCACTCTGGCCGATAACCGCCACTACGTTTTCTATGTGTTTCGCTTGTTGTTGAACTATCACCCGGGCGTCAAGTACGCTGCAGTCGTAGTTTATTTTCTCTGCGCGTGGGCCGTTATCTCTGCTTTCGGATTCTCAATCATCCAGGCCCCGCCCAAACTTGTTCAAGTCCCGCAGGCCTTGAAGCCCACAAAGGACCCCAAGAAATCTCCCCGAGGGACTCGCACCACTAAAAAGAGCAGGCGGGTCCCGCCAGACGCCATCTCTCCAGAAGCTCTCGCCAAAGTGCAGCAGCATATCCTCCAGCGCCAGAACGAGCAAGCAGGTGCACCGCATGTCAGCTTCGTCCTTGTCTGGCTAACTGCTACTACCCTCTCCCTAGTGACGGCGCCACTGGTGGAACCGCGGTATTTCATTATCCCCTGGGTACTGTGGCGCCTGCATCTACCTCCAACGCCGACCCTTGCTCTGGCTCGGCAACGACGGCCACTCGAGGAGGGTGAGATGGCCCGTGTGGACCTGGCTACCAATGCCCCCAAGTTCTTGGAGACGCTGTGGTTCGTTCTTATCAATGCGGTGACTGGGTATGTCTTCTTGTACAAGGGATTCGGGTGGCCGCAGGAGCCGGGCAAGATTCAGCGGTTTATGTGGTGATTCTTCCTACCTAGAATGGCGATAGATGTACATAAGAATAATGTTTGTATCATAATATGGAATATGCTTGCTATGTACTATATCCCCACTTGCTCTGAAGCACCGGAGTCATATCTCGCAGAAATATCTCCACAGTCTTCGGTCCCACGCCCTTGAACTCCTGCAAGCGTTCAGATAATTGAGCGGTCGAGGTAAATTGCTTCAACAAATCCCCAAAAGTCCCATATCTTTTCTTGAGACCATTCGCGTTTTCGAGTAACGTGTCAGCAGTGGAAAAGTCATAGCGGGTGTAATGCGCCCCATCAAGTATTTCCACTAGCTTGTTCCATCCGGCATCCTCGAGAGCATTGGGGGACGTGATGCCTGCCTGTGTGAGGTCTAGGAATGCCTGTTTTGCTATTTGTTGTTGGATGGGTTTGGCGAATAGTAGACATGCCATGAACCATTTAAAGCACTCGGCTTCGTTGCCTGTGTCGAGATCGATGCCGAGCTCTGAAGAGTAGATCTTTTTAGACGGCATTTGTCTTCGGTCCTTCTGTCTTGGATTTCTTTTCGTGGTGATAATAGAGGCTGAGCAGCATGGGCTTTTTCCTAGAATCCAGAACCTACATTCTGTAAGTGACGTCACTATTACATTTGGTATAATTTTTGAGAAGAACCTCTATGGGTGATGCTTTCAAGAATACTCGTGCTGACTTATTATTTATTTACTTTTGTCCAGCGTTCTGTCTACTCGCTATACTGCCGATGAAGCGAATCAGGAGTGACCCCAGTATTTAGCCATTACTTCCAAGGTTGACACCAGTGCTTATGCGTATGTATAGTTGCGAATAAATGGTCATTGAACCCAGCTAGCCTCAATCTTGCATTTGTTCCCTACAGATACGATCACTTGCTGTGTGTGGGTGGTTCTGTACACCTCCCGGTATATCCGCCACCACCTCAATCAATCAATTTGATCTTGTCAACACCCGTCCGCTGCAACAAAACAATTCTATGCTCCGACAATCCACCCGATTGTTCTTTCAAAAACCAATTCGTGCACCCTGTCTTATCACGCGCAATCACGGCCAGCAATATCTCAGCTTCGATGCTTTCTCAACTCTAGCTGATCCTCGGAGGAATTCCCCACACCCTTGCATCCACGCCACAACGCGCAACCATCACCAGATGGAGCGCCCAACTAAAAGGGCCAGAGTCTCCCCAGACTCGGCGAGAGAAGATGCACAATCAAATACGTATCTGGCATCCATGCACCGGTCCATCACCCCACCTCCCCGAACACGTTCAGGGCAGTCCATGCCTTCAATCTCGACACATCATCAACAGGACGGCCAAACCGAGGAACTTCCAACACGAGATCTCCCCACTCCGCATCATCCTCATCAGATCCCATCTCCTGTCCAACTAACTCACATCCGGGATTTCCCGTCCCAGAAAGGCTACAATGCCGACACAATCCGGCTGCGCGATATCCTCGGGGACCCGATGATCCGCGAATGCTGGCAGTTCAACTACCTCTTCGACGTGGACTTCTTAATGTCGCAGTTTGATGAAGATGTGCGGGACTTGGTGCAGGTCAAAGTCGTGCATGGGTCGTGGGAGAAGGAGGCCCCGAATCGCATTCGTATTGAGGTGTGTCTTTGTCTCTATCTTCCTATCATCAGGACTAATTGTAGACAGGAAGCATGCACACGGTTTAAAAATGTCGAGTCGATTGTGGCGTACATGCCCGAACGTTTTGGGACCCATCATTCCAAGATGATGGTTCTGCTTCGGCATGACGATCTAGCTCAGTATGGCTCCTTCCTCTGTTTCACACGATAGATTTCTTTCTAACTGAGCAGGATTATAATCCACACGGCAAACATGATCAGCGGAGACTGGGCGAATATGTCCCAAGCCGTCTGGCGGTCTCCGCTGCTTCCTCTGCAGAAGCAGGGCGCTGCAGCAGAGTCCACGGCACGGTCGACCATAGGCTCAGGCGTGCGATTCAAACGAGACCTTCTCGCATACCTGAAAGCGTACGGAACGAAGAAGACCGGCCCACTAGTCCAACAACTGAACGGGTATGATTTCGCGGGTATTCGCGCGGCGCTGGTTGCGAGCATCCCGTGCAGACAACACGTCGACAGCGGCTTGGATTCCGACAGACTTACTCTCTGGGGCTGGCCTGCTCTCAAGGATCTCATGGGCCGTATCCCTATACGGAGGCGTACCGACCCTTCCACTGCTCCCAAACCTCACATCGTCATCCAGGTGCGCGTGCCCGAGGCTACTGTATCAACATTCACTAAGACGTATCTCCAGATTTCCTCAGTTGCCTCCCTCGGCCAAACAGACAAATGGCTCAAAGACACATTTTTCGCCTCCCTCGCACCTCCCTCTCCATCCTCAACACCCCGGCCCAAATTCTCCATCATCTTCCCCACGCCAGACGAGATCCGCCGGTCCTTGGACGGCTACCAATCCGGAGGATCCATCCACATGAAGACCCAAAGCGCACCGCAACAGAAACAACTGCAATACATGCGTCCGTATCTCTGCCAGTGGGCAGGCGACAGCGTCTCCGACTCCGGATGCGTAGATCTAACTCAAGAAGAGGAAAAGCGTTCCAAGCGAGCAGCGGGTCGAGCTCGCGCTGCACCGCATATCAAGACTTACATCCGCTTCTCGGATGCAGAAACGATGGACGATATCGACTGGGCGATGGTTACGTCTGCGAACCTGTCTACGCAGGCATGGGGCGCAGGGACGAATCCGAAGGGGGAGATTAGGATCTCGAGCTGGGAGATTGGCGTTGTTGTCTGGCCGCAGCTGTTTGATGATTCCGCCACAGTGGCAATGGCACCTTGCTTCCAAACGGATATTCCAAGCGTGGCTTCGAAGAGTGAATCACCCTCCGTGGTGGTTGGGTTCCGCATGCCGTATGACCTGCCTTTGACGCCGTACAAGGCCGCGGACGAACCGTGGTGTGCCACTGCCACGCACCATCTGCCAGACTGGCAGGGACGGAGCTGGGTTCTTTGAAAGGCGGTGTTCAGAGTCAGGTTATGTCTACAGCATTAGCAGTGTCTACTTTACGAGACAACGCCCAGCCGCTTGATGCATAAGTTCATTTCATTTCTGATCAGGTATAACTGTTCCTTCTCCTTCAATCTTCAATGCTCCCATCCCCCTCAGCGAGGGCAGTGACCCAGTCCAGCACCGGCTCACTCATCACGAGTACCATACTTGTTGATGAGGGTATTCACGTTCTGGATATAGATAGCCTGCGCCTTCGAGTCGCTGTAGTGGTTGACCTTCTCCCACTCGCCGTAGAGCTGCTTCTTCTACACAACCGAGAAAAACCTTTAGCAAATGGCCCACAAGACAATACGCCCAAAGACAGAGAAAAGAAAGAAGGGTGGGTAACATACAACCATATCATAGAAAGCGGGCTTCTCAACCGTCTCCTTGCGCGCAATCTTGAAGTAAACGTAAAGATCCTTCTTCTCATACGGCCCGGGGGCGCTCTTCAGCATCATCACGAGCTTAGTCGCGAACTCGAACCCCGCCTTCAGCGCTGCGGCCTGCGCCGCGTCGGACACGGTCTCGGTCTCGCCCATCTCGGCGGCGGCGGCCACGGCGGCTTTCAAGGTTGCGGCATCGATGCCCTCGGCGGCGGACTGCACTTCGGGTGTGAATTTGGACTTGGACTGCGCTGCCTCCAGGGCGGTGATGAAGTCGGGGATGTCGGCCATTGTGATGGTTGGTTTTGTGGGGGTGTTGAGTGGGAGGGAGGTGTGTTGTTGTAGATTGAGTGGGATGAGGAAGAGAAGGGAAGGAGAAGAGAGAATGAAGATTGAGGGGTGGAGGGGTGGGTGGGGCAGACAGGCTCCGGGTAGTAAATATGCCAGTTACCATAGAGGGTGGCGAGTATAAATACTGTGTATTTACTGACCAAAAGATAATAGATACGTCTAGTTGTAGAATAGTACAGGAATAACCAATAACCAACGCCATATGTAGATGCAATAATGCTCCAAGAAAAGAAACCAAGGCACATCACCAATCCACTGCCCACCCATTGTTGGTCAAGAACTCCTCGCACGCCGCCTTGAGCGCATAGTTCGGCCTCAGATCGTGGACACTCATCGGCGCGCGCGTAAGCGGATCAACCCCAGACTGCTCAACGTACTTGACGATGCCGAGGCGATCGAAACTGGTCCCCGACGGCGTGATGACGGGGTCATGCATGATCTCGAAGGTAATGCCGTCGATCAGATAGTCCGGCACGATCTATAGTATTGGAGTTAATCCCCGCCAGCCACACAATCCGGGAGCAGATGTAGATATACTCACCCGTTCTTGCACCTCCCCCTTCGAAGCAATCCGGAAGGCCTCCCTCACATTCGCCACATTCCTCTCCTTATCCTCCCTCAGCGCCCTTGTATCCTCACCAAACCCAATCTCCCCGATCTCGTCCTTCTCCAACCTTGCCTGCAACTCCGCCAATCCGCGCTTCAGATCCGCCTCGATCAGGACCTCCACACTCCCCAGCGTCTCATTCATCTCGCGCAGCCGCCCCGTCTCCCGAGCAGCCCAGATCTGCTGTTTCGCGCGCAGAACTGTCTTGGACAGATTCTCGGTCTGGGGGTTCTTGGCTGACAGGCTGGCGCGGTAGGCGTCGATGGCGACCTCGTATGCCTCCTGTGGGCGCTGGAGGCCCAGCAGCGCTTGCGCGAGGTAGTAGCTGCTCTTCAGGCTGGCGGGGTTCTTGGGGCCGTGCAGGGTGATTGCTTCGCGGGCGTCGTGCTCGACGCCGGCCCATTTCTCGAGCTTGAGCCGTGTGACGGCGCGGTTGGTGAAGAAAGTTGGGTCGTGCGGGTTCTTTTGGATTCTGCGGAGATGAGATGAATGCGCGGGTTAGTGACATGGCTTTTTCATCGGTGGCGGTGGTGGCCTATTTACGCTTGTGAAAAGTATTCCTCTGCACCGCTATAATCTCCCTCTTTGAAGAGCGCGTTGCCCTTGGTCTTGAGGTCCTGGGCCATGGTGGTTGGTGGGTGCTGGATGGGTGTTGCGGATCAATGAATGGAGTTGAGTCCCCCACGCGGGGCAGATACGCAGTGCCAAGATAGATCCTCAGGGACACTCAGACAGGCAGGATAGCTAAGGCAAAGTCCGAGTGAAGCATGATGATTGATCACTCATTGATCCGCCGGCCGAGGGATTCTTGTCGAGTGGATAATCGAAGGTCATCGATACCCACGGAAAATATGACTCAGCCTGATCTATGCTCGAAGTTCAGTGGTCCAAAATATCACACCTAGTCTCTTCATTGGATCTATATATGACAGTAGACTATAGTACTCTTTTCTCTATCTCCCGTCCTCTAATCCATCCCGGAAGATACGGTCGCGGGTTTGTCGTGGTATCATATCGCTTCAGTGGTATATAATATAATATGGGTGCGGAACAACGGAAGAAAAAGACACGGCGCAGCTTCAAGACTGATGCGCAGCCGCAGATCGGTTAGTGGTGGTATTGTAGCTGGTTGACCAAGTCGAAAGAAGCGGAGCGATGCACTTAAGCAGCAGCAGCGCGGAACTGGTTCTCGTAGTCGGTGATAGCCTGGACCTTAGCGGCAGAAGCGCTCTTCGGGTCGAAGCGATAGTTCAGCCAGTCCGCAGCGAGCTTCTTAGCGAGCTCAACGCCAATGACGCGCTGACCCATGCACAGAACCTGGCAGTTGTTGCTCAGGATGGAGCGCTCAACGGAGAAGGGGTCGTGGGCCGTCACGGCGCGGATGCCGGGCACCTTGTTGGCGGCGATGGCGACGCCCAGACCCGTGCCGCAGATGAACAGGCCACGATCGGCCTTGCCCTCGACGATAACCTTGGCACCCTCGACGGCCGGGTGGGGGTAGGCGGTCTTGTCGGAGGCGGAGTTGACGCCCACATCGATGATGGAGGCTACCAGGGGGTTCTTCTCCAGGTGGGCCTTGACGGCGTCCTTGAGGGGCACGCCGGCCTCGTCGCAGGCCATGACGATGCGGATGGGTTGGAGATCGGCAGTCATGATGGTGGGTTGTGGTTGCGGTGGGGTGATAGATAATCAAACAATGGGGTATGGATGGAGTATGTGTAGAGAAACGCGCATTCTCAGGGGGAAATGCCAGTCTTTATATACGTTTCTCAGCACATCTGATGCCTCTCTGTCCTTCCATACCCCGCCTACCATACAGTGGATCCAACCCGAATGCGATTGTCCCGACCTTGGGTCGTGGTGCGCGTTACAGTGTATTATTCCTCGGGGCACCGCCAGACCCGCAGTGGCGTCATAGAAAGGGATCGGAGGCTTTAGGAAGATACGGCTGCCGTACACTGTATTTACATCTACAACTTCAAGGATGTAAAGCCATCGATGTCAGTGTGGCGGCCAGAGCAAAACGCTCATTCGCGAGAGGCACAAGTAGGGTTAGCTGCAGTAGTGAGTGATTCGGGATGGATTGGGGGTGAATGATACACCGAGTCCGTCGCGTTATTATTATTAGCCCTCGGAATGGCTGCCTCCGGCTGAGCTCAGCCCGTCATTCTTCCTTGATGCCGACACTGTGGTATGTCCGCATCCGTTGCCGATGAGCACTGACCGCCGCCAAGCCGAACCGCTTCAACACAATCCAATTGTCTCCCAAATATACAATGGCATGCAACACAGTACAAAAACGAATATCCTTTTCGTCCCTCCTACTCTCTTCCAACCCCGGCTGGGTCGATCTCCGCTCAGGGCATCTCGACCCCAAGCCGTGGTGTAATTGTCCCCACCGGCCACTCCACCATCTGAGCCGCTGTTGGCCCAGCGCCGCCGGTGACAACCGACCGGCGCATAACCGGTTCCCTGGACTGAACCTACTCCGGATTCTGGCTTGGGTGTCCTCTGCGCTCATTGCACATCGAGAAAGAGAGTCCCGTAGGGTGGCGGCTTGGTGTGACTGCACGATCAAATTTCGGAGGTTCGATATCTATGCATGGGAATCAATTGAATGTGATTATTGTACCGAATGGGCCATCGGAAATTAACTTGGCTCTACATAACAAGTTTCGGACGCACTTCCCTGCCCCTCTATCATAGACCTGGTACCGACAATGCGACAAGCCGTGCGTTCCATCAGACTCGGAAGCACGTCGCGAGACCTTCCCCACCGGGACTGTGTCCTCCGGATGTTAGTGCCTAGTTTACTCTCCCGCTTCGCCCCTGCATCATATCCCCTCGTACCCCCCTTCCAATGAGAAAAAGAAAAGACGCGAGTGACATCATTTGGCTTCAGGGCGGAACAATTAGGAAGTATATGTCGCATTGTATGTTGCCCGGTTCCGGGCGCCCGTAGGAGTTACCGCTAATGCTACTACTATAATGCTGATCACTGCTGTTGGGATGGAGGACCCTTGTTCACCGGGACAGGAATTATCTAGTACATAATAAGAGAGGGGCACTTTGAGTGAGGGGCAATTATTGGACTGGGCTAGACAATCCCGAAGGATTCGGGGATTCAATCGTTGGGGGGTGGTTGGTTTGGGTTTGGGTTTGTTATAGTTTCACGGCAACAACACTCTTCCTGTCACCTCCAACTTTCCTCATCCACACGACCAACCACAACATACCTTCCACTCCCACCATGGCTAGCACCACCTACCCCGTCCTCCCGGAGAAGCTGCTCCTCATCTCGCTGAAGATGTACTTCAGCCCAGAGCGCACCCTCGAGTACCTACGCGGGCTCCTCGACCCAGCCAACGAGATCGTGCGCCCTGAGAACCGCGAGCGCCTCCTACTAGCCTTGATCCCCGACTTCCTCACCGTGTATCCCTGCGCGGAGATCATCGAGAACTACGAAGCCCAATTGCCCGCCTCAGCGACGTCCGGCCCAGCCCCGTTCCTGCTCGGCGCACAAGACTGCATGTGGGAAGCGGCGGGCGCATACACAGGCGAAGTATCGCCAGCCTCCATCCGCGCCCTGGGCTGCTCAATCGTCGAGCTGGGCCACGCCGAGCGTCGCGCCATCTTCGGCGAGACGGACGATCAGACCGCGCGCAAGGCCGCCGCCACCGTCGCCCAGGGGATGGTGCCCCTCGTCTGTGTCGGCGAGGTGACGGCGCCTGGACCCGTCGCGTCCGAGGCCGTCGGACAGGCTGTGACCGAATGCGCGGTGCTCATCCGCGCCGTGCTGGGGTCCATCCCCGCCGACGCGCCGGTCATCTTCGCCTACGAGCCCGTGTGGGCAATTGGCAAGCCCAAGCCTGCGAGCGTCGACCATGTCGCGGCTGTGGTGCAGGGCATTCGCGCGGTCATCGGTTCCAGGCCCGGCGCGGCGCGTGTTCTATACGGCGGCAGCGCCGGTCCCGGTCTCTGGGGTGCAGGTGGCCTGGGCAAGGCTGTTGATGGCATGTTCCTTGGCCGCTTCGCGCATGAGATTGAGGGCGTGCGCAAGGTCGTCCGCGAGGTGGAGGAGACGCTCGGCGTTGCGCCTTGATGCAAACTCCCTACAACCATATCTTCTCCCCACCCTTCAAGCGTATCAATGGTTTTGCAGATACGTTCCCTCGTCACCGTTATACCCAAAGATACATACACACAGAGACATACACCACAATAAAAACTGGAGCCGGGCGCATCTAGACCAGTGGGCAATTGCTTTAAATCCACCGCACTATCAGTGTCAGTCATGCCAAAAGGAACTGTGAAAAGAAAACCACCCCCACCATTCAAATAACCCACGCCCAAAAAAATCCGGCCGAGTGAGGTCGGAAGAGCCTATCTGGGGAAACCCGCGATCGATGGAGCCCTGGAGCTGCAGCTTCCCATTTTTATGGAGTCAGCTGGAGCCGCGGGTGGGTATTTAATGGAGCTCAGCCGGTATACCCGTTCTGGATCTGCTGTGTGTCTCCACGGGCCGTGTCACGAGGCCGATCAAGGATTTTTCAATGGCTCAGATGACCTTAATTCTATTCTTGTTTGGGAGCGTCAGGGTTTGGGTGGTGATTGCTGCTTTGAGTAACCCGAACTCAGGACTGACTGTTTGTCTAGATCTAGATAGACCTATAATGATGGTGGGTCACAATCAGGACCAAAAAAATTGCCCGACATTCCATATCCTATACCTTGCTTTTATTTACACATGACTTGTCCAAACACTTAGTTACTTCTTCTGCAGTTCCTCGCGCAGCTCCTGCTTGACCCGCGTAACGGTGCCGATGCCCCCATAGACCACCCCCCGTGTACATCATCGCGACCGAGGCGCCGGCACGGAGAGCCGCGAGCGCCTGCTGGCCGTTGGTGATTCCACCGGAGGCGAAAATGACCTTGCGCGGAGCTGACTGACTCTCCACATCCTGCTCCGCCGTCGATGAGGGTCCCTGGTCAAGCAGGGCGCGGTAGCGCGCGACCAGAGCAACAGACCGATCAAAGAGTTGCGGACCCGAATACCCGCCTGTCTCCTTGATGGTCTGCTGTTCCTGTGCAGGGAGAGCGAATCCCGTGGGAAGAGGGTCCGGACGACGATTCGTCGTATTCCCCACGATAACGCCGTCGACCCCGGAATTCCAGACAGCCTCGCAGATCCCGGAGATCTGCTCGTCCGAGTCTTCATCCGGACTGACCTTGACCATGACGAAGGGCTTTGTCTTGCGCTCCACGCTCTTCGCCGCGCCGACGACGGCCGTCAGGATCGCAGTGAGCGGTGCGGTCGCTTGCAGGTCGCGCAGACCGGGCGTGTTGGGGCTGGACACATTGACCACCAGAATATCCGCGTACCGGGCCACCCGCTCAACGCAGTAGACATAGTCGCGCTTGATGGCGTCGAGATCCGCATCCGGGGTAAGTTTGTTCTTGGCAACCTGCACGGCCAGCAGTTTGCCTGGCACCAGACTGCCGGGAGGAACACCCGCTTCGCCGTCCAGGACCCGCTGTTCGGAGAGGTCGTGCTCGCCCAGCCCGGCGGCGTAGGCAAAGTCTCGCACCCGCTGCTTCAACACCGCGGCCATGTGGTCCGCGCCCTTGGAGTTCAAGCCGTAGCGGTTGATCATCGCGCGCTGCGAGGGAAGACGGAAAACCCGGGGTTGAGGGTTTCCTTCCTGTGGCAGGGGAGTCGTGCCGCCGACCTCAACGATCGCTGGTCCAATCTCGAGCAGCGCATCGGGGATGTCGGCGTGTTTGTCCAGACCAGCGGAGATGCCGATGGGGTTGGTGAGTGTGTAGCCAAAGACCTATACAGACACCCAAATAAGTATATCAACTCCAGGATGAGAATGACTGGATAGAAACAGACATACCTCAGTAGCGAGCGCACCATCCCCATCCGGGTTCCCTCGCTCTCTCGGATGAAGACCATACCGATACATGGTCTTCAAGCTATCCACACCTACATGATGCGCTTCCTCCGCATCGGGATATAGGAGCCGAATCAAGGGCACAGCAGCGTACCGATGGACACTAGCCCGAGTATCAGTGCCGTAAAAGTAGCCCACCAGCAAAGTCAGAGCCAACGAAGTGCCGTAAAAGGCCCTCTTGGCAGTGCGGCCAGCCCGCTTGGGCGCTGTCTTGACCGTCTCCGCCGGACCGGAAGTGGCTGCCTCGGATGCATATCGCGAGGTGCTGAAGCATGATGGCCGTTGGGCCCAGCGGGTGATAGGCAGGCCGCGAGTCCGTGCGCTGGCGGCTCTCCAGGCGATTGTGGTGGTTTTGGATGCCATGCTGGCTCAATTGCTGTGCAGGACGCTAATTGGCCTATTTCATTGGCAAGTAGGCGCGGATTGAGCCTGTAGCGTGGTCAGTATTGCATCCCACAGCTTCTGGAGCTTAACGCTAAGGAGTAGGGGTGCTCTCCGACAACCAATCGCTCGGTAGCTGGGTGAACAATAGGGCAGTATGACAGAAAGCGGTAGAGACTCACCAATGAGTTTGTCGCTCAATTTAAAGCAGGGAAAGAAACTCCCTTGAATCGAATCGGGCAAAATCGCCAACATTAGCGGTGAGAAATAGAAATGGCAGAATCCAACTATGTCATGGGCGGTGAGACTAGCTCTTTAGGGCATTACATCTGACTTCAGCATTTGTTTTTGCATTCTGAGTACTGAGTGAGTGTCTGAACTAAAATAACATCATTGATGAGTTCAAGTACCTAGGGCTGGATTGGATAGTCTATTTATTATGCTCCAAAAAACCCCCCAAATCATTTTAGGGCAGCTAGCATTAGTTGTATGCTGGATATATAAAGTGAGCGTATACTGGCACAAACGATTTTGCTACTCAACTGCATAAGATATAGCAATGTCTCTTCTTGCCCATCAGATCGCATCAGCTGCCGTCATGAGGTCCCTCAACAGTCTGAAGACCAACAATCAATTTATCCTTGAAATTGTTGGAAGGGCCATTCTGATACAGAGGCTGGAGGAATCTCTGTCAAAGATTTCCACTCCCAAGTGCATACGCTGAAGGATCAGATACACTGCTAATAGGATGATATCGCTGAGTTGCGCTGCGACTTGAGTTGCTTAATGGATTGCGGGCCGTCAGACAGCTCTGAACCTCACATTCACTTACGGCTACAACGGCGGCAACCCTAGAGCAAGCAGGACAAGAGGAGCAGATCAATGTCAATATTGATGATGTTCACTGTCTTCCGAGACATACTGGTAGATAGAAGTATATGATCGTAAGCCACGAAGGAAATAAACTACAAGTTTGTTCCGATTCATGTTGCTAAAACGCCGGTCCTCGCTACCTGTTTATGTACCCAGACACCAGAAAGAACATTAAACACTCGAAAAAAGACAGATGGAGAGAAGATAGACAAGGTCAAAGACCGCTCCAGTGGCACACCCCTTTTTACTCATCGCTCATGTGGGTATCCTCTTCCTCGCCCTCCTGCTCCTGCTCCTCTGCCTCGTCCTCAGCAACAGGCTGCTCAGGGGGCGGGGGAGAGTTTTCGCGAACTTGGGGTCGATGTTAGCGCGGTGCAACGAACGCTTGTAGACCTCTGCCTCATCGGGATCGCGAACGATGACCTGCATCTGGTCGATCTTGTCTTCCTGGACCTGCGACGACGCGGTGGGAGCAAGGCCCGCTTGGGCGATGGTGCGGGCCCGCTCGGGTTTGAGACGGGTCTTGCCGATGATCGGGTAGTAGTAGGCGGCCTGCTGCTTGGCCTCACCGTCCGAGGGCTGGAACATGGTGAGTGCGATGTCGCGCTGTTTCTGGTCGAGGGTCTGTGCGCTGGTAGCGTAGGTGCGGACGCGGTCGTAGCGGTGGAATTTGGTGCCATCGGGCCCTTCGTGCGTGTATAGGTCTGCGTTGTCGCGGTCCGGGTGCGTCATGCTCATACTCGACTTGATGTTCTTTGCCGAATCGGGCTTCTCCGGCAGGAAGAGTTCGTAGTCCCATGGCACGGGGCCAGGGTCCGGGTAGAGGTCGGGGTTGGCCTTGTGGAGTGCTGCCTTGGAGGCGTGGTCCTGGCAGATGCGCTCCTCGGGCGCGGACGGGTGCAGCAGAGCAACTTCCATGCGCTTATCGCGCTTGCCAGAAACTCCTGCGACGGGGGCCTTGTCGAACTTGAACTGGACATATCCGCCAGGGTCGGGGAAGCCCTGAAGATCGGGCAGCACAGGGTAGATTCCCAATGGCTTCAGTTTCGGGTTGTCGGGGTGAACAGGATTGGCCCAGGCATCAACTTCGTTCTTGGTCGGGGGCAAGCCCCGAATGCGGCTCTCCGTGTCTTCGCCCGTGTGCTTGCTCTTAGGATAGGCGATATCAAAGCCCTTCTGGATGTACTTCTTGATATGCTTCGGATCATCCACGGACGTCTTTCCCTTCTTCAGAGAGGGTGCGCGCGCTTTAACAGCAGAGCCCTGGCCTTCGGGAACACCACGCTCAGTAGAGATGTGCTGCGTGCGACGGAGGAAGCTGACATTGGCGTTCTTGGGGGCAGGGTTCCGAAGCTGATCAAGTGTCATCAGGAGCGGGAGATCAGCCGGGTCCATGGGCTGCGGGTGCTCGGGAGCCATGATAGCTGCGCAAGAAAATCAGCTGCATGTCCTCGACAAGCCAGAAAGTAAAAGGTACATACCGCTCTCATCGCCTAAATGCAGGCCCGGAATTCCAACCAGGTCAATGGGCATGCCACCTTCGGCATCGACGTCTATGTTCGGCTCCTCGCGCCGCGCCAGGTTCGAGGCAAATCCGGGAGTGATGAAACGGTCCAGTCCTTCGTGTGGGATGTCGAGGAACTTGGGCGGCATGTCCGGGGGAGGGAGATCATTGCGATAGCGCAGCGAGGCAATGTACTCCTGGTGGAAGCCACCACCCGAGGACTGCCCGCTCTTCGACTTGGAAGACATGTTGCTTGTTGAGTCGCTTTGTTCGAGCGCCGGAGGTTCGATTATATCGCTCTCAACCTCAATCCCAACCTTGGGGTTGTTGACAGGATGGGCAGCTGTCGCATACTTGATCAGCACTGGGTCTTTAATCCCAATCTAGTGATCACCTTACCTTGAGCCGGGGGAAGGTTTGGCTGGTGGCTCTGAGGTTGAGTCGGGCCAGGAACCGGGGGCGGACTGGCAGGAGGGGTGAGAGGGGGGACAGGAGTGGAAGGAGGAGAGGGCAAATCTAAAGAAATGTGAGAATCAACCCAGCCCTGAATGAGCAGAGAACGAGAGATCCCGAGCGAAGAGAGACGTAGCTGGTCGCAAACTTACCATAGACGAGTGCCATTCTGCCGACAGTGACCGCCTGGTGAATGGGGGTTAGCGTGGGAGAGGGAAAATGAAGGAGGGAAGTCACGTGTTGGGTAAACAAGAAAGCAACGAAAGGGAAGGAGAATTACAAGGAAGGAACAAGCATCATTCATTGCCACTAACACACTCCATGTTCTCATTAATACGCCCACATGCACTTGTATGCCATCAGTCGATGCCCTAGTCGATCATACTCGAGCTGCCCGATCCAGCTATCATTGGTCCCACTCAACTTCCCAAACACACTGGCCCCCTTCCACACAACCACCTGGGGATCGAGGTCTCGAGGAGGAACTCCAATCATGATCTCCTTGGCAAACCCAGGGCGCAGAGCTTGCAGTCGTTCCTCGAGGAACTGGTGGAACTGCGCAATCAAGCTGCCACCACCCACCACCATGATCCCTCCGTAGAAGTCGCGCATCTTCTTTTCATCCGAGCGAGCAGCGTGAGCAATGGAAGTGAGGATCGCGCTGTCGAGAGGGTACACCGGGATTATGTCGTCTCGCTCTTCCACAGAGGGAGGACGAGGTGCCTTCTCCTTCTCAGCCGACTCCTTATCCTTCACAGCGGGCGTGCTAGCTCCACCGGCTTGCGGAGTCCCCGCGGCGTCTGGTGCTGGGGAGCCGGCAACAGACGACCGAGGAGTGGCCTCGGCTTCCTGAACTTTGCTGACGGCGCTTGGGTGTTGGGGCTTGCCCGGTGTCGCCTGCACATCCGGTGGTGCCGTCGGCGCGTCCCCGTTCGCCTTGTCATCGGAAGGCAGTGGCGGGGCAAGAGCAGTCAGAATCTCCGACTGCGCAGCAGAGACAGGGTCATTGAGTTGCCCGTCGTAGATATCCATAGACCGGTCAATGAGTGTTCGTCGTGCGTCGACTTTGTGTTCATTGTCGAAGATGGTTGGCTCGAAGTAGCCCATCGGCGCCAGGTGGACTTCGTCGTAGGCCTTGAAGTTGTATTTGCGTGTATCCTGGCCAGCCACACGTAGATGGAAGTCGAACACTTGGGGTGAGACGCTGCCCTCGTTCATGGTGCAGAGGTTCTTCTTGAGCTCCTCGGCTAGCAGGTAGTCGTGCCGCTGCCACAGGTTGATATCGGCATAGGGGAAGTGGTCGTGGAGCATCATCTTGATAAAGGTCTCGGTTACATCGCGCCCACCGAACTTCAGGTTCACGCGCGAGTTCTCGATGCACATGCCCTCCTCCACACAGCAGATGGACGTCTTCTGCGCCCCGATATCGACGACGCAGGCCGAGGTAAACCCGGCGCCAAAGGTGGCCGCTAGGCTCTCTTGGATGAAACATGTGCGGGCAAAGGAAAACTCTCGCATCAACATCTCAAGAATTTGGGTGACGTATGATTTCTCGTAGAGATCTGGGATGACAAACACACACGAATACTGCGGCCAGTCTTTCTTGCTGGTCAAGCCCAGGTGGGTTTTGATGGCATCTTCAAGGATCAAAGAGATGTCCAAGAATAGCATCCGCTTGCTCTCGTAGTCTTTCTCGTTGCACCACCCATTCTGGATGGGCCAGTAAAGCTTGTATCGGGGCTTTGACGAGTCCGGTACGCGCAAGGCGGGCTGTCCCACAATGTACTCTGGTGGGGGGTCGGAGAGCTCGGTCCAGTCGACCCGCATGGGGTCGTTATGTTCCGAAATGGCCTCAGGAGCAGTTCTGCGGTTGTAGTTGACCACCATCTCCTTGGAGTTGGGCAGCATCCGTCGCTTGTTCTGTCGCATATGTACCTTGAGATCGGCAGACATTCTGTTGAACTGAGACGACCACTATACGAGAGTTAATGAATTTGCCAAGCTTCACAAACGCAGCGTCGGCCGTACCTCAGGGCCAAACGACTTCTCCGGCTCCATAGGAGAACCGTCGTCCCGTTTCAAACGCTTCGGCTTGGGTTCCTCCCGGTCTTCTGATTCACTCGTCGCGGACTTTCTCGCAATCACCATCGGAATCGTCTTAGGTAGTGCATCACTCGACAACCCAATTCGCAAGTTCTGACTGCCGATGTGGATCACAATGACCTTGGACCCGGCCGCTTCAGCAGGCGCTTCTTCCGTGTCCTCCATCTTTGCATCCTCATCGGCTTCCACTTCCGGTTCTGCGGCAGGTTCGCTGGTCTTGGCCGTTGCAAGGGCGCGATCACGGTCCTTTGCGGCCTTTGTCATTTTGGACCGGGCCTCCTCATTTTGTAGTCGGAACGCGAGGGACTGATCATCTCTCTTGAGGTAGTCGCTGCAGGGAACCAGGTACCATTAGCAGTTGCGTAAGGTCAATCAGGCTCCGCGACATACGTGTAGTAGTTCTTCTGATTGATTGCTGCGATCTGCGGCCAGCTGGAAAGCTCCATGTTGTTGTCTGTCCGCTCCAGGCCTGCGTAGTCCACTTTGAATCAGCACGCTGATCTTGCACTGGATGTTTTCTCAATCGCTGGTCACTTACCGTCATCCCGGGCGGCCTTTCTGCTCTTGCCGACCATGATGGGTGATTCTAGCGGAAACTTGACCGGCGTGGGTCGATGCCGCGGGCAGCGAATCTAGGGAGGGCAGAGGTGGATGGGTGTTGCGACCGGATTGCGCTTGGAGAGGTGGAAGAAGGAAGGGAATTGGAAAGGGGGAGGAGAGGGAACAATATATAAGGCCCAGCGAGGGACACAAGCAGTGGATAATGAATGCGCGAACGAATGAACAGTGGATGGATGAATGGATCAATTAATTGACCGCCCGCCAACTTACTTGGGCCGATTGCCACCATCCTTTCTTTCACTCAACGACCTTCCTCGACACACCAACAACAACCTCGCCAACTCACATTTCTCTCTTTTTGCTTGTCTTTGACTCCGACTTAGCATCCCTTTACCCTGTCATCCACATCGCATACCTGTCACCACCCTCGCCAGGCCCTCTGCTTTGAAATCAAGGCCCGTTCATAATACACAATCATGGGAGGATCATTATCGCGTCTATGGTCAATGGTCTGGACCAAAAAGGAGATCCGAATTCTCATTCTGGGACTGGTACGACCTCTGTGCGAGCGGGCCGACCTATCTGCTGGCCTATGCGTGGCTGGCTCAAAGGCTGACTCGGCGATCTAGGATAATGCGGGCAAAACGACACTGCTCTACAGGCTCAAGGTACGCGCTGCCCGGATACCAGAGACTGCTTTCTGGTGTTAGCGAAGCGCGCTGCTAAGTAATACTTCTGGTCCACAGATCGGCGAAGTCGTCACCACGATACCTACAATCGGATTTAACGTCGAGTCGGTCACATACCGGAACCTGAATTTGAATGTCTGGGTAGGTACCTCATGTGTTGCAGCGATCACCGACAGTAGGGGCTTGTTGCTGACCACGTATATTCCAGGATCTCGGCGGTCAAACGTCCATCCGTCCCTACTGGCGCTGTTACTACGCCAACACCGCGGCGGTCATCTTCGTCATCGACTCCACAGATATCGAGCGGCTGGGGACCGCAGCTGACGAGCTGGCGGCGATGTTGAACGAGGAAGAGCTGCACGACGCGGCGCTGCTGGTGTTTGCCAACAAGCAGGATCAACCGGGTGCTAAAGGCGCGGGTGATATTTCCGAGGCCCTTAAGCTGGGAGAGCTCCGGGACCGCAACTGGAGCATTGTCGCGTGCTCTGCCATTGACGGCAAGGGTGTTGAGGAAGGCATGGATTGGCTGGTGGTGAGTTCTTTTTCTCGTCTTGCTTTTTGGGGACTAGACAGACTAATCCTGTCATTTTTTATCTGTAGCAAACCATCCAGTCGGAAAACGCATGAGCTGCTGGTGTCTTTGCATCGGGCTATAGATTTTGAAACGACGATATACCTTGGTCTCCATGGTCGCCGAGGGGTGCTTGGAGGCCGTTCTGCTGCATTTGATGTGCTGTGCTTTTTTTTCTCTTCGGCTCTGCAGAGTCCTTGTCTTATATCGCTACATGGTTATTTTTGGAAGCGGTTCATCATGGCAGATAATAGTTTAATTGACGCCGTTGAGTCTATGAACAAAAACAAAGCCTTACTTATTTCCTCACTCCGCATCTGTGTTTCATCCTCTTCTTAAATCCACCCTGGACTGCAGTGCAATATGGATCTTATCCCCTCGACTCAGATCGTAGCCGTCGTCCCAGCTTCGAGTACATCCACGACAGATGTACAAATCACCACCTCGCACCAAGTGCCGAGGCCAGGCGAGGGTGAGGTTCTCGTGAAACTCGAGTTCTCGGGTGTCTGCCACTCCGACGTGCACAGTATCCGTAGGGACACGCCCATGTTGACTGATGTAGCGGGCCATGAGGGTATCGGCAAGGGGTTTCAAGGTAGGCATAATACAATCTAGGGTGGCTAGTAGATCGAGATCTAAATCGTTGCTATCTAGTCGGGACAGGCGTTGATGAGACGCAGTGGATAGATCAAAGAGTGGGAATCAGGTCAGTATCTCTTTTCGGCCTTGAATGAATTCTGCTCAAGACTCTTCGGCAAATAGATGGCTCTTTAGTTCGTGTCTCCAGTGTGAGCTATGTGCCATCAACCATACGGCATGCCCTAATCAGAAGAATGCCGGTGCAGTATGTTGCCATCCATTTCCAGGTGATAGAGATATGTCTTCGTGATCTGTAGTGCAGAATGTCCCCGACACATTTCAGAGCTCAGTGGGCATGGCATATATATCGTCGAAGTTTGAATCCCAATCCGGTGACCGAGGATGTTCGTGATATCTGGCGAATATCTTTTCATTCCTTACTTGAGGTCGGACGCTTTGGTGCTGGCCTTGGCCGCACCGCCACATGTGCTGCCTATTTCCTCATTGTAATCTTTGTTCCAGCACTCTCGCGCGCAGAACGCCAGGTCGTTGGTCAATGTGTTGAATGTGATTTGGGAATCGGCTACCGCGCCGGTGGCGGCGAGACCAAGGACGGTGACAAGAATAATACGCATTTTGTAGGTTTGAGTAGGATAGGTGGGAGGATGACGGGCATGGAGTTCGCAAGGAGCGAGAGCGCTTTTAAAAAAGTAATACGTACATGCAGTGCCTTTTTGGTTAGTGTCATTGTCTTTCTTTGGCCCCCCATAGAAAGGAAGGGATTGGGAGCCAGATGGATTTTCCCAATGGGGAAAGACAAGTGCGGCTCTGCGCATGTATATTTAGAGTTGCGCTACAGCCCTCTTTTTGAACACAAAGCATGCCGAGATGTCTATTCTATACACATTAGTGTGCCCTTTCAGAATAGCTTAGCAAAAAAGAAAATTGTTGCAAAAAGAATAATCGTGGTTCCAGAGGGGGTCGAACCCTCGACTTTGGCGTTATTAGCACCACACTCTAACCAACTGAGTTATGGAACCCGGGCTGGTCAATTTCGACCGGCAAGTATACATATTCCAACCCAGCAGGTATTCGCACCACTCCCTGATGCATGCTCCATGATAATATACTAAACACCCACTGCATTCTCAGTTATGGAAGACCATCCCTAAACTTCTGGCATCCCAAAAAGACAGATTATGTTCTAACTAGTGGTAATTAGCATATAGGAAAAGTAAAAGTATAAAGATAATTAAAAGGAAAATATGATGCCAAATCGCAAGTCTCATTGGGCATATTCATAGAGCACCTTATTGTGCTTGGACTGCCCTAGGATTTGATAACCTTATAGTTGAACGGCTTCAGTTTGAGCATGGTGATTCTATCGTGTAGCATCTTTGATTTGCTGGTCTGAATTTAGGTATCAACTATTCCATTGAGTCAAGAATTTACTGTACATTTCAATCCAATAGGCTTACCTGATAAATGTGCAATACAGCTAGTTAACTAACGTTAAGTTAACTATATTAGTTAACTTAGCGAGCCTTCAGGATTATTAAGCTTTACCAACAGCTCCTCTGACCACGCTAGCTTAGTCAATGAGGGGTACAGGCTTTGCTGTAATAAATAGGGGCAGCGTAGATAGTCTGGAATGCCATCGTTCTCATCATTCTCAATTATCCTGGAGGCCATTGGCTGGTAAATATACAAGCATATACCGCTTCTACTGACTCCGTCATTACCTTTTATATATATATATTTTTATTTTCTGACAAAATGAGCCAAGAGGTGAATCTAACAGAAGGTGAAATTCTGATTCATGACGTTTCCCTCAACGTGGTAGAAGCTACCTGGCGAGCTAAATGGCTCATACTCGGGCTTGTGGACAAAGCTGGCAATGTTGGTCTCGGAGAATGTTCTGATTCTGGTACTCCTGACCTCGTACGGGAGCTTGTCAGTTCTCTTGCTGGACGATTGCGCGGTCGCACTATAGCAGAAATTCGTTCGGATGGCTCTATGGTCGCTGGATTTCCCGGGGCATTGGCGAATGCTGTTGATCTAGCACTATCGGATCTCAAAGCCAAAGTTACCGGTACGGCACTCGATATATTACCAACAGAGAGATATCGTTCCAGGATACCACTTTACGCAAACATCAACCGTGCCGAGAGAGACCGTACATCAGCCAAGTTAGCAGCCCTTGGAGCCCGTGCGGTTGCTGATGGTTTTCGAGCTGTTAAGCTGGCACCTTTTGATGATACCAATGCAGAAGGTGGCCTAGCTCATCTACGCGCGCTAAGGGAGGCAATTGGTACAGATGTGAAGCTTATGGTGGATGCTCATCATAAATTGGCAATCGATGAGCAGCTACGAATTCTTCCACAGCTAGAAGCTTTGAATGTTGTGTGGCTAGAGGACCCTGCAACTATAGATGATATTGATGGTTGGAAAAAGGTTGCCGCAGCCACCAAAATTCCCCTCGCTGGTGGAGAGCAGGCAAAGAGCCTGGAAGACGTTGAACTACTTCTTTCTTCGGGCGTCTTGTCTGTTGTGCTACCCGATGCTAGAATTGCAGGAGTTAAAGGAGCATATGAAATCCTTTTGCGTGCTCAGGAACTCGGGATTCGATCTTCCTTGCACAATCATCTAGGACCAGTTACGACAGCCGCAAGTCTTCATATTGCGGCAGCTGTACCTAACTTTGATATCTTGGAATACGCCTATGGAGAGGTGCCGTGGAGAGGTGAAATTCTGACTCCAGAGGAGAAAATCGTTGGCGCATCACTTCCTGTTCCAAATGGTCCAGGACTTGGTGTTAATTTGTCGGACAAAGCACGACAGTTGCTTTGTACAGAGTCACAAAAGAGTCAAGTAGTGTAGTGCCTTAAAGAAAACAATTTGTGTATGGTACGGATCAATGTAGATCTATAAAACGTAAAGTGTTTCCCCTAATGCTATTTAATACAGTTTAGCATCGACAATTACAAGGCTGATAGCATTCAAAAATGCTGTTATGTTGTATCTTTGTATCTGATGTTGAGTCATTATGATGCTGCTAGGGTCGAAGATGGAAACCAGGCCGATATCTCCTGTTGCTTCTCCATCTTGACACTTTGTCAGTATTTGTTATTGAACCGACACAATCAGAGTGAAGGTGAATGTCTCGTAAACGCGATACGATGCAGTTGAGTCGTATAGCCACGTTCTTGCTATTCTACATCCGTTAGCCACCTTTTGTGTACTTTATCGGTAATAATGGTCACGGTAAACCTGTCGCCTCCGGTGGCGATCGGTTCTGAGATCATGGGGTGAGCCTCTCCCTGGGCACTCAGAGCGGGACCTGAGCTACTCACTGAGCAACCTGAGCGCTCACCCCGTTGCTCACACCCTTCAATTCTCATGGTGCCTCTAGTCCTTCTCCTACTCCGATGCTAACCGATCTACTGTCTACTACACCAAGACTCTAATCCATCTGTAAATATAAGAGGAATGAGGATTTATATCTCTCGAGTTTCTAACTCTAGTTAGACTCTAGAGAGTCCCAAATCGTCACAGGAGGGAGGCGGTTTGATGAAATATTTCTTAATGTGCCAGACCTTTGATGAACAAAGCGACCTCATGTCGATCCCTTTCGACCCATAACGACTTAACATTTATCACCTCAAGTGCTTGGGTCAATGGGATCTCAATTCCCTTTGTATCCTGAGTGTCGAAAAAATCTTTAATAGACTCTTTCTGTCTCCTGGTCGCGAAGCCCGTAATACAAGCCTTAACGAGCTTGCCTAAAGCGACTTTGGTGAGACGTCGAGCGAGTGTTGTCCAGTTCTGCATTAACCACTTCCACAAGGTCTCGACTCCCGTTCGATGAGCCTGCAAAGAGCTAATGACAAAGTGTAGATCTTGGTCACGAACATGCTCACTTGCAGCGAGCTCAAGTGTCCGTGTCACCAATGTCGTATCCTTAGCGTAGCCCAAGGACCGTAAAGCAGTGTTGCGTTCAATACTCGTCTTCGCGTTCATATATTCTTTCAGAATAATTTCGTACTATTAAGTTATTAGCAAAAAACTGTTTGACAACGAAACCTCTGTTTAATTCACCTCGGACAATCCACCGTGCTCAAGTACCAGGCGAAATATGTGAGGCAGGAGGTTCGGATCAATCTTTGAGGTCTTGTTGACCCACCCAGTGAAAAGCGCTTTCGCTGTGGCAATTACCTCTTGATCTCCTGCTTGTCCAGCAATTCCAAAGAGCAATGCCTGCAGCTCCTTTTCTAAGTGACCGGTATAGTCCTTCTCCCGTCCCAGCTCAGTTAATTTTGGGCTCACCAATTGTCTGGCAAACGTCTTCAGCCCCGCAACAACCTGTGGATCTTCAAAAAGCCATGCTGATTGGATTGCATCAAGATGCCTGCTTATGACAATCCATACCGTTGGCTGTGACTCATGAATGAACTCCATGAGTAGCCTGAGAAACACAGATGTCTTCTGGTGGCCGGATGTTGCCAGTGCCCCGGTATCTGCAATGATTCCCAATCGATCCTCAACACTGAAAGTGTCGCTTTCTGTACAGACTTTGACGAGCCTCTGGAGATGTTCAGCATCATAGGAGGTCCTGTATATCCCACTTTGATCGGCATTTAGCTTGAGAAAGCCGTGCATTCTGATTTGAACACTTTTCTCGTTGAACAACTCTCCACGCAATACCCCTTGATCTGAACGTATATTCAAGGGCACAGGATAATTTTCGCTCCGTGGTATGGATGACAATTTTTGAAGTTGCACATGACGGTCTTGCTGAAGGCATATGCAGCCTTCTGAAACCGTAACTGTGACGACGGGATAGCCGACTTGTGTCGTCCAGACACTCATTGAGTCAACAAAATCTCCTCTGTTTGGATGCCCTAAAGCAGCCCAGAGGTCAGCTGTGCTGGCATTTCCATAAGCGTGTTGGTTCAAATAGCGCCGGACACCGTTCATGAATTCATCTTCGCCTAGGTAGGAGTAGACCATCCGTACCAAACTGCAACCTTTCAGATAGGATATAGCATCGAAGGCATAGCCGATGGCGTTCGTTTTCTGAGTTGGAAGCTCAAGTGGATGGCTGCTGGGAAGCGAGTCCAACGACAATGCTTCTTGGAGACTATCCGCCACAAACTTTTCCCATACTTTCCACTCGGGATAGAAATGGTCGCAAGCATACCAGGACATCCACGTGGCAAACCCTTCTTTCAGCCAGAGGCCATCCCATTGATCCATTGTGACGAGATTTCCAAACCACTGGTGAGCAATTTCGTGTTGGACAGTTAAAGTTGTGCGTAATTTGTTGGACATGCTCCCGAGATCTTCGTCAAATAAGAGGTCGGCCTCACGGAAAGTTATCAAGCCCCAGTTTTCCATCGCACCGGCTGGGAAATCGGGAATGGCGATCATGTCCAATTTCGGGAGCGGATACTCGATGTTGAACTTTCTTTCATAAAATTCAAGAGTCTTCATTGCCAAATTCAAAGAGAAATGCCCATGGTCCAATGTCGCATTTTGTCGCCGAGGCATGTAAACTCGCACTGGTACATGGAAATTGGTTGATTCCACGTATTGGAGCTCAGCGACCACAAAGGCAAGAAGATAGGTCGACATTCTGGGGGTTCTGTTGAACGTCACAATCTTTTTCAGGGGGCTCCTTCGACTCAACTCGTCGTCGGTAACCAGTTCGATGTCTCTTTGTTCGACAATGTCCATGTTGCTCAGACAGGTCAGATGCCTGTCCACAACCAGGGTGACCGAAAAGCTCGCTTTAAGGGAGGGCTCATCGAAGCACGGGAATACCCTTCGTGCTTCGGTCGCCTCCAATTGAGAGGTGGCTAATACCTTCGGCAAGCCATCCGAATCTAGGTAACGGGATAGATAAAACCCCATCATTTGATCGTTAAGCCTGCCTTCAAATACGAAAACAAGCTGTATCTGGCTGGCTGCCTCAAGGGGAAATGCCACAGATATGATGGCAAGATGCTCTTCAGCATCGTATGAGACCGTGTGATCGAATGCGGCGGTTGAAGATCCTGGCATGCTTCTGACTTCCGTTCGAAGAATATTCAAGTCATTCACGTTCAACGGTATGACGGAAGTTTTCTGCAGAATGTCGATTCTATGTGCAATGTCAGTTCAATAATTTAGTAGATATCAAGAAATAGAATCTCTTACGAAATCTTCACTGTACCGTGAAAGACTGCATTCTCCAAGTCAGGCTCCAATTTCAGGTCGTAATGTTTTGGGACAACATCTCGCAGTCCAATGCCCACAGTCGTAGGGAGCGCCATATTCGCGGGTTATAAATAATAAAGCCTTGTGAAGTGTGGTGTTGACGGACACTTCTCGCGGTTGACGTAAATGTGTATTACAGCAGCGCTTGCGACATACCAAGTTTCATTTACTTCGCAACAAGACTGTGTTGGCGTCTGTGAGAAGTTTTCCCCCACTCAAAAGTGATAATAGGGGGCAATTTGTATGTTATTCCCTCGTCCACTTCTCTGTTCGGCTTTCCGGGTTTCCGTAAGATTGAATGCCTTCAATTGATTAAGTGTATGTGGACTTGCAGTCGGCTCGACATACCTCGAGAGATAAATTTACGAAAACCTAATATTAGCCATCGCCACGACCTGCTGTCCTCAAATTACTGGTTACCGGGCCGGCCATGAAACGAGAGGCCAGGCTGCCTTCACACACCACGCACGCCCTTATAATCTATTGTTAATACATATGAGTACCTTTTGTGCGTGCTCCCGCACTAAGAATATTGTGTCCTGACCGCGCCGGACCTTGTACCGCTAATGTCAATTGGGATCAGGGTATGATCAGAAGTACATAAGAATCTGATTGGTGGATAGTGCGTGCTCCCGCACATGTTTTATGGTGTCCCGAGGCCCGACCGCCGCATCTGTCAAGACTGCAGAATTATGGTTGAAGGGTCAATTTAGCGGGTGTGAGGTGGGAAGGTACTTAAAGAAGAATGCAGATTAATATGCTAGAGAAAAAATCAAACACCCTTTTGGATTTACATTTTTCTAATCACCAACCGCGCCCCTACATATATCATTTGGGCCAACTAGTCTTGGCACCATCAACTCTAAAAAATGTCACAACCCTTGAAACATCATCAGCAGGAAGGGGAGTTTCTTCAGGAGAGGCTAAACCAAATTCGACTCTACAAAGATCGAGGTACGGCAACGTCTTGCTTTACTTTCTACGCAGATTCTGAGAATATGCTTTTAGCGCGATACGATTATAGCACAGTACATTCCATCGTCGATACCACGCTTGTTTCACACGTTTCCTTTATTAAAGAATATGAGGGTCAACAAATGCCTATGAATATGCCTTTGACAATGGTACTTGGTCATTATGACCCGCTTTGCGATTATGCAGATTATGATGACGAATGTTTGAAAAAAACGCAACAAGAGGCAATGCAGAATGTCCCGATGGAAGCTTATTTGCATGGAAATTCGGCATCAATGCTCCATCGAGAAATTCGGGCAAGTCAAAATGGTTCAGTTCCTGTTTGCATTTCCTCAACAAAAGGTAGAGAACTTCACAAAGTTATGATTTGAAGATGGCTAAGAAAATATGGCAACATAGTTGATGGTGTGGTCCTTTTTCTTACACCAAATGGGCACTCTTTGAACTATCGATCAGCCACCCTACATGGTGAAGCTTCACTGGTTCCTGATGCCGAAACTGATAAGAAGAGATGGGCCATGCGGCTTCTCACGAATCATATGTCCAAAGGGAGGTGGGAAGCAACTTATCCTGTCTTTCCTAAAGCGATGGAACACGTTCAGGTTATCGAGGTCAAGATCCGCTGCGCAAGCGCAAAGATCAGAACCGGGAATGTAGGAAGTTTTGATCCCGACAAAATAATGAATCATAACCCTCAGTGGAAGTCAAAAAAAGTCTGGTCGGGGGTTGTTCCTCTTTATGAAGTCCTAGGAGAAGGTATCTCAAGCGAAATCATGGCTCCCTGGGGAGAAACCCCAGAGGCTCGTCAACAAGTCGATTCTTGGAGAACGGAGAGGAACAAACTTTCGAGGAAATACGCAGAAACAGTGGCAGCAGTTGGTACTGTGGAACAGGAGATGAAAGTCAAGTCAGAGTATTTATTAGAAGAGAAGAGTTGAAGGTCGCAACAATGGTCAATGTTACCATGAATCATGAGTCTCTGGGGGGAAAGCGCGTCAGACAAAAAAAAGAAGGGACAAACAAATATTAAAACTTCCATTTCTCTTTTTGCGGAAAATTTTCTCGTCTCTGTTTTCCCATGTTATATTCACTGTAGCCGCAAAGGATATCCAGGTTGCCGTACGATTAACTAACACTACCAAGGGCTAGCAGGCAACCAGTATTGGCGCTTTTTCGCTCGTATAGTACCATATAACTGAGAATTCACATGGGAAGGTCGGAAGGTCAGCTGGGAAGCTGGTGTCGATATTTTGAACTGTTGACAGAACCTACAGATTAATGTTAAGAGCGGTGGCAATGAACGGGCAAATAAATACCCGGTTCCCGTCAGACCTCCAACTCTCCCCCTACTACCTCAGTCCCGGCCACCATACCTGAATGCAATCACAATGTATCGGTCTAACAGTGGCTGCTGGACTTGTCGTGTGAGAAGGAAAAAATGCGACGAGGGAAAGCCTTCCTGTGTGGCCTGCACATCGAGAAATATTCAGTGTCATGGATATGGACGCAAACCAGATTGGATGGATGGAGGTCCTCGGGAAAAGTCAGAGGCCGCTCGTTTGAAACATGATATCAGGAGGTTTTTTGGCCAGCGGAAGAAAGAAGTGTCGTCGTCTACCCCTCCTGTCTCCCAGGGTGCGGTCGAGGTAGCCATGGATAAACCATTCTCCTTGCATGACCGCAATCTCGGCACCACTTTCGAAGGTTGCAAGAGTAGGATGCTGTCGGACATCTCACTGCACATCGGAGATGAGGTCGAGGCGCCAAATGATCCCATCGGTCGAAATGTCACCGCTTCCGAGCCTTCGGAAGCCAATACGTTAATAGCACATGACTCAGCTACTAGATCCTCTCTTTCGATGATCAGAAGTTACCGCGAGACAGAATTACTGATGCATTATCTGGATTATGTATTTCCCTTGCAATTTCGTTTCTATGACTTTTCTTCGCACCCAGGGGGCCGAGGCTGGTTGCTCTGGCTTCTATTCAACACGGGTCCGCTGCTCCATGCTACCTTGAGTTTGAGTGCCCTCCACCAATATACTTTGTTTCACCCACAATCAGACAGAAGGGCCAAAGAGCTTGCTGCATATCATGAAAACGCCCTGCGTGACCTTCAGGTGTTCTTGGAAAATGCTGGAATGGACAATGACACCAACGGAAATATTCGAGACGTCACGGTTTTGGCTTGCGGCATATCGCTTATCAGTTTTGAGGTCTGTCTTTTGGATTTCCTGATTCTGTTTCTTTGATTCTTACTTGAACAGCTTTTTCAGGGTGGGATTTGCAATTGGCAATTGCACCTAAATGCCCTGCTATCTATCCTGGACAGATGTGACCTTTCTAGTTTCGGGAAAAGCTGTGTTATTGAGAACGAGCTGGATGAGTCCTTTGATTGGCAACACACTGCGCTTTCCTTTTTTCTCACGGTTCTTTTGTGGTTTGATCTGCTTTCGTGTGTCTCTACCGAGACCACTCCTCGTTTGCCATATCGCAGACTGTTGGACGATGGTATCGTCAATATGGAAAGCGTGATGGGGTGCACAAACCGGGTGATGCGTGCTATCGGAGATCTTGCCAACCTAAGCTCTTGGAAATGTCGTGCCAAGGAGCTTCAAGTGCTGAACACACGAGAACTTCTCTTACGCAGCCTTGAGATAGAAAAGCAACTTGAGGAAGGGCTGAGTGAGCTGGGAACGACAGCAGAGCAGTCGCCGGGTGACCCAATGAAAGGTCCAAACCGATTTTCCGAATCTGTCCAATTCGTAACTCGGGCTTTTGCTACCTCTGCCCTTGTCCAATTGCAAACAATAGCCTCGGACAGCTACCCGGATCTATTTCAACTTCAGAGTGCAGTGTCAAGGAATATTGCTATTCTGAAACACATCGATGATCCTCAGACTGTTCGAGGGCTCGTCTGGCCTCTTTGTGTCTCTGGGAGCATGGCAGAGCCTGATCAGCAGTCGATCTACCGGAATTTCGTTCGAAGAGCGATGAAAAGCTCTCGTGAATTCGGAAACCTTGATGCTTTGCTTCTAATAATGGAGAAATGTTGGGAAATGAGAAGACTTGAAGCAGAGCGGGATGTAAACTGGAAAACTGCTATGAACGAGCTCAATATTAGTTTACTTCTGATTTAAAGACAGACTAGTTGGATGAATTTTGGTCAATAGGAAATTGAAATTCCTTCATTGATATCCGAAAAAAAGCCTCATCAAAACGCAGTCAGCCCCATTGAAAATCCAGATATTTTCTCCAGCCTCTTTCTCCAGCCTCCATTCCTTGAACTCGCCCAAATAGTTCACACTCCAATTCCACAGGCGTTTATGGCTAGACTGGTTTGTATGCAGCCAAGAGCTGGGAGATAAGAGTGGCTATTCGCAGAGTTCTCTCTTCCTCAAGTCTCCTCCCCACAATTTGGATAGACAATGGCGCGTCTTGATACCTCTTGTATCCTTGGGCGTTGTCATATAGTTCTCTGTACCATGCATCAAGAGAGCTCATAGCTTTAGGTGACGCAGGGGGGAAATTCTCCCAGGTATCCGTTTCGTTGACAGTACCGACGGGAATTGAGACAGATGAATAATCAAGGACGTTGAAGACGGAAGTGTACCCCCAGTATCGACTTTCATCATGGACAGCGGCAACTGTTGGGCGGACAGGACAGATTATTGCATCCACTTTCGTAGCGTTCCACTGCTTTGTATACAAAGTCTTCAACATCTCAATAGTGGCATTGACCTAGAGTTGGAATGTGTTAAATCCGAAAACCTTGTAATAGACAGACATCAAACCTCACCTTGAAGCTATCTTCGATGGAATAACGACGAAGGGCCTTTGTGTCAAGCAACCATTTCAACATAGCTACTGGGGGCTCTTTACCTTTCTCCAGCGTTTGGAAGTATTCCTCACCGCCATCGAGAAAATACGCTTCGTTGGCCACGTTATAAATTTGTTCATGTAGATGAGGTTCCCAGTCCACGACAGAGTGGCCTGCCTCTTTCAATGCTGAAACGGTGCGCTTCAGTGCTCGCGAAACGGGAGGGTGTGGCTGCACGACGCTATCATTCCACATGACTCCTATCTTCAAATGGACAGGAATCGACTTTGTAATTCTCCATGGGATCTCAATAACTGATGGCTCATAAAGCCACGGCTGTGGTCGTAGAGCAGCAGTGCAAAATAACTCCAGATCTTCGGGGCATAGAGCCATGGGTCCGACTACACCGACAATGTTCTGCATGCCTTCGTGTAGTCCACTTAAACCACTATGTGGTAATCTTCCCACACTAGGCTTCAGGCCATAGATACCGCAAGCGGCACAGGGTACGCGAATGGACCCACCAATATCTGTCCCTATACCCAGGATGCTTCCTCGCATTGCCAACAAAGCTGCTTCACCGCCGGAGCTGCCACCCGATGTCAAGTCGGCATTGTGAGGGTTCAGTGTTCTTCCGAAAATATTTGAGTTTGTCTCAAGGGACATTAAAGACTGCGGGTTTGTAGTTTTAACGTGGAATACTGCACCTTGCTCTCGAAAAATCTTCACAATATGTGCATCCTCGGTGTCTTCTGCATTGGCCCAAGATATGAGACCGGAAGTGGCCCTTGAACCTTTAAGCCTAATGTGTTCTTTGACAGAAACTGGCAACCCGTGTAATGGTCCCCGTGTTTTGCGGTGCACTCGTTGATATTCGTCCAGTGCTTCGGCTTGTGCTATTGCTTCCTCGAACAGAATTTCTGCAAGGCAGTTTGTCTTGGAAAATGAAATGCTATTAGGTCGGTCTAGAAACTTATGGACAAATTGTTTACTTACCGTCTGATGTGCAATCGCAGCCCTCTTGCAAAATGCGATGGTAACCTCAACGGAGGTCAGTAGCCCTGTCTGCACCAAAGAGACAATGTCCACTGCTCGTTTTTCGGTGATCTCGAGCTCTGATTTGCTCAAAATACCACATATTTTTGGTAACTCGAGAAAGTTCTTCTTGGTGAGCAAGTACTCTGGGAGCTTCCAGGCATCAGGTATCTTGCGTGAGATCTGTGCTCGCCGAGCAACTCCAATTTGCTGCCATGAGGGTATCTGGTCATTCATTTTCCACAGAAGGAAAAAGAAAAAGGAAAAATAGCAATCGGAGTCAGGCGAAGAGTGATGTTGATTATCAGATCCGATGGTTCAGCCTTTCAATTGCAGGAGGAAAACAAGAAATCTTGATGAGTTTGTCGAGGCAAAAGTCCCGCACCGTGTGTTCTTTATAAAGTATCCTCACAATAAATCTGATTCTCAAAAGGAAACTGAAATAAAAATATTCAAAATATTCTATTGGTTGACCTTGTTCCATATCGCTATACGGACTTTCTCTAACAAACCAGGCAATGCGAGCCGAAGCTCGGCTCGCATTGCCTCAACTTTAATTTCTTATGTGCCATGCGGGTAAAGTGGGTATACCGGCTCGCGTTGCTCAACTTTAATTCATCTTTGTGCCATGCGGGTAGGTATTATCTTTCATAATTATGTACTCACTAATCGACTGAATGAAGTTGGTCTTGACGAAGAACGTAAAGGTACCGCTCCCGCGACCTTCCTACCAATGGCAAGGAGCAAAATATATGTCATCTATATTCTTGTTTCTGCAGCGTATCTCAATACTTCGCACTGATTTGGTGTTTTCCTCCGGTCACGTCAATGACAGTACTCGATCCATTTGTTACGGCCTGTCCGTCCAAAGTAGCCTGATAGAAGCTTCCCTCAGTGGACTGCGGCAGAATGATTTGACCTGTCGTTCCCTCAGGAGTGTTCACCCAAATACCAAAGCCGCTTCCGTCCCTGTTCAGCGTCCAGCCCGAGGAGAACTTCCCAAGTGGGGTGGTAAAGCCACCCTCTGCAAACTGCAAGTCGCCGAATTGTGGTTCTAATACCCACTCCTTGCCACCTGGTCTGCTTGGTCGCAAGCCCACGATGAACGAACTCAATGCATCGACCGGGCCAGTACTCCAGCCGAGAGCATGGGCCGTGTATGAGCCATTCTTACTATAAGCATCATCTCTGTATCGCCAGGATCCATCAATATTGTAACCCTCGACGAAGGTGCTCTTAGTCCCATATGGATTTTCCAGGTTCCAACCCCAGCTTCGTCGGATCAAGTCAAGTGCGCGTGTTGACTGACCGATGGCGAGATGGCCCTTAATCTCGTACCCCTCGGTATACATTACAATGCTTCCCGGGAGCTCACCGCATTGAGCACCGATGGGTGTCCACTGGGTAGACAGATAGTCGCTTATATTGGAAGCATGAGAGTTATCGACAACGTTCCAATACAATGCCATACTGTTTCCATCTTGGCAATGGTTGCTGTGATCTTCTTCTGTATTCCAAAATGCTCTATTTTGGGGTCAGAATAGTCGTAGGATACCTTAAAGTAAGGAAAACTTACCCGACAAAAGAATCCCAATTATGTTCTAGGATTGCTTGTTTGACGGTTTCGGCTTGTTCCAACCATTGGATGCCGATTGTGTCGTTCATCCAAGTACTCATTTCGGCGCCTCTTCTTAAACACCCATAGAGTAGCATATTGCCATCTGTGGTGTGTCCAGTAGAGATAGCTGTGCGGCCCCAGTTGTTACCTCCAGTCACGTTTATGAGTCCGCTACTGTCAATTTTTTGAGTAGCAAAAGACATGCCAAGTTTGAACTTATTCCAGCTTTCTGTGAGCCAGTTCATATCACCACTGAAAAGAACGTAATCGTATGTGGCGAGCAGAGTGGCCATATGGTAGGTGTCCGAGTCAAAAATGTTGATTGGTGGTGGCACCCACGGCAGTTCTCCTGTGGTTTGCTACTTGCTATTTAGCTTGAAATGGCAATCTGCAGGTCCAATATCGAAGCTTACCTGAACTTTATACTGAAGTTGCAGAGATCTCTTCAGTGTATTCATGTCTCCGAGAGCAATTGCAGCTTCAAAAGGATTATTAAGTGAACAAGCTCAGAGTAGACAGATGGATAGTAGAGGGTTCTTACCACTTCGCAAGGCCATACCGAAATCAGCGGCCCATACAGCTCTGTCGCGCTTATTACCAGCACCTAGGCCAGGACCCTCTGTATCCAGGTCGTCGTTGTTCTCCCAACCATAATTCAAACAAGGATACACACGGGCTGTGTTTGTTGGCATGATGTTCGTCTGGACTGTAAAGGCCGCTCCGTACCAGATGCGGTTGAGAAGGCCATCGCTCGAATGGAAGTAGCCACCATAGGCACGCATATTTCCCCAGTTCGGATGGAATGATAGCTCAACAGTCATGTTTGTGACCGAGACATCCAATGTTGAGTTGGTAAGGGTGTACAAGCTTAGGTATCGAAAACCACCGCGAGCCTTGTCATCTGGCACTATGTATTTTTGCACCGTATGCCCATCGTCTCCCGCACTGGTGCTGATATTGCTGTACAGGGCACCGTCATGTCCAATGCCGCCGTTAGACTCGTCAGAAATATATCCCGTAAAGTTGCTTGTCTCAGAGAACGCAATGCCAAGGGAACCCGTGCCGTTGGCGACATATTCAATGGTCACGACGCCACCAACCTCGAATCCCCAATCAAATATGTATAGAGACCCGTTACTGTTCAAGCTTGGGATGCTTTGCGTCGACCAGTCTCCGAGTTGACGATGGTTAATGTCCAGGATGCGAACGGGAGAAAGAGTCCGAGTATCTGGCACGAAGAATCCGTCCTCCCAAGGGCCGGGGAACGATGCTTGCGCTGGACCATCACATGTTGTGTCTCTCCAACATTCTGCAAATGCAGTTGAACATAGCACGATCAGCAGCGCAGCAAAAAGTGGGAAAGTGACCATGATGTACTACCATAATAGGGCTAGCAGAACAGAAGCAAATCCTGGGGTATTCCGGGACAAAAAGTGATCAAATTGCTTGATTATAACTATTGGCATACGTTTCAAGGGTCCCTCAACGACGTCGAAAGATTGATTCAATTGGTTCGCCAAGACAATATGTTTCCATCCTTCCCCACATTTCTTGTAGTTTCCCCGCAGTCTCGGTGATGAATTAAAGCGGATTGGGGTTGCATCCAGGCGCACAAACTCTACAAAGCAGCTCGGCTTAATATGACCCGATTATATACGTTGAGATGGTAAAATGGAGCGTTGTAATGGTTTCGAGGCGTGGTGAAATTTAATCACTTCATCTATTTTTTGACGCGAAATGGTCTGCTGAAGCGTACTTTATTGATGATCAAATCGAATCACATGAATCATTACTGAGGTGGTGAAATAGATAGGCGGGGGGGTTTAATGATTTCATCGCTTGGTCAAATTGAAACATTCCGGTCATTGATTCCGGGGTAAGATGATGAGATTTGTGATATTACTTAATTGGTGGTGAATCTAGCCGTAAAGCGGCAATCCGAGGACGATTTAGATGGCCCCTACCTTATCCAAAATCTACTTACTCACTCGCTGATGGATCTTCACCCTGTTTAGACTTTGTGCCGTGGGGAGTTGTCAGCAAACACGGGAAGCATGGCTTTCATGGAATGATGGATCATTTGGAGAATGCATAACCTGATCCGTGGATGATGATGCTTTCCGCATTTGATATATATTCTCCGGGTGCTAAGTCGCAGGTTCACCTCGAACTTCGGACCTCCAACAAATCGTCTCTTTCCGTGCACGAACCCTCATTTTTTTCTCTTTTTGGTTGTGTCTGCTATCGTTGATGCTGCTCAAGAAACAGTTGAAATGGGATCGGTGACGGTCATAGTCTCCGATCGGCTTTGAGCCGTGCAGATCCCGCTATATCCTTTGTAGCAGTTTGGGTAGTGGTGTCCGATCGGCGATCGACCCTCGCCGATCGGCGACGCAGTTCGCCAGCTGTGATTGGTCTGTATACTGGCGCTTCCTAAACCCCGGTCGCAAGGCCTCCGATAATGATGCAAAACAGAATTACCACCAATCTCCAACATGCGGCCGCCCATCTCCATGTTCAAAAGCTGGGGTCAGGGGAAGACCCACCTAGATGTACGGGGGTGGAGAAGTGTTGGGTTGGATATTTATTGACCCTGAGGTCCCCCATCTCATGGCCTGTTGGCTGATAGCTGTCACGTTGTCTGTTCGGTCCGTCAGATACGAGAAGCACCTTGGGAGACTGATCACTACTATATCACTACGTCTCGATTCATTTCTTTTCGAGTCATCTAGTCAACCATGTCCACCGAGAAGGCGCAAGATTATCAACTGGAGAATGCTCCTCCAGAAGGCGCTCGGTACGTTCATATCGACCCAGCCGTCGAGAAGCGTGTGGTTCGCAAACTGGACTGGAATTTCGTGCCGCTAGTGGCGGCCCTTTGTAAGTGCAGTATCTTACCTCCGGGGTATTGGAGAGAAGACATAAAAAAAAAGCTCACACTTCTAGACCTGGTCTCGTTCTTAGACCGATCAAACATAGGAAATGCTGAGACAGCGGGCATGAGCAAGGATCTCCATGAAACCAACGCCCAGTATCAGTGGCTTCTCACCATCTTTTACATTCCGTATATATTCTTGGAGTGGATGGCGCTGATGTGGAAAATCGTGCCACCACACATATGGGCTTTCGGAACGGTTTTTGTCTGGTATGGTTGATCCCAGTCCTATTTGCAGTAGACCATGGCGACTGAAATTTACCTTAAGGGGCCTTGCGTCTGTTCTTCAATCCACTGCATTCAACTGGCAAGGCATGATGGCCTGCCGATTCTTCCTTGCAGCTGCAGAAGCTGGTTTTTCCCCAGGAATTCCGTACTTGCTATCATTCTTCTATTTGCGGAAAGAGATTGGTTTGCGCATCGGTGTATTTCTCTCGGCGGCTCCACTTGCTACTTGTTTTGCGGGAGCATTGGCATTCGGCATCACATCAGGCCGACTTGATTTACCGAGCTGGAGATTCATGTTCATAGTGGAGGGCATACCAGCACTTATCTTGGCTGTCGTTGCATTTTTCTTCCTCCCTGATTGCCCGGAGAAAGCGAGGTTTTTGACCAAAGATGAGAAGGAGGTAGCACGGGCAAGAGCAATTCGGCAAGTTGGTGAGGAAGGGGGAGCCAGAATTGGATCTCTCAACCTAAAAGAAGTTGGAGAAGCATTGTTGGATCCGAAAAATTGGCTGATAGCAGTAAGTCTCTCATGTTTAGGTGTCTGATATGATTTTTCCTTGCTGACTTTTCCTACCAGTTGATGTTTTTTTGTTGTAATGTGTCTTTCTCCTCTCTTCCTGTATTCACCCCTATGATTCTCAAGGAGTATGTAAACCGAAAGCAGAACCACCCCTTTTTCCCGCAAACGTGCTAACGCAACTTCGTTTCAGAATGGGATTTTCCGCTTTAGATGCTCAGGGTCTCAGTGCACCGCCGTACTTTCTTTCTTTCGTGATGTGCAATGTCACGACATGGATCGCGGACCGTACCCAGCAGCGTGGCCTAGTCATAATGACGCTTTGTATCCTAGGTGGAATCGGCTATGCCCTTCTAGCTACATGCAGAGCCGTTGAGGCCCGGTACGCCGGTATATTCCTCGCTGCCGCCGGAATATTCCCCGCGATCTCTAATATTTTCCCCTGGGTCCTCAATAACCAGGGAACTGACACTAAGCGTGGTGTTGGCTTTGCTCTGCTGCAACTGGTTGGTCAGTGCGGCCCTATCTTAGGCACCCGGCTATACCCTTCTAGTGAGGGCCCTCTTTTTATCAAGGGCCAGTGGATTTGTGCTGCATTCATGTTCTTCTGTGCATTGTTAGCGATCTCGCTTAGGACATACCTTGACTGGCAGAATAAGTATTTTGAGAAGAAAGAGACCGAGATTATCGGAGCCGCAGATATTGACAGAAAGCGGGATAATCTGGCTGTTGAGAACGAAGGATATGGGTTCAGGAATGTCTTGTGATACTTGATGGACTAACCGAGCCTTACGTAGATGCACTGGAGCTCAAAAGAAACCCTCCTTAACCCCAACCCAGGATTCTTTGAAGACATGATGTTTGCACCCAGGTTTGGAAACCAGGTTACTCTCTTGGAAGCTAAGAATATCGGTTTGGCCGTATATTATATGCCACGCAGGCATTCTAAACGGATTAAGGATTAAAGAATAGGATGAATCTTTACATTGAGTCCGCTAGGAAATTGTTCTTCGTTAAAAGCCATTTATCTGTTTACACGTTGTGCCCTATTCGGCACGAAACTTAGTTGGGCGTGGAAGCGTTTATCCACTTAGAAACATTCTTAGGCGTTTTCAAACTCTGAACTGAAAGTCTCGAATGGCCTAGACCTGGATAAAGAGGATCTTTTCCAAAATATACTAGGTAACGAAGACATTTAATCCGATATGCTTATTCGAGCTAATCGTGGGAATCCAAGAATTTGCGAGAAGTCAGTCGAGAGGCTTAGGCCTGGACGGAGAAGATGGCTTATTGATAAAAGGGTCCCGTGGCGCCCATAGTGATTAGTGACCACATGTCATATTGATCTTTTTTCTCCATTATTTTCTGAATTTTTCTACGGAGTTTAGCCAAATAATCCAATTGATAGTGATAAGTACTAGCACAGATTTTACCCCACAATTTCTGCAGCGCGCTTACACTCTACGTAGCAAATATTCAGTCCCCAAATGGTCGATAAATGTATCCTGGACCATTCTATGCCCTCTATGGCTCAGTTAAGGTTTCAGTACATAAGGGTTTCATTTTTAGGGCTGCATTCATACACCCTTCGTACAGCAAATAGGACGCGGCTGTCGTCGGATAATAAAGAGATTAATTCGAGGTATTGACAGATTTAGACTAGGATCCACTCCTTCAGTGCTATTATTTCGTATTTTAAATGTACATTTTATATTATTATGGCACCTTGAAGAGATGTGGAGTGTCAAGCCCTAATCGGTCCACAGTAGTTCCCACAACATTCTCTATTCGGAGGCCGCCACAAGCCTCTGGTTCCATAACTCAGTTGGTTAGAGTGTGGTGCTAATAACGCCAAAGTCGAGGGTTCGACCCCCTCTGGAACCATGACTTCTTTCTTTTTTTGCCTCTGTGTCCTTCTGGCGTATAGACTATGTATAGTTGTTATATAGGCATCGTGAGGGTTCAGTCCCGATCGGGATCCACTCCACTCAATCACGGGCCACTAACATGGAGAAATTAAAGGATTCTCCCGAAACTTTTTTTGTCGAGTAACAAACAGCTATTATTATTCTTTATGATCGTAATAAACCAAGTCAAAATGCCCCTCACCTCCGGGCGATCCCGTACCATGCCCCATGAAAGGTGTGCCGGCGATGGCACCGTTGATTGGCAGGTGGCGACAGGCCTATCGGGGCGAACAACTGGGCCCACGGGGCCGCAATGATTGACCGAGAGTCCCCCAGCGGAGAAGTTGTCCCGACACATGGTCCCCAAGCTGTCCCCTAACTGGCCCGGAAACTAGCCCTAACGCAGGGAACGCGAAGCCAAAAGCCGTTAAAGTTGCTTATCGTCCTTCCCTAAACACTGCGTGCAGCATCGTCGATCAGCCTGCGACCCTCGATAATCTTTTTGCGGGCTGATCGGGTCCATGTGTTTGTGTGAGTGGATGTAAGCAATGCTCGCTGCCCCTCGTGCTGGGTCGCCCCGCCCCTCCGGTTGCGGGCGGGCTTATATGAAGTATGGCTGCTCTTCTACCTCGTCTTGCATTTCATACTCACTACACTGTCTTTGCTGAAAACAATGGACTGGCTGCATCTTTACATCGCCGTGGTCGCCTTCTCGGTCTTTGCCCTAGTCGGGCTGGTGCTACTGATCTCGTTCGAGAAGATCAAAATCAACTATGATAGCGGTGTCTCCACCTATCTGAAGTTCATTTGGGCCAACTTTCTCAAGCCACATGAACATGGCGGCGAGGGCCAGCAGCATGCGCTCGAAAGCTTCTACAAGACACAGGTGCGGGTGATATATCTGGCCGACTTTCCTGTATACTGACAAATAGCAGGCGGCCGTCTACGATGCAACTCGCCGACGCCTTCTCCGTGGTCGGGAAGATATGCTCGGACTTGTGGCTGCTCAGTTGAAGTACAAAGTGGACAGCAAGAAAATCAAGAACGGAAAGGTGATCTGGGTAGATGTAAGTTCAGTGTTGGTTGTGTTTATTCGTCGAAAGCTAATGGACTCGGGTATAGATTGGTGGCGGCACGGGGTAAGTCCATTCGCTGACGCAAAAAAAAGATTCAAGATTTGAGGCTAATCGTTCACTATTTTGCAGCTACAACATCGAAGCCATGGACGCTTTCCTTCCCGTAAACAAGTTTTTCGAGCATGTCTATCTGGTCGACTTGTCTCCATCTCTCTGCGAAGTTGCCCGTCAGCGCTTTGAACGTCTTGGATGGAAGAATGTCACCGTTCTCTGCCAGGATGCCCGATCTTTCCGTCTGCCCGAAAGACCGGTCGATCCTCGGTCTGCCACCAGCGCCGCAAGTGGCGCCGCGGATTTGATTACCATGAGCTACAGCCTATCTATGATTCCTGGTGCGTTCTCAATGCCACACCCGAAAATTAATATTACTGACTTTGCCCTAGACTATTACAGCGTGGTGGACTCGTTGACTTCGCGCCTCACATCATCCGGGATTCTGGGTGTCTGTGACTTCTATGGTAGGTGAGATATTCTTAAACTCATAATATTCTCTGACTTGCATTACAGTTCAAAGCATTGTGGATGTGTCCTCTCGCAACTACACTGGCGGCGCCTTCAACCGCCATGTCAATTGGCTGGGACGTATGTTCTGGAGAGCCTGGTTCGACTTTGACCGCGTCAGCCTCGAGGCTGCTCGTCGAGACTATCTCGAGTACCGGTTCGGAACAGTGATTTCCGCAAGCGAGAGAAATTATCTACTCGGCGGCATTCCATACTACATTTTCGTTGGCTGCCCCAAGGAAATGATCTCGACCTCGTCGGCCATCGAGAAGCTGGATGCTTCATTCACTGAGTCTCCTTATCTCTCCCCAGCAAACCACCAGCAGGAGATGGACAAGGCTGTTGAGCAGAGCGCCGAAGAAATTCACTCGAAAGCCTACGAGTCCGCCGTGATCAACCTGAGCGCCAACCTGCCACTCCCATCATCATTCTACCAGAACCATCATTGCCGCATTTCGTACAATGACATGCTGCACAAGCACACGCAATTTCAGAACGAGTATATCTACGCATTCACATGGGAAGACCCTCGAGTGGACCATCGTCTACTGAACATCGGCAGCGACGATGTGATCCTGGCCATCACCAGCGCAGGAGACAACATATTGGATTATCTCCAGAAGAGCCCGCGACGAGTGCACGCAGTCGACCTAAATCCCAACCAGAACCACCTGTTGGAGCTGAAAGTAGCGAGCTACATCGCACTGGGCTACCGCGACATGTGGAAGATTTTCGGGGAGGGCAAGCACGCACAGTTCCGCGAGCTTCTCATCTCCAAACTGAGCCCACATCTGTCCAGCCAGGCATTCCAGTACTGGCTGGAGCACACCCAAGTTTTCACTTCAAGCTCTGGTCGCGGTTTGTACGAGACGGGCGGATCGCGCCACGCCATTCGCATGGTGCGGTATCTATTCAATGTCTTTGGACTGCAAGGCGAGGTGCGCAAATTGTGCGAGGCGCAGACAATACAAGAACAGCGCGCCATCTGGCCTCGTATCCGCCGCATTTTGCTCAGCAAGCCGCTGAATTGGGCCATTGTTAGCACGGAATGGTTTGCCTGGAAGGCAGCAGGTGTGCCACGCAACCAGCGCAACATGATAGTAGACGACTTCTTCCATCGCAATGGTCTGACACCTGAGATGAAGCCAGGTAAAGATGTCAGTGGTCAGTCGATCTGGGAATATGTCGTCAACACCCTCGACCCTGTTGTCAACGATACCATTATCAGCAACGACAACTACTTCTACTTCTTGTGTTTACAGGGCCAGTTTTCTCGACGGTTAGTAATTGACCGGTCGCCTCAGAATGATTTCCATTGATTTTTTGCTAGATGCCACCCAACTTACCTATCGCCCAAGGCACATGTCAAACTGTCTACCCCGGGCGCATTCGATGGCCTCCGCATTCACACAGACGAGATCAACGAGGTCATCAAGCGTATCACACCTGGCACATTGACAATCGCAGTAGTATGTGACCAAAAACCTCTATTATTTTCTTCTATGATATTAACTTAACCCAGATCATGGACTCAATGGATTGGTTCGACCCATCCGGCGAAGCTGCCATCGCTCAAGTCCGCAAGCTCAACCATGCCCTCAAGAAGGGCGGTCGTATTCTTCTTCGTTCCGCCAGCATTGAACCCTGGTACATCAAGCATTTTGAGAAGAACGGATTTGCGCCACGCCGTGTCGGAGCCCGGTTCCCGGGAACATGCATTGATCGGTAAGTCTTGGAGGCCCTCTACTGCCCGCTGTTTCTAACAGGAACTAACTCACAATCAACAAACCTAGTGTCAATATGTACGCTTCTACCTGGATCTGCACTAAGACCGAGGACCTCGTCCGTCCCAAGAATGGTAGGACGATCTCGGAGCTCTCGTTGGGTGATAGTGCTGTGGCAGGGAAGAACGGCAGTGTTGAGGATTTGCAGATTTAAGCCGGATGTCTTTTTTCTTAACCAATACCTATTAGTACAAGGCGTGTATGGTGTCTTTTCTTTGCAGGGACTGGGCTGAGGGGGCTGTCCTTTTCTGCTTGTGATTAAAGATTGTCTGCCCTAAAGAGTACATACTGGGTTCCTGCCATCACCATGATCTTAATCACTATGATACTTTAGATCCTTGTATGGTAGGTTCGGCACCAACTATCCTCCTCAGATATGCATATCAAATTATAAGAAAGCCTTGAAATGCCTTGTCGGCTTCGAAAGCCTCCTCACCTCACCCTGGAGTCTGCGCACTCTCTCCGCCGAAATACGATATTGATCCGGTAACAATCCCCCAACATCCCGACCCAATACCATTTTAGCAAGAGACTGGCCACACAGAAACGCATTTACCATCCCATAACCACCATAGCCCGCCGAAATCCACTCGGCGCCTTTATCATCGCCTTCCTCTCGATCGAGTAATGCTTCACCCGGTATCTTGCCCACCATGGGCACAGTGTCAAGAGAATTACACATAATCCCGACCCAAGAACCCTTTAACCGCAACTTTCCAGCCACCTCGGTGCCCCAATTCTTCTCTCCAAAGATAACAGGCAGGACTCCGGCAAGATGAATCTTGGCCGGGATGTCTTCTGCGTCATCAGCAGAGACACCGAACACCTCGTCCATCGTATCAAAACCTCCCAGTTCACCACCGCCAATCACGATATCATTACTTTGCGGAAGCTGGGTTGCATAGTCGAATCCATTTTGGAAGTAGAAACTCCACGATTGATCTCCGCCTTTGTACGGGAAAAGCGAACCAGGGTTCTGCACACTGATCTGGCCACGGCGTGGAACAAGAATGCCTCGGAGACCTGAGACGTGGTGTGCTGTGTGGGCCTCGGTGCAGTGCAGAACATGCTTGGCCCGGATCTGTCCTCGAGGCGTTGTGATAATATACGGAAACTCGGGGTTGGAGGAGGCGTCGCGACGGATAGCTGTCGCTGGGGTCTTTGTCTCGATGCTTAGACGTTCGCCGTATTGTCGGAGCAGACATGTGAAGATATCGGTGATCATCCGGTAAGGCCAGGCACTTCCTGATTTACCGATAAGAGCGCCTTTTGCTGCGGGGAGATGGTATTTCTGGAGTCCAGGTCAGAAAGGACGATAAGAGCCTAACCTTGGGTTACCCCTACGGTAGATAATTCCTCTCCCTCGCAAATCCACCAGCGTCCCTTCATATCCGGAAAGGCGTCCTCAAAATTTTTCAAGCAAACCTTCATATCACGCAGCTTTTGGTCACTAAGTATCGCGGCAGTAGTATGAACCTGGCGGACTTGGGAGCGGTCGAGGATCTCGGAACCGAAACTCTTCACGAGAGACTCAATAGCTTCATAATGAGCTAGTTCAAACCGAACAATCTTCTCAGCAGCCTCGTGCCCGAACCGGCGGCGATACTTGTCATAATCGAGGATGGCGACGCAATTAATGCGCCCGCCGTTGCGACCCGTTGCACCGGAACACACTTCGCGGGCTTCTAGGACGGTGATACTGTTGCTGGCGCTGCCATTGAGTAGTTCCAGGACTGTGCTGCAGCTCGTGATTCCAGATCCCAGGACCACGATATCTCGAGTTGCTGGTAAGCTGGCGGACTGGGTCCCCAACAGCTCTGGATGCGGGGGACTTTGCCAATATGACTTGGTCGGATTGGCTACCGGGAGAGAAGGGTCTTTGGTGAGGTTGTCCGGCATGCTTGAAAGAAGTGATGTATCCAGATAAGCTGTTCAGAAAATTGGAAAGCTAGCCGGTCCCTCTATTTCACAGAAACCGCATCAAATGACTCAATAAGGCAAAACATTGCGTGTGGAGAGATGCGGGGAGCATGTGGAGGGGATGATTGGACCTCGGGGGAGTCCGAGAGAGGCTTATCGCGAAACGAAATTAATTATATTGGCGGGCAGGCTATTTGACGAGGGGAAAAGTATCTGAAGCCAATGGCGCGCCATGAGATAACCTCGGCCAATATCGACGAATAAGCGCCGGAGATGATAAAGGCAATACATTGCGCGAAGTAGATGATTGACGGAACGCCCCGAGATATGCACGACGTACGTACCCCAGATATCAAACCCTAGTTATGGTTATTTGACACGCTCTCGGCTATTGTTTCTCCCCGCATTACGGCTTGTCCCCGGAAGTTCCGTCTGGGGTCCAGATAAATACTCCAGCGCCTCCTAGATTTTCATGTTCACCCCCTTTCGTGCCCTGGACAAAATGGAGATCGATCACAATCGAACTCCCATCTCCCCCCACCCGTCGACGACAAAGTCCCACTCGACAATGACGACGAAGAACTCACCCGCATGGGATACGCGGCCGAAATTCCGCGCAAGTTCACCGTCTTCAGTCTGTTTGCCATCGGCTATGAGATTTGCGTATCACCAATTGCGCTGATCGTCTCGTTGGGTGTGAGCATAGGCAGTGGCGGGCAGGCAACCCTGATCTGGGGCCAATTCCTCATTTACTTTATGGCATTCTGTGTTGCTGTCAGTTTGGCCGAGCTTGCTTCGGCGTATCCGAATGCCGGGGGGCAATACTACTGGGCAGCTATGCTTGCTCCGAAATCTATTCGGCGAGGAACTTCCTTCGTGGTCGGATATCTCAGCTGGGCGTCTGCTGTGTTCGGGTGCGCCTCGTCGCTGATTGCCTCGGCCGAGATGGCTGTGGCATTGTATCAGCTCAAACATCCTGGCAGTCCGGCACCGACTTGGGCGGTCTTTCTCACATACCAGGCTTTCAATATTGTCATGTTCTTCTTCAATTGTTGGGAAACTATAGTCACGAAATCCAGTCGCATGTGGCTCACGATCTCCGTTCTCTCCCCGCTCGTCATCGTCATTGCTGTCCTCGCACGAACGGAGACAAAACAGCCCGCCGAGTTCGTGTTCACGGGTTTTACGAATTTAACGGGCTGGAGTGATGGCATCGCTTTTGTGACGGGACTCTTGGGAGTGAATTGGGGATTTTCGGCCCTCGATGCAGTGACACATATGTCCGAAGAGATCCCCGATCCTCGACGAAATGTGCCCAAGGCACTAATGGCTACGATCTTTGTCGGAGCTGTGTTGGCCTGGCCAACGGCAATAGTGATGATGTTCTGCGTTCAGGATATTGAAAAGGTCCTCAAAACCGAGACCGGACTGCCCTCTCTCGAGCTTTTCCTTCAGGTCTTCCAGGGACACAAGGCAGGCCCAATTGCTCTTCAAACTTTACTCCTGGTAGCATCCTTGGGTGCTGTCTTCGGGATCCAAACCTGGCAGACTCGCCTAGCCTGGTCCATCGCCCGTGATGGCGGCTTCCCATTATCCAAATACATCAAGAAGATCGCACCGGCCCCCTACGAAGTCCCCTTCTGGGCACACTTATGGTCCTCGCTATTCGTCGCCTTGCTCGGCTGTCTATACCTCGGCTCAAGCATTGCATTTAACTCATTCGTCGGCGGAGGCATTCTTATGCAATATGTCGCCTACTCGATATGCATTGTGCTGCTACTCTGTCGTGGACGGTCAAGTATTCCACACGGCCCGTTCTGGTTAGGCACACTTGGTTTGTTCTGCAATATTTTGACTCTGGTTTGGACGGCGTTCACATTAGTGTTTTACTCGTTCCCGCCGTATTTGCCTACTTCACCGACTACGATGAACTATGTCTCTGTTGTGGTAGTGGGCTTTGCGCTGATTTTCTCAGCGTATTATTGGACTTTTGGTCGGAAGAGTTTCATGGGACCACCGGATGTGGAGTGAGTGAATGTGTTCGAAGTGTATGAAGTAAATATAGAAGCATAGAAACATAGAATAGAAAGTCAATTCCTATGAGCTGTTTAAACTTTAAGCGTTGCATCTCCTTCGAGATATTTGACGCCATACTCTCGGTTCATGACTAGATAGACACTGTAGATCCTAAAACCTCTCTGTGCTTTATCAAGATTGGAGTATTTTAGCTTAATTTACAGTCCCCGGAGGCAGAAATGTTCTGAGTTGAGTAGACCAATGATCGGACCGAGCTGTGCGGGATCACATCATATCGCTAGTTTGATCGCCATTTCTGGCAAGGAGCAGCAACCAGTCACGCCATGTATGTACCCATATACGTACACTCGAAAGATAATTGCCCAGGCATCATCATTATTAGACAATCAAAAAACTCATAAGTCAACCATCATTGCGGGCTCGTTCTAATCATATCTCACAGGGGCAATAGAAGACAAGAAGCGAAAAAAGAAGTGCCATAATAAAAAGATTAGACAGAAAACCGTTTCATGATGGATCGCCAGGAACCCAACCACCGCCCTTTCTTTTTCCCAATCCGCTGAATGCAGCTGCAGTCACTGCTGCATTACAAGAAAGCACAGCCCAAGCCATACACGTACACACCCATACCAAGCACTTTCACAGAACTCTTCGAGGTATAAGTACGAGAAAAAGAAGCCAGCACACTCATGACCGGCCGTAGCGGGTCTTGCCAAAGGAGAAAGGCACGTAGCGGTACTTGATCATATGCTGGATTTGTCTCCGCACTATACAAAAACAAACATCCATCGTTAGAAATCATCATTACAGACCAACAAAATGAAGAGAGAAGAGAGAGAAGATAACATACTCGTCAAGACGAACAGAATAATCCAGTAAACGACCAAAACGGGCCAGAAGACGGGGATATTAAAGACGGTAAACCAAGTGCACACGAAGCCGATGGCGATGGCGCGGGTGGCCGAGTGCCAGAACTTGAACTCGGGGAGACGGCGCACAAAGGGCCGGAACTCGTCGTCCTGCTTTGTGGGTAAGCTGGCGACGTCGCCGTCCTCCAGGCCCTCGTCGTGGGTGAGCGAAGGGTCAAATTTGGGGGTTAGGAAGGCCAGGAAGAGGTTTAGGAGGTAGATGCCTAGCGTGTAGGCGACTGTAATGATCACAGACCGTTAGTCGATCTTGTCTTGTCCCACTCCCCAGTTGTATTTATAGGACTCCATCCACGTACCAATGTACCACCCCTGTGCGAGAACGATCCGCAGGAAGAAAAAGAGGAGAAGCACGCCGGAGCCGACCCAGCGATAGACCGCGTAGGGAGTCGTGGCATCGAGGTAGGATTGGTATGTCTGGCGCAGATTAAGTCAGTACATAAACTTCCCCCGGACAGCAATGATGCGCGCAAGCCAGCAATGGTGGCGTGCGTGTACGGACGGAGATAAACTCACCCGGTGCAGGCGCGAGGTGTGCTGCGTCAGAGCAGTGAAAGGGGTCTGCTCGGGCTCAGGGACGTCCATGGTGAATCAGGCAAGACGAAGGAGCAATTGACTGGAAGAGAAGAGAACTGAAGAAGAAGACAAATGATTGAGATAAGCCGAAACCAGACATTCTTTCCCCGTCAGGAGCGAAAAGTGTCCCTTGCCACTGTACCCAATCAGAGCAGGGTATATGCGCCACTCCGATCAGGTGATGCGGTGGCTGTGCTGCGAGCTCTCCTAACTTGTTCCGGACTAGCACATTCACGTGCCCGCGCTTTGCCTCGGGATGGTTGGTTGCGGGGAGAACAACAGGAGTATTACAACTTCATCTTTGCTTGATTTCTTCTCTGTATTTCCTATTTGCACCCCGATCGAAATGTTCGCCCGTCGCTGCGCCCGTCTGGTCTCTGCCCGGACATCCGTCCCCTTGACCTCGTACCTGGCCCGCGTGCGGCCCTACTCCTCCGCGACCTACGAGCATATCCTAACCGAAACCCCGAAGCCCGGTGTCGGATTGAGTACGCCTCCAGCACATTTACTGCAATCCTCATGCTGACAGCCATTGCAGTCACATTGAACCGCCCAAAGGCATTGAACGCCCTCTCCAGTCCACTCTTCACGGAACTCAATGATGCCTTGAGCAAGTACGACAATGACAAGGACATTGGCGCGATTATCATCACAGGCAGCGAGAAGGCATTCGCAGGTAAAGTCATATCCCTACGTTCAAGTCAAGTGCATCCACTTATTGACTTCAATAGCCGGCGCCGACATTAAAGAAATGGCACCCCTCACCTTCGCCGCCGCGTACGCGAACAACTTCATCGCACCGTGGTCCCACCTCGCAACCTCCATCCGCAAGCCCGTGATCGCTGCCGTATCCGGGTACGCCCTCGGCGGCGGATGCGAGCTGGCCCTGATGTGCGACATCATCTACTGCACGTCGAAAGCAACCTTCGGCCAGCCGGAGATCAAGCTGGGCACCATCCCCGGCGCGGGCGGATCGCAGCGTCTCACGCGGGCGATTGGGAAGAGCAAGGCCATGGAGCTGATCCTGACGGGGAAGAACTTTAGTGGCAAGGAGGCGGGCGAGTGGGGTATGGCTGCGAAAGTGGTTGATGGTGGAAAGGAGGAGCTGCTTGAGGAGGCGTTCAAGACTGCTGAGACTATTGCGGGCTATAGTCGTGTCTCGGTGGTTGCAGCTAAGGAGGTCGTCAATAAGAGTCAGGAGTTGGCGCTGCGCGAGGGCGTGGAATATGAGCGGCGGATGTTCCATGGGTTGTTTGGGAGTAAAGATCAGAAGATTGGTGAGTTCCATTCCAATCATTGCTCCCCGAAGGTGAATTATGCTGACATTTTTCGACGGCAGGTATGACTGCTTTTGCGGAGAAGAAGAAGCCCGAGTGGTCGAACGAGTAGACTGCCCTAGGCCTGGCCTATATGACTGTAAGATGCTTTCCTAGAGTTACTATTCTCCAACGTAGAGAATACAAAAGAGTCTCAAATTACTCCCAACTTGCCGCAGTTCGTTTCCCCCATGTATAATCAACCCTCTCCGCATTCACGGGCTGAGCATCGCCGGTCGGAATGCCGCTGGCTTCGGGCCCGACAGTATCCATATTGCGATTCTCTCCGTGTCTGTCTTTACCCTAGTCTTGCAAATAGTTTAAACTAAGCGCAGGCCTAGGTAGAATTCTGATTAAAACCGCTGTATCGTTTTCCCTACAAGAAATAATATGTTTGGTCTAGGTGAACTAAAGCTCGGCGCCAGACAGATTGAAAATCGCATTCAAGTTTGTGGAGGCGATTGAATGATACGGATTTTTTGATTGATGACATTAAACGTTCAGATGCCTCATTTTCTGCGAACTCACAAGATCTGCTAGAGAAAAACAAACCGCTTGGAAACTCAATTTTGCGGTAGTGTCTTGAAAGATGAGCCAGAATAAGCTTGCGGCGCGACGCAGCTTTAGTGTCTCTCCAATCGCACGTCCTCCCGAATGCGAATGCCACCATTACTGGCCCCATACTGACCCACAAGGACTTCTTCATCACTCCGATTATCACGAGTGATATACGTCTCGGTATGGCCCTCCTGTACAGGACTAAAAGGCGTAGTGTCCTTCGCCAGATTGCGCATACGAAAGCGGGACGAATGGCCGGAGTCCTCATGTTTGACATATTTGCCATCTGAGCTCTCCGGGTTGGAACCATGGACGATGGTGCGATAAAGGGGGCGGACGGTAGGAATGCCAACGCAGATGAGGGTGACAGCCAGTTCCACAGCGGACCAGATTATAAGGTCAACAGTATCCTCTAGGAAAAGGGAAATATTGACGTATTAGTGGAGTGGAAGAGATTGAGTGGTTGGGTAATGTATTACCGGTGTAGTTGGAGCTGGACAGCCCACCCAGGTCGATGGTCCTGATAATTCCGCATATACAGGCTCTATAGAAGAGGGTCAGTTAGTCTGTCACTACTGAAGATTAGCACTGGAGTGACACACATGAATCCCAGACTCAAGCTGATCGCGATAGACATCTTTTCCTTGAACTTCATGTTAAGATTCCAAATGAAGAGCCACGGAAGAAGAGCAAAGTAGAAGTCCACAGCAGCACACCAGGCTAAATTGCATGAATATCAGCATGCAGCGCATAGGAACATTTGAGGAGGACAGTGAACATACATCCAAGTAAAACGGAGAAAGGGGTGACTCTAACCACGGTACGCCCTGGGACGCGAGGGTCATATATGGATTCAGAAGGAAGGCGCTGGATCCAGAAGATTATGGCGGTCATCACCGACACAATCAACAAGCTGACCATGGAGATCCAGATTGAAATACGATGCCATTGCTTGATAACAATGCGGAGCAGGAAGATACCCAGCGACAGCTTCGCAATCGCCATGCCCAATACGGCAAATGTTTGACCAATCATCTCGTTATAGACGGCTTTAACGGCCTCATCTATTTCCAAGGTGGTTATCGACTGTCCGAATCCATGCACACCTGCGATCGTGAGAAAGATGGTGTACAGGAGCAGAAATACCTGGACTTCGGTCAGCTTTATGTCTTACGAGAATGATTCCCGATGCGGAATTGAGCGAAGACTTACCCAGGCCAAGTTAAAGACGTGATCGTCTACCCCGAGTGCTTTGACTATGTAGACCCGTGTATAGAATCTGAGAGGGACCAGAATAAAAGAGATAAAAGTCATCGCCCACATCACCGCGATGGCACGAACACCTTTGCCAGCCAGCATCTCAATTCAGGTTCAGAAAGCCGGTAAAATAAGAAGTGGACAAAAAGTACGGGAGATCGATGGAACCCGGAGCTGGCTAAAACGAGAGCAGACTGAGAACTCAGAGGATGGCATCTTCGGGATACAAATATATCGTATCCTCAACCCAATAACCCCTTGATGAAACTGACAAAAGACGAATCGGGATAACGGTTGTGAGCTGTCAGTGATCGGATCCAGACCCTTCACGTCGATCGGGTGCATACGAGGAGGGTTATAGTGAAACGAGAACAACCAAACTCTGTTCCGCTCATTTCCATTTGTAGCACCTCTATACCGCCTCATTATGCAATAGCCTATATTACTGGGTCAAAGAGACTTTAGTCGATCAGAACAATGGCAATATTTTAGCTCGAGAAGGGCCCGTGGTGGCGCTCGCATGGGGACTTCACACGGTCCTTTGTACTTTTTGTGCTTTTTCCTTTGCAGCGGCACAGAGTCCGTGCATTCGACATGTCAAGTGTCACCGGTGGACGGCCCGCCGGGGAAAGTAAAATATGTTCCTAGTTACATTATTGACTAGTCAATTGGAGTTGATCCCTGCTTTGTTTCATTAGCACAACCGACCTGTCAAATTTTTAGCCCTCCAAGGCCACGGGCGTACTTTTGAACGCGGCCGTGCGTTCGCAAAGCAGCGTCTAGGCCCACGGAATGTAGCATTTAGCTTTGGCAATTTTGTCGCTAAATGTTCAAGGGTCGTGCTGGGACGCAAAGGATCGGCACTGTCAGGTGAATTAGCCTTCCCCATATACGAGCGGTCTATATATCCCAGATTTTCGAGGCTTGGTTCAGGGGTGTGACCAACTCCCCCATAACTGCTGCCAAATATCACTATCTACATAACATCCTAGTAAAAGAGTCCCTTTTAGCAGCGATGTTTGGCTACGAAAATAAGGATGCTGCCACCACGCTTGGCTCTGCCTTGCTGGCAGGTCTGTCGATTTGGTATTTGACGACATATCTCTTCTCACCGCTGCGCCGGTTCCCCGGTCCCTTCCTCGCAGGTAAACCGACCATTATTCTCCCAAGGCCGATTGGCCACTGAATTGAACCAGTTCCATATTGACCTGCCATATACCAATAGGCTGGACGAATCTGTGGCGCATGTTTCATGTTCGACAGGGAAACTACCAGGTGGTCATCCACGAGCTGCACAAGAAGTATGGTCCTGTGGTGCGCATTGCCCCCAATGTGCTCGACCTGGATATCCCCGAGTTGGTCAAGACAGTCTACAACACCAAAGCCGATTATCTGAAAGTGGGTGTCTCCTACCTCAAATGTTGGTTGCTACTATTGACCATGACCTGTGATAGACCGAGTTTTATCATGGCAGTAGTGCTAAAAGCAACGGCAAAATCATCTACAATCTCTTCAGCGAGTGCAAACCTGAAATTCATGCACAGCAGAAGCGACCCATCTCGAAACACTATTCCATGACCGGGGTGCTTCCGCTGGAGCCCCATATCGATGAGATGATTCAGTACTTCTGTCAACGCCTGGAGGAGAAGTTCATCGATGGATCCAACTCCACTAAAACATGCGATCTAGGTGAATGGATTGCATTCTGTAAGTTCAACCCCCGTCGATGTATTACCGATGCTTCTGGGATTTAGACTAATTCGTTGTTGTTCAGATACCTGGGACGTGGTTGGCAAGGCCACATTCAGCCAGCCCATTGGATACCTGGCAAAGGGCTATGACTTTGACAAGACCCTAAGCATCGCGAATGTCGCCATGGACTACTTTTCCATGGTGGGACAAATGCCCCTTCTGGACCACTTGTTAGACAAGAACCCCGTTTACCGAATTGGTCCGCCGTCCTTCGGAACCATCACCAACATATCGATCCAACACCTTATGGACCGACTTCAGAACAAGGACACGGACTACCATGACCCCAGCAAGCCCGACTTCCTGGACAAATTCATCGAGGCCAAGGAGAAATTCCCGGACGTGGTGGATGACATGCAGATCGTCTCATACCTGATGATCAATATGATTGCAGGAGCCGACACCACGGGCATCACCCTTAACGCGGTATTGTATTTCTCCTTGAAGCACCCTCGCGTCTGGGAGCGTCTGAGAGCAGAGATTCCCGCTCATGATCCTACTTCTGGAACTACGGTAGTATCCTACAAATCTGCCAAGGGGTTCCCATACTTAGATGCCGTGGTACGCGAGGCAATGAGATGCCATCCCGGTGTCGCCATGCTCCTGGAACGATATGTGCCAGAGGATGGTCTCATCCTTCCCGATGGACGATTCGTTCCCGCCGGCTCCGTAATTGGCATGAACCCCTACATTTTGGGGCGCAATACGTCGGTCTGGGGCGAAGATGCCGAAGTGTTCCGTCCAGAGAGATGGCTCCGCGATGAGACGCGAGAGACAGAAGATGCATTCCAAGAACGCCTGCGATCAATGAACAACGCTGACCTTACTTTTGGCGGCGGAAGCCGTATTTGTATTGGAAAGCACCTGGGCCTACTAGAGGTGTACAAGGTTGTTGCAACTCTTGTGTCGCACTACAATATCAAGCTGGCCCATCCGGAAAGGGATTGGGTGACCCATAATAGCTTTTTTGTGAGACAGACTGGTATCGAGGTGAAGCTTACTCGCCGGATCGACTAAGATACTGCAATTTATGAAGATGGAAAGGAGGAAAGCTCAGCTAGGCCACTTTAGTGCAGCTAAAAAAGAAGTACCTGATTGACACAAGACATAGCGTTGATGCTGTTAGCTGATTGTAATGAACTAGCTATTCTGATTCAGGTCTTCCTTTGGATATATTGTATCGCTCGTAAATAGATTATTATGTTTGATATGATATGAATATGTACATTCATGATGATCCGCTCAAGGCAGAGAAAGCAAGAGAAGCATTACTATGATACTCATGGGCACATCATTACCTATACTCCTCGTTAGGATTCTTCTCCACCTCGCTGGGATCCGATGTGCCGCTCTTCTGTGCGCGGTAATCATTGATGACGCCCTCCTCGACCGTCTCCTCGAAGACGTCAACTTCAGTAACAGCGAACTTGCGGGCGCTGACTTTGCGCTCAAAGAGCAGATCCAACTCAGCGAACGAGCGGCCGCGCGGTTCGGGAACGCGGAAGAACGCGTAGATGATGCAGAGGAAACAAATACCGCCCCAGAAGAAGCCGGCGTAGTTGCCCCAGTCCCACGCGCCCGGATTGAGCATGTAGGGGGTCAGAACACCGCAGATAATGGCGACGATATTGTAGAGACAGCGGCCCAGGACGACGGTCTTGATCTGCAGCCGGCGCGTCGACAGCTCAGCCACAAGCGAGTAGCAGACCGTGCCGACGGTCAGCTGGTAGAACATGGCCCAGACGAGCATCATTGAGCCCGTGGCCAGGGATGATTGGGTGCGGTGATCCTTGGGGACGAGACCGAGGAAACCCATGACGAACAGCATGGTGCACAGTCCGCACAGTCCGTACAGACACAGCGAGCGGCGACCGATACCCAGGGTCATCAGGAACCATGCACCGAACACGCCCACCATGTTGATGCTGTACTGACCCATGGCGAAGGAGTAGGAGGTGGAAGGTTTGAGGCCGGCCGATTCGAGGAAGTATGTCGAGTAGTTGGAGAAGGAGTTTCCGCTGAGATTCTGGATAGCCCACACCATGCAGACAATCTCGGTGCGGCGCAGATCCGTGCCTTTGAAACAGTCCAAGTAACTGGCACCCTTGGTGATTTTGGCCTCCAGAGCTGTAGTATGCACCATCATGGATATCGTTTCCTCCGAATCAAAATCAGTCTCGCGGTTCTTGCTGGTCAGTCGCTCTAGCGCCCGTTTCGCATCCTGTGTGCGACCCTTTCGGACCAGCCACCAGGGTGATTCGGGTGCAAGGAAAATGCCGATGAAAAGCGGAAGTGGCCACATCCACTGCAAACCATACGGGATACGGTAAGCCCACTGGTCGTTCCGGTTCAACATCCCCTTGATCACACCGACACCAATGAGCTGGCCCAGGCCCCAGCAAAAATTGACATATGTAGTCAAATACCCTCGCAGGGCGACCGGGCACACTTCGGACGCGTAGGTAATGGTCAGAGTCTGAAAGACACCCCAGGGAATGCCGCTGAGGATCTCTGCCGCCAGCAGGGACTGCACATTCTGGGCCGTGAAGAAGATGGCCGTCCAGGCAGAGATCAGAATCAAGCAAGCCATGATCGTGTACCGATATCCGAAGCGTTCCGAAGCCCAGCCGTTGATGAACAGGCCGATGATCTCGCCGACATAGGCGCCGTTGCTCAGACCCGCTTGCCACTGTACATAGCCGACATTAACATTCCGTATGCGTATTCGTTCAGGGCTAAACCTACTGGTGCAGTGATTTGGTACGTGCCATCCGCCATTTGTGTGCCATACTTGTGGTTGAACGTACTGAACGCGTAAAAGTTGTTGACCAGACTGATGTCGTACCCCTCCATGGCAATACATGTCGAGATGAGGATGCTCCACGCAACGGCCTTGGGGTAGAGCTTGATGCCCTGCAACAAGGTCATGTTCTGCTCCTTTGTCGTCGCCGCCTTGGCATTTTGAATGACTCTGGTCATGGACGAATCCGAACCCGGACCCTCCGTGGTGGGGTAGTACTGGAGCTGCTCATCGCCAGGTTCGACGGCGGTCGTGATGGGGTCTTGCGCCTTGGGTTCAGCCATGCTGAGCGAAGGGAGAGAGGGTCAGGTCGACTCCTGAGAGTTGGGGGAGCGGGTCAGGTTTTGAAAAACGGAGGCGTGCGGGAATTAGGGAGAAGAAAAAAAAATTGTACCCACAAGTTCCGAGGAACATTGCACGCGGCCGACAAAGGCCACAATGGCGCTCCTTTGGGTTTCTTATTCCCCGCGGGGCTGGGGCGATGATTGGCGAGGACGCTGGAGCTAGAGAGAATGAGGATAGGGCACAGATTGGGAAGAGGAGGAGTTTGCGGGGAGCGGGATGATTGGGTTGCAAATTGGGAAGCTTGGCAATCCCAATGCGGGAACCCGGGAGAGTCTGGACTGGCCAATGTCCATCGTGCGGAATAGTAGTAGACTACGTTCCTCCTTCTATTGACCAGCGGGATCGAATTGAACCGGGCATATTTAAGCGTCCGGACCGCCACGTGCGGCCACGGGTATCCCTTGCATGCGCAAAGGTTAATTGCGGTCCGGGTTCAAGCGCTACATTCTAAAGCCATGGCGCCCGCCACAATCCTTTAAGTGAACCGGACACTGCAAAGCAGAGATACAATAATCATCCACCTATACGGACCGGGTTTCCTCTACTGGGTGGGACTTTCCCATCTGGGCCGCCGCCCCTTTAGCGTGGGCGCTGGTCTGACTCTCTGCTGAGTACATTTCAGCACAGTGATTCGTGCTCCAGACAGTCACGTGCTCAACGAGCGTCTCGGATTTGCTTAGTCCTATGGACATGTAAGTCAAGGTGAAGGACTCAACTCGACCTGGAGGGCACGGCGGAAGTTTGCACCCCTCGTTACTCAGATAGATTCATCCCTTTTTCTGTTTCTAGTCTCTACAACCATCTAATATATGATTTGACCAGACTCGATTATCTGAACTAGACTTCCACATTCTGACCCTCTTCCTTCTTCTCTGTTTTCTTCACACTCTTCCATTCAAATCCAAAGGATGCGAGAAATATCAAGCACGAAAGTCCAAATGTCAGGTACCATACTGAAGTCAGAGAATCATTGTACACCTTCAACACGAACTCGAGCTGATCCTTCGACACTTCGTTCCGTAAGGTAGTGGCTCCTCCATTGGAAATGGCACTGGCATCTAGTTTGACTTTGCCATCCAGACCTTGGACCAATTTGGTCTGAAGTAGAGTCTGACAGACGGTCACGAAAATCGTCCCCCCAAGGAATTGCAGAAAAGTGAGGATTGAAAGCCCGATGGGTGCGTCGCTTTTGGAAAGAACAGTTTGAGCTGCGATGTTTGGCTGCTGCAGGGTGAGCCCGAACCCAGTCCCTGCAACAATCTGGGACTCTTTTTAGTTTCACACATTCCTGTTTCTGTGTCACTATATACTCACCTGATAGCTTATCCACTTCCCGGCTCCGGTATGCACCTCCCAGGTTGTGATCAATCCAGATCCAATAATAGATATTGCGCCTCCAATAATCAAAAATGGAGTATAAAATCCGGAGACAGTCGTTGCTACACCACCGAAGATGACGAATACCACCTGCGAAAGGAGGAGAGGCAACAGTGACAATCCGGCGCTTTGGGGCAATTTTCCCTGAATTGCCTGGAACCATACCGGTATATAAAATGAATAAACGACCATTATAGAGCCAATACCAATGGACGCTACACTTGCAGCAATCATAGTTCTCTGAGAAGTGATCCTGGAAGGGATCGTTCCCTGGCCCGCCTGCCAGACCTGCGATGTGAGAAATGCAAGGCAGAGGAAACCGGCGACAACAAAAAGCGCAATAATGCGACCATCGCTCCAAGCATACTTCTGACCACCCCATTGGAGCGCAAACAGTAGACACACAATCGCCGGCGCGATCAAGCAAAAGCCGATGGGGTCCAGTTGTTTCACTTTCCCGAGCAGGGTTGGTGCTGCGATAGCGGGTGGAGGTCTATTCGGGCACAAAAAAATGAGCACGAGGACTGCGACGCCGCCGATGGGGACATTAATCCAGAAGCACCATCGCCAAGTGATTGCCGTCAAGTATCCTCCCACGAGGGGTCCAATGATGGAGGCCAGTCCGAACATAGCTCCGATTCCACCTAAATCGGTCAAACTTTGGTCAAGTCTGCACTCACCAGTCGGAAGGCCTTGACATACCAGAATACTTTGGCCGAGAATTGAGTGGAACAAGAATATTGATCAAGATGAGCGCCCCGGAGGTTATCCCCGCGCCGCCAATGCCAGTAATAACTCGACCAACGATCAAAGCTTTAGAGCTCGGTGCGGTTGCGCAGACAATGGAGCCGGTTTCGAAAACGATGACAAGGGCAGTGAGTACTAATCAGGTGTAAGTTCTGGACCCTGTTGCAATGTAATTGTCACTTACTCCATTTTGCGGAATAAAAGGTCTGTCTTCGAGTTAGCATTACAATGCTTCTCAATCCGAGGGACGGCAACTTACATATACAAGTCCGAAGGATAGCTGTAACATACAGAGTGGAAGTAAAAAGCCCGCTTCGTACCACGAGATATCCCCAAAACTGTTGAATTCATCTGTAATTTGAGGAACTGCTGTGCCTAGGATTGTCCTGTCCTGTATTTCTTCGTCAGCGACCAAATTGAGTCAAGGGAGCAATTGCAGAGATCATTACAAGTGCAATGAGAAACACGGTCAGATAAAGAGCGGCCATTGCAGGAAACACCAATTTTCGAGGAGGATACTCTTCTTCCTTCTGGTCGATATGACGCTTGGGCGATTTTTCCGCTTCCATCTTTTCTTGATTCTTTGAATATTTCTAGTCAAGAACTCACATCAAAAGAGATGGTTATAATTTAAATTTCAACTACCTGATTATGTGGTAAAAAGGCCCTTGAATATGTAGCGATCTCTTCGGGATCCGAGCGGCGTCCGAGAGATTTCATTACATGCATAGTTCGGGTTCGGTCCCGCGACCGAACTTTGTTCTCACCGTTCTCGCTTTTCTTTTCTCTCGCATCCCTCTCAGAGATACAAACGGAGATGTCAATCTCCTCTGAACGAATCAAGAGACATGCCAAAAACTTCGGCTTGTATGCCCTGCGCAAAACGCAAGGTCCGCTGCGACCGACAAGAACCATGCTCTCATTGCAAGCGCCGCAAGAGAGATGACTGCACCTATCCTGACGTGTCGTCCGAAACACGCATCAAGTATCTCGAGGAGCTCGTCCGAAGCCTCGGGGGCAGCCCCGAGAGCGAAGAGAGTTCCGTGAATACCGGGGCTAGCACTACTGCATTAGTCCCGCTCAGAAAGCGAACGCTTCCAGTTCAACATGATCAAAATTATCACCGAAGAACCGACTGGGCCAGATCTGCCCCAAACAATGACCCGGTCATTGTAGAAGAAGGTGGAGAGAGGGTATATTTGGAGGCGTAAGCTATAATATATTGCCAAGTCAAAGCATGGCCTGACCGATCACAGACCAACATGGCATAGTTGGGACAAGAGGCCCAGACTATCAACAGAACAAACAGTTCAGCAGCAGTCCTTCACACCGATGAGATCATGTATACCTGTTCAATCTAGTATAGGTGCTCTACAAAACATCATTCAGTTTGACGATACTATTGATCTGGCAAGCGAACATCCCACGCCCGAAAAAGCCGCCGTTTTGTGGACTGCGTGCAATCGGAATGTGATCCCTCTGGTGAAGATTTTATTCCAGTGGGAGCTTGACCAGATGCGTTCGACAGCTTTATCTCCCAATGCGACCTATGAATTTCTTCCCCAGGAACATGCTCTGTTTTTCGCGATCTATCTGAACACCGTCACAAGCCTATCGGAAGACGAATGCTTAGAGTCATTGGGCCAGCCAAAGAAGTCGCTGCTGTCTAAATACCGAGAATTCTCAGAAAATGCGTTTGCTCGGGCAGACTTCCTCGGGCGCTCCGAAGTGGCACTGGTGCAAGCTTCCATTTTCTACATCGTGAGTCAATTTCGCCCGTCATTAGTCGAACACCATGGCGAACTTACACTTTTTTCCGTTAGTCGGCATCAATAGATGAACTTAGCACACGAAGTCTCTGGTCTTTCATAGGGGTAGTAATTCGCCACGCAGAAAGACTGGGCCTTCATCGGGACGGTATTCTCCTGAACCTTTCACCCGCCGAAACAGAGAAGCGACGACGCATCTGGTGGCAGCTGCAACATCTAGATATCATTCTAGCTGTCAGATCGGGATCTATATCTCTGGTTTTGATGGCCGACTGGGATGTCAAACTGCCCTTGAATATTGAAGACGAAGACATCAGTCCAACTTCCACGGACTTCCCACCGGAGCGCAAAGGACTCACGAGCATGTCCTTCTGCCTCTGGACATACTATGTCCTAGAAACTCAACGCTCATTCCGAAGACCTGACGGTTGTCGTGTAGGAGGGTCTTGGCAGGCCGATAGGTCTTTGTCAGGCACGCAGAAAGAAGCATTTATGGATGAGCTTGAAAAAGGCATCAACGTCAAGTTCATTCAATATTGCGACCCCGTCGTCCCACTCGAGCTTTTGATTCTCATTATGTCGAGGGCATTTATGTGGGATATGCGTCGGCTAATTTTACATTCTGATGAAATCATGCGAGACGCTTCTGAACCCGTCGACGAGCGTGGGAAGAAAGTGTTAACCGCGTGCGCTCGCTGTCTCGAGTACGATGTTTATCTCCATTCTCAGAAAACACTTGAGAGATTCTACTGGCGCGCAACAACCTTTTTTTCATGGCATGCTTGTAAGTTCCATTCAAGCACTTCTCTTATTTTATGATTTACTAATTACATTTGATAGTTGTCTATGTGATTGGCGACGCTTCACGGTACGGTGATGGCTCTGAAGAAACCTGGGAGCTACTAGGCAAACTCTACTTAACCAATTCGCATCTTTCGAATTTCGCAGACGACCGGAGAAAACCTCGTGCTGCTGACATGATTCTCAGTGTCTGGCAAACTTATGAGAAATCTTTCAGCGAAAGCCGACACACCAAGCCCCAACGGCCTGACTTTCTGAAGCAGCTGGAGGCGTTGTTGATGGCGGGTAAAGTGCTGGCACAAAATACCGACCATCAGTCTCTCTCTAGCACCCAAGGTCCTGTAATGGATGCAAGTTACCTGCCTGAGGAAGCAGAGAAAATCCCGGCAGATTATTCGCCTATGAATCTTACCTTTGATCTAGATCCGACCGATATCGATTGGTCGTTCTGGAGCAACTGGAAGTGAACTCCTCGATTTTTGTTTACCTACATTCTCTTAGAATGGGGGATTGGTCCGCAAACTGAACCGAATGTGCCAGACGTCCGTATATTGGAAGGAACTCCCGGGATAGTACTCTTTTGCCGCCAGCACCCTGTGCCATCTGCGATACAGATAGTTCTCCACTATGGATCATGGATAAGCTTGTGCTTTGAAGGGCGCCATCCAGATGTAACCAATCGTTGCTGATAGTCATTATCTGCCCGTACCAGTAGACTAGCGTGTCTTGCTAATTAGGTTTGGGAGACAATAAATGAGTGTAAATGGTGACATCAGTTTCCAGACGTACTGTTTCTGATTTCGAATGTCGCTTGTAGTATTAAAATAAGATGAAATCTCATCTCAAACTATTATTGTTGAGATATCAAGTTGTAAAAAATGTCACATTTACCAGGGTGTACTAGAGTGGCCAACCCACATGTGAAACACGTTAATAATAAATCCAAAAAAAGAACTAGCATAGCAATCTTCTTGTAGATTATAGTTGCATGGTGGTCGATCAGCCTCGCAAATAAGGGCCAGGCGATCTGTGGAGTAAATATGATATCATAGGGTCCCTGGGGGCGATGCGAAACAAGGTCAAGAACATGGCCAGCCAAACCGGATATTTAAGCGGACACGTACGCCCGGAGTTTGACATTTATTTTTGACCTGTGTACTACCAAGTGGCAAATTTTCATATCTATCCGAAAACCATGTCTTCCAACGAGAACAACGAGAATCGTAAGCATTTCTCTTCCCACGTCACCAATTCACGCCGCGATTTTCTTTGCAGTGTTTCCCAGAACTAAAGCTAACGCTATCATCTCAGCTAGCTTTGTCGGTGGCATCGGCAGTGCCCTCGGCAAGACAGTGGGCGGCGTGACCGACACCGTGGGAAATACCGTGAGCGGCCTAGGCAACACTGCCGGCACTGCAGTTCAGGGAATCGGCCAGACAGTGAGCGGAGCTACTGAAGGGCTCGGCAATGCGACCAAGGGCGCTGGCCAGTTTGCCAACAAGGCCGTTGGCGGGTCCAGCGAGAAGAAGACGGAGGAGGGATCCTCTAGTCAAGCCTAAGATGTCTGGTTTGTTGTCTATTTATGAACAGAAATGATATATACGATTGAATGGTTTCTTTGGCTTTGCAAACTAGTATAACAAGAACCCGATCTCCCGTGAACAAATCCACGTTTAGAGCAGATATCTACGAGAAAAGTCGCACGGAGTCGGAATATTCTGGCTATTCTTAGCTACCCGTGTTGGCGCATTGCTCCCAGAGTGGCAGCTCCATTCTTCACCATTTCATTACCACCCGGATGGGGCTTCTCCAGAGGATAGAGCATCGGCCTAAGATTCGTTCTCAGATCCTTGTTGAGGCCACCATAGTTTCGAGGTGACCCAAATATCGCTACTCTAGTATGGAACCCCAATGAAGTAAAGCGACTCGGAGCGGATCAACTGCATTTCCTTTGACAGTAGCTGGTTTCCCGGGGGAATTGTCGTGGGGCAGCTCCGATCAAGCCGAGCAGTCGGAGGCCGGAGCTGGCCGCTTGTATCTTGGTGGGAACGCCCGCCGGCAGTCCAACTGAGATGTAGTTGGCAGTAGAGATAGAACGGTTTTAGAAGATACAGCTGTGCCTATTTCGCCGTTAAAAAGCGATTCACTATCTCACGATGAACTGATTTGTTGTTCTTCAGTGTTCGGATAGACTTGCTCTGTTGGAACAGGTCAAAGGCTGGATCGCCTTGCCTCATCGGGCCGATGACTAATGGAATGGTCTTGACGGGGTATATAGTCAGCAATCCTTTTGTCTGGTTGTGTCGATTGCTAAAGCAGACAGAAAAAGAAGAGGCAATCGAGTAAAACCTTCCTAGGCCGTACAGAATGCAATAATAATTGAGACGTACATGAGTCTTGAGTCGTTGACTACGCGGAGATGGGCCTGACGACACGGGAGGCAAGGTACCTGGATCCATTCCTCCCGCCGAGCCAATCATAGTCTCGATGATTCCCCAAGGTCCATGGCTTCATCTTTTTCGCTCTGAACTTCTTTATAAAGACCCCGTTCGCCCCCTACCCTCGGTCTCCTCCTCAGAGTATCATTTACGACGAAAATTACCAGCATCATGGGCCACGACGACGAGCCAAGTATGTTCTTCGTGCTCCTCGCCGATCTCCCGCAGCACGGGCCGTTTAGAATATAGTTACTCACACTCTTTCTTCATCCTGCAGAGACCTACCGCTACAACGAGACTCCGGTCTATACCGCGTCTAATGGCTGCCCGGTCATGGACCCCCAGGCCTCGCAGCGCGTGGGCCCCAACGGCCCGCTGCTACTGCAGGACTTCCACCTCATTGACCTGCTGTCGCACTTCGACCGCGAGCGCATCCCCGAGCGCGTGGTCCACGCCAAGGGTGCGGGTGCCTACGGCGAGTTTGAGGTGACCGACGATATCAGCGACATTGTAAGTATTCTTGGAAGGTTGGAAAGGAAAATTCAAGAGCGCTGACAATCTGCTCTCTGCGCAGACCATCGTCGACATGCTCAAGGGCGTTGGCAAGAAGACCAAGATGCTCACCCGCTTCTCCACCGTCGGTGGTGAGAAGGGATCGGCCGACAGCGCGCGCGACCCGCGTGGATTCGCCATCAAGTTCTACACGGAGGAGGGCAACTGGGACTGGGTGTTCAACAACACGCCCGTTTTCTTCCTGCGTGACCCGTCCAAGTTCCCGATGTTCATTCACACCCAGAAGCGCAACCCGCAGACCAACCTCAAGGACGCCACCATGTTCTGGGACTACCTGTCCACCCATCACGAGGCCGTCCACCAGGTGATGCACCTGTTCAGTGACCGGGGCACCCCGTACTCGTACCGCCACATGAACGCCTACTCCGGCCACACCTACAAATGGATCAAGCCTGACGGCACCTTCAACTACGTGCAGATCCACTGCAAGACCGACCAGGGCAACAAGACCTTCACCAACGACGAGGCCACTAAGCTCTCCGCCGAGAACCCCGACTGGCACACGCAGGACCTTTTCAACGCCATCGAGCGTGGCGAGAACCCCTCGTGGACCTGTTACGTGCAGGTTCTGAGCCCTGAGCAGGCGCAGAAGTTCCGCTGGAACGTCTTCGATTTGACCAAGGTGTGGCCGCAGTCCGAGGTGCCTCTCCGCCGCTTCGGCCGCTTCACCCTGAACAAGAACCCGCAGAACTACTTCGCCGAGATCGAACAGGCGGCCTTCTCGCCTTCGCACATGGTCCCCGGCGCCGAGCCCTCCGCGGATCCGGTCCTCCAGTCCCGTCTCTTCTCCTACCCAGACACCCACCGCCACCGTTTGGGTGGCAACTACGAGCAGATCCCCGTCAACTGCCCGCTGAAGGGTTTCTCCCCGTTCCACCGCGACGGCTACATGAACGTCCACGGCAACTACGGCGCAAACCCCAACTACCCGTCCACCTCGCGCCCGCTCGCCTATAAGCCCGTCAAGGCGAGCCAGGAGCACGAGAAGTGGACCGGTGCTGTCGTGGCCAAGCAGCTCCCCGTTACGAGCGAGGACTACGTCCAAGCCAACGGTCTTTGGCAGGTCCTCGGCCGCACGCCGGGCCAGCAGGAGAACTTCGTTGGCAACATTTCGGGACACCTGTGCGGTGCGGAGGAGCGTGTCCGCAAGGCTACCTACGAGATGTTCCGTCGTGTTAACAGCGACCTTGGCGCTCGTATTCAGGCTGCTACTGAGGCTAACGTCAAGGGCGCGCCGGCTTCTCGTCTGTAGATGATTTGTTTCCCTTTGCTTTTCAGAGCCATTAAAATGTATACTTCTTAGCACTTCTCATTATAGCCTTACTCCTCTAGCTTCCCGTTTAGCAAATTCCTCCATCTTATTGGTAACAATTACTAACTATCCGCATCCCCCAGTCAAGTAGCCAGATAGCGCGATTTCGTTATTTCTATAAATCGCTGCATCCGAATGTGGTGCATGGGACAGTTGGCAGAGGACTCGGTGGTGTTCTAGATGGAAATGGAAAGCAATTGGTTGGTCGAATTTGATCCCAGCCAATTCAGGTTCTTCAAAATATACCCGTAAGGCAGATTGATCGTAATGAACCCCAGTTCGGAATCCTCTGTCTTAGTTGCCAAATGCTATCGATCTCATGATCGCTGTATTACACAGTCCCCGAGCTGAAGGTTGTGAAACACGGAAACGAGGTGCGGGACATACGGGCCGATCCTAGTACACCCTAGTCTAATCATCTGACTTAGCTGCCCTATGAAATGCCCAATCCGAAGGAGAGAGATATTCTCCCCTCGTAAGCGACTTCGTCAACAGCCAGCGTCATGGCCGAGCCACTTAGCACCACCGCAAGTGTGATTGGCATTATTGCCCCAGCTTTGCATGGAATACGGCTTCTTTTGGATGACATACAAAATATCAAAGACGCCCCGGACACCATCCAAGCCTTGAACGACCACTTATATCGAGTCAGCCTGGCGCTTTCCTCTCTCCAGGGCGTTGAACCCGAAGAGTGGGAGTCTTTAGGTTCTAGCGTCGCAGACCAAGCCAAATCAACTATTCAGTTTTGTACAACTACATGCGATCGATTCAGAGCCGATCTCAAACGTTGGACCAGCCACTCCCACGGCGGATCATTTTCGTGGCGGGATCGAGCCAAAGTGGGCTTCGTGAAACAGGGCGAAATCAAGTCGATTCAAAGACAACTTCAAAACTGCCAAGTCACCATTAATTCGGTGATTAGTATAGCCACATTGTGAGTTACTCATGCCAGCGTCTAGGTCCTATAAAATGTTAACGGTGCATGTCCCACTAAAACAGATATTGCTCGTTTCGTCGAAACCCCGCTACCGAAGAAATCAAAGAAGCGGTGTCAGAAGCGATATCTAGAAAGCGGGGCGAAATCTCAAGTGCCGCCAATACGACGGATTCCCAGCTAGTCGACGTCACAGACATACTAGAGAAACTTATTGTCTCTAGTGATGTTCAGGACACCGAGGAGGAAACGGTACAGATGTCCAGGCAACTTCGTGAAGAGAAAAATGCACTACGTTGTTCTCGCGATCTTCTAGCCAAGCTTTTTGAAAAGGCTGAAGAAGACACTATACGGAAAGCAACAGCCCAAAACCAAGAACATTTCCCACGCGTGACATTTGGAGGCCAAAACACTGGCTTTCAGATTGGTGTGAACAATGGGCCTATTAGCGGGATCACTTTCGGGGTTAAATGAAACAATAAGCACGACTATTTCTACTACCGAGAATGGAAACACAAATTGATTATCCTGAATGATAGAATGATAGGGATATCTCCCACAAAATTCAAATGCAAAGTCTAAGTAGTGTTCTTGTATAGTTCCGAAAACGAGGCATAGCAGGACTGCCTTTCTTCCGAGAAACTATACAGTCTCCATCTGAAAGTATCCACCTGGGAAGAGCATTCCAGGGAATTCTTCTTTCCAAAGATATAGGAAAGTGTAGAAAATAGTAAATAATAAAAGAAAGAAACCTTCCAACACTTCAACGCCAATCGGTCATATCCACTCGGACAAGGAGGACAAAATGAAATAAAATGCTCGCTTATGTGCTAATCGTATCTCTCGTGAAACAAATTGCTGATCCAAAATAGAAATGTGATCGCAAGATATAGGAAAATGGATGACCGAGGTCAAGGGTCAAGACAGATCAGTCCAAAAAAAGCTCTGTGTGTACATGTATGATGGTGAGGTTCCCCGGTGGAGGTGCTGGTCGGTACCGCGGTGGGTGCAGATGTAATTGGAGGAGTGTTGGTAGGTTCATCCAGACATCCCCAGAAGAACCCCGGGGTCTTGCAGGTTGAAGACGTAGGCGTCGAGGCTGAAGTGCAAGTTGTAGTTGGGTTGGTGGGATCACGGCAGCCAAACCATCCACGCTCATGACACGTGGTTGATGAAGTGGGTGTTGGCTCAGTCGTTGTGGCAGTGGGTGCTGGTGTTGCACTGGTTGTTGTGGTTGGGTCTTTGCAGCCAAACCAGCCCGGTGTCTTGCAGGTGGAGGTCGTCGTAGTGGTCTCCGACGCTGTGGTGGTGGTGGTTGTCGTAGTTGGATCAAGACAGCCCCACCAGCCAGGTGTTTTGCATGTCGAGGTCCTAGTCGCAGAGGTCATTGTAGTAGTTGTTGTTGTAGTGGTCGTAGTGATCTCAGATCCGTTGCTGCGGAAGAACTTCCACAGCTCGCAATCGTAGCACTCTTCCTCAGCAGCACATGCTGGGACCTGATCGTAAACCTCGATGACGTCGGTGATGACAGCCTTAATTTTGTGGGTTCCAAGTGCTACACGCCAGCCTTTGTCTCCGACGGTGTCATAAACGCACATCTGGCCGGTGTGGCATGCCGACTCCATCGCATAGCCACCCCATGTGCAGATCGAGTCGATTCCGTTGCAGGTGCCCATAAATACTGGGTCTGCCGTGTGTCCAAAATGATACGCCCCAGTGTACTGTCTTTTCTGAGGAAGACGTGAGTCATGGCCTGGGGGGCTTGGAAGACCCAGTCGAGCCGCTGGTAATGCTTCGGGGACCGCTTCGAACGTAACGACCGGTAGCCCAAAGGTCAGTCCTAGCAAGCTCGTCATTGCACCGCCCAGAGAATGACCGGTGAGCCAGACGTTCGCATCAGGATAGATCTCTGTAACATTAGAGAAGAGATCAATCGCGGCTCGGTAGTATCGGTTCTCGTCGTTCATGGCCTCGATTATGCAGGTCAAATTTGCGGTATAAGTGGCGTTTTGGCAATCGCAGACCTGTCTCCAAAGGTAGGATCCTCCTTGGCCGCAGCAGCAACCGAAAAACAGGTTGTCGTTAACTTTATCATTGGTCGTGGTGCCAGCACCATCGAATAGGGCGGGTGATGTGCCTTTCAAGGAGATGACGATGGTGCTGTTCGACTTGTCCGCATATATATGACCTCGAAGCCCGTCACCTTGCCATCCAAAACTGGACGAGTAGTTGAGGTTGCCGTTGATGGGGAACCAGTCCTCCGTGCCGGGCTCTTCGATATAGTCATTTTGGGTCATCTTTGCAAATGTCAAAACGCTCTCTTTATCTGAAATGTTTGGACCCAACAGTGTGTCCATTACCCATTCCGATGGAGAGAGAACCGCTGCTGACCCGGAAGACCGCGCCGCTGCTAGGTGCCCTTCGATCACCGACAGACGCCGGTCGGCTAAGCGCTGTATCGTGATCGGGTTTGATGAGGCGACCAGGTATGGATCAGGGATAACTGGTTCCTTCTTGTTCCCATCTTCTGATAATGTCCAGAGACGGGTATCTGGCTTGACGTCTAGACGCGCGTGAAGGTCGGGGTGTTCATAGGTGCCTCGGTGGAAGATATGGCGCAAGGACTGGGGGAAATAGTCAGCGGAAGCTCACCACAACAATCAGCCTGCGATGTTTCACTTACAAACTCATGCGTTTCTGATGGGGGCTTCGCAGTATCCAAGGGGACCCTTGGCGGGACGATGGGTACCTGCGGCGCAGGGTAGTCGAAGTAGGGCGGGCTGGACGCGGAGACGGCGCCTGACAGCAGCGCCGACAGCAGGATGCCGGAGAGGTTGAGCCTCTGCCCAAAGTGTTTCTGGCGCGGACGAGGCATGGTGGATGGAAGTCTGATGAGCAGAGAGGATGGGAGAGCGAGTTCGGGAGAGGGTGAGTCGCAACAGGGCAGCGTTATCTTATCACGGTGACGCAGTGCGGGAGATCCCAGCACGTGATGAGGACCCCGTGACGCGTTGGGTGGGTTCGTACGAAGTGGCTGGCCCCTTGACTCTGACAAGAATCATTAGTGATTGCACTTCGGGTTCCTCTCAGGTCGATGGTCCGGGGAATAATTGCTGCGTGTGAGCAGCACTGATCTTCTCCCCTGGCGGTATCTTCCTCTCAACCATCGCAACGGCTCGAGGCAGCAAGCAGTCCCGGGAGCTCGGACGGCGATCTGCATCAGCCTATCAGCTGGACTTGGGGTCGGAGAGTCACTCGCCTCTAACAGCCGGACAGACCACATCGCCTCTTAATCATGCCAACAGACCCCGACGATGCTTCCTCTTCACACTCGGTGCGGTCTTTCACCAGAATGACGGGTACAGACGGGAATCCTCAGGCGCCAGCGGGGGCGACGACAGTTACGGAACAGGCAGAATCAAGTGCGGCTTCACTGTCCTTGCCGGTCGAGCAGGAGGAAAAAGTGACCAGCCCGGATGTGTTTGAAAGAAGGGGCTCTGCGGATTCCAGCGTTGCGGCCGACGGACACGCCGACGAAGGGTTTGTGCTGTCTCGAAGCGTGCAGAATCCATCAGAGGAACTCCCAATCGAACTCATAAGCTTAACGGACCGGTGCGTTCTCTGCTATTCCTCCTATTAGTCCCACGTCTAATGCTTGGTGATTAGATTTGTCGCCTCCTTGAGCGCTAGAGTACACAACACACCTCCCAACATCGACAAGATTTCGCAACTCTTCCAAGTATTTTATAGCCGCGCCGAATCCCATATTGCCACCCATATATCTGCCCTTGCATCTCGCATAAACCGCGATCCGTCACCCACCATGCCTACAAAACCTCGGCCGACGGGACTATCGAAACTGAGCAGCAAGCGCTCCCAGGATGATGTTGGGCAGGCACATACGGGACGTCAAATGCTGACGGCATCGGAAGTTGCCGAGAGACGCAAGGCTCGAAAAGCGCTCGAACACAAACGAATGGCCCTGGAAGAGGCTGCAGAACGACGCGTCTGTGAGCTTGTTTACGATAAAATTTGGAGACACAAAAGCACGCTTGATGACGTTCGAGACGAGAAGTTGCGTTCCAAAACTGCAGCTTTGCTCCTGGTTGGCATTGACTTGAAAGATCTTGGCGTCGATATCGATCTTACCTCCATCGATAATGAAAAGCAAGATGAAGCAAACGAGTGTTTCGCGCAGGCCCGTGATTGTCTCGCGAAGATGAATGATGAAAAATACCCCCTGGGGAAGCTTCAGCAGCTGTCTACCGCGCACAAAGCGATTGTCGATGCCCTGACCAAGCTACTGCCGTCGTCTTCTTCCGCAGACGAGATCCTGCCTACTCTGATCTATTGTCTTGTCACTTGCCCGCCTGAAGGAATCAATATCATCAGCAATCAGCTCTTTATCCAGCGTTTCAGATCATCAAACAAGCTCGATGGCGAGACTGCTTACTGCTTGACTAACCTAGAAGCCGCAATCAGCTTTCTGGAAAACGTTGATCTGTCCACGTTACGCGCCGATGAGCAGGATGGCATCGGCAAGGCTTTAGGCGAGATGACACCGCCGCCATCAGAACGGGTCGATCCTTTCCGGCCGCCTAAAGAAACTGCAATCTCGTCCGTGACATCAGTATCGGCTTCACCCGAGCTCTTGAAACCAGAGACCAAAGAATCTGCCGCATCCACACTACCCAAACTACGACCTGCCGTAACGCCGCAGCAACGACGTCTCAGTAACCTATTTCAACCACCTGCAAAAGTCCTGGAGGCGGCCAACGACGCCGTCCGCAATACCGCCGACCAAGGCCTGAAGAATATCAGCCAAACGCTGGACAGCAGCTTCAGCTTTCTCTTTGGCCGTCTGAAGGAGATGCAGATCAACCAAGGGCCTGATATGCAAGGCGGAGGACCAGTTCTACCCAAAACACTCGCCGAAGCCCGCCGCCTCATCGCAGAAAGCGGCAAACAAAACCCAACACACGATGATCTGGTGACAGTCCACCCGACACTTCTGGATGACGGTGAGCAGACACGAAACAGCTCCAGAGCAACAGGGCACTCGAGGGACGGACCAACGCCTCGTGATCCAAGTGCAGACAGCAACCGCACCCAGGCGAGCAGTAAACGATCAATAGCGACATCTAGTGTGCATCGAGAAGATCAGAACTCAACAAGTCCTATTCCCACCCCTCTGGAATCGATGCGCCAATTCGGCAACACTCTCAACCCGCTCAACCACATTCCCGGAATGATCAAGAGTTTTGGCCGTAACACACCCGACACTCCTGCCGGTCGCTCACTGTCTCCCGCGGCGATAGACCGGCTGAATATTTCGCCTGTATCCCCAGTTGGGGCCGGTGGCACGGTAACGCCACTCTCTACGTCTTCGAGTAAGATTGACCCTCCGATCCAGCGGTTCCTTGAGATACAGGATGCGGCTGAGCTTCGCGTTGGGGAGGTGGCGACTTTGCTGCATGATTATAAGAGACTCGCTGCTGCGATGTATAAGCCGAACAATCCGTCTTGATGGAGTAACGTAATTGGCAAAGGAGCTGATTAGAAGATCAACCACCAATATTCTACATCAATTCATTAGACCACTAACGCCATTAATTTCAAATTTACCTATTAGACCTATTAGACCTATTAGGGCGATGCGTTCTTTTATGCCCAACTTAATTACAGTCGCTGCATCGCGAGGGAGCTCGTCTGATTGGCTGTGCAGCTAATTATATCACATAACGGTTCTCTTGGGAGCAATAGAACCACAATCACCGCATGGGAAGAAGACTGAGTATCAAACAATGCCACAGCATTAAATCGACGAGTAGAGCAAGGTTCCGAAGACGAACAGGTGGCATAACCATTCTCTAGAGAGTTCCTCGCCCTCATCGAATTGGAGACCTTAAAGCCTAGCTGTAAGGACACCGCATCGACCTCTTTGGATATATATCGAAGCGTAAGGCTTGGACAACCGATGATACAACTCTTAAGGTTTCTCGATCCGGCGTCTTAATCAAGCACTTTGACTATCGTACCTCGGTGGATGAACGTTCACAGCGTTTAAAAATCATAACAAGTGCGGAATACTCGCAGAACAAAATGCTTTTCAATCTCAGAGCATCCCGAAACCATATGATTGCAACCGTTGAGATGCAAGGCCATGTGCGCCGTAGGAAAGATGCGGGCAGAACAATAAAACAGATTCTGGGGGTACAGGATGAGGGTATTGTTTAGAAGTTGAGAAACAAACACCACTCAATGAATCAGAAGAAACATCAACGCCGGCAATGAATGTAGCAACATCAATGAGAAAAGAGATAAACAGCCGAGACAAGGGAAGATATTAAGCATTTCGCCCTCGCAGAACCTCCGCGCCACCAGTGCGCATCTCCTGCAACTTTGTCGACAACTCCTGATTCTGCTCCTCCACCTGATCATGTCGCCGTTTAACCTCCCTCTCAAACACAGCAGCCATGCGGCGACGAACACGCCTCGAATTCTTCATCTCAGAGAGTAGATGGCTGAAGCGATCGAGCAACTGGTCTCCGCATTCTTCCCATTCGTCGACGGTCATGCGAGATAGGAAGGTGTGTCGTTCTTGGTCTGTCTGTTTCAGGAGCTGGGACACGGCGTCTTTCGGGGACTCGCTGTCTGGGGAGATGTCCTGGGGTTGTTGTTGTGGCTGTGGGGGAGTGGACTGGACTGGTGATGATAGAGGAACCGGAGATGGCGCTCTGTCAAATGGCTCAGCTTGGAGGTCTGAAAAGGATTTCTGGTAGAGCACAGCCGGGGGATAGTCTGCTTCGAAGGGTCGTTTTTTCGAGTGGATAATTGTGTCTCGACGACGTCGTATGGAACCGGTGAAGAATGGATCTTGGATGGTGTCGTCATTGTCGGCATCAAGGTCGGTCAGATTGGTGATGTCGAATGCATTGAGTGAATGCACGCTGTCTCGTCTGTCGTCAATTGCCACTCTTTGATCTAGGCCATCATCGCTGATGTGGTCTTCGTGCTCGAGTGGGCGGAGAGCGGCCATATGGAGCGTTCGTTCCGGCTGTAGCGAAGTCTGGAAGCCCTGACGGGTTGGCGAGATATCCAGCTGTTCAAGTAGTGAAGGCTTTGGTGGACTGAAGCGGGACCGCGCCCGCGGAGTTCCAGACGTGCTATGCGGTAGAATGGGCTTCCTGGTCCCCGGAGGAGGCAGCATCTGGCCCAGCTTGCGTGGCTGATGCTGGGGAGCTGTGTTCACAGGAATCGGATCCAGTGGCTTCAAAGGCGCTCTCTTGCTGGCAGACCAGAAATTCTCCAGGCGTCGGCTCAGCGGCTCTTCCATTGCACGAGGTTTGTGGGTGTAGTACCCTGCGCGGATCTCGTCGACATTCTCGTCGTCCCCGACAGAAGAAGTCAACTGGCTACCGTCGTCGCCATCATGTGCATCTTCAGAGTCAAAGCCTGCCTCCTTCATGGCCTTGTTTCCTAGACCATCGTACCAAGCAGACCCGTGAGAGCGCTGGGGATGGCGTGGCTGGTAGGTGGACTGTGGTTCATGGGTAGCGGATGCTGTATTTGCATTCGGTGCTATGTGAGACTGATTATCATCCACTCCGTAGATGCTTGTTCCTGCAATGGTGGAGTCATCGACTGCTTCGACATCTGTGTCGAAGGCGTCCCGCTGCTGCAATGCATGGTCGAGAGATGCTTGGGACGGGTCCGCGAAACCAGTTCTCTCGTCGCCGTTTGAAGGAGGCAGCTCGAATAGACTAGTTGCTGGCACCTCTACCTTTGCTTGTTCCGCACGCAGTTGTCGTGTTTGGAGGGAAGCTGTCCTGCGTACTGCTGCAGAGTGCCCAGCTTCCTTGGAGTGGATGTAGTCGCCCACGCCCATGGTGAAAATCTGGTTGAAAAAAGGGGACAGTCTAAAAGGGGTTTGCAGAGAGATCAGGAGTGATCGGGGAAGTCAAACCCCCATTTCGAGAGGAGGAAGGTAGACAGAGGAGAAGCGTGTCACACAGTTGCAGCTCAAAACGCGAAGGACCCGCGAGGTCACGTGATACTCTATGAACAATGTCGGTCCTCACATTATTATATCATTCGTTATAGCATTTCATTAAATCGTAGAGTATAATACATGGCATTAATCGACTTCCCTTCTCAGCCAAAGGGAGAACCGTCATCGATATGGAAGTGCTCAAGGTTGTATGCGACACTCTTTCCACGCTTCTTGGCCTTCTCGAAGAACTCAACGGACTTTAGCACCTCCGCCTGGCGCTTCTCGTTGGCAAGCCTGTGTTCGCGTCTGGCCTGAATAGTGCCCGGCAGCTCATCCATGGTCATCTCATCGGGATCAGATCCATCTGCACTCTCCGGCTGTGGCTGCACGGGCAAGGAAGAAACAAACAAATCACCAATCCAAAGCGACACCATGCCTCTGAGTTCCAACAATTCCGGAGCGTCCATATACGGAGGTGACACAAGAAGTTCATCCATACGTGCTGCAATTTGCTGCGCGTTTTCTAATTCGCGTGCCCTAGCTGTCGCAATGAGAGAATGCTTCTTGTCCCTCGACCCTTCGTGGTGCTCGCGGTCCGGTGAGGAATCGTCTTCTGGGGAGAGTTCATCAGATGAATCATCGTGGTGAAGGTCAATCTTTTGCCTCGCCGCATTGCCCTCTTCTTGAACGACATAAATCCACAGTCCGAACATCGCGGGGTAAAAGTGCAGAGAAGAAATGGCATTGGGAGCAGATTTGGTATATGGGTGATGGAGAATCAGTCTCTCATAATACTCCTTGGCGTCTGCAAATCCCTTTTTCGTGAAGGGGGGTGTCGGGTTTTCTGTCGTACTGGGAATCTCTGGAGATCCACCTTGATCCGCACCACCCAATGCTTCTTGCTGACCTTGGCGCAGGAGGATTTCAGCACCAATGCCCCATCTGTCATCAGTCCGCACATCCATTGGAAGGCCTTTGAAGGACTCGCGCAAGATCAACCCCCATGCTCTCCCGGCGCGGATGTAATCCCCTTGGAGGAGACAACGGTGGAGAATGGCGGTTACGGCGGACAGATGCTGGTACCGGATATTCCCTTGCTGCGCCGAGGACTGAGGCGGATAGATGGGAGGTGATAAGGCCGACAAGGCCTTGACAAGACGGGTAGACTCGGCTTCCTTGCTAGAGCGCTTCTCCTTGGGCGGTCCATGTGGAAAATAGCCGCCGGGCAACTCTTGGTTGATAGAAAGGCCTGCTATTCGATATTGGTGGGTCTCGTTTGGCGTCAAGACTAACGAATGCCCGGCATCTGTAGCATCGGTGGTCTCGCCGGCACCTTCATCGTCGTCGGTCCATGCATCACTGTGCTTCTTTCGTTTTCGGCGCTCAAGGTGAGTCAAGCGAGGACCGAGCGGCTGGTTCCAAAGTGGAAGAGGCAGAGAAAAAGAGGAAGCCGAGGGAGTAGATGCCATAAGAAGCAAAAGAAAAAGTTGGGGGTCCGACACACCGAATCCACCTGACGTGGTTGACTAATGAGCCGAGAGCAAAGCAGGCAAACACCCGAACAGTTATGTTATCACTCCCTCGCTCTGATATCACTCACTCACTCACTCATCAACCCTTACCATCCTCCCTCCTTCTCCAATCCTCCCTCCCTTCCTTCATTCAGTTCCTTGTCACCTGTGACTCTCCGTGGCCGCTAGTCCACACTCTCTGATCTCCGCCACGCGCACCTTGCCCGCATTCGCAGCTCGGGTACATCACCTCGGTACTCTGGGCAGTGCTTGGGTTGTCAGACAGAGTCTGAGACTGCCGGTCGCAGAGCCTCGTATTGGTCAGAGGGCTGGTCTAGCATCGTTGGTGTGGGATCATTCATCGGTACCCGTGCCGAGGGCGGTCTTGCCGCTCTCTCTCCGTCCATCCGTGGGAATCCCGGCCTCTTGCCAACGCCTTGTGCACCACTTGGAGGGTTTTTTGGGTTCCCAATTTGCGTATTCGTCCAGGCACTAGCTTCCTGATTTGAGACCTCACAGGCATCGTCAATCGGTAGGCTCGTTCCCGCTCATCCCCAACGCCCTCAACATTCGGTTCAGTCAGGCGCTGATACTGTCGCCACCTCCTAGCCCTCGTACACTCTTATGGCAGTAAACGACCTCTGATACTCTCCTCACTCTCGTCCTCGCCTTACCTCCCCAGCCAGTGTGTTACTATGGGACAGTCTTCATCCACACAACGTGAACGTCCTGACATCGGTAATTCGGATCATTTTGCGCCTTTCTCAACGGACCTCAACCTTGATGCAAGGAATGAAGACATGAACAACGGACAGACAACTGAGAATAGTGGAGAGGCGGGCTCGTCGTCCAGGGATGAAATGAATTCAGTCCCCGGTCAAGATACCGCATCGGACCAACAGACCGAGGCGCCAGAGACATGGCAACAACCCACTCGGTTTTCTGGAGGGCACTTGCCTCATATGCGAAGTATTGAAGAGGAGAATGCTTTTGAGGTTGACCCGTCTCATCGCGAATATCGCTCTGCCGCCATCGCTCGAATGGTGGCAAGACGGCAATCCACCATGTCAAGGCTGGGCTCAAGAATTTTGCCAAATTCGGTCATCCGTGGTCTTCTCAGCAGTCAGGAAGAGACGCCGGCAGAAGGTCATGCGCATCGGCATGGGATGGTCTCAAGGACAATTCCAAGGACTGAGGCTGCTCACAGCAGTGGTCGCTTCAGTCCATTCAGCTCACTTAGCTCTAGGGGCATCACTCGACGGCGCACCACTCGAGGGCCCTACTTTATCCCACGTACAGAAGCCTCAAGCATGTCGGATCCATCCGCAAACCCTTCATATCTTGATACGGCCGCCCAAGGGGACCCGGAGCCCTCCAGAGCATCCTGGCGTCGCAGTGCCCGTCTCCACCGTATGCGGCACTCGATTTCTAGCCCGATTTCTCACATGTTCGGGCAGTCTCTAGCCGACATGGGTCCTCATCAGCACGGGGATGCTTCAAATCTGCCCACTGGTTCCGCTTTCGATGAGGACTTCCCAAGGGCCATGGACACTAGCTTGGACTTCACCGAGCCCCCGCATGAGCTCGATTCAGTGGAACCAGAAATACAAAACGGGGAGCACTTGTCTCCCCCAACCCCTGGTCAAACGAGTGCTGGTATTCCGGGAATGCGACGCATCCCTGCTCTACTCAGGGCACGATCTTCTCGAGTCTTGCGGCGAGAGGAACAGACCCCTCTGTCACGGGTTTTGCAGCTTGCTGCGGCTGCTATCGCGGCCCAACTTTCCGGGACCACTGGTCCTGTGTTGCCAAACATACAATCCTTAGGAAATGATGGACTGGATGGCTCCTTGGAGAACTTCATTAATAGTTTACAAAACGCCACCTCCACGCAAGCTCAGCCAACTGCCACCGGTGAAGGTCCAAGTAATTCTGAAAGCGAGGGCCCATCTCAGCCTGTCAACTTTCTACGCGTCTTCCGATTTGCCAATGCAGAACCTTCCGGACAGAACACTTCTGGACGAAGCAATTCCAATGGCTCTCAGGAACAAGGCACGCAGACCGATGCAATGGATCTTGACGAACCTTCGGAAGGAGGCGAAGGGCGGACAGTCACTCTCGTCGTGGTTGGGGTGCGATCAGTTCCGGCAAGCAACGCAGGGAATGCAGAACCACAGGGTACCCCCGTAGGTCCTGGCCTGGATGCCTTGCTCGGGGGTCTGCCATTCCTATCGCCCAACGCTGTTCCACGACCTCCGGATCTCACGCAGCGAGCAGATGGGCTGCCGCGGCTGCAGGCATCTCGACAGTCCGCTGGTCTTCAACCCTCCACCGGTGCCCCGGACTTCCCCCGCCAGCCGACTTTAAATCCATCTCGCAGGTTGTCAGATGCTGGGCCTCGCGCCGCCTACCCTTCTTTCATTCCTACTGCCCTGTCAGAGAGCCCCCCAGGACCTATTCCGCCTCCATCGACCCCAGCGGAGCAGGGCTTATCAGCTGTGTCTTCGGGCACCTCAACTCCTAGTCGCCGGCCATCCTCCGCTTCGGCAATGTACCCGGATGCTTTGCCTATACTGAACGAAGACCAGTCTTTGCAGCCAACAGTAGAGCCTGCCGACGATGCCATTCCGCCTCCCAGCACCGCTCACCGACGCCGTCGGAGCGATTCTGAATTTGCTCGACACCGGGCCCTAGGATCTGGTGCTGTTCGACGCAATGGGATGGTTGAGCCTGATCAGCCTTCCCCAAGCAGCGGTCGAAGCTGGTTGATCTATGTTGTCGGAACCAACCTATCGGAAAATCACCCGGCCTTGACGACTCCAAGTCTCTTTACTGATGTGAGTCTTTCCTTCATGTTATGTTTTCGACCAGAACTAACAGGCACTCTTTTAGAACCCCACTTACGAAGACATGATTCTGCTCTCATCACTTTTGGGTCCCGCCAAGCCTCCCGTTGCCACTCAAGCCGATGTCAACTCTGCCGGAGGATTGTATCGTCTGGTCGAATACGGTGGCTCGTTGGTTGCGGAGCTGGTGGATGGTGCAGGCGTCATTCAACTTCAGGATGGAGAGCGTTGTCTGATCTGCTTGAGTGACTATGAAGTCGCTGAGGAGGTCCGGGAGCTGGCTAAATGCAAACATGTCTACCACAAAGATTGCATAGATCAGGTTCGTCTCGCATCACCTATGCTTTTCTGCAATTGCGTTGTAACTAACCCGTGTGCTAGTGGCTGACTACCGGACGGAACTCCTGCCCCCTCTGTCGAGGTCAGGGTGTGCATGAAAGTCCGAACAACGGCCATAATCCCGCCCCCGATTCGGCGCCTCCCGATGTTCCAATTGTTTGATCTCTTTTATCACTCCTGTCATATGTTCCGTATAGGGACACTCGAGCCTCCCCTCTTATGAGCTTAGCATGAAGCGCCTGTTTTAGAACACTTTTTTCACGAACTTTGTTTTCTGTCTCGTTGATATCCCCTTGGCCTTTATCCCCTGTCGGTTGGTTTTCTTGGGTTTTATTTGCTTTTTCTCTTTCTTTTATTTACAGTGGAGGACTAGACGACATATTATTCTGGGGGAGATGACTCCTTGCCTACATCCCCCTTTGTCTCGGTTGATGGACGCCTCTACAGATACCCTCGGTCTTGTATCTTTCTGTTGGATCATGATATAGTATTTTCACTGTTCATACATAATCGAATCAAAATATTTCTCTTTTTCTATTCAACACGCTGGACTTGGTACAACGACCGTATATATAGACAGTCCGGGTGTCCAAAATGCCCCTCGGCTGACTCAGCATCTCCGATTTCGAGAAATTCCGGTGACCAGAGCTCTCATCTGCTCTGACTGCTCCAGGCAATAGCTCCGTGGGTGTAGCAAACCCCAATTGACCTTGACCGCGCCCGACCCTCACTCTACAAGAATTGTCCAACACTGTACACGGCCGGAACGACCACATTTCTACGACAAGCTCCATGACCATCTAACCTCACCAAACCCCTCCACCAACGCTCCCTCCATCTCCTCCCCCGAAAACACACAGACACATACAATGGCCTCCGCGACATCCGCGACGCCCGCGATCCGCCTCACCGTCCTGATATCAGGCAACGGCACAAACCTTCAAGCCGTAATTGACAAAGTGGCAGCAGGCCAACTGGGCGCAGCAACGACGATCGTGCGCGTAATCTCCAATCGCAAAGACGCCTTCGGGTTGGAGCGCGCAAGACAAGCAGGGATTCCTACACATTATCACAATCTCGTCAAGTACAAGAAGCAGCACCCCCCCGACGACCGAGGGCGTCCAGGCCGCGCGCGAGGAGTACGATGCAGAGCTTGCGCGGCTGATTCTCGCGGACGCGCCGGACCTCGTCGTGTGTCTAGGATTCATGCATGTTTTGTCTCCGCGGTTTTTGGAGCCGCTGCAGAAGACGAATACGCGGATCATTAATTTGCATCCTGCGCTACCTGGGGCGTTCAACGGTGTGGTAAGTTTCCTGTCTTATCTTCCCCAACAATTTAGGCCCAAGTGGATCACGAATGGATTTAACGGTGTTCCTTTTCTTCTTTTCTCTGCAGAATGCGATTGAGCGAGCCCATGCGGCGTGGCTGGAGGGCAAGATCGACAAGACCGGGGTGATGATCCACGATGTGATCTCGGAGGTGGATATGGGCACGCCCATCCTCGTGCGGGAGATTCCGTTTCGGAAGGGAGTCGACGAGGATGTGCATGTGTTTGAAACGCGAGTCCATGAAGTCGAATGGGGAACGGTCATTGAGGGGGTGGATATTGTGATCCAGGAGCTGGTGGCCCAGAAGCAAAAAGGATCATGAGGGCTGCTCGTGTGTTGGTCCTGGGGGCCGGGGCGGGCGCGTCCTGGCGTGGTTTGACATTATTCTATTGCCCGGCCCCAAGTTTGCTGCTTGTATAGAGATGGTCGGCAGAGTGGATTTATTCGTCGGCAGTCTGACGAATTGACGACTTGATTTATACTATGTAAAAAGTCAAAAGAGAGAGGTCTACAGTGGGCGCCGGCAAGGCATACAGCGGCAAAATGCCACCATGCAGAATTAAGGCCTACGCCCGAAAGCCCCGGCAATCCAGGCAGCGAACCGGGGCTTCACCGGCTATCTGTGCCGGCATCGGGGATGCATGGGGATGAGATGGCGTGCGATGATTGAGAGGGATCGTAGGATCAAGTTGGGCCTCCTCATAATAATCCCTGCAATGAAACGCATCTTCTCACCGAAACGATCACATGTGTATAGCTACGAGCCCGAGGATTTGGAGACTGGCCCAAGCCACGAGGATTGGATGATGCATTGCAACCCTGTCACTTTGAACAAGCGCCGGCCCATGCGCTCGGAGCCTTCCAGTAGTGTCCTGCCGGGTTAAGTACATCCGGAGCTTGCGGAGCACCCTGAGCGCTGGCACCCGCCCCCATTTGTCTAGATTGGGTAAAAGGAGAGCGATGGCCTTATACTTGGTGGTTTCGGGAGGAAGACCGGCGGGGCATAAATTTGATTTTTTGCTTCTCTTCTATTTGATGTATAGCTCTTTTCCTCTACGGTGAGAGTCCACTCCAGTCACGAGAATATCGATCCAATCGCTGAAATCCAGTATGGAAAAGTGCACGAGGACAACTCCCAAGACTGTTCATCGCAAACCCTAGGCTAAGTATAGAACCAAGCTCTTGAGCAGGAGAGGCATTTTTAGCGCCAACCCCTCTCTGTCCCCTTTCTGCCTGTTGATCTGTGGCTCTCCGGTGGAAACTCTGTTGCTCTCAAGACCTACTGCACTAGGTATAGCTAGTTGCATGACCCACAATCCACACTGACACAAAAATAATGATGTCCTCCGTACCTGCAACGGAGATCAATACCTCCTTTTGGAGTATTCGATCCAGAACCGGGCTGATCTCTTTTCCTTTTCTTTTTTTCGCCACGTCTGCGGCCCTGCCCGCACGCAATCACAATAATCATACTGAGCACATAATTCACATTGGCTCGTTCGGGGCAAGTCTCCACCATCTCTGTCAGGGATTAGCGCGCCTCGATAGGTTTTATCCGGCGCTCTTCCTTCCTGCCCGCCGGAATGTCGGATTGCGCACGGCCCCGGCTTACTTTAGGCCAGAGACCTAGTGTACATATCCTGGGCAACTAGTTGATATGAAATGAAGCTAGCTGCGATATACAGATGGCGGGAAGCCGTTAGACTAACAGGAAATTGAGCAGTCACTTTTTTTTCTTTTTTCCCGTTCTATTCTTATCCCCAGGAGGGGTCTCTGCTGATCGTGTTGCTGCCGCTTCCGGAAGATTGAACCTGTTCCATTGATCTTTTACCACTATGACCACCGCCGGCCCACATCGCGCCAGGGCTGTCAAACTGGCGTCGATCAGGCACAGGGGCCCGGTCAACCTTGGCCCCCGTCGAACATGGATTGTACTTGCCCGGAGACTTTTTCTTGCAGCAATCCTGGAGCAGTGGGCTTATCATTGCCGGGAATGAGGCGGTACCAACAACTCCGACGAATGGGGTCTCGGTACTAATAATAATCTATATTGCATGTCGGTAGTTTGGTTAGCAGCTAAATAGCTGATATCGTGTACCAAAGGACGATTTTTCTACCGGATCCACGCAGGAGTAGTCCGATGTGTGCAGAGATGGTCCAAGTGGGTTAGATGGATGGATAGAGTATGTCCGGCCGAACCCTCGGAGCGGCGCATTTACGCGTTTGGGTGAGGCTTAGGATGAATTCTGGTGCTGGAGGATGTGGCTGGGAAGGGGTGTGCCCATTCTTCCCCCGTATCCCGAGCGTATTCTTTTCTCCATAGATCTTCATCGATGATCCCATTCCTTGCAAGCCACCACCGAGGTTCATCCAGATGGATGGCTTGTGCGCGGTGTAGATCGAGAATTAAGGAGGATGATCAGCCCAGTAGTGTCTGCGACCCCTGGTTGTGCTTGGTGGCCAGGCAGGATCAGAATGACCGTCACTGCCAGGTCTGGTAGGCCCATGTAGTCATCCTCTCGGGCCTGACCTCACCTCTTCCCCGAGACAAACTACTAACCACAACTGCGACAACTGACTGCTACGGTGCTCCCCACCCTTTCCCTTCCCCCCTTCTTACTCCTTCTGTATCTCTCTTTTCCAGCCATGCGCCCCCGTCTAGCTTCCAGCTGATTTGATTCATGCCGGAAGCGACGGACGAGCGCGAACAGTCATGGCGCACTCCTACCACCCCCAGCCCGCCATGACGGGCTTCTTCGACCCATTGCAGCAGGACTCGACGGCCGCATACTCGCTATTTGGTCCGACGCAGTACCCCGAGAGCGTTGCCTTCTGGCATGACCCCTCCTCGGCGCCCTCCTTGCCCACGCCAACGTATCCATCGCCGCCGAAGTCGCAGCCCACCTTACTGCAACCTATCCCGGATTTGAAAAAACACAAGCGCACGCGCAGCGGCTGCTTCACCTGTCGCTCGCGACGCATCAAGTGCGATGAGACCCGGCCTACTTGCGAGCGCTGTCGCAAGGGCAACCGTGAGTGTGTCTATCCCTCGCCCACTACGCCCACCGCCTCCAAGTCCAGCGTCCGTTCATCAGGCAAAGCGCGTGGCCAGCGCCCAAAGTCGCAGGGGAGCGACTCATCCAGCAAGCCAGAAGTCGAGGAGGTCAGCCCGCTGGAACCCATCCTCGACGAAGATGAACCCGAGAGCGCTGAGCCGGGACCGCGCCCGTCCCCCACGAGCGGCACGATCACGTCGCAACCTAAATTGCAAAAGAGTCAAAGCACACAGTCTCTACAGAAACAGAGCGTGAAACCGTTATCCGAAAATTCTCCCCTTCATAAAGAGCAGAGCAGTTCGCCTTCCTCGACGACCGAATCGTCGCGCTTTGAGTCCATGAGCGCGCGGTCAGCCAGTATCGTGGACCCGCTCAGCAATACCCGACTGCCAGACGACGTTCGGTTTTATTTGAATTTCCACCAGGAGTACATCACATCTCAACACTATTTTCTACACGAGAGCACCGACCACTTCATCCATCAGAGCATCATTGAGCTTGCTCTGCAGTATGAGCCGCTGCTCTATGCCCTCACCGGGTTCTCGGCATACCACCACACGCTACAAAGTCCCGACGGCAAGATGTATACATTCCTCAAATATTACAACAAGGCATTGACGCTTTTGCGAAAATCATTGGGCTCGGGGGAAGAGCATGGCGAGGCGATATTGGTCACGGTTCTGGTTCTCACATCTTTTGAGGTTTGTTTTTTTATTGTATCTTCGAGGGAGAAGATTTTTTCTGACATTGTCAATTACAGGAATACATTGGTGACTGGGTGAATTTGATAGATCACCACCAAGCCGCTCACGCGCTAATGCGGGAGCTGTTGACTCCTGAGTCTGCCAGCGCGAGCGAGCTACACAGGAACATCTTTATATGGTATGCACGCTTCGATGTTGTCGTTGGGATTTTGGCCGGCACAGAAGCGGTCCTCGGTCGGCATTGGTACATCGCAAGGGAACAGTATGACGCCGAACAAGCCGCTCGATATCCAGGAGACCCGACTATGCAATTGGCTTTGGTAGCATCGATCAACCGCCGCTTCGGGTTGGACATGGCTTCGTTGTATGCCAAATTATCGCGAGGCCTGATTCCATTCGATGAGTTCGCTGCACAAAACGAACAGCTCGGCCAGACATTAGATCGGGCAAAGGCAATTCTAAAGCAATTCGACGAATCCGACTACCTCGTCCGCTCCTTTCCACACCAACAACCTTTAACCGATGACGACATCGTGGACCCATATGCTCCCGGTTGTCTGTACCAGGGCATCCTATGGGAGTACAACTATGCTTTGATCGATATTCTCTCCACCGAGACAATGTACAAATACCAGACCATGCTCTCCCTCAAACGGCCCCTTCTCCCGGATCTCCAGAAACTTGCCTACGAGCAGTGCCAATTGATCGAGGCCATCGACCACTGGCCAGATAAAGAGAACGGATATTGCATCGGCTTCAAAAACTGCATCGGCATTGCTAGCATGTTTCTTCCCAAGGATAACAAGCACCAGATGTGGTCGCGGCGGAAGATGGCATTGATGGAGCAGAACGGGTAACTATTTCCTCCCTACTTTGGAGCCTCCAACCTTCTTCCAATTCAACGGACTCGCTAATATGAATTTTTTTGTTACACAGCTACATAATCGCCCCGAAATTCCGCGCTGGTATTGCTGCTATCTGGCAACTACCCGAAATCAACCACTGGTGGCTGCCTAATGATGAAGGGTATCATAGCATTGTGCGCGAAATCCGCTCTTTATCTGAAGAACGCCTGAGCCAACCGCGCGATGATTTCAGGGAAAATGTTCGCGATATGAAGTCGTTGTTTTGGAATCTGAATGTCGACGATCAGGATGAGCCGCATCAGGGTCCTAGTCCTTCTTCGAGCAGCCACAGTGGTCTTCAGCAGTAGACTGCTTACTACCAACATCCCTCGGCATAACCTTTCTTTCGATCGCAACAGTGTTCCTGTTCTGCCACCGAAGTACCCGTCCAGAAAAAAAAACATTTTTTCCCTACGATGCCTTCTCATTCCGTCATGTCCTATCCTATTAATCCGCCTTATCCCCCCTACTAATACCCTCGTCTGCCTCCGTTCCTTCCTTTTGCAATGTCGCTGCATTTTCTCGGTTATATCATGACTTGATGTGTACATTTAATTATACCCAATGCCCAGAAACGTGCGCATAAAAGTGAACCTCGGGTTTTAACAACTGGTTCTATACACCTGTGTCTTCTTGTTCTATTGCTTCTTTTTTTTGCCTTATTAACCTGCCATCAGTGGGGAGGGGTGTTGATAAAGGGTTGTTTTGGGTTTGGATTGTGTTTTTTGTGCTATAGAAGAATTTAAAGGTTGGGTTGGGGAGTTTATTGATCCTTTTATGCCTATCTGTGCCAAGTGAAGTAGACATCTGTTCTAGCTAGTAGTGGAGCGGGTCGGCTTCACTTTCGTGCGCTAGGTCGGAACTAGCAGATCGAGGAGGGAAGCCGGAGGAAGTCAGTCGATGACGGCAGAGCCCACGGCCGAAAGAATAGAACGAAGTGAGAGAGGTATATTCGACATCTAAGCAAAGACGTAGATGATACGATGAAGCAATATAGGCGCCTAACCCTCAATGAGGTTCGGACATCTTTCTTTTTTCACGTCCATTCTAGTCTCTCTGGTTACCAGAGTCTGGAATAAAGAATGTTGGAGCACTTCGTAATACCTTGCTTGGCGGTCCAAGGCTCCCCAGTGGAGTTTATTTTAGGTGTCGAACATCGCAAGAGCCGGCTGAAGGTTCGTGTCCAAGAGAGAATATTATTCAGAATTCGGGGCTTTTAGTCTCACATGTTCTTCGTCAACCGGGGCAATAAGTGATCTTTATTGGGCTTCCGGTACGGGGATACGTCGAAGAAGAGGACTAACTGTCTTCGTGGTATAGGTTGTTCATTTTTGAAGCTTTCTATCAATCACGCAGCGGGAGAAGTATCTCTGAGATCCCCAATAAGACAAATAACAGCAGCATGTCCTCCTAGTGTTAGCACACATCTCTTAATATTTTACAGCTCAAAGCCCTCCTCCATCTCCCAGTCATACAGAAAACGCGTTTGCACACTCCGGCCCTGAAGCGAATGGACACCGATATCCACCGTCTCGCCAGGAACCAAATCCACAAAATTGTCTTCGAAAACTGCATCCTCGCCTAGTTCGGTCATGGGCACGGAGAGCACCACTCCTTTCACAGGGGCGTTTGCACTGACGAAGACCCTGTCGCCCAACTCCGAAATTCTAGTATTGATAAGTAGATCTGGAGAAAGGTGTAGCAGCCTGAGGGGCTCAGGCCAAGAAACCCAACGTGCAAGACGCTCAGTGGTGTCACTATCATCTATGTAGGCGGCAACGACAGTGTTGTCCGGATCTGGGATATTGATGCTCGTGATTTCGGTTGTTCGATTAGGTGGAAGCACCAAGTTCTGCTCTTCAACATTTTTGGGCAGTGAAACGCGAGAGCCAGATCGAATATCATAGGCGCTCAGTTTAAGAGTTGCTTTTCGTGGCTCCAGAGTGCCATTCACGGCCCAGACGTCCAAGGCATGCTTTTCTGGTAGATACCCAGTCACAATGTATGGTGGTTCTTTTGTAACGGTGCGCTCCATGCCGACGACGAATTTCCCTAGAGCTCTTTTCGTGACATAATAGGCGGGCTTGCGCTGCAAGTCAACATCTACCAAGGCCCAGCTAGAGCCCGGCCAGATATCATTCAGCTGCCACACAAGCACCCCAGCGCAATATTCTTGCTCAGGGCCTCGGAATTCTCGGCGCCAGCAATTGTACGCGTATGCCATGGCATCGGCTTGCAGGAACTGAGTGCAATAGACGAAATCTCGGAGTGGGTTCATGCGGAAACGGAAATTCTCGCCCATGTACATGGGATAACGGCGAGTGTGCCCGGGTCCTTTGTCGTGGATGTCAAAGGTTCGGGATTGGGCGTGCCTTTCCGAAGAATCGGTGATGGCTCGGTGCAGAGTGCGCAAGGAGGGACAAGATTCAAATCCAAATTCGCTGATGAAGCGAGAAGTATAGTTCTTGTAGTCTTGGTAGGGTGACAATTTTCCATGCCAGACTTGAAATTAGACTGGTCAGCTTTTTTTGTTTTCATTCGTCTGATTTGAGAAAACTCACCGTCCCAGATATGCGTGTCTCCCACAGTGGTGTCATTTGAATAAGATCCACCGTAAGGACTACTCCTCCAGTATGGAACATCACCGCCCAGTTCCTCTACCAGACGAGGAAGTAATCTCTCATAGATTTCTCTGGCTGGGAAATCTGTCTGATCCCACGGTCCTTTTTCGTCCGTCATATCAAGTTCCCAGCCCCATCTTTCAGCCAGTAGGTAATCTTCATTATTGCCCGCCCAGAGTACCAGGCTCGCATGATGGCCCACACGCCTCAACTGATCCTCCGCTTCCAATTTGACGTTTTCCATGAAATCTTGGGAAGCCGGATAGTTGCCACAGGCGAAGAGGAAATCCTGCCACACCAAGATCCCTTCTCGGTCACAGATGTCGTAAAAGTCGTCGGTTTCGACGATGCCTCCGCCCCAAACACGGATCATGCTCTGGTTCCCGGACTTTGCAAGTTGCAGCCAGTCTGAATAGCGCTGGCGCGTCATGCGTGGTAGCATGAAGTCTCCAGGAATCCAGCATGAGCCACCCGCAAATATGCGGATATTGTTGATCTCGAAGACAAATGATGTTCCCTCCGCATTCTGAAGTGAGTGTTGGAGTAGTCTAAGGCGACGAAGACCAATCGATTGACTTCTGCTGTCTTGTTTGGGAAGCCGGACAGTCACGGTGTAGAGAGGCTGGTCTCCGTAAGTATAAGGATACCACAATTCAGGGTTGTTGATGGTAATGCTGGCTTCAAATCGGGTACCAACTGCTTTCAGAATGTGGCTCTGAATACGGGACCCAGCAGGAGCAAGCAGTTCAAGATTGACTTCTTGGTTCGGAGAAGGATGCTCAACGCTCCCTTTGACGTTCAAAACTGCCGTCTTCAAATCTGCCGAAACCTCTTGGCGAATGAGAAGCTCATCAATTCTGGTCTCAAAGATCTCGAGATAGATGGGCTTCCAGGGGCCCGAAGTATTGACCGCCGGTCCCCAGTCCCAGCCCTGCAATTGTGTCAGCCCTACCTCAACCCTGTGACCTGGCGCATACGGCCAAGCATGGCAGGACAACCTACCCAATGGTACTGCGCTTTTCTCAGAAACAACCTCTCTGGACCACCAAAATGCACATCCGTCTCGTTGCCCTTATATCCAATGCGGCTTTTTTCCTCTCGTGAAATCGCAGGCGCATTCTTGAAACGCAGCTCCAGCGAGCTTTTGCCCTCAGCCCGTTTCAAAAGTTCAGTGACATCGACCCTATGCGCCAGATGCATATTTTTGCTTGCCAGAATATGTTCACCATTGAGGAATACATCAACGACTGTGTCTAAGCCCTCAAAGACAAGAACGGCGTGCTCATTGGGATTCGAAAGGTTGAGATTGGGTATCTCCGACGTACAGTACGTCCAATCCGCCTCGTTGACCCAAAGGCATTTTGTTTCATTCGAGTCGATGTATGGGTCCGGAATGAGCTCGTGGTGAAGGAGATCAATATGAGCGACGGTCGGGAACTGGGCAACAGGCAGAAAAGAAGAGGCCGTGGAGTTGTTGAGGCTGCTGGCCTGTTTGAACTTCCAGCCTTGAGTGATTTCAATTCTCTTGAGTTCCGCCATCTTTCAAATGCGCAGTTTGCAGTCTAGATCACAAAATCTAATGCCGCTTCCAATTGCAGGCGACCATAAAACTGATGACAGTGACAGCTATATATATGCCTTGAACATCACTAATGTGATTCTAGAAGCTGGGTGCGGGGCGGAGCACCTATAGCGGGCAATTACTTAACTGAGTATGATCGTCGCCGCCTCCATAAACTTCTCTCACGTTGTCCGGACCCGTAAATGTGGAGATGCGATCAACAAAACCCCAAGTGACCGAAAGAACTCATTACCCGATCACGTGCTCGCGTAGCTCCCTGTTCGTAGACGGCCGAGATGGGCCTATAGATGAACGTTAGTATAAGAATGTCTTCAATGAGACGTTGCAGATTACAATTGCTCTGAATCCCCTTCTTAATCCGACTCACCTCCCTCCATGGCTGGAATTGCTATCTTAGGAGCCGGCATCTTTGCCACTGATGGTAATTTTTCCACTTTTGAATAACAACCCTCGTCACTAACACTTCAAAAAGAGCATCTCCCGGCTCTTGTTGCGAACAGGGCAAACCTCAAAGCTATCTACTCGCGTTCGAAAACTTCCGCTTTGACATTGGTTGACGAAGCAAAGAAGCTTGGTGTTCCGGATGTTGAGCTCTATTCAGAAGACACCGCTGGTCACACGCTGGACGACCTTTTGAAACGCAAAGATATCGATGCAGTCGTCGTTGTTTTACCGATTCCTGTCCAACCAGACATCATCCGCCGTTGCCTTGCAGCTGGAAAGCATGTGTTGTCTGAGAAACCGATCGCGAAAGACGTCCAGACTGCACGCGTGCTGATTGAGGATTACAAGAAGCATTACGCCAAGGACGGGTTGATTTTCAGCGTTGCAGAGCAATTCCGTTTCATGCCTGAATTTGAGCTTGGGCGAAAATGGGTTGTTGACGAGAGAGCTATTGGCAATATTACACAGCTTCACCTCAAGATATGGCGCAATCAGGGTCCCACTGGAAAGTACTATGAGACTCCATGGAGAAAGATCCCAGAATACCAAGGAGGCTTTCTGCTTGATGGCGGGGTTCACCATATAGCAATGCTTCGCTATATTTCTGGGCAGGAAATTGTTGAGACTCAAGGGTTTTCACGCCAAGTCGCTGCTCACCTGCCGCCTCTTGATACTGTCAATGCAGGAATCCTCCTTAGCGGTGGTGGAACCGGTACCATCTCGATGTCATTTTCGTCCGCAAAGCGAGCCACTGAGTTTACCATCATTGGGACGCTAGGTACATTTTTCCTGACTGATGGTCCTGATGGTTTTACCCTAAGCCTTGAGCGGATTTCGGGTGAAAAGAGCAGTGAAACAATTAAGAGCAAAGGTGTGGAGCTCGAGATCAAGGCTTTCCTAGACGCTGTGAAGATGGGGAAGGCACAGTCTCGTGCCGGACCAGAGGAGGCACTAAATGATTTAGCCATTATTGAAAGCTTGTGCTCTGGTGAACGCACTGTTAACTTATATTAGACGTTGATAGGTCATATATTCTTTGCAGAAAATGATGTTTTACAAGATGAATGTTTCTCTAAATGCATTTAAATTCGAAATGTGGCGTCTCCAATTAGAAACAAAACCAAGCTTGTCCAGCTTATCTCAATTGAGCAATACAGGAAGTATAAGAATTGCGCACTTGAGATCACTCACTGGCCAACTGTCGGCACATAATAAGGATTAACATTAGTAGAGTCTATACCATAATTTTGCTTAAAGATGATGTATATTGTCGGCCGCGATCACCCCTATTTAACTTTCTGGTTAATTCAAGCATAAGCTATTGACTCACTCGCTGACTGAAAATGCTAGTAAGTACTATGTTTAACTAGGTTAACCTCTGCAGTCAGAATGCTGGATGGGAGTACTAGTAGCATTGACAAGAGGCATGAAACGTAGGAGAAATTCAATAGTCTTTCCTCAAAAATCCCTAAGCCAGTCAGATTCCTCCAAATTCAAAATATACCTACTATTTCGAATCCCAGCATCAACTCTCACCAGGCTTCCCCAGTCTCTAAACGAAAATCACGTGGGTGGGGGCCATAACCCAAATTCCACGGTATCTTCTCCGCCACGAATTCTCCATCCCTTCGTCTTGTCAGCATTCAGATCTCTTGCATAAGTGTTCTATTGAATTTTGTTATGGTTTGACGCCATGGCACCAGAGCGAGAGATTCAAAGGCGTGCTAAAACTGGTCAGCATATCACCCTTGTTGCCTTGGCATACTACACTACTGACTATATTGCGCCCAGGTTGGTAAGTTAATCGCAATTCCAGATACTTACCCTTGGAATTTTGGCAATCCGATTGTAGTTGACAAGCAAAGCCTCACGTGTAGAAGACGGCATATGAAATGTGTGTTCTTCCTTTCAAATCACCAACTTGCGTTGAATTCGCTGACTTAGTGCCAACAAAAAGGCGACGAACGAAAACCTCAATGTCAGCACTGTGAAATTGGTCGCCGTGATTGTCAGTATGACACAAGGCGAGGAAGTGGTGGAGAGACTAATGGTGGATTTCGATTCACATCGGACCATGTATGGCTTGACACTCCTTCAGAAAGTGAGTCAGTCCTTTCATGGAATTCTGAGCACTCACGGTATTCTGAAACATCGACATAGTCACATTTGTACACTCAGTTGATGTGAGCTATGATGGAGATGAAACGAGGAACTCAAATCCTCCCAGCTCTCCACAACTTACGATATCGCACAGCAGCACCTCGCCAAATATGATGATCGATGGTAGAGCATCTAACCCTCTTTTTTTCAATTTATCTTTGGCTGATCAGAAATGCAGATTTTGAAGCCTATGGAGGAATGGCTGATATTTCAGTAGGAGAAAATACAGTCCTGGCATTGACTCCGGGCCCGTCCGTTGATACTATCAGATATGCGGATCAACATTCCACACCAAATAGCAATATCATGGACTCTCTCGATCCAGTTCAGGCCCTGACCCGCAGGAGAATATCTGGGTCGACAATATACAAACGAGGCCCAGCGGAGCCGCTCAGCGATCCATTGATTGCCCGCCTCCTCAAGCATTACGTGAATAACTTAGCCTGCTGGGTATGTTAACTGACTATATTAATAATCACGCTGACGGTAACCAGCTTGATGTTAACGATCCGCTGCGTCAGTTTGAAACATTTGTGCCTTATTTAGCCCTCAGCTGCCCGATTCTACTATACGCTATTCTTGCATTTTCTGCATGTCACCTGAGTCGACGTGATGGGACATGCGACGAGCATTGTGCCGCCCATTATCATGATTTATGTGTCCAAGGCCTAATTCCGGCTTTAGCAGATCCTGCTACAGCCATGGATAACGCGTTGCCGATATCCACGGTCGTGCTCCGCATGTATGAGATGATGAGCTACGAAACTGATCACCAGCGCCACTTAAAGGGGTGTTCATCTCTTTTCACACACAACCGAAACAACATTGGGTTCCGAGCTCTAAAGCGGACTGCTTTCTGGACATATTTTCGAGAGGAGATCATGGTTGCTCTTGCTACACGCAAGCCAACCACTATTAACCCTAGAGGTTGGAAAGCTGATATAATATGGGGAGGAGACTTCGATTATGTAAAGACCGAGAAGATGACTATGTTGACCGCCGAGATTGTCGACTATTGTTTTTCTCGTGAAGATCAAACCGCTGATCTGGATAGGTGGATTGAATTTCAGGGCGAGGTCAACACGTGGAAGGAGACCTTGCCAGAGTCATTCCAACCTTTATATATCATTGAGGACAGTGAACCCTTTCCTGAGATATTGTACTTAGGTACTTGGCACAGTATGCTGTTATTTTCCAAGTTCAGACGCTCTGACACTGACTAGCCTTAGTTGTCTCGATGCAGTTCTATCATCTAGTGAAAGTGCTTCTTGCTCTTCACAATCCACATCAAGCGAGCGGTATAGATTTTCTGCATTTTGCAAGAGGGATAGAAGTAAGTACTGTCTGCGTTGTAGAGAGCTTGCTAATACCCCAGAAGGCTGAAATTATGAGACATACCATCCAATTATGTGGCATGACAAAAGCACTCGGAGACAATCATCCTGGCGCTCTCGTAAATGCGATACAACCACTTGTCATATGTAAGTGCTTGCTCGGGGACCAGCACGGCGTCCGTTAATGATAAGAGTAGGTGGTCGAAGCTTGAGAAACGCTGATGAGCAAGCCGAACTTATTCGAATCTTGCGAAGAATCGAGCAGGTGACAACATTGGGCACTTCCCAGGGCATACAGTCGCTGCGACAGTCATGGAATTTACATATTGACTTTTAAATTTTGTGAGATGGGCATGGATTCGCCGTCCATACAGTACCTATAACCAACGAATTCCACAATCCTGCAAGACCGGTTAGTCCAGGTTCTGAAAACAATTTTTAGCCCATGCTGTGGCATCCAACTAAGAGCAATGTGAGGATAAGATAACAGTATTAGTTTGGAAAGAAAGTGAAGCTATTACAATGAGTAATGAATGACTCTGGTGGAGCCGAAGTAACTAACCCAACAGGTGAGGATGTTAGACTAGTTTGAAAGTAGCTAATATCATCTCGGCCCCACTCCGTGACGAATTTGGACAGAGCAGTCGTTCGGCTGCATCCAAATTCGAAAATCTGCCGAATCAGGTGATCGTTTAGGTCTTTTATTTGGTTCAGACACTTACATATTATCCACTGCTCCCTCTGTTGTACCAGGTATTGACTAAATTCTATATCCACTCCTTCATACTCTATGATAATGCGGCCCTTTTCGGTAAGCAAAACAAGAGGTGACTATGGAGCCGGCAGATGCTATTTCCAAAATATCGGTGCTATAAAGCGGCAGGTCTGAACGACAAACAGTCACTATTTCTTGCAACTAAATTTGCCAACGCTCTTCTTGTCATTCCATCTTTCCAATTTCAAATCGCAATACCTATCATGGCTCCTGATCCTCTCGTCTTCACCGATGACTACCTTCGGGTGCGCGCTGTCCCGACTTGCCACACATCTACCTTTGTCTGGTGCCACAGCAAAGGTCAGCGTGGAGGCGACTGGAAGTTTATGGTCGAACCGCTACGAAAGCTCGGGCACTGCAACCACATCGCATTTATCTTCCCGTATCTCGATTACAATGAGACGAACAGTGAGAGCGGCATCTCTAACAACGAGGCTTTGATCCAGAAGATTGTACAAGAGGAGATTACCAAGGGCTGCGATCCAGGCCGCATTGCGGTCGGCGGATACAATGAGGGCCTGGAAGTTGCTCTGAGGGCGACTCTGGCTGACAACAACAAAATTGGAGGTATCCTGGGCATTACAGACTCTCTAAACCTGACGGATGAGGTCAACGTGCTCAGGAAAACTGCGAATGCAAAAACTCCGGTGCTGTTTGTTGACCGTATGCGGACAAAGGGCACTGGTTCCGAGAAGCTCAAAGCAATCGAACAGCCAGTGACGGTTGTTGATGGAAGCAAGCTTGTTTCGTCTGATACTCAGCCCGTTACTCAAGAGGTACGATGATTTAACTTAGCGTGGAAAACAATGCTAATAGATCATAGGAACTTGAGCGCTTAGATGTCTTTATACATGAAACCTTGCCGGTTGAGATGGCCTGAAGAGTTAGACTTAGCTTTTTATGAATTCTTTAGTCTCCAATTCTAATTTTTAGATTCTAAGCATACTGTTGTCCCGTCATTTCTATGCTGAGATCCAAATTTCTAGTAGAATTCAAGACTATGTTATAATTAGTTATTCTAATATTGATAGTTAAGCTATTTTCTCCGAGTATCCTGACTGATTCTATCATTTACAGCAGTTTAATTATACTGAAAGGAGCGGGAGAGTGGGCCACATATTGCCTGAAGCAGGGCCTTAGGTAGAATCTTATCATATTGGATGAAACTTTCGAGCAAGCCAGCCTTGCTTTACAAACGTGTATACCAAGAGACATCTCCATTGTTACATAACTTTGCTGTATACTGCTTTTATTCCAATATTTAAGCATTAGAATCAGTATTATCAACATTGAGGATGGTTCCATCACCTGCAACACTGATACTTTTCTTTTCCAGGCTGGCCTTCACAGGATTCTTGGAATTGAAGAGGTCCTCAATTTCTTCCAAACTCCAGCCTCTTGTTTCAACAAAAAAGAAATAGATCACAACAATGCCGAATGCATCCCAAACGACATATAGAATGTAGTACCTCCAGCCAGAGTTTGCAATGGCGATCGGGGGAACATATGTGTTCATGACCTTGACGGCATTGTTCATGAATGCCAGGTAGGCCATACCTTTGGCCCGAGAGTTATAAGCGAGAACCTCTGCAGGGTAGAGAGTTTGCATGGGGGTCTAATTAAGACCAAGGCGCAGTTAGCATCAAACAGATTGAAAGAAAAGAGGAATCGAGTGAAATTACCCATCCGAAGGCAAAAGCCACTAAAAAGACATAGAGAAACGCAATGCCAGTCCCACCTACAGCGGGCTTCCCGGCCTGTTTTGCGGTGCATGCTGTAATGACGGCCATGGCAATTGTCATCCCAAGGCTGCACCATATTAGAAGCTGTCGTCTGCCGATCTTATGTATCATCTTAAGGCCACAGAGCGCTGCAACTGCCATGACGACCGTCTGGATTGCGTTGAGCAATAGTTGGGTAGAGACATTGGTGATTCCGGCAGTTTTTACTATATCATTAGATTAGTACAAAGGGCTCAAAATGTACTATTCTAGAATAATTACCCATCAGAGGGAAATAGTAGCTTGTTGGTGGCAGGTCAAGTTCACCAAACCAGGAAATGCAGGTAACCAGAAAAGTACGGTAACGTGCAGCTCGGGTGTTGAAGAGTGACCTGAAATCCCACCATCGCTTGTCAGAGCCGTCCTGTTCAATGACTTCCAGCATTTCTTGCAGCTCGAGATTTGCGACAAGTGCGTTTGGGTCTCCGTCTCCGTGGTACTTGATGAGAACAGCTCGAGCTTCAGGCTCACGTCCTTGGCTAACATACCTGTAATTTCTAATCAGTTTGCTGTCAAGGAAAAATGAGACAGTCCCTACCATCGAGGGCTTTCCGGAATAAACCAAACAGCGCATAGAATGATGACAGATGGAAGGCCTTGAACAGCAAGAGGAAGTCTCCATGGGTACGAAAGGGTCGTATTTGCATGATTGAGACCAAACTCAAGCCACGTTGATATAATCGTGCCCAGAAAGAAACATACTTGGTAGCCACCCGTAAGTTGAGCTCGATACTTGGGATATGACATCTCAACAACGTAGCTAGGACCAGCCGTTTGAACCAACACAGCGCCCATTCCAAGGATGAAGCGTCCTGTCATGAGCATGGCGAGGTTGGTTCCCACGGTTTGGAGAAGGGTGCCAATAACACAAATGGCTGACCCAAGGGTCATTCCTGCCCGGCGACCATACGTGTCTGTGCATGGCCCACCAAAGAACGAACCAGCGATGTTTCCGATGACATACACAGCTGCAACAAGGCCTTGGTTTTTGGTTGTGATGCCAAAGTGCTCAGTAAATTGTGGGATTGCAGACAGCCCTCCTGATTAGCTATCAGCAAGCTGTTAAGTATGGAAGGATTTCAAGCATACCAAAGGTCGTAGAATCGAATCCATTGGTGGCTGAGCATAAGTATCCAACAAAAATGCATGCGTATAGCTTTAAGAAGCTCTTTCGGAGGACACGAGGATTCTCCCTAACCAAAGCTGCCTGCATACGTGACTGGGTCATGTTTCTCTGCGTGGTAGGTTTGGTTGGGTCCTCATCGTGGACAACTTCTGGACGATCCATGGCGTGCTGGGTCTTCATACCTAAGAAAATCAAGAGGTGCAGTAGCGACTGAAGTGGAGAAGACTTTGTAGGCTAGGGCGTTGAGTGACTGCACAGCAAGGTCATATATGCTGCATTTTGTAAACCCCACTTCCCCATAAAATGATTCCCCAGAATGTTCCCGGCAAATCCTGCCGTGGAATTTCTCCCCACGATGAGACTAACACCCAATTGTGTCTTCGAAGAAGGGGCCAATTCACTGCGGAATCATCCCAATTTATCAAATAGCCGATCACGTGGAAGTGACCCGCCGCCGTTGGGCGCTAATCCTTTTCCTACAATCGGCTGAGTATACAACGATGACCAACGGCGACAATAGTTGCCGATGTCGGGTAGCATTACCGCTACCAACGTCAGTGGGCCCGGTAATTAACATGGCCAGAGCTAGCTGCAGGATTCCAGCCGAATCGCCATGATATTTTGTCGAACATAATTAATGTTGCAGACTTACAAAGTTCAGCGTATTCCCGATTAGGAATGCCTGCGGCGGTAGTGTCCGAAAGATGTAAGAGTATCAAAGCGCTGCAACTGTGAGACGCAATCCTGCTCTGACTTAGATTTATCCGACCAAATGGTGATGATCAGCATAAGTAAGGAAATAAATTGGACAGTAGGGCAAAGCAATTTGAACTCAAATAAAATTTGTCGTTTGGTTTTGATCTTCTCAACTTTCACATTTTTAATGTCAAATAATCGGTGAAATGATTTCCTTAGCGAAAGCAGTAGGAGTTTTCCTATGTGTTACAGCCAGCACGGCTCATATAATCTATGCCGGCTTCAATGAAGGTGCAACTCTTGTTTGAATAGTTACAAAAACAGAGGCTTATGCACGTACTCAGCTGGGGGCGAGTTCAATCCTAGTGTCTTACCCGGCACTTTTGGCACGGATTATGCTTTTATCAACAAAACCTACGTCCAATACTATATTGATCATGGGTGCAATACCTTTCGCGTCACTTTTCTGATGGTAAGTCTCTCCTATGTCTCTTCCCTTTTCCAGTCATAATATTTATCTACCAGGAACGTATGTGTCCATTGGAATACGGCTTAGGGCCGCATTTCAATGAGACCTATTTCGACCTGTACAAGGACGCTGTGGACTACATTACCACCCATGGGTCATATGTGTTGATTGACCCTCACAATTACATGCGTTATAACAACGCTTCCGATCAACCTTGGTCAGGCAGTGTGATCGGCAACACTTCTGATCCCAACGCCGCCACGACACAACAATTCGCCTCATTCTGGCACGAAATCGCTTCACGCTTCCGCTACAACCCGAACGTCATCTTTGGCATCAACAATGAGCCACATAACATGACCACGGAATTGATTCTGCGAAATGATCAGGCCGCTATAGATGCTATCCGGTACGCAGGTGCATTCCAGCTTGTTTTGGTGCCGGGAAATGGATTTACAAACGCCGAGATCTGGACCAACACCAGCGGTAATGGCCTGGAGCCGGGATCGACACCAAATTCAGAGATCATGGGCCACATCTTTGACCCCATTGATAACTGGGCCTTTGACATGCATCTATATCTGGATTACGACTTCAGTGGCACTCACCAAAAATGCGTGGGTCCTAACTTCGGCGTGAAGAACTTGCGATTAGTGTCTGACTGGCTTGAAAAGAATAACTTCACTGCATTCCTGAGTGAGTTTGGGGGTGGGTATAACAAGATTTGCTATGAGGCTCTGGACAATATGCTCTCATTCCTTGAAGAGCATCCCTCATGGATTGGTTGGACATACTGGGCAGCCGGGCCGATCTGGTGGAATAATAATGGCCAGCACACCCCCAGTGCCGAGCCATTTAATGGTGAAGGTTTCAAAACGACATGGCCAATTGTCCTGGAACCTCACGTTCGGAAGTATCAGCCCATCAAGCGCTTTGGTGTTTCCAGTAACTTCAAGAGGGAATTTGTCTGAATTATTCCATATGTAGATATGGAAATTTACACTGAAGTCAAGTCCTATCTTCTTCAGTATTTTTGGAATTTATTTCTAATTGATCTGGATGCCGGATGTTGTGTAAAACCCCAAGTTCCTGTCTGAGGATGAAATCAAGCCGTCTTACTCTGAATTACGACCAAAACAGAGCTCCAAGTAGTGATACTTCGATGCCCGGCTATCGGACACGCTATAATGGGTCCGGCTCTCGGGCCAGTATTGATAATTCCACTATTTAGTTCGGCTGCGGTGATGTAGTCTACCAGCTGCACCCAGCTGCAACCAGTATTGCAAAGTGCTACTTTAATATACGGACATGGAATTGACGATCTTACGCAGTTCCTTTCTAATGCCATGCCTGCCTACGTAAAAATTAGAGAGATTTTCTACAGTTACACTCCGCCCTGATCAGGTCTCCATTGCACAAAGGCTAAGCGGTATACATCATTACGAGGTATTAAAAATTGGGTTCGTGTTTTGTGTTTTACCTGGTCTACCCCTCTCCAGGCAGTTGCTACACAGTAAAATGAATATCATGATCTTCACGGCATTTTCTCCGCTCTAGAACAGGCAACCCCATGAGATGCTTGTATCTGGGTGGGTCATTCTGGAGTAACTCAATCGACACCTCCATCGGCATATTCCGCCGCAGGATCTCAGACCAGACTGAGATGCTCGGCAAAGCACACCAATTACCATCTGCGAATGATTCTATCCATGCATTATACAAGGTGGAAGTGTGGGGGTTAGACCATGAATCTTGGGAATAAACTTGACTAGTGCCTCCATTCAGGGTTTATATCAGGTTATTTAGTCTATACTAAACTGTCCGATAGCTAGATGTGGAAGTTGGATGGAAGATCAAATCTCGTTTACAATAACGCAAAACGAAAGAGAAGATGTTAATGAAAATGAGGGGTTGCAGTGTATCTAGGGAGTATTTAAAAGTCGATCTGTTCGACACGAAACCGATCTATCCAACTGCGAAACAACATTTTCTTGGCCAGTTACCATGTTAGCCAATCTACTACTACTGCTTTTTACAACTACCCTGGTCCATGGGACTTCCTATCATCCTCCAGTGAGCCCTGGTTATGGCGAATGGGCAGCAGCCTACGAGAAGGCCCGTCACTTCGTGTGTCAGTTGACACTCACGGAGAAGGTCAACCTTACTACAGGAGTAGGTACTGGTCAGACAGTCGGTTACTCTACTGGAATCATTCCCCGTCTCAATTTCCGGGGCTTCGCTGGTGATGATAGTCCAACTGGCGTTCGAGGAGCCGATTACTCGTCTGCCTTTGCAGCCGGGTTAAACCTCGCCATGTCATGGGATCGAGAATTGATATACACTCAGTCCTATGCCAATGGCGCAGAGCACAAGGCTAAGGGCGACAACAGTATCATGGCGCCGGTTGTCGGTCCCCTAGGCCGGGCACCGGAAGCTGGACGGAACTTTGAAGGCTTCTCACCCGATCCCTATTTGTCCGGGATTGCTTTCGGGGAAGCTGTTGCAGGCATGCAAGCATCCGGCGCTATTGCAGTGGGCAAACACTTTATTCTGTATGAGCAAGAACACTTTCGCGAGGTTGTCGAGTGGAACGAGTGGCACGCCGGCCCCAATATCACGGAACCCTACTCGTCCAATTGTGACGATCGCACATTCCACGAACTCTATCTCTTCCCCTGGTATGACGGCGTGAAGAACGGACTGGCCGGTGTGATGTGCTCGTACAACCAGGTCAACAACACGCAGGTGTGCCAGAGTGATCACCTCCTCAACGATATCCTCAAGGGTGAACTGGGTTTCCAGGGATATGTCACCTCAGACGACGGCTCGCAGCATTCAGGCGTCGACTCGGCTCTTGGTGGTATGGATATGACTGGTCCGGGCGAGACATCTCCTAACGGTGTCTCGGGACTGGGCGAGTCCTTCTGGGGCCCCAATTTGACGTTGTCTGTTTTGAATGGCAGTGTGCCTGAATGGCGGCTGGACGACATGGCGACCCGCATCATGGCTTCATACTATTATCTTGGCCAGGATGAGGACTATCCAGAACTTAATTTTGCTTCTGGTGATTTTGACACTTACGGTTACGAATATCCTAAGGCGGAGCTCGGCTGGCGGAAGATCAACGACCATCGCGATGTGCGCAAGAACCATAGCGCGATCATCCGCAAAGTTGGTTCCAACTCGGTTGTGCTGCTGAAGAACACAAACAACACTTTGCCACTTAAGAGTCCAAAGCAGATCGCAGTCATTGGCGAGGATGCTGGTCCTAATAAGTACGGTCCCAATGGCTGCCCAGATCGCGCCTGCGATCTTGGCACGGTGGCCATGGGCTGGGGGAGTGGCAGCACCAACTTTCCTTACCTAGTCGACCCTCTGTCTGCCATCCAGCAACGTGCATTGGCAGACGACACTGTTGTGCAGTATGTCCTGGATAACTGGGCCAAAGATCAAATTGGCGTGGTGTCCTCGCAAGCTAGCGTATGTCTGACATTCATCAACGCAATCAGCGGCGAGGGCTACCTTGAAGTCGATAAGAACTATGGAGACCGCAACAATCTGACAGCCTGGAAAGATGGAGACAATTTGGTCAAGCAGGTTGCCGCCAACTGCAGCCAGACCGTGGTTGTGGTTCACGCGCCGGGCCCCATACTCATGGAGGAATGGATCGAAAACCCGAACGTCACTGCCGTGCTCTTCGCAGGATTCCCAGGTCAGGAGAGTGGCAACTCCATTGCTGATGTTTTGTATGGCGATGTCAACCCTTCTGGCAAGCTTCCATGGACGGTGGGCAAGAGTCGCAAGGATTACGGCACAGATGTCCTCTATGAGCCAAACGGCCTCGTTCCGCAGCTGGACTTCAACGAGGGTCTGTTTATTGACTACCGTTACTTTGACAAGCACGATATCGAGCCTCGTTTTGAATTTGGATTTGGCCTCAGCTACACCACATTTGCATACAGCAAATTGCGCATTGAATCTGTGCCCGTGAAGGCCACCAAGTCTCTGCCATATTCCGCTACGTCTAGCACGGCAGACCCAACAATTTGTCCTAGCACCAGTCTCAATCCATCAGACTACACCTTCCCCAGCACTATCAGCTCGCTCACGGACTACATCTATCCTTACCTTGCTCCGAGCATGACGGTGACTACCAGTCTTACGACACCAACTGTCCCCGTGGAACGACAGACCCCACAAGCTCAAGGAGGCGATCCGTCACTGTACGACATTGTGTACAAGGTGCACGTGGATATTAAAAATACGGGCGAGGTGGCTGGCCAGGAGGTATCCCAGCTCTACCTTGACCTGGGTAATGGGGAGCCAAAGCGACAGCTCCGCGGGTTCCAGAAAACAATGATCCAGCCGGGCGACAAACAAGCCGTAATTTTTGAGCTACGTCGACGTGATATCTCAATTTGGGATGTTGTTCAGCAGAAATGGGTGGAGGTCACTAAGTTGGGTACGAATGTCAAGGTGTCTGTGGGTGCCAGCTCAAGGGATCTGCAGTTGCACGGTGTGATTCCGGCGAGATGAATCTCATCAAGGGTTGTATTGTCGGTCATGTAGAACACTGTGTCGAGGTATTGTGGTTCGAAGTGGATAGGTTTATAGTAAATCGTTGCAAGACGAGGAAGGAATTCGAGACATGACCGCAGCATAATTTCATAGTAAGCAAAACCAGAAGCTTAAGCAGCACGGAGGCAGTTGAACCCAAACAGGGCGCTAACCTTTTTTAAGTAATTGATGTATGCTTGTTATAGCGTTCCAAGAAAGGCGGGTAGAATGAGACTATCAGAAGGGCTAGACCTCACTCCTTTTTTCTATTTACTTTGCCGTCTTCAGGTCTACACCCCGGTTTCCAGGGCACCTCACCCGCCCTGACAATAGTCTCCAATCCACCAGCAAGTTCAGCACCAGGACCACCACCAAAAACCTCTCCGTCTACATCCTCACCCCACGGCAAGGCGTCAACATCCACATCCCATCCAAGCAAACAGCGCAGAATCACACCAGCGCCAGCCTTGCTCATAACGACGTTCATCTCCTTACACCGCTCGTCGCAGACACACTCGACACATCCCTGCGGCGAGAGACATGCACAGGCTTCGATGCGCACCACAGCCCTTCGAAGAAGAAGACTTACGAATTCAAAGGCCTTGCTTGCGATTCCCGAGCCGCAAGATCCGCCTTTGGCGTCGTAAAAGGTCAGACGGGCGGGTCGTTGTCTAGATGGTGGCTGGAGTTTCTTCTCTATTGCGTCGGAGTCATTGGCTCGGCGGAGAGATTTGCCGAGTTCCTTCTTTGCGACTTTGCATTCCGTGCGCACGTCCCCTGGAGAAGATATCACGAAGGACGGGAGAAGCGAGAGGACGGCGTGTTCGGCTGCGTGGATGGCGGCTGCGATGTTGAGGTGACGGGATTGAAGTATCTCGATGGCGCGCGAGGGCACGTCAAGCCACATGCCCTTAGTGAGGATGTCTATGGGCGGGTTATCGACAGCGACGGCGTCGAGGACGCGTCCACGCTTGTCGATTTTGAAGAAGCCATATACAACTGCGTGGATCTGGACAGACCCAAAAAACGCGCGGCAGGCATCTGCACCTGTACCCACCAGCCTCATGGTTTCGGTCTCGATGGGATCGATATCTGTGAAGTCCCGTTGCATCGTGTTCCAGTCAACATGGACGCGGGCGACTCGGGCGAAGTGCTGCTCTGCGTTAAGTTCTTTGACTAGGTATGTGTGTCCCTGGTGCAGGAAAATCCCGCCTTCGTAGATAGTGAAGAAAGCACGCGAGGCTTCGACCTCTTCGAGGACAATGTTGCGGTTGTTTGTTGTGTCGATTACCGCAAAGTGTGTGTCTTCCGTGTCGCGGATCGAGACACATCTTGACGGTTGCGGTCGAAAGCGTTCGTGGCAGTTGTAGAAGCCGAGACTATCTTTGACGAGACGTGTTGCTGCTAATACAAGCAGCTGCTCGCCGAAGTAGACACGGTCTTCGTCCGGGCGGATGGGCATCTCGAATGCTGCGCATTGGACGTGTCCTTCGAGGATGAGTTCATTTGACAGGTCAATTTGCAGTTCGCAGTTGGGCCGTGTGAAGAGCTCATCTGGATTCTGCATGTAATGCTGGTCTGTCGGGTATCTGTCCCCAATCAGCACAGAGAGGGAATCCTTGTTGCGTCGTCCAGCTCGGCCGCTTTGCTGACGCAGATTGGAAATCGAGTAGGGAAAGCCCAGCGTGATGACCGCGTCAAGGGATCCAATGTCAACCCCCAGTTCCAGAGCATTGGTCGCCACGATACCCATGAGTTTGCCATCAAACATTTCCTTCTCGATCCGACGTCGATCTTGCGGGCTATATCCGCCTCGATAGCCCATAACCAAGTTGCCAACTTCCACTCTCTCGAGGGCCTGGAACTCGCTTCGCACTGCCTGCAGGAGGATCTCGCAAAGCTTTCGGATCCGACAGAATGCAATCACTCTCACTCCGCGCAGTATCAACTGACAGAACAGACGTGCAGTCTCAGCAACGCTGTCTCCGCGCCCAGAAGTGGGATCTCCGAAGTCCTTGTATGGGGTATTCCAACAAATAAACTCCTTGCGGCCAGAAGGAGACCCATCAAAATCCACCAATTTCACATCCTCCACACCGAAAATGGATTTCATGTGTTCTTCAGGATTTGCAACCGTAGCAGAACAAGATATAAACTTGACATGCCGATTACCCACCGCAGCACAGATCCGGCGAAGCCGACGCATCACAAACGCGACATGCGACCCGAATAAGCCATTGTAGACATGCAGCTCGTCGACAACCACAAACTTGAGGTTCTTCAAGAACGTGCGCCATGAGCTCTCCTGCGGCAGAATCGTAATGTGTAGCATGTCGGGATTGGTGAAGATGATGCGCGCTTCGTCGCGGATCATGTTCCGACTTCCCATAGGCGTGTCCCCGTCGAAGGTCTCAACCATGGTATGCTGTAGGCCATTCATATACTGCAGCAAATCCATCATACTGCGCCTCTGATCTTGAGCTAGGGCCTTTGTGGGGAATATGTACATGCCTCTGCTGTTTGAATCATTTTCCAATTCATGCAGCATGGGGATCTGGTAAATGAGTGATTTGCCGGAACTCGTCGAGGTGGAGACAATCACGTTATGTCCTTCATACAAGTGATTGATCGCCTCTGCCTGGTGGGAATAAAGCTGCGTAATGCCTTTCATGTTGTATAGGGCATTGACAAGGTCCTGCGAGAGCTGAAATGAGAGGTCCCCGTACACGGAAGGCTGAGCATCAAATACCCGGTGGCCCTCTGGCACAATCTGGGCATGGTACCATTCCATCTCCCGGATCTCAGCAATGATCTCAGAAATGGACTTGCGTTCTTTGGGGATCGTAGCAGGCGGCTTGGCCGCGGTGGCGGGCGTATTTGTCCCACTATTAGGAGGTGTAGGTAGGAAAGCGTCTTTCTCTTGTTCCAATGTCTCCACAGGATCAATAACCTGATCCTCACACCGGATCAGGAATGCGTCGATAGCGTCCGAGAACTTGGAATTGCGCTTCTCGATCAAAGCAAGCATCTGCTTCTGACTGTAGACCGGCATCTTCAGATCTTCATCTTTCATTCGTCGCACAGGCTTCGACGGCTCCCCCGTCTTGGGATGCTGCACTTCACGCTTCAGATCCCGATCCACAAACTCAAACAACAAGACATCCTTCCTGGGTTCCGTGGGTGCGTCGGCGTCATCGTCGGCATCATTTACATCCGGCGCAGATATCAGACCAGGGCTCTTGTGCAGACCATACTCAATCGTCTCTTGCTCTCCCGCAGTCAGAACCTCCAGCTTTGCCTCATCCACATACTCGAACCGCACGGCCCGCGGAACGAGCACTCTGACCCGCGCCACATCCTCGATCGTGAGTTCGCGCCCTTGACCAAGTTGTGCCTGAACTGCCTTCTTGATATTGTCGAATGTGGTGGCAAAGTGCTTGCGCGTGCAGCAGAAGGTGTAAACGAGATTCAGGGCGCGATGGATCTGGGATAGATGTTTGAAGGGCTCTGGCCATGGCGCGGATGGCGTTCTCTTCTTCGGGGGTTTGGATCGGGGATTCGACGATCTGGAATTTTTCGTCTGTGTTGTTTTCTTTTTCTTGCTGTTTTCTGGGGGAGGATCTGGGTTTGGGGGTCTCGTTCGCGTCGCTGTTCCGGCGGTCGAGTCTAGCGCTGTGCGCGACGACGGGATGGGCACTGTGAACGATGGCCCGCAGTCTTCATCTTGGTCGCTTCGTTTTCGCTTGAGAGATGATGCATCTAGAGCGGAGTCTGGCATGAAGCCGGCCATGACAATACTCCATCCTGCTTGCCCGGGAGTTGGTTGGTTCCCGGGCTGTCGCGCAATCATCGATCATCGAGAACGCGGAGTCACGTGCTCTATTTAGCCTTAACTAGACAACAAAGAGAGAGTCAGATTGTTAGTTACAGTGCGTTGCAAAATTTACTAACTTATCCTTCTCCTGATTACTCAAAAATCTACGAACATACTTTTACGCCCAGCGGAATCGGCCAGTCTAAAATATCATGCTAAACACCAATCGCCATCGGCCCTCCCGACTACGACCTGACCTGGGCAAGGTACTGTAATGTTGTTGCTGGCAAGAGAATCTTTCAAGTCCAACATGTATTCGTACTTGCTCGTCGCTAACAGAACAGAGTGTTTTCATCAATGCAAAATGGGTAACACCACCTTCCACCAAACAAAAGACTATAACGCGCTCCCCGTGTAAACAAAACGTCTTCGGCCCTCTTCGAGTTGTAAGTGTAGTTGGTCGGTCTTCATTTCTAAATCTCGTCCATGAGTTTCTTCAGGGTCTCATAAAGTTCCTTGGTGGAGGACTCGTTTCCAGTCTGTGTGAAGTATTAGCACCGCGGCCAAGACAACTAGAGAAAAGACATCACTTACTCGCAGGAGCAGGGGAACGGTACGTCCCTCCTCCAGACTAGCCAGCAGAATCTGCTTGGAAGCCGGTTCGGCACCCTCTGCATCGCCAAAGTTCATGCCCTTGAAGACGGGGCTGTTCAACATCACTCGGAAAGCACCGTCAGCGCGCATGATCATCCGAGCGCCGAGCTTTCCGTCGGAGTCCTTCCTTGTGTTGATCTTGAATGTGCCGATGCCACGCTCCTTCCACTCTTTCTCGGAGAAGTGGAACAGCTTGGCCTTGCATGCGAAAAGATTCTGTTCCTCTTCCTCGCCGGTCTCAACTGTGATATGGGGTCAGTACATGTCATCTAAGCAGAAAGTAGGTAATGCATACTGGTCTGCTGGAAGAATCGTTCGTCGGTCTTTTCTTCCTCAAAGGCGCCCGCTGTAGACTCGTCTTCATCTTCGTCGTTGCCAGTCTCCTCGTCTTCGGATTCCTCAGCGCCGAATGCCTTGGCCTTCGACTCGCCAAAAGTGGTTGGAGCGCTGGGAGATGCAAAGCTGGTGAGACCGCCCGGTTTGGCTGCTGCGCCAAATCCACCGCCGACACCAGAGAAACCGGAGCCAAGGCCACCAAATCCCGAGGTTTTAGGCGGAGACGCAAGTCCACCCTTGGGAGTGGAATCTGTTGACTTGAAGACAGACGAAGAGGATGCGCCCAATGAACCGAACGGAGACTGCGCGGAGCTAGCAAAGCCCGCCAAGCTGGACGATGCAAAGGCAGACGTAGACGCGGGCTGTTCTTTAGTGGTGGCCTTGGCCTTCGCAGAGCCTAAAGCAGCAAATGGCGAAGTTGCAGACATGTTTCCGAACGCACTGGCAGCGAAAGCCTGCCAGAACCTCAGTAGGCAATCAAAAACGACTCAGGAGATACATACCTTGTCAGTAGCCGCTTTATCGCGCTCCTGAGAGTTTTCACGATGCTTCTTTTTCTCGGGCTCCTCTCCACTCGTAGATTTCTTGCCGGAGGATGCGGTCTTGGAGAGGTCGTTAGTGGTCGAGGTCCCGGCGTCGCGCCTAATCGATCGGTCCGTTTCAAGCTGCTCTCGGCTTCGTTTCTTCTTCGGGCTCGTAGGATGCGGGTTCGTGGGGACTTTGGGGTCAATCGCGGGATCCTGTGAGGGTGGGTTGGCATCATTCTCATAATAATCATAAAGCACAGGCTCAGAGAATTCTCTGTGAAACTCAGAGTCTTCCCGTTCGGATGAAGTGATAAACTGGGTAATGCTTTTTTGGTACGGACTGAGGGCATCTCCAGATGGGGCTGTGGGTCTTGGATGTCCAGAAGAGATGACTGCTCCTGCAGGCTCGAATGGCAAGTTCCGTTCCTCGGTGTTATCGTCTATCACGGTGGGAAAGTATGTGGAAAGACTCTCGACGCCCGCATCCTCCAGTGGCCGATATTTAGGCCAGAAGCCACATTCGCTATCGTCGCTGGTAGGGCGGGCACAGAGAGGGGAAGTAGACTCCTCCTTCACAACCGGCTCATCGCCTTCGTCATCTGTGGCCCAGAAATTGTGCAGGTTCTCTTCGTCTGCCGCACAAGGTTCCGGAACCACAGGAGCGGGAACAGCATGGGTAGAAATCACAGGAGCAGAGGAAGGATCGGGATAGAGAGCCCAGGAGTTCGCAACAAGACCAGAAACCCAGTACGCAAATGCTTCATAACGCTGCTGGTCCGATAGCTCGGCCCTTGCGGTAAAGAGAAAGGTGGAGAGAAAAAAGCCAAGCTCAAGTCCTCGGACAAAACCAGAGGTCCCGGGATTCTGAGAGTTCTCATAGTTCTTAGAACTGACGGGGGTGGGGTTGCCAAAGCTGGCTGGAGATCCCTCCGCAGCATTGACAGGGTTGGCAGAAGGGGCGGCCGCAGCATTCGAGTCGTCCACGCCGAAGCCAGGAATGTGTTGGGAAGAAGAAGAAAAATTGGCACTCACGTTGGGGTTATTGGCTTCGGAGAGCTCGGTGTTGTCATCATCGGATTCGCTGTCGGGGGCAGCCTGCGAAATTGTGTTGGCATAATCATCATCATCGGTTTCAATGCTCTTCTGGATGGGGAGTTCATCCGAGAGGGGGAAAGGGGCCCTTAAAGGAGCCGGGGATCCGTCGTCTTCCAGGCCAAAGGTGTGGGTCTGCGGGAGGATGTAGGTGCAAGGAAGGGCAGGATATGTGGTCCAAGGAACAGGAGGAGGATGACGCTGGGGAGGGCTCATGGCCAACTTGGGCCGGCGTCGAGGATCACAGGAACTCACTTTCGGGGTGTCGGCACTGGACTGCGCACCCTTGTTCTTGGCGATCTTGGAAGGCTCCGACTTCTCCGGGGTGCAATCGCGTGAGCGCTTCCGTCTGGCGTTGGGGCTGGAGTTCGGGCTACTACCAGCTACCTCATCGTTGTCGTCGCGGGACTCTTCGAAGGAGCGCTTTCGGCGTTGGCTGCTGGACCGGCTGTTGCCGCCGTTCTCTTCGGGTTGCGCCTCCGAAGGGAGCGGAGCAGACTCGATGGTGGTTTCTTTGAGCTGCTTGCGAACTGGACGCTCGCCGTCGTTCTCGGAAGGAGGGGACTGCGCCTCCTCGGCTGTGAAGAATCAGAGTTAGCACGGAGCCGGGTAAAGGTTGGCGCATGTGGAAGAGTCCTGCATGGAGATGTGCATGGAGGTGAAATCAACCGGGCCACTTACCTGTCAGTCTCGCCATGGCTCTTGGCTCAGTCTCTGCTTGGTTGTGATATCAGCATGAGCTTCCCTTGCGGCCTAATGTCAACCATGGGGGACGTACCGTCAGAGGCCACCACGGCACTGGTTATGAAGGGTTTGCGAAAGGTAGAGTCGAGTACGAGGTACAAGAAAGGTGAGGAGCCGGTAGGAGGAAGACGGTAGGAAGGGTGGGTTGTTGTGGTTGTGTGTGTAGTAGAGCCGCCGCTCAGACCGGACGGGCCGAATCCGAGCCGACTCAATGACACAGAGGGATCGATTCAGATGACGGAAATAGGGGAGGATCGGGACCAGCGATGAAGCAGGATCGGAACCAAGAGCGGACAAGGGCGAGGGAAAGGAAGGGAAGGGAAGGAAGGGAGAGAGAGTGTGTGAAGACGATAAGTTGTTTGGGTGTCGCCCTAGTCACCGCTCGGCCCCGCAGTGAAGAGCGCAACCATCACGGGCCTCAATAAGCAACCATACACAATAACAGGAGTCAATCCATACAATACAGTCGAGAAAAATGGCTATCCACTCCGGGTCTAATACACACTCGCTATCCACCAGTCTGAATAGTCCACCCCTCGCATCGTCATGTGACCCCTAGCTAATGAAACACAGGCAGCCGAGCGCAATATAGAACACAAACAGCGGGAACACCGCGATAACCACTCGGTTGCGCACCACACCCGACCCTCCCAGGATGCTGACGCCTGCTGCCAGCGACCACGCCACCAGGACGAGGTAGACGGGGATCCGCGCGATTGTAGGAAGTCCGAGGGCACTGAGAAGAGCCGCAATGACCATGGGGAAGAGCGTGTAGCCGATGATGCAGACGGATTGGAAGAAGGAGCTAGTAGAAAGACAGATCAGCAAAACATCCAGAGTACAAAGACGACATCACTTACATCTTGCCGCCTAGAAGCTTGATCTGGAGAGTCACCGCAGCCTCTCCGATCCAGACAATCGAAAAGACACCGGAGAAGACCGTCGAGGATTGGTCTCCCTTAGCGCGCATAGACAAGAACATGCTCAGAAGCAAACAGAAAATCAACGGGCCCCTGCACGCAACCACCGGTTAGCCATCTTCCCCGAGGGTTGTATAGGAGACGAACCAAAGATCCCAATCGCGCAAACCCTCACTCATCCCACCCTGCAGCACAACATCAGCATCCGGCCAGCGACCTACGATCCCGCGTAGGTTGCGACCGAATCCCGTTGCCCCGCCGGTCTCCTCATCGCTGAGGCCGCTGCCACCGCGCGACATCATCCCGCCCAGCAGGTATTTAGGCCAGAGGACGTGGCGCATCTTCTCCCACACGGCGACCAGGTCCCGCGACAAGGTCTGCCACACACTTTCGTCGAGGGTATTTTGCGGCGCGCGACGGTCCTCGCCGGGGATTGAGGAGGTCAGGTAGTTGCCATAGCCCGATGCACCGCCGGCTCGGGATCCGGAGTCGGGTTCGATGTTGCCTCGTAGGGGGGCGCGGTCGGAGTCGCGTAGAGGGTCGTCGGCTTCGATGGCTGGGTGCGGGCAAGTTAGCACTGGATGAGGAATGAGGTCGAGAGGCAATGGCTCACCATCATTATCCGCGTCAATCAGGTCATCGTCCAAGATGGATTCATCGTCATGCAGCTCGCCGTAGTGGCCTTGTTGCACGCTGGCCATTGTGGGATGAGACGGTCGTAAACAGACGCACTAGGTGCTCCCGGACAACAAATGATGAAAAGAATGATGAAATGGGGGTTATCGTTGGTGACAAGTGTTATGGAGCTGGCCCGAAGAGGCTAAGTGGCTTCAGTGACGCCGGGGGCGGTCACGAGGGGGCTATTTTTACATCGGTGTATAGCAGCCGCTAACGACTACCACTACTGCTGCCAAATCTTTTCTATGAGTTTGACGTCTTAAGTTTCTTTTTTAAATATAAAATAAAAGAGGTGCTGCGAGGACCCTGTAAAAAAACACAGTCGGTCAGGTTTAGTGTCGGTTTCTAGGCGCCAGCTCTTGTAAAGCTCTAGTTCATCCTTCCTCGCGGCCTGATGTCACACAATGACCCTGAACACTATACATACCATGTACCCATTCTAAGCACTCTATGATGTCGACTCCAAGCACAGACTCATCCACCAACTCGGGAACAGTGAGACCTTCGGGCCAAAATGACAGCGCCCCCACACATAAGGATGCAATCGCGGCGTCCTCCTGGCAGCCGCCCAGCGATCCGAAAGAAATGCGGAAGCTCATCGGAAGTGTGCTACAACCAGGTTCATCCGAGCTTCATGAGATACTACCGCCAGTGCCGCCAGATGCCCCTGAAATCCTCCGGAGGAACTGGAAACGGTATGCCTTGAAAAAGCATAAAGCACCCGGCCCATTGAAGATCGTAAAGTGGAATTATGATCATCCGGTGGTCTGGATAAATGCACTGCTGGTTGTTGTCTTGGCTGCTGTGACCGTTTTGCAATGGAGCCAGTTCTCTATGGTTCAGCTGGGAGTATACTCGGCGTTGCTGACTTTCCTGGACTACAAGATATGCCAGTAGGTTTTATCCCGTCTATCCTAGTCGTATCCAATGGACCATCTCTAACCAAGTTATTCTTAGATGGTTGTTATACAGATATCCGTTCAGAGTGGACCCTATCACTAAGTGGTTGGGAGGGAGTGGAATCATAAGGTGAGGATGGTTGAGCGACATGAACGAGAGCTGCTACTTGCACCGTATCGCGTCTTGCAGATTGGATGGTATGTATCAATAACATATTCATGTACCTATATTATGGAGATTATGTATTGATGAGTTGTTCACACGGCCAATGTTGACCCAAGGCCGGAGGCATAAATGTGCACACGCTTCCCTAGGTAAAGTGTGGGGTGCCCCTATTGAGGTGAGTACTACGATGGAAAGAGGAAAATTCAACTGCATCCTATTATTCTTGCGGGTAAACACTATCTCTCACTTAGTTACCCTCAACATACGGCTCCTCCTCCTGGTACACATCATACTTGTACCGACTCCCAGGATGATCATCCCGAAGCCCTTTCTGACCTTTCCCATACACCTTCTCACGAGCAGTCAACGGCTCACTAGCCGACTGCTCAGGGTACAACCCACGCTTCCTCAACTCCGGAAGAACCAGATCAATTAGATCTTCAAAGGTGCCAGGATTACTGACATGGCCAATATTGAATCCATCAAGGTCAGCCTCACGGATCCAGCGCTCCATTTCATCCGCCACCGTGGTAGGGCTCCCAATAGCCACAGTCCCCAGTCCACCGATGGCAGCCTTCTCCGCCACGACGCGCGGCGTCCACTTCGGTATGTCCTTGCTCGTCTTCGTCAGCGAGTCCAGGATACTAGTCACCTTGCCAGCCTCGAGCGAGTGTGCGGGAGTGATCTCTTCGTCCAGCGGGATCTTCGAGATATCGATACCCGTCCAGCCGCTGAAGAGTACCAGTCCTCCGATCACGGAAGCGTGTTTCTTCAGTTCCTCATATTTGGCCCATGCCTCTTCATCCGTTCGTCCTATGATTGGTGTGAATGTGCCAAAGAACTTGATCGACTGCGGATCGCGGCCTGCTTCGGCGGCCTGTTTGCGGATATTCGCAATCTTGGGTCGCAGCACCTCTGGCGAGTGCGAAGTGACGAAGATTGCTTCTGCGTGCGTTGAGGCGAATGCTGACCCGGCGGGTGATGTCCCAGCTTGGAACAAAAATGGCGTCCGCTGGGGAGACGGATCGACGATGTGTCGCGTCTTCAGCGAAAAGTATTTGCCCTTATGGTTGATCTCGCGCACTTTGTCCGGGTTGATATATGAGTCTGCTTCGGGGTTTGGAGAGACCGCATCGTCGGCCCACGAGCCTTCCCAGAGCCTGCCACGATTTTGTCAGTTTCGATACCATCAGACAGAGAAGCGACGTACTTGTAGAGAACTCGCAAGTATTCATCCGCCTGGAGATACCGTTCATCATGTTCGATCGGAGTGTTTAGTCCAATGGCCTGGAACGCCGACTTCTTGTACGAGGTGACGATATTCCAGCCCATTCGACCATTGGTGAGATGGTCCAACGTCGACCAGCGCTTGGCCATTAGGAACGGTGCCTCGAATGAGGTGGAGGCTGTGATGCCAAACGCCAGGTTTTGGGTAACGGCTGCCATCGCAGAGATAGGCTATACTGCATCAGCTGCGATCTTCTGTTTAGGGCAAATCAACGCTTACAATTGTAGGATCTCCCACTGGCCATTGAGCGGCTCTCCGCATGCAGTTGTCCAACTGTCACGATGTTAGCCCTGAATCCAGTTCACAGGTAAGCACACCCACCTTGCCCTCGTATGTCTCATGACCACCGGTGGTGTCTGCCAGGAAAATAGCATTGATTCCACCTCGCTCCAGCAGTTTTGCCAGGTCAATCCAGTACTCGAGGTTGTTCTTTGTAGCCGATTTGTCTTTGGGGTTCTGGACGAGAACAGCCGATCAGTCCAATTCTTCTCTCGATAACATCTACACAACTAACCTTCCACTGCCCAGGCGACAAATGGCCCACGGTGTACATATCAAATGCATTGATCAATATGTGCTTCTTGCCATTGGCGCTGGTGCCATTGCTGCCATTCTGGCTAGAAGCCACAGTCGCGTCTCCCATGATGTTACTTGTCAGGGTTGGCGCGATTACAGGGAATGTATGTAATCTGAGCAATCGAGGTTCCAGGGACTGGGTATTATTATATAAACCGATCTAACTAAAAACCCTCTCTGGTACGGCCGAGACAAGCCCTCGGAGGGTATGCCATGCACGCCGAGGAGTACCTACGGCGTAGAGGATCTCAGCATTCGTCCATCGTGGGTGCTTCTCACGCCATCGTCTTTGTCAGAGTGGGTAGAGCGGCACAGCTCAGAATAGTGAAAAGAGAGTTACATGCCTTGATTTGGTGCTGTGTACGAAGGGTGTACCTTGTTCGCCTCGCGGACGACAAGACATTCGCCATCGTCTCCACAGAAAGCGTAACAAAAGTCATCGGATCCTACCGCATTTGCATTAATACTATGGTCTCACATCTTCATGCCTCTAATGGACGTACAGTAGGTAGAAGAGGGGCACAGGATATCTTGCGACGCAGGAATGAATGTCATCATCGGGTGTCTGATGGCGTGACGGCTTTCCTCGCCCATATCCCGACGCCTACAAAAACCTCAGAAAAACAGCCAATGGGCACATCACATGCTATCGCATGCGGGGGAAACTGCTATTGACAGCTTAGCAGGGCAAGAACGATGGTTGTTGATCGTGGTGGATCCCCGGGATTTGTATTGAGGATCGAGGCTCCACGGACAGGGGTCTCGGGATTTGAACTTTGGCAATGACGGTGTGTATTTTCCGAGCCTAACAATAAGGACGGAAATTATTTGGCATAGAGAGGATCTTAGTGTAGTGGGAATAATTGAGTTTCTGTTCTGGTTGCTGCTTTTGGCGATTGACTGCTCTATACGGATAGCCACACATCTATACGCGTCTGTCTGCAATGCATGCACCCAACGATGTATTCCAACACCACTATTTCACAATCCCTGTTCTACCTTCTCCTGTACAGTCTCTGCGCCAACCCCAGATTCCAATTGACTCGAGTCTCCAGAAGTTGACACGGCAGGACTGTTCCTGCTGGCATCTCGTTTCCTAAGAAAAGTGTCAGAAGAAGTCAATTAGAGAAAAGAAAGGATTCCATACTCCTCGCGCGAGAGAAAATATTGAATCACATGGGCCAAAGCAATCAAGCAGATGGCATTGCCCAGCACAAACGAATAGCCCTTGGTAAAGCGCGGCGCCTCAACGGTCTTGAATACCAACAGCGGAGTCCAGGCAGTCGTAGACTGAGCGACAGCATTAACGGTGACGAGGGTCAATGCACGCTCAACAGGCGAAGCGCGCAACTGGGTATTAATCCAGCCGTAGAGGACACTGGACATGGCCACAGCGGAGAAAGTGGTAAGGAAAGCAAACCACAGCGCCGACTCGGGCACAGTCCAAATCACCAAGATAATACAGCCGATAATGTTCCAAATATGGGCGACTGTAATGGCCCAAGCAGGGCCAAGAAGCAGATCTGAGGCGAAGCAGATCACAAGCGTGTAGAACATACCCAGTCCCGGAGAGATGGCGGCCAGCTCGTTCAGCCTGCTAGTCGAGAACCGGTTCAGACTTTTCAGCCACAGCTGATATCCGCCAGTCGTGGTATTGACACTGCCGTTCCAGAAAAGAATATCCAGCCAGAGCATGGCCCAGAATTTCCAGTTTCGGAAGAGCTTGGTGAATATGCGCCAGGAGAGAACTTCCTCTTTGGTACTATGCGAGGCACGCTCGAGACGTTTCTGGGCCAGTTGAATGTCCTCTTCCTTCAGGATTAGTCGGTTGGGTTTATCTGGGGTGCCTGGCAGGAAAAGGTAACCCATTATAGCAATGGGGATGGTGATGATTGCGCAGATGATGAACATCCAGCGCCAACCAGAGAGACCATTGACCCCATCCAGACGGCCCGATGCTCCGGATTGGATTAAACTGGCTGTCATTGTGCCAAGGGTCAAGCCAACATAGAAACATCCTCCTCTTCTGGAGATCTCGTCGGAGCGATACCATGACCCTGGAATAAAATGAGTATGGAAAAATTAACAAGTTTATTTGTTGCGTTACCGAATATATAATGCATTCCTGGATAGTAAGCTGCCTGTATCAAGTCAGCAAGTACCACTGAATAGGATCTTGTCACGCACCTCAAACCACCCGACCAGAAAGCGATAGGCAGCCATCTCCGCATATGAAGAGGCTCGATACTGGAGCAGCGTGAAAATGCCCCAGGCAATGTCCATAAACGGAATTAGCCAATACATTGGAAGCTTGGTGAATAAGAAAGCGAAAGGAATCTGCCCCACGACCGCCCCGACTGTGTATATGGTCTGCAGCTGAACTAGATCATTTCCCTGCAAGTTGAGATCCTCTTTAAGTCCGGAGACATAGGCATTGTCTGCAAGATTCTTGTAAGATTGAAGTGGATGATGTCTAGTTGAAGGGAACTTACTGATATTCGCCTGGTCGATATACTTTGTCCAATACGCAAGGAATGCGTAGGGAACAATTAACAAGTCCAGCTTCAGAATGAGCCGCCGTTCTTCCTTGGTATCGGTATCTGAAAACCATTGCAGGTAGTACCACTTCCGTCGCTGCTGGGGGACGGTCATTGCAACCTTTCTCTTCGGAGAAAAAACCCAAAAAAAAGAAAATCTCGATCTACAGCCCAGCTATACTAGCAGAAATTTTTCAAATAAATAAAGCCAAGCTGTCGGAGCGGGATGCAAAATGCCACGGCATGTGGTGATTGCGTGACCGGATCGAAGAAAGCTAAACACTCCAGCGCTAGAGGCGCGCCGGCATTCCTCATGCACGAAGCCGGGGTGGAATAAAGTGCTGGATTAGGAAAGGATTAGTTACTGTCCGTGTCATGCATGGCGCTGGAAAGTACGAACCTACATTCATATACTACATGTCAAAAAGTGGAGCGAAGACGTGCTGCGGATCAGCTTACTCGCGTCTATTACGTTGTCAAGTCAAACGAGAAGCTCGGGCCTTGTGCAAGTGCGGCCTTATTCCGACGGATTGAATATCATACGTACTTTCAGGGATTCATGGCAGCACAAAGGCGCGTGCAACAATTGTGCCTTGATGGAAGCCAGCAATGAGTGTACCTTGCGTGTCAAGGGTGATCAGTCCCAATAGTTCCTATTTTTCTATACCATGACAACCACTCATTATATTGAACACGAATATAAATACACTATAGTACAGGCTTAAGACTCAACCCAAGCCATAAGTCTATCAGAAGGGCAGCATCACACAGAGCCCTGCAACGACGATGGCTACTTTCTTCGAGAACTCACAATTCCCTTCGGCGTTCCAGCCACGCGTTTTTCTGTTCCTGCGTGGGATGGACATCAACCTTCGAGAACTGTTTGATAACATCCTCATTGGAGTACCTGGCGAGAGAGCTCGAATCATCCCTGAGTTCCTTAAGCTGCGGCTTGGGGATCAACCCCGAGTATAACTTGATAGTCTCATCCAGCAACAGACGTATGCGCTGCATGGCTAGCACAGCGTCCTTGCCCGGGACAGAGTGCAAACGCTGTCCAGGGATAGGACGTATTGGCTTCGTGGCCTCCTTCATTGCCACGTCGAGGGTCTCGAAATGGGGACGCAGCTGTGCGAGGGCAACCAGGCGCAACTTCACTTGTAGCTGGGTGGCGAGCTTCTGAAGGTCTGGCGTGGGGCCTGCGTCGACGTCGAGACCCTTCACGCTCAGGAGGAGCTGTGCTTCTTCAGAAAGAATGGAGATCAGACGAACGTAATTTTCGAGCACGCGTGCGTCGGGGAGGGCCTCGGCTTTGGCCATGAGCTCGAGCATCGTGTTGGCATGCAGGAGGACGGAGACGTTCTTTTTATCACGAAGACAGGTGGTGAAGGCGACGTGGAAGACTTTGCCGTTGGCGATGCCGGCAGGGACCATCTGCTCTCGCAGGACTTGAGCGGCGATTCTGCTGGACCGCGCGAGGCGCACGAGACGAAGGTACTGCATGCAGGAAACTATGTCAGGCTCGATGCGGTGGGGGGTATCCTCCCGGGTCAAATATCGCCAGTAGCTATGCCCGCCGCCCAAGCCTTGCGTCATGTTAAGACAGGCTGTCAGGATGTGGGTGAGATCCTTGTTGGATGGTTTGAGTGGGGATACGCTGTCCGGGACGATGGGTTCGAAAAGAGACTCGTCCATTTCTTCAACGTGCGACTGCTCTTCCGCGACGTCCAGTTTTCGGAGTGCTCGGCCGTGCTCATTGTCCACGAATGGGATGTCTTCCTCCCGCGCCTTTTCCTCGGGTTCATGAAGAAATTTCTCCGTGAACCTGAATCGATCGGTCCGTCGACGGGAAGAATCGACAGTTGCAGGCGGTTTGGCTTGCAGGATGGGAATGCCCATTGTTTGATGGTACAGTTGTAAGACTTTGTACAAGTCATTATCACTGGAACCATCTAGCAGCAGTTCGGCCATGGCGCCCACTGTGTGATTGTCAACAGACAGGGTACCTGCCTTCCACTGGGCAATGACATCAGACCAGATATATTCGGCCTCTCGAACAATGCGGGCCTTTCGAGCAAGGATCTGGTGTGTGTCGTTGGGGTTTATTTCCTTGATATCGGCTATAGCGGAGGCTCGAATAGCTCTCAGGATAATAGTATAAGTGGTCATATCTGGAGCTCTGTCTCCTGACTCCGGAAGCTCTTCGATAATGCGCCAGAGCATATCCATGTCGTTGTGGCGTTCGCAGACCGTGAGCATGGCATTGGTGTGGATGATGTTGGGTTTCACCCCAGAATTCTGGTTGAAGATGGACTTGTAAATCTTGTCGGCGTATTGGACAATTGTGCGTGAATCTGCGCTGGAGGCTTCAACGAAGCCTTTGAGCAGGATCGTATAGGTTTTGGCGTTGGGTTTGCTGCCTGCCTTCTTCATCTGACCGGATGAGAAAAAACGAATGTGTCAGTTATAGACAGAACTTGCGCAGGGTAAGAAAAAAGTGAAAAAAGAACCAGACTCACATCATTGTAAAGCTTGAATACCGCTTTGGGGGTCATCTCGTGGAAGGCGCGCTGCAAGACATGATTCCATGCGACATCGCACCCCATGCGTTCCCTAACACCGCGCTCAACGAGCTTCAACGCGAAATCAAAATCACCCGTCTGCAGAATAAGCGCGACTCGATTGGCAAAGTCCCTCGGATCCTTCAGCCACCTGAGTTCTTGAGCCAAAGCTTTGGAGGAGACGGCGCGGGTACGCAGTTTCAAGCCCGATGATTTTGCCCCGTCACCCTCTTCCTTCCGACGGCTGGCCTTCTTCCACCCTAGTGTGTCTGTATCGCGGGGCGGAGCATTTCGGTCGTCGACGAGTCCCTGTTTAAAGAGCCTTGAGTTGGAGGGATTTTGTCTGCCGAGCTTAACGGTGGAGAAGGAAAGCAGTCGGGGGCTGTTGGTCGATAGCGAGATCGGTTTCAAATTCCATGGAGCAGTGATTGTCTGCTGCCGACGCTGGTGCGCACCAATGACTCGACTAAGCGCAGCTCTGCTCCAGAACGACGCCGGCAAGCGAGTCGTCATCTCCCGCGGAGGTCCAGTGCGAGTGTCGCGGGGACGTAAACCGGAGCGGATCCAAGTGAGTCGGGTATCCGAATCCTCCGAACGGCGGGTATATCGAGGTCAAGGGGCGCAGGTCACGACGGGTGTGAAGTCCAGAGTGTTTCAACAATTGTCTGTTGCCAATAATTTCCACTGCGCCGAAATCTGGCTCGCGCTAGCCCCACTTGGGTTAGATGTGGTGCCTAATCCAACAGGCTTTGGGCAATGCCTGGGACAGTAAGTCACGTGATGTCTTAGCGTGGTTCCTGTGTTTCCCATACTCCATTCGAACTAACTAAATTCTGGCTCGATTTAGATCCCGCACTTGGTGCACGATATTCCCGTGGGTCAATGAACGGGAGCGTATGTATGTACTTTAGGCCGAGAAATACATGCATACAGCCGTTTTCGTTTTTTTTTTTAGTTTTTACAACACGAGTTGATATGCACACTACTGTAGGTACTAGAGCGATTCCGATCCGAGCTAGCTATGTGCTACATACATTAAGTACAGAGTACACAACGCCACGCTAGATAAGCGCGGGAACGCAAAATACTGGATCGCTGCTGCGGGTGGAGCACAGACTAGGATCTGGCCAGCAGGGTCTAAAATAACTCTAAAGCAAAATTACAACCACGGCACGTCAAGCGTGGCTGAGGCTGACATCCGTTACTAGTGCCAGGCTAAGATCACCAGACTTTATTTAGCGGGTGTACTGCTACAGTAGTACGTAGCTGGAGAAGTTACTATCTATGAGGTAGGTGGCGGTCCCAATGGGAAGAAAGTATGGCGCACAATGATATTATACCTTGTTGTGGGCTGTTATTATTCTGGCTTGACTGTCTGCAAAGTTGGAGGCTATACAAGTTCACCATAGTCATTTCTGTACACTCTTAAGAGAACGCCCTTGTAAACCATGAGCTGCCGTTCATTGTGATAAACGTAACTATTGTCACCCGTGACACCTCGCGTTTTGGTAGTGGGATATTTACACCAGAGCAAGAGTACAGCATGAAAAGAGAACATTACACACCAGCCATCGGAAGCAAACACACCAGAGGAAAATAAAAAAATAGGTGGTGTCGAATCATGCACAAGGAAAAGCATTTCATAGAAAGACAATAAGACGAACCCCCATTATCGCGTAATGTACGTTAAAAAGAAGAAGCGGAGAGGCAGAAAGACGGGCAGGCCCGGAGACGACACCTGCACGGAGTAATTCCATACATGAAGAAGAAAATAAGCAGAACAGAACACGAACAGCCCGATATTTTGGGGAGAATGCTGAAGAATAACCGAATGCAAAAATCCGCCGCCCATCCATCCTTGGAAGCCACAACCCCGGCAAACGAACCCCCTGAGGAAAGGGAGCTGGATGCGCTCTAAGAAAAGAGGAAGGAGAATTTCGCAGGAAAGGGGAACAAAACGTCGGGAACAAGGGCTGAAGAGGGATGTAAAGCCACAAGGATTGGTATCATTGGTTGCAAAGACGTTGTTGAGGGTGTGAAGGATTTGGAGAGGGAAAAAAGCAAAACATCAGACAGGGGATATCGTAATCAGGGAGGAAATGCAGGCCCCGCCCATAGCGTATGGTTCTCGATCAAGGAGGAGGAATTATTGCTGGTAGTTGGCCGCTTGGGTCTCTGGAAGCCGCAGCGAGCAATCAGCCGACCTGTCTGGGCGAATTTTGACCGCGAAAAAGGAACCTCCATGTCGTCGGTCCTGGCAAAGGGGGGAAACATCGCGGCATTACTCACGTTGCTGGTACACGGGACCGCTCTGGTAGGGGGAGTGGGGGTAGTTGGGGGGATAGGGCATCTGTCCATTGCCCTGGTAGACCATGCCACCCGGGCCAGGGCCGTACTGACTCGGGACAGGTTCGCCGGCGGGCTGGTATCCGATGGGAGGAAGCTGGGGCCGCACACCACCGCCGTAGCTGGGCGGCGGACCACCCTGAGAGGGGTCCGACGGGTTGGGACCATCGACCTGGTTGGCCTGCGCAGCTTGGGCAGCGGCACGCTCACGCTCCTCGGCGGCCTTGCGCTGGGCCTCTTCCTCCTTCTTCCGAGCCTTCCACTCCTTGCGAATCTCCTTGAATTCTGTCACGAAAGTTAGCATATGGAACGACGTAAGGGAATGGACGCATTTGGTTAGCGGGGAATGAAGGCATGTTTAGTTCTATCTCTCCACGCTGGTGGCCACGCTACTGCGGCCCGGCGCCGGAGTGTTAACTCAACTAGCGCCCGTACCTGCGCTAAGCCCGATATAGCGATTTGCGACAAGACTAGCTCCCCGCGACCGCGAATGCACGTCATGAAGAAAAAAGATATTAACGTACCTTCTGGAGTGCGCTTGGCGCCGTGCGACTGCATCGTGACGTGCGCGTTCAGGTGGTTGAGAGTACCATACGCCTTCTCGCAGCCGTTCCAGCCGCACTTGTACATGCGCTCAATCTCCTCGTACCGACGACGGGGCCGCTTGTGCTGTTGCGCACCAGGAATGGGAACGAAGGAGTAGACCTATAGAGCACAACAAATCAGTATCAGATAAATCAGGGGGGAAAATCCGCCGAAGCGAAAAGTAAGAAAACCCGCTGTTTTTGACGATCCCTGGGTGGCCGGCTCTTCGTTCCAGTCGAGTCCAGAGGCGTCCCAAGACAACGGTAAAGTGGTGCGAGGCCTTCAGAAACACACAGGGATCATCAAAAACATACCTGGCCAGGGCGCGGCCCTGTGGTTGTGGCGGCAGGGGAGGAGGAACCAACCGTTGTAGCAGGAGAGGCATATGGGCCCGGCAAGCCGTGCTGATGCTGTCCATAGCCATGTGGCCAGTCCGGGCGCGCGTACATCTGATGAGGCGGGGGCGGGTGGCCCTGATACTGCATCTCATGTCCCTGCGGCTGATAGGGAGAGTAGGGGGGCGGGTAGGCGTTGGGGCTGGAGGCCGCAATCGAGGGATCTATGGGAGCAGCGCCGTCAGACTTGTCATTCGAGGGACTGCGCAGGCCCGTAGGCATGGTGGACATGAACGGACTTGTTGCTTGAGCCATACCGGGAGCACCACCGGGCTGGGAGTTGGGCGCGTGGTGGTACTGCGGGCGAGCGAGGTAGTCCTGGTAAGCGGGCGAGCGCGCGGGCGCCGGTGGTGGATTCAGACCGTAGTCTGGTTGAGGAGTGTTGGAGGACGAAATATTGGCGGGTCGCACCTCAGACTGCGGTGTGTACTGCGCGTGGCGGACCTCAGGTTGCGGGTTGTAGGAGTGATGAGCACTGGTAGCAGCAGAATCTGCGGCCGAATGTTCAGAAGGGGTGTGGTGGTTGTGGTCGACGGGCGGTGTTGGGTGCGAACCTGACTGTGCGTACTCGGGGGCGGGCCGGTTGTCCATAAAAGAGGGCGATTCGCGCGGCAGGTGCTACGAATCGAGTCCGAGGTCCAGGATCACCCGCGTAGACTGTTGCGACGCGTCGGAGAAACAAATCAGCCTTCTGTGTTGGCGTCGGGGAAATTGACGAGTCAGGGATGGGTGGGAGGGAGAGAGGGATGCAAGGGAGGTGGGACGCCACGTTTTGGTGAAGAAAAGGAGAGAATGTGGGAGAGAGCGAGAGGGAAGTGTGTGCTGGTATGTGTTGTGACGATATAAGAATCATCGGCAAGGCAACAAGTCACAGGTACGTACCGACTGTACTACGTTCTTTTGGTCAGCGGCGGGTCTCCGTGCAGTGAACGGTGATGTGCTGCTCTCCGATCGACGCGTTGTTGAGCCAAGCGCAAAGAGGCAAGGCAGAAAGCAGAGAGAATCAAGATGCTTAAAATCTTAGTTTGGGGCGGGTTTGGTGGGTGGTGTGGCGCGGGGGAGGAGGATGCACAGAGACAAGTTCGAGCTAGTGTCGGGCCCTAGAGAAAAAGAATGGGAAGAGGCACGACTAAAAGAAGCTAAGGAAAAGGAGGAGAGAGCAGGGGAAAAAAGGCCTCGTGGGATCCGAGGATGTGGGCCGTACCGTATTATTACACCGGTTTGGCCCCTTTTCCGGCTAAGCTTTGCCGACTACAGGCGGGAGGGGTGAGTATGATTATTACAGACAAGGTATCGATGTCGTTAGCCCTGACAGCGCTCGACATCATGACAAGCCGGATTGTGGTGTGGTTGTATGTATACCTATAGGTGTTGATATTGGTGGAAGACCACATCCGCTAGCGAAAAAAGGAGTAGCGCAGGTCGGGGGAAGTAGAAGCGACCGGTGGAGTCGGAGCCTCTGGGTCGGCCGGCCTCGATCCGGTTTAGTGGCCCATGAGGTGAGCGGTTGGGGCCGGTTTTCTATTCCTAGTAGGGATCATTTCCCAGAAAAAAAAAGGCAAAAGGCAAAAGGCAACAAAAGAATCGAGTCTGATAAGCATCGGCTCTCGCGTAACCCTGTACGAGTTATACGCCGTGTAACGGTGGGACCAGGGCCGTGGCGGTGGAGACGAACACACAGGGAAAAAAAAGAGAGATAGAGAGAGCTCAAGACAGCGCAGCGCTGCTTGCTCCACTACGGCGGTGATTCGATTGAGTACTTGTAAAGATTTTGTTACGGAGGGCTCCGCCCTCCGTAGCGAACGTTTGATTTATTATTCATTGCATTGACATCCATTCACTCTCAGATCAGAGATGGATATTCGATATTCGATATCAGACCCTACCGTGGTTCTGCCATCACCTGGCGAGCAGTTAATTATAGTTGAGAAGGGCCCCAGCCCCTAAAGCGGAAAAGGGGCATCTTTGTTGACGGGATTTCCGTGGAACGTGCACTCGCTCCACCACCGTCAATTGGCGGACTTTTCAATTGCAGGACGAGCGGAGTTCGTCGGCGGCTCTCCGGTACATACTGTACATGCAGCAGCAGACAAAAAAAGGAAACAAAAAAAAAAAGCGGGACTGGCCCAGTCTGATAGGAAGAACACGGAGATGCAGCATAAATGCACCCCTCCCACTGCTCGGAAAGACTCTCGGCCAGTGATTGGGTGGACGGGGCGGGCTGGATCTCACCCCCGCGCGCAAGAGGGTGGAAACCCGTTCATCCACTGCCGGTGAGTGAAAACCGCGCTGAGGGTGAATAATAATGTCTCAACCATTGGTTGACAGGTATTGTTCAGGGGTTCGGACTTCTGTTCTGGTGGATGGTCTCCCGCGGGACGAAGACCGAACATGTCGCCCTGCGCGGGATATCGGGAGTAGTGCAGCCGGGATCATCGATATCAAAAGGCATCAATCATATGGTGCGGCAATCATAATTATTAGTGGCCGACAGGTAATTGCGCTGTACAGTAATACATGTATCTCCGACGATCAAACCCCAAAAGTGGCGCCAGCTTGTCCCCAGTTTTCATAATCCCCTCGACCCTGCCCACCAGGGCGCTGGCGCCAGGGTAGGATGAGCGACTCGATCGAATCAGAGACCCCCAGTTCTTGGCATCATGTCCACCTTCGTTTCGAGCGCGTTCCTGACGTTACTTTCTTCTGTAGCCGGGAGTTGCAGGCGAAACTTGTTGGGCGTTTTCATATGAAGAATCATAGCAAATAGGGAGAAGGCGCCTCTCGCGGCTGCGGCACTTAATTCGAATCCCGGCTAGATTGACTCGGTGTTTGTCTGAACAGGATTGAAATTGAAGACCGGCTTACACGTGGGTAGGGTCGCC